GAGCCCCAGTTTGGGTGCTGGAATTCGTCCTGGTCGTTGAAAATGAGAGAATCTGGCAAACCCGGACGTTTGGAGTAAAGACCCGCGGTATCAATTCTAAACCCATCAACGCCATGGTCCAACCAGTATCCCACCGCAGTTTCGTAAATGGCTTTTCTGCAGTCATCGTTGTCCCAGTTAAAATCTGGTTGCTCCGAGGCAAAAAACCGTAAGAAGAACTCATTTGAAGCTTCGTCAAAACTCCATGCGGAGCCACCAAAGAACGATCTCCAGTTATTGGGAGGAATAGGACGGCCCTCGCTGTCGTAGCCCTTTGGAGGTCTCCAGAAGAACCAGTCTCGTTTTGGGTTCGTCTTGGATGATCTGCTTTCTTTGAACCATTCATGCTCAGTAGAGCAGTGATTGATGACCAGATCCGTGATAAACTTCATACCGAGCTCATGGGTCTTGTTGATGAGCCCAAAACAGTCCTCGTTTGTCCCATAAGTTGGCCAAACTTTTTCGTAGTTCGAAATATCGTATCCCATGTCCTGCTGGGGCGAATCGTAGAAGGGACACACCCAGATGGCATCAACTCCCAATTTTTTCAAATACCCTAACTTTGAAGTTATACCCTTCAAATCTCCCCAGCCATCATTGTTGCCGTCTTTGAAACTTGCTGGATAGATCTGGTAAATAGTAGCTTCTTTCCACCATTTAGGCTGCGTTTCTGGATGCTCAGTGATAGTCATTTTATACTATCGTACTCGATGCGATCTTGTTTTTCGATGCCAGGATAAGAGAACTTTTAGATAAGTCTGAAAAACAGATAAGTCTGAAAAACTTTAAAGATTTCAGCTACCCCGGATTTTATACCATTAGGCTTCAGTCCACCATAGTCGTTTGAATCAAGCCCACAGATCTGTTAATAGGAAATCTAAAAATACACCCCGCTGCAACAACTGTTGCAATTCGTGAATCTCTTTTTCGTATTTTCCTTCGTAATCTTCATATCGATAACATCACACTGTACCCACCTGAGTAACTTAATTGACTTATCCGTAGCCCCGCTTCCGTTTGTCTATGGTTGTTTGAGACGAGCCCAAAGGGTCTCTTCTAAAAACTCTTATAACGCGTCCAACCTCACCTGTTGCGAAAAACGGAGGTGCTTTCCGTCTTTTCCTTCGTATTCGTAGTACTGAATACATTATCATGTCATTTTTTAACTTACCCGTGTCCCCACATCACCCGCGTTCTTGCATAAACGTCTTGTCCCTCGAGAAAAAGTAAACACGCATGACGTTCTCCGGGTTTCCGCAGTGCAGGTTTTTACGACACGACGTTGAGTCTGTTCAAATTCAAGTCCGCAGAACAACAGGTGTAGTAGTATTGAGAGGACTTCCTACAGGCTAAGCAATCTCGAGGGGAATTCCTGCAAGCTGAACAGTTTCGAGAGGAACTTCTACAGGCTATGCAGTCTCGAGGGAGCTTCCCATGGGATTGTTCTCTAGGGATGTGCACTTACGACTGGTTCCTAAATGGTGTGCACCTACCCGTTTAATTAATGCAATAATTGCCCGCTGCCAAGATCTGGACAAATTACGAGAAAGTTGCCCTCGAGAAGGATGAAAGTTGCCTGAAAAGGTTCCTTGTTACACGAAAGGCTACTGGCGTGGGGAATGTCCTTTTTCGCTTAAGCTTATTCGTGTGGGGAATGTCCTTTTCCGCCTATTTAAGCTTAGCAAAAACCCATTCAAACGTTAATGACTGGTGCTAGAGGCCAACCCAAGTCAAAAGATCATTTGCGTCAACCATAATCATGCGAAATATTTTGACTTTAAGAAACAAACAGTCAAACAGTGGCCCATCTCGAGCCAACGAAGCGGGGTGGGATAATGCCGAGACAAGCGCGCCATCGATTATGATGGATTCGTCAAAAAAGGCCAAAGTGGCATAGAACTCTACCACATGGAACATGCTCCAGAGGCTGGCAATCTCGACGGTAACGAGAATACTACTAACGACATTTCTGAGCTCGTCAATGCTACCAATGATGCCAAAGAAGCTGACGAAAACGAAAGAACAATGCCTCTTATTAAGGCTTTGAAAACATACCCCAAAGCTGCGGCATGGTCGCTACTGGTTTCCACGACGTTGGTAATGGAAGGTTACGACACAGCTATTCTCGGATCCTTTTTGCTCTGCCGATCTTCAAAGAAAAGTTCGGTTCCCGAGGGTCAACAGGAGAATGGGAAATTTCGGCTTCTTGGCAGGTTGGATTGAGTTTGTGCTACATGGCCGGTGAAGTTGTAGGCTTGCAATTCACTGGACCGCTTTGCAGCTGTATTGGGAACCGTTACACCATGATTTTCGCCCTCTTCTGTCTCGCTATGTTCACCTTCATTCTGTATTTCTGTAAGAGCTTGGGCATGATTGCCGTGGGCCAAGCTCTCTGTGGCATGCCCTGGGGCTGCTTTCAGGGCTTAACCGTGACTTATGCCTCGGAAATATGTCCTCTTGCCCTCAGATACTATTTGACCACGTACTCCAACCTCTGCTGGTTGTTCGGCCAAGTTTTTGCCGCTGGTATTATGAAAAACTCCCAGAACAAATATCCAGAGTCGGAACTTGGTTACAAACTACCCTTTGCGCTGCAATGGATATGGCCACTTCCTCTCATGATCGGAATCTTTCTCGCACCTGAATCACCGTGGTGGTTGGTGAAGAAGGGAAGGATGGATGCAGCCCAAAGATCACTTGATAGGACGCTAAGCGGTAAGGGAATAGAGAAGGAGATGACGATAGTCAAGGAGCTGGAAAAAATAAGGCTCACTATAGAGAAGGAGAAAAAACTCAAAAGTGGCGAGGGAAGTTACATGGATTGCATCAGAGACAAGGTCAGCCGCAGAAGGACCAGGATTGCGTGTCTGGCCTGGGTGGGCCAAACAACTTGCGGGGCTGGACTAATGGGGTACTCGACATACTTTTACGAGAAAGCTGGCGTCAGTACCGACATGTCATTTGCATTCAGCATTATCCAGTACTGTTTGGGTATTGCTGCAACGTTTTTATCGTGGTGGCTTTCGAAATATTTGGGGAGATTTGAACTCTATGCAATTGGGTTGTTTTTCCAAGGTACCATGTACTTTATCATTGGGGGATTGGGTTGTATGAGCACAGACCAGTCTAGAATGGCGAGTGGGGCCCTCTTAATGGTTGTTGCATTCTTCTATAACTTGGGCATTGCCCCTGTGGTGTTCTGTCTCGTGTCAGAAGTGCCATCCTCCCGTCTCAGGACCAAAACGATTATTTTAGCACGTAACTCCTACAATGTTGTGGGGATGGTTACTATGGTTTTGATTCTGTACCAGTTGAACTCGCAAAAATGGGATTGGGGCGCAAAGGCAGGGTTCTTTTGGGGCGCATTTTGCTTCGCTACGCTAGCCTGGGCCGTCGTGGATCTCCCAGAAACGTCAGGTAAGACTTTCAGTGAAGTGAACGAGCTATTCAGACTTGGTGTCCCGGCCCGAAAGTTTAAGTCGACAAAAGTGGATCCATTTGCTATTAAAACCACTGAAGAGCTCTCAGATGATGAGAGAGAAGTCGCATCACAAGCATCATCAAAGGCAGAGAGTGAGAGGGAGGTCCAGATTGACTGCTAGCCATTGATCAGCTAACTTGTGTGCCATTAGAATGATGAATCATGAATATAAATATAGAGATATTACAATTATGCTAAACAGATGTTAAGTGTGGCCCAAGTGAGGCAGGCTGCAAAAAACTGTGAAGTTGAGCAATGATTATCAAAAAGAGAAGTTTCTCGGGCATTGGGAAAAAGAAGAATCTGTACTGATGTATTTTTTTGTGTATCACGAATTTCCTCGGAAATCAAAAGCGAATTATAAACACATTCTCTCCCTTGGTCATAGACATTAAATCGTTTGTTACCGCACTCTTCATGGCCTCTTCAACCTCTTTTGAGAAACTTGAAAATCCATTAAAATGACTTCTCTTCTACAACACAGCGGTAAGAGGATTGTTTTTACTTTCCCACTATCATATTATCAATCGGTAAGCAAGCAGACTAAGTTCAAAATCAGCAGTAGTCAGGACGCTACGAGTGGAATTTCCACTACTGCAGTCAACCATTTGTGGAGAAATTATTTACCCCCATGGCAAGCTTGAAGCTGCACTGATCGGAACCCGGCGAAAGTACTAGCAGCATCTTGGTGTGTCTGCTTTCAACTTCTTGAAAGAAGTTTTTGGACAAGTGATGAAAACTTCAGAAGAAGAGCTTTCAATTTGCATCAATCCCAGACATCTTCAATTATTCATGGCAGCCTTGGATATATTCTTAAGGTGTGGAACAGAATAACAAGCAATCATGAGCGAAGAGTTTGAAAATGAAAAGATGAAGTTTCATCTAGCAAGTCGAGATCATAATTCTTTTCGTTTTCAATTTCCATCGAATATCGGAAACAAAGCAAATTCGTCCCATCTTTGATTAATGCCAACTTTCCCATACACCTGACGCTTCGGTTGTGTCACTGTCTTCTTGCCGGAAAAGTCCGAAAATTCCGTAGCTACAAATGTGGGGGGTCCTCTAACAGTCGATGATGGTTATTGAACCTTAGATCATCAGCTACAAAGAGACAATGGCATTACCAAAAATGCAGTTCTGCTGTCTTACCCTGGTGTCCGTTAAATAATTGTACACTGTAAGGCTTATCATTGCGAAGCTAGATTGTCTCCACTTTGAACTATAATCCTCGCTGTAAGCTTCCATGAGTGTAGGCTACTGCGCAGGAAATAATACTAACCTAATGACTGTTCCTGGCTTAGCAACCCTCTTGTCTCGCCTCTATCTTTTTGACTCTTCAAAAGACTTGTCACGCACGAATCGCGATAGAATGAAACAATGTGCCACAGACAGACGGCTTCATATTTCATACCATTCTTCCTTCGTTGACGCGTGAATAATATGACCGCCACAATAACATAAGTTCTTAACGCGAGAAGCATTACATTCTACTCGCGCCATCCGGTTTAGAACTATTATTTTCGGGACTGACCGAATCAACCGAATGCTTTTCAGTGAACCATGACAAAAGGCCAGTGCACAAAAGTAAAAAACAGGTCAACCATTCCATGAACGTGCCCAAAACATACTCCGCAGCAAGCGGGCCAGGCTTCAGACCTTGGTTATCATAGCTGTCAGGCAGAGCATAATTCCACTGGTTAATCTCCGTTGCAAGAATTCCAAAAGCTCCTCGAATCGTAAGTGGCAAAACAGTAAAGCTCAAAATGTGGAGGAAATGTTTCTGGCTGCGATTCTGTACTGCTGGATACGTGCGGACGCAGAAGAGGGCAAAAACCCCTACCCACGCGATAAAAAGGGCGGTTCCAACGTCCCGCAAGGTACGGCCGCTTTCAACCTGCTTGGAAGCCTGACTCGGCGAGTGCGAGTTAACCCCTTGTACGGAACCCACGATGATCAGTGCGTTAGCAGCGGCCAAGCTATAATGGAAATAAAGCACAGGGTACCTCACGGAGACTTTATAGTATTCGCGGAGCGTTCTTCCCTGCCGTCTGGGCTCTATCCAAGATTCGCCCAGTAGCTCATTTTGGAAAGCGATCAGAAATCGGAAAACGCACCATACAAGACTGAAGTATCCCTCCGCTCCAAACACGAAGTACGCAATGAGCCACTGGTAGTGCTCGACACCGGCCACCGCGTACCCTATTCCACAAATCTGAGCGGCCAATCTCAAGATCGTATGGATGAAAATGCTAGTGTAGCGAGACTTCCAAGATACTCGCTTGGTAAATAGAAGTAGACTCACCCAAGAACAGAGTGCTCCATACAAAACTAAGAAAACAATTGCTGGAATTCCACCGCGATCGAGCATTTCAAAATGCAGTGTTTCAAGGGAGCGCTCGGGCTTGTTGTTTGGAGGAAAAGCCAGGGTCTTCAGGAAAAGCGTATACCTTGGCCTGTAGAATCTCGACTTTATTAGATGCAGGAGGTCCCTGCATTGAAGATGAGATGTCACGTGTGATAATGCGAGAAGACCGTTGCCAAGAAATGGGTAAAGCTTTGCCATAGGTTGACGTGTTGAGAATTCGAGGGGAAGGTATTGAGCTGAGTTGAAGACGGGACACATTGATTTGAAATAGGGATGGTGTGTTCATTTTAATCAAACATTAGGTTACAATTCAAACGAAAACTTTTACCTTGTAGGCCCTGATTATGAACCCGATCTCTATCGGTTTCTTACATTTCCGGCGCATTATAGAGAGAACGCCATGCATGCCTTGGTTACAAAGGGTCCTGGAAATGATGAAGCTGAAACCCCCAATAGGCTCTTCCTGGCACGGTTTTGCATCAAAAGTCACTTTCCGAATGGATCTGGCGTCTTGAAAACCGTCGTGTGAGAATTTCAGGAAATGTCACTGTACCTTCCAGAGTTTACCATCATAGGGTAAATTGTCACGTATCATTCGTGCTCTTACGACGTAGTATGAAATTCGAATGGCAGAGAGTTTGGGCAAAACTCAAAACTCAATTCCAACCAGTCGACGAAATCATAGTAGCATGTTAAGTAGTAAAGCAAACATTGTGTAAATTCGCAGGACAAACTCTCCATCGTGGCACGGTTATTTCACATTTTTGCTGTGTATTGCAATAAACACAAGGCTTCAACATTACGTTAGAAAGAGAGTAGTCGCGGCTTTGAACTTTCATACTGACAGTGTGTGTGCCATATTCTCATTGGCTATCCGACAAGTGCTTTGAGAACTTCCGAGCCGTTTCCAAGCATTTGCGTCGCTTCCGGAGTTGATTTTCGGTCCTTGGATGGATTTAAGGTTTTCAAGAGTGTTTGCGCCGGTAATTATACGGAAAGGAGGGTAACTGAAGAAGTGACGTCTGGAGAGAAGCTTCCATGCAGTCTCGAAATTAAACATATTTAAAGGGCACCTCAGCTTCACCTGTAAAGTCTTCAATTGTAAAGTCAATTCTAGCTTAGCATAGCATAGCAATTCAATTCAAATCGCTTCTCTTCAGCTCAAATCGAAATCAACAATGTCTCTAGAAGGAAAAACAGCTCTCATCACTGGTGGTACTAAGAACCTCGGCAAACTCACTGCCATCGAACTTGCATCTAAACACAAGGCAAACTTGTTTTTGCATTACAACTCGGTTCAGGGAGATGAGAAGAAACTGGCTCAAGAGCTTTCGAGTAAATATGGCGTAAAGGTCGAGCTATACCAGGGCAATTTGGGATCCGCAGAAAACGTTGCCAAGCTTTTCGAAGCGGCCAAAGCCAAATTCGGCTCAATTGACGTTGCCGTCAACAACGTCGGAAAAGTGCTCAAAAAGCCCATGGCGGAGGTCACCGAAAAGGAGTTCGACGAAATGGACCTCGTCAACAACAAAATCGCGTTTTTCTTCATTGCCCAAGCCACCAAGCACGTCAGCCCCGGCGGTAGCATTATCTCTCTAGTCACTTCCTTGCTGGCTGCCTATACGCCTTTCTACGCCGTGTACCAGGGTACCAAGAGTGCTGTCGAGTACTACACCAAGAGCGCGTCTAAAGAGCTTATCGAAAAGAGAATCTCCGTTAACTGCATTGCCCCAGGCCCCATGGACACTCCTTTTTTCTACTCTCAGGAACAGCCTGAGGCAGTTGAGTTCTACAAGTCTGCTGCTTTTGACAACAGATTGACCAAAATTGAAGACATCGCCCCAATTGTGTCCTTTTTGGTTACCGGTGGCACCTGGATGACAGGACAGACCCTTTACGCTTCCGGTGGTATGACCGCTCATTAATCGGCAAGTCCTCAAAAATCGCCAGTAAATACTTTCGAGACTTGCACCGACACGAAATTCCACAGATTTGATATATAAAATTTTGTTCAGTCTGTAGTAAATACATATATTCATGACCCTTAATTTGTTAAGCACATTTCCGATGGCCTTCTATTTGTCTTGAAGAATGCGGCATCATGTTTGTTGGCTTTCTTAGGCTTTATTTAGCCCTCTCATACATGGATTGAACTCGATGAATTCAGTCAGATTTCCATGGGTGTCATTTTGCACTACACCGTTACAGATCTTGAATATACTCCGGTTTTCCGCGAAGAACAATCTTGGTAGAGGCTGTAGATCATATTGTTGCCGCCTGTTCTCCTCAGTTTCCTGACAGCAACTAGCTTGTTACAAGGTCTCGCCCAGCTCTATCTTCTCATTTTTAATTTGGTAGAACAAACGCTCGGCAACTTCTGCCGCCCTTCCAAAGTCCGACAAATGCTCTACATCTATAATGTCTTTTGATTTTCTACCTTTGGGCAGGAAAGGCTCGAGCCTTGCTTTTAGCTCATTTATGTTTTCTGGAGGAAAATAATGGAATAATAGGTTCTCGCCGGTTTTTTCTTTTCTCTGGCGATTGGCACTCAGTTGTTCAGCTTTGGGTGGAAGGTTGTAGGAGTTCGACCAAACACCGGCTATAGCTGAAGCAGTCAGTTCAAAACTTGGCCATTTCAAGGGTGTGACAGTGACACCCACAAATGCAAGACTTGGGTCATCGATGTTAAACGTGTCCAAAAAAAGACCGTCCACCATTGATGCGGAATCCTTGAGAAGCTTCTGACCTGATTTGATAATGCTCAAGTTTGAATCCTTATCATTTAAAAATGGGTAATGCCAATGATATCCTGTCGAAAAGATGATATAATCGACATCCTGAACCATAGAGCCATCTTGAAAAATTATCGTGCGGTTATCAACTGAATGAAACTCTTTGATTCTAGGCTTCTTTGTGAGACCCTGAGAGGTGGCAGCCTTGGTCAGCCATGGATAAATTTCGTCCTTATCGGGTGTCCTAGAGACTATCACTTCATTCGCTACAGGGAAAACATACTGTAGAATATCGATACCACTTAACCCTGTTCCGACGAAAACGCATTTCTTATCTTGGAATTTTTTAAAATCTCTGAAGCTCTTGGAATGTAGCACCGAGCCTGGGTATTGAGCTGCCCACTTTGAGAGACCATCAATTTGAGGAATGTAAGGAATAGAGTAATGGCCGTTACTAACCAGAACTGCGTCAAAGTCCTCATTGTACCAGCGGATCGAGTCGCTACCCTCAACAGTCTCTTTCACAGTCAATCTCCATGATCTATCGTCGATTTTCTTGACCTTGACTACTTCGGATTTCACTCTAACAAATTTTGCAAGCTGATGTCGCTCGGCAAACACTAGAAGATTGTCAGTGATGGAGTGATTGGTCACCAATGGTGCAATTCTTGAATTTTGTCGCGCCTGCCTTGCACTGTAAGGAATAAAAGAGTTGCGAAGATATCTTTCTGGAACATTGGAGTACAGGTGCGGATAGATACCACTTGCAGTCCAAGTTTTAGGACTCGGTCTACCTGAGCCCGTTGTGATAAATGGCTTCGAAAAAGTGTACTGGTCGTCCGAAAGCTCGGGAGGTGCTTCAGTTGGGGGCCTCAAAACGAATGGATTGTTGTAGCGTTCAGAAATCAGGTCCTTTTCATCAATTAAATCAGGTGTATCGAAATCGGGAGACCATATTCCGCCAATTGAGGTTTTTGACTCGAAAACCACTATTTTTTGAAACGCAGGATTTGTGTTATCTTTTGTGTTTGCTTCATCAAAGTTTCCCTCGGCGCTGTATCTCAAACAAGTTGTCCCGTCCTTACGAGTGTTGAGAAGTTCGAAAAGCGAAGTCAGACCTGCAGCCCCTGCACCGATTATAGCTACAGATTTGATCTCGTTTATAGCTTTTCTGCCCATGACTGTGCAATTCTTGTTGATATTTATCTGGGCCAGTAAACCAAGATGTCCAACAGCTAATAAGGTCTCAAAATATACCCATCAGTATCTTCCTTATATCAGACAATTCACTAGATCCGGATCGTTGTAATAGCACATAATGCCACGCATTCAGCTCATGAATTGATCATCTCTTCAAACGTTTACTCTTAGTTTCTCTGTCCTTTATTCTGACTTTGGATGTGGTGTCCGCCAGCGCCACATCTTCAAAAAAGATAACTACTGCGACACCTCGAACTTAAGTCAGAAAGCTCGTTACACCCTGGCAATTATAAGAGATCTTCACAAGTAGTCTAGCATCCACCAGCTCGATGTCGGAGGTTCTCTAGGTTTACGATGCTCTGCGCTGTGTAGTACTGGCGTCGATCTTTAAATATTCACTTATTTGATAATAATAAAAATCATTAGAAGCGTTAAATCAAATCTACCGATTACAACGCATAAAAGAATATCAACATCTATTTAAAACCCTCTTCTCACATTCATCGAGCGTTGTAAAGATCAAGAGTGGGATGTGTACTGGAGAACTCGACTTTTTACAATCATGTCCTTGTATTTCCAATAGAATCACCCGAAATTCGACAAATTGTCGAGCCTGTTTACCGGCGAAGTAGTTTGTGTAGACTTTTCTTTACGTGAGCCGAAACTCCAACTTTGAATATTTCATCGAGTTGTTCCAGCGTAAACCGCATTGTTTCCGGAATGCAGAGGAATGTGAGAATCCAGATGACAATGTTGCAACCGCCGTAGAAATATAGGCCTCCAGAAGCCGTCATGGAAGATTCCATTTTGGGCCATGTCATGCTCAGACAAAAGTCCAGGATCCAATTCACAAACATACATGTGGCACTGTGTGCCATTCTCACAGTTATGGACGAGGTCTCTGCAACTAGGGTGAAGCTTACCGGACCAATCCCAGTTCCGTAGAACAAAACGTAAACGTACATCGAGGCCAGGCCTGCCCCAAGCCGGCTTTGTGAATTCGAAACATTGAGAATGCCGCCCAACCAAAACAAACATAGCGCCTCCATGGGTAGCGTGAAAAGAAGCATTTTTCTTCTTCCGAAACGGTCAATCAATTGCGTTGATATAAATGTGGCCAGGAAGCAACCGCCTCCAATTCCAATAGAACCTGCAATCGCCGTAACAGGATCAACGCCGGACTTTGTAAGAATTGTGGTTGTGTAGGAGACCAAAATGTTCACTCCTCCATACTGCTGGCCCAAAATGCCAATCAGTGACACGATCAAAGCAAATCTGTTTCTTTTGTTGGTGAACAGGGACAAAAACTGCTTCCAAGAAGAAAGCCGCGTTTCCAATTCAGACTCGAACTTCAAAGACTGATGAAGAATATAAAAGTCCCGCGCTCCTGATAGCTTGTTGGGTCTAAGCTTTAACAATGAACTCAGAGACTCCCTGGTTTTCCCATGTGCAATGAGCCATCTTGGAGATTCTGGAGGAAAGAAGATCAGGATTCCGGTGACGAAAGGAGCAACAGCCGAGGATCCTATCATAAGGCGCCACGAAAGCGATCCGCTTATATTCACAAAGGCTCGATTGAATACAGATCCCAAGCAAACACCGAGCGCAATGAAAGTTTGCCACAACATCAAAATTGAGCCTCGAGAAATTGCGGGAGAGCATTCAGCGGTATAGATGGGCACAGTGGAAGAGTTTAGGCCCATTCCGATACCTAGGAATAATCTGGCAAACAAAAGGCAGCCAAGCCCGTTGGAGAAAGCCTGGATTAGCGATCCAGCGAAGCCGATGAAACAGCTTAAAAAGACGATCCATTTCCTTCCCACATACTTGTCAAGATAGAGAGTAAGGGGAGAACCCAAACAAGCAGCAGCAAGGTAAGGCGCGGCAACGGTAAGACCTTGTATATTTGGGTCTGTAATATCAAATTGGGTTTGATATTGCAAAACAGCGCCACCAATTGCACTTTCGTCCATCCCAAAGTTGATAGCAGCACATGAGGTACAAAGTGCAGCTAACAGCATATGCTTAGAAAGCGACAACAAAGGCTTTTCTATGGCCTTTTTAGCAACTCGGCGCTCTTCATCACTGTAACCTTCAGTGTCGAGAATATCTGGGTTATTGGCCCACAAGGCACCACGGCTCAGAAGCTCTCGATGATCTTCCAGGTCGTATTCTTTCACAATTTGGTCAACTTCAAAAAGCACCTGCTCCTCTGGTTCGTATTCCTTGAACACAGCCGCTACATGTAAAGACTGGTCAGATGACACAACGTCACTTATCTCTTTGACATCACCACTGAACTTCTCATGTACAGACATTGTAATAATGTCGGCTATTCACTCTTTCAAACTGAAAAGACCGATATTCTTCAGTGATACGAGCATTTGGTGCTTTTTGTATGGTCGAAGTTCGCCCGAATTTCAGCAATTTGACACCCATGATTTTATGGCTGTGACTTTGCAAGGTAGGGTTCATAGTGTCCGTCGGCGCCATAATCAAAGTCTTTGCCAAGATTGTCTGTTTGGCCATTTTGACTTTTGAGTAACGGGAAGTCATAAAATATCGAATTCGATTTACAAACGTACTACAAATTTTTCTGCGCTAGCGCCCCGCTCTTCGAGTTCTTTCAGCCCATTGCTCAAACCGACTCCAAAATCTGCGAAACCTTTGAACACCTTGACGCTGCGAACAGGACTCAATTGGCCTCTTTCGAAAAGATCGGATGTGAATTTCACAAAAGTCTCACCGAAGGCCAAATCCTCATGGAATTTTTTGATTCCCACGGCTTCGACTACAATTTCCGGGCATTTTGTCTTCGCGTCCTCACCAGGAGCGCCGCCAAGGCATACAAGAGACTTCTTGGTTCCCTGTCCAGTCTTGAGAATCTCAAGCACAAGCTCTGCTGTTTTTCTTGAAATCACATCGACCCCATAATCGATCCCCCCTGGGCATGTATCTTTGACCAACTGTATCAGCTTTTCTGGAGAAAGCGTCCTATCGATGACAGCCGTGGCTCCTAATTCCTTGAGATAATTCTCATATTTCAAGCTTGACACGGCTACAATATTATCGAAAATTTCCAGGTTTCTGGCAAGCTGAATCGTGAAAATCCCTACAGAGCTCGAGCCTCCCCATACGATCAGCGACTTTCCTTGATTTGCCTTCCCGATGTCCTGGAAGTCGACAAAAGATGATAGCGCGGAACCTGCAGTCACCAGAGCCACGCCAACACCAGCCGCAAAATCAAGTCCGAATCTCTTGCGAGAGATTCCATCAGAACGCACTTCGCGTGGCAGTCTCCATACGAGTCTTGAATCAAACAGTGTGAACTCTTGAAATGTGGATCTTTTGAGTTCCCTGTAGCATGTGCTTGCGAGAAAAACCTTGGCCCCAATCGGAAACTTGTCTCTGTCGACCTTTGCGCCTCTACGGACCACAATCCCACTAGACTCTCGACCGTTGATCCATGGGAACGAATGTATGTTAAATTGGTATCTCTTGGATTTCCAGTCTACATGATTCAAACCTGTGTATTTGTTGCGAACCAGAATCTCATAGTCTTCTAGTTTTTGAGGAACCGGTATCTGGCCTGAGACCATTATTTCATCCTCGAATGACGTGACAACAGCAGCTTGTTGGAATAATGGCAATGGTGCTTCTACCCCAATTGCAGGGCTCTTCTCCCTAACAGAAATTCTCTTGATGTGTCTTTCCTGAATTTGGGGGACTAGCACTCCACCGATATCGACGCTTTCGAAACTTCTCTTGTACATCTCACTACTGGCAGCTTGAGCGATCATAATGGAAAGACACTTTTCAGAAGAAGTTCTCGGTTTTCTGAATTCTTAAACCTCGAAAATGTGTTGGTCTTCCTAAGCATTGCCCAAATCTTCTGCTCATATCTTATTTCTTTCTCATTGGCCTACATTTACTGTCGCTGTCACTGTCCTTTATTTAGCATCAAGTTCTCGAAGACGTTGTGTCTTTTAATTTCGCTGAAAACAAGTCAAAGACAGAGGAAGTGGCACATGTAAACAAACAACAAGCCACGGATGAGAGCCCGGTAGGATGTCATTAGACGTGATCTGATAATGCAACTCAAGACAACTTCAGCATCGTTCTTGTATAATAAATAGCATTCTTGTGAAGTAAACTATCACTAAACTAGATATCTATCAAAACTAAAGCTTTGAACTTAAAGCATAGTCCTCCTATAGAAAAGACAGACCATAACCAATATTAGTATGACAATTGACCGCAAGACGAAGCGCACTTCCGAGCAAGAGGCCGATAACACCAAGAGAGCTCATCTAAAGTCTCCTAAGCGCAAGAATTTGATTGTAAATGCCTTCATCATGGGATCTGCCGGCAATCAGTCTGTTGGAATTTGGAGACACCCTCAAGATAAATCTGCAGACTTATACCAGTCTCCAGAATATTGGATGAATTTGGCAAAACTTCTTGAAAAAGGAAAATTCAATGCTGTGTTTCTGGCCGACGTACTGGGACCTTATGATGTTTACCAAGGTCCAGGCAACTTCGGTCCCGTTGCTAAAGCAGGATCGCAATGGCCTATTTCCGATCCCAGCTATTTCATCCCGCTGATGGCAGCCGTAACTAAAAAATTGGCGTTCGGAATAACAATTTCTACTATCAGCGAGCAGCCCTATCACTTGGCCAGGCGCTTGGGAACGCTCGATCTGCTAACGAATGGAAGAGTTGGCTGGAACATTGTGACATCTTACTTAGACAGCGCTTCTAGAAATTTGCTTAATGGCAAAACTCTACCTCCTAACGATGAGCGGTACGCTCGTGCTGGTGAATTCGTTGATGTTATCTATAAGCTGTTTCTGAGCTCATGGAGAGATGGGAGTTTCAAAGCTGACAAAAAATCAGGTGTTTTTACCGATTCTGATGGTCTCAGACACATCAATCATGAAGGCACGTACTTCAATGTACCTGGACCAGCGATCACTCACCCCAGTAAGCAAAAACTACCCGTCATTATCCAGGCTGGTACCTCAGCCAAAGGAAAAGATCTTTCTGCAAAGAATGCAGAGGTGGTTTTTCTTGCTAGTTTGACTCCAGAAGCTCTTGGCGCTTCCATTAAAGATATCAAACATATCGCTACTATGAAGTACAGCAGGGACCCTTCTAAAATCAAGTTCATTGGGCTACTCACTGTTATCCTAGGTGACACTCACGAAGAGGCGGAAACTAAGTATGAGGATTATAAGGCCAATTATTCTGATGAAGAAGGGGCCAAAGCGATGTTTTCCGGCTGGACTGGCGTCGACATTGACAAGTTCCAAGACGACGAGGTGCTTTCAAATGTTGATCACATCGCTATTGCATCGGCGGTCAAGAAGTGGCAGACAGCCTATCCCAGAGTGGAAAAGTGGACGAAGAAGGCCATTATAGAGGAGATCAAGGTCGGTGGAAGCGGTCCAGTTTTGATTGGAACACCACAAGAAGTGGCACTTGAAATTCAAAATTGGGTCGACATCTCTGATATTGATGGGTTCAACTTTGCGTACACGGTCCTTCCTCAATCATTCGAGGAGATTGTCGATAAGCTGCTGCCAGAGCTCGAAAAACTCGGTCTATTCTGGCATGATTATCCAGAATCCAGTGACTCTTCAAAGTACTTGACCTTCAGAGAGCAATTGTTCGGTGATACATATCTTGACAAGACACATCCAGCTTCAGACCTTAGATGGAGGGCTGATGAGTCGAGAGAGGCTTTTGAGGCAAGACTAGACAACAATTAAATCTGACGAATTTTTGTAAACTAAGATGTAAGTTGATGGTGTTCTCAATCATTTTCCCATTACTTGTCATTTCGTAGTGTCATGTTGGTAATTTGACACAATTAGTTCATAAAATTCAAGAGATCTTCGAATATAGTTAATTTGATGTAAAGTTGGTTTGGAAAACATTTCTCCCTCTAACCACTTACATGACTTTCACATGGATAGAGGTTTTATCAAGTTTTTCTCTATCATCGGTGCTTACATCTGTTGGGGATAGATCCGAATCATCGTCGCTTAACTCTCTTCTTAATAACCTCTTGATTATGAACGTCAGATTGGACCTCGATTCGAACAATGGATAAATGATAATCCACATTGCGGCCAGAAATGCCCAAATGATAAGAATGCAGACGTAACCCCGGAACATTTTCCTCGAGAAAATGCAGTTGGTCCCATACATCGATAGCGGGATGATAATGAGGAAAATGATGAATTGGGAGAAAACTAGAATCTTGGTGATCAAAATATGTTTCCTTAAATCCTTGACCGATTCTTGGGATACTTGAGAGAGCTCAATCTCAGAAGAGTCAGCGTCATCCGCAATTTGAGTCTCGAAATAGATCTCGTTCATTTCATGGAAAGACCAGTTTTGCGATTTTATTTGCGAAAGAATCCACACGAAGATACCACTCGAGAACACTGAAATGAAATTTCCGAAAGCCAATGGCTCAGTCAGAGAGAGGGAGTCTTTATCAACGGTTCCGTCACTCGAGTAGTGTGAAGCAGACGCCACCCATCCCACAATACCACATAGAGTCGCCAATGGCACTCCGACAACCAAAGCCAGGGTATTCATTTTCTTGTAAAAAAGCATTCCCAGAAGTCCAAAAAATGCCGGTCCAAGTACGATCCCAACAAAGCTGAATAGCCATCCAAGGGTGACCCCGATGTAGTTGAATATAACAGCAAGTGCTCCCATGCAAAGCGAAAAACCGATGACGTTTAAGTGCGAAACATAAACAAGGCGTTTACCAGAGGCTTCGGGGTTGATGTAAGTCTTGTAAAAATCGTACGTCAAAATCGAGGAGCATGAGATAAGTTCAGCCGACATTGCTGATGTTGCTGACATGAAGATCATTACAACAGCACATGCTGCTCCTGACTTGCCAAAAAATGCCTTCATAGCATAAACCAGCGAAAGACCTCTCCCTGCCTCCAAATCGGTCAATTTGTTGGGATATGTGAAAAACTCAGGGTTCTTGGTTAAAGCAAGAGAAGCAAGCCCCATTGAGGTCCCCAGTGCTAGTGGAATAGCCTGCCAGCAAAGTCCGCCCAGCATATAGCCTTTCATGACCTGTTTGCTACCCGCAGCAATGGCTTTCTGGGAGTATGATGGATCCATGAAGACTGTTGCCGCCCCACCCAATAATGTGGTCCAAGCGGTCAAAACTATGTCTTTGTTGGCAAATGTGAGGTAAGATCCTTTGGCTGAGGATTCCAGAGGGAAGGTTTTCGCCATGTCATTCAACAAATCAAACATTTTATCTGGAGATCCGATCAGGTCTGAAGTGCAATAAACTGTCACGATTGACAAAAGTACCATTATATATATGACAATCGTGTGCGACCAGTCGGATAAAAACGTTGCTTGTAATCCTCCAAACAGAGTGTAAACGCTAACGCTTACTGGCAGCAGAAAACAAGCCGCAATTACATTCATCCCTGTGGTGTATGCGATCCCTTGCGATCCGCCTAACAATATCATGCCTGACACAATCACGTTTGTACCAAGAGAGTAAAATAAGTAACAGAAATGGCCCCATTTACCAAACCTTACCCGAGCTACCTCGGCAATTGTGTGAATTCCAGGACATTTGAGTTTGATTTCTATTGCTACAAGGGTGAATAGAAGTATTTGAAAGCAACCTGTAACACTATACCAGTATGCCCCTGCAATTCCGTAGGAGTATGTCCATAAATTAGAGGTCAGTAGTGTAGCTGGCCATGTCCATGAAGAAACAACCGCTGAAGAGATAAGTCCCTGCTTCACGTTACGGGAAGCTGTCGTGAATCGCTCGGAATCTTGTTTTTGATTAAAAAACTTGGCGATTGCCCACGATATCAATATCATGAGGGCACTAAAAAGGGCACCGAGACCAAGTACGATGCCATACCCATAACCTTGATTCAACACGAACTCACTCATGATTTTGGTGAATTCGCTTGGCTCTTGAGCTGAGTCTTGACGCAATTAATGCATGCTTCAATGAGTGCCAACTTTTTATAGCAATTGTCGAAAACCATATGCCAAGAACGCCGAGAACATTTTCATTGAGCGTTAGCACAGATGTGATGTCTTTGGGTGAAACCTCACATGAAGTCCGTTTTTTTGTCTTCGATGTGGTTTTTGGGCTCATGTCGGTTGAACTTAATTACTGTGGTGTCAACGTCTTATTGAAGACATGCGTAAATTAGAAATTCATTAGACCTGCAAAGACACAACAAATATTGGAAACATTGGCTTCAAAACCTCTGGAAGGGGCAAGGATGGATTCGCAAATAGCGACAGGGGCCGTAAATCCACAATTGTCAAGTCGATTTCGAAAAACTTGGTAAAAATGCACCCAAATGTGAGCGTAAAAGTGAAAACAACGCGTCAGGCGTTTTTCATGTCCACTCTGATTCGCTGGTCGAACTTCACTTTATATGCACAAGGGGCGACGACTCAATGAGTTTTTCAAAATTCTCATCACTGTGTTGTTCCAACCATTTAATTTAGCTTTCTTATCCTAAATCTTGACCAATAGAACCTCACTATGCATTCTTCTTACAGGCAGTAAGTTTTGCATGAGGTGTAATGAATTCTTAAAGTCTCCATCATATAAATTCAAGAACTGGAAGTTGTTCATCAGGATATTCAGTAGAAATCGTTCTTCGCCGTTACATCACTTGGCACCTATAGTAATGACACGTTAAAATGTGCTGAAAAGAGAATTCTTGGGTTCGGCTATTTTGCTTCGGATACAAAATCCATCGATTACAGGATGAATCAACTTAACATCGAGATCTTGTAAGTTGTTGAAGCATTTAAAAGAATCAACGCGCTTAAGTTAAGCTTGTAAGGAAGCTATTAAATATCGAAACTTTTGTTAGTTTGGTGTCAAAATACATTAAGCTGTTATAGTTTCGGTCACGTGATATAATGTCAGCGTCACACTGAGAATCACTCAGTTGGAATCTGGTAGGACAACTCGATGTTTGTAAAAGAATACGTGAAAGAGTGGTTTGTACAGCTTGACCAAATGAACAATGATGCATGACTATTAATTTAGTATCAGTTAGAACAATACTTCAACGTTAAGAACGCACGAAATTGTGGCCAAAGATTTGCAATATGTATGTTCTCAAGGTATTCTGTAAATAGAGTCTCACTCCCATTATAATCAAGATTCAATCCAATAAAGAGCCATATCATGATTGCCAATACAACCAATTTTTCAGTCTATACTGATCTTATATCTTCTTTTTATTCTAAAGAAGTGTAGATATTTTTCAATTTTTCAGTTTTTCTTTTCCAGTGGATGTTGGCCCTTTACAGCGGGTAGACAAACTGGTCGTTCTCCAGATCAGTGAGGTCTAAAAGCGCAATGTTACCCTTTATCGTAGCGACAGACTCGGTGTCCCCGTTTTTTATAAAGCCTAAAGGCGTATCGATGTTCGAAAGCGAGCTTCTCTCTTTATTTCTTCTAGCCAAGATGAACCGAATAGCCAGCGCAACTCCCGGAGCCAAAATAAATGCAAACACCATTTGAACGATCCAAGCGCGATAATATCTGGGGCCATCGTTACTTCTCCAAAGCTGTGGAGCAATAATATTGGCAATTCCATACCAGAACATGATCAGTGCGTTCCTGGTGATTTTTTTCGTGTGTCCAGAAGTTGAGGTGGAAGTCCAGCTAAACATCAGGATCCAAGCAATTCCTTTGGGAGCACATATGCAAATCATGGCCAAAAGTGCATACTTTTCGTGCCAGGGTAGAGTGACCATTGCTATGCTGCCTGCGAGTGGAAAGAGAGACCAAAACACCACAGAGTAAGCAGTGGAGTTCTTTTTCTTCCGAATGATTATTGAAGCTATAATGGCACAGATCACCGCAAATCCACCATATGCAACAGATACTAAAGTAGAGCCCAGAGTCGATACTCCAATTTCCTTGAACAGCAGCTTCTCTTGGTAAACAAGGTTGTTCGAAAGCTGATTACAGAAAAAGAAGGCACAGAACAGCCAGGAAACAGGGTCCTTCAAGGCCTCAATAACTTGGTGCTTCTTTATAACTTTTTGCTCAATAGAGGAACCAGTTGTCTTTTGGACCCTTCTAATGACCCAGACTTTCTCCTTAACATTTAAGAAGCGCGCATCTGAAGGATTGTTGGGATACAAGAGAAGAACCAGGATCGTGACAAGCAGACTTATGGACGCGATCACTATCATGAAAAGCTTCCAGATCGCTATGGGTGGATTAGCGTGGAGAATCCCAAAAGCGATAAAGCCGATGACTATCTCGTTCCCCAGACAAGTTATATAGAACAAAGGAGCAGTCCAGCTCTTTTCTTCCGCAGTTAAAAATTGACCCATTGTGACGTTGAGAGCCGGAACGGCTATTGCCTCGACGAAACCGAGAAAGAAACGGAGAGCATAAATGCCCTGGTAAGTGGTTGCCACGGTATGTAGGTAAATTATGAGTGACCACAGAAAACTCAAAACAGCCACTACGCGACCAACAGGGTACTTCTGAAGAAAATACAAATTTCCCTGGCCTATGATGTAGCCCACATAGAACAGTGTCGTGGAGTTGCTGTACTTGTTTTGATCCATATTAGTGTCTTTCCACATACCGAAAATCGAGGTATAAGACGCCGTGGCCTTATCAGCATAGAGCACGAAGTCGATGAGGGCACATAAAGGTACAATGATCCAAACAACGTTTCTGGAAAGACGTCTTTCTTCAACCTCACTGACAGCAGGAACCAGTGCATCATTATCGACCAGAAACCCAAGCGTGACATCAGCGTCACGTGATGTAATGACTTTGTCTCCGGTATGGTTACTACCTTGACTTATTTGGTTTTCCACAACATTAACTAGTAGTTTGTCTGCGTTTTCAGAAGACAAGCTATCGGAGGTGTGGTCAGAGGCAGAAAACGACATTGATGAGAAGCTCTCAATGGTGCGAACTGTAGGGGTTAGTAGCGTATCAAGCTGAAGTCAATTCCAATACACTTTGCATGTAATTTCAGCTCTTTTTGTAGTACAATAAACATGCCGACCGATGGCCCGTTCAACTTCCCAAAGAAAGCCACTTGCATGAGCGCAGTTTATCGGACGCTCACGGTGTCTTGACATGTATAAAAAGTCATCTCCACAAAGTCAGAGTTGATTATAGTAGCACACCCACCAAAAACATGGAGGATTGGCAAATCCATCGAAAGACAGCCAAAACAATGCACGTCTTTCTTAGCCATTGTTTCCTTGCATTTATCGTCGGTGTTATAATCTCATTTTGAGACCGATGGAGCGGTGCAGCTAGCAGCAACCACCACTGTCACAATCAAAGACAGCGCTTGATATTTTCAACTTGGGAATGATAGTTCAGAAATACTCTTTTGAAGACGCCCTTTCTTCACCAAGCTCAATTTCTTGAGCTCTCGCCATGAGGTTCACACGGAATTGCATCGCCCTTGGTTCTTGACGCTTTTCACGTTCAGTACCATTGAGAGAGACCTTAGTTAACAGATTCCTTTCCATGTTGGTTTCCAATTCTTATCTTGGTCGACTTATCTGACATTGAGCTGTACATCACTGAGTGCGTACGCATAGATCACCTTGTCTATTTGGAGGCTTCACACTTTGGCTACTAAGAACATAGTCACGAATGCCCTACCTTACGTTTTGTAAAGTTTGATTACCGTTCGTACGCTTATAATTGCGACCCCAGATTTATATTACTCCCGTCGCTTTGGAAGTTTAGGCTGCACGCAATGTAAGCTATAGGAAGTTTCCATATCTAATTCAAAAGCTTCAAACTTGAACTTTTCGTTTGGCTTAAGTCATATTCTTATAACAAGTTTACACTCGTTATAACGAACCGGCTCACCTACTCTGAAAGCTCACATATTGGACCGTTCAACTTTCGCGATCTCGCAATAGTAATAGTTTCTGTCTACTGCCACGTAAGTGGAATCTTACAATGAATTATACCACAGAACACCAACCTTATCGCTCCAGGCTTTACTAATCGATCCTTTAGTCGAACTGAAGGGCACATATGCAAATTGACACGCATGCAAAATCATCAGCTAACATCAATTGGTGTTTCTTGTTCGAGCATGAATCACATAACAATATAATATTGTTTACCGGCTTCTGCGTACTTCTCATACCGGATGCAACCGTCCCACTTTGGAAGCAATCATTTGTAGATAGATAGCTGAGTGCTCTCAGCTGCGAAGCAGTTCCGGGCTTCAACACATCATGTCTTACCTTAAGTGTCGCATGGTTGAATAAACTCTTGAAGTAAAAGAATTTAGAATATTCTTTATATTCTAGCCCATACTAGTGTGTGTTCGCTTGAACACCATAGAATCTGCCAGCTCTTAGCACTGACGTCGAGTTGCACTGCTAATGCTTTAACCAATATAATCAGCTGATCTCTTATGTTGAGCAAACGAACCGCGACGTAGTTGAGATGCTGACAACGCTCCATCAAGACTAAAGAAACAGAATACTTCTTCCGGAGTCCATTTCGGTCAGCAATATCAAAAGTTTTACTATACACGCTATATAAATTTTACTAAACATAGAGCTGAGCCCGACTTACACCTGTGATCTTTTAGCACATAAATTATTTAATTACTCTACTAAGCAATTGATGCGGAACGCTCAATTACTTCTTCTTATTTCTCATTCAACTGCTCTTTATTGGCTTCCTTATCAGCCACAGGCTGCTTGAACCCCATTCTTTTGTTCGAAGAGAAAATACAAGCGATTGTTGCCAGAGCGGCAAGTCCGAGCGCCATCCAGAAGACATCCTTTATCGCCTTCATGAAAACGCGAACTTCAGCCGAATCTCTCCCACCATAATGTGTGTACCAGTAGCTTATGAGCTCGTCAACCGAATCACTGTGAGGTGGTGGCGAATGCATATGCGAAAGCTGATTATGCACTGAAGTTGTGAAGACCGTGTTCGATAAAATCCCGCCAAAGGCTGTGCCAAGCATTTTTGTGAAAGCATTGAAAGTAGTTACAGAGATGAAATCAAACCTGTAAAGGGGATGGTCCTTAGGGATCTGAATCTGGGAACTCAGCATGGCGCCATTCTGAATGCAACCAAATGAAACGCCGGGCAGGATTAATAGACCAATCTTGGCCGAATTGTTGGAGTTTGGGCTGAGTAAGGTCAATACCCCTGATCCCACAGCCCCAACTATTCCTCCGACAGTCAAAACAGCTTTGACCTGACCTGTCTTCCTGAGTATTGCCCCACAGAAGACTAAGGAAATCACAGTGGCAATAACCGGGGCAATCAGGTGGATACTGGCTTTCCAAGGTGTGTTCCCCCAGACAAGCTGAAAGTACTGCACAATGTAAACAATCTGAGAATTGTAAGCGAAACATGTACAGAAGGTGGCAATATTTGGAATCAAAACCCCCGGTTTGAAGATCACTTTCCAAGAGAGTAGCGGCATATATGGGATACTCTCCGTTTCGGGTTTGATTCTATCAAAAAGCACAAAATCGTAAATCAAACCAGCAAGTACGAGCACAATGCCCACTACAAGATAGGCAATAATTGTCCCCGAGCTCCAGCTATATTTGCTTCCGCCAAAAGTTAATCCAAGCAGAACAAGCGTGAAGCCAGCAGAGCAAAATGCGAATTCAATGAAATCAAACTTGAAAACCGCAATGCGTAATAGCTTGCGATAAAAATCCAGTTTCAGCACTTGGCCATACGGGGCGTTTTTTGCCTTGGTTAAAAAGTTTTTGAAGTTCTCAAGGGTGCTTTCACGATCTGGATTGTAGGAAAGCAGGAAAACAATAAAGGCTAGTCCCCCAATTGGCAGATTGATGTAAAAACACCATCTCCAAGTTACATGTGTAGCAAAAACACCGCCCAGAAAAGGGCCCACAATCGACGCGATTGCAAAAGCACTGCTCAGTATGGATACCGCAGTGCCTCTTGTGCGATCAGTTACCAGTGTTGAGACTATCACAAAACACAACGTTTGAAGTCCACTGCCACCAAAACCAGCCACACACCGTCCAGCAATAAGCATGTTCATGGATGTTGCTAGGGCGGAAATCAGCGATCCGATTTCAAAAATTACAATTGACAGGAGCATAGAGGTTTTACAGCCCACCACAGTTGCGAGCCGGCCCCAAAGTAGACTCAAAAGCGCGTTTGGCAGATTATAACCGGTGACAAGCCATCCTGTCAGACTGTAACCATTGAACTTGGCAGCGACTGTTTCCATGATTGTTCCCACAATCAGAATATCCAGCGCAGCAAGGAAAAGTGACAATGCCAAGGATCCAAAACAAACGTAGAATTCGACGCCTGACAATGGAGCGATGGCCTTTTCAGGCTGCTCTTTCTCATTGTTATTAGCACTTTCTGAATCTGCAGTTAGGTCTCTCAAAACCAGTTCTTTTTTTTCCTGACTGTTTCTCTTTGATACCTCCTGCGATTGCATACTTTCCAAGTCCTCTTTAGGAAGACCGGTGCACGACGTGGCCGTTGGCTTCAGTGTTAGACTTCCGCTCATCGATGACAGAGTGTTACTTTGAACTAAGTAAAAGTGGTGATAAAAAATAACAGAATCTATAGTCTAGACTAACCTTAATCGTGGTCTAAAAACTTAAATACTGCCAACATATTGGTGACTTATATACCATCAATTAATTGTGGTTTTGTTTCTTGGATGAGTTTATCTGTGAGTTGTGCGACAGAGCAGACATGACATTGCTTTCTATCTTTATCATGTCCGTAAATTTCCATGAAAATTAAGCATTTTATAAATCGACCGGATATGGCCTACAAGGGCACAACACACCACATGGTGCGCAGACCTTGGTATGAATTAGAGAACTGAACTGTGAATGTGAATTAATTAGAATGGAATGCTCTAGAAGCTTTGGGATACTGTTGGTGTTTCGGGCTTCTTGAAGCGTACTCGGGGAAACTAAGTTACTTTGAATACAGATTGCCGAAATGCCTCCCACGAGACCGCTTCCCAGTCAAGAAAAAACCTTGGAGGCCTTATGTTTATTTGTGTTTAGAAGCATCTTTGCAAGTCTTTTCTCGAGTAGCATGGAGAGAGTGGAAAATTATTTTTGGAAGGAATGTTGCTTTCTTTACCATGGAAATCGATGATTAGTGAGGTTACCCACTCACAATTCCTCAGGTCCGGAGTGTACGGCTTAACAGATAGTGTTGCAAAGATACTTCTGCTTCTTCTGGATCTATTTCAAGGAACGTACTCATCAATCACACGGAAACCAAATGGAAGAAAAACAACTTGCAAGGGTCGGGTCAGATTCTGATATTAAAGCTTGGCCAGCGGACGTGTATCCACTTTCCATGTAAAGCTGGGACAGCAGAAAATAGTGGTACTTGGCGTTGAAACACTTCGTGACAGCTTCGCTTTTGTCTTTAAATTTAGTGTTTTGCCAAGAACTTTACATTCTCTCTCTGCCCTTGTTATTCTTGGCGCATATCTCCAGCAGTCTCGGACTTCTGGGTCACGTGATCAAGATGTGGGGTGGCAAGTTCTCGAAGCCAAGGTTCGAGACATGGTACGTACATGAGAACATTTCTCGAGACTTTAGAGGAGGAACGCATTTTCAGCTAATCGGTTTGCACAGAGAAAGTCATTGCTCTATAAAAATGTCTTCCTAGAGACAAACGTGCTCCGCTCAGTGGCCTGTGTCTCGATATATGGAAAATGGCCAACGAGTAAAATATCGACACAGCCGTACACAATGACCCTGGTTTTCTTTGGACCTCGAAAACATCCGAAGTGTAGGGCTACTACGCTTTTTGCATCTCGTTTTCTTGACGTGAATCAAACTCAAGATTTGCCCACATTCTATTGTGCGAAATTGTGATGCTTGATGCTGTAAGAGATTGTGGCTTGATTATGTGCCTTTTGAACTTCCTTCCAGCTAATTTTGAGCTAACGAGACACCTTTCGAGCCGCTGTGAGAGTTCCAGCTGCTTCCTTGCATTTAATTCGGCTTCTCTTTCAATGGGTAATTCGAAGCACCTCGATTGTACACTTCGTGCCCAAAATGTTACCGACCATGGGCTAATCTGGTCATTCAGACCACCAGCGTGAGAAAATGCTGCCTGCAACAAGGCATTTGGACATTTTTCTCCTCTTGGGCACCGTTTCGTGATTTTTTGCAAGAATTTAGCCTTCTGAAGCTGGCCAACCTATTGCCTCAATCAGCGCCTTGCTTGCTTATCCCATCTTCGGCAGAAATGCGTTCAATTTCTAGCTCAGTTTCCACCCCTTTTGAATCCTAAACAATTGGTATTTTAATGAAAGTGAAATGCAGGAACTGTTCAGTTTCTTCGTTCACCATTTTCATAAATCGTCTGGTTCGATATAAGTCTCATCGATACGTGAGTGAGAGATGTGAAGGAAACACCGCCATTTTTCTGGCATTGGTTGCAGCTGCAGGAGTCCTTGAGTTACCATAGCGATCAATGTTATCTATAAAACAGTACTAAAGCATTAATTAAATTCCCGGATCTCATTCCACACTTGGACTCATCGCTGTACTGTCCTGAGCATGGGCCTGTCGCATTGCGTGCAAACCAGGTCTAAAGCGCGTACCTGAAATAAGGGTTTTCTTTATCAGTCAAATCGGCAAATTCTAGGTTCTCGATCACGACTTCATCTGGACCTCTCTCAGCTTGCACTTTGTCTCGTCTTATGTTCTCCCGATAGTTGATTAGGAATAAAACGGACAAAGCCACTACGGAACCAGCGTAGCAGACCAACATGGCGATTTTTGCTCCCGTGTAGCTTGGCGCCTGAGACGGAATGAAAGTTTGTGGGCCCGCCAAGTTAGAAGCGGCATAAGAGACCAAATTGATGGAAGAGACGCTCCATTTTTTGCTAAATCCCAACGTGTTGGAACTGATTATGGACAGCACGCAAATGAAAGAGATAGGATTGACATAAAGCAAGTAGGCACCAGCCAATCTAGCCTTCTTGGACTGATGAGCGAATGCCAACATGCACGTACCAAGAACACTGATGAGAGCAGCAATGATACCCCAACTCAACCGGTATTGCAAAAATGGAACCTTCTTACGTGCGCACACTACCGACAAATAACCAAATAGTGGGCATGCAACAAGCTCAACGGCACCGGTAGGCATTGTCATCAGTAAAGATTGAGAAGTGCTGTAACCGAAATCATTCTTGATCAAAAGGTTCATAAAGTTGGTTAAACCGCCATTGGGAATATTAGAACCCACTGAAAAGACGAAATACAACCAGGTTCTAACATCGGTGAAAGCCTCTTTTACCTGGTACCATTTGATGTTGTGATTTCCAAAACCTTGTTGATTGGATCTGATTCTTTCAACGACCATGAACTTTTCACGCTCGGACAAAAACCAGGCTTTGGAAGGGTCATCAGGAATATGGAAAAATATAGCAAATCCAACTGCTACTGTGATCAAGCCGGTGATAACGAACAATACTCGCCAAGCATCGATGCTGTAGCTATCCTGTCTGATATAAAGACCATAAGCCAAAGAGTTGGCCCAAATGGAGCCAAGACCGTTGAATCCAAACCACAGACAGACGCGCATGAATTGCTCTTCTTTTTTCCAGTACTGGGACGTGATAATGGTGAATGTTGGTGTCACCATGGACTCAGCACAGCCTAGCAAGACACGCAAAAGAATGAATGTGGGATACGTGACGGAGGGCACAGCGTGCAAGGCCAAAAATACACCCCATACCACAACGAAGACGGCAAGTGTTTTGGCCAGCCACCTGGATTTCTGGAAAATGAATTGGCCTGGTCCCATGTTGAAAAACAGATAACCAAAGTAAAATGCAGAGCCGACCCACGAGTACTGATCGCCATGCATTTTCAGGTCTTCACGAAGACCCATGACGGCAGCGGACCCGTTGGAGATTTTGTCCATGAATTGAATGGCGTACAGCAGGCAAAGTAGCGGGAACATATACAGATCGATTTTACGCACCAAACGGGCGTCTTCCTCGGGAGTGATCACGATGTTCTGCGAGTTCAGCGCCAGACGCATTGCGTCATCTACATCTCCCGTGACTTTAACCTCGCGCCCTGACGGTGACATTATGGTTGACAAGACGTTAGTAGCATCACCAATGTCTTCGCGGTTGTACGAAATGACCGTCTGCACTTTCTTGTTGCTGTCAGAGACAGCATCACTATCGGAAATGGAGCGACGGATAGTGTCTCTAATGTCCTTTTCATCCGACATGGGAGTCTATTGTTTGTTTCTTGTTGCTTGCGTGAGAAGTGGGAAAGTCTGGTATCTCAAGAGAACTTGATGATAGGTTAAACATAGCCATATATATATATATATGTACATTAACAGATATTTATGGACAGCTTAGCTTGGCCATCGCTCTAATCTTGAAGGCAGTTATCTCGGTTCCGCTGGAAATAAACTGACTCTGTTATTGTACTATTGACCAACGCAACGCATTTTTCGTTTGGCTCAGCTCGTCCTTCTTACTATCTGGCTTATCGATTGAGTGCTTGCCTTTGTTATCGCGATAAGCTTGCTGAAAAAGAAAAGTCAAGTGATCACACTACAAACAATGAGTTCGGCTTCGATTTTACGAGTTATCCTCCTCAATCCTCGCCATTCTTACTCAGAGTCAAACACGTAAAGTATTCGATACTTCTTTGCCTAGTCAGGGTCTATTCAGTATCGCTCATTGAGAATCTCGAATATCATGATAAGCTCGGTGATCTCCGAGTGGAATTTTCATTGTTAGAAAACGAAAAAAAATCATTCGACCTCGAGCATTACTTTTTCCATATAAAGAAAACTGGAGCTGAATTCCACTCAGACGTCGTAAAAGAAAACATTTTGAGTGCTCGAGAGAAGAATCCATGGAAAGTTTCTTCTTGATACTAAGAGATTGTCGCCTTAGGGTTGCAGACGCTATCTTGAACGCCAATTCTTGTACCCGTTCAGAATGATAGCATTGTCTTGGATCACTTGGTACGAACACTACACTCACGAGTGATGCCAGCAACGTCCGTTTCCTGCAAAATGGCTCATCAGTCAATGTTTTTGAGTTTTATAACGGGCGAGCGAAAATGCTCTTCGTTACTGTTTGCAAATGAATTCGTGTTTTACTTTTTGGTGAAATCTACCAAATGGCCGGAAATTCGAACATATTAATTACCACTAGGTTTGTCGTTAGCCACATGCTGGTAAATACTGACTGACATTGGAATTTCCTCAAACTGACATCGATAGTTACTGGAGCTGTTTGCTGTTTACCAGCTAATTTTCTGAAGACGTGTACACGACCATAAGATAAGCATTTGTTGTGTTGGTTCTCCTTGCCATGGGCAAAAAGCATAAACTGCATATAGCACACCAGTAGGTATTGTGAATGGAAGTTGACCAAACGTACGGAGTAGTTTACTTGGTAAACAGCCATCCCAGTGCCATCTGGTCGGCACTGGGTGAACAATGCAACTTTGAACTCCGAGATCGTTTCATACGATAATGGACGGTATTGACACTCCGAGAGTTAACGGAAATAAATTCATGAGTTGTTCTCTAGAGGCGGGCGGTACAACTACTAATACAAACCTGATTGAGCTTTCAGTATGTTTCCAAGTGCCATTGCTGATGAAAGATATTTTCTTCCTTCTTCAATAGCATCTTTGTTATCAGCGAAAAGTTGTGAAAACAGTCTATGAAAAAGGGCAGTTCTACCAAGTATCGCAATATCTGCTCACTTTCGTCTTTCTACCATTGGTGGCTCTTTTTCTAGCTTAGAACACATGTATTATCCATTTCTACCAAGATGATGGCACAACAAAAGACGTTAACAAAGGTTTTGAATCAGGACCATGTTTTCTCCGTGATTTGTGCGTTACATTCTAACACGTCACGGTGACCGAATTCGAGGGCTCCATTAGCTAGCTCGAATCAATACTTTTTGTTGATGCAAAAAGCTCCCTGACCATTAGCTTGTTTCTGTCAAGACAGTGATATTCACTGTCCTTTATAGCACCGGTTCCTTCGATGAATATTACGGCTTTCACACTGTGCCCCTGCTGCACATACATCCTTAACAAAAAGTTTCAAAACACTTTTGGCAAATGACGATCCGATTTGAGCAGTTGATTTCGTGTTCCCGTGGTTCATCGGGGCATGACACTAGAAAGTGATCATTCATCAGCTGTTGCGCTTGGTCGTCGGAAGAAATTTGAGCACTTCAAAACGTCATCCGTACCTTCATAGTGCCCAAAAACCTCGCTTATAATTACACTAGACTAATGGAACAGTACCACCGTCACCTCTTTTCTCACAACCAGCGGAATAAAGAAATTCATTTTCGCCAGCGAGCTTAGTCTTTTTGATGATTTGGGCACGGCCAAAGAGTGATCTTTTCATGCCTGCAACTATTTTGACGTCATGGCCTAATTGACGTAAACCTTCTATGATTTCACCTTCCAAATCCTCCTCGACTGACACTAAAGTAACAGGTGTGGAAACGGGACCGTTTGAACCTCGACCGCGATCTAGATGAGCGCAATTGGGGTGAGGCGATAGGCAGAATCTTGGTTTGTCCAAGGAAACCTGTGGTGATAGTTTGAACAAAATCAAGTTCAAAAAGTGTTGAACATGTCCTATTGGCTGCATGAAGCCTCCCATGTTACCAAAACTATAGAGCAACTCACCTGTCTTTGGATCAGTTATCATGGATGGAATAATGGTATGATAGGGTCTTTTTTCAGGACCTAAACAGTTCTTAGAGCCCTTTGTAAGATTGAAATTGGCTCCTCGATTGTGCATCACGAAACCCCCAAAGTTTCTTGGCACGATGGCGGATCCAAATTCCACGTATACCGAGTTGATAAAGGAGGTGGCATTACCATGGCTGTCGCTGACCGTGAAATAAACAGTATTCGATTGATTCAAATTTGCATCCGGGACACCATGTTTCATTTCCTTGCTATCCAAAATCCTCGTTTTACTGAAGAGCTTGGATCTGGCATTAAGAAAGCTTTTGGAAAGAAGTTTGGACGTTATAAGTGCGTCTTGATAGGTCGGGTCAGAAACATATTCATCAGCATCATAAAACGCGATTTTGAGACTTTCGATGAGTAAATGCAAGTACTCTGTTGAGTTATGCTTTAGTTTGTAGAGGTCTACAACACCGTCTTCGTGCAGTTCTTGGATGATACCTAGTGCAAGTAAAGCGACGAGTCCTTGGCTGTTTGGGGGTGTCTCCCAAATTCGATGTCCAAGAACATCTAGGTAAATGGGGTCAACAAACGTAGTTTCATGACTAGAAAGATCCTCTCGAGAAAGCAGTCCGCCTCTTTGTGCTACCTCATCGACAATAGCATCTGCAATTTTTCCAGAGTAGAAACCATCCTTACCCTTTTCTGCAACGGCCCGAAACACTTGAGCAAGCTGCTTGTTGATAACGAGATCTCCATCTTTAGGCGGATGGCGAGCGTTTGTTGATGGAGCAAAACAATTCAAAAGCTCTGGCGACCCTTTATTCTGACTTTGCAGGAAACTCCAGCATTCTTGTGTCAAATGTGCCGATATTTCGCTTATAGGGTGACCTTTCTCACATAAATCTATAGCAGGCTGTAGTACCCGCGCCAAAGTCACTTTTCCAGAGCCTAATTTAGTGAAAGCATCAACCCAGCCGGCAATGGCTCCCGGCACAATGATAGCATGGACTGAAGAACTGGGAAGCCTGCTGTCATTAGTATTAACCACCTGATTTTGAATAAGCCATTCGTGGGTCAGATTCGAGGGCGATCTGCCCGTGCCATTCATTGCTATAATTTGTTTGGTCGATGCATCGTGGTGTAGTAAAACACAGTCGCCGCCAACTCCCGTGGATGCTGGTTCTAAGGCACACAAACATGCCGAGACTGCAATAGACGCATCTATTGAGTTTCCGCCCAGCTCCAATATCTTCACGCCTGCAGCAGCAGCCAACGGCTGTGAGCAGGCTACGATGCCTTTAGTAGAATGAATCACTGATCCTCGACTAGAATTGAAAGACATCTTGAGAGATGGGTGGGAGTTCCCTTGCCACCGTTGGACGAAAAGATGGTCAAATCTACCTCTTTATTTTATATAGCTTCTTATCTCTGCATTGTCCTGTGTAGTTACTTATCTGCATTGTCTGTGAAGCTCTTACGTAGTCTTGGTCAACAGTACTGGCTGTTAAAGGAAAAGTTCAGGGATAGGCCGATAGAAGTGAATAGCTGAAGCTGGGCTTAAAGAATGCTGCTCGTATGGGCACAGAGAGAATGGCAAACTCTACGCATTTTGGATTGGAGAAGTGAAAAGCTTACGTTGCTGTGTGGAGCTCAGATTCGTTATTTGAAGCTGGCGTCAATTTGACGGTCATGTGACACAAAGACCACGTGACCGAGTGACTTTCTTTTACCTGTTTCCCAAGTCACGGGACTAGCAGTCGAAATACGATAAGATAAGATAGATAAGACCAGATTGATAAGAGAGCGTTTAATTAGGGTAGTTGACCAGAAACAGTCAGAGGAGTTATTCAGAAGAACCAAGCCAACACGGAAACTCAAACGTTTTGGGTAGTAGTGAGAGGAAGACTACAGTAGCGATTAATTGACCATACTTGTCGGCGACACAGTTGTTTTGCACCCATGATTTGGCAAGGGAGAGTGTAATTTCATTGATTAAATAGCACTGATGTCCGGGATAAGGCGATCGGACGGGCCAACGATTATGTATATATATGTATGTGCATGTGTGTGTGTGTGTGTGAGTGTGTGTGCGTGCGCATTTGCGCTCTCTTACTAGTTAGCGGTCACTAGCGGCGTTTTACCATCATCAAAAACCAGACATTGATAATCATTCCCTTGGTGAGTTAAGTTCACCAGGTGGTGACATGAAATCTACACGGTCTGACGGAGAGATCCGCCAAATTCTGAAAATTCAATGGTTTTTAATATTTTCAAGTTAGTTAGGCATTATATAAGCTGGCAGGGCTTTGGAGGTTCAAAACTCCGAGTCTGTGAGGGTTCAGTTCCTAAGGATCTTACGTCCTCGGGTGGTCTAATTAGCGTATTCGGACTTACCACGCAGTGTGGGGCCGTATTTGTAGAAGGCGAATGGAATAACGGCCAGGACGATGCAGAAAAAGCCGACCAACGAGGACCCCCATCCGACTGGGTATTTTTCGCTTCCCAAGTTGTTGTACATGGCTTGGCCGAAAAGAGGGAAAGCACATGCAAACACGGAACGGCAGAAACCGTTACTGGCGAATACTGAGGCCATGTAGCGTGGATAGCAGATTGCCAGGTACGCAAATGCGGCCTGGAACAGGTTGAACACGCCCAGCACGAAAAACACCTCTGAAATGATGGGCAGAATCCAGTGCACGCGGGCGGTCCAGCCAAACAGGAACAGCGATAGCGGTAGACACCAACACACCATCATGGCCAGCGGCAAAAAGTCCTCTGGCTTGAAAGTCCCGTTTTTGAACTTGGGCCCGATGTACATTGCCAGGTAACATAGTAACAGCACATACGCTATCACACATCCTACGCAGAAGCCCATGTAAGCCAGACCCATCTCTACCAGCGTGAAGTTGTAGATTCCGATGAACACAATAGGGAAGGCCTCGAAGAACAGGTAGAAGGCGCCGTAGCACAAGGCGATGTACAAGTCAAAAGCCAGCACGGCAGGCTCCTTCAGCATAACCAGGAAAGGCCGTACAAACAGCTCCTTCAAAAAAGCGCGCACCTCTATCTCCGAGTCTACGCGTTCTTGGCGGGTGTAGTAGCGGCTATCTCCGGTCTGCTTCCGTAGCCGCTTAGCGCGTCTGTGTAGAATGTTGTTATGCTGAGTCTCGGGGAAAAATGCCACAAGCAGAATTAGCGTAAAGGCGCTGATAAACATCAGTAGCCAGAACACCCAGCGCCAGTCTTTGGCCACCACCATGGCGGCTCCCAGTAGGGGCGCAATAACGGGCGCCGCCACGGCGCCCACGGCCCAAAGGCCGATGAAAACGGGGACGATCTCGGGGCTGATTATGTCACCCATGGTAGCACCTCCAGTGGCAAGAGATGGCGAGCACACAACACCGGCAATAAACCGGATCACGGCCAAACCGCCCATGTTCTGCACAGTGGCGGATCCGACCTGGAATAGCATGAATAGGAATAATGTGACAATGTATAGCGGTTGACGTCCAATGGTGACGACTTCCGATAGCGGAGAGAAAATGATGGGACCTAACCCGTAGCCCAAAACGTACAACGACAAGTTGAGGGTGCCGACCACGTGACCCACGTGGAAATCCTTTTGGAGTTGTTCTTGTCCCGGTGTGTAGATAGAAGCGCCCATGTAAGTAGTGGTAGTGAGAAGCATCATTTGGGCAACGACAAATGCCTTTTTACGGCCGCTCCAGTTGAGCGGGTTTTCTGGGTCCGAGTCACCGTTCCAGTCGACCAGGAAGGGGTCAATTTCATTATCTTCTTCTGCGACGGTCTTTTCTCCTAGGACCAAGTCCTCTTCCGTGGAAGACGATCTCGACACAACGGCGGAGTCCGCGGTCGCCGCGGCCGCCGCCGCGGCCGCGGGATCCGCGTTTTGCTCCGCTTCTTCGACGGCGGCCTCCAGGTCACGCTCGACGGAGGTCCTATCCTTTTTCTCGGACGTCTGAGAAGACGCCGACACAGCCGCTGTGGGCTGCTGTTGTACGAAGTTTGGGTCTAGCTTGACAATTCCTGCGTATTCCAACGCGTCCACTAGGAACGTGTTGCGATAAGCTTCTTTATAGCCCATGGCGTATGGAGTGTAGTACCTGGGTGATAACTTTTGTTCTTCTATTGGGATAGACAGAGTATAGATAGAAACAGAAACCAGATGGAATTGCCACCACTAGACTCGCCTGGTCTGGTCTACTTATACTCCATGGCCGCGCATGCCTCGAGGGCATCGCAAGTGATTTCAAATCTTCAACACCTTCGAATTGTTGGTCCGCCGCTTACCAATGTAGGTCCTCCTTGCCAAGGGCAACGCGATGAGGTAGCAGTGATATCCACAACGATATATGCAGGTTTTGTCATAAGCACAGGCAGGAACGCGGTGAATTGTCCATTTTACAGGCGTGGCGCGCGTTTACAGTGATGTCCGTGGAAACCCGAAGCATTTTGAGCGCACCTTCCACGGAACCTCGAAAGACTTGCTTAGTTATCGCGCACGCACTTACCTTTGGCCATGTGAGTCCGTGCTATTTCCGTGAAAAAGAATGGTCATTTGGTACGAGAGGTGTGAAGCGCCACGTGTCAGGGCTCATTGTTACTTTTTTTTTTCTCGCGTTTTACGCGGAGATACAACGGGGTTATTTTTTTTCCCTTACATGACAAATAGAAGCGAATGAGGGGTGGGCGGTTATGGTATCAGAGTAAAATAGAAAGGGTCCCACAATTATAATTACAAGATAGAAAACGTCAGCGATGAGTCGTGAACTCTGAAGACTCTAGCAACACTTCAAAAGGGAGCGCTCAGAGCGTTAGCGTTCGATCTTGAATCGTGGAGACTTGATCAGCACAGCTGGACCGTTCAAAGCGCTAGCTATTTGTTGTGAGTGCTCTAGGCTGCTTGTAGGACCTAGAGCAACGTTCTCCCGAGTCTTTCAACTGCTAGCACCAGAAAATATCTCTTCAAGCACACCCAAACAAGATAATGTGTACTCTGCTTCGCTTTCTCTTGTGTTTGTAAGAATCCACTGTTTATGATGGAGAGCGTTAGTGATCAAGTGTGAAAAACATATAGATCTACAAGCACAATCGAGGTAGTTAAGAGCATAAACGGTGTGGGTTGAATAGAGATGGGAATTGAGCAGTTTCTAGTTTCTAGTTAATGTTTACAAGCACAATCGAGATACTAAGAGCATGAGCTTAAAGGGTTGAATAAAGATGAGATTGAATAGTTTCTGATTAACTTTCTCTTCTCTTTTCTTCTCTTCTCTTCTCTTCTCTTCTCTTCTCTTAAGAGCCAGACAAAAAAATACGGAAGAAAAACTGAGAACACCAGCGATCAGTTGTGAGCGGTCTGAAAACTTTCTAATGCTGTTTCTATAAGCACTGAACAAGCTTGGGCATCTACAATGCTCGCTGCATCTCGATTGCTCGATTGCAAGACGCTTTTGGTTGGGAATGAGAATTGGCAATACGGACGGACAATGGAGCAAGAAAGAGCAGTTTAATCCCTATAACACTGGGCAGAATTTTGACAAACGGAAGCTTAAGTGAGTTACGGAGCCAGAGGGCTTCAGGAATCCGACCAATGAAAAAACCTTGGGAAAGTCCAGGTAAGAGAGCTTTTGATCCATTGCAAGTAATGAAGGTTTTAACGGTATTAGAGGTTCTTACGGGAGAAGAGGTTTTAACGAGAGAAGAGGTTCTAACGGGAGAAGAGGTTCTAACGGCAATCTCCCACCGTAGAGAGCGTTGGCGATCGATTGTATATTGTAGAGGCTCGAGTGGCGTAGGTGGGAACAACAAGTGCCATTTATCAATTGTTTACCGCAGAGATTTCGCAAGCCATGGACGAGACGCAGTTTTGGCACACACATAGGAAAGGATCCGCCTCTTTGAAGCTGGCGTCAGATACATGGCAAAAAGATCCACGGGCACGTGATACGTGACCGCGACAAGACTGACCCATAATCAGCTTCGGGCACCCAAGCTCCGAGCTCCCCAGCGCCCATGGTGCATTGGGCCCCACGAATCATACCACTCGTTGTTGTCAAACCGCCTCAATGCTACTGGGTGGTTTTGACACCCATTGGCGGTGTAACGATTCCCAAACTAAACCTAAAGGGCATGGTTGACGCAACCTATAAGAACATCTGCTGTACAGTCAAAAACAGTGCGAAGACATAAACAATTCGGCCACAAATTACATGAACAGTTACTGAATCTCAATGGCTTATGAGACTTCGCGTATGCAACGATTGTCGTATCACGACATTGTAGAAACTCGATCAAAGTCTCGCAACGAGTATAAACACACATCACTGAGGGAAAGACACATCCAATAGTTACACATTACGTTAGTGGCGACTCTTTCCTGTTGAAACTATTAGTTGTACTATGACACTCCCGTGCCAACAAGCCTGAACCCGTTTTCCGCACAAACGTGATCCAATATTTCTATCCTCCTCCGTCCGAGCGTACATCACTTTTCACATTTGCTGTCGTCCCTCACGTGATGGGAAGAAAACTTGGGGTAAATCGTGTAAGTCGCGTGATTCGGGGTTTTTCCATGACTACCATCATCCATCTGACACATACAACACTTGAAATGAAAACTTGAAACCAAACCCTATAAAAGGAGAGGTAAAACCAAGCACCTTTCTTCTTCTGCCATCTCACTTTTGATTCCCGAAGTACTTACACCGCCCAAAAGATATCTTTTTAGCGCTGTTCTTCATACTTTGCACTGATCATAAAGAAACACACACACACACACACACAAACTCACTAGCCAAAAATGGCAGAAAGGTTAACACAGATCAAAGATCACATCGTTTCCGCTGTATCGCCATCCATCACGGATTCTAGACCGGACGACGTAGTGGTCGTAACAGCATATCGCTCAGCAATCGCCAAGGGGTTCAAAGGAGGGTTCAAAGACGTGAACTCGGATTACCTGGTGCACCAGTTTCTGCAAGAGTTCTTGGAAAAAGCCCCAGCTGCAGTAAGAGAAAACAAGCATTTTATCCAGGAAGTCGCATGCGGGAACGTGTTGAACCCTGGAGCGGGCGCCACAGAGCACCGTGCAGCGTGTTTGGCCGCAGGCGTGCCCTACACCGCACCTTTTGTTGCCATCAACAGACAGTGTTCCTCCGGGTTGATCGCCATCAATGACGTGGCCAACAAAATCAAAGTGGGACAAATCGACATGGGACTTGCAATGGGCGCAGAGTCAATGTCCAAAAACTACGGTCCGCAAGCGCTCGGTAATGTGTCCAAGGAATTGAAACAGGACAAAAACGCCCGCAAATGCATGATCCCTATGGGGATCACCAACGAGAACGTAACTCAACAGTTTCACATTTCCAGAGAAAGCCAAGACGCTTTTGCCGCCGAGTCTTACCGCAAGGCCGAAAATGCCGTTTCTAACGGTCTTTTCGAAGACGAAATTTTGCCCATACGTCTGCCTGACGGAACCGTTATTTCGGTTGACGAAGGCCCTCGTAAGGGCGTCACGGCCGATAACCTGAGCCTTTTGAAACCTGCTTTCAATAAGGAATCCGGAACCACTACGGCTGGTAACGCCTCGCAAATTTCTGACGGTGTTGCGGCCGTTCTTCTAACAAGGCGGTCCGTAGCAGAGTCCATGGAGCTACCAATCTTGGCTAAATATGTCGCGTGCCAAGTGGTTGGGGTTCCACCTGAGATAATGGGTGTTGGACCCGCTTACGCCATTCCTAAAGTTTTGAAAGATTGCAAATTGAACGTTCAGGACATTGATGTGTTTGAAATCAACGAGGCCTTTGCAGGACAAGCTCTTTACTGCATCGACAAGCTCAAGATTCCTATGGCGAAAGTGAATCCAAGGGGTGGAGCTATTGCGCTGGGGCATCCGTTGGGTTGCACTGGGGCCAGACAAGTGGCCACCATTCTAAGGGAATTGAAAGCTGGCCAGGTCGGCGTGGTCAGCATGTGCGTGGGAACAGGTATGGGTGCCGCTGCAGTTTTTGTGAAGGAGTAGGTCAATTCAACTGCTTTCCGTTAGAAATTCCTTAAATAGCCGGTCTTTTTGTCTGTAATTAGGACTGCTCAATGTAGGCCATTGAGTTATCAGAAAGTTGAACTGAGATAACAAATGCTGTTTTTTAGAAGACATCTCATGAGCTTTGCTGTTAAAATTGTTTACAATGTTGGCCAGTTCTTCTGCGTGCGTTACTTCTTTACCTTGGTTGTCATTGGGGTCTAATTTGACCGGCTGCTGAGGATAAGTGAAGGGGATCGTTGCTACCAAAGTATACGGTTCGGGACTGAAGAAGTGGGGCATCACTAACCCGTAAGTCGTACTATTTTTGCCTTTTTTGAAAATTTTGAAGTTTTGTTCGCCCAAGACGTGTTGAACTTGACGTATTTCATCCTTCGCCTCCTTCGACATTCGGCCACTTTTGCCATTTTTTGAGAAAGCCTTACTCTTTTCCCTTATATCTGTAATCCTATCGGTCCCAACTGGTTTCTTAGGTCCTGTCAGCTTGCTGCTCGCATCTTGTTCGCGACGAACATTCGTCTTACGATTCGACTTCGGTGCGTTACCACTAGTTTCTGTCTTCGTCTGACTAGTCTCGCTCTGACTTGGTTTTTTTGTCCTTCTTGGTCTCCGCCGTCTAGCGGATGAAGTTTTAGCAGTTCTAACGTTCTGGCTCGGTTGAGTTTCCATTCTTGTCTGATGAGCTTTGACTGCGATGGGCTATATCTTATGAATAAACGCATCTATTATTTAATATAGTTGATTTACAACAGCTTACTACAAAGAAATTCAACTTTGGTTGAAGGTAACAAAACTATATCGTAAAGCTGATAGAATTATTCCATTCGACTGGCTAATTCCTCGTAGATCCTTCAAGATTTCTATCTTTCAACAGGTCTATTTCAGAATTTCAAGAAGATTGTATGACGACTTCAAACTAATCTCTGGCGTCTACATTAGACTCAACATGACGACGCGTGCTCAATCGTAGTGAGCTCTAACTTGAATAATCTGGTATTGCAGAGGCCATCCGTAAGACTTAGTGAACAGGCCTTGAGGGTATCTATTGGTTGGGTTTATATAAATTAGGAAATGTTGGCTGCTGAACTTGTAGATGCAGCTTTAACCACAACGAACGAATACTCATCTAGCGGGAAGAGATGTGAAGGTTAGGAATTTTAATTTTTGTTTTGTTTTTTGACGCTAGCAACACAGTCATCATACTGATCAACAGTGAAAGATGTCAAGTAGCAATAGTTGAGGGAGCAGTCTGTCGTGTTTGCACAATCGGGAACAAATGGAGAAAATCTTGTGGCATAATTCTCGTACATCTGATTGTACTCAACTGATTCGTTGACCTTGGACGCAACTAAGTGCCAGTATGTAGCATTCAGAGGAGCAGCTTCGGGCCATGTGATGTTGTAGCCCTCTCTTGAGGAGTATTCAAACTCCCACACAGGTTCCGCTCCATTGTTCGTGAAGGTTTCATTCAAACGAGTGTAGTAATTGTAGGCGTTCATAACAGAGAAGGTCTTTTTGTCCACGGAATAGTATCTCCACGAAGGGTTATTGTTCACCCAAGGCGTCACAGCCTGAGAAATCCAAGACGAAGCAACGACATTTTCTATGGTCTTGGCATCATTACCGGGACCGGAATACAAAATCTCGAATTGATCCAAATGAGTATGGCCGAAAAAGATATTGGCGATGGTGAATGGTGAGAATCTCTCTACCACTTCGGCAAACAACTTGGCAGGTAATGGCAAAGCATCTGCCGAAAAAGGTATATGAGCGATAATCCAAACTCTTTGGTCTTTGGATTCACTTTCCACCAGCTCATCCACCAAAAATTCAAATTGTCCAAAAGTGTCGGGTTCTGAAGCGTTCCAGTACGCGTAATGATTCTTCTTGTACCACACGTTTGAGTTCAAAGAGATAATTTTGAGACCCATTTTAGTCTCCACAGAAAAGCCAGTGTAATGCTTGCGAGCATACTGTGACTCTTTGGGCTCCAACCAGCCGTAATCTTCCCACAAGTCTGCCATGAGCTCGGCATTCCACGAGAAGTAGTTGGAAAAGCCATGGTTCTCTTGAGCCAGTTCACCGTAAGGGAATGTGTCGTGGTTACCCATGACTGGGTAAACAGGCACGTCGCCCAGCTTATTCTTGATGTCTCTAAAGACCACTTCTTCAGATTCAACGGTCACTTCGTAGCCCGTCAAGGAAAGCTCATCGTGGTCAACTAAATCGCCGGTAAAAATAGCGAATTCGAAGTTCAGATTGTTTTCAGAGCTGAAGTTGGCAATGGAATCCAAAGACGAGTTGATCAAAATTTCCGGTGCGTCACATTTGTAGTTTCCAAAAGTGGTGGCTGGAGACCAGATTGACTCATTCTTGAACACATCCAACAAGCTCCCCTTTGAAAAGCCGTTGTCATTGTAGGACGAGTTATAAAAGGAATTCCAGTCTTTTTGCGCATGTGAGGTAATGTTGGCTAAAGCGTTGCGAGACTGGGGTGTGCAGCACATACTCGAGGAACAGTTGGCCTCGCCACCGACCGTGTAGTCAAGTTCAATGTGGAAGTCCGAAATGTGCAGAACGTTGAAGGTGTCATTAGCGGCAGGAGTGGGTGCAACGTAATGTTTTGGCTCCTTTGGTGGCCATAAGTGGGAAAGCGTGACGTTGGGCGTCTTTGGCTTTGGACAAGCTGACTCTTTGTAGTTACAGTAAAGTTGACCGTCGTAGCCAAACGGATTCATCAACGATAACATGTCTGCAAAGTTTGTGCCTGTATAGCTGCTTTTCACTGTATTTCTGCTGAAGGTTGCCAGACACGACGAGTTCGACATGTACTTGGTGCGTTGGCACCACTCGGTGAACACACGAGGCACCAAGTCCGGACGCAACAACGACAGAGATTTTCCAACCGCCAATCTGGTGACACACTGGTCGCATTGTGAAATGTTTCTGCTTGAATGCGACAATGCAACCAGTTCATCGACAAAAGCTTGTGTAATACTGTCGTCAGCGTATACATAACTGAGATCCAAGATGTCCGACAAAACGTGGGATTCTGGAATCACTGGCGAGGCTAGTGACAGCCCATTGAGCAACACCAAAATAGAGCTTAGCAACAACCTCACAAGCATTGGTTTTCGCTCTCTAACTTCTTGTCCTGGTATAAAATGTAACCGACTTGGCACTTATCAAACTGATGAAGAAGTACCTTCTCGAGCTGAGGGTCCGTATATATACAAATGTACATAAATTTATAGATAAGTATATCTGTAGATCCACAAGAATGTAGATAATTAAGATTCAATATACTATTTCTATTTGGGCCATCGTGGGTCTCTTAACTTCGAGTTTTGATTATCGCTCGAGTTTTAGAAGATGTGCTTGGCAGTTATGTTTTCATAACTTTTTATAATTCCATTGTTATTTACGCTTAGATAGACCACAGCTAATTCCTCGAGGAATGGGAAAGCACACCACGTGTCGGAGTTTAGAACATTTGAATAAAGGAATAGCTCGTATTGGAAGAGGAATTTGCTAACATAACTATACACATTAATTATAAGCCGCGTGTCTGGTTATTGTATGCTAAAAACTTGATCTGCTGGAAAATACGTATTAGCCGGGATGCATTGTTGAAGAGCAGAAAAATTTCGCATTTCGAAGAAAAAACAGTTCGAAAATAGATGAATGTTATAAGGGGCTCGAGTATGAGTCGTAGGCCATTAATCCATGGTTCGAAGCTTGATTCTTAGCAGGGAATCACATAGTTGTAAAAATTACCTTGAACTAATGAGGTTTTATCATTATTGACGAGTGTGTCTCTATCGATGGTCTGGGTAACTTGTATCATTTTGGACGGTTCTGTCGTTAGCTTGATATCTTAATAAACTGTCACACACACACACACACACACACACACACACACACACAGAGTAAGCGATTATGCCAGGTTTTGGCTCTGCGACTCCAAAGAAAGCACTTGGCCCAGTAGCCACCTCAATTGCCAAAATGCTCAAATCTTTCACCATATCAACGCTTTCTGTGGCCTATATATTTCCCTGGTCGATAAGCTTCGACTGCCATAATCTTATAACCTCAATAATCGTCTGAGTGACCTTGGTTAGCTCTTCTGCACTTATGATGTAGGGTGGCATAATGTAAACCAGCTTGTTGAAGGGTCTCACGTATACACCTCTGGAAACAAACTGTTGATGGAACCACGCGGAGTCCACTGGCTGCTTCAGCTCCACGACCCCCACCGCACCAGTCACACGAACACTTTGAATGACAGAGCTCATAAGTTCCGTGTCATTTTTGAGCGCCAAGTAAAGTTCCTTAACAAGCTGTGCCTCGATATCATTGACCTGCTGGCGCCAATTTCCTTTCAACAGAATCTCCATTGACTTGTTAGCCGCACTACAGGCCAACGGATTTCCCATGAAGGTTGGACCATGCATAAAACATCCCCCGGTAGCACTAGCCGAATGTGACACTACGTCCTTGATATGATCAGCGGCGACCACTGCGCTCAGCGTCATATAACCTCCAGTCAATGCTTTCCCAACACATAGGATATCAGGGTAAACATCCACCATCTCCTCTTGCGCTACCCCCATCTTCTCCTGGTACGTTTTGCAATGATGAAAGGCAAACATCGCACCTGTCCTACCAAACCCAGTAGCTATTTCGTCCATTATTAGTGGAATATCGAATTTCGTACAGAGCTTCCGCACCTCGATGATGAATTGTGGATGGTAAAGTCTCATGCCTCCAGCGCCTTGCAAAAGGGGCTCCAATATCACAGCACATATCTCTTTGTGACGCTCTTCGATGGCTTTCTTGAAGTCATGAATGTCATGTTCATCCCACTTTACGTTCCCGCCAAAAATCTCGGGCGTCTGTTCGAAAACTTGTGAAGTTGGCAAAGTTTCCAACATACTAGGTGCAGAAACGAAAATGTTTTCTGGCAAGCATCCACTGTAGATCGAGTGCATAGAGCTTACGGGATCGCACACGCTCATTGCCCCAAAAGTGTCGCCATGATACCCGTTGCGGATTGTTAGAAACTTACTTTTGCTAGTTTTGTCGCCGCTTCTTGTGAATTCGTATTGCATTGCCATCTTCATTGCTACTTCTACTGCCACCGAACCGGAATCCGCAAGAAAACAGCATTGAAGCTTTTCATGGTCAACGAGTCTCAGCAACTTTTGAGTCACTTCGATAGCAGGCGCGTGTGTGAGGCCCCCGAACATAACATGCGAGACACTCTTAATCTGAGAGATCATCGCTTCATTTATTTCAGCATTGTTATAGCCGTGGATCATACACCACCATGAGGACATCCCTTCCACCAAGGTAACATTTTCTTTATCTTTAGTTTTCGCATCCAAAGTAATCGTGGCACCGGTTGCAGACTTGACAGGATACACCGGTAGCGGTTTACTCATGGAAGTGTAAGGATGCCATAGATGATTTTTATCGTATTCAAGCAGTTCTTGAACCTTTGGAGAATAATCGAATTCGGCCATTTTGTTCAGTTGACTTACCGTTCATGAAAATAAGGATCAACCCCAGCCGAGATCCTCATTTTCACTCCTTTTATATCTTCATGCAATGCTGGCTCGTGTGGCGCGCTTATCTTGATCAAGTCTTCATCGTTCAGATGATGAATAGATGCTGGACTTATTATTATGCAGAACAGTCTTGAATTTTGATTGAATCATGATGAGACATCCTAAAGTGATTCAGTTTTGTTGAACACACGACGAACAAACAGTGACGGATCTCAACACATTTTAGAGCACTTGAGCAATGTTGTTATTGTTGATGCGACCAGATATGAAAGCCGAAATAACATATAAGAGTGCAAAATATGTCTCTGGCCAGGACGTGTGAGAAACCTGGCAAGAAAACAAACCAAGTTGAACTGATTTGATGTCATCACCCATAGTCTTCGTTACCGGCACCGATACGGATATCGGCAAAACATTCACGAGCGCTCTGCTGGCTCAAAAATGGGAAGCCAATTATTGGAAGCCGATTCAAACAGGACTCGACAGCGATCCCGGCGACACGAAAACAGTAGCGGATTTCTGTAAGGGCAGGAAGCACACACCGCATTTCTTCAATCCTCGGTACGCCCTGCAGAAGCCTTTATGCCCTCTTGACGCCATGCGCTTTGAACCTGAATATGACATTCAATTGTCGGACTTCACGATACCAAAAGAGCGGGCAGACCAGCCTTTGATCGTAGAGGGTGCCGGTGGTATCTACGTTCCCATCACCAAGAAATTGGAAATTACTACTCATCTAATAAAAAGACTCCAGGAAACAACTCAAAGGCCAATTCAGATCGTGGTCGTTGCTAGGAGCGGACTGGGAACACTGAATCATACATTGCTCACTTTGGAGCACCTGAATCGGGCCGGACTGGAAAAACATGTAGCCGGATGCATTTTGAATGGCCCAGAGAACCCTGATAATGTTGCGACTCTCAAAGCTTATGGGGCTAATGTTTTGGCGGAAGTAAAGCATTGTTCCAGCGAGGACGACATTACTGCCGCTATTGCAGCAATTCCAGATCTCGCCACTATATTTCAATAAGATGAAAAAACCATTAGCTTGTGTAGAATTATGTTCTTCGAGTTTAACTGTCTTACCATATATATAAAGGGAAGCCTAAGAAAGGTATGAAATTAAGTAACTCGAATAGAAAATTGAAGATGTTTGCCAAAACTTCGATGTTGGTGAGAGCATGGACCTCAAAATGCCAGGATTTCCAGCAAGCTTGGTGAGGAACTGTGAACTCAAAAGCATGGTTTTAAAAGAAATTCTGTTGAAACATGATTCGGACTTCTGTAAGTTTTCGGGCGGCTATTCAAAAGTAGTTGGTAAAACAATCAAACAAAGCTAGCGATGACTACGGTAAAGACCTAAATTCAATTTGAACGAGATTACTCAAAATGCGCATTACTGAATTTGCTAAGTAAAGGGTTCGGAGATACAAGCTTTGGCATCAGAGACTTTAGTGTTTTTTTAACCCTTTCGCGCCGAAAAGATTCATGTTTTTGCGGGAGTAACTGTTGTTACAAAAATTGAAAATGTGCATAAGGCCTCCCTCTGAAGATTTTGGTGAGTTCAGAATTGCTTCTTCTTTCGGACTGGGACAAATTGGTGTGGGTTTACTTCCCGTGAATTTATTACTAGATCATCAAGACAAGATCAATCGTAGCACCGTTCCGATTAATCTGCTCATGATTCAAGAACCACAAGAACCCTCTCCCGAAGGCATTATAGTAAGTGGGGTCGCAGCAGGTCCACTCATGATTTAGCAGGCAGAGGGCTTGAAAGAAAATTAGCTGCAAGAATGATAACTTCTTCGGTCAAACAAATCCACGAGACCGTTTCCAAAGCTCAATTGAAGGTAATCGTACTGTTTGGTGACGAGAAACAGCAGCACTGACACACGTTGAACTAGACGTCGAAGTTTAGTATCACTGTTTGAGTAGTGTCACGTGCATTTCCTCAGTATTGTTCAAGATGTTGATGGTCTTCGCTTCACATTCCACTATGTGAAAACCGCTAATATTTACAAATATGTGCATCAACTTTACTGACACTAACACACAACAAAGTGGTATATTTTGTTAATCCACCTAGCAGCTGGACTGTACGTGCTCAAAGGACCTCAATTCACGTTTATGGATGGAGAATACGGCGATTCCTGGGAAAAACCGCACCATTATGATAGCAGATCAATATCCTTGGACGATGCGATCGACCGCGCTCAATCTTCACAGGGCCATAAAGCAGCCGCTGCCGATGCTACCGCGGCATTGGGCCTCAGTTTAGTAGGCGTCGGGCTTACAGAAAGAACTAAAAGAGCATGGACCGGACCTTATGTCTCAAAAGCCAGGAACTTTTCCACAAATGACGTCGGCCAAGTGAGCATTCGAAACTCTAACTCTCACAGAGTTTATGGCGAAAACGGCCAGCACGGGCCCGCTATAATCTACGATTCAAAGCTTCTACCTAGCAAAGAAGTCGTAGACAAATGTTTCAACGAGTTATTGAAAAGCAGGTCCTTCTTTTGGGGTACTGCCCGATCAGGGTTACTGAGTCTCAGTCATGAGCGTAAATGGCAACTTGTTTGCAAAGAACGTCGCTTGCAGAAAGAAAGTCGGCCTGCCGGAAGCTCCAAGCCATCGGGCGATGACACGCTCGTTGCTGCGTTAAAGTCAAAAACATATCCACAAAAGCTCATAATTGACAACTTGTACGAAGTGGAGAGGTTACTCCGGAGAAACGACATTTGCGAATGGTTTTTGCATAACGACGGCACACATCAATTGGAAGAAGCTTGCGATTCGCTTCAACTTGACGATATATACGTCTACCTGCGATGTTTAAAGACGTTGACTAACCACGGAAGTGGAAGATTGGCGGTGGCAAGTAACGAGAAGATTATTCAGTTCCTGTGTGGTACTCTGGCCCAGGAAAAAGTGCATCTTCGAGTCAACCTCTTGAGTGCTGAGCTTTTACTCCTATTAACTTTTGTAGAGGCTCACGACTGCTGCAGTAATATTTCCAAACACTTGGAGAGTCGATATTCAGCATGGCTTACATTTCTCGAGTGCTTACTCGAAAGCGGCTCTTCTATGGACGAGAAGAAATCCCCACTATTACCGGCTATAAAACCCCAACAAATACTACAGAATTATTGTTTGACTTCGGTGTTTCTCATGAATTCGATCTTGCAAGTGGCCCCGTCAAACTCAGAAAAGTTGAGACACATAAAAGCTTTCCAGGAGCTCAGATTACACCGCATTTTCCATCTTATGTCCAAGCTGGAGTATCAAGATTTGGCAAACGAAATAGACAAATACAGGTCAAACGAAGAGCGCATTATCTGCGAGACTAATCCTGGTTTTCCCGATCTCCTTGACATTTCTTATGGTCAGCAAGTAAGTTCCATTGTGCAGCAAAGCCGGAACAACCCTTTGGAACACGCGGTACATCAAGTTTTCGAAAGCTTGTCGCAGACTTTAATGACACGCACCATGTCAGATAGTTTGAAAGCATTGAAACTTTTCTGCTCGGTTCTTGATTACTTGAAAGACTACACCTATGGAGAAGATAACATTAAGATCGAATCGGTAATAAACTTATCGCTAGGTCAACTGGTGGACAACCTTCAGTCAGATGAGATTGCTCAGCGAGCTCTGGACGAATTGACTACAACACAGAAAAGCCTCGAAAACCTGGAGTTGGAAAACGAGACCTTGCGCCAAGAAAAGGATGTCTCGAAGGCAAGCATCACAATAGAGCTACAGAGGGCCAAGGACGAGATAGCTTCAAAACTAAAGGATATAGAATCTCTGAGCAAAGAATTGGAAATGAGCAACAAGCAAAGAATCCAGGATAAAACGGTATTTGATAAACTTCTTGCGAACAAGAAGGCGGTGCAACCCTCTAGAGCGGTCACCTTAGGCGCATTCGATCATATCAAGCAGAAATCGAAAAAGGACGAAATGCCGAAACTCGCGCGTAACCATTCGCTGTCTAAAAGTAGCAGATTCACATCGCTCTCGGACTTGGTCAACACCTTCAATAGCGACGCAGAATTAAGCCCTTCTCTTGCCGCCAAGCGAGGCGCTGTGCCATCCAATCCTGATGCACCGTTTAATAATTCAGATGAAGAAAGAGATAACACTTTTGAGAGAGACACTGTAAGCAGGGGTAATTGGAAAGGCGACTTCGCGGCTGCTGTAATCCCTGTTCCTCATGATAGTCATATTTCAACAAGACCGGCCATTGAGGGAAAGGTATTTTCTGAGCTGTCTTCGGCCGCCACACCCGTAAACTTGCCTTTGCGTCATCATTGCAGGGAAGAAAACATTGGGGCAGCAAATAACTCGTCAGGCAACAAACACTCAAAAAATCACGGATTATCTCCGGGAAATTCTCCCATCTTGCCGTCGACTTCAGTTGGAGCTCAGGACTTCAAGCAAAGTGGACCCCCGCCACCCGCTCCTCCATTACCACAAAGTCTGATTCCCCTCAAGCCGCCAGAAATACAAGGCGATATTCCAGGGGCAACCGCCGCGGCCGGAAGGCTAACATCTAGCTGTTCTTCGTCGGCGACAACAGTACCACCACCCCCTCCGCCTCCCCCTCCTCCCCCTCCTCCTCTCCCCAATTTTCCCAGCAAAGTGCCCCACAGGTTACCGCCAGTGAGTTCCAATAATGTGTCGAAAGAACCTCAGGCATCTTGTAATCCGCCCGCAGCACCACCGCCTCCTTCGAGCTTGGCTCTTCTCAAATCATCGATATCTACCGAACATCCCACAAACCAAATCCAATTGAAGCAGATTCATTGGGAGAAGATTGAAAACGTCGCCGACACAATTTGGAATCAAGAGGACGGTCGACAAGATGTTGCATCTCACTTGAAAACCACTGGTATACTCGACGAAATAAGCGAACTATTTGAAGTCAAGAAAACCAATTCCATGAAAGCGAGAACAGTGAGCTCGAGTGCAAAGGGTGCAGTTTCCATACTGTCCCGAGATCTCGCGCAGCAATTTGGTATTAATCTGCATATGTTTTCGAATTTGTCGGTAGACGATTTCGTTCTCAAGGTGCTTCATTGCGACCGAGAAGTTATCAACAATCAGAGCGTGTTGGAATTTTTCGCTCGAGAAGACTTGAATAACATTCCTCACAGCACGGCCATCAAATTTGAACCATACGCCACGAATTTCGAAACCAAAACACGGCCAACCCTTGATAGCGGAAAACTGGAACGTGCCGACCGCATCTTTTTAGAGCTTTGTTTTAATCTGAAGAGCTATTGGAGCAGTCGGTCCTCGTGCCTTTTGACCCTGGCAGTTTACGAAAAGGACTATTTTGACATAATGTACAAGCTGCAAAGGATCGACGACGCTGTAAATGCTTTGAAATCATCAAAGCGGTTTCAAGAAGCTTTAATGGTGATTGTTGAGATTGGCAATCACATGAACCGGAAGCAGGCTCCCGGGATCAAGATCAGCTCTTTACAGAAACTGGCATTTGTCAAGTCTAGTGCGGACAGCCATACTTCGCTGCTGCATGTTGTGGAAAGGGTCTTGCGCAAAAAATGCGGGGACGCTTACGGATTCGTGACTGACTTGGCCAAAGTGACAGATCTGGGCAATCTTGTGGTGGGCCAGATTGAGCAAGATTGCCAAGACTACTTGAAACGCATTGCCTCGATGAAACAGTCATTGGAGAAAGGTCGACTTTCTGATCCCAAGATTTTGCACCCGGAGGATCGTTTGTTGGTGAAGGTAGGGTCGAAAGTGGAGACTGCGACGCGAAAGTCTAACTTGCTGCGAAACCAGTGTGCACTGACGATGCGTGGGCTGGAAAATCTGATGAAGCTGTACGGTGAAGATGTGCGGAATGCGGAATGCAGAAACGAATTTTTACATCATTTTGCAAGGTTTGTGCAGCAGTTCAGGAAAGCTGCCAAGGAAAATATGGAAAAGGAAGAGATGGAGCGTGTTTACAAACAGCGTACAGAGCTTTTGCAGAGCAAGACGGCAACAGCCGCTGGCACACCTCGTCAGGGCCCAGCGTCGTCGTCAGCGGAAGAAGAGGATGAGGAAGGAGAGGACGACACCGTGGACGTTCTTATAAAACGGCTTCGCAATTTAAGTCATAAGGAGGAGCGAATGTCGTCGAAACGTAAAGCCGACGACAAGCTTTGGACCAGAACCCAGGACGTGCTAAGTAACATTCAAAAGCTGTGAGTGAGAGAGAGAGAGAGAGAGAGGAGGGAGAGGAAGAGATGTGTGTGACCACCCAGACATCTTGAATATCAACACCCAGACATCATAAGACAAAGACCACCCAGACATCTTTTGGTTTGTTTGGTCACGTGGATAAGGATTTTCGTCCCCTTAATTCTTTCTTTCTTTTTTCGGCATCTTCTCTCCTAATTCCTCTTTTCGTCTCGAGAGACCCTCGAAAAAAAATAAGTGTTCTAGGCCCACACCCCCTTTAAGTTTCCTAAAATGGGAGCAAACGACACACACAAACACACACACAAACATGCGCAAAAAATTCCAACACAATAGTTACGGCCCAAGACTAAAGACAAGGACGAGCGAGACCTACGTGAAAATAGAATTCTGGTCATGTGAGAACTTCCCAACGTTCAAGAACCGGGATCGCTATTCACGAAGAGCGAATTCTTGGCTCTCCCGAAAAACGAAAAATTAACGGAAAAGTGTTAAAGAGGAAGAGATTGAAATTAAACGGGCCATACACCACTACAACTACAACTATCACTACAAGAGCTAGCTGTGGAGTGAGAGAAGATCCAAAGTTGAGAATCAAGGATTCACTTGTGAAATACTCCAGGGGAGAAATTAACTGGGGACTTTTGGTTTTGAAACGTTGGGAACAGCAGTTGAGAGTATTGAATCAGCCTTCGAGGAAAGACCGCAAGAGAAAAAACGTCTAAAGGTCTCGAAGATAGACTCTTTTTTTTTTGGAAAAAGCTCTAATATTTGCAGAGCTTGGTTCTCATACAACGGTCTTGACGGTGCCAAAAGCTCCTGTTTCACTGTACAGCTTTTGGGCTTCTACAGCTTTTGAGCTTCTACAGCTTTCGAGCTTTTACAGCTTGATTGGCATTTTCTGCTTTCCGGCTTTCCAGCTTCCCGGCTTGGCATAATGGTAGACGGGGTATCGGTAGCAGTAGGATGTGCAGTAGGCATCCCGTGTGGGCTAGCAGTGGTGGTGGCTGTGGTTTTCTGGTCGCTAATGCAGAGACGGTTCCGAAAAGAAAGAGAGGAAGACGCAGAGTCCCTGAGCGGTGATGGAGCTATTAGCTTCAGAAACATGGAGGCGTTGCGGGAAGAAAGAAATATTGCAAGTGGGCGTGATGAGCAGGACGGAGACCTGGAAAAAGTCGAGGCAGTAGTACAGCACGCTGCAGAGGGCTCATCGTCCTCGGATCAGACACATACGCTAGAAAGCAGCAGCGCTGCACCCGCCAAAAACGAGAAAAACGAGAAAATCAAAAAATGGGGGTTCAAAACCGATTCTGCAACCTCCTCAAAATCAGCTAAACCCAACAGAAGAAATACGTATATGCCGGCATATCGTAAAAGACTCAACTCGTCCATTGGGTCCCTAAACACGGGCGAGCTTCGGACCACCAACGAAAGTTCTTCAACGTCTCTTGAAACTAAGCCCGCCAGTGTGCCGACGGTTAACGAACCCACGGTATTGGATCAGATGATTCCAGTTTTGGACCATCGCAACACATCCGACTCTGCTCTGGCAACAAATTCAGAATTCAGTCTTACGCACGACAAACACTCTAGCAACGACAATCTCATCAAGAACTTACAAACCCACGACTTTGGATCATACCCGAGAAGAAGATCGTCTGTGAACCTAAACAGCATGGCCTCGGCAAACATCTCAAGCAGTTCGGTAGTCACCAGGTCGTCTTCGACGCACTCCCTCGCAAAAGGTTCAGAAAACGTCTTTGATACACCCACCAACAATAAAACTAACAACGGCATACCGAATCAACAATCAACTACTGAAAAGCGCGATGACCGATCCCCAGAGTATGGTGAAAACGGTTTCGTGGATGCCAAACAAGATTACTACATGCTAAAGAATAACTACGACGTGAAAAACAAAAGTGAAATCGCAGAAGAGGACCAATACGAGAACGAATTCACAAACTACACTGAAAGCAAGCGAGAATTCATCAACAGCCTGAAACCACGAAAGCGTTGATGTCAGTTTGACTTGGGTTGTTATCGTACCTTACAAGCCGACGCTAGTGTAGATATATCGGCTTCAAGAAACACCTCACCTCATTTTGGTTCGTGTATGATATAAAGCCTTGTTTTCTATGGGATAAAGTGGGCACACAACGCATATTTAGTTAGCAATTGTATTCTATTTACATGGTGATGGAGAATCGCTTTCTTACAGGCTTCTGGTTCCCTCCTCGCTCAAAAGATCGATCTTCCTATCACCTACCGTCACGCTCCAGTCGTGGATCAAAAACTCCTGGTGCTTGTTTTCTCTATCTGCCACCAATTTTACGACTCCCTGAACGTTTTTAGAGCCTTTGATGTAGAATGAGATGTTGACCCTTCCGGCTACCTGGTTCAAATCTCCAAACACCCAAGGCACTAGACCGTCAAAGTCGATGCTATCTCCCAACAAATCTCTTATAGCCTGCGATCTACGCATGTGGTATAGCGAATTGGAAACAATGGGGGATTGCGTTTTCTCGTAGTTGAAAATGCATGCTAAAGACACACCGATGGCCACGACAAAAAGACCCAATTGTACCCGATTTTTCATTTTGTCCTTCGTGGGGTCCGGTAGTTCTCTTTCAATACGTAGCGGTTTACTCTTGTTCTTCAGCACAATAGGCTCCGCAGCTTGAGATGCCCCATTTACTCTGACTGAAAAACTACGGTATAGCACACCTAAGAGTCGATGTTGATTACCCATTTTGCTACCACTTTTGGCAGCTAATCTCAGCATCTTTAAATACTAGAAGTTTGGTTGTTTGATTCGAAGAACCGATCTTGATCAACGTTCAAATCGTTGTTCTTTTATATCAAGAATGACTTTATCATTCAAGTTCATCATCAAATTGGAAATTTTTGACGTCTTTCCTAATAGATGAAATATATTTAAGATATCTTAAGCAAGTTAAGCTGTTCAAAATCCTATACTTTCCACTAGGTTTGACAATTTACTATCAATTGTAAGCATCAGGATGACATTCGTAAGTAGCTTTGTATCGCCAATGTTCGCTGAACAAGGCTTCGAACCGGGCTTTTTGCTTGGAAAGTGGTGTATTTAGGATACTAACAAAACGTAACTTGGCAGATCGGAAAAGCAGTCCACTTTTCCATCGACCTAACTCTTCTGTCGGTGTGTCTTGCCGGAGTTAAGAGAAACACAGGTTTGACGCCTAAACTTGAGTCCATTGAGGATTCTCACGTTAGACAGTATATGGTAAAATACCTCAACCTAGGAGAGTCCTGTTACGACTACACAGTAGCCTCTTTGGGTTCCTCAAAGTATTTCGCTAGAAAGTAGGAAAAGAAGAGCTATTCATTGTACCATTCTGCACATTTAAGCCATTTAATATTCAAGCTTTGAAACGAAAATTCGCTGATTTTTACTGTCTGTTTGTCTGTTTGTCTCTCTCTCTCTCTCTCTCTTTCTCGTTCTCTTTCTAACGTTCGTTGTCTGCTTCATTCCTCATATATTTCGACTTCAATATGCTGCTTTGATATGCTGTATTTATGCTTCGGTACTTTTCGCTGTGGTCAACTAGGATTGAAAGGCAAGCCCCTGTGTACCGACTCAGGATTGTTTGTATAGTTACTGTGCGATGCTGATGATTCAGACGCTTTCGGCATCTGGGGACTTTTGCCAGTGCTTCTCCGCGACGAACCGGCCTGTTCTTCGTAAAAGTTGTAGAGGTAATCGTACTCGTCAAGCGGGCCTTCACGTCCAGAGTTGTGTGAGTTCGCAGCCGGAACGGCTGCAAGCGAACGCAGGCTTTCCCAGAAATCCAGATCTTCCTCCTCCAGCATACTGGACATTGTATTGCTTGTTCCTACGGTCTTTGTCTTTTCCCGATATCCAAAATTGTTTGAGCCGTCCACATCCTTTGGTGTCGCACCTCCAGAGGCAAAGCGATCCATCGGGGTGCTTTCCTCCGACAACAACCCCCTTCTTTTCTTGCGAATCTTGTTTCTGTGTTGTGGAGACGAGGGACTGTCGCTCGCCGGCCTTAACATACCGCGACTTTTAGCAAGCGAAGAAGAACTCAGATGTGGTTTCAGTGTAGGCGAAAGATAATTGAAATGATATTGTCTGTGTGGCGGAATTTCCTCCAATTCTGCTCCAGGTGTGGATCGCGACCCAATTGAGCTCCCATTTCCGGGCTTCTGGGTGTAGCCCGAAAGAACAGGGTATTGTTGAGACGAATGGTGACCGATCGCTAACGGATCCGACTCTTGGTCAAGAACAAGACCTGAAAAGTTGGGCGACCTTCCGAGAAAATCAGTTTCGAAAGGGCGTGCATTGTGCTGCTTTTGAGCCCTCTCATCACCGAGACCATATGGTGGCATACCGCCGAGTAGTTCATCGGTGAATGGAAAGCCTGTAGTGTTCAATGGATGATGGCCGGATCCAAAATTATTGTGTATATGTTGATGGATGGATATTGTCAGCGAGTGACGCCGCGCCTGTTGTATCAGTTCCTGGACAAGTTCGGAGTTTGCGATCAAGCCACCAGATACTGGCCCACCCATCTCATCAGTAAGAGTAAAGCCCCAATCCATTCGTGACGATGGTGCTTTTCTCTTATTTGTGACAGTCTTTTTGGCTTTTTGATCTGCCGCCGGCAATTCTTGTGGCATTTGTGCTGGACCTGTCCTTCGCTCTGGCAGTATTTGTTGTTGCTGCAGTTCGCCTGTTACGTACGAAGAGGTAGGCTGGGCGACATTGTCTCTTGAAAGTCCGGCTTGCGGTCGTTCGGGAAATTTTGATGGATCTGCATGAAGTGGGCTCAAGCCCTCTTGTTCGTATGAAGGCCCCATTTTGTTAGAATCTTGTTGGGGTTTTGATGTTGTGCTATGCGTTGGCCAGTCTTCTTTCTCTGGAGATTCTGACTCAGATTGTGAACTTGACGAAGAGTCATTTGAAGAGATATGATGCGCCAGTTTCAATGGCTTTTCCGGATCCTGAGGACAGCCGTTGGTGTCCTTCAAATTTTCGCCGTCTGGAGGCAATTGCTCGTCTTTCATCTCCTCCAGTTTAGCACGTAGACTCTCCCTTAGCTCATCTAACGATTGATGCGGTTCACTTTGAGATGTCCCTTGGACCGCTTTGGTGATTTCTTCAGACGCTTTTCCACGCATTATCATAGTTATAATCTTTCGCCATCTATTGCGACATGTAAGACTTGGACGCGACTCCATTTCAAGCGAAATTTTACGCCAACTGGTCCCGTAAAGTTTGACCTTACTGATGAGAGCCAAGTCCTCCTCTAGTCTCCAGTCTCGCAGTCTGTCTTTGGTGCTTGGGTCCAAAACCTCGATGTACCGTTTTGCACATTGGTCTTCTGTCCTTCCTGGTATTTCAGATGATACTTTAAGCCAGTGAGGCCCCCACTGGGCAAATGATCTCATCAAAAGCTCGTCCTCTTTCACAGTCCATTTTCCCTTGCGCAAGTTAGGATCTAGAGAGCTAACCCATCGTTTTCTGATATCCTTTGGTTTCCGTACTGTTCTATCGAAATGAGTAGCAATCTCATCCCATGGCATATTCTTGCATACGTCGTTAGATTGCTCGATGGTTTTCATCGAGTCGATACCATTTTCAAACCCAAACCGCACCAGAAGTTTGTTAACACAGCTTTTTAGCAGATCGTCTTCTTCCTTGCTCCAAGGCTTTCGGGCTTTTAATCTGTGAGTTTGATATCCGAGACTTCTGGTGACATCCAAGGGATCAATTTTGATTTTTTGGTTTTTGCCAAGAGCCTGATTCTTGACCATTTGAATCGACTCTGAGCTGTATCCAAGGTACAAGACTTCACACAATATTGGGAACTTAGATCAGTGTGTCTTGTAGAGTTGTTGATGGGTGCTCATCTCATCACCATTGAGCTCATCTCATCGACCTCTAATTTTCAATATTATACACGGAGATCTCTTTTCACGAATGTGCTAATTCAAATAAATGTTCAATTTCCTAGTAGTTACAACTGATCAGCGGGAGTAACCTGGTTAAGACCAGATCACGAAGCTTTTTGAACCACTTCTTGGTATTGCTTGGACGGTATCTAATCAAGCTATCTCTCCTTGATCTGGCGTTTTCAAAGCTACAAACACCATAACAAGATGTTGGCGGAAAGATTGACCAGACGTGAATGACATGAAACAACCAAAAAAACGGATTGAAAAACATCGAAGAGTATAAATGGGGTTTTCAGATACTTTTTGTCCTGTCCGGTTATGGTGGACTCGTTTTCGATCATGTGCATGATCCTGAGGAGAGTGGGAGCTTCCTTTGGGTTCTGACGAAATTTCTCTGCTTTGAAAGATCTTAAAAACAAGCGTAATTTGCGCGTTTTTCGACAGCTAAACATTCCCTTTTCACAAGTAGCCTGATGAGGTGCCCATATCGGTGGCAGATGAACATCAGCTTTTCAGTGATGTTTCAAGCGGTGTGAGCGGAAACGAAACGACGAAAGACTACTTTAAATTACGGGGCAAAACAATCACACTTCATCTATACGGCAAGACTCTTTCTTTTCTGGACTTTGGTGTGGCAGGGCGTTGCAAGTACGAAGCACTCATACGGGTAACAAAATTGGTTGCGTTGATGATGGCACTGGCGCCGTCAATGGCACAGTATTTCTCAAAGGAAAACCTGGTTTGCCTTGAGATCAGGAGCATCTTCTGCATTTGAAGCTTCTTTCAGTGCTGTTCCGACAGAAATTGCATACACTAGGAAATAAGCCGTTAAGAAATTCCAGACTTGGAAGTCAAAAAAAATTAAGGAGAGGACTATGGGAACTTTTATCAGCCATGAAGAGACATTTCTCAATTGTACCCGCGTAGATCGATGTGTGTCTCAGCTCAAAGCGGGCACACCGAGCAAAGTGTTGGAAGCGTGAATCTCACCAATCGAACTTAGATGATGCCAAGTGTTTTAGAATCATTGCAAAGGCTAATGCGACGTTCCTTTTTGTTTTTCATAAGGAGCACATTGACCTTGTTGGTTTCTTTCCAGCCGCCTGTGACGCTACAGCAGAATCGCAATTGAGCCTCTGAGAATAATCGATCGCGCCATTCTGCAAAAATTGTTAGTGGAAGGAACTCTTGAAATCAAGAACAGAACTGTCGAAACACCATTCTGGTCAGGAAAGTTATTTTGCGATGAGACCCCATTCTACAGTGTGTCGAAAAGAGCATCTTTAAAATGGAAAGGTCATCACGTGTGTTTGGTAACACACAAGCCTTTTGAACCGTCTTCTTCTTCCAAGACACTACGAAAGGAACTCTATTGTGTTGAGCCCACATTCACCTCGAAGATTTGTAAAATCGAAGGCTTCGCTGGCTTCCTACAGTCTATGATTTTCGTCGAGGGTCGATTTATCATAAATGAAAAAAAATGGAAACTACACGAACAAGAAACCCAATTGAAAGTTGGGAAAACTACTCCACATTGTGAAACGTGTTTCTACAGTTCTCATTCGCCAGGAGAATCCACGAAGTGTTCGAAATGACAATCTGAGCCATGAGGCTCTCCTGTAAGAAAAGAGACCTGCTTTCTTTATTTTTCGATACAAGGAATCACAAATATTATCCTCACCACATAAAGGTTGAGATTTGCGTTGGGTGATGCCTCATTGCCACTGTTGTCGTTGATGCCACTAGTCTTTCGTGCGTTCGATGACGCTCAGGGCCGAAACGACTCTTTGTCGCTCATCACGAACCCATCCTCTATTTATAGTGATGAGATTCAAATCATATCGAGAAGCAAGCCCATAAGCATAAACTAAACACACCTCCACCAGAAAACTTGGACATCCCGCTGCGCACCTGTGTACTCGACTTCAAAACCCCGAGAACTGAATTTGCGGCGGATGGCAAGTTTCCTCACTCCAGAGTATTCTGACGAGTTGCTACGTTTTGTCACGGAAGTGTACACACAGGATATAGCACACTACTTTCCAAAGCTAAGACTGGAAAAGCTGATTAACTTGTTGGAACATGCTGAATATCTGTTCGAATCATATCGAAAGTCCTTAGCCACTAATCAGCAAGACGACCTGTTGACTGCATACGTCGCGGGCTGCTTTTACATCTACCTGATCATACCGCGATCGATTCAGTTCAATTCACGGGACAAATCATATGCCATTTATGTGGACCTTAAAAAGTACTACCAAGATGAGACCCATATGACAAACGTTTTGTTGATGGTTACGAGCGTGATAGACACGATGAGCAAAGATGAGAAGGAAGTTAATCGAATAGATCGCAAACGAGCATATTCGGTTCCTCGCATAACCACAGCAGAAAGATTGAGACAAATTGCACTTTCTGAAGAACCCGCGATCCCCACTAATGACCCAGACCCCGAAAATGACTCTACAATGTGGACAGCTCCGGATCTCGAACCAAATGATCATCTGAAAGTCAACCTGGGTTCCTTAAGCTCTTCTGCGTCCCTCAGGGCGGACAACATTTTTAGTAAGGCCCCATCTTCTTCATCGGACGACTTCGAGCCTCCTGTGCTGGCTACTAGCCCCGAAATGAGAACTCGGAGAGAATCTGCTCCTCTGAAACCAGCTTTAGCCGAAGAGATGGACGAAAGTATCAGCGAAGGGATCCATTCCCAAGGCGTGGATCGCTATAAAACCCACAGAAAGGATTCATACCACTCAGTGCATATGGTTGGCGATGATTATGACAGCTTTTCTTACAACCTTGCGAGGCTGCAAAAACAAGCTGTCATAAGCTGTGACCAATTATTCGATGTTCTTTCAAGCAGCGACAAAAATGATCTTTTGTTGGTGGATTTGAGACTTGCGAGGAGATTTCGGTCCAATCATATTCTTGCTCCAAACTTGGTCAATATAGATCCTAGGGATCTTGGGAGTACGGACGGTAACATCGCAATAGAAAACAGCAACCAGGTTCAACCTCTTGTTGGCAAAACGTTATATCAGAAACGGTCTGAATACAAGCGCATCGTATACTACACCGATATGAAAACCTTCATGCGGCTGGATTTTGATTATCAATTGGTATTTTTCCAGCTAATATACCACTCAGGTAAGTCACTGCAGTGTGTTCCTGAGGTCCTACTAGGCGGATACGAGCAGTGGAAACGGTTTGTGACAAAAATATCGCAAACTCGTCCGATATGCAAAGAAGACTTTCTATTCCATACTTTGGGTAGCGATGCTCTCCAAAAACCCGATAAGACGCATGAGAGCGAGCCTCCGAGTTTCGCTCCCCCATCGATACCTCCGCCACCCGTACCGCTGGAGCCTTACGACCGCCCACCGTTTCCACTTCCAGCAAAAGAGCCTCTTCATAGGGAACCATATGCGACGAGACCACGCACAGAAATCCGAAGGCCACAAGCTTCGATGCTTGTCGACCAGCATCATCCGCATCAGCATCAGCATCAGCATCACCAGCATCACCAGCATCAGTTTCAGCATCGCCACCACCATCACCACCCCAATACCGCTAACGATCTCTCCTCCTCTATTCCCACGATTGAAGGAAGCAAGAATGAGTATGTTGCCCTATCAATCACCGGGCTTCGAAATTGTGGAAATACTTGCTACATTAACAGCATGCTACAGTGTCTTTTTGCAACTAAGCCTTTTAGAGACTTATTTTTATCCAGTGGGTACGAGAAATATTTCTCCTCAAAGTACCAAAATCCTAATCAATTGTCGAAATACTTCCATCTTCTGTTCAAGAAAATGTATTTGAATGGTGGATGCTCTGTCGTTCCCTCTGGGTTTCTCAAGGCTTGCAATTCACTACGGCCGGACTTCAAGATCCCTCACGATCAACAAGATACTCAAGAATTCTTGCTTTTTTTACTGAGCCAGCTTCATGATGAACTGTCTGAATCTAACTATGTTGCCAATGACTTCCCTGAGCTTTTGCTCCATGATGACGGTAAATTGCAAGTAGATAGGAGCGAATACGACAATTGGTTCGAGAAACATCTCTCGGCCAACGGAATATCTCCCATCGATAGTATATTTCAGGGTCAAATTGAGAATGGCCTGTTGTGTCAACGCTGTGGTCACACTTCATACAATTACTCGGTGTTCTATGTTTTGTCATTGCCCATCCCAGGAAAATCGTCAACGTTTGGTCAAAAGAAAAAGATTAGATTGGAAGACTGTATCAACCTTTATACTAGCGATGAGCAGTTGACAAACGAAAATGCATGGGATTGCCCTAATTGCGGAAGTTCTGTGACTGGTCAAGGCCCTGATGATGACCGGAGGAAAAAGAAGTTTTTATTGTCTCCCGACAATAATAGCACAAGCCGTAGTGGTTTCTTCAAATTGCGCACCAAGTCGAGAAGCCGATCGATGTCACCTTTCAGGAAGCAAAGCACCACAACAGCGTCTAATCCCAAGGAGTGGAAGCAAAAGAAGCTCTCGTCAATTAAAACGCTCAATTTCATTTCTTTGCCCTTTGTGCTTACAATTCATTTGTCGAGGTTTTATTATGACCTGACGAAGAAGAACGACAAAGTAATCACATATCCTTTGAGACTTGGTATTGTATTAAAGAACAATGAAGTGGTCAATTACAGACTTTTCGCCATTGCTAATCATTTTGGTAATTTGATTAGTGGACATTACACATCACTGGTCAACAAGGACTTGACACACGAACTGAACAATGGCAATCAAAAATGGTATTACTTTGATGACGAAGTTGTAAAAAAAGACACAAACCACGGAGATATCGATGCAGGCATTACAAGTGTCTCCAGTAGCGATGTTTACGTCTTGTTTTACGAGAAAATAAAGGAATGAAGAGCGAAAAGAAGCGACAAAAGTCGCGCACAAATAGCTTTGATTTAGCTTTGTACAACTAACTACTTAATAGATTCGATCAAATCAGTGCTTTAAAATAGGAATAATTAAGAACATTTAAATTTCAGCTTCAATTAGCTCCTCATATCAAAGAACACAGTTTTTCTTTTCGTAAAATTGTCATCATCACAAGAATATTTAAGGACTCTACTGTTACAGTGGAGCTATCATTACACTATTATTCGAGAGTTTGCATTAAACACCAAAAGTCTTGATGAAGTCGGAGGCTTGCTGTCTTTCAGACTGTCTCTTGGCCTCGTCCCATCCAAGTTCATCTCCCATGACGCTGACAGTACCGTCTACCGCTGCCAAGGCTTGTCTTGCATCCAAAAATCCAAATCTTGTTCTTCTCATCAAAAAGTCCAAAGCCGTTCTTGTGTACTCGAATTGGAGACTGTACTTCAATTCGGCAATCGTGAAAGGATAACGGAAAGAGTCGAAATTAACGTTCTTGAACACAGTGACTGTTTCTCTACCTCCAAAAGTGACGGGCAATTGGTTTCTTTCATCTTCACGGAACATTTCGCATATTATAGGAGCACGGGTTCCGTAGTTGTTTGCAAGATGTTCTGCCATTTTACTCGAGAGATGGTATTTTTGAGCAAGCAAGGCAACGAAATTGGGGTCCCAACCTTCAGCTCCTGCAAGTTTGATTTTCTTCGTGATACAGGGCTTTGCTTGGAAGCGACCAACTTTGACAACTTCATCAATAGTTTCTTCTGCCATCTCTCTGTAAGTAGTCCATTTACCACCTGCAATTGTCACGAGGCCGTTGTCAGATGTGAATAGGAAATGGTTTCTCACAAGACCCTGAGTGGAATTAACGTCATCTCCCTCTTTCAACTTTCTAGGGTCTCTGACAAGTGGTCTAATACCGGCCCATGCACTCAAAACGTCATCTCTCTTAACAGGAAACTTGATGTAATGTTGCAATTCTTTCAAAATATCTTGGATATCTGCTTCCGTGGCAGTTGGGTTTTCTGGAACTTGTTTCATTGGAATATCGGTGGTACCGGCAAGGACTTTGCCCTGCCATGGCAGAAAGAACATGACTCTGCCATCTGAGGTCTTTGCATCTAGCAAACCAATATCTTTTGGACAGTAGAATGCGGGCAACACAATGTGGACACCGGCCGAAGGAACTACCATTCTGGGGTTTGACACTGCAATACGGGAACCAATGGAATCATGACCTTCGTTGGCAAACTGAACCAAATCGTTTCTGGGTAGGCCATCTTTCGAGTTGTCCATTTGAAGTATACGATCGCTGAAAGGACCAGTTGCATTTACGACAACTTTGGCCTTAATGCTGAATTCTTTACCGCTTTCACGGTCCCGCGCCAAAGCTCCTTCGATGTGGCCGGTTTCCTTGTTTTTCACCAGTTGGGTAATCTCAACGTAATTCAAGACGGTGGCGCCACGTTCAATGGCGGTTACGGCCAATGCAGTGTTCATTCTGGAGTCATTAAAGGAGCCGTCGTGGTAAACGAGACCGGCCTTCAGTATCGAAGCGTCTAGCATGGGGGCCGCTTCAGAAGCCCGTTTGGCGCTCATCATGTAAGAGCTTTTCAAATTCTGGGATCCTGCAAACAAATCGTACATCTTGGTACCCACGTAAAAATAAGGCACTTGCCAGTAGTTGTAAACGGGGATCATGATCGGAAGAATCTTGCACAGATGTGGGGCGGTTTCTAGCATATGACCACGTTCGTTCAGGGCTTCGATGACCAAGTCGAGCTGAGCCTTGGAGAGTTCCCAAAACGCTTTTTCCAGGTATCTGACACCTCCATGGGCCATTTTAGTGGATTTTGACGATGTTCCGGACGCAAAATCATTCATTTCGACCAGTGCCACGTTGAGACCACGCGTTGACGCGTCCACTGCGGACCCTGCGCCGGTGGCACCGCCACCGATGATCAGGACGTCGAATTGCTCGGTTTTGGCCATTTTGTCCAAAAGTTCCGCACGCGTGGGCAAAGCAGGCGCCTGCGTGGTGAGTTTGCTTGTTACGCGAACGTCGTTTTGGAAATACGGTTTACTCCACTCGTAGGTGGCGTAGCCACCTACCGCCAGGGTTGCCGTTTGTAGTGTACGCTTGGTGACGACTCTACTAAACATGGTGTTATAGTGGTGGTGGTGGTGGTGGTGGTGGTATGGTTTCTATCACTCACTGCGATTATGTACAACGTGGCTGCTCAAAACACAAAAACACAAAAACACAAAAACACAAAAAAAAAATTAGCCGCCAAGTGTTCGATTGCCGGGTAACCTGGTCTCTATATCGCCCTTCACTGACTTTTTTTTTTTGACTCGCGCGTGTCTTTCTTTTATTTGACTCGGTGCGAGCGAGATTCACAAAAAACACAAAAACAAAAAGTTCTTCTGGGTTTGTCACTTACTAAATATGCGTGACCTTCCTTGATATCTCCATAGCTTAAAAACCTGGGGTTTCGTTTCCTACACTCGATTTCTGGTTCCCCTTTATATACTTTGGTTTTCAATATTTTTTTCACGCTCCCTTTATTGAATAGCAATATGTGCGTGGTGGGCCTGTGTGAGCGTGTATGGGCGTTTGTAGGCATGTGTAGGCGTTTGTAGGCGTATCGGCACGGAACCCAATAACATAGAACAGGTAAATATGGAAACTAGGGAGTTAGTAACTATGACACACACACTCATACATTTACTCATACATTCACACACATAAACAAGCCCGCCAAGTAGTTCGTGTGCGAGTGTTTCTGGGCCAGAAAACAACAAAGTCGGGAGAGGCTCGACTCTACAGGGTCAAGGGAAGAGCGGACGGCAATACTATTATTGATACTATTATTGATAATGTTATTGCCCACACCACCACCACCAGCCTCGAGGAGCAGAGGAGCTGAGCAGCAGAATAGGTAGGGGTCTCTCTTTTTTCCGGTGAGACGTGTGTAGTGCTCTGACGCATTCTTACGTACGCTTGTGTGTATGTAGGAAAATGTAAGGGTGTTACGGGATGAGGTTGCGTTTGACCGGACCGGAATAAAGGGGACATGGGTTGTGGGGGTCACGTGGATGGAAAAACGCACATAAGCGTCTGTGCGTTTGTGTGTGTGTGTGAGTGTGTGTGTGTGTGTTTCTATTTTTTTCGGCAGATAGCCTAGCTTAGCTTAGCATAGAGGACTCGGACTTTCGGAGCCGGTGATGTCGATGGTGTTAAGGAACATAAAGGTGATGGATGGACGGAAGAAATAGACTATGGGCCGAGAGGAGGTTGGGATGGGATAAGCGGGAAGAGATGGGTTTCGGACAAGTATTGAAAGATGTCGAGGTGGCAACGAGCACAATTGAGTAATTGAGAACTATATGTTTCGGTCGTGAACAGTAGAGGTGATTAAAAAAACCACGATCGGGATCAAGATCGTCCTGTACGAACTTGATTTTTATACAAAAGCGTAAGAAGGACTCGGCAATTTGTGAAGTCGTAAAGTAATAGCTTCAAGTTTGTCTTTCTTCACACACACTTGCTTGCGGTGATAAGTGGTTAGAATTATTGTTTGTGGGGTGTGAGTGTGTGTGTCACGTGACGTTTTAGGCTAGGCCCAGAAAGTTATGTTAGAGAGGTAGTTCCCATCCAGGGATTCGCTAATTAACAAAAAGATCAATCATTGTAAACGTAGTAATCGCTTGGAGTTTTCAACAAGAACCGCGAATAACCGAGAACTGTGTAATTTGAAATTTCATTGGCGTATTTAGCATACAATACTCTCTTGTCCTTGGGCCAGAGCTCGTACTCAATACCAATTCCAGAACCCCCATTTCGTGCCGGATTCTTTGAACGTCTTATCATCATATACCAAATGGTCTGAATCATCAAGCATTTTAAGCTAATGGGTTCGCGCACTGGCTTCGCGAATTCGTCCCCAGTCCTTTGTAAATCCACTCAAGCACTCAGGGATCCATACTGATATGTCAAAAATACGCGAAACGGTGAAAATAAAAACAATACCAATCTCAAGGATAAATCACCCTTAGCTTTGATATTGATAACGAATTTAGAGGGCACCCCGTCCATCTCGTATATAGTTACGACCGAATTTGGGATGCACTTCTGGGCAGTTCCTCATCAGAGACCTTGTAACACCTCTGGGTCGAGGAAAACAAAAACCTTAATAAGATCACGTGACTAAATGGGATGTGGCCGTCTTGTTGTAACACATCGACATTTCGCGTCTAGGAATATGCATCAAGGAACGCGTGAGGTCGCGTCAAATCGAGCCCTCTTTCAGTAAAGCATTGAAGCGCCAAAACATTTGAAAGATGAATAGCGTCGCAGCTCAGAGACTCTCTTTGGCTTTTTATACAGTGCACAAGGTTGCTGGCTACTTACTCATCGAATTAAACTTGTATCTCAGCCTGGTGCCTTAGAAATGGAATTCCGAACTATGGAATTGGTAGAACCAAATTCGACAGCTGCGGCATAGTATAGACTATTTGAAGCACTTTCTCGGGCATGGACGTTTGAGTGTAATTGAGCTTACAGTCTATACTCCTGCTTATGTATAAAATCGTGGCGCGCTAACCGCCGAAAACCATCTCCGAATATCTCCGCATGTGTCGTCTTGAACGGAATTCCTCCACTCGAATGGAGCAACCACTATATCGAGAAAGCTGCTTACATAATCACTACCCTCGCACCTGCACTTACCCAAGTGTTTGCGCATATCTGTAGTCGTGTCCACGTTTCGTCCACTGGTGACAGCGACTGTAAAACAGACGTCTAAGCGAAAAGTATTCACCACAGCCGACTTTAAAGCCCTGTCTCTGCCGAAATGAGTGCAAACACTCGGGCGCACAGAAACTGCGATCAAAACGGCCAACTGCAAGCCGTCCGAACCTTAGTTAAATCGGGCTTCCTCTGTACTCTTCCCCATATTAGTGTTTAGCGCACGCCCACAGTGAGTCTCTATCAATCTACTTGCCATTTCTCATCACACACACCTCGCCAGTACAACAACGACAACAACGGCAAAATAATCAGGGGAAAAAAAACATGTTGCAATCAATCTCGAGGCAAGATTTGCAGAAGCTTTTTTCAGTATTTTGTAATGGACCCTACAGTTTTCAGAGGATTGAAGTCTTCAGACATCTGCGCAAATGCTTTCCTCAGTATTGTTGAATGGAGCCTACAGCATTCAGAAAATAAAACTCTTCAAACGTCCGCAGACCCGCCCCGTGCTATCAGAAAAAAGAATCTGGTCTGAATTTGCAGCGTTCAACTGTCCTCACTCGGGGTAAGCTATCCTTAATAAATCTCTGCCATTTGCCATTGCGGCAATTCTTACGGCGTCCCTGCCGCTAATTGTCTGTTCATTTGACATATTTCTAAGGAGTAATTTCTTTCGGTAAGCACTCGCAATTTTCCCCATCGTGCCCTTTGCCGCTACTCAGTGAGGCCCTTCTTTTTCGACCTTTTTAGCTTTCTGCGTATCACCACTGTTGGAATGGGACAAACGTAATTCTGAAGCGACGACAACAGCAGCGAAAGCGGTACGCACAGTGCCATAGGTTGTACAGCCAAGACCGTTTCGTTCAACAGATGCTTTGGGTAAGGATGTGAAACGGAAACGACCACGACAGTGATGGAGTCCAACGTCGCCGCTGAAGCGTCCAGTACATACGCGATTTGGGCCTTTAGTCGGGACACATTCGCTTGCAATCTATCGTGGGGCACCTTTGGCGTAATGTGTAGCACGTACAGTGTGTCGTTTGAGCTCAAAACGGCTCCGAAAACGTAAAGCAGGGCGTAAAACGACTCTGTGGTGAGGTCCAAATAGAGCACGTACGACGAACCCTTTTTCGATTTTGCCTTCTCATCATCCTTGCTCTTGTCGGCTTGGGAGCCATGCATCACATGTATGGCTCTGGCAAAGCCACTTGCCAGATCGTCCACTTGAACCGGTTCGCTGCTGCTTTCAATTTCAGCAAGATACTTTGCAATCCACGCTTTTTCTGCCTGCAGAACGTCCCACAAACTTGACACGAAGTTCGGGAGCACTCGGGCACCTAAATCATAGCCTAAAGCCGCATCGATATCCAGCTCGTTTTCCACGTCGCTCACTTGTTCCTCATCGCTCACATCTTCCTCGTCGTCGCTGGAGTTTGTTCCGCCATATCCACTGCCTACAGAAAGTCTTTCTGACGGGTCGTGGTTCAGAACCGTCCATTTCAAATACTCCTGCATCCCACCGCGCAGCCTACTGGCCGTTCGAGATCTTGTTCGGGACGTCCCGTTTGATGTTGTGCCCCTCTTTTCCCGTGTACGTCCTCTCTCGCCCCTACTTGGTACTTCGCTCTCCAGAATCCGGATGTTCTCGCCACCGCCACCATTATCCGCTTTGCTCGGTAGCAGGATACTACGCTTAGGCTCCATAGATTCCATGTTCACTAAGACGATTGTTGGGATGATCGGTTCAGTTCAGGGTACATTCAAGGCTGTAGGCTGAGGTTTTTAAAGGTTCTGTAAAGGTTTAATTGAAGATCAAAGATCGGATATGCCGCCGTGCAAGGTGAGGTCATTTTTTGGATTACTGTATCACGTGAATAAATGCAAGCTTTTATAGACGAATAGCGTACAATGAAATACCACACATCAGCTAGAGCGATAGCGTATCTGAGTAATTTATTGACACTTCATGGCTGCGTTAAATCAACAAAATCGATCAATTGTTTGAACCTTTTCACAGGTCACGTGCCCTTCAAACCTGGGTTTTCCTGTTATGCGTTTTTCTGCCAATTCTATGACACCAGAGCTTCCGATCATGAGGAGTGTTCCATATAAGTTCTATAGTTGAATAGTTGTTGAATGCTATAGTAAAATATTATGATTTCAAGCGATGCACGTAAATTAGGAGGGACCTGTTAAGTCAAAAGAAGAGAATGTACCTCAAATTTCTAAAAACACACAAATCATGAAAGAGACCTCGATGATTTGACCGGAATATTTGACCGGAATACTTGAAATCCAAGTATTCCGCAGTGCTAACTTCTATAATTCCTTTCCCTTTCAAACGCATTTTGAGTCACGTGATCTGTCAAAATATGACACCTTATTATTATCAATTTATCTAGAAATAGCTCCAGGTCCGCATACTTGACCTACATGTAAGCTGTGTTTGGTGCTGCTAAGTACTTAAAGTTATAATTCAACTTGTCAACGTATCATCAATCACTAGAGATCTATTTCGAAGTTGTCTAGCATACCTCTTCTTCACTAGTTATCAACTTCAGCTGACTTCAAAAAATTCGTGTACTTCGATTTTTGGAAAACTAGTCTTAGAAGAGCTCATCATCATTACCAAGTAGTTAAAAGACTACTTCGAATGTCAGCCGCTCTTTTGGACAATATTGTACAAACACATAATACCATCTTACTGAAACGCTAAGTACAATGGGAGCGAGACCAGTGAAAGTCGATGTACATTCCACGATGTTCGAAGAGCCCACTAAAAGAATCTTCGATTCCCGCGGCACGCAGGCGTTCCAAAAATCAGTTGCAATGTACAGGATCAAGATGTATCTCCATCGATATGTTAGCATTGTGGAAGGTGAGCAAATTCCCAAAACCAGTGAGAATTCAACGGTTTTGGACTTCGTGGCACTATTGAGCAAGCTGGCCACAATGGTCGATGAAACTCCTGCGTTTCCTGGACCAAGAAGATACGGCAATTTGGCCTGCAGATCGTGGCATGATAAAATTGAAACTGCTTTATCTCCATTGCTGGAAGATTTCATGCCATCCGACTGTCAAAAGAGCATAGTGGAGCTCCGATACTATCTGGCGAACGCATTCGGATCTCGCGAACGTTTGGACTACGGAACGGGACACGAACTTTCCTTCTTCGCCGTGATATCAGCTCTCGACATGTTGGGTATCTGGGGACCCGATTTGCAGGGCAGAGACCTGCTATTTCTGCTAAACAGCTACTACGCGCTCATAAAGAAACTGGTCCTTACCTACTCTTTGGAACCAGCTGGATCTCATGGCGTTTGGGGCCTTGACGACCATTTCCACTTGATATACATCTTTGGTGCTTCTCAAATGATAGGCATGCGCTCACCGCCGGCTTCACCCAAAGAAATGCAAATGAAAGACATAGTGCAAGAAAATGCGCCCACCAACCTGTATTGCCAAGGACTCTCATTTGTCTACCAAGTCAAGTCAGGACAGCTAGCTGAAAACTCCCCCATGCTTTATGACATCTCCCAAACTGTGGCAACATGGCCGAAAGTTCAGCGAGGCCTCTTGAAAATGTATTTTGCGGAGGTACTCAACAAGTTTCCAGTCGTACAACACTTCTGGTTCGGAAAGGGTCTTTACCCATGGGTCAGTACCGATAGCGGCGATGTACTTCCCGTTTTCGAAGCATCATTAAGCAATCACCCTGTACAAACAACCTTGCATAACGCCGGTACATCGCGACACCCCATGAACCCTCCCGATTTGCGTGGCGTCAACCGATTCATACCTCAGGACAGGTTTCGGAAGTTTTGAACATTTCGTGGAATAATAGACCTATTCTTTTTGTTTTTGCATATTGAACTATCTTTAAAGATTCGCGGTATGACCTACACACCTTAATGAGTTTAGACCTAATGTTGATTGAAGAATTGAAAGCGTCACGATGTGTCCTTGTTGAACTACGTTACTGGACCGGCAGCAATGATTTCGGAAGTAGCCTGCTCTGCGTACTTTTGGAAATTAGAAGCGAACAAGTGACCCAGGGACTTTACCGCTTTTTGGTAATCGGCTTTACCATGGTTCCAACTTGTCGCTGGATTCAATAAATCGTTGGGAACATTGTTAACGTGAAGCGGTACGTGCAAGTTGAATGTGGGTAAAACCTCAAATTCTCCAGCGGCTAGCGAGCCGTCATGAATGGCATCCAAGATGGCACGCGTATACTTTAAAGAACATCTCTGAGCGCCAGAAACAAAACTAGCACCAGTCCATCCAGTATTCACCAACCAAGCGTCTGCACTGTGCTTTTCCATCTTCTCAGCAAGCATTGTAGCGTATTTGAGAGGGTGAAGAGCCAAAAATGGTTGACCAAAGCATGATGAGAAGGTGGCTTCAGGCTCTGTGACACCCTCTTCTGTACCGGCAACTTTAGAAGTGTACCCGCTGATAAAGTGATACATAACCTGAGCAGGAGTTAGCTTTGAAACTGGTGGTAATACACCTGAGGCGTCGCATGTCAGCAACACAATATTTTTGGGGTGCTCGTTCGCCAAGCAGGGAATCTTAGCGCTTGGGATGAAATCAATGGGGTACGCGCAACGTGTGTTTTCCGTGATCTCACAGTCGTCGTAATCGACCTCTCTGGTCAAAGGATCGTACCCTACATTTTCCAAAACCGAACCGAACTTGATTGCTTGGAAAATTTCGGGTTCTTTTTCTTCGCTGAGACCGATGCATTTGGCGTAGCATCCTCCCTCAATGTTGAAGACGCCGTGATCCGACCAACAGTGTTCGTCGTCGCCAATCAGTTTACGAGCGGGATCTGCAGACAGCGTTGTCTTTCCAGTCCCGCTGAGTCCGAAAAATAAGGTCACATCGTTATCTTTGATACCTTGATTCGCGGAGGAGTGAAGCGTCAAGACGTTGTGGTTGATAGGCATCAAGTAGAACATCACCGTGAAAATGCCCTTCTTCATTTCTCCCGCATATTCGGTACCCAGAATGATCATTTCCATCTTGGCGAAATTGATTTCCACCGTGGTCTTGGACGTCATTCCGTCGGTGTGAGTGTTTGCTGGGAATTGACCCGCATTCCACACAGTAAAGTCAGGCTCACCGAAGTTTTTGAGTTCTTCGGGAGAGGGTCTGATCAACATGTTTGTCATAAATAGTGCATGGTATGCTCTGGCGCACACAACGCGAATCTTGATGCGGTACCGTGGATCCCATCCGGCATACGCGTCCACGATGTACAAATGGTCCCGTGTTCTGAGATAATCAGCAGCTCGCTCACGATTTACCATCCAAGTCTTTTCAGAGCACTTACGATTCACAGGACCCCACCAGACGTTATCTCTGGATGACGGTTCATCAACTATCCGTTTGTCACGAGGGGACCGTCCTGTTTTTGCCCCAGAAAATGCAATAAGAGCTCCTGAACTGGCAATTGTTGTACGAGCTTCGCGCAATGCGTCTTCGTAGAGCAAAGCTGCGGGTGCATTGCGTCTAATAGTCACCACTTCTTCACCAAGTGACAACTCAGACCGGATGCAATCCTGGGCAGATTTAGGATTTTTGTTTCTCACAGGCATGGTTTTTTTTCTTGAATTCAATGTGGGCAACTTGAAGTACAGTGCCTAAATTTGTTCAAACGCTGGCTTTCTTTCTTGATGTAGATGGGCTTGCGCACAAACAGAACAAGAATTGGCGAATTTGGGAGTGGTACACAACGTGTACAGAAGAATCAGTATTCAATATGGAAAACGCAGAAACTCGGAATTTCAACCAAAAACACAAGTTTTTTTAGCCGATATGCTCAGAGTTGTTAGGAATCAGTCAAATGGTCGCAAATCAAAGGTAGATGCGAATAACTGGAAAAGCTTACAGATGGGGAAGAGAATAACCAAGTAAGAGCTCAACTGTTTTAAAAGGTCTAAGCCGTTTTCAACAGCTCTTCTTATACAAAGCTATGCAAGGGTCCTGGTGCAAGTAGAGCCATCGGGGACACTAGGGAACGTTCCGACTTGCTCCGAGATACTCGGGATTCGGACTCTGGACGAAATGGGAACTCTTGCAACGGCGCCTTGCCGGAGCCGATATCGACTTTCTCCATGCCCGCGGGCTTGTCAATATTGCTTACGTAAACACGCAGATGACACAAACTGTACCCCGGATTTATTTTTATGTTTCGTTCAAGAGTACCAGGACAAAAGGGAGAAGCCTGCGCGGCTAAAAGGAGGAGGGTACGAAATTTCCGATTCTGTCTGTCTTCCCCCGCCCCCCTTTATTTCCGGGCCAAAGCAAAACATTGTTGATGGTGCTTAGGTAAAGGAGAAGGTGAAAGGAGAAACGCTTCGAGAAACGAGGAGAGGAAGGAGTAGAGGACATGCTTGGTAAGGCTCATGGCGAACGGCAACCGGGAACTAAGACACAGAATCGTACCCTAGAATAGCCATAGATTTAGGTATTAAACCACCATACCAGAAATCAGAAGCACTGGTAGGTGCTACAACTAGTCGTTGCTGAAAGAATCCTTCAAAAGGTTCAAGACTGGCCAAGAAAATTCAAAATGACAATAGAGAAGCAATGTTGAATATGAATGGTCAAGCTTTGAATGTGAACTTTACAGTTTAAGACGAAATTATTCTGTGTCGACTAGATTTTCACGAAGCTTCCTCGAAAGCATTCCCTGTGAAACTCCAGTGACACGATCAAAAAACCTTCATTGTAGTGTGGAAAAGTAAGCAAATAAGAGGTTTGGTCAGCTAAATATTAATTCTGGGCCTATATATGTATCTTGAAACAGATGTTGCAAATACTGTATTTACCATTCATCCCTACAAGTGTCCAGGCTCTTTGTTCTGGTGACATAAATCAAAGTTTTGATTTGCGCTACATCAGGCCCCGAGCCTAAAGTTCAAAAGCTTGACAAAAACATTAAAATGTCTAGTAATAAGAAAAGTCCAAAAAATTAAAGTGTGCCACTTGAAAACAAAAACTATTTGCTTAATTCAAAGGCTCATACTTACAACAGTAAACGTGTATTTGAGCGGCCAGAGAGATCTTGTTAAGCATAAGTACGTCTCGTAAAGAGCTCCCTTGCTACTACAGGTCACGTGACTCACTCCTGCAGTGCCGTGGGCCTGTAAGGGACCTGAAATGAAGCGAAAATGATATCGATCTTTAATGAAAAAAAAACTTGGTCTCGCGGTTTGAATAGATCCCGTCTTCAATCCCAACACCCCTTTTATTCACCATTACCATTAGGCAATAGTACGTACGAAGCGATATACCCACCGGTAAATTATGAGTCCTCCATCGATAAATACAAGTGTGTTAACAGCCTTTGATGTGTGGGCCCATTCACTGCACATCATATCAGCGCGCCTCTTAGACGCCTAGTATCCTAATATGGAGGATGTAGATGCCGAGTTTGCCCCCTTGCGTAAGTCACTGCAAGCGGTAGATGCAAATAAAATCATACAGGATGTCTCTGTAGATCATGAGCAACAGGCGTTTTTGAGAAAAATTCGTCTTGTTACTGGCCAAGAGAAGTCTTCCAAGTCACAGATAGCAGTTGAAGGTGCGAATGAGGGTTCAGAGGCACGTACAGATACTAATTCTGCGCTCCCAACTCCAAGTACTGGCGATGCATCCCGATATCTTGCTAGCAAGCGCCCACATTCAGATCACGAAGACGACGTACCTACCCCAAAACGGAAGCAAGCCAACGTTCTAGACCCCGATTTCCTGCAATTCCAGGCCTACTTTTTGAAGCAGCTAAATGGGTCTCTTCCCCCAACCGAAACGCGGCTTCCAAGTTTCGTTCACGAGTGTTCCAAAGAAGTGGAACGCATTCTTAAACAGTCCATCATACAGAAGGAAAGTCATTCAGCGATAATTGTGGGACCCAGATCTCACTTTAAAACAGCAGTCATTGAGCATCATCTCTCCTTCTTGACCCAGAAGTACGAACAACAATTTGTGACTATTCGTCTTAACGGACTGATACATTCAGAACAAGCTGCAATCAACAGTATCGCTTACCAACTAGAGTCCCGCTTACAGGGCTTACACGGCAACAAGGACATCTCATTTTCAATAAGCTCAGGTTCACTGACCGAGGTTTTTGAAAAGGTACTACGATTGATTGATACTACTGCCATTCAGCACTCCAAGTCATCCTCAGCCTCGAGGGCTGAGAAAATATCGATAATTTTCATATTCGATGAAATAGATACTTTCGCGGGGCCTTTGAGGCAAACACTCCTCTACAACCTTTTCGACATGGTAGAACATGCTCGAGTACCCGTCTGCATTTTGGGCAGCACTACTAAGATGAACGTCGTGGAGCATTTGGAAAAAAGAGTAAACAGTCGTTTTTCCCAACGAATGATTTATGTCCCTACCATCAAGACGTTTGAAGAATTCTTGGATGTGGTTCAGGAAGATTTTCGCATTGATATTACCAACGAGAGTGCTTTGAAATGGAACGAGGCGCTCAAACAACTCATCAACAAAGACACATCAAACCTCCGTCGGGTTTTGAAAAATAATTATGAAACGTTCCGGTCCACTATTCTTTTGAAGAACAGCCTACAACTTTTAGTCGCCAAAGAAAAATCTATAGAAGCGCTAATCTCCGGGCTCGAAACATGTTATTGGATTAATTGTTACAACCGCAATCAGTTAGAAAACTCACTGAGTTCAAAGGTAAAAACTCTTTCAGATCTTGAACTGGCTGTGCTGGTTGCAGCTGCGAGGGTTTCACTCAAAACGGACGACAATGTCAATTTCAATTTGGCTTATGCTGAGTATTCGAGCATGGTCAAAGAAACCAACAAAAAGATGCCAATCATTCCGCAAGCGACGGGCACGTCTATGATGTTGGAAAGTACTTTACGAGTTTGGAAAAAGCAAGATGTAAAAAATATTTGGGAAAATATCATCGACCTTGATTTTCTGGCTGAAAGGGGCTCCGTCGGGCTGCGAGTCTCTGCATCGGCTGCATTTCAAGCTAGCAACTACCACGCGACAGCGACCATCATACCCTTCGATTTGAGAACATATCAAATGCAGATTACGCTTCAAGAACTCCGTCGCACGGTTCCCAAATTATCGATATATTACAGTTGGACTCAGCTATAAAGGCCATATACAACTGTTCCCAAGGCTTATTGTCGCAACAGAATGGGTATGAACGATCTTCCTTATTTGGACTACATAGACAAAATTTACTCGAATTTCTTCCGGAAAGAATCTCTACTAGGCTGGTTCCCACAATTCAAACTATTCAGCAGCTGCAAAGAGCATAAAGAAGCGCAAACAAAACGTCCTGCAACATCATCAATCCGAGAAAGGTGTATCGTCAAAGCACTGTGATCTACAGTCAAATACGATTTCACCATCCTGTCAAGCATGTGACAAGTATTACAAGACATCTCTTTGGACGGCTTTCAATTTTAGTCTACATCAAATTCCACTGCGTGTCTTCCAGTACAATTGAAGCTCTGAGATACCAGCAAAGCTTCTTCCATATCGTTCTTCTCGCTCTCTCCAGATCCTAGACTTCAACCAGAATCGACCAAGATGAGTCTTGAAACACCTGTTTCAAAGAAGCCGGATTACAAGTACAAAATTGGGAAAGTCAAGCAGACACCCACAGTTGTTAAAGATGAAGTGACCGGATTAGACTACATCGAGCTCAAAATGAGGCAAAACGAGAGGGTCTACGGCTGCACTGTCTTTCAAAATCGGTACAAAGAGGATAAAAAGCTAGGACAAGGTACTTTTGGTGAGGTGTACCGCGGTGTGCACTTGGAAACGCAACGTCAGGTAGCGATGAAGAGGACCATTGTAAAAGCCGAAAAAGACCTGTTTCCCATAACAGCCCAGCGTGAGATCACCATTTTGAGAAAACTAAATCACAAGAATGTGATCAAGCTTATAGAAATGGTTTATGACTATCCACCAACAGATTCCACAAACGGATCCAGCTCCCCAGCTGTTTCGACCACAAGTGGTCAGTTCAAATCTTTTTACATGATATTGCCATATATGGTCGCTGACATGTCTGGTATACTGCATAATCCTCGAATAAAGCTTGAGATGAGCGCCATCAAAAACATCCTTCTGCAAGTCTTCGAAGGTGTCAACTATATCCACTGTCAAAAGTACATGCATCGAGATATCAAGACAGCCAATTTGCTGATAGACCACAAAGGTGTGCTGAAAATTGCCGATTTTGGTTTGGCGAGAAACTACTACGGAGCCCCTCCGAATCTTAAATTTCCTGGCGGAGCTGGCGTGGACGCCAAATACACGTCTGTTGTGGTGACGAGATGGTACCGTGCCCCAGAGCTAGTACTGGGAGACAAGTATTACACTACAGCGGTTGACATGTGGGGAGTCGGATGCGTGTTTGGAGAGTTTTTCGAGAAAAAACCCATCCTACAAGGCCAAACAGATGTGGATCAAGGACACGTTATTTTTAAGCTGCTGGGAACTCCAAATCAGGAGCAATGGTCTTTGGCTCATTATCTTCCAGGTGCCGAGCTCACACGAACAAATTACACATCGACTTTACGAGAACGATTTGGGCCACATTTAAATGATTCGGGACTCGACCTTTTAGGCCAGTTACTTTGTTTGGATCCATACAAAAGGCTCACAGCTATGGCTGCTAAAAACCATCCTTTTTTCAAAGAAGAGCCTCTGCCCGATAAAGTTTTGACATTGCCCTGTGAAGAGTGTCACGAGGCCGACATCAAGCGCTACAAACAAGAACAAAACAGGTCTTTGAGTCAGCAACCACCACCAGCACCACAGGGGCATGTCGTTGAAAAAGCTGCTCCACCCACGCCGCAACTTCCAAAGGCACCAAGAGGTCAAAAAAATGGCCAACGAGGGCCACCCGCCAGTAAACGTGGCGGACACAGACAAGGCAATCCAACGGGAGGCTCGAACTCTAGATATTCCGGAAGCTATGGCCAGACAGAAGCACCCAGAGGAGGTCGCAACAATCGGGCTCCATATTCCCAAATCGTTGCGCCTGAAGCTGGTCCGCCCAATAAGATTGATAACCGTTTCAACAGCAATGGGGCAAGAGCCCGGTTCCAACCAAATGAGCAACGGGGCCCATCAGGTGCCTTAGAGCAACAGAGGACGAGGTCGAACACTTCACAACTTCCGGGAGGTCCAAAAGGCGATATTTACAATGCAAAATCAAGATACGGCCACAACAACAGTGCACCACGAGACGACCGCGACGACAGAATGCACGCTGAATTTCCGATACAAGCACTCAACGGAGACAACAATCCTAACGCCACACCCCTGGGTCGCTCCGACAAACCTAAACCATTTTCAAAGCATCACGATTCTCAACCCGATTCTAGAAACCGCGATGCTCGCTCAAGACACATTAATGAAAACCAACAACATGATCCAGCACACACACGGCAAGATCGACGTAGCTACAAGTCGGCTCGAGAGGATATTGCAGATCTTTATTGAAACAAATGTTGTCGTAAAACGATCAACTTAGGAACCTGAAAAGCTCTTGCTGAAGGAAGCCTAAACCACTAAAGTCACCGCATGATGCAGACAGAGCTTCTGAGTGACATGATAACGTCATTCTCAAGCGTAAGAATGGTCAATACAGCCTACGCAGTCGATCCTCGTTTGAAATGTGCTGTGCGATTTTGAGGTCCAACCGACGGTCACTCTATACAAGATCTGAAACAGGTTTCGTCCTTGACGCAAGGAAGCCATGAGTAAAAATGCGAGTTATAAACAGCCAGGACACACAATTTGTGAAGTTAAAACGAGTCAAAGAGCATCTCATGAACAGGGATGTTAAGTCGCTGTCCTTCGGAAGTTGCGAAAGTAGCTTGATCGAAAGTTGGATTCTTTTAGGGCTCTCGAAGAACGCTTGGAAGACTCGCTAATCAGAGGCTGGATATGGATACCACAGAAGAAGAGAGAGTACCCATGGGAGCTGCTCCGCATGAACTTTCTTCGAAAACGTTTAAACGGACTCCAAATGGGCTTGTTTTCAGTGAAGATTTGAAAAGAGTGTTCTCTATCATGTTGATATCTCTGGATTTGAAGGAAAGGCCTAACACGGCAAGCAAGAATCTCTTATTGCCAACATTCCAGAGAAATTATCCATTTTCGTTTGGTTTGAAGGATGCAATCGCCAAGATGGAGAATTTGACACTTCAGGTAGACATGAATACCACAAAAGTGTGGGTTTCTTATTCGATACAGCCGGAGCTGGGTCGAAGAATGCTAAGAACTTTTATGGATGCCAAATTGTTGCATATACCGGCAGACAGAACTCGTTGTGTGCTCAAGGACGGCGTTGCTATCCAACCGACACCTAAGGGAGTAGCAGTACTACAGCGATTTGTGCGTCACACGGGTCTCAAAGATATACCAGCGATTCTAAAATCGGATTTGAACACCATGGAGTTGTTCACTTTTGAAAGAAGTTCGATGACTGATGCCATAATACACAGTGACTATTTTGTCTCTCTACTGTTTTCGAAGCTTATGGGACCCATGAAAAATGTGTGGTCTCCAGATAACGGTCCCGATGAAGCACCGACGCTGGCAAAGCTTTTGGAACGCTCCGATGACACTTTCAGCTTCGAAACCGCGAACATGTGTTGGTCAGACCCAAACACGGACGATAGCGGTGCTGCGTTCAATGCACATCCTGACGCGCAGCATATTCCCAATGCACACGATGAGCATCGCATTTCTCCTCTGGCTCATCGATTTTTTACGAACCCTGACTCTACATCCCATGCTCAGTACTATACCTCAAACAGTGGCCTGAGGCTGTTCACAGCAAAAACATTCGGAGAGGCTCGAGTCTTGTACGAGTGTACGTTCTCCACAAAGGCCGTATGGCAATGGCTCATGGACTGCACGGATATCATGTACCCAAAAGAAGCAGTGACCATTTCTTCACTCTTTTTGAGAAACGGTCTCATAAAGCCCATAAACTTACCACCATCGGGTAATCACAAGCATAAATTTTCCATAGGGCTCAATTGTTATTTCACCTTGACGCAACTAGGTTGGGAAAGTGTGCAATGGAGGACAGAAGGAGGCATCAAAAAGTTTCTTGTCGGGTCCGGTTTGAGAAAGCAATCAGAAGGCGAGCCGAAGAGTAAAGAGGGCCAGCAAACTTCGACAGAATCAGCAGCTAGCACGGACACCGATCGAAAGCCAGGCTACTTCGCAGACTTGACTCATGTTTTGCGCGATCCGGGAATGAGATATTTGTTTCGAAGACACCTCGAAAAGGAATTTTGTCCTGAAAACCTTGACGTGTACATTGAGATCAAAAAGTTCCTCAAAAGAATGACTGTTTTGAAAAATCTCTTGGACACCAAGACGGCCAGGGAACCAGATAATGTCGATGTGATGACTTCCAAACATTTCAGTGATCTTGTGGTTAATACAATCAACAACGCTCTTTTCAGACAAGCAAACGAGTGCTTAGAGACTGCCTATGAGATTTACTCATCGTTCATCACACCTGGCGCACCGTATCAGCTGAATATCGATCATTCGCTTAGAGAGTCGATAACAGAGGTGATTTTGTTTCCCCAACCATGCATGTTCATGTCGCGCATAGGAGAAAATGCTCGAACAAAAAAAACAATGGACCTAGTAGATAACGGAATAGACTCGACAACTCCGGATGAACCGTTGCCGCAGTCAGGAATCCGAGTAAACCTGTCCCAACATAGAGATCACCAAAATGGTGATAATAAGATTTCTACGCAGCGGTCTCTCTCTGAAGACCTCGAGGGAAAAAGTTTTTCAAGCATCTTGAAGACTCTAAGGCTGATCTATCCACTTTTCGAAAGAGTGGCAGATTCGATGTTTTTACTTATGAAGATCGATTCGCTTCCGAAATTTATAAATTCCGAACTGTATCAAGAAGCCGCGGTAATGCTGAATTTTGAAGCAAAAAATGCATAGTTCCTGTCGAAATAAGGCTACTCAATCATTCATCCGCTAAACTTCAGCTCTTAAAATATACAAATTTCCTGACGATTATACAACGCGTTTAAAATACTGAGAGTTTTGTTGAAATAACCGCATATGAGGGGTGCGACGATGTGAATGGTTATGTTACTATTTGAACAAGACCGTTCATGATGTACAATGACTATTATTATGACTAAGCGATTGGCTCCAATGTAGTTCCCTTCTTGATGGTAGCCCAGCCGATTAGACGCCAGTGCTTCTCAATACGTCTCGACAAAGCAATTTTTTCGTTGACTTCTGTACAAGCTGGAGATGTTAGCTGGAGTCTGGCCATGTCAGCTTTTACTGCAACGACACGAGCACCAGTGGCGGTGGAGCCGATGTTAACCATCAGGACTTCGTTGACATCCAAGTTTCTAACCTTGGCTTGTTTTTGGTTATCCGTCTTGACACCCAACAACCGACGTAACAAAAAGTAATTGATCTCGATATCCGTGTAAATGCTTGGCAAATGTCCCTTGGCACCAGCTACTTGACCGACCAGACGATCAGCTCTACACAGCGTAGGATCAACCTTCGTACCAACACCAATCAAACCACCGGGAACGGCGAACTTTAGATCATTGTGCTCAGCGAAAAGCGACACAATGTTTGAGAAAATAGGCTTGCATTGAATTTTACCTTGCTCATCTTTGGTAACAATACCTGGTCTAATTTCGATTTCATCTCCCAATTTGAAGACACCAGTCAAAATAGAACCACCTGCCACACCACCCTTCAATTCCTCGATCTCTGCACCTGGCTTGTTAACGTCAAAAGAACGGATGACGATAAGACGTGGCGAGGCCATGAAATCTCTTGGAGGCACTGGAATGGTCTTTACAATGAATTCGTTAACTGCGTCAATGTTGTACTTCAGTTGCGCTGAGATTGGTACCACTGGGGCTCCATCGGCGATGGTACCTCTTATGAACTTTAAAATAGAGTTGTGGTGCTCCAATGCGCTCTCCTCGCGCATTAAATCGACTTTGTTTTGTAGAATGATAACATGCTTCAGCTTCATGATTTCGATAGCTGCCAAATGCTCCGAGGTCTGCGGTTGAGGACATGACTCGTTACCGGCAATTAGAAGCAGGGCTGCGTCCATGACGGCAGCACCTGACAACATGGTACTCATCAGAATATCGTGCCCTGGACAATCCACGAAAGAGACGTGACGTACCAATTTGTAACGGCCATTACAGCCTGGACGCTGACACTTAGGGCTTATTTCTTTATCAGACTTGAAGGAGCGGTAACAGTCTGGTTCTGGACAGCTGGAATCGTCACACTTGTAAATTTTGGCGTTAGCGTAACCCAGCTTGATGGTAATGTTACGTTCCAGTTCGTCCTTGAAACGGACAGTTTGAACGCCTGAAATGGCTCTCACCACGGTAGACTTACCGTGGGCCACATGACCGATGGTACCAATGTTGATGGTTGCCTGTCTATTGATAATATCCGCTGAAAGTGGGTTCAAAGTAGAAAAGTCTGGGTCAAGAGGTTGTTCTGGTAGCCCCCCGCCTTCTTCAAACTCACGTTTGAGCTTCTCTTCGTCAGATTCGAAATCATCTACTCCACTGAATGTAACACTTTTTTTAGGTTTTCCGTCTTCTTCCGGTTGTTCTTCCTCCAATGCCAATTCCTCTTCGTAATCCAAAGCTTCGTCATTACCCAAGCTGTTACCTAGCTTATCCCTCAGCACTCTTTCAGTGTTTTCCTGATCTTGTAGTTCCGCTGCCATCTTCTTTTCACTGGTTTATAGATCTTTTCACTTGAAGCACAACCTTGTCAAAAATAATCGGATCGAAATGGATCGAAGTGGGATTTGTCGAGAATAAAAAGCTCAAAATTCTCAATGTGTTAAGTTCCCTGAAAGACGTCTTTGTTGTGCGCTGCTATGGCTTGAACAGTTCGTTTCGACAGTGTTGGATCTTGAAAAGTTAACCACTTCTCTCAGGCTCACTCTTTAGTTATTAAAAATTTTTTTCAGAGACTTCTCAGAGATGTGTCATTCGAGACGAAATTGGAATTAAGGCATCAACAAGAAAAACGTAAGTTTAGTCAAAAATGATGAAGAACGACACTGAGGCGATACCGATGGTAAGCTGGCAAGTGTTGATCCATATTTCGAATATCAAAGCGTGGGATTGAATGCAAATTCATTCATTAAAATATCAACGTCTTTCCACACGCTATCGGATTCCCAATTGTCCCACCGATCCAGCGGGACCGGTGAGTCGCTGCGATTCGACGACGACACAGTGGCATATTCATGTTCCTGGATTTTTGGGGTTGTTTTGGTCTCCGCTTTGTCTGCATATAGCCTTCGGTCAATGAGGGGATCGGGTGTGAAATTCAGAGAATCAACAAAAGGTCCCTCGCTTGTATCGTTCACATCTTCCGTCAAATTTTCAGCATTTGGGCCCGAAGATATGCCAACCCTCTTGTTTAATATGCTTCTTAGCGACACCACATCCGAAGCCTCCGCACTGGGGATATTTGGACTATTGCTGGTGGTAACTGGGGCGTTGATGGGCTCCGGATCCAATGGGATGGTTTTGATCAATTTCCGGGCGCTATCGTCGACTCGCTCATGCGAAGAGATGTCATGACCTTCCTTCCCGGGTCTTCCGTACGCAGTAGCGTTGTCGTCGAGCTCGTTTTCATCAGAGTCCGATCGTAATTCTCTCTTGAGTTTGGCCATGCCACATTTCTCACGAAGCTTGTACAGACAGTCGAAGAAGACACTTGCCGACATCCTAGACCTTATGGTAATGTCTAAATTGAAATCTTTTGAGAATGCTTTAGCTGTCTGCGTCTGCTCGTGTTTCCAATGCTCGTGCATGTTACTAAACATCCTCCATATGCTTTTCATGATACCCGACGACCTATAAGCCATATCGTACTTCAGGACTGAGGCAGAGCTCGTCAAAGTTATGGCTTCTTGATACATCTCCTTCCCTTTTTCAAGATTCAAAACTGAATTCAGTGATGAGTGCGACAGTTTGCTGATAATGCATGCTGTCTGCCAAATGTTCAAAACGAAAACACCTGGAAAAGATTTGATTAGATGTGGAGTTGACTTACACATCGACGTTGTGTGCGTGAGAAGCTCGATCGCAGCATTGTAAACCTTCACAAATCCCGCTTTGGCTTCAAAGTCGATTTCTGTATCTCGGACGCTCATTTCCAGAGATCTCACATCTAGAGCGCCGTCCTGAGACGCATCACCAGTGAAGGTATAGGTCAGCAAATGAACTTTAGCTACCAAAAGCAAAAACTTTCTGATGTCGTCCAGCTTGCTGTCACGAAGCCTGATTTCCAATTCTCCCAGCTGTTGCTCTAAAACGCGTAATAATGGGAGTTTTTCAGCTCCTGCGACCATCCCCATAACATCCAGTGGGTTGGAATTCATCGTCCTGGTCAGTTGGTTCTCGAAATGAGCAATGTACATCATTTGCTTAATACTTTCCGCTATTTCCATGTCTTTGTGATCAGACAGAGGGCGTTGTACACTTTTACAGGCACTGATCACAGTGTGATCGAAGGAAACGAAAGCTGGGAATCCGAAGGATGATGCAATCGTTTGCGAAACGATATTGCAGCAAATCCAAGTTTTGACTTGTTCTTGTATTTGCTCCGAATTCGCGGTCGCGTACTCGGTCGAAAATTCCGCACAATTGAGCCCTACACGGATGGCTTGAAACATGGCAGATCCAATGGTGTTCCAGGATGTGTCAGCGCTTAACGACGAGGTGAGCGGAGGCCAAAAAGTATACAGCAGAAACGCCTGGACAGAATACACGGACGCCACGTTCAGAACTGGTTCATCATTCTCCATGGGTGCATATCTAATGATCGGTGACATAGTTATTTCTGCAAGAACGGATTTGACCAAGGTTGAAAGATTGGTCATAATCCCAGAGGCCTTGAATTTTCGTCGAAGTCCGACTAGCATGATCACCCAGAATAAGCAAGGTGAAAGCTCGTATATGCGCTCGGGACCCTTGGTTATGTCCACTACGGGCAGGAAAGGGTGGTATCTGGAGACGAACTCCGCAAAGAGCTCGCCAATATCTTCTGCGGACAGGTATATGTCGCCCAGGGACTTCGAAGTGCACTTTTGCGCTGCAAGAGGCAGTGAGCCTGAGCGTGCAGGACTTTTTTCATGGCTGTTTTCCGGAAACTCGTCATGCTCTTGGCGCAGTTTTCGCAGTTTGTTTTTAGTGAAGTTACTTTGATCTAACAGGACTTCTTGCTCTAATTCGATTTTCCTCAAAATCTCATCCGCGTCCAAATTTCCCAAAGTTTTGGTCAACTCTTTGAAACGCTTTTCAATAGCCTCGTTTCTGAACCTTTTGTAGGTCCTTCGGAAGTCCTTTTGGAGCACACACGGTATGTTTTTCTTTCTGCACCTTGTGCAAGGGTTGGGAGCAAATTCATGAGCATCGCACTTGGATTTCTGCTGTCGGCATTCCACACACGCTAATTTCTTTCTTCTGCCGGTTCCGTCTCCCATTGACTCATGGAAACCCGGATTTTTGGAATCTAACGAACCCGGTATTTCACTTCTCGAAGCGCTGCTTGGAGTCATATAAAGAGGGAGTACAAGATTTGTTTGAACTTTTGATCGCGTCCTAAAACACTCTTCAAGGCTCTTCTTCAGCTATAGTTGCTCGAAATGTCATCGATTCCGCTTGGCGATGAGCTTTAGTTCTGTTGATGAGTACACTAGAAGCTCTTAATTTATCAATTTCAAGCTCATCTCATGAGAACACCAGCCAAGAATACAGAAAACAAAGACATAAAGGGAAACAATGAGGGCATGGCAGGTATATAAGACATCGAGTCTAGATATAAAACTATGTTGGATATCTGCGTTTTTGAGATTGGGCTCCTATGGTGTTACTAACCAGGTTTTGACACTTTTTTTGAAAGAGATCGGCATCTCTGAAAAAGAGATGGGATGGTTTATGTCGTTGACATTGGTGGGTGACGTTTGTATATCTTACTTATTGACATGGCATGCAGATGAATGGGGGAGACGTCGTATTCTGACTTATGGTGCAGTGATGATGGTCTTGAGCGGAATTGTGTTTACTTGGAGCGAGAATTTCTATATTCTTTTGGTATTTGCCATTTTTGGAGTCATTTCACCATCAAGCGACGAAGTGGGACCATTTAAGTCCATCGAAGAATCGATGATGGCACATCTAACGCCTCACAACCGTCGCCCCGAAATTTACGCCATTCACTCCCTGGTGAGTATCTCAGGAAGCGCATTAGGATCAGTTTTCTGCGGGTGGTTTGTTCAAATTCTACAGGACAGAAGAGTTTTCGACACTCAACTTCAATGCTACAAAGCTGTTTTTGCCGTCTACACTGTCTTGGCTATTGGGAAGCTAATTTCAATCGTATTTTTGTCGGATGCTGCGGAGCTGGACGCTCACCATCACGAAGAACCAGATGTCCAGCAAGTTCTCGACGAGAACATGCCCTTGGTCGAGCAAAACGACAGGAAAAAGTCACGATTGGCTCCAGAAACTTTCTCGGTCATGATCAAGCTACTTATCATCTTTATGCTAGACTCATTTGGCTATGGGTTCATGACAAGCGCTTGGACTGTATTCTACTACTCAGTCGTTTTTGGACTGGGCCCCGCTGCATTGGGATTGCTCTTCTTTGTTGCAAAGATAGTAATGGCTTTGTCTTCCTTACCATCATCAACCATCGCCAGGATGTTTGGCCCAGTAAAGGCAACTTTGATGGTACAAGTTCCATCCGCGATTTTCTTCATGTTGGTACCATACGCTGAAGGGCATCTCTCGCTATCTTTGCTATTTTTCAACCTTTACAACTTGACAACTGCTATGGATGTCACTCCTCGGCAAATTCTACTGACGAACATCATTAAACCAAGCGATCTCACAAGGGTGATGGGCGTTGTAAACATAGGCAAAACGTTTGCCCGCTGTATTGGACCCGTTTTCACAGGATTGTTGGCTGATAGAGGTCTACTTTGGTGCTGCTACTTAATTAGTGGAACATTCGTTCTTCTTGCTGATTTTGTGCTAGCCGTTTTATTCTATGATATTGATTCCCATGTCCTTAAAACAACGAATTCCTAAGCCGCTACAGTAATTCCACACAACGCGCAACTGTCCATATGCATTTGTGCTCCCCTTTCAACACCCAACTCCCCAAAGGGGCGCCAGTTCATTAAGTGAAATCTGCCGGCCTATCTTCATCTTTTCCTCGTTTGTTAAAAACCGGGAGGTCAATTCCATCGTTACTGAATCTGAGCGGTTAGATCTCCTTCTTTCCTTGTTAATTGAGTTATTCGCGGAAGCCGGTTGCGTAGACACCTTACTACTGATGGGGCTGACCGGCTCAAACGCGTTCCAATATTGAGACTTACTCCCTATTTCATAGACGTCTTCTCTTGAAAAACTCCATTGTTTCAGCAGATCTGATTGTGGCGAAATCTCGATTGGTCCAACCCGACAGCTTCTCTCATTTTCCACCTGTGATAAAATTGGGTTTTTTTCGCACTGGGACTTACAAAAGAGCATCTGGTCCAAGATTTTTTTAAGGGCTGAGAGAAACCGACCTCCTTGTCTAAACTGAGAAGTGACTGTCAGCTCGCATCGATCGGGGCCCAAACTGTAGCCTATACCAAATCCCTGCGGGACGGCAGGATTTATCCCGAATCCAGTCACTGCTGAATTACCACAGTGGGCTGCGATTATTTCAGGATTGGACAATGGGCTTATCAGGTCACTGTCGAATACATCAGATGCCACTTCGAGGTCTTCTGGAGTCAGGTTGATTTGAAACTTTCGGTAGTGCTGGTAGAGATACCGCAACATGTTGAAGTGCTTTTCAAAGCCCAGACCACGCTTGGATACTCCGACGCTCTTACGATGAATGTCGCACATGGACACAAACATTTCAACTTTAGAGTGTTCATCCAGAAGATTGGAATTATAGAGTTGACACAGCTCGAATATTTGCTGATTTTGAACAGGAACGAAAGCGGACCTTGAGTTACGAAAAGCCCTCGTAGAGACTGGTTCAAACGTAGAAGACATCTTACCATAAAGAGTGAAATGCGCAAGCTGTATTGCGACTTGTATCATGGAATCAGGGTTTACCCCCAGCCGATGGGCGATATTTCTTCCGTATGGTATGTTTTTCTGCACGATGTCATGTCTGCATACCAAGTCGGCAAGGTTGCTTTCAGACATTGAAACAACCTCTTTCATGGTGTCAGAAAGTTCCCAAACTAGCTTCTTGACACGTTTCGAAGGGCATGCATTGGTGGCTGAGGGAGAATCCCAAAGTGAGAATACAGAACTGTCATCAATCTCCCGAGCTAGACGTAGGACAGAGTCTGCATAAATGTCAGAGGCAAATCGCATTATGGCCGAACCATCGCAGGTGAGAGAGTCCCATATTACGCTTGCCTTGGCATCTTTCGTGACGACCAGCTGCAATTTATCGTACCACCTTGAGCAGCAAGATCCCTGCCAAACACCTTGCTCATTTACGGTACTGCTTCCGTAAAATAGTCGTTTGCACTCTCGGGACGGATCTGAAGCGGTAGAAGATTCATCTAGAACTAAAACGAACAAGGCAGAATCCATAACTGCGAGTTCGGTAGGACACTGTTTTTCCAAGAGAACGCGCGCATGTTTCCACTGTTTCAGTGAACACGCGGTGAAACTGCCCAGAGCTGTATTGTGAGCCAAGTGCTCCAATTCAGTGGAATCGGCTAAAATAGAGAGCAGAACTTGGGATAAAGCATCGTCGTCGTAAAGTGGAGCATTTTCACTGTTCAAGACCTCCAAAGTGTAATACTGACCCCTTGAAATGACCACAATGTGAGTGGATGATGGATGTGTTTTTTCTGTGATTTCATAGTCGTTGCTAAATTTAGAGGCTTGTGAATCACACAAGGATGCTGCTTCATCGCAGTTGCCACGGTTCTCTGTTTTCACAGAAGGAAGACATCTGGTGGTGCCAAACAAAGCCGTGTAGGGAAGCATGGAAAGCGGTGTTCCGGAATGGTCTTTTTCGGGCGGCAGAACTCCGCGTCTCAGAGCAGATATGAACTTTAAGGCAGAATGACACAAGACTGCAGCGCGATCGTGTTGTTCAATACCTTCCACCGCATCTGGAGACAATACCAAAAATGGGTTTCGTGGCAAAACATCCCCTTCTATTTCACGGGTCAAAGCGTGGCTATATATGTCCAGTTGTGAGCTATCCAGTAGATCAGAGCCCTGCAGGTTGAGTTCCAACAGTTTGGACTGCAGTTTTTGAGCCACTTCCGATTTCAAAAATCGCGAAATCGCGCTATACAGCTTGTATTCATTCTCTGCGTGCTGGTGGTGTCTATGATAGCCGTCTGCAACGTTCAATGGTTTTATGCATGTTTCCAGTTGCTCAAAAGTTGAACCCAGATCAGGAATTGGGAGGACTGGAATTTGGTGTTCAAACTCAAAAGTGAAAGTCATTACGATCAGCAGAATACATAAATACCTATAAATCCTATAATTTGATAAACGAAATCATGATAGATTTCTACCTCTCATCGGCGAGATCTTATACACCTGTGAGAAGCCGTTATCGGTTGCGTCCTGAGGTCACAACTTTTGGTCATCATTTAATTTATTTAAAATGTCGTTTTCCTTTAAACCTCTGGTGACAGGAATTGCAACAAGTGACGAAGTTCTGAGATAGAAGTGACGCGAATATACCAGAGCCAGATGTTGGAGTATTATCAACGAGTGCGCGAGGTTTGTAGGAGAGATCAGATATATACTGGCTTTATTCGTTTCTAACCACAGTAATGATTGAAGTTTTGGAAAGTTCAGTTTATCACGATAAATCAGAATGAAGAATTTGGGCAAATCTGCAGAAGTCAGAAGTTTTGAAGATTTGAGCTGAATAGCTAGATAAAGATTTGAAATGCACACCTTTATTGACTCAGAAGCAGATTATCATACATTGTTTTTGGCTATTTAGTAGTTTTTCAAGTTAGTTGTAGAATTTATTATAATACTGCACTACAGCTTTAATATCAATGACAGGATATGTAGTTAAAATCAGAAAGAGTGTATACTGTGTAGGTTGGCAGATATACATACACACACACACATGTTGAAACGTTGAGGTCTCGATGGAAATATGTGTGAATAATCAAAAACCTAAACTTTTCAATAACTTCAGATACACTAGTTCAATTTCCCGAACTTTTCTGAGATCCAGAGGCCGTGTCAGTAAGCCGTTAAAGACAAAGTAAGATATACAAGCTAAGCGTTACTCGATCATTGCAAGTGGCGAAAGATTTATCTTCAAATCCCCGCATCCATTTCAAAACCATGCCTTACATTACAAACAACCAGTACTACGTCACATAAAACTCTACTAGCGTAATTTCAAGAACTTCAATCCCGACCATTCAACAGCTTGCGCCAAGAATCAGCGGACTGGGCTTTGGCGTCACCGACCCCATCTTATTAATAAATTTTCCCTTAGCATCACGGTTATAGAGCTAGAAAGTGTACAAATACAAAGAGACGATGTAAAATCCCTGAGCGTAATGAGGCAACCTTAACGGTTAGACTTGGCAACACGTTCCAATTCGTCCTTCTTCTTGATAGCGTAGGAAGTGGAGGAACCCTTGGCAGCGTTGATCAATTCTTCAGCCAAAGTTTCGGCAATGGTCTTGATGTTTCTGAAAGAGGCTTCTCTGGCACCGATGGTCAACAAAGCGATGGCCTGGTTGACTCTTCTCAATGGAGAAACATCGACGGCTTGACGTCTGGCAGCACCACCACCACCAACTCTGGTGGTGTCTTCTCTTGGACCGGTGTTGACAACAGCGTCGACAACAACCTGCAATGGGTTCTGGTCGGTCAACACGTTGATGATGTCCAAGGTGTGCTTGACGATTCTGACAGCCTTCAACTTCTTACCGTTGTTTCTACCGTTCATCATCAAAGAGTTGGTCAATCTTTCAAAGATAGGGCACTGAGCCTTTCTGAATCTCTTGTTGGCGTAACGGCCGGCAGTGTGAGGAACAAAGATGGATTGGCCCACTTGGACGTAGTCCACCAAAGATGGGTCCTTGACCTGGACATCTTCGAAAGACCATTTGTTGAATAGCTTGATCTCCTTTTGGGCTCTTTGGACGTCCTCTGGGATCGCAGTGGCCAATTCAACTGGAGTGAACTCCTCAACGACTTCGAACTCTTCCTGTTCTTGAACTTCAACTGGAGCTTCTTCGTGGTCAGACATCTTGGCTATGGGTTCTTACCGTGCTATGGGGGTTTTCGTTCGGGAACTCAGATTCACGTATATTGAAATTTACCCAGGCATCTTTTGTCAAACTGGAAAGTTCACGCTGCAACGCTGACGTTGTCCAGCGAGTGGCAGCTGAGGAGCGGCTGGCAGGAGCTAGACGGAGCTCTGTCCAACGCTAGTGGGACCGCCAGGCTGGCGCGTGGTACCACTAGACAGGCGCGGTGCCGAAACCTAGACAGGAGCTAGGCAGAGGCCTGCCGGTGAGCACTGCCTACGCACAGCAAGATGCTACTGCTCCAGGGTCAGTGTGGTCGCATCTCACGCCCCGGTTGCCCTTCTGAAAAAAAGCACGCAAATTTGAAGATTCATAGCTTTTTTCGTTTTTCAAAAAATTTAAACTTTTGACAAATGACTGTTTTGGGTGTATGGGTTTTCAAACCAGAAAACAGTCACAACCCAAGCGATGTATAATAATGGGAAAACCGACTAAGCGTAAGATCAATCAGATCGATGCCAATAAATGCTAAGGTTGTGCCAATCATAATGGATCGTTGTTGGCCCAGCCGAAAATAACACGTATGCCGGTTTGCTCCCGTTCTCGAGATACTGTGATTAGGGTTGATGATTAAAGTAGCTTTGTAGTGATTTTGTTCAGCTTAACTGACCTTTCGTAGATTTCTCGTGCAAGCCATACGTAGTATTCACTGTAGTCGGCGCATACCTTTGTGGATAACGTAGAGATTTGAAAAAAGTGACCAACAAGCCATTGAAAACCTCGTTTTACCCATCCAGTGAGTCTTCTCTCCATTCCTCGTACCACAAGGGTTTTTGAGGGATCACAGAAACTCTAGAATCCGGACTTTCAGCCTCGATGTATAAATATGGGGTTTTGTCAAGTTCAAAGGCTTCTTGAAATTGCTCGTTTCTCAGTATTGCTACCCCGCGATCCTTTTCGTAGCACAGCAAGGATCCAATCGGTCTCCGCCGTTTCCGGGTTGGAGTCTTGTCTGCAAATGGGCTCGAGGATTCAGGGACAGACGACTGTACGGCCGTCGCTTCGTCGTCGCCCCATATATGTAGGTATTTGTCTGCTGCCAGGCCCTCAAGTAATTCCCAGTTTTCCAATACCACGGGAACAGCTCTTTTTCGCAGCACGCCAGTCGAAAATGTACGTGCGGTAAGCTCTTGGCCAACATAACATCCCTTGTCAAAGCTCACAGCATTGGGTATGAAATCGAAATTTAGCTCCAACGGCAGCATAGTATCTTGTTTGAAATCCGAGAGACCATCCACATACCCATGTGTGTATCTTTCGCGCCGGACGTCTGCCTCCGTTATTTTTTGGACATCAAACTTGAAGGGGAGGTCTGGTGCATTGAAGATGTCACTGACTTCAGCAACATTCGACGCGGTAATAACCCGGAAAATAAGTGGGGTCTCCGGGCTGTCATAAAGCAATTGTGCGCTTCTGGGATCAACAAATAGGCCCAGCACTTTCTGTTCATGATGCTGGAAAAAGGTTGTCAACAAATGCCGGGCGTAATCTAAAGCGATTTCTGGAGCTTTAACAGTTTCCATTGGAGTCACTAGGTTTGACAGCCACGGATTTTCGTCCGATATCCCAGCAGGAAATCCAACTGATAGATACCAGGATTTCAACTTGCCTTCAGGCTCCATTTTACTCTTGACTTTGCTTACCAATGTGTGAGACTCAAAGATATCGTTCATTCGGGCGCCGATGCCATTGTCCACCTCAATCAGATATTCCGGGTACTTGCGTGACTCTATAGTTTCAATCAGCAAAGGTGCAGGATAAATAATAGCATCTGTCATGACTTTACCTTTACTATTCAGCAAACCGGTGTATGCACCAAATCTGGAAATGTAAGGGCCATTGGCACCATTTTCCTTAAAAATGCCCCAATTGCCATGATTTGTGTCAAAGTCCTTGACAGCTTCAAACTCAGAAGACTCATGGTCGTCTACTGTAATTGTGGTGAGGTTTTTTTTGACATATGTCGGCAGCATCTTCGAAGTTACAAGCCCATTGAGGAACTTCGCAGCATCGGGTCCCCTGATATGAAGAAAGCTCTTGTTCGGTAGTGCGCAGTACTTCAATTGCGCATGGGAGCTGGCATAGCGATGAGACGCTATTTTGCATAGTCTCAAAGTATTTGCCAGTGCCATCATTGTCTCATTGACTTTTTAACTTCAAGATGACCAAATAGATCATTGATTAATTGTAGAGTGCTGACGATAAGGAATAAATACTAATTCTCCCAAAAGCTACTAATCGCATTTCTGATCAAAGATACAGAGCTGTCATTTGGAGCTACAGCGGCTCCAACAAGGTCTTTGTTTACTTGTATTGTGAATACTTATTTGAATATAAAGAGTCGATGTTCTAAGGATTTGATGCATGACAAAAATCGCCCGCATTTTACCATTGAGAGGTGCATATGCAGACAGACCTCCATAGAAAAATAAGCAGAATTCTCTCAGTTATCGATCAAAGGTTGGTCACATTCAATTTATAACAAAAATGCTCTTTTCAGAAATCTCATCATCATCATCATCATAAAATGTCTATTTTTTGTCTCGTTTTTATCTTGAAACGCACGCTCTACTGTGAGATGGAAAGTGGGTAATTGTTGTTTTTGCTCGTTTGCCGTACGCTGTTTTGAGGAAAACCGTGAACGTCAAGAGAAAGCGTCATTTTGTTCTCATTAATTAGCCTCGGAAGCCAACTTTTCGGCCTTGGCGACAACGTCTTCGATACCACCAACCATGTAGAAAGCGTTTTCTGGCAAGTGGTCGTACTTACCGTCCAAAACGGCCTTGAAAGAGGCAACAGTGTCCTTCAATCTGACCAATCTACCTGGGATACCGGTAAAGACTTCGGCGACGGCGAAAGGCTGCGACAAGAATCTTTGAATCTTACGGGCTCTTTCGACGGTCAACTTGTCTTGTTCGGACAATTCATCCATACCCAAAATGGCAATGATATCTTGCAAAGATTTGTAGGCTTGCAAAGTCATTTGAACGTTGGAAGCAACGTCGTAATGTTCTTGACCAACAACGGCAGCGTCCAAAAGTCTGGACTTGGAGTCCAATGGATCGACGGCTGGGTAGATACCCAATTCAGAGATACCTCTGGACAACACAGTGGTAGCGTCCAAATGGGCGAAAGTGGTGGCTGGAGCAGGATCAGTCAAATCATCGGCTGGCACGTAAACGGCTTGGACCGAAGTGACGGAACCCTTCTTGGTGGTGGTAATTCTTTCTTGCAAGAGACCCATATCGGTGGCCAAAGTAGGTTGGTAACCGACAGCAGATGGAATACGACCTAGCAAAGCAGACACTTCGGAACCGGCCTGGGTGAATCTGAAAATGTTGTCGATGAAGAGCAACACATCTTGGCCTTCTTCGTCTCTGAAATATTCGGCAATGGTCAAACCGGTCAAAGCGACACGGGCACGAGCTCCAGGAGGTTCGTTCATTTGACCGAACACTAGGGCCACCTTGGACTCACCTTCGAGGTTGATGACACCGGTTTCACGCATTTCACGGTACAAATCGTTACCTTCTCTGGTTCTTTCACCGACACCAGTGAACACGGAGAAACCACCGTGGGCCTTGGCAATATTGTTAATCAGTTCTTGGATAAACACAGTCTTACCGACACCGGCACCACCGAACAAACCAATCTTACCACCACGGGCGTATGGAGCCAACAAGTCCACAACCTTGATACCGGTTTCCAAAACTTCGGCAGCAGTCGATTGCTCGACGAAAAGAGGAGGCTCGGCGTGGATAGGCTTCTTGTGCTTGGTCACGATAGGACCACGCTCATCGATAGGCTCACCAACAACGTTAATGATACGACCTAGTGTTTCTCTACCAACTGGCACGGAAATTGGTGCACCGGTGTCGAGCACTTTTTCACCACGCACGAGACCTTCGGTACCGTCCATAGCGATCGTTCTCACAGTGTTTTCACCCAAATGTTGGGAAACTTCCAACACAAGCTTGCCCTGTTTGGTCTCAATTTCCAAAGCATTGAGAATTTCAGGCAAGTTGCCCTGTTCGAACTGAACGTCAACAATGGCACCGATAACGGCGCGCACCTTACCCGCGGCAGAAGCCTGGGTTGCGAGAGCTCTGACGGCTGACACACCAGCACGTCTCGCAGCGTACAATCTGGGGAGAACCATGGTCACAACACAGACAGAGAGAAAGACAAACTACTGTGGTTCACTCTATTTTGGCAAGTAGAGACCTGTTTTTAGGAATCTTTTGTTAAGAAAAGTGTATCTTAAGAGGGAAGAATCAACCTGTATATTTTTCACCACTGTATAGAGAGCGTGGTATTTTGAGGGCGGGTAACGGTTGTCATTTTTTTAATTAATAGCTGGGGTCAAGAGACGCGTTCTGATTGGCTGAGAGCCGGGCGGAGGGAATGAAGCGGCAGAAGCGGAGAGTGAAGGGAGAGACAGTAAAGAAATAGACGATGAAGAGCTACGACAGGAGAAGAAATTGGGTAGAAGATGAATTGAACTTATGAGGGCTTTTTTTTGGTTGCTTGGAAAATGTTATCGTTCTGTACGGAATATCGTTGTGTATGCCATTCTTGTAGGCATGATTGGTTCAAAGTTTCCGGTCTTTTCTTGTAATTGAATTGAGACCATTGGATGTGAATCCTCTTTTAGCGGACTTCTTCTGATGAAACAGGCCCGTGATAGTTTACTACTTCTGATTCGTGTTTTGTTGGCGTTTTGTACGAGCGACGATCTGGGAGCTTTGCACGACGACATCTACTTGTTTCTCTAGTCGATTACGCAGTCGAGCGGCAAAGAATCGGTGGATGTTCAGGCAACTAGACTGTGTCATCTTTTGTGGATCATCCTTCGTCGTCAAGTGAGGTCTTTGAAAATTCCAGAACAACAGAGCTGCCCTTCTTAAGATTATACTTTTCATATCTGCTAACAGATCCTCACTCACAGATCCAGTGTCAGCGACCCGAGCGTCAAAAATGATAAGCACGCCATCGACTCTGTCATAACGAACCAGCAACGGCTATTTTTGACAAGACTCTCAACACAGGTCAGTGCTGTTTCAGCAGGAGCTTCCTGTAGTCAGAGCCAAATTTCTTGTGTCTGGCGCTTCGAATAATGATTTATACGCACGCATAATCACAATTACCGCAATTTACATACCTTGACGCACCCACGCACCAAATGTCATCGTTGACACCCATAAATTAAAATCATTTCGTGATCCAAGTCTCTGCCAAGCCTTAAGCGCCTTCCATTGCTATCTAGCTTCAATTTCAACGAAGCACGCTATCTATCTTGTGTTGCGCACGCTTCAAAATGTCTCGTATTTCATCAGGGTGCCTAATGTAATAAAGCTCATCGTGTTTGAACCGCTGGCGCGATTCATCATCGGAGGTATCTTCTTCATCTGCCTGCTCTATTAATCGAAAGTAGTCATGAGCGCACAGAATGTCGATGTCGCCTCTTTCTGCCAGTTGGTTCCATTCCTCAGGCTTCATCGATTGCAAACGTCTCCGCTTGGAAAACCGTGACGATTTGCAATGAGCCACGAACGCAAACGGACAAATGGTTTTGCAAGAGGAGCAGAAGATGTCGTCGTCACCATCGTCATTTTCAGCACCCGAGTCTGGCTCTTCAGTAACATACTCATCCTTGTATCTGTCGTTGGAAGTCACCGTCACATGTATGTCAACTCGAAGCTTATCGTCAATATGACGACGTGTGAAACCTTTGGCCTCATTTTGGGCTCGCACAACGTCCGTCAACTGATTTAAGGTTTTGACCTCACGATTGAACATTTCTAACAGCTCGGAATGACATCTACGCACCATACCTTCCTCAAACTTCTTCGGATTCTCCAAATACTCTAACAACACGGTAAGCATCAGTTCCCACATATTGAACACGCACTTTTTCCCAGTATCTATGTAGTCATGCGTTGCTTCAACGCCGTACGGCAGCCATAGATCAAGCGTGAAATTGACCGCTTCGTTAAAGTTGTAGCCTGTATTAAATCCCGAGTGATAACACTTTGGGAAAGTTACCACATACTCACCTGGATACTGTACCGCTTTATAGCAGCTGATCTTTGCGTCTTGGAACCGTTTATCATATGGGGCTATCAATGTGACGAGCTGATGAAGAAGATCCGGTTGCTTTTGGAATAAATCGGGCGCTATGCTTTTCATTAACTCGTCGAATTTCTCGCGAGAGCTCTCAGGAACACTGTACCATATTTTTGGATCACCCTCGTGCTGATAGTTGGCGCTCAACGTGTATTGATCCTCCAAATGCCAGCAGAAGGTTGAGAACGTGGATCCGATATAAATCCACGGTACGGTCATACCAGATATTCTTTTGCCAAAAACCGACAGTAGAGAACCCTTGGCAGTGGGAAAATTAACCAAATTCATAGGATGCTGAACATAATTTGTGTATTTTTGCCTGGCGTCCGAGTCTTGCTGAATTTCCGGAGGTACAAAGTCAGCTGTAGGGAAACCTGTCATTTGACCAGGCCCCACATTGTGGATATCCGCACCATACCGAATGGAAGATTCCGTATCGATTTGATTAACCTGATCCCAAAACATGGTTTCTAAGGCCCCCAGATCCTGCAACTTGTTGCCCTGGGGCCACAATTGCGAATCGAACTCCCCGCACAACTTCTGGAAGCTTTCTCTGGAGTAGAACTTGTCCTCCTCCTTGAAACCGTAAAAACCGTTCCCAAAAATGCAGTTATTACACACCCACTTCCCCTTCGGTACGTCACTCAACGGTGGGTCCAAACAGAAAATGTGGAACGGCTTATCACACGAGTCGCACAAGATGGTTTTAGTGCGGTGAGATGTTCGACGGCAAATGATGCATCCTTCTTCTTCCTCTTCTTCTGATTCCTGGTCGTTGCTACTGTCATCTGCATCGTCGTCAGAGTCATTCAACAGTGATCTGGGATATTCTTCAGTGTATATCAATTTTGACAGCATGGAAGCATGGTCGCCGGAGGGCCCCGTCTTTCGCTGCAGAAAGTCGTAATAGGGTGCCAGAATTGTACGAAATACATGTAGCAGCTTCTCTGCCGGCTTATCCAGCGTTTTGGAAACGTCCTTCCACAGTTTCGGGCTATCATATATGTCCTGTAGAGGTGCCAGGAAAACCCTGGAGCTACGTTTTGCACTGTTTTTAGCAAAACGATCAGACCTGGATCGTTTACGACAGGTGAACGGCATTTGTGAGGGTGCTACAGGACCTTCTTCTCGTTCTTGTTTAACAGCGTCCATTTCGTTGCAGAACCGAGTGACGGCGATGAAAAGGTCGTAAAAGTAGATGCGGCCGTGCTGCGATTCCACGTATGGTTTTGATATAACAAGTGTTGCACTGCGTTTTCCACGCATGTTAAAATTGTTCAGCTGCTTCATCAGAAACAGCCGTCCTCTGTTTGATATATCGAGTTCGTTTAAGTGCTGTATCCTAGCCCGAAACTTGAAACGTGTTTCATCGATCGAAAGAGGCGGTTTGAATTCTTGTGGCGGTACCAGTTTGACCATCCCGTAAATGTGACCCAATCTGCGTACATTTGGCTGCGAAAGAAAACCGATGGGGTCCTCCATTTCACTCGACGTTAGCCGTAAAACCGGGATATGTTCCAGTTCGACCATATTGCGGGGAGTGGTTTGAAAAGATGGTAAAAAGCTGGGGAATTTATCAAAAGATGTGTTATTTCAACTTGATAGTAATATGATTTTATAGTAGTGACTCGCCGAAACGCTGAAGTCGAGTTTAGTTCAGAGACTTGGGTCATTATACTCTTTTCCAATATATATATCTTGTAATTCCATATCATTATTCACCCAGCTTGTCGCTAGTCATATTGAAAGATGGGATGAGTATGATGGGTCTCTCGTGTATAGAAGGTGAAAAAAGAACAATATCAACGGAGGTCAGATGATCGAACATGGGCGTATACAGTGACTAGGGTGAAGAATAATTACATCACCATACACGGCGACGTTTAACATGATATAAGCAACTACATTTAAAAAAAGAAATCCATCACATAATCATTTTGTCACGTGACAATACAGATCAGTCCGATTACATAATCAAATCAATGCCCTTATCAATAAATTCCAAGCTAAAGGATCACGTGATTCTCGAAAGATAAATCAAATAAAATGAAGGTGTTCCCGGTAAGCTAAACCCAAACCGAGAGCTTCAAACCACAACATCTTTCCAGATAAGGAGTCTTCGCTGCTCACTAACTACAATCCATACAACTTCGACCCTCCGAAACAACTCCGAACATTATGGGCTACACTTTGACTATTTTGGGCTGCGGTGTTATGGGCCAGGCTATCTTATCAGCCATCTACAACGCACCAGCAGCAGCTGAAGAAACCAAAATTTTTTACCCAGAAACAATCGTCGCATGCAACAACAGTCAAAGCTCATCCAATGCTGTAAAGGAGCTGGTTCAGTCGTTCGGGGACAGTCCAAATGGCATTGAAGTTGAGTACACTGTTGATCAGAATGCCGAGGCCGTGCAAAGAGCTGAAGTGATCGTGCTGGCCACGAAACCTTTTTATGTGGAACAGGTGTTGAAGGGCGTCGATGTCGGCAATAGACTCTTGATTTCGCTCGTGGCAGGCTGGACGCTCGAGCAATTCCAGCAATATGCTCCCGCTGTCACCAGGGTCATGACCAACACACCCGCCAAGTTTGGCTACGGAATGGCAGTGCTATCGCATTCTTCTGCCGTTTCCGACCATAACAAGACTCTCGTAAAGGAGCTTGTTGGCCACGTTGGAAGCTGTATTGAACTGCCCGAGAAAAACATGGACGCTGCAACTGCCCTGGTTGGTTCCGGTCCGGCCTTTGTGCTGCTTATGCTCGAATCCCTAATGGAGAGCGGTATCAAAATGGGAATTCCTCTCAAGGAAAGTAAACAATGTGCCATCAAGGTTTTGGAGGGCACTGCGAAGATGGTAGAAAAGACAGGCGCGCACCCCAGTGTTCTGAAGCACCAGGTGTGTACTCCAGGCGGTACTACCATTGCTGGTTTGTGTATGATGGAGGAAAAAGGTGTCAGAAGTGGTATCATCAAGGGTGTTGAGGAAGCTGCTGCCGTTGCCGCGCGTCTGGGTAAGAAGTAAAGGCTGTGTAATGTAACTTGATGTTAGAACGATGTGGTGCTGTCAGAAGCATGCTGCGCGAGAACCAAGAAAAGAATAGCGATGAGTTAAACCGAAGGCGGCTACTGATGTTTGAGCTCTCTTCATGCTCTCATTCCTTCAACACGTTTCATCAGAGGCCGTTTTGGACTGTGTTTGGTAGAGGTCGGTCATCTGTCACATGACATATTAGAAATGATCCAATCAATAATTTGGCTCATGGTAGGCATCAGTATAACCATCATCACAACTCTTTACTTTCATTGAAAGAACAAGAACTCTTGCAATTGAAGTCGCCATCCATTTCTGCTTCTCAAAACCTAAAATTTTCCAGTTGACGCTATGGGTTTGTTGTCTTCCGTCAACATTACCTTTTTCCGAGTGGGATTTTTGGCATTCCTGGCCTTTGCATGTCTTAAAGATGTGAACATCATTTTGTCAAATGCGTCGTTTCTGATGTTCACAAAGGCAATGAATCTTCCGGCTCTCGTGATGCCCTCTTACAGTGCGCAATTGGGTCTATTCGCTGTGGTTTTCAGCTTAATGGCTCTACAAGATTTTATTCCACTATTGGAGCGGAATACAACTTATTTTGAGTCAATTGTATCCCTCAGGCTGTTTTTCTTCTTTGCTATAACCGCCTATGGGTATTGTGTATCTGGAAACTTGTTCCTTCACAACAATGCCGTGGTCATCTATGGTGCTTGCGAAATATGGATAAACTTTCTCATCTTCACAGCTCTAAGGGACGAAAAAAATGAGAGGTTTAAAGTTGCCAACCGAGTGGTTCTGGAAGACGAACCTGAGGTCCTGGAACCATTGACAGAGCAGGAAGGTGCAGAATTAGATGCAAGAGCCGAGGAACTCGGCAGTTCTTCTGACGAGGAATAGTGTGCACTCTCTCTCTATTTATATATCCAGGCACTTTTCTCTTTACGTTTTCTTTATTTCATCTCTCAGCCCGCTGTTCTTTTGAAACTAGTGCTTACCACAGAACAATCATTCCATGTTCAGGTCTTGCTCTTTGCCCTCTGTCACATATTCGCTAACAATGAAATGTAAGAAATCTTCGAGTTCTTTGAAGTTCGAAAATCTTGTGTCAAAGATTGTTGCTTCTGAACCGTCAACATACTTCACGCTGGTCGTAGCGTTGCAATAGTTGGAGCTTTCTAGGCCAAACTCAATTCTTCCTGAATTGGGGAGCTCGACTTTGAGATCAATTCGTGGCAGTTGCAAGATCTTATCGAACAGTCCTATTTCTTCGTCAAGTTTCATAATGTGCTTATCATAGGTTTCACGTAGAGCCGATGCACTTTTCTGGGGGTAATTTGTAGGGACTTCAGTCATTTTGGAATTCTCTACCACATCCAAGACGTAAGCTTTAATTACTTTATGCAACAGGCTCAAGTAATTTTCGTGTCTAAACTTGCCCATTATCGGCCGCAGTAGCAAGACCTCACTCTCGAATGGAGCTGCGGCTTTTGAGTGTGCTACCATTAGAAGCTTCTTTCTGATTTGCTTCTTGAACATAACCACCAATAGCATCCGCAACATGATTAGAATGAGAGCTGCCTTTCTATCATTAGTCTTGGGCGCATCTTGTTGATGATTTAAGATTACTTCATCCGTTAGGTTCATCATTTCAAATTCTATCTTCTCCGTCGGAAATTCAACGGTAATCTTGTTTTCGTTTTCAAGCGTTACGCCGTAAGATATCAGGGTTTCTGACTCTTTTTTCAGATGATACATTAGTTCTTTCTCAAATATTAGGAACTGCAACTTAGAAATTTGGCGCCTGATATCGTACTCCGCACCTGCGTTATTGGCAGCAACCAATAAGTCATCTAACGCTGTTTCACCACTCAAAATGTAATCGTCCTCTTCCTGTATTCTAGTGAAAATGCGCACACGCATGAATTTCTCAAAGGGACCATTATTCATGGATTCAAACTGCTGTTTTTCTGCTGGTATAGCTTCTAGAGCATCTTTGAGAACGTTATACCTCAATATTGCAATCCCTCGTTCCTGTTTGTAAGTTGATCCTGAGTCTTCATAACCGTATTTCAATCCAAGAGACTTCTCGCCTGTTTCTTGATCTTTCATCTTAAATATGACGTCCCTCTTTGAAGTATAATCTGAAATCTTGGACCAGTAATTATGTTCTATTCTCAAGCTAGCTTCCAATGCCTTGTGAGTGTCTTTTAAAAGCACTCGAGATTCTTCCAAGCTTCTAAGCTTCCAGCCTCTGGTTGTCAGTTTCTTTTCAGTGATCTCAGAGTCCGTTGCCTTTTCATATTGAATCTTTTCGGCATTCAGAGATGCGGCCGGCACTGCATTTTTGAGAAATGGGGACATAGATGCATTGGCTGCTGAGGGACGTACCGAGGACAGTAGCAAGGAAACAAATTCAAGAGCTAATGAAGACTCATTAAGCGACAAATTGAGCGATTGGACGGTTGAATTTTTGAGTAGCTGAAATTGTTCTTGAGTCATTTGATCCTCCACTTCCCTTGTGACTGGACCCTCAATTTGCTGAGGCTTCAAAATTTCTTGATCATTTTCTGCTGGAAAGTCAGAGGATTCCATTACGACGTCCTCATCTAAGTTTTTGACGCTTTTTACATCTCCAGCTTCGTTCGCTATCTCTTCACTAAGGGCACTTTCTGACAGGTCAGCAAATTTACTGCCAATTCCACGACTTTGCAAAATTACAGGAATCAATTGATCTAAAGGCATACTCCCAAACATCTCATATGGATTATTCACCAATGATTGACCACTTGGGGCCTTTTGGTTGGACCCATTTTGGATTTTGTCGTTGGCGTCAGATTCATTGGTTGGCGATGCAGATGAGGTTTTATTCATGAAATTGGGATCAATGGCCAGCGGTATTCTCTTGATACCGTCATTGCTGATCTGTGGAGGCGAATTGGGTAGGTTATTGGTCATTGCCGGGGCCCTCAAGGTTCTTTCTATTGGTTATATATGTTGGAGGTCCCAGTTTTATTAACTTCCTGTTTTTCAGTATAATAACCCAAGACGATAAAGATTCAAATGGTCTCCAAAAACATCCAAAAGTGCTCTAAATCATCATCAAGATTATTGTTTTGAGACGCCAGTGGTCCTGTACGTAAACGCGTATTCTAAATATTTGAAACGGAGAAGAATCGACTTGAAAAGCCTAGTAAAAGTCACCCAGGTCACCCAAATCATCCTCATCCAAATCAGCGAGATCAATTAACTCTTCTGCCTGATCGTAGCCCGCAGCGGACTTGTGCTTGTTTTCGCTATTACCATTATCTGGATATCTCATGGCCTTGACGCATTCATCGTGTAATTCATTGACAAATTTTATCCTTTCATCAAATAGGTGTTGTGGTTGCCCAGTAGCATACACATTCAGCAGCTCACTACTCTCAATGTAGCCATTTTCATGATTTATTTTGGCCTCTATAACACCATCTCTGATGGCTCTCGACACCATGTATTCTACAGTCTGCTCTGAATCCAGGCGCAGCTTCATGCATATATCCTTGAGCGAGATCTTCTTGTAAGTGAGAGATATTATCCTTATACCGGTTTTGATGACACTCGATCTCAAACGCACACAAAGCTGGTAGTTCCCATCGTTGAGAAGCTCCTTCTTGTAGGTGGATATGGCAGACGTGAACTTGTTAAGGTCACCTAATTTGACGGCCTTGGATAAATGATAGTAAGGAAGCAAGGATCTCTCCATGTTCTTCTGTTTGAAAAAAGACAACTCAGGGATGTCGCCCATCAGTAGTTCGATAACGCAATGTAGCTTATTGGCCTGTTGTAAAAACCCGAGACTGTTCTTTGTGCTTGGGGCCTTTCTAATGGCAGCGATCACGTAGTCATTCGCCGTCGAGTAGTCTAATTGAATGGCGTTCAACTTAGACAGGTAGTAATAGTAGCGGGCCTCAAGAGGACTGGACACATCGTTGGATCCAGGAAATTCAACTTTACCAATGAAGTCCGCAGCTGTGTCCACTTCACCAGTTTGCAAAAAGCTTCTGAGAATAAAAGTAATGAGTGTAGCACGGGTTTCGTTGTCATGCTTGAGAGCAGCCGTTTTGAGAAATTTGACCATCTCTGCTCTAACAGAAGTGTCGAAGCTGTTGCCAACCAGTTCTCTTCCCCTGCAAATGTAGAACCAGAGTTTCGAGTTTATGAGATCCAGCGTTCTTTCATCGTAGAATTGCAAAATCTTAGGATAAACAATCTTTCCATTGAATGAGTCGAGAGCTTCCAGCTGTTGTGAGTCAAGTAGGTACAATTGCACCAACAGGTGTACAAAACTGTTCAATTCTGCTGATACGTCCACACTCTTGTTCCCATCAACAAGCTGGTAAAATGCTGCTGGGTATTTCTGGCGCTCTTCCTCGGCATTTTCTACCTTACTCTTCTGGTTTTGGTTGATATATTTCAGTAGTGGTACTTTAAAGCTGGACGCATCAGGATACAACAGATTAACCACTATCGACAAAGACTCCTTGTCTAAACTAGGTCTCAGAACACTTAGCTTTCTTGTGGCCTTCCACACAAAACGAGTGTCTAATGTCGTTGTAGTCTTGGAAACATCTTTTAGTAGATCAAATATCCGACTCACGACCGTTTGGCCTTCATCTTTTTGGACAGCCGCTGGCACACTGTCTATTTCCATCTTGTCGGAGGTCATTGCGATACTACGATGGACGGTTTACTGTGAGAGCTGATCTCAATGTGATCAATGGATAGGTTGTATAACATCAAAAGAGTGGTTATTGGTGGCAAATGTTTTTAAGGTAAACGCATACACGAGTACAAAAGTATTCGAAAAATTGCGAATATAGAGAGAGGAAGAGAACGGTCGTAGTAAAGACAACAAGGTATAATACGGGATCGGAGAGTTATAACGAGAGCCTGACAATTGTTTGACAGCCTCGTCGCTGCGAAATTGAAATCAAAAATTAAGAGATACATTTAACCGTTGGTGTGTCAGTTTGATGAAAAGTGACAAAAACATAGACCTGTGGGGGTCGTGTACAGCTCTCTGGTAAGCTCAAGACAGTAGAACTCGGGCCCTTACTCTTTTCAGACGGTATCGACTTGATTAGTTGGTCAAAAACGCTGAGAAGTGTCGCGATTCGGGTATGGGTACAATATCACTTTGTACCATTATGACATTGTCTGAGGGTTGAAAAGGTACGTCGATCAATTACCCTTAAAGATCGCTCAAATACACCCAAAAAGGCATATGTATGATAGGGAAGTCATTCAGTCTCTGTTGATGCTCAAAAAGACCTTTTGTCAAATCTGTTGAACGTAGAGTTGCTTAAGAACGATATTTCATCTCGTGACCGGCGTCAGCGACAGACCATATTATAGTGACCAAGCTCTTGTCTAATGAGACTACTGCTAGAGAGAATCAACTCAGGTTGGTCGAGGAGTATAAACAACGAGCGGTATGCAGCTCATAATCGTTCAAAATACTCATAACTGCCTCAGAGATTACTCCTTCAAGTCTCGCAATTATTGACGTTCCCAAAGACTTCAAAAAAGCTTAAAAGTGGACGGTTCGTATAGACACGGCTGAAATTGCCAAAATCGTGACAAAAACTATCTTGGACTGTTTGCTTTATATAATTGTAGACTGCAGAAAGCTCAAATAATTGCCAAAACTAAACTCGGTATGCTTTTAACAGGTTCGTTTAACAAGTTCATACCAAAAAGCCAATATACAGAATGTCGAGTTCACTTTGTAAAGATGTAATGTTACAGTCGTTCAATGCGTATTTTGATCCGTAGGTATGGTTCTATTCTAGTATAGGTTTGGTCCCAATTGGCATGGCTCGAGGGTCTGAAGAACCATCATGACAGTAAAAATAGGTCAATATTATCTCGTTGCTTCCCGAGGTTCCAGGTATTTGCAAAACAAAATCGACAGCTCGTTCGGGGCTTCAACACTGAAATTTATTCTATCGAGATATCTTTATGCACACAGGGGCTTGAGAACATCACAACAAAAAATGTTCCAGTATCACATAAAAGAGACGCCTTCAGACAAAGCAAAGACTAGACTAAGTAAACAAAGAAAATGCTTCGCTGCTGAGAATGTGAAGCTCCATTCCTAAAGGAAAATACTAGACATCTCACTCGCTTCAAACCACTTGTCAGGTTCGCTGCTACGAGCCCTTCGTCTAAGAGCACTTTGTTATAATTGTATACCAGGATATATAAATGAGTATTAAGAACTCAGACCCCACACAAGAGTTTACAATCCACTATTCGTTCAATAGTCTTGAGTTTGATTCTCTTACAACTTGACAATTGGATCGCACATTCTTCAAGCTACATTAAACTCTTTCTGACTGCTAAAATCCGCCACATATCAGAAAGTTACTCTCTCGATGGTCAAGGGAGAGTTTTCGTTAAATGGAGAACCCCTGGACATAACTCAAAGGCTAATCCACCGTTACTATGACGCTCTTTGGGCAGCAAAAAACGATGCTGACTTAAATTCGAGCTCCTCAGGGGATGAAAATGGCAAAAATTCTAACGATGGCAATGACGGTCATTCTGATGAGGCATCTGGCGGAACATTTCGAAAACTAGCTTTCATAGTAAAGAGAATGTTTAGTCGAGATTATGAACGAAATGTTTTGATAGAGAAAGTTACCCAAGAAAAACAGCATGCAACGTCTTATGAAGAATGGCTTGCTGCCGCACTTCGGCTTGACGAACTAACACGCACCAATGAATGGAAGGCGCGAGAAGAAAGTGTTCTCTACGACTACAAATTCATTCAAACTCACACTCAAAACATGAGACAGGCCCGTCTGAATAAGGACTATGCTCAATTGTTGTACCTGATACGAACGACCTGGATCAGGAACTTGGGAAATATGGGTAATGTAAATCTTTACAGGCACTCTCATGTGGGTACGAAATATGTCATTGACGAGTATATGCGCGAATCAAAACTAGCGCTGCAGGAGCTAGTACGACATTCCGATTTGGACGAAAGCTATCTTTTGGGTATGCTCGTACAAACGCGCAAAAACATCGGTCGAACAGCTCTCGTTCTGAGCGGTGGTGGCACATTTGGCTTATTCCATATCGGGGTCCTGTCAACCCTCCTAGAACAGGATTTGTTGCCTCGAGTAATTAGCGGCAGTAGCGCAGGCGCTATTGTTGCAAGTATTTTGTGCTCTTGCCATAGGAGGGAAATTGTCGGACTTGTGGAGAGTGTTCTGGAAAAGGAGCTCAACATTTTTCAAGATGACTCCGAAAAGACTCAAGGTGAGAACCTTCTTATCAAGATTTCAAGATTTTTCAAAAGTGGTACCTGGTTTGATAACAAGAATTTGGTCAAAACCATGATAGGCTTTCTCGGCGATTTGACATTCAGAGAAGCTTACAATAGAACTGGTAAAATACTTAACATCACTGTATCACCAGCATCTGTTTTTGAGCAGCCGGGTTTACTGAATAACTTGACGGCGCCCAATGTCCTGATTTGGTCTGCTGTCTGCGCCTCTTGTTCCTTGCCAGGTATTTTTCCCTCCACACCACTTTACGAAAAAGATGCGAAAACAGGAGAAACGCGGGAATGGAACAGCGGAACTGTGAAATTCGTCGACGGATCTGTGGATAATGACCTCCCAATCTCAAGGCTCTCTGAGATGTTTAACGTTGACCACATCATCGCTTGTCAAGTCAACTTACATGTGTTCCCAATCTTGAAAATGTCTGTTTCGTGCGTTGGCGGTGAAATAGAAGATGAGTTCAGTGCTAGGTTTAGACAGAACTTGTCTTCGGTTTATAATTTTGTTTCCAACGAAATTATTCATGTTCTCGAAATAGTAACGGAACTGGGCATTGCCACCAACGTTCTCACCAAATTTAGATCCATCTTGTCTCAGCAATACTCTGGAGACATTACCATCCTACCTGACATCAAAATGTTGTTCAGACTAAATGAGCTTTTGGCTAATCCCTCAACTGACTTTCTGCTACGGGAAACAGTAAATGGTGCAAGAGCTACTTGGCCCAAGATCTCCATTATAAAAAACCATTGTGAACAAGAATTCGAGCTGGATAAAGCAATATCTTATTTGAAAGGAAAGATTATCTCAAATCCCACTTTTACGACAAAAAACCCATTTCAATTTACCGACCTTTCAATTTCTCTTATTAATACGCCTGAAATGCCCAGTCATGACGAGCAAGTTCCTAACGATCTGGATGATACCCTCTTGAATCACCACGAGACTGAAAGAATGTTGGTAATCAACGATTCCTCCAAGAGGCCTCATTCGTATGGCAAAACAAGCATCTCAATCGCTGACGCGAGCAAAAGCTTACATCACCACCGTCGTAAGTCTGACTCGTATGCCAAAGGGAAAACTGGCGCTCGGTATAGCATATCACATCCGGGCACGACCACTTCACACATCTCCACAAAGCTCTTACCAACTTTGATGGGTTACAGCCCTCGAATGGATAGAAAGAAAAGCGTTGGACAACTTCCATCTTCCTCTGCCGCCAGCAGACCGCTTGATAGTAATTTTAGGTTGGAACCGAAAAGGCACAGCAGCAGCTTCACAGCTCTTCACGGCCCGCGAAACTCCAATATCTACTCCTCTGTTCGAACCAATCCACCATCGCCGCTATCAGCTCCAATAAACACCAATATCGAAGGAGCCTCACGAAAAGGCTCTTTCTCATCTTACGAATCGCCACTGAAAGCATACTACAAACGTGGTGCAAAACCGCATAAGGGTAGGAACTCTGCAACCAACCGCTCCAATTCAACAGGCTCAGCTAAATACAAGTCTTCAGGGAAAGCGAAAACGGGTCCCAAGCCAGATTTGAAGGCCGTTTCGTATGTTGACGATAGCGCAATAGATCCAGTTGATCCAGTAGGTGACGAGGAAATTGACAAAGAGAGCAACTAAGTGGCTTTTATTCGTTTTTTCCTTTTTATAGTCTAACCAATACTACGCTAGTTACAGATCATCAGTGAGTTCACACCATAGGTCTTCCAAGAAGTTTTCTCATATGAGCATGATAATTCTTTAACCAAGTCACTCCGCTTCAGAGCATTCGCCGTACTTTCCGCTATCGAAGAACAACCATCAATTTCAAGTTTATCCAAAACAATAAACTCCTCTTTCAGTGCTCGCAAAAGGTCATAAATTGAAACGCCAGTCAATGAAGTGTTCAGTGAAAGATCCAGCTTTCTTAATTTCCTGACGTATCTTACATTTTGGGCGAAAAGTCTAAGGCAGTGATCATCTAATGCCACTGATTGAGGAAGTAAAAGCTCTTCGATATGAGGCAATAATTTGAGTAGCTCTCTTACGTCCATGTACCCATTGTCATTTCCTCGCTGAAAGTGAATATACGGACAATCACCAATGTTGAGACTCTTCAGCTTGTCGAATGAAAATGCTGAAAGAAGCGCAAGTAACCCATGCGAGCTAATTGAACTCCCCATCAAATCCAAATGCCCCAAAGCGTTTAAATTTTTCATCAGGATTGTGTTCTCTACCAATTGAGGGTATTGCCTCAGGTCTGTCGCTTGATTTGCGATGCGGTGCTCACGAAAGGTCAGCTTCGATAGCCTTGAAAACACAGGCACATAAATGATAACTTTCAAGAAGTCCTCTAAATATGCTTCTTTATTATTTTCTAGCCAGAGCTCCTTCAAATTTCTGAAATGCGGCAGCCATTCAAACTTCGCGCCAGCGCCAAACGACACTCCACAGATGCAAAGCTTTTCCAGGCGCTTCAAAGGACCTGAACCGAGTAGAGGCTTTAGTGGGAAAATGTTGGGCATGTTTTTAAGGTCACATATCAGCTTTAGCGATTTGAGCCGTTGGAGTTTAACATTATTGGCACACTCAGCTGTTGAGATGTCTCTTGAGCGATTGGTACCTGTGCACTTAGAAAATATGAGGTCTAAGTGGCTGATATTCGATAGAGAACTCAAAAACAAGCGGTCCAACATTGCCGATGGGTTCATGCGATAACCACAACTCAAGCTGAGTCGCTCCAGATCAGTGGCAAGGGTCAAGTTTTTGGAAAAGGCAGATGTCAGTTGTTCAAAATCCGCTGTTTTGCTGTGAATTATAAGTGTCTTAACGCGGGGCTGCAGATTTTCGATTAGTATGGATAAAGATCGAGGCTCACACGACAGCGAAGAATTGGAAAACTTGACAAAGTCGATTGTTGATTTTTCCTTGTAATGATTGATTCTGTTCACAAATTTTTGAAAAGACAAAATAGCTCGATGGTTGCAGGAGCTTATATCGAATCGATTAAAGACTTCTGGAAGATTAGTGATACGAGCCTGCCAGACTTTGCAGACCAGCATGCACCTGGCAACTTGTCTTGCGTCCAAATTCAGAAGAATGACTTTCAGAATCTCTAGCGGGCATTGACCCACAATATCCAAATATGTATGCGTTTTGTTATTCTTGAAAATCTTTGATTTTGGCAAGTCCTTAAATGCCTTGGTTGGAGGCGGGATCAATACTCTTTTCTCCTTAGTCGAGACTGCCTGTGCCTTGTTGGACCGATTGTTGATCAAAGAAATTTGATATTTGACAAGGTCTTCCAATTTCAGGGACGACTTCAGATCCCATTTTTCCTTCATTTCCCTCATTTTACGCAATCCGTCCCTATAGTTATCGAGCGCGTCCTGATCTTTCCCCATTTTTTGCAGAATTTTGCCGCGTCTAAGATAGCTCTTCAAATTGTAAGGCTCGAACCTAACGCATCTACAGGCATCTTTCAATGCCTTGCGTAAATCGCCCAATTTTTCCCATGAAGCAGCTCGATTATCGAGCAGTTTCACCAATCGTGGATGCACAAGTTCCCCAAATCCAGAAAGTGGCCTTTTGCTCAAACCATGCGACAAACGTAGTTCTTCTAGTTTTTTCTCATCGTAAGAAACTGCTAGCTTCAATGCCTTGGTAAAGAGGCTCTGAGCATCTTTGAAATTGTCATGTTTGAAGTACAATATTCCTAATTCCAGAGCTTTTTCAACAGCATCCTCACTGCTCATCTTGAGCCATACCTGTGTCGTCTTGATCCTTTTGATCTTCTTGATCGTCTTGACATTTTGTTGATGATCTAGTAAATATATATATAATTCAATATTGAAGCGATGCCCATCGCTGTGCTAACAGATATAACCCGATGTGTAGAAAAAGAACCATATATTGAAGTAGTTTTAGGTCTCCTAGCTCAATTGAAGTATATATAATGGCTGTTCAGGTTCTGGAGATACTGGTGACGAGTTTCCTTTTCCTTTCCGTGGTGTTCGCTATAGGTTGCGTACCAATCTACTATGTGAAAAACCGATCGTCAGTAATAGGTCAACCAATGTACTTGACAGTTCTTTCCCTCATTGGCGTTGGGATGCTGCTGGGGACTGCCATAATGCTTGTAATCCCAGAAGGAATTGAAGCTTGTCTGGGAAATAACGGAAATGTGGGTATCAATCTGTTGATCGGATTTTTGGTAGTCTATTGTTTGGACCAGGCAGCGTCAGTTTTGGGGCAAATGCCAAACCGGGGCGCTTTTGCGTTCGCACACTTGCCGGGAGCGGAAATAACCAGTTTGAAAGATGTGCTCAACCCTAAAAAAATGGTATCGTCAGTTTTCAAAAATCAGGTTGTGTTCGCACTTGTAATTCATGGCTTTTCAGATGGGTTGGCAATGGGAGCTTCGGCCAACAGCGAATCTTTGAAAATCGCCACTTTGGTAGCGATCATAATCCACAAAATCCCAGCAGTTTTGTCTTTGAGCAGTCTGATGGTCACAAAACAAAACTTGCCGACTTGGGAAGCGGTCTCAAATTTGCTGGCGTTTGCGGCTTCCACGCCGCTAGCTTATCTTTTGCTCTCTCTCATCAACTTGGGGACTTGGGGTCCGATGGAGTGGATAAGTGGGAACATTCTGCTCATGAGCGGAGGTAGTCTGCTGTATGCCGGAGTCAGCGCCTTGCTGGGTAATCATCAACATAGCCCGACAGAAACTGCTGTTGAGAACTTCGCGGGAACCTCGGCCGCTTACGACGTGCTTCCAAAAGACATGACTCCTTTCGAGGTGGGCGAAACCGTGGAATCAGAGACTACTCCACGATATGGCGAAACTGTCTACGTCTTGGGAGGAGTAGTCATACCTGTTGTGGTCTCCTACCTAATTAGAGAGAAATCGTAGCGGTCCTTTCTGTTGTTTTGGTTTCCGGGCGTACTGCGTAGACCGAGACAGATCTTTTCCGTACTTACTATGTTACAGATGAGGTGATGATGTATTATGACGATAATGCTCTATTCGATTTTGTTTTTTCGGTTCTGGCATGCACTTTGAATTCAATGAGCTAGCGTTTACGACCCAAAACTTTCCTCTTGAGCCACTTGTCCTTTTTATTAAGCACTGTGCTATCCTTCTGGGGTGCCAATGCCTTGGTGGTGTTGATAGATGCCAAAAGTGCTACTTTGACGGGTCCGCGCTTCACGGTTGTTTTGCGTAGATGCCGCAGGGTTTTCTTCTTCTGCTTTTGGAGCTCTGCTTTCACATCAGCAGAGAAATCTTCGTCATCCACGTCGTTGAAGTTTACGTGGGTGGGTTTGACGGTAATTTGGCGAGCTTCCTGTTCGTCCAAATTGTCAAAAAAGTCCTCTGGCAGCTGATCCGGGACCAGGTCATCGTCAACATTTTCTTTATCTTCTTGGGCGCTTTGCTCACGCTGTTTCAGCACAGCTTCAAAGTCCTGCATTTGCTTTGAACGTTTTTGGTCTTGCTGTTCTGCGAATCGAGAGTTTTGTTTCCGTCTTTTCTCTTTGAGAAGTTCCTGTTCGCGCTTCAAGGCTTCCAAACGCTCAGATTCCTGTTTTTCCGCTTCGTTCTTGGAGCTTGAAAGACCAGCTTCTTCTGGCGCATCATCATCTTCACTGTCGCTGTCGCTGTCCGAACTGTGATACTGCGCATTATCCTCTGGTATATCGGCAGGGACGTCTTTCAAGGCCTCAGATTCCTCACCAAACTTGCGATGCTTAGCTGCGGCAACCATGACGATAATCTAGATGGAAATGGACTGGAAATCGACGTAAAACAATCGTTTTCTTCAGCTGGAATAGCTCATCTCGAACCTGTAAAAAATCTACGCTAGACTTTTTCACTATATTATACAACCAACCCAAGAAATATCGAAGTCATGTGAGCCAGAAAACATGTTGATGAAAGTTTGTAGTTTCGATGAAATAAGGTAAGGTGATCCCATTAGCGTGCCAGTGTAATGCTGTTCAAATTCGATTTCATTCAGTTCAACTCGCTACTGAAGAGATTCTTAGCTACCTGTCCATAATTGAAGTTTTTTCCTAGTTTTCTGCGCGAAAAAAGGTCTGATCCAGATTCTCAAAAACATACCAGAATACCGCTAATACAATTTAGAAGGGAACAGCACTTTTTTTGATGTGAAAATCGGTCTTTTTGACGGCAATGTCTGGTTTTTAAACTTCGATGACAGACTTGTAAATTAAACTTATTATACTTAGTGACAGTTAATGTGATAATAATATCCGAAAATCAGTATCGAAATAACGAATACATGATATGATGCCAGGACTATTCTGAGATAAACTATAACAACTTCCCCCAACTTGCCGTTCTACTCTGAGAATCCATTTTCTAAGACTCATTCTTGTGGTGATTTTTTTGGCCGAAAAACCATCAAAATAACACCACTTTTCGTGGATTTAGGTCTTCCGCATCGTCACTCATGTTCGATGCTCTCCAAACTCACAAAAACTCTTGCCGAAAACCGATTGAGCTCTATCAGCGCCCAATACGTAGCATGTGGTTGCTCTAAGTATGACCACGTAATATTTGGATCCTTGTCCCGTCAAAGCTGTGTAAATGGTTGTCCCTACGATAATGAAGCCAATAACTGCATAAAAAACCGTTTTGTTGCCGTAGTAAAGCCTCCATAACCACGCAGTCAGAAAAGACATCGAAGACGAATTATTCCCGCTAGCAGTGGGATTCTGATTACCACTGGAATTATCATCAGTATGCGCGGAAACTGGTTGTTCATGCAATTCTACAGGCGCAGAAAGCGACCGCTGTGCATGTGGTTGACCTTTGAGATTCAAAAATTCGTCATTCAGAGGTATCGAATTATATTTGGATGCTGATGGCTTGAATGAAAGTGGACTATTTTCGTCAGCTATTGGACGATCGAAAATTAGATCGCCTCTCTCTAGCTTGTTCATGTCAATATCTGGCGGTAATTGCGATATTGTAGACCCGGTTTCAATCAGTTTCTCGTGTTCATGGTCACTCAGAAGCAAAGGCTCTGAAACTGTGCGATGGAACGTGGAATCATGGTGCTGTTCTGACATGGGTGTGGCAATGGAATGGTGGTTTTTATAGATATCACTCGCTTTTAGTTGATGAATATTCGATTTTTTTTGTGTGAAGATGTGATTCAAGCACTGACAACAGGGTCTGACGTTCGGCAAAAACTAAGAGTCAAATTGAACATATTTCAGACAAAAAGAATTGTAAACACCCAGTAGACCATGATTCATCTCGATGGGGAAATGATTCTTTCTTGCGAGAAAACAATAGACGACGTTCATTCTTAAGTTGAAGAAAAGTAGTTCCTGTTGCTGTTCACAGTGTGCTGTTGGCATGGATTGAATTGGCAAATCTGTCCGCTAACAATTGTGAATTGTGACGCAGGTAGAACACTTTATAAGGTGGTTGTCATTTGTCGTCTTGTCACATGACACAGAACAACAATCAATATCTCGAGCAGAATTTCTGATATCGAGAAACGTACCTTTCAAGCTGTTGTAATAGGATAAAAGTCCGAAAATTATGTTATCTTGAAGAATGTTCGCCGTCACCCTGGTTGTCTGGTTTTTTCTCTAAAAATTCGAATTCCACGGTGCGTGCGCAGTGACACCACCCGGAGTTTTCAATCTTATCACATTTTAAACCATTTTAATATCGATTTTATAGGCCTATTATTTAAAACTACGGCCTACTTGTCAATGCGTAAAGACGTCTATCCTGATATGTTTTATGCAAGGTTTAGGATGAGAAAGCTAATTGTGACACTTGGGTCTTCCTCTAAATGCAGCAGTACCCACCGTCGATGATGATATCCGTACCGGTGGTGTAAGTTGAAGCACCTGAGCCCAGGTACAAGTATGCACCGATGAGTTCACGAGGCAAAGCTTCACGTCCCATAGGGGTGAGTTTGTGCCATTTTTCCTTGAGGTCGTCTTCCGCAAAACTCGTGATCTCCGTGCCGATGTAACCTGGCGAAACCGTGTTGACACGGGCAAAACCAGCCCATTCAACGGCCAACGATTTGCACAAATGTAGAACACCGGCTTTGGCCGCATTGTAAGCTGCTTGCATTTGAGGAACGTTGACCACGTGACCGGACATGGAGGCGGTCACGATGAACGAGCCGCCTGTTCTTTGTTTCTTGAAGATAGGACCGATGGCTTTGGCCACACGGTAGATACCGTTGAGGTCCACGTCGAGCACTTTGTTCCACTGCTCGTCGCACTTGTCCTCCTGGCCCTCTTCCAGCATACTGAGCAAAGGCCCGTCGCTCCAGGCGACGCCTGCGTTGGCCACCATGATGTCGATGTGCTGGTTGAAGTCCCGCTGGATCAGCTCAATTGTGTCGCGCACGTCTTTCGAACTGGTGACGGAGCACTTGTAGGCACGCACGGTCACGCCGTATTTGCGTGACAGCTCGTCAACGACGGTGGTGATGTGAGGGTTGGAGTTGTACCACATGGCAACGTTGGCGCCGGCTTGAGCGTACGCTACGGCAACGTCGTATCCGATACCAGAAGACGCACCGGTGACAGCAGCTAGTTTTCCCTTTAGCGAAAACATGTCCATCACGTGGTCTGGAAGTTCTGGCGCTGGTTGTGGAATTGGGAGGTTGGTGGCGATCGTGTAAGCGGACATTATGAGGGTGTATGGGTGGGGGTGTTTGGCTTTTTTTTCGAGTCGAAAAAGTCGTTATTTTATCTTTTTCCAATTTAGGAAGTGCAGAAACAGGCTCTTATAGACTAGACTATTTTTTTCCAGAAACCTTTAATATTGCTATTCTAAAGCTGGTTTTCTATACTGTTAGAGACAGATAGAGTAAGAGATGAGATAAAACGTCTTGAACGCAGGGTTTGCTCGAGGTTTTATATGTTGAGCGAGTCCTAACAGAAAATGTTTTTTTTCGCAACAGAGACAATAGCAAAGCCTAGTTTAAACTACAGGAATTGCGATGAGGTGAGCGGAAACACTCAGGTGGGTAGCAAGTGCAACTGAGAGCTTCAGCGATCAGTTGTGGGTAATATAGGTGGTATGAAGAATTGAGAGCATTAGATTGTGATCAAAACAGGAGGCTATAAGCATGAAGAATTGAGGGTAGTATAGGTGGTATGACCGCATAATTGCTGGTGACAGCGTGTTTCTGAACGAGAGGTTTGGTTTAGCGTTCGAGATCGGATAGGTTGAGAATAAGAAAGAACCGATGTAGAGATTGTCTTTTGTAATGGCGATGAAACAAGGCATTTGAGCTTCTTTTGGAGCTTTATTCTTGCTATGTTTCATTTCTATAACCTCTCTATGCCTCTCTGTGCCTAGGTCTCTCTATCCAATGCATTAATCTATCGTTAATCAATTTGAGGTTGGATGGATAGGGCTGGTGCCTTAGGGCTGGTGCCTTAGGGCTGATGTTTTAGGGCTAGTGTTTTAGGGCTGGTCGTTTAGGGCTGGTATCTTAGGACGACGAAGTCGTTATATGCGATATTGCGATGTACTCTTGTATTCGTGGAGGCGGGGTTAGCGTTAGGCTTCGAATCACCAAGGGAGAAAGGTAGCAAAGTAGCAAAGTAGAAAAGTAGGAAAATAGGATAATTACGTCATGTGGTGTCTGGGTGTTATTCAATCTCCCTCTTTTTCAATTAAGGTAGAACAGTCGTTGTGAAAATGAGTGAGTATGGTGTTTGTGTGGGCTTCGAAGGAAATCCAACTGACACCTCAGCTCTGCGATTTGGAAAGACAGGGTGAGCAAATAGCGTCGTTTTGTACGAGGCTTCTTTGCACGTGACGCGAAGCCTTATAACTATACACGAAAGTGATTCTCTCTATTTATGTCCGGGTAAGTGACATTTAGAAAATCTCTTTCGGAATCATATAGTCAAGAGCTAAGTATCCGAAAAGTACCTGATTTTCACAATTTTGGATCCGCTATCCGCTCTGAAATCCATTTTGATATGTCAAAAACTAGCGAAACAGTGAGAACTAAAAGAGTAACAATCTAATTAATATATTACCATTAGCTTCGAAATCTTCAGCAAATTGGAAATGTAAACTTCTTATTCGCGCACTATCTCTACTTAAAAGCAAGAAAAGCTTTCTCTTATCCTTTCGTACATAATGATACACAGTTTTATAGTGACACATTTCACCAGAGTGTAGTTGTAAATCAAATTTGTATGCCATAAACCACCCGGAATCAAAAAAGACAATATCCGTAGGTACCGGTCGCTGACTCAGGACTTCAAAAGCTCGCTCTTATACGGATATGTCGTACATAGTGATAAACACACTGTTGCATATATCCTGCATTGAAAGATCTCCCAATTCCTCGCGACATCTGCCAATTTTCTTCGACACATCCCTGTAATTACTTGCGTTGCGGGTCGTCTAACCAAATAACCCATGATTGTACTCATCGATGTGTTTCGTTCAAAGTGCTACATGTGAATCAAACTTGTGGTGGATGTTTAAATGAAGCCTCATCCATACAGTTTCCGTCGCGCCTGTTCCATCTCTTTCCTGAACTTCAAATCCAATACCTTTTCCAAGTGCCACACCCCGAGCATCCAGTTCCACAACCAACCACCGAAAAATGGCCAATTTTACTCAAAAAAAAAAGCAGCTTATAATCCTTCAGTTCTTGGAACCAGTGCTCCTATTCTTCTATCAAACACCCGCCCTCTTACAATCGTTTTTCAATGGGCTTTATCCCACGGTGTATTCGCTATGGCCAAGTTGTGTACCCGAAGACGGCACGTGACTTTTTTCATCAGAAAATAAAATCAATCAATCTTAGACATGCTGCCATCAACCAAGCACCGCTCAATAATCCACTTCACGTATCCAACTTTATCCTTTTTCCAAGGTCACCTCATTCTGTTTAGTTCTTCAACATTGGGTATCCTACCTTTTTCGAATACTGACACACCCTTCGTACACCGTGCTTCAGCCATAAGATATTGATCTATCTAGTAGGCCATGAATGACATCTGGTAGTCTTTCATCACAACCTTCGACAAAGAACTCGAGACCAATCCTTCAATGTCAGGGGCTTACGAAGCGAGAGTGAGTACCAACAGAACATCAAGCGGTGGTCAATCCAATCTGTTTCCCAACAGCGATGCTTTCGAAGATCTGGACGATGATTTTCTCGACATATATACGATGAATCCAAGACAACGCTTGTTTCATCAGGCCCGCAAGTTTCGCAGTAAAGTTTTGGAATGGTACAGAAATCTGCCCTTGTGGAAAAAAATTGCAGTTTTCCTAGCAGCGCTTGCTCAATTGACCCTTTCCATACTGGGGCTGGTCTATCACGACAGAATCTTAAAGACAATGGTCACTGCATCGAGCGAATTGAGATCCAGATGGTACACACCTCTAGTCTTTATCTCGCTTGTTTTTTTGGTGTCTTTCCCACCGCTAATCGGATTTTCGATGCTGTCTATCATGGTAGGCATCATTTACGGAATCAGCTTCACCGGTTGGATAACGCTGTTCATCGGCTCTGTGGGTGGCTCCATTGCCGCATTTGTTCTGTTCAAGACGCTTCTGCGGTCTCAGGCAGAAAGGCTGGTCCATGCAAATGCCAAGTTTGAAGCACTGACTTCCATTTTACAAGATAACGATAGTTATTTGATGATTGCCATGATCCGGCTATGTCCCTTCCCTTATTCATTTACCAATGGAGCAATTGCAGGGATATACGGAGTGACGTTGCGCAATTTCTCTTTAGGCAGCGTTTTAACGTGTCCCAAGCTGTTTATGTACCTGTTTCTGGGGTCTCGGTTGAAAAGACTTGGAGAAGATGGTACCGCGTCTTCTAGAATAATTGACATTTTAGGAATTCTGGCGACAGGGCTAATCTTGGTTTTGACAACTTGGATTTTATATTCTAGAGCCCGGAAACGGTACCTCGAGCTGCAGAGGACTCAAAGCTTGGACGTTTCCTTCGAGACTGTTTTCTAGTTGCGTGTAATGCAAGCCTGCATCTCTTTGCACCTAAGAAAAACGCCAAAGCGTGGAAACACTTCGTCGCATGCCGGTAACAACTATTTCAATTTTTTGAACAGGTTTTTGGGCTTTTTACTAACCTTTCCTTTGCTCGCTGGCTTCTTTGGAAGGGTCAATGATATTTTACCAATCTGTGTTTCTGGACTTATGGTTTCCTCCGCATCCGCATCATCGACATCCTCCGCTTCAGCTGCCGATGTTGCTATTTGACGTTTCAACATCTTCATTTTAATGTCTTCTTCAGTGGCCTGGGAGCCTTCTATCTCCTTCAACTTATTTTGCCGCAGCATATTCTCGAACGAATTGTCAATGTAACTTATCATGATTTTGCCGCTTTCAACGTCTATGCTATCTTCGTCTCCATCAAGATCGTGGAGTCGAATTTTTCCAGTCTTACTCAAATGCAAAATGAATTTAGTTAAGGACGTAAACCTAGTGGCGTTCATGTGTATGTGATCTCGATCTTGAATGAACTCGTTGTAAAACTTATTGGCTTCTATCTTCTTTTCCCCGTGTGACAGTCGAAGAAGTCGCAGAAAATCCTTTTCAAACTGTTCTGAGTAATTATGCAAGTCTTGCGGCTTCGTTTGTGTTACGTTTCGTGTATGGAATGGCGATCGACAATGGGCTTTATATCCGTTTTCATCTCTACATTGTTTTTGGCAAATTTGACAGTAAAATCGCAGTTTTTGAAGGCCTTTGGCCTTCATTTTTTTATTCAAATATTTGGCTGTTCCAAACTCAGCAGATCCCATTGTGATCTTACTTCAAAACGGTGAAGTTTCTACTTTCCATGTATTGTTCTTTTGGATTTGGACTTTGAACAATTTGAACCTTTAATTTGATATCCGGTAATGTAATTTAATGTCAATTCAATGGTTTCTTTCTATCTCAAAGTATCGCAATCATAGTCTAGTTAACTGATAAAGAATTATTTAGTGGAGCTCAAACTTCGACAAGAATAAACAACAACAATGTTCGGGAATTCTTGGAAATTAAACTTTGCAAAACTTCCGAGGATTCGCTGGAGCACTCGGTCTTCCTCGAGTAATCTTCAATACCGCAGATTCAACAATCGTCAATCCACCAACTTTTTGAACTTACTGTCAGATCCGAAGGCGAGAAAATATATTGCATTGACAGCTGGTGTGGGTGCTCTTTTCTACGTCACTCACCTGGAGGAAGCACCTGTTAGTGGCCGGTTGAGATTTATCTGGCTTCCCCGATCACTAGAGCTGAAAATCGCCAATTACTCCTACAATTCAGTCCTCAGAGATACCCAGGGTTCAATTCTACCATCAAACAATCCTTTGACAATAAAAGTGACCAAAATCTTCCGTCAAATCGTGGAAGCAGCTGCCAAAGATCCCAGTATCGACAAAGAGTTGCTCCACGGCATAAATTGGGAAGTGCATATCGTAGACGATCCCAGGGCTCCACCAAATGCATTCGTTCTTCCTGGCGGTAAAGTTTTCGTGTTCAGCAGCATTTTGAACATTTGCAAGAATGATGACGGAATTGCCACATTGTTGTCCCATGAATTTGCTCATCAATTGGCCAGGCATACTGCGGAGAATCTTTCCAAAGCCCCCATTTACTCTCTATTGGGTGTAATCCTTTACACAGTAACTGGTGCAGACGTGTTCAACCGCCTGATTTTGGACAGTTTCCTCAAAATGCCCGCATCTCGTCAAATGGAAACGGAAGCCGATCACATCGGACTTATGGTCATGTCTAGAGCATGCTTCAAAACAGAAGAAGCAATACATTTGTGGGAGCGCATGGCTCAGTTTGAACAAAAAATGAAAGGCGCAGGTCGTTTTGCTCCTGAGTTTCTCAGTACACATCCCGCCAGCGAGCGAAGGATAGAAAACATGAAAGCGTGGATGCCTAGTGCACTAGAATTACGTTCGCAATCCAACTGCGGTGCAACGGGAGGATTTTACGATGATTTTCAAAACTTTTTCGGTGGACATGGGCGCAAGTCGGGCCAATTCGCCCCTTTGGGGGAAGTTGCTTCTATATTTTAACAATTTCAGGGTCTTCTTCTTTTAAATCCAACCTTTGACTTGATCTCATGGTTGCCGTTTTTCAGCCTTGCACTCAGTGCTACATTATCAGTTTGTGTGATTGCCGTTTCTCGATCTTTGATCAGTTGTCGTTTGACGAGTTCCTTTTTCATCACTGCTCGCTCTATGGCTAAGTCAACGCTGTCTTTCACATTCTGATGGCCATCCTTAGCGTAAATGCCCAGATCTTCTCCTTCGTCCTTCCTCCTGTTCACGTTGTAAAACAGTAGCCCATAATCCATCAGCCAGAATGGATCCACAGCGGTTACCATATTGATGTATTCATTAGTCGTGAGCAACATTTCATGAAAGATGACATAAGAGGGCAAATCGCCGGCGCCAAAAAGTGCGCTGGCTGGATGTATACGCATTTCGACACCGTTTCTTAGATTGACAAATTTGCTCAAGCCAGATAGTCTACCTGCTTGATGGGCATATCCGGAGCATATGCATTTTCTAATGACGTCCCAGTCAGTACCTGAAGAGACTATAGGTACACCTCTTTTCTCCATCAGCATGGACAACTGACCTTGTACATCCTTCGCTCTTTGTAAGGATTTGAACTGAAGAAAATGACGCCTGCACCAAGCCGAAGAAAAATTGTTGGCTTTCCATTGTGCGTAAACATTCAGTAGCGTTAAATGGTCTGATTCAGGTACAAAGAATCTAGTCCTAGCTTGATCCGACTCTTCTTGTCTTTCTTTTGGCCTGTAGAAAATCTGGGGAACCGATAGCATGGAGACAATAATCAGCATTTCTTTGCTACACCCATTCTGAGAGGCGCTAAGTAACATCTTGGATAATGCTGGCTGTAAGGGAAATGCTGCCATTTGTCGTCCTAAGTTCGTTAGCTCTCCAAAGTTGTTGAGCGCCCCAACAGTCCATAATTCAAATAATGAAGACACCATGATCTGCTCCGGGGGCGGGTCAACGAATGGGAAAGACATTAGATCACTGAAATCCAGATACTTCAATAGCAGCAACGTGTTCGACAAGTTCGTCCTTTGAATTTCAGGTATTGTTTGAACATACATGTCGTCAAAGAAAGAATCCTCTGTGTACAGCCGGTACGCAATACCCGGGCCCGTACGCCCAGCTCTTCCTGATCTTTGGTTGGCACTAGCCATTGATATGGGTACCATTTGCAAACTGTCCATCCCTATTTGTGGATTGTATACCTTCAGTTTCGAATAGCCGCAGTCAATGACGTATTTGACACCGTCAACGGTCAAAGATGTTTCCGCTATATTTGTGGCCACTACAACCTTTCGTTTGTTAGGTGCTGGAACAAAAATTCTTCCCTGGATGTCAGCAGGCAACGCTGAGTAAATCGGTAATATAAGAATGTCATCAACTTCTGTCAAGTTTGAGGTCTCTAGTTTTCTTTTGGCTGAAATTTCTGAAAGCTTCTCATACAAACCTTCACATGTAGCTTCGATGTCTTCTTGGCCCGTCATGAAAATGAGAATGTCACCACTCGAAACCGGGGTGGACAAATGTATTTTGCTTGCTTGGATTATTGCGGATTCGACGTAGTCACTGACAGGATGTCTGGAAAATATGGTCTGCACCGGGAAAGTCCGTCCAGGAATTGTAAACATTGGAGCGGAGCCGAAAAACTGAGAAAACTTAGCGGCATTCATTGTAGCCGATGTTATGATGAGTTTTAGATCCCTGCGTGCAAGAAGTAGATTCTTAAAGATACCAAACAAGATGTCTGTGTTGAGAGAGCGTTCATGAGCTTCATCCATTATTATGCAGCTGTATTTTTCAAGTGTACTACTTGTGATGGTTTCCCTCAACAGAATACCATCCGTCATGAATTTGATCTTGGTGCGTTCACTTGTTTTGTCCTCGAATCTTATTGAATAGCCCACTTCATTACCTAACTTAACGCCCATCTCAAATGCAACTCTTGTGGCCACAGACATTGCTGCAACCCGACGAGGTTGTGTACATGCTATCATATGGCCGTCTTGGCAATATCCATCTTCCTTCAAAAATTGTGCTAGCTGTGTTGTTTTCCCCGAACCTGTTTCACCAATGACAATGACGACTTGATTATCTCTGATCATCTGGAGAAGTTCAGATCGTACCTTGAAGGCAGGTAAAGATTTTCTGGCTGCCTGGATGTCACTTGAAGTCTCGGAGATTTTAGCTGGATCCGCCTGAGCTACGTCAGTAGTTGAACAAGTTTTGTTTCCCTCTGGAACACCCATTACCTGACCAATTGCGGTTCCATCCAAAGCTGCTGTTTCTTGCATTTTGGACTTGACAACCTCCCTGTTGCGTCTTTCAGCGACATAGCGACTTCCCTTTTTAGCGCTGGACGAAAAGTCGCTTTCTGCGTTGCGAATTGGATCTATCACTCTGCGGCTTGAAGGATCTTGTGAGTCTGTTATACCGCCAATCGCACCAGAAACAGCAGGATCGGCAGCGTATTTCGATAGAAAGGGAGGCACAAATTCTTTTCGCTGACTTAATGGCATGGTGGAAATGTGAACTTGGGAATTTGTTTCACGGCCATTATCATTTTTTCTGTTTGTTCGCCTATCGCTGCCTTCGCCTTTCCACATTTTGGCATGTTCACTATCTTGGGCGTCAAGTACCTCAGTACTATAATAATCATCGTGGTTGTACCAGTCCCGATCTTCTTCCAGCACTTGACTGTCATTTGCGCTATCTTCGTCGTTGTCTGAAATGGGAAGATTATCATCAATCTCCTTCTTGACTGAAAGATCAGTTTCTGGCGTGGACTTCTTGAAGGTGACAAGCTCAGGTACAGCAGCCGTAAGAGGTGAACATGAAGTAGATGGAGCTGTCTTGGCCGACTCGGTTTTTGTCTCAGGAAACTCCTTTAATCTTTGAGCTTTAGTTTTACTTAGTTTCTTGAAAAGCAGTGGCTTTGCAGTCTGAAGTTGAGGTTGTGGTGGTAAAGAAGATGTTTGCTGTATTTTTGCGCTTTCATCATCATCTTCATCGCCTTCATTGAATTGTAAACCCCTACTTCTCCTGTTCCTTATGCTGCGAATGGACGGCTTGGACTGCTTGGCTTCACGCGAAAAGAACGGTTTTGACCTCGAAACCTCGATCGAATCTACCGCATTCTCAGTAGTGGCTGTCATTTCTGAGTGGAGCTGTCTCAGAAACTCATCTTGTCCTTTAAACTTACCCAAGGCCATGCATGCATTGATAAACTTGTGCACATCATGAGCGTGCGCTTTGGCCAAGTTTTCCACAGCTTTAACAAAGTTTGGAGTCACATTTGACTGTGTGTGTTGCTGGATCTTGCTGACTAGGTCTGATGACATGTTGCGGTCATTACAAGAGCTCAACAGGGTGAATTTAAGCGGCTAAGGCCCTGCTTTCTTCATTGTACATGCAATATAACGAACGTCTTACACGTCCAAAATGATCAGGAAGATAATCGCTGGAGCTTCGCCCCATTGGCTTGAGTTCCAACCAGCACTATCCAGGCATTTGGACTGGGTGAATGTATCTTCGCAGTCGGCATTTCGTCATGAAAGTTTCGATTCATCTTGAACCTTGAGTATTTTGGGCTGTTAGTGCTTGAAAAATAAAAGAAAGAGAAGCTGGGGGTTTTAATGTTAATAGCATTCATTGTTGACTCTGATTTTCATAGCCACTTCACAACAGAAAAACCCATTCCTTCATTTGAATGGAGCTTCTGTTCATTTTGAGGAAACCATTCGACCCAAAGACACGGATGCGACTGTGTGCAAATAAACTATAAGATGGTAAAGAAAGTCTTCGACAGTCAAGAAAGAAAATTCAAAAGCTTAGGAAAAGGAGTTTCTCAAACATTAAGACAAGTTTTGCCGACTATTTGTTCAAACTTCAAAAATAGTGCATTTATTACTGTGTCACTTTTTGTTAGTTTCCGATATATCGTGCTCTCACGGCCATGTGTCGTATGTAAAAATGTCCTGAAGATTTTCTGCGGCAGCACATTAACTGAAAAATCGCCGCTCGAAGTCTTATGAATTACCTGAGTGTATAAAAGTATTGTCATTGTTGTAATTCAAGTGCTTAGCTCGATGGAATATATATACTGACGCGAATATCTAATCATAAAAATCCGTACAACACGACTTCTTCCAATTTAAATATTATCTTTGAAAAAACCGTGATAGAATTAAGAAATCGAGAGTTGTTGAAGAAGCTCATGAGCATCAATTGTAGAATAAAATCGACCATTTCGGATATGTCTTTTGTGAGACAGTTACACACATCTGTCCAGCGTGGTGCTGAATCTACGAGGACTATCAAGAATGGTGCCGAGAAGTTGAAACAGCTGAAATCCACTCCAAATTTGTACAATAGAAAAGCTTCAGCATACAATTATAGAGGTGTCTTGAGAGCGAAAATAGAGCCAGGACTGTACCATGAACCATCTCAATCATCATCAACTGGGTCCATAAACAGTGAAACGCTTCCCAGAGCTTTTTTGCCCAGGGAAGACCCACGTAGGCGGTATGTCCAAACTTTGAGACCACGGGATGGCCTACAAGCCGGCTGGGCCCCAGATCTCCACAACAAAAAGAAAAAAACATATCATCTGAAACCGGAGCAGATTGCTGAAATTCAGAAGCTCAGGTTGGAGAACCCTGACAAATATACCAGAAAGGCTCTTGCAGAGAAGTTTAATGTTTCCCCGCTTTTCGTGTCGCTGGTCTCGTCCGCTGCTCCAGGTCGGTTATCGGAAATGAACCAAAGACTGCAGACGATAAAGGAAGAATGGCATCCTAAGAGAGCGCTCGCGAGAGATGACCGGAAAAAACGTAAACAACTGTGGTACAGACCATAGAACTGGCACTCAGGAACGCTGTTTGGTCCAGAAAGCTCAGAGAGCACCTACATTTGTGCTTACCTTGTATATATCGTTCCGTTGTTCATTCTTGCCAACGAAGCCACCTTTGTTTCTGTGGGATGTTTTCGACAAAACGCGCATAAAGCTAATCTATTAGTTACAACATATTGAATACAATAATATTACAAACCCGGACTTTTTCCCACCGAGTCCTGCACTAGTTCCCAACAAACTCCCCATATTCATTTGAGGAGTCGGTGTCGCCCAACATTTCATCTATCATTTCATATTCTTCGCGAATACGGAAGAGAAGATCTCGGAAATTTTGATCCTCCTGCGGATCGGTTATTCGCAGCTCCAGAGCTACTAGAGTATTATTTTCACACTGTACAAGAACTTCGTAAAACTCACCACTACTTTGAATCGTTCTATTGAGGTCCCGAGTGCCCTTCATTATGACTGTCTGAGTAAAAAATCGCTTATCGGTTGCTGTGGCCACGTCTCCATCGTCAACCCATTCAAAAACGATCCGATACCATGGCAAATCATCAGTTTTACTCATCAGTTCGCAAACTCGTGTGGAGCCTTCAAAAATTCGAACCTGCGGCTCCCAACCCTTCGACGCTCCCCGCGGTAGAACATTGTACAGTGCAGATGTTATGAAAGCCTGGTTGCTGCGGACAATGAGCCCTTGAGACATAGGTCACGGTTACAAAGGGAAAACTGGCGACAAGCTCAGGTCGCAACGGAATATGATAATGGTAGTATGAACAGATGGAGAGCTTTCTATAGACTCAACCAATACTTTTCCACGCTTCACCATTGTCATATGGAAAACTTGGCGATAGAAGGAATCTTCGTGTGAGATGATTAGAGAGCTGATAAAGGATTCATAAGCGAAGCGCGTTCAGAAAGCACAAACAAAATAGCGATCCAATGACCTGGACCGAGCTGAACTTCTTTCGGGTTCCGAAACTAATGATTCTGGAGAGAAAGAAGCAAACAAGCAGTCGCTCTATTTTTTTTTTGAATATCACATGGTACGAAAATATATCTCACTTATTGATAAGTACTATCACGTTGAATTGTCTGTCATCACTAATTGCAACTGCAAATGTTTCGTTGAGTAGTAGTCAATTCGTCAGTTTACTTCACTTAATGTGCTCACGTTTCTGGGAGATTGAATGCTAATGTCGCATTTCAAACAGTTTCAAAATAATACGTAAGAAGCTCTATAAGTATTGCATATTGGCTCGATTAGTTCCAAAATACATATCAAAAAGACTTATTAAAATCTAACAAAAGAAAAAGTATCCAAGAAGAACGCAATCACTTTGTAAGGAACCCTTTAATCTGAGAATCAATCCTGGTATCCGCTACTAACGTAAAAATGATAGTGACATCGATTGAGGTACACGTGATCAAAATATGCATTTTGTACGGTAATCGCAAATAACGACCACAATTAATTAGATATTCTTGACAACTATGCTTTCCAGTAGATCGCATAACACCAACACCATTGACAACAAGTGATAAGGTTCGACAATGGCTCCAGCTTATGATGATGACGATGGAGACTATAGCTATGACGACGACGTTGTCGAGTTTCAGGATGAAGCGGCTCTTGACGACTATATGAATGACGAAGAATACGAACTCATGAATGATATGTTTCCACGAGCCAAAAAAGAGCTGGCTGATTATCTAGGATGGGACAACCTTAAGGTCAAATTGGCCATATTTGACCATGAGTTCAATCTTGACGAGGCGCTGATAGATTTGAAAAGAGGTCTGAAAAAGAAGAAATCAGAAGGTATGTATCACTGCTTCTTTTTGTTTTTTTGCTTGCGGGCTTGAAAGCATTTTATTTGTTTTTGTTTGGACGTTTTTTTGCCCGTCTTGAAGCGGAAAGCTCTTTCTTGACCGCGGATTTCTTTTGTTTTGCACTCTCTTGCTCCTTTTAAAGTGTTGGACGTACAAGAAATGGATACAGTGCCTTCATCAGCCTGGTTTTTACTTTTTGAATTTGCTTTATGTGTGTCCGATGGCGTTACAACACCTCAGTTTGCGAGAGATGTTCGATGGGCTGCGCAGGGCGGGAAGGGGAACAAGCTTGGTTCGTGGTTGGGTAGTAGATTTTTCCCAGGATTATCCATCGACCCACCAATCTTATTAACATTACATTTTTCAAAGAAACCCCAACGAAAATGTCTGCTCTTGAACAGGCTGCCAGGAGAAGAGCTTTGAATTCAAAAAAGGCGGCAACCACCGACACTTCCAATTCTGCAGGCAAATTGGGCGCAATAAGCCCGCGGGCGCGAGATGGTGGTGAGAAACCACCATCTTCTCTGGCGGCGCGCCTGGCATCTTTACAAGTGAAACGCGAAGGAGCACCTTCAAAATTACCAGGCCAAGGAAAAGACTCTAAGTCTCTTGCGAGCCGGCTTTCCTTTGGAAACAAAAAGCAACAAGAACCGAGTGAAAGCGCTCTGAATTCAAGAACTTCTCTTTATTCAAAGTTATCCGCTCTTCGTAAGAGTAAAGATAGCGGCGAAGTCTCAACTTCGAAAAAGCCCACACAACCTTCCACAGAAATTGCTCCCCTCTCACAATCAGAGGAAAAAGATAGAATTTCGGAAGTCTCGAAAATTCCTACATTTGAGGAAATCGGAGGACTGTTTAATCTGAAAGCTTTACCGGATGACCGCGAGCTCCCTGAGAAATCACTAGAAATATCAGAGTTGGTTGCCAAACGCGAATCGAAGGAGGAGACCGCTATCTCGAGACTAAAGCGCAAATATGACGATGTTCATTCGACTTATTTTCCGTATACTAACAATCAAGCAGCCAAAAAACAAGCCACCGTAAATTTCAACAAGCAAAGTCCCGATGATGTGGTTATGGAAGCCCAGAAGAGAGCCTTCGAAGATGTTGCGAATGTTTCGAAGGGCGTCGAAGCCGTGACCTTAGAGAACTCTAAACCGACAAAAGATGAGGGTATCGACCAGGACGAAGAAGATGACAAGCCTTTTCCCAAAGATCCAGTCGTGCGTACCCACAAAAAAGCAACGTCACCCACCAAGCCCAAAAATCCAATAGATTTGAATGCCTTTCTGCAGCAAAAAAAGCCCCATCTCAGTTTTGTAGTGATCGGCCATGTCGACGCTGGTAAATCTACACTTATGGGTCGTTTGCTTTACGACGTAGGGGCAGTTGATAACAAATTGATAAGAAAGCTTAAAAGAGAAAGTGAGATGATCGGTAAGTCCTCTTTTCATTTGGCATGGGTCATGGATCAGACGGCGGAGGAAAGAAATCGTGGTGTGACAGTCGATATTTGCACGAGCGATTTCGAAACGAAGGATTCGACGTTTACCATAGTCGATGCGCCAGGCCATAGAGATTTTGTACCGAACGCAATAGCTGGTGTTAGCCAAGTTGATGTTGCTGTTTTGTCTATTGATTGTAGCACTGATGCCTTTGAGTCCGGTTTCAACCTTGATGGTCAAACCAAGGAACATACGATACTTGCGAGAAGTCTCGGGATTCGCCATATAATCGTTGCAATGAACAAAATGGACAGTGTAGACTGGTACGAGGGAAGGTTCACCGACATCAAGTCTGAGCTAACTAACTTCTTCGAGGACATTGGCATAAAGAGTGAACAAACGAGCTGGATTCCGTGCAGCGGTCTATCAGGCGAGGGAGTTTTTGACAAATCCTACCCAGCGGGTCTTGCATGGTATAAGGGGCCGTCACTGGTGGAAAGTCTAGAACAAATTTCGCAGAGTTTTTTCGATAGTGAAAGTGCCGAAATTACCGAAAAACCATTTTTGTTTTCTACGTTTGACGTCAGTCAAGGAAGTAAGCCAAATGAAGCTGTACTGTTCGGAAGGGTGGAGTCGGGGCATATACAAAGTGGTGAAACCGTCACAATATATCCCTCGGAGCAGAGCGTCTCGGTGACACAAATTTTAGTAGGGAACAATCAAGCACCGGTGCCGGTGGCCATCAAGGGCGACTTTGTCACACTCAAAGTGCGCAATGCATATGTGGAGGATATTCAAGGTGGGGATCTCGTTGCAGTTGTGGGCTACGACATTGAAAGTGCTCAAGAGTTTTCATCTCAGATTTTAACTTTTGGCCTGGACCGCCCTCTGTTACCGGGAACCCCTGTCATGTTTTTCAGAGGAAGCTGTGAGCAGCCCGCAAGAATAAAAAAGCTTGTGTCATTAGTAGACAAAGCGGATGCTTCCAAGATTATCAAGAAGAAAGTCAGACATTTAGGATCAAATCAGGCTGCGATTGTCGAAATCGAGCTCACTGAAAAGAAGAGAAGAGTTCCTCTGATGACTTTCGGGGAGAACAAACGTCTAGGCAGGATTCTTCTCAGAAAAGAGGGGAAAACAGTTGCCGCAGGCGTGATTAGAACGCTTGACGTATAACTTGAAATGCATATAGTACGTATTAATTGATGATGTCTAGGCAAACAATCAAAATGCCGAAAAGAATAGAAAGGTAAACAATCAGTTTAGCCGATTTCCCGCCATGTCTTTGAGCCCTTTTCAATTGTCGATTACCTTGCTGAATGTCCATTTCTATGTCGTCGTGATTGTCGAGCAGTGAATAAATGCTTTGTGTTTGGGACTGGAGATGAGATGCTATTTCATTTTGTAGAGATGTAATCTGTACCATTGTCTTGCTCAAGTTTTCAACTTTTTCAAGCTCTTGGGTCTTGATGTTCAAAAGCTCGTCGTGTTCATCCTCTAAAATTTGCAATTGTTCTTGGGATAATTTACCAACGGTCTCTTCATATTGACGGACTTCCTCTTCTGTTGTTTCGACTGCAGGATGCTGAGCGACAGCTTTGATAACGCTGTGAGTCGGGTTGTAAAGTTGGGCATTAAAATCTATCGAGTCCAGTTCTCGTTGACGTGAAAGTCTGTGCTGTTGCATTTTTGATATGTCCGAGAAAATGGAGGATATTATCATATTCAGGGATTGCAAGATTCCTTGTCTGTGCTTGTTATTTGTAGTGTGGAAAAGCACCAGAGAGTCGTCCCTGGTACGGAAAAGAGATGAGATTTCGCCTTGCGGGTGGCTCAGATACTTTTTCTCTACCAATTCCTGTCGTTTTTTTTCATACTGTTCCAAGAACTTGAGCTTTTCGAAGTACTGCTGTATCAGCAAACGCACTTCCGTGTCGAATTCGTCCTTTTCGCGGTCTGTAAGGTCCTGCTCACTCTGATACTGCGTTTTGATGGAATTTACCACTTTTTGAAGCTCCAAGACATGCTTAAGCACTTCCAAACATTCTTTGATGAAAGCATCCTTGATTGTATACTTCTTCTGGTGGTCGTTCGACGCTGGAGTTTGTCCTATTTTGGCTTTAGGATCGCCGTCTAAGTTTTCAGAAAAAACAGAAACATATTTTTCGAAAAGCGGCGTTACGTTTGGCATTTGAGACTACTCTGTGAGCTTGGTTTTTGAAGCTGCTGATCGAAGAAGTAGTCGTTAGCTTCAAGCCATGGAAGCTAGACATCATTAGATTCAGTTCTTATTACTACTAGTATGGATAGATCACCATAAAGAAACGTACATGGTGATAAATGTCCAACTGAACAATTCAACACGCCGTTTTATAATAACAACAAGAACCAAAGCTATCTTGATTTCTTGTTATGCGTTCGCGTTCTGTTTCTTGGCCTGTTTCTTCCATCTGCAACCGTCAATTTTCGAATTTCACACCAAAAAGCGTATGTCTCTCTCCATCCATGATACCATTATCACGCACGCACGCAGATGGACGAAATAGCATACACAACACACAAAACAGAATGCTGTTACTTGTCGCAGTTGAATGAATGAAACTGCTACGGTGTGTTTCCCAACCGGCAGATTTCGAGGTTGGCGATGAGCTTATGCATCACTTTTGACGTAGAGACTTAAATTGATTTTTTTCGTGACGCGTCAGATTATTCCAAATCACGACGCGTAAAGATATTATTTAAAGTATTCATCAACGCGTAAATGTGAATAAATCATATTATCAAGTTCAGAGAAGACATCCAAGAATCACGGACTTGACATCTCATCTCTGAACAAGAACAAACAAGACCGATTCCTACCCTATACTCCTTTTAGATCCAAACATCAGGTATGACTGAACACGAAAACAAAAAACAGAAACAAGAATCGGGTGGTAACAGCGAAGAACAGCAGTATTTGGACCTTTGTCGAAGAATCATCGAAAATGGCGATTTCAGACCAGACAGAACTGGGACTGGTACTTTTAGCGTTTTCGCTCCTCCACAGCTGCGTTTCGACTTGAGTGGTGACAGATTCCCGCTTTTGACTACCAAAAGAGTATATACCAAAGGAATCATCCTGGAGCTGCTGTGGTTCATTTCCGGCTGTACGGATGGTAAAAAGCTATCGGATCAGGGAGTCAAAATCTGGGAGGGGAATGGCTCTAGGGAGTATCTGGACAAGCTGGGGCTGACCGACAGACGAGAAGGAGATTTGGGTCCTGTTTACGGGTTTCAATGGAGACATTTTGGTGCAGAGTACCGGACTTGTGAAGACGACTACACTGGTCACGGCTTCGATCAATTAAAAGATGTCATTCACAGAATTAAAACAAACCCAACAGATCGTAGAATTATAATGAGTGCTTGGAATCCGCCAGATTTCGCCAAAATGGCATTGCCTCCTTGCCACGTATTTTCGCAATTCTACGTCACTCTCCCTAAAAAAGAAGGCGAGAAGCCAAAACTGTCTTGTTTGCTTTACCAAAGGTCGTGCGATATGGGATTGGGAGTTCCATTCAATATTGCATCTTACGCACTTCTAACTAAAATGATCGCTCATATCTGCGACATGGAACCAGGCGAATTTATACACACTTTGGGTGATGCTCATGTTTATAAAGACCATGTTGATGCTGTTCAAGAGCAGTTACAGAGGACCCCCAGACCATTTCCCAAACTGATAATTAAAAGGGACGTGAGTGACATTGATGACTTCAAGTATGAGGACTTCGAGATAATTGATTATAACCCACACAAGAGAATCCAAATGAAAATGAGCGTATAGTATTTCGTTTATATCTTTACTCGATGACGTTACATTGTGGCTACAATCTGAATGCTGGTTTTTTGCCGTGCTTTTCAGCTTCTTGTCTTGCTTTGGCTCTATGCGTTTTGGGCACTGTGTGCGTTTTCAAATCGTCAAGCAAGTTAAATAGCGATAGATCTTCTTCATTAACTCTAAAGCTTGTGCTGCGGTTTCCGGAACTGTCGTCAAAGCTATTGGAGTTCTCACCGCCCAAATCGCCAACTATTGGCTTCTTGAACAGCTTTTTGGTTTTCATGGATGATTTTGCAGGTGCATTATTGTTGGTGATGTCTTTCAGTGGATTCATTTTAGGTATTTTTGGAGAAAATGCGCTGATCTTAGGTTTCTGAGGTACAATTACAGTGGCTTTGGCTGATTCTTGTGCAGCAGTCGATAAATTAGAAGTTTCTTGAACTTGTTGCGAAGGTTCGGGCGTCTTTTTCGGATCATTCGTCTTAGAGTTGTCGGCTTGATCTTCGTGAATTAATGGCGAGCCATCCCTGGAATACGAACCCGATTTACGACGATTGCCTTCAACTTGAAGGTCACGAATGTTGGTAACCGTAGTTGCATCCACCAATTTTTCTGTGGGTCTTCTCATTTTGGCACGCAAGGAGGGCAAGGCGTAATTGATTTCTTTACCACGAGTCCTTCTCAGCCTGGAAGAGTCCGAAAGATCCTCAGTAGACCCGCATGTGGTTGGCATAACCTCATCAACAATCCGCCTCTGGGATACTCTGGATTTCATTGAGTGCTTCACCTTCTTTTGGGAAGACGTTGTGTTTTGTTCAAATGACATGCGCTGCGGCTCACCGCTCACTGCATGAGCTCTTGATGCAGAATTTGCCATTGAATCAGGTAATAGTCGTGAGTCTACTCTCTGAGGTTGTTCCTCGATGTCATGGTAGACTTGAAGCTTTGCAGAATCTGAAGTAACGGAGGTTTCAACATGCTTTTCGGGCAGTTCCTCCGGTATTGAATACTCGATGAGAGAGTTTGTAAAATTACAGGACTCTTCTACAGAGTCGTGATGCGGCTGCTGTGGCAGGTCGGTATCTGTTATGGATTCTTCAAAGCTCTTTCGAGATGATGTGATTTGTTCGTCCATTGTGGCCTCGGTGGGTATGCCTGAAACAGCTTCTTGAGCTGCGGTGGTCGTGTCTTCATTGGTGGCTATATCGGCGAATTCAAAGTCGGAAGGGTGAAATAACGATTCTCTCCGTGAACTCTTCCGTCTTTTCTTAGCGGATGGGCTTGCAACTGCTTCTTCTGAAGGCTTATTATGTGAGTTCCCAGGCTCTGGTGAGATTATCTGGTTGCGGCTTTCGTTGAATGCTATGGTTGTAGTGGACGTATCGCGGCTATGTCGCGATCGATCCCTTTTCAAAATCGACCTAGGTTCGTTCAGGAGGGCGGATCGCCTCACGAGTGAGTCATGCGGTACTTCTAAGCCCTGTCGCCGGCGTACGGACTCAAACATATGCAATAGCTCATCGAATCGCTGCAAGACTCCTTCTTCTAGCGATTCGATCGTACTTGCTAATCTCTCTTTGAACTCATGTTCCTTCAATGACAGTTTCGAGCGCAAGCACACGTTTTCCTGAATGAGCTCGCTGACCGATTTGTCCATTTCACGTACTTTGATCATAAGTTCACTATTGCATCGTGCCAGTTGCACATTTTGCTGGGATAAACCCATTTTTACATTTTCAAATTCATTTCTTTGCAAATCTACGAGGTCCTGAAATTCCTGAATTGCTGGAACTCTCGTTTCATCTAAAGCAGCAGTACTAATTCGATTACTGGCCACCGCTGGACTTTTCCGATCCGTTTTCGGAGCCGCGCGCGAAACCCGTTTTCGCAGCGCCTTGGCCATTGTATAGCAGCGCGCTTTTTCCTACAAGCGCCAATAGCAGTAACCAATAGCTCAAGCTTGAAGCTTATAGCACCGCAGTCTATTCAACGAGTGGGAAGTAAAGACGAGGAATCTTTGAAAACTTCTGTTTGTTTGTCTTTTTAGATCGCTTTTGTTTATTTGTTTATTTATTCATCTCTTATTGGAATTTTCACGACTCACGTGACTGGCACAAAAGACTGTGAAAAGTGTTGATGTCATTGTAGACGAAGGGCTTTTCGATGCTTAGGTTTTGGGAACTTTGACTAACACCTTTTAAATAATGACAGTACCCAGTTGAAGTTCAAAAAAGCATAGTGACAGTTATAGAATCGTCAAGGCATTTTGGACTTAACGCACTCAATTCGTTTTCAGAAAGATCGCGCCGTGTCTTGGCAAGAGCAGGATGATTTTAAAAGAGCAGATTCTTGCTAAACAAAAAGAACTGAGCGCATTGAAAAAAATCAATGCTCTGACAGACTCTATGCGCTCGCAGCTGGATGCGCTGGCGGTTGAAGTTGCTGGTATGCATCAAAACGCTGAGAATGTTGCGCAAGTGATGCAAAATTGGGACTCCATAGTAAGGTCTATCTCGCAGGCGAGTTTGAGCCTTTTGCAGTACTCAGAAAGGGATTACGAGGTGGGGGCCTGGAAGCAGGAAACTACTGACTCCGAGCAGCAGACTTCATCCCAGCAAAACACGGCAGAGGCACCTTTACCAGAGACATTGGTGAGGATAAAAGTCGATAAGGACGAAACAAGTTCGAATGCTTGATTGTCTTCCTGGATGACGGGTGGGGCGATCGTTTTGAGGCGACGTCAGCAAATTTTCTATCGTGAAATACCATTAAAAATTTACTTAATATTTTCTAGCTGCGTCCTCGATCCGATTTGTCTCATAATTGATGACACATTTGAGTTCGCTGCTTTCGTTGGCGGCCGCTACCACAGATGCTAACTTTGAACCAAATTCGGGGCCCAGATCTTCGATTTCTTTCTCTTCCTGAAGAGCAGTCTCCAGCAAGTTATTCGCATCTGCGTTTAGTGGGCTATAGTTGGCTTCGAAGTATGCCGAATTCAGAGCCGTGCGGTCCTTGAGCAGATCAAGGTTTGGCAAAATTGTCCCCACCTCAAAAATTTGTTCATTGAAACATCTACGCATTGTGAAGAAAAGAGAAGATTCTGTCTCGTCGACATTGTCCTTCCAGTTGTCTCGAAGTGCACATCTTCTCCAAATCATGGCGTGCAAAAATGCGTAGGTCTCGTAATTGACAGAGTCCTTATTCAAAGATAGAATTTTTGTGGCTTTGAAGAATCCGCTTCGGTCTTGGATGAGCGTAAACATTTCAATGACTCCTGCCAAGTGTAGTCTCTGAGAATTCTGTATGTTGGTCTTTAGAATTTCAAATAGTTTCTCAAGAGCAGAGCCTTGATAATGATCACGAATCCCTATACCTTGTTCAATCGATGAAGCCAGATCTTTCTGACCATCAACAACATCCAACTCCGCCTGAATGTTTTTGAGTGTATCAACGTCTGATGAATTTTCGTTGGCCAAAGTGCATAGTTTTGCCACGCTTAGCATTGTTTGATCAGCGTTCAGGCTATGAGGTCCCTTACTTGGACCGGCGGTAATATTCACCAAATCTTTCGACGCCATGAGGTACTGGTTGTCAAACACTTTGCACATCCAACCATACTTCGCATAGCGAGGGTTCCGGTCGAAGAACTGTCGTAAAGATTCTTTTTGCATCGGAAACCTCTCATACAAATCCTGTATGCGACCGTTGGCGATGTAGTTACTGAACACTTCAGCAGCAAAAGCATATTGGAATTTTTCAAAATACTGGGAGTACAGGTCCGCAGACTCGGCGTTCGGCAGTGTGCCAAGTGTCGCTGCCAGAGAAGCCAGATCTCCATAAAATTCCGTAATCTGCAAGGATTCTTGTGTTTTTCCGGCGGCGCACAAGGTCTGGTTCCAAAATAGCCTGTTTTCCTCATAAAGACTAGCAATGCTTTTTACTTCGGAAGTCGATACTTGCATAACATCATTTTCAAGCCAAAGTGATGCTTGGTCGCATGAGTAGTATAGTATTTTTGCCAGTGAAAGAAGATTTTCGCCTTGATCAGAGGAGCTTTCTGAATCGGGCTTGAAGTGGCTAAGTTTTCTGAACACCTCGCCTAAAATAAGAGGAATACCATGTTGAATATACCAAGGCGGCGAAGTACCCTGCTCAAATTTGCTCATTCGAAAATCGCCAAAACGGTAAGCCTCCTCACCTTCCTGAAAAGATGCCTTTAACAAGCACGCTCTGACGACCTTAAAACATGAAAGCCATGAATCTGAGCCGCTTGCAGATGCAAGTAAAGAGGATTGCATCTCTTGCAAAAACGTGGAAAAAATTTTGGGAAAAGTATCAAGTTGGCTTTTGAAAAAAGTTTCTTCATCGAGCCTTTCGAGTTTGATAGCTTTGTGCCAGCAATCAGCCAATTCCTGGGAGTCTCTGATTGACAAAAGAAGCTCTCTTGCGGCGTTCAAAATCTCAAAGTTTTCAATCAACTTGATTTTGACGCCAGGTGATATTCTGTTAAGGAAGTTCGCCTTTGTAAATTGTAAAAGACTTCGATAGAGCTCGGCTCGCAAGCTTACGTGCCTCTCTATTGATTGAAGCATCGGAGGAACATAGTTTGACTTGGACAGAAGAATCTCATTTGCTGACAATAAAAGGTCCTCTTCGATCTCTTCCCTTTCTAAGGAAATGTTTGGTGGAAGGTTGAAGTCGATTGGTGTATCGTCAAGGTTGGAGAAATAGACGCTCTGGTCAATATGCGACTTGATGAATCTCCCCTCTGGCAAGCTCGCAGGGTTACTATGCTGCGTAGCGGTAATTGCCAATACACCCATATTCCTGCTCATTAAGTAAACCGATTTAGAGTCCATTCCATACCCAAAAATTTGGGCGTCTTCGCGAAAGCAAATGATGTCCTCCCATTTTCTTTTCAAAGAGTAGCTTTGATCAAGTGTGGAACTAACTTGTGTCAGAACCACGCAATTTTTGAATATCGTGTATACTGAGGTCATGGGCGCTTTCGTCGAATCGGCTTCGAGAGGTATCAAAAGTCTCGGAAAAGCACTTTCGCTGGTAGCCATCGTGTAAGTGTTCAGCCTATAGGTTGAAAAGATCATGAACCCATTAGTGTGCTCGTCCAACTTTATAGTGCTCAGAATGTAATAGCAAGCTCCGTCGTAATCTGTAATTGAAGAAAGTATCATGTGAGACATGTTGTCCTCACTTAAAGGATGAGAGTCTAACAGCGTCAAAGAGTTATGCGCACACGGATATAGTTCTTTCAAGGAGTCTAGAATTTGATCATATAAGTTAAATTCATTTCTCTTGTAGCAATTGGCTACCGCGGAGATGTTCCACACCGTAAAGTCCCCATTGCTAGTCATGACCGTGACCGACCTCTCCCCCTTCCCAAGAATAGGCCCCGATTTGATAGACTGTATTTTTTTGGTTTTTGAGGCGGAAAAGAACGATGCAAATGACGATTTCACCATTTGCATTTTTAAGTTCAAGCATGGTTTACCCATATAGTCACGAAGAGTGACAAAAAGAAGTCTGCCGCGAGACGTCGAAACAAGAATACCTGCTGGTTCTGCATTCACAACGTCTACCACGTCTTCTGCGTCCTTGAGAGCCAGCTTATATTCATGGCATTTTGTCCGCGAAATACGCGACGACAAATTATTGATCGAACTAACGTCCTCATAAAACTGAATGAGTCCTGATTTTCTGTTGACGATGCAGATTCCGCAATCTTCAGACGCGGGACCTGTTGTTTTATCGTTGCCCAAACGGTCATTGGTGTTGTCTTCAAGTGCAGCTGGCCACGTGACGACAATCTTAGGAACACAACTTAGCAATACGTGATCTTCATGGAGTGGGACATGTGTGACTGGTGGATTTACCTGTGTTGTTGCGAAATCCCACATGTACAACGTATCACTATTGTTTACCAGAGCATTTTGCGAAAATGTGTCCACGTGACCGTCAACCGATTCACTGTTTTGCAATCCAGCTGGGAGTTCTGCAGGCAGTTTTTCCACTGTGTACTTGCTGTTTTCTGTGAACACAATTTTATTACTAAATCCCGACGTTAAAGAATGTTCAACATTGTTTGTGCTCTCAAATTGTTCAGCGAACGATTGCGTCAAATTGGCATCGCTTCCTGCCTCACTAGACTCTTCTAGATCTTTCCTTAGCTGGAATATAGGCCCCGCAGACATTGGTCCCAAATACACGTCTGTCAGTCGCTGTCAAACCGCTTATTCTGCTCTCAATTGAGACGCTATTTGCATCGGCTTATATCAGTTGTTGTATAGTATTTTGAGTTTTCGAAGTCTAATATGAAAAAACCCTTCGTATAACGTGCTATCACCAATTCTGAAAAATTTGAAGAGCTCATCGCATCATTCAGAAAGAGCTATTCAACAGCGATGAGCTAAAGACTTTGGTGTATTTCACTCAACTCAAAAACAGTATAAGATGATCAGAACAGTGTATGTGTTTGCGGGATAGTTTTGGATATAGTACTCCTTTTTTTAGCTGGAAACAGCTTTACTTAGAGTGACATTTGACTAACAGAATGATGTAGGAAACCCAAAAATGCAAGGGCCAAGAGAGCGCTCGATAAAAAGGAGCCCAAATTGGTGGAAAACACCAAACAGGCGCTTTTCGTGACCGGGAAAACCTCTACACAGGTGCTTCACGACGCCATGGTGGACTTGGGCGCTTTGAAGAAACCTGATCTCAAAAGATTCAACAAGAAAAACGACGTGCGTCCATTTGAAGATGCAGAGCCACTAGAGTTTTTCAGCGAGAAAAACGACTGTTCGCTACTCGTACTCAGCTCAAGCTCAAAGAAGCGTAAAAATAATCTCACCTTTATTCGCACCTTTGGATACAAAATCTATGACATGATTGAGCTGCAAATCGCAGAGAACTACAAATTTTTGTCTGACTTCAAGAAGCAAACTTTTGCAGTCGGGCTAAAGCCAATGTTTTCCTTTCAAGGAGCTGCTTTCGATACTCACCCTGTCTATAAACAAGTTAAGTCATTGTTTTTGGACTTTTTCAGAGGCACGGTAAGCAACTTGCACGACGTTGCTGGTTTACAGCACGTCATCTCTGTTACTGTACAGGGCGATTTCGAAGATGGTGAGCCGCTTCCAAACGTTTTGTTCAGAGTTTACAAGCTCAAGACGTACAAGAGCGAGCAAGGCGGACCTAAGCTACCCCGTGTCGAACTGGAAGAGGTTGGGCCACGTTTTGATTTCAAGATTGGCCGCATCCGCTCCCCATCGCCAGAGTTAGAGAAGGAGGCACACAAGAAAGCAAAACAACTAGAACCTAAGACCGTCAAGAATATATCGGCCGATGGCATGGGTGACAAGTTTGGTACCATCCACATGGGTAAACAGGATCTAGGCAAGCTACAAACACGTAAGATGAAAGGTTTGAAAGCAAAGTTCGACCAGTCTCAACTAGATTCTGAGACCGAAGACTACGTCAACGAAGATGAAGAAGATTTACAGGGTGGCGCTGAGGAAAGTTACGGCGAAGACTTTGTTACCGCAAACGATATCGACGTTGAGCCCCCCACCAAGAAAGCGAGAAAATAGACACGCACTATTCTTGCCCTTACCAAATAAAATAGATTATTGTACACTAGTTTCTCTTCTCTAATTGCATGTTAAAGCCTCTATAAGAGTAAACCTCTTTATTCTACATTTTTACTCGTGATCATTGTACCTTGGCGTTACTTTTGCTTGGCACTACAGCTGCTGCAATTTCTGTCTGTTCTCCACTAACCTCAGCATATTCCTCAAAAGCATCGAAATAGTCACTTTTCCAGTGCTGGGGACATATAACGCTGCTTTGCTTTTGACAGAATCGTCGAAGTTCTTATGAGAGGAGAAATTCACACAAACAGCACCTTCTTTGATGTATTCAGTTGGAATCTTGTAATTTTCGGATGGAACACCAGTAATGACGACGTCCGCATCGGAACAATACTCTTTGAGCGCAGCATCGGAGTAAGGCCCTAGATCCTCAACTTGGTGTTTTTGAAACTTGAGACCCTCACCACGAGTGAATCTTTGAATGTTGTTGATGTCAATCGAGTAAACGACAGCACCGTCGTTAGCCAGTAGTGCAGCAAGAGGTCTGCCCACAATTTCGGAACGGTTGACCACAACACACTTCTTACCGTAGAGCCTATTCCCAACGGGCAGAAGGTTGTTGTACACTTTCAAGTACTCTAAGATTTTGATCACGGCTAGCGGCGTGCATGGTAAGATTGATTTGAGCTGTTTCTCCTCGTCCAAGAATCTGACGTTGTGGTACATGTTTTGGTAGTATACGTGGTTCAAGCCCTCGACGTCCTTTTCACGAGCCACCACTTGCTGCAGATACTGGTCCTGGGCGTTTCCGAACACTGGAAAGTAGACCATAATACCGTCCACAGATTTGTCTCTGTTGGCCTCTATGATGGCCTCTTCTAAGAAATCTTTTTCCTGAACTCTTCTGAGCTCGTAGCGGAACCCCATGGACTCGCACGTTTTGCCCGTCCAATTGGCGTACATTTCGGCAGCAGGGTCGTTGTTAGCCAAGAATCCAACCAGGAGAGGCCCCTCGGGTCTTATTTCTTTGAGAGACTTGACTTTGGCAGTGATTTCATCAACGTAAGTCTTGGAAATCGAAGATGCGAGAATGGTGCGGCCCGGCTTGTCAGACATAGTTTAATAGCTGAAAAGTAGTGAAAAAAGAAGAGCAGTGTTTGTTCAAATTAGGATCCAATATGAGCTTTAAGAAGTTCGCTGCGGTTTGTCTATCGCTGAATGGGAACCAAACAACGTCCAAATACTAAACTATGTACTTAGAGGTCTACAATTGTAGGATATTTATACTCGATCTGTTAATAGTTCATAAATTAAAGGTTTAATTTTTTACTGTCGTCCTAATTAATAAAGATAATATATAATTATATCAGAGCGAGTCAGACACGATAGGTTGGTTTTTGGTTCGATTCCTGAAGGAGACATTTTTTAAAAATAATGCCAGGAATCAGGAAATGTGTAAACTTCGCATATTCGAGTTAAGCTAAGGGAGTGATAGGCAATTGATTGGCAATTTCACAGTTTCATGAATTTAATGGGGCTAGTGCTGCCTATTACAGTCATTCGAAAGAGAACGTACGCCGGTCTTCTCGTTTGTCGTGAGAATATTGAAAGTTCATAGACTTCGAAAGAAAAGCCCTCGACTGCTGTCGCCGTCTTTCGATCAATCAATTTGAAAATCCTAGATATTTTGAGCTTTTCTTCGTGTCGTTGATTGAGTATCGGTTCTTATTCGCTTGACAGATGATTTATGTCGTGTTTTCAGGAATGGTGATGCAACGTCACGATATGAAAAGATAAAGACTGTGAAAGGCATTGAACCGCTGAGTAAAGGTTGTATTATGAAAAATAACATTTATTTACAGTTTTTTAAGAGCTACGAATACAGCGTAAACTCTGCCACCCTAGGTTGGTGATGGTCTTGGTAGCCTAACCTAAGTGACGACGCTATAGTACAAAGTGATCTGAGTGTACGTTTATTATATAGCTACTTTACATGTACAGCTCGATCCCTGGGTTTTCGCTTTGCATCCCGTTCCCAACCATAAACAAACTAGGCGCCAGGGTTTGATTTAGACGTTCAATCATGGGAGTAAGGCCCACTACAACAAGCTCGTCTCCGACGCAGCGGGAAATCTATCAAAAATCAAACAACTCTAGCCCTTCTTTGATGGGATCATTAATGAAATCTCTAAAGTCGTCCAATCTGGCAAGACATCATCCTCATCACCAGCCTGGTGCTGATAACAATAGTGAATTGGATGGAGGGCAGCGTTCCAGAAGCTCACATCAGCTTTTGAGCAGGTCTTCCAGCCAGAGCAACGGCTCACACCATCATGGACATGGTGTAAGTCATATCCACATGAGTCCGCTAAGAAAGAGTTCCTCGGGTAATAGCAGCACCGCTAACGTGGCAACACAAAAGGATCGGCATCATCTGAAGAAGGACAAGTATTTCAAGGACCTGGATGAAGACTGGAGTGCGGTTATCGAAGATTACAACATGCCCATCCCTATGATCAGTAACGGAGGCAGCGAATTAAAACCACCCGTCAACGTCGGGTTACGACGAAAAGAGGCTGTAGAATCACGATCTCCGTCCGCTGGCTACCCCAGTTTGCCACACCTCAACAAATCTCAAAGTTCGGACCTCAAAACGCAGTATGAACACGAAAGCGAACGTGAACTACAAGAGTTGAACTCATTTATGCACCGCGTTTCCAAATTCGAAGCTATTTTACAGCCTACAAATGGTAGCCAGATCAATCTGAGCGAACTTCGTCGTCTCAGCTGGAATGGTGTACCATTGCTACATCGTCCACAAGTGTGGCGGCTTTTGATAGGTTACGCGCCCGCAAATATCAAGAGACAGAACACACTCCTGCAGCGCAAGCGTCAGGAATATCGGGACGGAGTAGCGCTTGTTTTTTCAAAAGAGCACACCCGCGACATCCCAACATGGCACCAGATCGAGATCGACATTCCGAGGACAAACCCATTAATACCGTTATATCAGTTTCCTCTTGTTCAGCAGAGTCTGCAGCGGATACTTTACCTGTGGGCGATAAGACACCCAGCAAGCGGCTACGTGCAAGGTATAAATGACCTTGTAACACCATTTTATCAAACGTTTCTCACAGAATATCTACAGCCGGCCAATAAGGACGATGTCAGTAAGCTTAGCCCTGACCTGTACCTGACTCATGAGCAACTTTTGGATGTTGAAGCGGATTCGTTCTGGTGTGTTGCAAAGCTTTTGGAACAGATCACCGACAACTATATTCATGGCCAGCCCGGTATTCTGAAGCAAGTGAAACATCTCGGGCAACTAGTCAAAAGGATAGACGGAGAACTTTACGAGCATTTCGTCCAGGAAAACGTTGAATTCATTCAGTTTGCATTCCGCTGGATGAATTGTTTATTGATGAGAGAATTTAGCATGGACATGGTCATTCGCATGTGGGATACCTATCTTTCAGAGACCTCTTTGGAATCTTCGTCTTCTACGGTTGCAGACCCTTCCGGCATGACATTATCCTCCGACGGCTCTCTTCAAAATTCACCCGTCAATGCTTATCGAGAAAAGTCATCCTCCAAAAGCATGCAAAGCAAACACAGTACAGTGGCAACATCACGTCAGACATCGTTAAGTGAGTTCCATGTCTTTGTCTGTGCAGCCTTTCTGGTCAAATTCAGTGATAAGCTCATCAACATGGATTTTCAAGAAACAATCACTTTCCTACAAAACCCACCCACCAAATGCTGGACCGAGAGTGATATAGAGCTCTTGTTGAGTGAAGCATACATCTGGCAATCTCTATACAAAGACGCAACGTCTCATTGGAGATGATCCCGATATTTTGACGGTTTAGCGCTTTCTTTCGTGCATGGAGATCGCATCTCAACGTAAACCCTGCTCTAATAACTTTAAGATGTCCTACTGCAGTGAAAGAAAGATGCGATGAGGTGGAAAGCAAACACTCGGCAAGCCATCTTGTTGACCTGGAAAGACTACCGCTTTACTTAAAACTTAATAACCTTTCAAAGTGTTGAGCTATCGCGGGGTACAGCGACTGTTGGGACAAAGATATAGGTCTTTGTTCAGAGAAAAGCACCAGAAGAAGAGCAGACATAGGCCTGCGACCCTAAGCTCCCAAACTGGACAGAAAAAAGCCCAGGACTCGCTGAGAATTTCGACAATGTTCACACTAACAAATATCACGCATCCCACCGCAGATACGAAGCGACCACTTCTTCTGCTTCAATCTGAACATGGAGATAAGTTTCTATTTGGACAGATCTCTGAGGGTACCCAAAGAACATTTCCTGAGAACAAAACCAGACTCTCTAGGCTTGAGGCAATTTTTTTAACGGGCACGTTGAGCTGGGCTTCCATAGGCGGGCTACCAGGCATGATTTTGACCCTGTCAGACCAGGGCGTCAAATCAATGGCGTTGTTCCACGGCAAGGAGATTTTAAGCTTTGCAGTTGCCACATGGAGATACTTTGTTTTCCGATTCGGCATGAAACTGAGTACTAATATTCTTGGTGATGGACAAGTCTACGAAAATAAAATTATGCGGGTTCGGTCCCTTTTAGTTGGCTCTAGCGCAAATCAAGATCAGACAGCAAACGATATGCTGCCGAAGAAACTGAGTAACGCCCTCAACTCCATCGTTTCAAAAATGTTCCCATCTCAAGAGCCGACCGCGAGGCATGATCCTGCATCAGATCCTCAAATGAATGTTGAGATTCCGCAGTTCCAGGACATATCTGCAGAAAGTACTTCTTACGAAATAACGTTAAAACCTGTCCGTGGAAAGTTCAAAGTTGAAGAGGCCATGAGACTCGGCGTTCCAAAGGGCCAATTGTTTGCTCAGCTAACAAAAGGTCAAAGCGTTACACTGGAAGGAGGTGAAGTCATTGAACCGCATCAGGTCCTAGAAAAACAGAGAGACTTTGCCAAAATCCTGATTTTAGATATACCTTCAGATTCTTACTTACCGCAGTTTCGCAAGAAGTTCAAAAGCTATGACATGTCGACTCTTGGAGCCGTTTACTACTTTCTGGGCGACAGCGTCACCATCAATAGGGAACTGATAAATTTGATGGAAGACTTTGATCGGGATCACATCCAGCATTTCTTGTCTCATTCCAAAATATGTCCAAATTCCATCGTTTTCCAAAGCTCTGCAATAACTACTTTGAAACTAAAGGCGATTCAACCACAAAACTATAACTTGCCGTTATCAACCAGAGTATTCTCAAAGGAGTTCTATGAATGCTTCAGTAAAAGGCTACCTCGAGGAACCTCTGTAACTCAACAAAGCGAGGTGCCGCTGACGTCTACCATTGATGATAAGCGAATTCACGTCATGCTTCAAAATGACAGCATTGTTATTGAGCCTTTCACTAAAGGTGAAGAAAAAGTCAAGGTTAAGCGTCAAGAAAATTACAAGCCTTTACCGCCATGGTCTATGCTTTACGAAAGGCACATCGCACCTTTGAACCTTCCGAAGTCCAGCGAAGATTCCGTGATTGGGAGCAGTGGTCATTCTAACAATTTCAACAGTGAGACAAAAAAAGGTAAAGTTGAAATTTTGACTCTCGGGACTGGGAGCTCGCTGCCCTCGAAGTACAGAAATGTGATTTCTACGTTGGTCAAAGTTCCCTATTTTATCAACGGTAGGTCATACGACAGGAATGTACTTCTGGATGCCGGAGAAAACACATTGGGATCATTGCAAAGAACTGTTCCGTCTGCCGATTTGCCGGAGCTCTTCCGAAACCTAAAACTTATCCATCTCAGCCACTTACATGCAGACCATCATCTCGGTATCACAAGCTTGCTTTTGGAGTGGTACAAGCACAATGCAACAAACACGGACTCAACAATATACGTTGTCGTACCATGGCAGTATCGCATTTTTCTAAAAGAGTGGCTACCCGTGGAATGTCATGAGGTCGAAAAGCGGATCAAATTCATCAGCTGTGAGCACCTGGTGGAAGGTGGTTTTGTTAGAAAAGAACTCAAACCACTTCCCTTCGAAGCGTTTTCAGACATAACTGGACCAAATAACAAGAAAAGGCGCCTCGAATGCGATGACAGTTCATCATTCAGAGACCTTGAAACAATAACACAAATGTATCGAGAACTGAAGATTCTTTCATTTCAAACTTGCCGTGCTAAGCATTGCGATTGGGCATACTCATGTGCGATAACCTTTTTCACTAGGTCAGACTCTTCCTCGGTGTTTAAAGTATCTTATTCGGGTGACACAAGACCGAACCTTGAAAAGTTCGCAAAGACAATTGGCAGGCACTCTGATCTGCTTATTCATGAAGCAACCTTGGAAAATGAGCTTCACGAAGACGCGATAAAAAAGAGGCACTGTACGATAAACGAGGCTATTCAAGTTTCCAATGAAATGCGCGCGCAGAAGCTCATCCTAACTCACTTTTCACAACGTTATCCCAAACTGCCTCAAGTGGATAACAATATCAAGATCGAAGCCAAAGAATACTGTTTTGCGTTTGATGGTATGATTGTTGCCTACGATGATATCGGCACACAGGTCTCTCGACTAGGTCTTCTCAATAGTGTTTTCACCGAGGATCAATTCACCGATGAAGAAGATGCGTGACGATCTACAGGATAGGGATTATTGCTGACCGGCAAATTTGTCGTTTGAATTTAACATGTACTTACTTGTTGTCTATAGATTATTCTGATAGAACGTCTCCCAAAGCTCTATGCACTCCTTTTGCGTTTCTATGCTTGATTCAAGGAAAATTTCCATGTTATTTCTAAAATCGATCATTTTGTCATGATCGTGTTTGCGCAATTCCCTCCTTATCGTTTCACCAACGGCTTGCCATTTTGCCTCGATCTTCTTTTGTCTATCTTGCAACGTCTGCAAATCTTTTGTCAAAATATTAATCTTGTCAGAAGGACCTTTTTGCGTGTTTCTTTCTAGTTGGGCTTTCTTTTTGGTCAAATCATGTTCAACAACAACTAAGTAGTAACCCAGTTTAGATCGCTGGTTGAAAACACCTTTTACGCTTGCTAGCGCGCGTGCGTACTCGTCGATTGTCATACCCAAGGTGAGCGTCTCCTGCATGGCGCTCCTTTGCAACGAGTCCTTTATCCGCATGTGTACCTCCGCGAAATTTGCAAGTGTATCAGATGCCTTTCTCGAGACCTCGAGTTCTTCCAAAGACTTTACTGTAGTAGCAAATTCCTCGGTGACGGCAGCGAGATCGTTCCTTTGCGTATCAACAATCTCAAGCGATCTTGATAGTTGCTTCAACTGCTCTTCGAGAACATCCAATCCTTGTTTCTGCTCGACAAAAAAGTTATCAGGCTCCGTGTACTTCGGAGGTGCTCCGAATGATAGATTCATAAAGCTTCTTTGCGTTTCCTCTAGTCCACCATTTTTTATCACATTCATTGCGTCATCATGACCCAGAAGAACAATTGGACTGATATGAATTTCTGATATATCATTACTGTCACTTGACGCATTGGATCCTGTTTGATGCTCTCTAAGCTTTGAAGCCTGGGCAAAATTCTGGCTTTGCAAGAACATCATAAAGTCGACATCGTCATGAAAGATCTTGTCTTGAGCTATCTTTGTCAGCATTCGCTCCATTTGAAATCTCCTGTTCTCGATAAATCCATCCTTGAATCTTCCTACGGCTTGCTTTTCTGGTGGTGGAGGAATGATTTTGCCCCAATGATTATTTTGAAGCTGTCTGTAAAGCCATCTGAAATCCCTGTAACGTCTTTGGACTCGTACCTCTTGAGGATCCATTTTGGAGCTTCTAGTCCAAATTGTGTATTCTACGTGTGCAAAAGTGAGGTCTCCGACTTTGAGTGGATCGACAACTTCAATCTTGAGGTCTGAATCCGCTGGTTCAAACTGTTCCAGGTCTGTAGTGGATTCGTCAATTTGAAGCTTTGCGTCCACGTCGTTTTTCTTACCACTGTCAATTTTTTTAACCACAGGAGTCGCGCTTAAGCTTTTGCGAGGAGAGATCCTGAACAGTGGAGCGTCCATTTGCTGTAGAATGTCACTTTTTGAAGGCTCGGGCTCTCGATCGACGTCATCCAATGATTCTTCCACAAACGAGTCTTCATCTTTGTTTTCAGTGGAGTTTGATGCCAATGGATCTTCGAAAAGATCTGCTTTTTGAGCTTGCGTGAGAGGATGCCGGCGGAGACGAGCAGAAGAAAAAAGTTTCTGAGGTTTTGCTAGCGATTTACGCACCGGAGCCTGTTCATCGTTTGATCTCGACCCAGCTTCTGAGTCCTGCTCGCTGACCTCTAGTGGTGACGCATGAAGATCTCCAAATAATGTCTCGCCCTTTCCCTCCAAAACTGCGGGCGTTGGAGCCGTAATTTCAGCCAATGGATCTTCTTGCGGAGCCAGAGACGCTAGCAAATTTTCCTTGTCATGTTTATCCACACTTTCTTCGTCCCAAAGCCCCCTGTGCAAGCTTTCATCTTCCGTTTGTTCCTGTTCATCTTGTTGCTGGAGAGTATTCAAATTGGAGAAAGTTTGGGCCAGTTCTGCTCCGTTTTCGACGTTTGAAGACTCATTCAGATCGTCCCAAACCGGAGCACTTAGTTCCTCGTCGTAATTCATGTTTAAAGATCCACAAACCACTACTTTAGCTCACTTTTTGGTATTTGTTGATGTGATGAATTAAAGGATAAATTCATCAATTCACTATATCTGTAATTAACCTCTTACTACCCATACACGCAACACGCTCATAATAACCATGACTAAGACGGCTAAAAAGCCCGGTGGTGAAGTGCCACCGGCTCGAAGTGGTCCAAAGTTTTCGTTGTGGAACTTTTGGGTCAGTGGTACAATTTTGAAGCTGCTTCTAATCCCAGGTTATTTCAGCACGGATTTCGATGTGCATCGCAATTGGCTCGCGATTACCAACAAGCTACCGCTGAAAGAGTGGTATTATGAAGCCACCAGTCCCTGGACGCTCGATTACCCACCTTTTTTTGCGTATTTCGAGTGGTTTTTGTCGCTATTCGTGCCAGGATCGGTTCGGGAAGATGGATGTCTTGACATCGTGAAAATTGGCAGTTTTGGGATCCCCACAGTAATATTCCAGCGTATTACTGTTATCGTTAGTGAAATTTTGTTGTTCGCAGTCCTACAAATGTACATTAACAAGAGTTCTTTGAGCGAACGGTCTGCAAACTTCGTTGTTGCCAGCAGCATCGTGCTCTCCCCCGGCTTTCTCATAATAGACCACATTCACTTCCAGTACAATGGGTTTTTGTTCTCAATTCTAATTGCAGCGATTCTCGCAGCTAAACATCAGCGTTATTTGCTATGCGGTTTCTTCTTTGCAACAGCTCTATGCTTCAAACACATCTTCCTATACCTGGCGCCCAGTTTCTTTGCATTTTTGTTAAGAGTGTATGTTTTGGACTTTTCTAACTTTAAGTTCAAAAGCTACTACGATTTGATCTCAATCGTGCAATGGAGAAACCTGTTCAAATTGTCTGGGGTTGTACTTGGCGTTTTCACCGTGTGCTTCGCACCCTTCATCTCCCAATGGCCGCAACTGCTGACCAGACTATTCCCATTTTCAAGAGGTCTGACACATGCGTACTGGGCACCTAATTTCTGGGCCATATACACTTTACTCGACAAAGTTCTGACGCTGGTATTCCTGAAGGTACCTTACGTGCACAGATTTTTAACGCAGATCATCGCACCACCATTGATTCCGGCAACTATTCAAGAAATAAAGTGGAAATTACAACAGTATAACGTGGGTACAAGAGGTCTCGTCCAAGACGTCAATTTTGTGATTCTACCTCAGATCCAGCCCAAGTTGACATTTCTGTTAACTCTATTTTATCAAGTACTGGCAGTTATACCAGTTCTGTTCAGTCCTTCGTTCAAAAGATTTATTGGATCTTTGACTTTGTGCGGATTTGCTTCCTTTCTTTTCGGCTGGCATGTTCACGAAAAGGCCATCATGTTAGTGATAATACCATTCTCCTTTTTGGTCATCTCTGATAGAAGGCTTTTGACACCTTTCCGGCTGGTAGTCTCCGCGGGCTATGTTTCATTATTTCCCCTACTGCATGGATCCTCAGACTTCCTCATAAAATTGCTTTATACTTTGGTCTGGAGTCTCATCTACTTCCTCGCATTAAGGCAGGTCACCAAAATGTCTTCCAGTGTTCAGCGCCGTGTGTTCTTTTTCGACAGATTTGCCCTTTTCTACATCATTATGCTGCTACCCATGGTGATTGGAGTCCAGCTCCTGGATGCACTAAAATGGCGATATGAGATTCTCCAAAAATATGAGTTTGCAGGCTTGATGATTTACAGTATTTACTGCTCTATCGGCACTCTCAGCTCATGGATAGGACTATCATGGTTGTACAACTTTGACGAACCGCTTTGGATGTGAGCCTTCCTCACTCCAAGATCTCACTGGTGTAAGGTAATTGTAAGTATTAAAATATAAAATACAAATGCCACCATATGGGCTAAATTCGGTATCATAAATGTTTAAATGTGTCGCGGATGTCCGAAATTCCTAAGCAAATTTCATCCTCACCAATGTCCTTGGGGAAGATCTGAAGTGCACTTAATTGGACCCGCCAATTAAATTGCGAAGCGCTAATCTAGCGTCATCTTGTTCAAGCGCTCGTGGCGATTGAACTGTAGCTTGCCCATGGCCTTTCTGCTGCAGTGTCTCGCCAATGAATTTATTCAAAGATCCAGACATTGTTTGTTGTATTAGCGGTGTGCACTGAATAGAAAAGGAATAATCTTGAGAGCTTTCGGCGACTGGAGTTGTTGGAACGATTGTTTTCCCGCGTACATTTTTGGAACACTCGCTGCTAGGTTTCTTGTAATATGAACGGATTGTTTGTGGATCTTGTTTAGACTGAGGTCTTGATCCCAAATCATTTAAGAACGATGAAGGGGAGCTGAAATAAGCAGAGGGCTTTTTGGGAGATGACAGTAGTTGTTGGAAAAACAGCTCTGTAGATGTGTTTGCGTGCCCTTGGCTTACGAGGAATTCTGTACTTGGATCCTCTTCGGTCATTAACAAAGGATCTCCTGACGTCATCTTAAATACCGCACTATTAGATCTGGATCTCCCGATTCTCTGGTTTTGTAGTTCCCCATGTTTTGCAGTCTGATCTAGCACCTCATCAATGCCGTTCCCGGGAGTGAATCCTGTCTTTAGCTGGAATATGGCTGAGCAATTAGGCGTCCATGGGAGCGTTGGTTGTGAGATCTTTGATTCTTTGGGTGATTGAGGTGGATATTCCGTGAAAACCTCACTTGGCCGTATCGATGACACTTTGCTGGGTGAGTTTGACTCTCTGCGAGAGCTTTTCATTTTTTTCAAAAGCCCCAACACCACAGATTTGTCGAATCCAGTCAAAGGTGGCTTTTGAGCAGCAATATCATCAATTGCCTTAGGACAGTCAACTGATGTAGCTTCCGTAGATGCGCCCGCAATTTTGGCCTTGCCGTCGTTGCCAATACATAGAGAAAAGCTAAACTGGGACAGCTTGTTTGGATGAGTAGAAGAGGCGTAAGCACTTCCGCTCTCATTTTTGTATACCGATCCTGATGGCGTGTCAGGAAGGCCACAGCTGGGCCCTAGAGGAGAGCTCCTGAGCGGTTGCCTTCTTGGCTCGGAAGAAAAAATGTTGTCAGCAGGGGTCAAGGGTGAAGAGTTAGCCCAATGTTGCTGGTGCTTGACAGGAGTGGCCAGTAAAACTCCTCTGTGTCGATTGTGTCTTGCAATTGCCTGTGTGGGGGAAATTGATGGTGCGGATGAGTAGCTACCGTTACTGCTGGCTGTGCTTTCTCTGCGTCTTTTCTTCTGGGACGGCGAAACGCGCATCCATGGTTTGGTAAAAGTCGAACTGGCCGCGTTTTTCTGCATTTGTATTGACGAATGGGCCATGGGACTTTGCATTGGGTCCGAGTACTCTTTCAATAGCGGCGGTCTACCCCTCTTGCCGCGACCGAGCGTTCCGCCTGTCATTATTGAAAATGTGTGGGAAAGCTTGGAAAGAGACTGGGAAAAACACGATCCAAAACAGATGTAGCACAATGACTTGCACTGATACTAGGATTGGGATTGAGAGATTTGGCGCCTCTGGTGGTTGTCCTACTGAAAAAACTTATTCCGTCGCGTTCCCAAATTCCCAGAAAAACGTTGAAGTATGTGACACAGCATTTTTCCTTGTAATGTCTTTTTATTTCTTCGGGCCTAATGAGGTTTCATTAGAGCACCAAAACGCGTAAACCGCCGAAGAGGGTAAAACAGAGAGGGATGCAAAAAAGAAAAAAAAAACCCGAAAAGAAAAAAATTACGAATTCAAACGCGTTATAATTTTCGTCAGGTGCTTTAGGCGTGACAATAGCCCATGTATGATTACCCGGACTGTGCTCTTGTTTTTGTGTACAGCTTTCCCTATAGCCGCCCAAGGCCGATTTTGCCGCTGAGAGTGCCACATAGGACCAGGCATGGAGAGTGAGTGGTAAGAGCTCAAAACTTGGGTCTGTGACTTTCAGATGGTTTTTTGAGACATGCTTTCTGGGTCCTCTTTGGGGTCGTATCGAACATAAAATGTTTTGTTTTCTAGGGATTGTCTCCTCTTTCTAGTAGAATTTATACTTCAGCTTGATTGTGCTTCGGCCTGTCCTGAAAGAACTGGCTCTTTGAACTTCGATCTACCGGTAGTTGCACTCCATAAAACTCTTGGTATCGTGGGTATCTCAGAATTCACCTTTGCTACAAAAGTGGGAAATGAGTTCTCAAATATGAGCTTGTGTTTTGTTGTGCACATCGATGGAAAACTGGCCTCAAAATTCAGCTATTAAATACTATTATATACATTTTTGTACTATTGATGGCGGCTATTTAAGTATCTGATTTCTGAGAGAACTGTTGTTTGCCGTGCTGTTCTCCATGTCAAGTGTGAAGTGTTGGTCAAGAAGGTTGGTTGGTATCCTGCGAATAAGTCTTTTGGCCCTTTTAAAGAGGAATACTTTCTATGAGTACTTTCGCGAGTACTGAAAACAGTAACATTGGCACCATGCATAACACACGGCTTGGAATTCAGTAGTAGGAACACACTTATTTATTCGTATTTGTATCGCATTGAATTGAATTTTGTCAATTCGGGTTTTGCCAGGTGGCAAACTTGGCTTTGCGGATCTACTTTACTCATAGTTCTGTTTTATTTCTTGAAGACATTTTATCACTGTCACAGGTTCAATAAACGTCTACTTGAGTAGTGTTCAGCATTGTTGATGAGTTCGTTATAATGACATCACTTACTATTTAGAAGGTCCTATGCCGTGTTTAATCTCGATTACATCCTGCCTCCAAAATATAGTTACAATCCCGCTTTTACATGGAATCTCGAGATTTGCACGCCAAAGTAAATCGTCGCACACTCTCTCAATAGCACTCTCGTCTTCAGCATACAAGTCTCTTGCTACTAAGTAGTAGTTAAAGGTCTTACAGATTTAAATAAATTATCGTATGGAGAATAAGGTGCTAGACAAAAAAGGAAGCCGATTATGCGATGCGGAGTTGAAGTCGGAAACGTGTATGGGCAAAATACGGGGACTTCCGTTCTCGAATATATATAAATAGTGAAGAAATGGGATGCAACAATTGAAGAGAATTGTAACGGATGCATTTCTTCCTTTCATTTTTTAACGTTCAAATACTGTTTTTCATTTTTTTCTTTTTGGGTAAGATTTGTCTTTTATGGGTCTGATCTCAAGAGGGTTTTGAACATGTTTTCATTTTCAACCCTCTCTCAATGCCTCCTTGTCTCTTGTATTCCCATCTCTCTCTCTCTCTCTCTCTCTTTCTTGTTTTCGTCATGATGTACCGTCTGGGACGCTAACGCTGAAAAAAGGTGACTTCAGCATCTTCCAACGTCACTAGAATTGGCACCGTGTCTCATTTATTTCTTGGGAGGGTTGAAAACGTACTTCCTGTTCTTGATACCGGCCCACTTGAACTTCTTGACCCACACGGAAATTAGGTACAATGAAGACAACACGATGACGGCCTTGATACCCAATCTCTTTCTTTCGTCGTGTTCAGGCTCACTGCACCAGTGCAAGAAAGCGGTAACGTCCTTGGCCATCTGGGAAGTGGTGGCTGGGGTGCCGTCCTCGTACTCGACCAATTCGTCAAACAACACACGGGCCATGGCAATAGAGCCACCTGGGAAGTAAGGGTTGTAGTTGGAGCCTGGTGGCAACACCACACCGGCTGGGGGCTCGTCGGGGTACCCGGTCAGAAGCGAGAAAATGTAGTCGGAAGCACCGTGTCTGGCTTTGACAATCAAAGAGAGATCGGGAGGCAAAGCACCTTGGTTGGCAGCACGAGCAGCCTGTTCGTTAGGGTATGGCCCTGGAATGTAGTCAGCAAGCTTACCGCTACGTTTCTTGGGGTTACCTTGCTCATCTGGCTCATCGTCGTACTCGAACTCCTCGGCCATGGCACGCACTTCGGCGTTGGTGTGCGACACACCAACCATGGTACGCCACGCGATTCTGTCGAGCGAGTGGCACGCGGCACACACCTCACGGTACACTTGGTAACCTCTTCTGATGGACGCGTGGTCGAAGGTCTCGAAAGGACCGTTGCTTGGCCAGGCGTACGAAGGAGGATGCAGACCGTGTTCTGCGGCTGTCATGGCCTCAGCGGTGAGTGAGTCCGCGTAGAGGGCGGCGGATGCGGCCACACCGGTGGCAAGAGCACCTGCAACGCCGGCACGACGGACCCAACCGTTGGAAACCACGTTTTTGGCAGTAGAGAAAGATCTCTGATGCAAGATGTGTTAGTAAAGTGGTAATTAAAGTGGGATGGTGGAAGGCGAAAGACAGAAGGAAATGAAACGAAATGAAATGGAATGGAATGGAATGGGAAAAAAAAACCTCCCGGGGCATCCGGATGCACCGACAACGGGTGTTTCGGTCTTCAGCGTCGACTTTTGTCTTCCTTTTCTTTCCTTCATGGAAAGAAAAAAGTCATATGAGCGGGACCACTATGCTTAATTGCATAGTGTGTCTCTGAAAGCTGATTGAAAGCCGAAAACAGATCAAAAGCCGGAAAAAAACGACCAAAGACAGCCAAAAACCACAACAACTGTGGTTGTATTGAATTACTTTCTGACATCGGAGGTGTTTGCAAACCGAATCTGGTCCCCGTTATCACGAAATAGGACCCATTTCACATAAACTTCTTTTCCCTTCTCTTTTTCTTTCTTCTCTCTCACGTCTCTCTTGTCTCTCTTGTCTCTCACGTCTATAATCTCTCCCCTCCTCTCTCTCTCTATCGACATACCATGCTGCTGCCCCTGGCAGCGTTTCTTATCGAGCTAAACATCGGATCTTTGGACGAATGTGCTAATGATGTGTGTTGAAGGTGGTGTCAATCTCAACCTCTTGAAAAATGTCGCTAAGACTTCGTTGGACTTTCCCTGGATATATACTCGAAGTTTCCGAAAAACCTTGTTCCAAACACAGCCTGTTTTTAACCAAATCACCAGTAAAACAGATCAATCCAAGTGATGAGTTCTTTAAGCTCTATGGATACTTTTCCTAGTATTCTTCAAAACTTTAAACTTTTTACTACGAGCGTGCTGGTTGGTGGGAAATAATACATAGTGGGTTTCGGTATTATCGCTGTGGGACCCGTAGGAAATGGTCAAAGAAAAAAGCGTATAATGGCGCGTGGTGCTTACGTAAGGGGTTAAAGTTGAGCAAGCGGCATTTCCGTAAATGTGATTGGTCGACAGCGAGAAAAAGGCATGCGTTGTAAAAGGTGTCGCTTTGTACGTAAAGCACGTGAATTGTGTAACGTGTAAACCACGTGTATTGTTGTAACATGGTGTCTGGGTGTTAGCGGTGAAATCAAAACACTTACTAGAGTTCTCTTTACTCTTTGTATGCTGGTCATCTGGACCACCGACATGATAGGTTCCCCAATTCCAATCTTCAGCCACCTCTCACAGTCCTGCCCACTATTTATACTAAATCACTTTTTTCCCAAACCGTCGTGCACTGTTGAAAGAAAATGAGCATATGGTAATCTGAAAAAAGACATCAAACAATCATTGAAGCCCCCAAGGATTCGTTTCACACCGGAAAAAAGTATATGCGGGACCCATCAAATCGTCAACATCATCATATTGTGATTCTTGGCCATTAAAACAATGAACATCTTGAGTCTTTCGCCGTGCGACGTGACCTCATCGCGCCCAGTCTTTCTCATAAGCTAAAGTGCTTCTTTTGACTAGTAAAGCTCCATAAGACTGGCCGAATTCCATCCATTGTTTCCAAAGAGATCAAGCACGTACACACACACACAAATCAATGGAGACTGATGTTCGTTACACGTTTCTGGACATCCTGGATCATCTCCCGTCAGAGCTGATACGAAGTCTTTGGACAATTCAAGGTCTGGGACTCCGCGAAGATGAGAATCGCACCTTTGTCAATCGAGAAGCTATCAAAGAAGCTCAGCACATTCAGAGGTCAATTCAGCAACATAAAGAGCAGCTGGAGTTTCAAAAACAAGAAATGCTAGAAATGGCAGCAATTCAATCGCGCTATTTGGCTCATGAAGGCGCAATGGGACTCAAGGCCAAATCTGCCAAAACGCACGCCAAGGCAACGCCTGCTCCAGCGCCTTTGAAAGTCAAAATTCACCTCAAGCCTAGCCATTCAAATGAACCAGTATATTGTCATTGCCGTGACGTTTCCCACGGCCAAATGATCGCCTGCGATAATAGAAGATGTCCTACAGAATGGTTCCATTATTCGTGTGTAGGACTGACTCACGCACCCAAGGGCAAATGGTATTGCAGCGAGAGATGTCATCGTCAGGCTACGAAAAAACGGTTTACCAACAAATAACACATTTCGCCAAGATTTCACTAACGGCTGGCCGGAAAATTCTTGTATCTGTGCGCTGGGAACGCATATAGTGATGTTTAGTGGAACTACTGATTTGGATAATTGGATGAATTCTTTAGCATTAGGCGAAACAAAGTTTATATACGTCCAATGAGCTGGATCTATACAAGCCTAGGAAAACCCAAGGCTAAAGAATGGAAGAAAAAGACAAGGAGAGAGAAGCCAATGGTTTCGTGGGCTGAACAGCTCATAAACCATCGCTTTTCATTTTCTCTCAAGCTTTTTACAAGTCCTTCTTCAAGGTACCCATGAAAGCGTGCTTCTCAGCTGGGGTTTGGAATCTACCCTTACCGAACTTGGAGGCAGTGTCGATCCACTTCAAGGTGACTTGCTCCAAAGCCTTTCTGGAGGTGTTGGTGTACATAGACTTTCTCAAAGTAACAATTCTCTTTCTGTTACCTGGGATACAACCCTTGACCATGACGAAGTCGTTCTTGACAGGACCGTAAGCGACGAAACCACCCATTGGGGTGATGGTCTTCTTGGTTCTGTCGAACTCGGTGGAGGCGTTGCCCTCGTCGTCACCCTTACCAATTCTGTAAACCTTGTGGTTGATAGAAGTTCTGGTGTGGAAACCGTTTTGACCGGCTCTGGCAACAGTCCACATAACGTGGGCTGGATGCCAGGCACCAATACAAGCAACCTTTCTCAAACCTCTGTGGGTCTTTCTAGGTAGCTTCTTGGTACCCCATCTGTGGGTAACACCTTCGAAACCGTGACCCTTGGTGACGGCACAGACGTCGATCATCTCGTTCTGCTCGAAAACAGAGTCGACAGCGACGGTCTTTTCAAAGTGCTCGCGAGCCCAGGCGGTCTTGTCGGCGACGGAACCACCGTTCAACTGGATCTCGGCCAAGTGAGCCTTCTTTTGCGACAATGGAGTCTTTCTGACCTGGGTGTGGGCCAAGACTCTCACAACAGTGGCGTACTTGTTGATTCTGGCCAACTCTCTCTCGATGGCAGCGCCGTCTTGAGCGTACTTGGCAGAGTACTTGGTGAAAGCCTTCTTCTTGGACTTGTACCAGTTCTTGTAGAATCTTCTCTTGATCTCGTCAGACAAGTGTTCGGCCCACACAGTGGTCAACGATCTCAAACCTCTTGGGGTCTCGACGTATCCCACGACACCGACAACCACCATTGGTGGGGTGTCCACCACGGTGACGGCCTCGACGATCTCACGCTTGTGGAACTTGGAACCTGGACGGTCCAAGTCTCTCACAATGGTCGACATACCGGCCTTGTAACCCATGAACGAGGTCAAGGCGACTGGCTTAGTCTTGTCGTCCTTTGGGAACGATCTCACCTTACCTCTGATGGAGGCGGCTCTCTTTCTGGGCAAGAAACCCAAATGACCGTGACGTGGAGCTTCGTATTTTCTGTGAGACATGTCTGTTAAAGCTGTGTTGATGCGGGAAGAAAGAGGTTTCAGAAGAAAAAGTTGTGCGAAGAATTGAAAGTTTCTGATGGCGGCGATGAGATCTTTTTATATGGCGATGAGGTGAGTGCCGCTGTAGAGATGGTGGGAAAAAAATTTTTCACTGCCGTGTGGAGTGAGATGGTGGGAGGCTATGCCACTGAGTAGAGAAACGAGTGGGGGATCGGGTAGATAAATGGGAGAGGAAGCTCGAGTAGAAGTTCGAGTGGAAACACGAGTGGAAGAATGAGTGGTTGACGAGGGTGTAAAGGTAAAGGTCAAGGTAAAGGTCAAGGTCAAGGTAGGAAGAGGTAAATGATCGGGGACTAGCAAGAGAGGGAAGACCCATATACATTGAAGGACATTTAGGAGATAGCAATGATGAAGATTGAGTGTCTATTTGTGTGTAAATCTAGGCATTGCACCAAATTTTGAGTCCAGAACAGATAAGTGGCAGGCCATTCATCAGCTGTTTCTTGCAATGTCTCTTTTTGGCTGGCACAAGTTTGTATATCAAGCATTTCATAGTGTCACCTTCGCATTTAATGATTTGTCTCCAGTACTGGTTTTCAATAAATCAGCAGCCTGAGTCTCGCCAGCCAATAACCCACGGTGTCAACCGGGAAAAAAAATTATCCAGAAGCACACTGCGACAAACGATAATTCGGGAAAAAGAGAAAACAATAAGGATTCTCACAAGACAAAACACACAAATAAACTGGGAAACTATTGCACAGTGGTTTCCTAGCTATCTATCAAATGAATGAATATTTGCCCTAGATGTAAAACGGTTCCGTAGAAAACGATATCACGTGATACACGCTATATTTCTCTTTTACCACTATTTTACCATGACTGGAAGTTCCTACAACACCACCCATTTGTTGCCACCATAATAGTACTATCTTCTCCCCACCTCCAAGCTCTGTTATTTCTGGTCTCTTTGTACGTACGCCCCAGCGGTGTTTTAATTCCGCATACACCTTTTCGAGCCAGAAATAACACCCCACAATCTTTTTTTTCTGAGATGCTCAATTTACTACATTGACATCCGGGGAAGAAAGAAAACCGGAGCGAAACAACAAATCTATAAAAGGCGTGGAAGATAGCGCCATTTTCCCAACGGTCGCTGTTTCTTTCAAGGCATCTAACCAAACCAATCAGCAGTATCAGAGAAAGTCAGTGGCATTAAATATAGATACCATAATATTAGTGGCAAGCTGCCAATCAGAAACTACTTTGACTTTCCAGATTAACACTCTCTAACATCGAAAGTCTCAAGACCTTTTGGACGTCGACAAACACTCATAGATTACACACATTTGAAGCACACTCACACATTCAAAGCACACACACACTCAAAGCCCAAAACCATCTCAACCACATGACGTACCAAATGACTAGTCTCGACGACAGTGTGCTGATACATCAAAACATGATGCTACTAGAAAACGTTACCAATCTAGAACGTCCGGCTATCGACTATTACCATTGCGATATAACGTGGAATGACCCACTTGCCATGCCGCAAACTTGGAACGTGCTCCTGCATCTTGGCAAATATAAGCTGCTGCGACTGCCTTCGTGCTCTGCTGAGAATGAAACTGACTATCAAATGTACGTGAAACGGCTGCACCACTGTCTATGGCGCCGCTGGTCCATCTCTTACTACGGTTTGGCAGGCAACAAAGTCGACCCCAGCGCCGTCAACTGGAATAAAGAACAAGACTTCACAGTACTATACGGGCCAGACCTCACTCTAGACGAAGACACGTCTGTGAAATCCCAGCGGAACGCCATCCATCATGAAAACAATGATGGCCAGAATTTTGCCATGCAGCCAAAATTTCCACTCCCGCTAGTATCCAAAAATGCAGCTGACGACGAATTGGACGATTCAGCAGGCTGTTTCTCCTCATCGCTCGAGTCCCGTGACTCGTCTATTTTCGATCATATCCCATCCAAATCTTGTATGAAACACAGCGATTCGTGCCATCGTGGCCGCAGGCGGCCACTGCAGTTCAACGATCAAGTGCGGCGTCGGGATATAGACCCCTTTGGCTCTCTTTATGAACACAATATCCTTTTGAACGACTCTCAGATGCCATTTCCCGGTGATAACGAGTCCGAATTTGAATCAGAACCAGAGCACGTCCAGTATTCCATAGAAACGTGGGATTCTGATAGCGACTTGGATTTGGACTTCGTATGACGCAAAATTTTTGTCCAAATCCAGATTATCATTTTTTCTGTTATGAATTATTCCACGACCTCCTCCTCCAACGATCTTCGGACCTCACGATATAATCTTTTCATTCGAGTTATATATACGAACAAATGTCACGTTCTTTACAGCTAAGATCCTGCTTGGCCCGAATTGAGAGCTTCCTAGCATGAGTGTGAAGAGTCTCCGTTCCTGTCCACCACGCCGTTAGCCTCCGCGGTCTCGATTAATTCAGCACGTTGAGAAAAGTTCATCTTGCAAATTATTCTTGGTCTATCTGGTGAATGTGACGGCGGCAAGCTTATTGGTTGTAATCTGTCTTGAAGAAGCTGTGATTCAAAGTCTCTTGCGCCGTGAGTCTTTCCTGATGGTCGTATCTCAGAAGCTTGTCTATCAAGTCCATAACCTCAGGTTTGATTAGATTGCTGTCGTGAGGTATGAACTCTGACCACTCTTTACGAGGGAAATCCTTCATGATATCGTCGTATTCGTGGGGTAATTTTAGACCATATTTGCGTAGGTAGGCCATAAGCTCTTTCGTTCCCAGCACACGGGCAATTTTTACCAGCTGATCCGGGTTTGTGCTACCTTTAAAAAAAGGCTCCTTCTTCAGAACGATAGCGGCAAGCATGCAACCGACGGACCATAAATCTAAGGAATAGTCGTATTGGTTTAGATTCACAAGCAGCTCGGGTCCCTTATGATAACGAGAGGCCACTCTGACGTTGTAGTCGACCCCCGGATGGTAAAATTCTGCTAGACCCCAGTCGATCAGCCTTAGTTTCCGTTCTACAGGGTCAATCATTACGTTCTGGGGCTTCACGTCACGGTGCATAATACCCATGGAGTGGCAGTAGTTGAGTGCCACCAATAGCTGCGTGAAATAGTATTGCACGTCTGGCAGTGTGAACTTAGGGTACAGAGTGCGGAAATCCACATTTTTCACCTCTTCAAAAATCAACGCGGGAATTTTGGATCCTAGATCCTGTACTATATCCAGTAGGCCAATCACATTGGGTCCGCCCGTCAGATTGGTCAAAATTTTCAGTTCTCTGTAAATCTTTTTAAGCTTTACTGGTTTCAACACCTTGATCACACAATACTGATCGTTGACCACGCTTTTGCCCCTAAAGACCTCAGAGTACTTGCCCCGCCCTATTTTGTTGACGATTTCGTAGTGTTCAATTTTTCCCCAGTCCACGGTGACTCCTTGTTCGTAGTCCCAGTACTCTTGGGGCCTTTTGGCACAAGCGTCTTGATACACTCTTGCCACCGAGTAAACTTGGCTGCTCTTCTGGTTCAAGGCTGAAGGGGGCAACGACATCGCTTTAGAGAAGCTCGGCACCGTTAGCTAAATCTCAAAGTCGCCTAGCTGGACGATTATTCGTAGCTGATGGGTTCAGTTAGTTTTCAAATTTTATGATGTGCGCGAGATGAATAGCCAGTCAATTTACCACCAGTAAGAGAGCAGGATGAATCTTTCGCGCCAGATCACTTTATACCGACTTGTCGCGATCAAACAAAAAGAGAATATTTTGATGAACACCGACTGTTGAGGGTTTCAATCGAAAGCGTAGGAATTGCCGTTGTAGTAGCCGATCTAAAATTATGTCGCGTTTTTACTTTTGACTTGTCTCTGGGATCTGTGATGATCTCTATTAGTTGCTTGGAAGTTAAGTTTGTCGAAAACAAAACCCTGAAGATTCATGGGATATTTCATTTGAAAATACGACTCCGATCCTTTCCAATGACGGTGGTAGTAGACTCAAATGACACTTTTTGCTAGTGGTATCTTCTCATGACAGCCTTCTGCTATGTCATTGGGATTTTTCATAGGCAGATATAGATATATTAATTGATCACAGTCTGGACTGACTTACTACAGATAAAGCATCGGTAATCTATGACTGCGACTATACTTTGAAGAGTAGATTATCTGTGAGCGTCTTTGATAGTGGTCTGCTTTCTCAAGAAGTCAAATCTATTGAGCTTCGGTTGGTTTTTTTTAACTGACGCAACAGCTCGTTATATCGGCAATGTGTGAATTATTTCGACTCCCAACCATGGCAAACTTTACGTGGCTTCTACATAGTAAGTGTCATTCTCTGGTTGCCTCATTCACGTCACTGAGAGTCACACAAACTTTTCAAAGCCTCTGCAGTTCTTCAGATGCCACCAACTACTCAATTCTCGTCACGTGATGCTGACTCGCTATGCCTGGCATATTAGAACAAAAATCTCGAAAGAGCATCTCTCGGCTCTGTTCTCACTGAAAATACACACTCTTCCAAAAGCACAAGCCAAGCTCATAGCAACTAACACTGACTGCTATGTGTCACATATAGCATCAATGAAACTCGATTTGGGAGATCAAAAATTGGTTCTGAACATGGAACTGGAGCTCAAAAATCCTGCAAGCGATGGATCCCATAAATTGCACTCTGAGAGCACTGCTCGAGTAGCTGCGTACGTCGATCGAGCAAAACTGCCGCTGTGGGTTCTGAGAGGTGCAGTCCACGTTTGTTTGAGCGAAAGCTCGACGACAGCTGCGTTTTTTCGGTCAAAACTTCTAAAAAAGAGACATGTTCGTAGAGGCATTGTTGCAGCATATGAAGATGGTTACTGCATGTTTTACGCATGTCTTATCGAACCGAACGAGACGCTATTTGAGATACAATGCGTAGAACTCGATTTAGTGACTGTCAAGCAACAACTGGATCTGCAATTGCCCCGAAACACAATGCTCGACAGCGGCAATGCTTTAGACCACCTGGTAGAGCGCAAACAGCGGCAACAACTGCGCAGCCGCTCACGTGTATCGGAGCATGCTCAACTTGCCGATATGAGGCGTCAGTTTTTGAAGACTGCTGCCAGTTGTATTCGAAGCGGCTTGCGGCTAAGGGGCATGCCCGAAGGTCAGCCTGAGTTCCACACAGTGTACAAAACCACTTTGTCGACCGTTGAGTTTGCTCATCGACATGATTTGACTGCACTACCGTCCTCGCCACAAGCCGTGTCTTTCGAAACTGTTCAAGACACCGTTGAGACTGTGCTGCGTCTTTTCACCCACACGTGAATAACATGTGAATTACACGTGACCTCTTTCTCCAAGTCGAAGCGCATTTCACACGAAGGAATTCTCGGTTAAAAGCCCGGTGATGGATGACTATACCAGAAACCCTGGAAAGCTTAAAAACAAGTATAAAAGCATTGCAAGAAAAGAAGGATTTTTTGATACGCGAGTCACAGCGATTCTTAGCCTCTGAAAAGCTCGACAAGCTGTTTTGAGCAAATCGCATTGGTCAAGACATATTTAAAAAGCCCAAACAGGGGTTTTTTTTCATTCCCCTACACTTGGACGGCCTGTTAGCATCGAACGCTTCAATAAGGTGTTTAAACCTGATTTGCACAGCGAAACAACACGATATTTGAACTAGGATCCTTTCCGCTTGATTGTTATATTTGAGTGTGATTGTCTCGGACAAGAAAAAGTGATTTTCGACAACGAAGACGTGATAGGGATTTCACTTCTTTAACGCCAATTGCTGTATCGATTGGCGTCTCTGACAAAGTGACCGTCACTCAGCAGCAACACCGTCTTTGGAGGTATGGGAAAACATCTCTTCGTGCTCGTGCACGGGCTGTGGGGCAACTACAAGCACATGAACGCAATTAAAGACGTATTTTCCGACGCACTTCAGGAAAGTGCGGACATTCTTTTCTTCTCGCCGCGACAAAATGGATATTTCAAGACCTTTGATGGTATTGAGATCGTAGGGTACCGCACACTGTTGGAAATATGTCAGTACATTGATACTTTCCCATCTGGAGAGATAACTGATATCAGCTTTGTCGGGTATTCGATGGGCGGGCTGATCGCGCGATTCATCGTGGGCAAAATGCTTTCTGAGTGCCACGAGCTGTTTCAAAACATACAGCCACAATTATTCATTACTTTTGCAACACCCCATCTTGGTGTTCATTTTCTGCTGCGAGAACATCGCGCAGGACATCACCGTGCGATTTCGCGGATTTTGTCCACTTTGGGCAGCACAGTACTTGGCAGAACTGGTCGACAGCTATTCATTCAGGATAGTTTGCCAAACAAGTCTATCTTAGTGAAGCTGAGCGAAGGGGAATATTTAGAAGGTCTTGGACGCTTCAAACACAGAATATGTGTGGCCAATGTCAAAAATGACCGTACCGTGGCCTTCTACACGTCTTTCATAGCAGACAGAGACCCGTTCTTAGAGACTGACAACCAAATCAAGTACGAATTCGAAAGAAATCTTCCGGGTGAGGATTTGTGCATGGTGCCACGTATTATCGACATGGCGAAGTTGGATCCTGCTTCTTCAAGGGCTCCACCCGACGGTCCACATTTGTCACACTGGCTTTTCATTCTGGTTATTTGCTGTGTTCTGACATTTGTGCTGCCTCTCATTTTCGTGGCCAACGTCTTGGGTACATGCTACTCTTATTTGGCGACTGTTCACTACCAAAACTTGCTACATCAAGGCGAGGGCCGCGTTATCTTGCGTCGCAAGCTGGGATTACGTGATAAAATTGCGGATTCACTGCGCGACACGGTGGGTGTTATTGCGAGCGATTACGAAGACAATCTGGGAGCCGACAATGGTCAGACCATTGTAAGGGCGGACACATCCTGGGAGGATTTTATTGCTAAGTACACTAGCGACTGGCAATCGGAGCCCAAGGCAAGATTTCACAAATTGAAGTTCGATGAGCAACGCAAGCAAATCTTTTCAAACCTGAACAAAGTCTCGTGGATTCGCATCCCACTCTACGTTAAGGCTCTTAATGCGCATGACGGCATTGTTGCAAGAAAGGGCGTCAAGGCCGCAACACCGTACAGCATATCGGGTCTTCAATTTGTTGCTCAAATGGTAAGTTTTCTGGTCTCAAATGGCTGAAAAACTACGGTTTTTTACATGAAGTTTTAAAGGTTTTGCATTAATCGCACCAAGAAAAAGAAGCTATGCAAACAACAAAATTCGCTTCGGTTGGCTGTATGGAGAGAAAAGCTGATGTAATGCCATCATAGCTTGCGGGATTGCATTCCGGTTTGGGGTTGTCTGGAAAAAAGCATTTCTATGTTAGTAGGATTATTAATTTTAGTTAGTTGTTTAGTTAATTTGGGTTTAGTTTTAGGATTTGTTTACGAGCAGACTGGTCCGTTATGGAACCACCTAAAGCTCGTTGCACATTCCAGCTTCAAAATCTAGGAATCAAAAACGTACAAGTTTCTAGGAAACTGAGTGATTCCTGGTCTTACAACCATTTTTCTTCTGGATTAGCTTTATATTCCTGATAGGCTCTCTTGTTGAACAAGGAAATTTCCGTCTCATTCCCAATATCGCAGTCCACTAATTTGTTGCTCATGTCTTGCAACACCCAGTCATCGTCGTGGTCAAAGTTGATGATGAGGTTCACCGTCTTGGAACCGTGGGCGTGCGTATAAACTTTGAGAGTGTCGTAGTCGACGTTGCGCAGCGCTCGAAACGCCCCATTCGACTTTATGTACGACAAGGAGTCATCCAGCAGATCTTGAACCGTTTTCTCCATCAAATTGTAATCATTGAAGATGATATTTTTGACGTTTCTGTAAGGAAAAGATTTGATCACTCTCACTGTGATTACAGCGTTGGTTACTGTGCAAATGGTATTGTTGTTAGTATGTCATTACAGTGGAATAACAGATTTCCTGCTGCCGCACAATTTGACATACATGGTTTGACAGAACTAGTCAATGGCTCCTGTGCATCGTAGTCGACATTCGAAGACATTATATGGAGATTTTGCCTTGAGCCGATGAGCTTCTGTCGCAGTGCTGAGTTGAAATTTTACACTAAGCTTAAGCGTGGACGCCAGATTAGAAAAATATGATCTCGTTACCAGCGAGATCAAAAAATATAAGAACTCCTCATAGGGGGCTCGAACCCCTGACATTTCGGTTCCTTGCAAGCGTGCTTAAAAGCCGAACGCTCTACCAACTGAGCTAACAAGGACGAGTTCTTGATGACATTTAGTTATGTTATTATATATGGTGCTACTAAGTATCGTGGGTGAATCAAAAAGAGTAAACTTGAGAGAACTGTATGGATTTATAAGCGAAAAGATGTTCGTTCTTTCGGAAGTATTAATGGTATATTGATCCTCTTGAGGAAAGCGTGTCTCTACCTTTCAATGAGCACGTGACCATGTTTACTTTTCTCTTGATGGGGATAATTATAAACAATCAACATCAGCTCAAAAATAAAGTAACCTGGTCAACTACAAGCAATGAACTCTTGCACTTTCAAAACACTACTTTAAGACAATCTGATTGCAAGGAACATCGGACAATTGGGGATTTGCATTTTGATCGATCCTAGCCATGGATCTACGCAAAAACCTGACGTCTGCGGATCCTATGATGGACCAACTTCGAGACCTCAACGATAGCTCCTCACAGACGTCGAAGGGTCCGAAATTGCTTCTAGAAGACCCATTGGGACAGCCCTCAAGTCTGTCGCACCAAACTTCCTCAACGACCACTTCCTCCTTAAGAAGCCCTCCCGTTTTCCATCATTTTTCGTCAGAAGCAACTGAATACATGCGTTTAACACCGGTCAACATCAAAAATCTAACATCGCCATTACGAGGCCCAGAGCAGCGACCGGCACTTATTTCCAGAGAGGAAAGCTCCACATACACCGCATACAAAGAAAATTTTAACCTCATCAGCAGAAAGCTCGAAAAACTGCTGGAGGAGCTCGACGTCATCTACCGCGAAATTGGATACTCCAACACTGAAATTTCAGAAAAAGACCAGCTCATTTTCAACCATATATCCGACTCCATCACCGGGTTTTTCGAACAAGCTAATGAAGAACGTGAAAAAATCACTGCGGACAATACCCTTTCCAGGCAGGTCCTGCAGCGCATACTCCAAGTTTTACACGACCCAAAGGGCACCACTACCATTCCTGATCTTTACACTCGTAATGTCATTGCTGTCTCTTCTGGATCAAATCCTAATTCGCCAAAAAAGCCAACATCTCTGATAACGAGGCGGAGAATAATCTCAAAAGCCAAGAACTACGTTATCAAAACTTACACACCCAAGCTCAACATTTTTTTGGAACGCGTTATTAGACTGAAAACTCTGGCAGCTGCCACTGGGGATTATACTCCAGTGGAACAGGGCCTGGACACTCAAGAACTTTTAGCGGTGGTCCCACCGCTCGATACCTGTCGATACTACAGGTCTTGTTTATCTTCCATCAACCATGACGTTGAGAAAACGTGCTCTTTCATCATAGAACATCGAAAGGTGCTGCTCAACACCATAAATTTTAACGACGTTTCTGACAATATAGTCGAGCGCATAAGCATGATCATCTCTATGTTTGAGAAGGAGTTCCAATCTAGACTGCAAAAGGCCTTGGTCATGAAAAGAGAGGTTTTGGATTTGTTGCAGCGATTAAACCTTAGTCCGGAACAGAATCTCGACGAACCAACCAGAGAAGTGTTCAAGCAACTTCCTAACGAGACCATCAAGAATAGTAAAGAAAAAGAGTATCTGGAAACAAAACAATTAGCTGTCTCCACTTCTACCTTGGAGAGACTGGAAACGATTTTACGTGATTACAAAGCTTTGGAAACAAAACGCCGCCAAGAGAAAGATAATCTCATTCAAAAGTGTACGCAATTGTGGGAGAAACTTAAAGTTCCTCAGGCGTATATCGCAAAATTCGAAGGCTGCAACAAGGACCTGTCAAACACTTCGGTGAAAAACTATGCTCATGAATACAAACGACTTCAGGACATGAAGAAGAAGCTTATTAAAAATCTCATACAGGATTCATGGACAAAGATCCAAGAGTTGTGGTCAGCAATGCATTTCTCACTGCGTGAAACTGCTGCTTTTCAAGACATGTTCAATACTATGATAGATGCCTCAACTACTCTCGATGACGATGAAAAGGTTCTGGAAACCTGCGAAGCTGAAATCGCTGCTTTAGAAAACAAGCTTGCCGCATACAAGCCGCTTCTGAAACTAATCGACGAGTTTCGCTCTTTACAAAACGATAAATGGAACTTGGAAAGAAGTAGCAGAGACTCTTCCAGGCTTCTGCTTAGAAATTCGCACAGGATTTTACTAGAGGAGGAAAAAACGAGGAAGCGCATAACAAGACATTTCCCTAACGTCATTCAAGAGCTCATACAGAAATTAGAAAGTTTCGAAGAAGACTCTGGAAGGCCGTTCATTGTGGAAGGTTCGAGATTTCTAGAAATTGTGTTGCAGCAAGAAGAAGAAATTATCAGCAAGTATCCTAGAAGCAGAATCGGTTCAAATTACAAAAACTCGGGATCATCGGCCTCAGTCACTTCCAGAATCGCGCCCGCTTCTCGTTCGCCTCGCAAGGATCAAACGCGGCCCAAAGTGCAAGCCAAAAGTCACAGAAGCACTACACACAGGACACCTATGAGAAGCTATGCTTCAATAGGCACCAAGCCTGTTGAGCATGAACAAAGCGGTTCAAAGGCCTCGTACAATCGTCGCGTCAGGGCAGCACGCATGTCAAGTCCCATTAGAAAGGCTGATAATGAGCTCTCCGTTCATAAAGCCACCAAAGATAGCCCCACCAAGATTCCAACACTGACAAGAAGTTCAACTTTTCCAAACGAAAGCAATTTTTTTGGCACTAGCTTGAAAACCCGGACCAGAATGGCGGCCCCAGAAGGACTGAAGTTGATGTCTCCAAATAGGCTGAACTCGGTCAACAAAATATCAAAGGCAGAGATCACGAGCCAAACTCCCACTGTTGTTAGAGAGCCCTCGTCTTTATCATGGTTGGGAAAATCTGAGAGTCCAGAAAAGGAGAATATCGCTCCATTTTCTTCAAAAACACCTTTGCGACTATCGAGCAAAATGCTTCCTCGACTGGAATCCCCTGACAAAACGGTTGACAACTCGGTGTATACCATAACAAGATCGCCGGAGGGCAAATTTCTTCTAAATGTCGAAGAAGATGCTACTATAGAAAATGCAGAAGGCGAGGATACTAGCATACTAGCAGACGACGATAACTTCAACATATGGAAGCGAGAGCGATTGGCAAGGCTGAACAGCAATGAAGGCAATAATAATCTTGATTTCCCATCAAGCGTGAATTGGGAAACAGATGTGTTTTAAGCAAAGTAAAACGAATGTAACAATATTAATAGGTAATTTAGGAGTTTAAGGTCTGTTTATACATGAATTTTCTACCACTTTTTGGGCTCAGAACCTTCTGGGGGAGTCATTTCTACCGTTTTCTTTGCTACCTCCTCCCAGTTTGTGTTCAAAGCGGTGCCATTACTCTCAACCATCGACTTCATCATTGCTCTTTGTGTATCAGGATCTGCTCTTGAATAAAGTTGCTGGAAAAAAGCATCAGCAGATTGATTTTGCTCCTCGTCGTCCACTTCGAACTTGGACCAGTCTGTTGATTTTTTGGAAGAGGATGGGTAAGAATGTGCAGCTTCATTCGCTGGAGAAGATGTCGGAACAGGAGCTCGTGCTGTTAAGGTTTCTGCCGGATCGTCCAAACGCTTCCATTGAGCTTTTTGTTTTTTCTTGAGAGTGATTTCAATCTTTTTAGTCAGGACATTGATACCTATATCTTCCGGATCCACTTCATGAGATAGTCTGGTACTATATTGAAATTCAGAACCTGTTTGAGATACGGGATATGAGACTTCCAAGTTTCGTAAGTCAGCTGAAATTTTAGCGTTGACGGATTCTCGGCTGCTTGGAAGCGATGTCGTGAACAAAGAGATGGTTAAGGATGTCGCGGATTGATACCAATCAGCTTTGAAGGCCGGCTTATCCACCTTTAATGGCATAACGTCGGGTTTTGAAGAATCTGACTTTGCAGGGGTAGGGCTAGCGGTAGTCGTAGGTGCCACTTCACTGATTTTTTTCGGCCCATGCTTACGTTCCCATTTTTCAATCTTGGAGTTCAAATTAGCCTCCCAAATGCCAATTGTATCGTCTTTGTACCCAAGCTTGCGAGCACTGTCAAATAAGTGTTTCGATAGTGGGTAATTTTTCCTATTGTAATGGTGAACAAACAGTCTGAAAGTGGCAAACCCTAATTTGGATCGATCTCCTCTCTTCTCTGCGATCTCCACAGCTTTGTCCAGCAGTTCCAATGCATTCTGCAATGTTGCCTCATTGTGCCAGCTCTTGAAGCCGTAGTACAGTTTTTCCAGGCATGCTGCCTTGTAGATGTGTGCTGTGAAATTTTCCGGAGATTGCTCTAGAATTGCGTCGTACAATTCTAGTGCATCCTGGGGCTTCTTTTCATCATAGAGTAGCGTTTGAGCACGTTTCAAATCAACTTCGATAGGCATGCTTCGAGTTCGGTCACTATTCGAAACTTTCCAGTTAGTTTACAGTTTGGCTATTTCATAAACTGTGATCTACGATTATCAACAAAATGCGACGTTTTGGAAAAAAGTGATATCAAGATCATTGTTTTCGATGACGCTCGTAGATAGTGACCGTGATATTCAAACAAGCGATTTGAAACGATAAGAATTAGACGGTGATATGGCGAAGGCACCTATGATGCTGAATTTTGAGACTAAGGTTCACAGGGTTTGAATGACGGGAGCCAGGTGATTTTTGTGCACCTTTTCTAGTCCGAGTTTTCTTACATCTTTATATAGTGCTTTTAAATATTGATGGTAATATAATATCTGAAAATTTTAGCCGATGACCTTGGCGATGAGCTAAAGAACAACAGACTGTAAAGCGGAATAGCCAGTGAATTTAGCCTACTATGTCTGCATCTACAGTGGCTCACGTAAATAGTCTGGTTCTGGATGCTACACCTTTAATTACACATTCGTATTCGCATTATCAGCACTATGCTAAGACATTCTTCACCACGCCAACAGTATTTAATGAGATTAAAGATGAACAGGCGAGAAAAAACCTAGATTTGTGGCTAAGCTTGGGATCTCTGCAGCTGCGTCAGCCACGCAGTGACTCCGTGAAAAAAATCGGTGATTTTGCCAAACTAACCGGTGATTACTCGGTTTTGAGTGCTAACGATATTCACATCATCGCATTAGCTTACGAAGTTGAAGTCGAGCTCAATAAAGGAGACTGGAGACTACGCAAAAAACCTGGGGATGACCTGACCACTGTGATTGAACGGGAAGCTCAGGAAACCAACAGTGACAAAACCAAGAAAAAGCGTAGAAGAGGTGGTAAAAAACAACGTGAGAAGCAACAACAGCGTGAACAAGAAGACACAGAGGTGTTACACTCTGCAGCTATTGAAAACGACAAGACAGAAGACAAGAACGAGTCAAAACCAGAACCAGAGCTCTCAGCAAACGAGTTGGAAGAAAATGCCAAAGCTCCTAATCCCGAAGACGAGGCGGAATACTTTGAAGGTGACGATGACGGTGACTGGATCTCGCCTGAAAATCTCACGGAGACCATGATAAAAGACAGCGGAGAAGACACCACCGGTTCGCATGTCCGTGAAGACCTAAACGGGTACATGTCTGAAAATCATCTAAAACTTCCACAAAATCAGGTAGCGTTAGCAACGGGGGACTTTGCCGTCCAAAACGTTGCGTTGCAGATGAATTTGAATTTGATGAACTTTTTGTCTGGTCTTCGAATCAAAAAACTTCGTAATTACATGCTAAGATGTCATGCGTGTTTCAAGATGCTTCCGTTCCCTAAAACCGGGACTCCCAAGCACTTCTGTCCGTCCTGTGGTGGCTCCGGTACATTGATGCGGTGTGCTGTGTCTGTAGACGCAGTTACGGGCGAAGTAACGCCTCATCTTAAGACTAATTTCCAATGGAATAACCGTGGCAATCGCTATTCCATAGCCAGTCCATTATCCAAAAATTCTCAAAAACGATTCGGTAAAAAGGGTTTCGTGCACACCAAACACGGCCAAGAGGCCGAGCTACTAAGAGAGGATCAAAAAGAGTATGAAAAGGCTTTGAAGCAAGAAGAGTGGACTCGCCGTCATAATGAAAAGGTTCTAAGCGACTGGACCGCAGGTGGTTCTGCAGACAATTTCATTTCACCGTTTGCGATCACAGGGCTCAAGCACCACTCAGTAAAAGTCGGCCGTGGCCGTCATGCCAATAGTGTCAGAAGCAAGAAATGATTTTACACGTTTTCTGCCAACTCGAGCCTCTTTTTGTGGGATTTTCTTGGGAAGGGTCAGCATACAGGTTCCATCCCTTGCGATGACAGCAATGGACTCAAATATACAGGTCACGAAAAGCGTAGCCTTAAGAAGCTTTCATTCTCGGAGCATGTTTTTTTCACGAACATTTTTTCCCACTTTCTAAAGCAATTACTAGGGCTGTGAACACACAAGTGGACACGTTAAAACGCCCTCATTTGGGACATAGATGCATGGTGTTTCAATGGCCAAGAAAAGTCTCTCTTTTGTTGCATATTCTACCTTTTTGTTCAGCTACTCTTCTCAAGGAACATTGGTCGTCCCGTACGGGACCTGGATAGATTTATTAGTTTTCAATACCATTATTCTAATTGTCAAGCTTCAACAGCTCCCAACTGAATCAACCAAACTTCCTAAGCTGATTACTGATCTGTGTCTCAGAGTGCGATATCTTTGTATTTGCTTCAAAAATGAGTGGCTCCAACTATAATAGTGGCAAAGTGCCCGGGATTGTTTCACCTCGGTTTTCCAGTGCTGCCAATAAAGCAGACCCTGATGGTTCGATGGGCCCACCACCCGGTGTTTCGGGTCAGAGTGGTGGAGCGGGATCCCCTGTTCTACAGGGACCTTCAAGTCCTGCTTCAGGTGCGACTAAATCGATTATGAATGTGTCCGGTACTTCTGGAGCTGTTGTAAGCAACACGCCAGAACCGGGACTCAAACGAGTGCCAACGGTGACGTTCAGTGACTCCAGACATCAGACACTAAAGCAGCAAGCCGTAAGTAACTCTGTTAACCAGCAGGGCAAGCCAGTGACCGGGGAAGAGGCTGAAAAGCATGCAGAAGCCACGAGTCCCAAATTGAGGTCGACAACTTCCCCTACCAGTGTAAGAGATCCTTCACCCCCACCAGTTCTTAATCGCATCGATTCGTCAGCCATACCGCCGCGTCAAGGCTCTAATTCGACGGTGGGACGTTCGGACTCCAAGAAACCCAACCTGATATCAAAGCTTCTGCACTCGGCTGATGTGCTGCATCACAACTCCGGCCACGCAACAAGCTCTAATGAACATACTACCGCAGAAGAGTCCAAAAGGACTACTCCGGTGACCTCGGACTCCGAATCCAAGCGCGACGTTAAAGACGAACATCCTCATTTCGTGGTGGATGATGTCCTACATTCTCCTAACTTCAGATCAAGGTCCAACAGTGGTAGCCCTATGCCATCGAGCACACCCATCAATCCACCTTTTGCCACCAGCGATAAGAAGCAAGAATCTTCTTCCAGGTTACAAGAGCCCACCATTTTGGAGTCTCTTGATGAGGCAATTGTAGATACGCCTCTGGATCCGCAGTCGAGCTTTCAACAAGTTGCGCCCAACATTCCTAAGAGGGAGACCGGCAAGAATTCAGAGCCTCGGCTGCCACAAGATGACGGCAAACTTCACGTTTTACTAGGTGCTACAGGTTCTCTGTCGGTGCTTAAAATTAAGGCCATGATCAAGAAACTGGAAGAAATTTACGGCAGAGATAAAATCTCGATTCAGTTAATTTTGACTCAATCGGCTGCGCAGTTTTTCAGTAGTAGAGCCAAGAGACCACCCAAGGTAGAATCAAGATCTGTTTCTGAGACTGGAATTTCTGCGAGCTCAGGAGTTTTCACGCCCGAGCATACTCAACATGTGAAATCGCCCCTCAGCAATCCACCTGCTGCAGCACACAATCACGCTGTAAATGAAAATGGTGCGGCAAATCTCAACAGCACCGCATTATCTGGTGCTGCGCTTAAGATTGAACTGCCCGCCCACATTCAGGTCTGGACAGATCAAGACGAGTGGGATGTATGGAAGCAGCGTATGGATCCCGTTCTCCATATCGAACTGCGCAGATGGGCTGATATTCTGGTTGTTGCACCTCTGACAGCCAACACGCTGTCGAAAATCTCGTTGGGATTGTGTGACAATTTGCTCACCAGTGTGATTCGCGCATGGAATCCCAGCTTCCCAATATTTCTAGCGCCCTCGATGGTCAGCAGCAGTTACAACTCTAGCATCACGAAACGCCACCTAAAGATGATTAAGGAGGAGATGCCTTGGATTACAGTTTTCAAGCCCTCCGAAAAAGTGATGGGCATTCACGGTGAGATTGGCCTTGGAGGTATGATGGACGCCAATGAAATTGTCGACAAAGTTGTAATGAAGCTCGGTGGCTATCCCGAGGATGAGGACGAGGACGAAGAGGAAGATGAAGATGAGGAAGACGAAGATGAGGGCAAAGACTCGCGCCAAAAAGCGGAACGCTCTTTAGACGATGACGACGATGACGACGATGACGATGACGATGACGACGACGATGACGATGATGATGATGATGATGATGATGAAGATGATGATGACGAAACAGCAAGACCATTGGAAACTCTGCAGTCGAAACTAGCGCCTCAGATCTCTCAATAGTCTATTATCGTTTCTTACGATTCGGCTTCGGCAGGTATAAGCTCGCCGTATCATACGATGACCGATGTTTCTACTATCATCGATCGATCTGCGTTGTCTGAAGCATACTTCTCGTCCTTTTTTTCTAGTGATGCTACTTTATGACTTGCATTACGCCAAGCTATGGTATTCAAACCTTGCTTGTAAATCAGGAAATTGTCAATGTTGTGTGTCACGTGTTTATGTCCAAGTGAAGTGCACGTGATATTAGAAAGCTCATAACTCGTTTTTCTTTTTTGACTAAATTTCTCATAAGAGACATAGTCTAAATTTCAATGAGTAATGTAATACCATCATCGCTAAAGAATTGTGAATCAGACTGCTCATAAGAAGGGTTCAAAGAAGTTTCCCAACATCACTTGAAACTTTTGTGAGACTTTTAGTAGCATACGGTGGGTGCCACAAGAGAACAGCATAAAAGAATGTCCGAGCAACGCCATCTCCTGCTTATTCATCCGGCGATCACAGTGAGTCCTGAAAAACTCGAAAAAACGAAGCAAAACAGTGTTCTTTCGCAATGCAGTGCTTTGGACCAGTTTTTGATCAACAAACTGAATGACGGAAGTCTGCAGCTACAAAATGATGTATACAAAGTGGTATATTACTTGACCCCGGAGGAAAAAGAAGAGATTCAGTTCCCAGTGAAACTTATTCCAATTTTGGCTCAAAGCTTGAAAGAAGGCGGGAAACTTTATGGACTGAGTGATGCCTACAAACTACAAGCGCTGATAAATGGGTTCGAAATTGCGCATGACGGGGAGAAGGGGGAGTACCATTGGATCAAAAAATCTACTTCATCAAGCACTACGGCGCCCGTGGCTTTAAAATCGAACCAATCAAAAAAATTGGCAGGGAGCAGCAGCAATGCAACTGGCTCTACGCCGGGCCTTAGGGCGCTGCCCTCTTTCAAAAAAGCCGCTACAAAGGCTTTACCTGTATTCAAAAAACCAGAGTCTCCAAAAGCCGTAAATGAACTCGATGAAGACGACAATGAGGACGAAGAAGAAGAGGATGAGTTTGATTTGGACTCAGATGAGCTCACGGCTGCGAAATCTAAATTTTTCGATAACGTCGAGGGCGACGATTCCGCGGAATCCATCGACGAGGATGAACTCGTGGAAGAAAACGATAAAAACGTAATTACAATGGTAACGTGCGGAAAATCCAAGACGAGAAGACGCAAAGCATGCAAGGACTGCTCGTGTGGGCTCAAGGAACAAGAAGAGCAAGAGTTGGATGCGGCTCGAGCGGCTCAGAATAGTGTCTTAGGCACAGAGGTGAAGTTCGACGAACAAGAGTTGGCTGAAATTGATTTCACAATTCAAGGCAAAAAGGTAGGTGGATGCGGTTCTTGTGCTTTAGGTGACGCGTTTAGGTGTTCCGGATGTCCATATCTAGGGTTGCCTGCCTTCAAGCCTGGCCAGCCCATCAGTCTGGACACAATTGCGGATGACTTGTAAAGGAGTACTGTGCGCTTAAAGCGCGATATATATAAGCATATATGTACATACATAATGTAATTTGGTATTGGGAGCCTGGTAAACTTTGCGTTGTGGTTGGAGTATGGGCGAGTTCCAAATGCGAGTATTTGCCAAATGTGTAAAAAGTTTGCCACCTAAATTCATTCTGAAGCCTGTTTTTATTCCGTGAATGTTCATTAAGATTGATTATGAAGACGTTCTCTAGAAGCAGATGACAGAATCAAAACGGAATTTGCATGGCATTCAAAGAGAAAACAATTCGCCCAAAAAGCAGAAGGAAATGTGTGAATATCATCACGGATGAATTCAAATGCTGTGTTCATTTGTAGCGCAAAAGGAAGCAAAAACTTGAGGTGAGTGAGTTTTCTCGCGATATCTGCAATTGACATATTGAGGGTGCTCGTAAGGTTAAAAGAACGCTAGTTTACACCTTTATTTCACGAGTTCAATGCCGATGTTTCTTCTGTGTTGAGACGTCGCATTATTCTCAAAACCAGCCCTCCCAGGCTCAACCGAGCCTGAGTGCAAGCACTCAGTCATTTATGCAATTGACTTCAACATAACAAGCGCACACAAGAAAAAGCGATTTGGCAGCTTAGATGGAGCTTTATAGTGAATTATTAAGACTAGTTTTGAGCTGGCTACATTATATTGTGGTGGCTATCGTCAGTGTTCAGAACGAAAGCAGACCATTGTAAAAGTGTGATTTTAAGTCAGAAGCTTTGAGGTAGAAACGTGAACGAGAAGAAGGTAGCTTAGGCACGTATCAAGGAAAGCATTAAAATAGAGATGTTGAAAAACCACCGTTATCGGGTACTGATGGGAAAAATGATTACGGTGGTTTGGCTGTCATTTGGCGCGCGACAGCGACACTTTAGGAAAAAGTCATTATTCCATGCGGCCAACAAAGACGTCAAGTTCTTATTTCAAGATTGCGGGAAGTGACACTGCTGTTCGGCAATAACGAACGAGCACTTGCGAATTCATGGATTGTGAATATTATTGGACAGTTATTGTTTGCAAGCTGCAAAATACAGCCATCTAAGAAGAAAACTGAAGCTGTTTGGTTTGTCGTAGCCGGGAGCATAGGACGTACGCTGCAAAAAGTCAGCCCGAAGCCCTTCTTTCATTTAGAATACAACTCAATTATGGATCCCGTTTGGCCACATAAATGCGCAATTTGGAAAGGTGACCCGAATGTGTATTAAACCGCAAATTTCAGCATTCGAAAGACTAAAAATTCGAAAATTGATCTTGACTTCAATGTGGCCATATTTTAGCATCCAAAAAATTCCTGCCAACCCTATACCATCATTTGACCGCTGCAATGGCTCTTGGTCAAAAGACGTTGAGCACCTCTGTCACTCGATATACTGATCACTATATACGGTAACGTTTTTTTCTTTCAGCAGTGGAATTCGTAAACTTTTTAGGAGATGACACACGCACACGCGAACGATCCGATTTTTCGAGCTTTGCGTATTTGCTTGTATTTATAGCTATTGAAAGCAGACCTTATTGAATCTCATCTCTCTTTCTCTTTCTCGTGGTTCAGGACTGTTCATGAGTCCATGACTCCACCTAGAGTCCACCTCCGTCTGTAGTGATTTTCGGAATCGAGTCCGACGTATAAAGTGACGTTCATATGATTCCGGCTGTGAGTCCGGCTAATTACTAGTCAAATTTAATTATTGTTGACATTGATGAATGTAGTTATTTGAAGTCATGGAGAAGGCTTGAATATTAACAAAGTGCAAGGTAGTGTGCACCTGGTATGTAGACCTCTTACTTTTTTTGTAGACCTTGGTGAATCTCAGAAACAAGCGCGCTACGGCAGATAAATCACGAGTCACGTGAAACTCTCGTATACAGTTACCGGAGTTACGAAATTGACGACTCTTTTGTCGTATAAAGGTACTGGAATCGCGACTCTCCGGACTCATGGCCAAAAAAGCCGGACTCGCAGGAGTCGTGAACAGTGCTGTCGTGGTTGTATTTCTTATCACACTGTACTAAGATGCTAATAGTATCAATTTACTCAATCTATATAAAAGCACTCACTCAACAGAAACTTAAACATCAAGAAACAGCAAGTTCTTTGAGAAACAAAGACCGCACGTCTCTCAACTACGCCTGGCCATTACTACGTAAAACTTACTCTCGAATTTCCAGTTTCTATACAACCACACACTTCCCGTCAGAAACCACCTCCTTCCCTCACAGTAACATTAACGGGTTTTTCCATTCTTTAACATCACCAACACCACCACCACCACCAAAAACCTTCAAATTGCGCGCAATACCAGTGCCAATTCCGTAAAATCTAAAGCTCACCAACGCCCCCCGATAACGCCCGGAACAGATATCGGGTCAGATAATGTCCCACAACTTCTTTGGGAAAAAATAACTCCCGTAGTGTTACTATCATCGCCGATTTGGTTTCCACAACGTACGGTTACATCACTTGCCACTTTCCTGACATTGTGTGTCATCTTGAGTCTATTGTTGTCATGCTATGACTAGTAGTGAGGTGTTCCCCTTTACATAATCCTAGGAAAAGAAGGGAGGAGGCGTTCTTGTAAGATAAAACCACCACCGCATATATAAAAGGCCAACTGAAATTCGATTCTTGTCAGTTCCAGTGAGCTTACAAGACCTCTGGTGATATAACAAAAGGTTTATATCTACAACAGAATAGCCAACGTTTTCCCGGTAGGAGGCATAAAGTGCAGGTACGCTTTCTGACAATTACAGAGGAGCTTGGCTTATAGCAGTAGATTATAGCTTTAGTTGAAAGTAAGCAAATAAGTAAGTATGTCTGAACATATTGATGAGCAGTTGACGAATGCTGGAATGCAGGCGTTGAAGGAGAAAGCACGGGAAGAAAAGGACGGTGGTATTGGGAATGGTGAGGATGTGGTGGCAAACGTGGCTATAAGCCGAGTTTCCAAGAAATCTGGACTCAAAAAGAAGAAGAAAGACCGGTGCTATTACGACAAATGTGGATCTACAGCTCTCAAATTCATAGGTGACTGTCAGTTTTGCCAAGGCCATTTTTGCTCACGACACAGAATCATGGAAAACCATGCTTGCCAAGGACTCACATCCTGCAAGGAACAAATGCATCAGCGAAACGCGGATAAACTCGCCGCGGAACAAACCATAGTATCGAAAATTCAAATCTGAAATCAAATGAGCGGAATTCATCGACACACATACATTCATCTACACACCAGCACACATATCTTTCTTCTACGCATATTCGAGTGTCAAATATTTCAGTATTTATCCAGTCTATAGTGGTAACAGTGGTGTTACACCGACCAACATAATCGTCCCATATTTTAAAAGAATGGTAAAGCAACAATGAAGAAACATTGTCGTGAGGTTGTCATAATCGCGCGTTGTGATGTGCCTGTGCCTAGCCTATGGCACGCTTCACTGCCTCAAGTACATTGTCAGCGATCAATGTAGGATCGCACGGTAGTGGATCACCGTTGCGGTAAACGCCAGAGCGTACCAAGCAAGTAGACCATCCGTAATTATGTGCACCAATAATGTCACTGGCCGGGTTGTCGCCAACCATGAACACTTTGCTAAAAGGAGAGGATTCCGGCGATATACCAAGCTTGGGCAGCGGGATATCGTTTTTGGAACCGTTAGCAAGCTTTTCGCGCCATTTTATGAGGACGTGATGAGCAAAGTCGTATGTGACCTTAGTGGGCTTACCGATGATCGTATCCTCTAATTCAGCTCCAGAATTGAGTCTGGAGTATAATGTTTCGATCACTGTTCGGAAAGCGCCCTGTCCGATCCGGTTCAAACTGTATTGGTTGGCCCATACCAAGTCATTGTTGGAAAAATAGATTGGAACGGAGGGCTTCGATAATGGTGCAGCGGAGCTAGATTGACGCACGGTATTAAGCATCCCGCCTTCGCTATTGAGAATATCCAAAATAATTTGGATGTCGGCGCCCCAATCGCGTGGATCGTTAAACACCAAAATAGCCTCGAACGGCTCTTTGTCAAGGCCCGGAATCTCTCGAGAAATCTCCATTCTCACGTCTTTGGAAATCCCGGAAAAAGGTGCAATGCTAGGTTCATAGCGAACTATATCCATTGGATGAACCACTCTTTCGAAACCATAAGTTTCGGCCACTTCTCTCACAGAATCAGATCCCACTGCCAAGACTTTCTTAAATTCTGGCACCAAAGTCTTGAATGGAGTGTGACTTTGGATTATTTGCGAGGGTGACAGTGGAACCCGCAAAGCGTCGGACAAAAACGCAGTTCGCTGATTTTCTAGTGTCCCACCTCCATTCGTCAAGAGAATGAATGGGATCTTATTTTCTTGGCACAATTTCAGAGCTTCTGATGCACCTGGAATTGGCTCTTTACTTCTTAAAAGAACACCATCAATATCAAATGCAAAGGCTATGTCAGAGTGAAGATTTCTATAACTACGCAAAAACCTCGGTAGCGAGCGATTGGCTTGTTGGCGAGCCTTGAACATCTATTCTAGTTGATAAACTACAGTGATTAGTTGTCTTTTTCTTGATGATTCGTGAGTGAGAAGTTAGTAAAGGTAACCTTTAAATAAGTAATTCCACTAATACCTCAACGGTTTTTCAGATTTCAAGCTCGCATTCGAGATCTAGTTCGTGGCACCATTGTAAGATCTAGCACCGGGACTAGTTTACATCCAACTTTTCAATTGAGCTCTATATGTAAGTTTTTATAAATACAGAAGGCAAAGATCGGCCGATCTTTCCTGTTGAGTGGTATTTTGTTCGTATTACCTTCAGTTATTGAAGATACTGAGGTCAAGAGGCAATTCTTTTGGCCCCTCGAATCCCTCTTCGATGTGGTATTTCCTGCTTACGCTGAAACTCACTTGCTCTTGATCTATCAAAGCTGTTACAGCTTTTCCCACAACAAGTAAACCTGGTGGACGAGATCCAATCTCGTTCACCACTTCTGGAACGTATTTCAGTAGCGTTCTTGTAATCCTTTGATCAGGACATGAGGCACGCTCGATGATTGCAGCGGGAACCTCGGGATCCCAATTGTGCTGCAGTAGGGCGTCGACCAATACGTCAGATCGATGAAGTGCCATCAAGAAAACAGTGGTTCTTGTGGAAACGTACTCCGGAATCTGAGGCAACGCGCCCTTGCGACCAGTTCCCGTGCATATCAGAACTTGATCGGCCACGTCTCTTTGAGTGGCCGGAATTTTGGCTACCACAGTCGAAGTGAGAGATGAGCTCAACCCTGGAAGCACCTGAGGCACGTACCCGTGGTGAGAAAAGAATAAAAACTCCTCGCCACCGCGACCAAAAATGTAAGGATCTCCCTGCTTGAGCCTGACGACTTTTCTGCCTTCTTGCAAACCAGCTAGACCCTTCTCCAGAAGTTCCTGTTGTGCTCTTTCAGCGTTTCCGGGAAACTTTCTGGCAATAAAGACTTCAGTGCGTTCAGGGATCAAAGCCAACACAGTTTCAGGTACCAACTTATCAGCAAGGATAAGGTCTGCTGTTTTAATCTCCGTAAGAGCACCTAACGTAAGCATGGAAACGGAACCTGGACCGCTACCAACGAGTGAAATGGAACCAGTGCGTTGAGCCAGGTCGCCAGCTGGCCTTGAAGCAATGGAAGTCGAAGCCTTCAGTGAGTTTTGGCAGGAGTCCAAGTCCTGCATGCTTTTTGCTCCTTCCGTGGTGGTGAATTGTTCCTGCTTCCCTCCACTTGCGGCCTGTTTTCCGCTGTCGGCATAATTGTCCGCGAGCTGATCGATGGAAACGTCTGCCAGTTGAGTCAGCGGAAAATATTGCATAACCTGAGACAGCCATCTTGTTCTCTTGAGTCTTTTTTCCTTATCGCTCATGGAAAACTCATGCACCAGTCTATTGAGTTTATGGCTTTCCCAGCTGTCTTCATCGACACCGTATCCAAGCTCTTGTAGGTCTTTGTTGAGATAGTAGGTGGAGATCAAGCTATTGCTGTCCTCGTAGATGATCCGGTCTCGCAGTTGGCCCATGTTGATTACAGCTTGTGATATGTTCGATGGTAGACTGGAAACAATCTCGCGCTTAATACGGTTTGCCAGCAGACATCCTTGGCCATTGGTGGTGACTGCAATCTGAAGGCCACTTTTCGCAGGGTCTGTGTATGTAGAAATTGGGCTGAACGTGGAAAATTCGGGTCTTTGAGAAGTGCTTATGGGAATCCGAAGTTTGACACATTGTTGGTAGATATTTTGCATGAGCAGAGCTTGGTCTTGGGCTAGGTTAACAAAGACCCTTTCCACGACTTTCGCAACGAGAGGACGTCCCAGGGTTGTTAGATGATGGAGTTGGAAATCTTGTTCTAACACTGAAATGCGAGATTCGCCAACAAATCTCTTGCGCAATGCGTCGGCATCGCTTTTCTTTGAGACTCCTACGATCGTTGCGAAAGCCCCGCTCTTAACAATTGCAGCTGCTCTACTTGTTGTGACATTCAGCGAATGCGTTCCTATGAGCAGATGCACTTCGTTTTCGCCGTTAAGCGATGCGATCAGCGGTACTGTATCCTTTAGCATGGTTTTTAACACGGGAGTTGGAGGATAGGTCAATTGTGAAAGTACGGCGACTAGGTTTTTGAAAGAGGCCTAAGCTTTCAGAACTAGACTTAAATAAGTTTACATAACTGGATAAGAGAGCATTCAAGTTCGGAAAGCTGTTCTCATCGAGTGAGATGGTTTATAGCAGCCACAGCTGAGTTTAGCCTGATGATTAGACGAGTTAAATCACATGTATTGACGATAGTGTTTTGAAGACGAATATCTCACGTTGAAAACGATCAAAATTGTTAAAGTGAGAAATTACTAACGGTGGAGCATTGAATACTATCAAATATGCATGTAGTCATTGTGGAATGTGGACAAGGAGATTATGGTGATGGATGGACTTTATTAGAAATACCCTCCCTCCTTTTTTCCATAGATTCTAAAAACTGAATTGGGACGTGTTAAAAAAGAGGTCACGTGACTCTCGCTCAAATTGTATGCTATTCCAACCAAATAGTGACACAGAAGAGCATCTAATATATTAAATATTGGTCTTCATCACACACACACACACACACCTCCATCCAGATCAAACGTTTACACCCACTGGCAGATTGTTTCAATAGTCCGCGCCAGGCTCTCAAGATTTTGGTCACTATATACGAATCTCTTCTCGAGCATCGTGCCCTTTTCGTACAATTCATCGTTTACATTCTTCTCCATCAAGGCGTTTTGCGGCACGCTTTGAGAAGTCTCATCAAGCACTCGATCTATGCCAAATTTTCATGTACTTTCTAGGTCTTTTGTTCAATTGCGCCAGCACGTTCTACTCGCCCGCGACTTTCGGAACCAAAAACGTCAAAATGCCAATAATTAGAGGCTCTTTTCAGCAAAAATACACACTAGAGAGGAATGCTCTCTAACGACAATTTCCGCTATTTTCCTGCGTTAGTCTTGTAGCTGTATTCTTTCCATTTTATATATCTCTCGTATGCCCTCTTAACTAGTGAATCTGGTGATAATATAATATCACCACCTAGTGGTGAAAAAATGCATCTCATCGCCTATGGAAAACGAGAAGTATAAAAGACATTCAAACAGCTTACCGGCTCTTCTAATACTCCAATTAGTGCATCGTAGTCACAAAAAGTCGTAGCATTCAGCAATGGCCAAAAGAACTCTGGGTGTTGGTAAACAAAACAAAGGCTTGAAAAAGCAGAAAAAATCCGAAGCAGGCACTGGCGCCGCCGCTTCTCCGACTCCAGAGACCACACCAGCTGCCAATCAAATAACTGTTGAGGTGGAGGAAAACGTAGATCCAGAAAACGAGTTGGTGCAGCTCCGTGGTCTTTGGGACACCTATTTCAATTCCGATAGAAGCGATGAGCTCGTTCTGAATGGAATTGTTCACGAATGCGACCGTATTCTTCGTGAAGCAAACAAATCAGACAAAAACGATGAAAATGCAGCGTCATCAACGCTCACAGATGAATTCTATGCCATTTTCGCATTGGCTTTGAGTGAATTGACTATTTTTAAAGCCGGAGAGGAAGAAGAAGAAGAAGACGATGATGATAAAGACGACGCAAAGGCCAAAAAAACTGAAAAAGCCGTTTCGGACTTTTTCGACGCCGCGCTCGAACGGTGTGTCAGTCGTCTGGAAAAAGTGCCAGAATCACCTCTTTTGCTGCTAGTGAAGGCCAAGATCGCATTGCAAAGAATTCCGCTTCAGTATATTTCCAAATTGACTGTCACAGATAAAAATGCGTCGAAACTGAAACTGCACGAAATGCTCGAGCAGGCAAAGCAGGATTTCAAGGCCGATGTGAACTATCCAGAGCTGGTACTCGAGGTTCTGCAGCAGTTTGACGACTTACTCGACATTGTGGAAAACTTTGGTCACGAAGACGATATCGACGAAGGGCTAGATAGTGATGCAGAGGACGAGCTAGAAGAAGTAAAGCTGTCGTCCAAACACCCTCTTTATCAGATTCGCGAAGAGCTTCCTGAGAATTACGCATTTTTGCGCGAGCAATTGAAGTCGCTACTAAAGCTCGTCCCGCAGAGCAAGGGCAAGCTTTACCGCTCGATCTCCAGAAAATTGGGTCAGCTACATCTAACCGCAGCTGAGAAACCGTCCCAGGTTTTCTTGCATTTGACTTATGAAAACGACGAGGACGAAAAGGACATCGATGGGTTAACTGCACCAGTGGCTCAAACTGAAGCGCTCGGTTTCGTCACCGATGCTGTGAAATACCTCGAACAAGCAAGTGAAGACGATGAGCCCCAGACCTGGGTCGACGTCGCAGAAGCTCTCACCGACGCTGGTAATTTACATGATGCCGAATCTAAAGAACAAGAAGAGTGCTACGCAAAAGCCGAAAAACTCTTGAGAAAGGCAAACACAGCTACACACGGCAAATACCAGGATATCCTTGAAAATCTGCTCGCTTCGAAAGAGGAAGAATCGAGCTAGCCGCGCTACCGATGGAGACATGAATACTGGATGTGCCCAGGGTCTTATATAGTACAGTGTAGCGCTGTCGCCATATACGAAGAACCTTTATAAGAAACCTAACTGGAATGGATGAATGATACTACTCTCTTTTAACCAACATAGTACCTAAACCGTCATCATTGGAGATCAGATCAAACTATCAATTGCCCTATCATGAGTGCCAGCATGAGCGGTGTTGCTAACGCTTCGACGGGCTCGAAAAAATCTCTCAAAGCTTTTAGTGATGATATATGGAAGAATAAAACTGCAAAGATAAATGCTGAGCTATTCACACTAACGTATGGATCCATAGTTTCTCAACTTTGTACCGACTTTGAGCGAGACTTTGCCAAGGTGAACAACCAGCTATACTTAATGGGTTACAACATCGGCATGAGGCTGATTGAGGACTTTCTTGCACGTACTGCCCTCCCCAGATGCGAATCGCTAGCTAAGACCAGCGAAGTGGTGAGCAAATGTGCTTTCAAGATTTTTTTGAACGTCACCCCTCGGGTAGGGAACTGGTCAAGCAGTCAGGACTCGTTTTCACTGTTTTTGGACGAGAATCCTCTTTCCGATTTCGTGGAATTGCCAATGGACGCAGCTAAAGAATTATGGTATTCAAACATTATATGTGGGGTTTTAAAGGGAGCTTTAGAAATGGTTCAAATGGACTGTGATGTTTACTTCACAAGCGACGTCTTAAAAGGGGATCAGACGACAGAGCTGCGAGTAAAGCTCAACAGAATTCTCAAGGATGAGATTCCAGCAGGTGAAGATTGAAGCCACTTTCGGCCCCAAAGGCCTATGCATTTTTTTTTATTTGTTTCTTCGTATACTTTCATTACATAAATCAAGAAAAGGGTTTTATAGACTTGTACCGTTAATCCTCTTTCTGATTCTCTCTTTTCTCTCTCACCAGATTACCTATTAAGGAACCTTTTGAGGGTGCAACGATTTGAAGTACATCATCATCATTATCATCGTTATGCTCTTCCTCTTTTCTCCGTCCCCCTGACGAACCGTCACCCAGGATAGGGATATCTGACAGAGACGACCTCGAGTTGACTTTTGACAGCGAATTGGAAAACTCGGACATATTCGAATGCACTGACGATGACCTACTTCTGAATCCTGGATCTACGTCGGTCTCGCCCTTCTTGGCCGCTTCTTGAGTAATTAAAAATCTGCCGAAATCTGGGAACACTGTGGGGCCCAAATCATTGCATACCTGTGTGACTTCCATGCTTAATTCTTCGCGATTTTTCTGCAAGCTCTTGAGATGGCGCTTGGGATAGATCAGTGAAACGGTAAGCGGGCGCAAAGACTTTAAAATGTCCACGCCCTGCTCCCCTGTCTTGAAACTTGCGTAGGTCGCGGCAACAAGTAGAGCGTAGAAATAAACGAAGTTTCCCAAAGTTCCGCAATGTTCTCTGATGCGAATCAACCAAATCCGGCTAAACAAAGCAGGAAATGCTTTGACCAGGTAGCAAAGAGTCAAAGAATAGGACACGTACAGTGAGGGTGCCAATACCAATGCAACCAGTAGTTTCCAGGTCGCTAGAAGATCTGTGCCCTTCAACTTCACGAGCGATTTTCTTAACCCATCTTCAGCCTTTCGTTGGGCATAATAATGACACGTAACAAACACTGGCGTGAAAAGCACTGTTCCGGGCAGTGAGAGGAAAAAGTAGAAGGCGAAAAGAAGGGTCCGCGATAGTAAAGTCAGCGACAGAATCCATTTCCCACCCTTGATCGTTAGTGCTGGGACTTGATGATCCCTTAAACCTAGGTTGAATAATCTGTTATTGTATTTCAAGACCATCGACTTCAAATGTTGTATTCTTGGATCGTCCTTGTACCTGGAGTATCCGACCAACAATCGTCTATTCATCTCAACCACAAGCGAGAGTGGCAGGTGATTGGATCCATTTTTCATTGTCATTGGTCTGTAAAGTCTTCTAGCGGCCTGGATAGTCATTAAGGTCTCATAATCTGGGGCATTCACGGTAACTGAGTACAGAGCTTGTGTAATTTTCTCCAACAAATCCGAGGTCTCAGAGCGAGCGTTTTCTTTATACCGCTTCCCCATTTCGCCATCGACAATGATCGGTTGACCGAATTCCAAAACTGCTCTTGATCTGAATTTGTTTCTGTGAAAGTAGTTGATACCACAGGGCACAACAGAGACTTTCATGCTCGGGTCAGCTGCGGCGGCGCCCAATGCCATAATTGCCACCCCGGCTTTGATGGGGAGCAAAGAAGGTCTGTCGTGAGATCCACCTTCTGGGAAAATACCGACGCAACCATTCGTGTGCAGATGGTTGAAAACATTTTGAAAGACCGTGGTATTATCAATTTTGGACGCATATTTGAAGTTCGTGCCTTTGGAAAGCAGCTCGTGAATGCGTTCCGTGTCTTTGAAAGGTTTTGCCAGGACGAGAGTCTCGTCGTCAGGAATATCTGCGATTTGATTGTTGCCCAGGAAGTATGGTAGCCCAATAAGGGACTTTGCGGTAAAACGAGATTTAAGATTTGGGGAGTTTCCACCTCCAACGACACGGCATTTGACCACTGTTGGACTGTTCCAATCCGGTACGTATATTTGCAGAGACGCATCTGCAGGCTCAAGGTTGTCTTGGGCCCTAGGAACCGGAATTCCACCGGTGCATTTGCTGAAGAGAGACACAAACCGTTTTTTGTAGCTTGACTCTGCTGTTACCAGACAGGTGCATCTCGAACGATTGCCCTTTAAGTTTCGCACTTGGGACATCACCAGTGCGCCGTCAACGAACTGATTAGCATGCGGAGCACACACCAGAATCATGGGAGTGCCTTTGGGAGGCACATTGTGAATTCCACGAACTTTGATCTCCCGGAAGAAGATGGTGAACAGGATGTTGAATAAGAACACTACTAGATCGTAGAGCCAAGTTTTCAAGGTGTAGTGAGCCCCGTTGTAGGGATTTGAGTGGAACTCATTTTTTGGAACATGAGATACCATTAGCAGGTCTAAAAAGTAGGACAAAAAGAGACAGAAATGCGAAAGTTTGTAGTGAGTAGGGTGGATGTAGCGGTGGGATGAGCGAGGGAGTGTTTTGGGTTCTTTATAGGTGTTAAATTCAGAAAATTGTGGGGTTGATGAAAAAAGCGATGAGTTAAGATGGCCGTGACAATGATGATGGCTGACGGTGGGTGTTGATTTATTGGGATTCCTTTGTTGGATATGTGGGACGATATATTGTCACGTGATGGGTGACTGGAAATGGTCGGAATGACAGGAAACGGTTTTGGTTGATAATTTGAGCAGTTTCCAGGATCATTTGGGGCGGGATTTGAGAGAGAGAGAGAGAGAGACAGAGAGAGAGAGAGAGGAGGGAGGAGAGAGGAGGGAGGGAGAGACTGTATAATATACTATTTGTTTGTGTTTTTTTTGGACGATTTTTCTTGTTTTTTGGAGGTGTTGTTAATTGTGAATTGTCAAGCCTAATGTCAAGTTAGATCTCCAAAACATAAAAATTAAAAAAGTGACAGCGGACAAAATTAATTGCACAGAATAGTACTGGTAAATGATGAAAAAAATAAACAAATACTGAAGTCCCTCTGCTGATTTAGCGTCACACCTTAACAACGTCTCCAACGTGTCGCATTGTTCTCTACGAATTCTGGGGATTTGATTTTTGGCAAGATTTGTAACCTAATGCTTGAGAAACGCTGAGTTTCGAACAGCGGTCTGAATGTTGTGACGAATTTGGCTATCAAAAGTCTCCTGGCACCTAGGAGAAAACCGTAGTATTGTTAAATCCTGTCTTCAATCAGTTTCGTCAATACTGTCGCTGCTCTTCATCCGATTACGTAATGTATATATATCGATCAGGACTATTCATGAGTCCAGGACTTCCACGTAGACTCCTTTTCCGTTTGTAGTGATATTCACAATTGGGTTTGGCGTATAAAGTGACTCTCATATGATTTCGGCTGTGAGTCCGGCAATTTATTGAAATGCATTTAATATTCGTTGAAATTGATTAACGTAGTTTTTTGAAGTCTTGGAAAAGGCTTAAATAAATATTAGAGAGTGCAAGGTAGTCCGCACCTGGTATGTAGATCTCTTACTTTTTTTATATAGACCTTGGTGACTCTTAGAAATAAGCGCGCTAAGGGCAAATCAACCAAGAGTCACGTGATACAAAAAAGTCGTATACAGTTAGATAACTTTTCATTCGTATAAAGGTACTGAACTCGCGACTCTTCCCCCCGGACTCATGGCCAAAAAAAGCAGGATTCACAGGAATCGTAAACAGTGCTGATATCGATTTTAAATTTTTTTTTTTTTTTAACTCATATCATTCTCTACGCGATCTGAATTAATCTGATCTGGCCTAGCCAGATCAGGTCACCTACACAGTATGCTATGTGCTGTTACACACAGGTACCCACTCATTAAATTCTTGTCTTGTAAGCGCTGGAGTTCGTATTCGTATGTTTCATTCTTGTCAAAGGAGGCGTTAAAATGCTCTTGAACTGAGATTTAGAAGAGTAACGTAAATTGGCAAAGGACGGACCGTGCTGAGTTACGCAGAATGGTTGCTATGGTCGGAAATAGTGCGTAGTTGCACCGAAAGAGAGAGAGAGAGAGAGAGAGTGTGTGTGTGTGTGTGTATGCATCTTTGGCATACTTCTAGACCCTATCAGTCTGTTTTAGTGGAAGGCCATAAATCTCATTCAAGGGCTCTACAGGAATTGATACGAAAAGAATAGAATGTCAGCACAGGTTTAAGACCTTATGCTGCTATGGTCCGCTAAGGCTCTACTATACTATGCTATGCTCTGCTATGGCTCTGCACAGCTTTGTAATATTGCTAAGACCTATACTATAAAACACCCAAATCCCAAGCCACCTTAGTCACTTTTACCCACGTTATCGTCCATCTCCCTCTTATCTCCGTTCCGTGGATCGTCTCGCGCCGCCGCTTAAGTCCGTGCAAAACCGACAGAAACCACAGCAGAAGACCCAAGATTCGAAAATGCCCGAAACAGAAAAATTCAGCAACTACTCCGGCCTCTTCTGCGACGTCCTCTGCAAAAGCTGGGCCCGGAACTGGCGGAAACCGGGGTGGTAAGCACCCCTAGGTACTTACTGGTGGTTACTTTCCCACAGTAGTAGGAATATATATATATATATATATTGAAGACGGTAGAAGCATCGGCTAAGGATTAGAAAGCCGTAATAGTAAGGGATTCGATTACAAGACGGAAAGATCTCTCACGAGTGAGATTTGAGATTTGAAGAGTAGACCCCACTCAGCAAGACTCGGAGCTAGGCTACAACAAATAGTAACACTAGGGAAGGCAACGGGAACACGTGTTTCTTATTGGGATCGGAACGCACGGGATTACGGCTCACGACTACCACCACCATCGGCTATAATAAGGATTTCTCCGACAAATAACGCTTACATAAGCAGAATACCAAACACCCAGACACCCATAGAGAAAACTCACACCCACACCCACATACCACCCAGACACCCTCTCGGCGGCTATATTTCATTTCCTCAGAACAACAACAACAACAACAACAACAAAAACACATGACGTCCGTTGCGTCAATAACAAGCATGGCCATGACCGCGACCTCCGCGTCCATGGCCTCCTCGGCGTCCGCATCCGTGTCGCCCTCAGACGTGTCTTTATACGGGATGACGCCGAATCTAGCATTCAACACGGCCATGGCCGCGATCTTCGGCGTTTTGTTTCTCGCACAAGCCGCGCTCGGCGTTTGGACCCGCCAATGGTGGTTTCTAGTGTCGTTTCTCATCGCATGCGCTCTGGAAGTCATCGGGTATGTCGGCCGGGCCCTCAGTCACAACGACAACACCGACATGAACGACTATCTCCTGCAGTTTATCTGTCTCACAATCGCACCGGTCTTCACAATGGCCGGAATCTACTACCAGCTGGGAAAACTGGTCGAGATCTACGGCCATGCTTTCGCACTAATCAAAAACCCAATGCTGTACTCGTACATATTCATGGGAAGCGACCTGATCTCGTTGGTGGTCCAAGCAATCGGCGGTGGAATGGCGGGCTCGGCTGCAGCAGATTACAAAAACTCAGACACCGGTGACCACGTCTTCGTGGCCGGGCTGGCTTTCCAAGTGGCATCGATGTCAGTGTTCTTGCTACTATGGTTCCATTTGGCATACCAGATCTTCGTCAAAACCCGTATGGAACACGCAGGCCTCAGCAAACTGCAGTGGTCGCTCAAGTCCATCTCACAGCTAGAAGTGGACTACAAATACCGTCCAAAATTCGAATTCCTGCGTATTCACCCGCAACGGTGGGTTTTCACATATTTCCCCTGGGCTCTAACGTTTTCCGTGATCTTCGTTTACATCAGATGCATATACAGAGTCGTTGAGCTTGCAGAAGGATGGGGCGGAAACCTTATCACTCACGAGGTCTACTTCGTCATCCTGGACGCCCTTATGATGTCGCTAGCGACCACCATCTTGACAGTTTTCTATCCAGGGTTGGCATTTAAAGGTCGCAGCGTCAAAATCCCAATCAAATCGGCGTCTAACACCGAGGATATCAGTAACGGTGATTCAACGGGTTCCAATTACTCGTACGAGGGATACCAGGACAAGGAAGAAGAGCAACGAGTTCCATTGCCAAAGCCCAACTTTGATTCTGCTTCGGCAGGTCCCTCGTCACAGGAGTCGCACGGAGTTTACGTATGAGAGATCAAGTATCGCGGTGCTGCTCAACACAACACTGTCGAGGAGGAGATTCGGCTTAGCCCTTTCAGGCACGACAGTGAACAGAGTGACCACAGATGTATTTTTTTACATACACCTTTGATATAGAATGTAATGAGGCGGTTTTAACAATACCTGAAGGAGTTGCTGCGTGCCAAAGAGCGGCAAAACCATTAAATGCGAAGGCAACATGCTCATAAAGCGGAAACTGTCACGACTTTATTATTTCATAGGACCACCGTGCAGTCCCGGTAAACTTTAAATCAAAGTGTTTTAATATGGCAGTCTTTTTAAACCCCAAAGCGCTCTGATAATTTTGACTGTCTTTCTTTCCTAAAAGTCGAGGCGATCAGCTATAGAGAACATCGATATCCGCATTTTTCATCCAACGCGCTCTCAAAGCCAGATCCTTGTCGCCCAAGATTTGTTCGCTTTCCTCCAAGTCAAGCCAGTTCCCTGCAAAGTCAGCAAGTTCCTCAGATTGGCAGATTTTTGTCCCATCATAGACAGATGCATATATCTTGCGTACTTCAGAAAAATCTGAGACGAAAGATGTTGCCTCCTCGGACCTCAATGGATCCGAGGGACCGTTTGGCTCGAAAGCTTTAAAGCGTCTGGCACCTGAGCCAAACCAAGATTGGAAAATGCTCGACATTGACGATGGTTTTTGGCGCTGAGCGGCATCGATGGCTATGAGTTTATGTTCAGGCGCACATTTCTCGAGCAGAGTGAACAATTGTACAAGTCTTGTAGGGATATAAGTTTCAGACACCTTGCTAGCTTCCAATGCGGATGCCAAATTCTTTAATGTAACGTTGCACCAATAGTCGATTTCTCTACTGAATCTTTCACTGCGACTCCCATCGGGAAGAAAGTCGAAATAACGCTGTTCCCATTCAAGAGATGGTAATCTGCGAACATAGTCCTGGGAGAGATGTCGCAGGACGTCATTGGCCATCATAATGTACACCGGGTCTTCAATGCGGAAAGTAGGCGAGTAGGAGAACATGCCATCTTGCATGACTGTTATTTTAGGGTCTGGCACGTCCACTTTAACGCCATTCGTGCTGTGAAGCGGCAGCAAGAAAAAGTTGATGCGCTGGTACAGCTCTTGCGGTACCGTTTGCTCATAGTAGTTCAAGATCATCCGCGAGAACCGCAGCGATTGGGGCAGATCGGTGTATACTGTTAGGATGTTGAGATCGAAATAAGGATACGCATTGAGCTTGTAGTCGACCAGCAACCAACGTGCCATACAATGCGCCAGAACATTATCGAAAGGCGAGACAGATGGAAGAACATGACCTTGCATGCGTTTCCTGGGCGAAAAAAAATTGCGGCCTGTCTGCTGACGGACGGTGATGTACTCCATGTAGTCTCGACTCGGTATGGTACCTTCGAAGGGCATTCCCTTCAAAACGAGTTGGTTTGTGTCGAGCAATGGCAGCGTATGGTATCTATGGGCCATCACCCGCTTGGCGACCCAACGAAGACCCATTCCAGCAGTTTTGCAGAATAGAGCCTTGTAAATACGTAGAATTATATATGTTTAGACTAGCTAGCAAGAGCTGGCGACCCCAAATGGAGAATCTAGCGTATGCTTGTGTATGTCACAGTGACTTTCAATCGATGGCAGTTGAGCTCTGCCTTATATCGGTAATTTATATGAGTTTGTCGTCGAATGAGATGACATAGAAGCTTCTGACGATAACCCAACGAGGAGAGAGCATTTCTTCAGGTATTTAGACGAAAGCAGAGTCACATTCGCTCACAGTCGTCGATTTTAGTGAAACTGGTGGAAAACTGCTGGGTTATGAGCTGAGGGTTTTTAGGAGTAAAAAACTCCATGTTTTTCTGTGAAATTATTTACACTCCACACTAGAGAGCGATCGCCGCATCATTGATAGTTGAGAAACGCACTCTGGGGTGCTTAAACATCAACAACTAAACTCCAGGATCTCTTGGTTCTTTTATCCAATCCGCTTCTTCTAATTGTTTCTACAAAAGTGGTGTCAGTGAATAATGTTTATTAACTAAATGTCATTATTCGGTATAGCTGCCAAACGGCCTACCCGTAATGTTCATCAATGAACCCGATGAGCAGGAATAAAAGCCAAAAATCGCGATACAATCTAACCAAAGATTATCTAGAGATATTCAAGAACAAAGAGCCCCGAGTCAGCAGAAAAACAATTAAGTACTCCTTGAAGTAATGGCATTAGATCCGTATTTAGTTTACATTAAAAGTTAAACAAGTTTAGTGAAGTTGGAGAAAGAGATGAAATAGATGAAGAGCATACCTGAATCATAGGTGATTCTGCCATCATCTGGAAGATTATCAAGACGGTTACACAGATAATTTTCAGTGCACGTGACCTGCTAAAATTCTACACATTAAAATAATAATCTCAACTCATCAACACTGTTTTAGCGCTATTCACACTTCTCTAAACAAGTCGCTATTGTACACCTTTTGAAGCTTCAAGAACATAATGGGTGTTCCTTCATTCTTTAGGTGGCTTTCACGTAAGTACCCCAAGATTATATCGCCCGTTTTAGAGGACGCGCCGCAGATTGTTGATGGAGTTGCACTACCGATTGACTATGCCGCCACAAATCCCAACGGCGAGTTGGAAAACCTGTATTTAGACATGAACGGTATTGTACATCCATGTTCTCATCCCGAAAATAGGCCACCACCAGAGACGGAAGATGAAATGCTTCTGGCCGTTTTTGAATACACCAATCGAGTCCTGAACATGGCCCGGCCTCGAAAGGTTTTGATGATCGCCGTGGATGGAGTGGCTCCAAGAGCCAAAATGAACCAGCAGCGAGCCCGTCGTTTCAGAAGTGCCCGGGACGCTCAAATCCAAAATGAAGAGCGTGAAAGACTCATGCTGGAACGTGAAGATCTCGGAGAGGTCATCGACGAGAGCATTAGAAATAAAAAAACATGGGATACCAACGCTATTACGCCCGGGACACCCTTCATGGACAAACTGGCCGCCGCATTGCGTTACTGGACTAGTTTCAAACTCGCAACAGACCCCGGTTGGAAAAACTTACAAGTCATAATTAGCGACGCGACGGTCCCGGGAGAGGGGGAGCATAAAATCATGAACTTCATCAGATCCCAGCGTTCTGATCCTCAGTATAACCCAAACACATCTCATTGTATCTACGGGCTAGACGCAGACTTAATTTTTTTGGGTCTTGCAACTCATGAGCCCCATTTCAAAATTCTAAGAGAAGACGTGTTCGCTCAAGATAATCGTCGCAGACAGCGAGTTCAAGACACAATGAATATGTCTGAAGAGGACAAAGAAAGTCTTGCACGCCAAGATTCCGAGAAGCCTTTTCTGTGGCTTCACATCAGCGTCCTTAGAGAATACCTTTCTGTCGAGCTATTCGTGCCTCGTTTGTCATTTGAGTTTGATTTGGAAAGAGCGATTGACGACTGGGTGTTTATGTGTTTCTTTTGCGGAAACGATTTTCTGCCCCACCTGCCGTCATTGGACGTGAGAGAAAACAGTATCGATATCTTGGTGGAGATATGGAAGATCCTGCTACCTCGGCTAAAGACGTACATGACTTGCGATGGAACGCTGAAGCTGGAATCTGTCGAGCAACTTTTGGAGCAACTGGGAAATCGTGAACCAGAAATGTTCAAAGGAAGATACCTTCAGGAAATACGGAAGCAGGAGGCCGTCAAAAGACGCAAACTTCTAAAGAGCAATAACAATGTCACACAGGGAAAGACAGACAGAAATTTTACCATACCACTAGAAAACATGCCTGTTTATGACGTTTCAGGCAAAGCGGCCGATGGATCGCTGAACTTATCCAACAGAGATTTTGTCAATCATAGGAAGGAGATGAATCTAGCGAATGAAGGTGATAAAAAATCTTCAGCGGCACTTAAAGCCATAAGTGAACAGAATAGCGGATCGGGAAAGCAGCACACGAAGGAAGAGATCACGGCAGCTGTTGAGGTTGCGAATGACGCCAATATATCCGCTGCTGCTGCAATGAGGTTGAAATTGCAGGCGCGGAAGGAAACTAATGAATCTCAAAGCTTGGGTTTGAAAAGCGAAGGCGCAGAAAATAAAGTTTCTCTTGAGAGCGGCGAGGGTTCCGTCAAGAGGGGCATTGAAGACGTGGAAAGAGATGCCTCAGAAACGCCCAGTGTTGCTGAAGAGGACTCACAGACGCCTTCAAATATTCAAGTAATTCACACGGGACTCGTGAAAAGTGGTGTGATTGACACGGAAGAAGAAGTTAGACTCTTCGAACCCGGATACCAGGACAGATACTACACAGCGAAGTTCCATGTTGAAGAAAAAGATATCGACGCTCTACGGAAGGAAGTGGTAAGAAGTTACGTGGAAGGTGTTTCTTGGGTACTTCTCTACTACTATCAGGGGTGTGCGTCATGGAACTGGTATTATCCTTACCACTATGCTCCATTTGCATCCGACTTTAAAAATATTGGTGAGTTGAATATCGAATTTGAGAAGGGAGAGCCCTTTTTACCATTTGAGCAATTGATGAGTGTGTTGCCAGCTGCATCTGGTCACAACCTTCCACCAGTCTTCCGCACTCTCATGAGCGATCCAGAATCAGAGATCATTGACTTTTATCCAGTCGACTTTCCCGTAGACATGAACGGGAAGAAAATGTCCTGGCAGGGTATCGCACTTTTGCCATTTATTGATGAGAAGAGACTGTTGAAATGCGTTCGCGAGCAATATAGTAGCTTGAGTGACCATGAGAAGGTACGCAATGTTCGGAAGCAAGAGGTGTTACTGATCAGCAACAAGAACGTAAATTACGAAAAGTTCAGTAAAAAGCTATACGGCGCGACCCCAGTAGAGGTGGTCAACTTCCAGCATTTCAAAAGTGGATTATCGGGACAAGCATTTGCAGATGTAGAAGGATATGCGAAGAACAGCAAACTGATAAGCCCAGTGATGGGCGGTGGACTTCCTGATTTGAGCACCAATTTGTTCATGAAAGTAGGCTACAAGATGCCCGAGCTGCCCAGTCCCAGTAAATCGCTTCTTTTGAATGGGTTCATTCCACCGCAGGCTATGTTGACGCCTCAGGACCGGGATGCCATCACGTACCGGTACAACCACAGATGGAACGCGATGGACATGAAGCACAACATTGTGCCTGTGGGTCCCTGCACCTCTACGCAATATCAACCGCGCATGGGTGGCTACAAGTCGTTCTTGTTTTTCCAAGAGACGAATGCTAACATGCGCGGAGCGTTGCACCACGACCATCGTCCCCAGCAGTCGAGATACGGCGGTGCAAACGGCGGCGGACCACGTGCATATTCCAATGGTCCTTCACACCAGAACATGAACCGCAATGCGCCTCCCGTCAATCAGTCCCGCTTTTCGCGCTACTCTGGCTCCACCCAGCCTGATCGGTACGGTGCTCGCAAAGAATGGCGGAGATGAGTGCTACTGCATTAAGAGAGGATAGTTTACGGATTATATAATAGGCACGGAATAGATCTACTAAATAGTCAAGGACTTTCGAATAAAGTCAAGGGCCCTAACACTTCGTGAGTTGTTGTTAATTTGTAAATAGTTACAGACACTTATGGGAGCTGCTTGTCATTTTGAAAATAGCACTTGGGATTTTTGTATCAGCTGATAGTTTAATGGGGTGAGTAGTTTATTATATGTCTTTCCTTCAACAAGATCCGATGTAGTGTAATGGCTATCACATCACGCTCTCACCGTGGAGATCGGGGTTCGATTCCCCGCTTCGGAGGATTTATATTTTTTTGCTTTTTGGGAAGATTTCGAACGAGATAGAAACAGGAACGTCATTACGTTCATAGTGATCGTAGCACACTTTTTTAATGCTCAGCTCAGAAACTAGTAGCCATTATAGAACGCGTTTACAACTACTTGTACCACCGGTGGTGATGAGAACTTATCCATTCAAGGTATGTATATACATCAACATCCAATTGTCATAGTACATCACCGATATCGTACAGAATGATGAGATCTTAAAATGAAGGGAAAATGTATAAGTTTTGAAGAGTGTCGAGGTTGATAGTTAGTCAGGCGTCCCCTCCCCCCGTCTCTTGAATGTTTCCCATTCTTCAAGAATACAAAATGAGTCCTCATTGACGAATCCCAACATGCATTCTATTACAAGTAACACCATACGAAAGACGACAAAGAAGAGAGAAGTCCATGATATTTGATGCACTACCATACCATACCATACCATACCATACCATACCTTGACTGCCTGACACCAGTAGACTAAAAACACTATCGTATTGAGTGATCTACAAGAGAAACTTTTTCAAGCTGAAACGTGAGTAGCACTATAAAGGGAGGGAGACGAGACCCTAGCGTACAACACGACGTCCTTCTTCCCCGTTTCAACAATCCAGAGCCGCATCTTTCTCTTTATCTCTTTTCCATCGTCATTTTACCATACATAGATCTATTTCAACACGTCTATCGAACACCATCTTTCCTGTTCGTTTCCTGCTTTCTTTCTTTCTTTCTTTCTATCCTTCTCTCTCTTTTCTCCGCATTTCACGGACCCTACTCAAAAGGCCCCGGGAACCCTGCCGTGATTCTAAGAGTTGCAGTCCCGGTGCTCCGCTCGTCGTTCTAAGCAGTACGGGATGGTATCCCCAGTGCCTCACCTGCGTTTTTCCGGTTCGGCTCCTTTTTCTTCGCTGTCCTGGTCCCACTCCCTTGCTTCGCAAGTGCGTGTACGGGTGTTTGTGTGTGTGGTTCGGGCCCCCGGAAAAACTTTTGTTTGTCTTGGCCGGAACAATTTTTTTTTCCCGGATAAAATAAGAAATTCCCAAATTTTTGCGGGGTTTCGCCGGACGAGATGCCCTTCGTAGAAAACATACATACAGATTATATATTATATATATATATATATATATATGCGTTAGAGTTGGAAAACCACCTCATTTTAATAACCTCTACGAACAAAGAAAAAGCTCGAATCTTGATACAACCCAAAATACTCAAAACCTGTACCAATCTTCAAGCCATTTTGTGACTGTTCAGATACTTCAAGTAACACGGCTCTCGTGGCAAGCAATTATTGCAGTCTCATCTTCCGAAAACTGAAAGCCACCCCCCCGGAACTGAACTGGAGAAACTCCTGATTTAAAAAAGCCTTATCACTTTCAACGGGACCGGAACAATTACATCCACACCTATTGTATAAAGACGAACACAAGAGATAAAAAGGTATCCAAGGGCTAGTCCAAAGGAAGAAAGAAAGCCAGAAAGAAAGTTTCTGATATCATTTTACAAGGCCAAGAGTACGTCGGAAACAATTAGGAATCTTGAAAATAGTGGGTTCTCTTTTCTTTACAAGAGCGTTGTAACGAGGTGTAATATAAGGAAAAAGCGTCTCGAAGAAAACTAATTTAAGAAATTTGTGAGGATTAAGGTCTCAGCGGAATTCCTAGCTAACTCTGATCCAATGTTTGTGCTACCACCACCGCCAACTTCAACCAAAAATGCCCTGCCGGGCCTGTTGCCCAAACGCAAGGGACACGACAATCTGGCACCCGTGCCAGAAGACCAGGAATTCGTAAATGCACCTCCGGAATTCGCAGACCGTGCCAGAGACGAGATTCACAAAAGACTTCTCGGAACCAGAATAAGGAAAAACAGCACAACAGAGTCTCACAGCTCCCGCTTGTCGCAAAATCGAGACCGTCAATCGCGTCCCGATTCAGACACGTTGTCGCTTGCGACGACGTCTACAAACGGGTCCAGCGTTTTTTCCACTAGCGGCCACACTACTGCCACAGGGTCCACGGGCTCTACAGGCTTCTCAGGGCTCACGTCAACTAGTTCGGCGGCGTCGTTCATCGGCTACATTGACAAACCGCGTTCCGTCTCGCTGCAGGACGCTTTGCCCAAAACGTTTTATGACATGTACGCTTCCGATCTGCTACTGGATCCGCATAATCTGCTTTGCAACGGTCGTCCCAAATTCACCAAACGCGAGCTACTCGATTGGGATCTCAACGACATCCGATCGCTTTTGATAGTGGAGCGGTTACGTCCGGAATGGGGGTATCAGTTCCCTGTCATCGAATTCGACACCACGTCGATCACCACGTCATCCTCATCGGCCAAGACTCCTGTGCCACAATTCCGGTTCCAGCTGCTGCCGCTCGACTCTCCTGACGACATGATTATCCGGTGTTTGGTCGAATCAGATTTGTATTTAGAGGCCAACCTGGACTACGAGTTCAAGCTCACTAGTGCCAGATACACTGTCAGTGCAGCCCGCAAGCGTCACGAACAGCTTGTAGGCCGTCATGAGCCTGTCATGAGACTTTCAAAACCCGAGTGGAGAAACATCATCGAGAATTATTTGCTGAATATCGCAGTTGAGGCCCAGTGCCGTTTCGACTTCAAGCGTCACTGCGCAGAATATAAGAAATGGAAGCAACAACAAGCTCTGGTAAAAAAACCAGACATGCCTCCTCCTTCCACTATTCCACAGCGCAAACGCGAGCCCTCTCTACTGAGGAAAACGCTGTTGAAGAACACCGCAATCAAATCGACGTCTTCGACCCCCGAAGAGACCTTGCCCACCGCCGCGAACACTGCATTCAAAAATCCCAATTTCAAAGTGTCTTTGACGAAGGACGAGAAATCCATGCTATGGTCACAATGCCAGTCCCAGGTCTACTTGAGATTGGGCTTGGATTGGACTCCCGATCGCGTCTGATCCACCTAAATTATATTTTCCATCCTTAATTGAGCAGGTCTCATATATTCTGCATAGGTAACAACACAGGATGTTGTCCCACCCACAAAACAAACTAGCCGATACACTTTACCAAGTAAATATCCAAAATAGAGCATTTTTTCAATCGGTATCATCAAATTTGTTAAAAGTCATAGTTCACTGTCTTCACCCATTGAAGTGTCAAAGTTCCAGATCCTACTATTTCGCAGATCTGGTAAAACTTCACCAGTCGCGTGACACATTGAAGTTGTATAAACTAAACAAAATTTTAAGTCAATTGAGAAAGACAAACAACTCAGCTCATCACAAGTGTTTTCTCGATAAAGATTCGTTTCCAACAACGCAATGACCGGTATGCTTTGACTTTTCGAACAAGTTCTAAAATTTTCTGCACTTTGCAATATCTCCAAACGCAAACTCTACTAACTTAACGTGCTTCTTGCCCTTGTACATAGATACATCCAAGAAACAAGATGCTGCTGATTTGCTGGCTTCTCTGAACATTGAAGGCCAAAAAGAAGCGGTAGAATCCAAAAAACAAACCGCACAAGAAAAGGGCCCGGAACAAGCGTCACAAGACAAAAGCGCTGCGGAAACCTCGAAACCGGCAGAAAGCAGCAAGGAGAAGAAGCCAGAATCACAAGAGAAGGACTCAAACCTGGTGAAATCCGAATATGAGGTCAAAGTGAACTTGGCGGACCTACAAGGTGACCCCAACTCTCCTCTATACAGTATCAAGTCTTTTGAGGAGCTAGGGCTGGCACCAGAGCTTTTGAAAGGACTTTACGCCATGAAATTCCAAAAACCCTCCAAAATCCAGGAAAGAGCACTGCCTTTACTTCTCAACAACCCTCCAAGAAACATGATTGCACAGTCACAGTCAGGTACAGGTAAAACGGCTGCGTTTTCGCTGACCATGCTGTCCCGCGTCGATATCTCCCAGCCTGCTACGCAAGCCATTTGTCTGGCACCATCAAGAGAGCTCGCCAGACAGACTTTGGAGGTCGTTCAGGAAATGGGTAAATTCACAAAGGTCACCACACAGCTGATTGTACCCGACTCTTTCGAAAAAAACAAGCCCATCAATGCACAGATTATCGTCGGTACTCCAGGTACCGTGCTGGATTTGATGCGCAGAAAAGCAGTTCAATTGGGGCAAGTAAAAGTTTTCGTCTTGGACGAGGCCGACAACATGCTTGACAAGCAGGGTCTAGGTGACCAGTGTCTGCGTGTGAAGAAGTTCTTGCCCAAGGCCGCTCAACTGGTGCTATTTTCTGCCACTTTCGACGACAGCGTGAGGAATTACGCTCGCAGAGTCGTGCCCGATGCGAATTCGTTGGAACTACAGAGAAACGAAGTTAACGTGAGTGCTATCAAGCAGCTTTTCATGGATTGCACGGACGAAAACAATAAGTACGAAGTACTGACAGAGCTATACGGGCTGTTGACGATTGGGTCTTCAATTATCTTCGTGCAAACGAAGCAAACGGCCAATGTGCTGTACGCTAAGCTCAAACAAGAGGGTCACCAAGTCTCAATTTTGCACGGTGACTTGCAAAGCGCAGAGAGAGACAGACTGATCGACGATTTCCGTGAGGGTCGCTCCAAGGTTTTGATCACAACCAATGTTTTGGCGCGTGGTATTGACATTCCATCTGTGTCCATGGTGGTGAACTACGACCTCCCCACAACTGTACAGGGCAAAGCCGACCCTGCCACCTACATTCACAGAATCGGGAGAACGGGTAGATTTGGCCGTACCGGAGTGGCCATTTCGTTTGTCCACGACCGAAAATCTTTTGAGACTCTAACTGCAATTCAGAAGTATTTCGGTGATATTGAGATGACGCGAGTGCCAACCGATGACTGGGACGAGGTCGAGAAAATTGTTAAAAAAGTATTGAAGGAATAAGTTTTCTAGGGAGAGCACTTTGCAGGTATTAGAGAGAGAGAGAGAGAGAGAGAGAGAGAGAGAGAGTTAACAGAAGATAAATTGGAGGCAGGTCACCACGCGAGCTAGGCGATTTACCTTGTAGATTGTCACGTACGTGTCAACGAAAAACTTCCCACCTCTGAGGTCAATCTCCTCTACCCATACATACACCTATTTGAACCTAGCACTCACTCATCTTTTAAAAAGACCAGTTTTTGATACAATGCCTAGTTCCACTTGGTATAACGACATCTCCTCTCTGATCGAGTCTTTAACTTGTTAAGCATACATAACAATGGCTTCCCGTTCAAAGCGACGCATGTCTAGATATTAGGTTAATTATTTAATCAACGGGGCTCGAACAGTATATCTCTTTATGTACACATTTATGCCTCAAAAGGACACCATTTCATCAATCTTTCAAATCTTTCACGATGGATAGTGCTAAGATTGTTAACTTTATCATTGGTATGAACTGTGCGAACCAATAGGGCGACAAAAGAGCTCTTTTTTGCGACTCTGAACCGCGGTTTTACCGGGTTCAAGGGATGGGCTTATCGGTATTGTATACTAACGTAACTTTCCAATTTTTCAACAGCTTTGTTTCTACCTCCTCTAGCCGTTTTTTTGGCCCGCGGCTGGGGTAAAGACTGTATTTTGGACTTAATTCTGACCATCCTGTTCTTTTTCCCGGGAATGCTGTACGCATTGTACGTCGTGTTGACTGACTAAAGGGTAAGCGTTGCAATACAATGCGAAGCCGTTAGCAGCAAGAAAGAGACGAGCAGAAAAATAGAGAGAGAGAGAGAAACGCGTACAAGTCCCGAAAGAGCCTACTCCGGTCGTAATTGTGTGCTGATTATTTTATTCTGACATTTTCTGATCTTCTATATATGTACTATCAATCTTCTTAATCCTTTACTTATAATGAAGAAAGACCTTGCGTACAGTCGTGCTGCACTGTATGAGTGTCGTGAAGCGCAATTCGTAAGTTTTAAAGCTGAGCTAAAATAGTGTCTTATATACATAGACTGCAAACTCGATGTGGTTCGTGCCGGGTTGTCACAAAATTTCCTTTTATATACAAGTCTCCCAGGGCCCGCAGATCATAGTTGAGGAGCCATCATGTCCATCAAGGGCGATTGGATGAACGCAACGCCTGCCACAAACAGACTGAGGTTGACCAAAACAGGGTATGCTGGTGTTTGTCTGAACTGCTCGAATCTGGACGCTTTCTTGGCTGGGGAGCCAGCTCCTGGGGCGTTGAATCTACCGGACATAGTTGGGGTTATTAAATAGATAGAAGATCGTTCAGTAAAACAGAGGAAGATACCTAGACTGAGTTCACTGGTGTGTGTATGAGAGCGTATATTCACTCGAAGTTACTGCACTTGGGATTACCAAAAATTTTGAAAACTTGACTTTAAAATTGCAATCATTATATACGGGAATCCAACTATGATCATCTCGAATTGACGACACTACTTAGAGCCAGCAAGTACACAACGGTTCAAGCTTTGGCTTCAGGGCGATACGTTAGTGAACCTTAGCTTTCTTTGTTAGAATGCCTTAGACAAGTTGTACATAAAACGTTTAAAAAATCCAAATAATAGTAGTAATGCGGCCACGTTTGGGTAGGCCGTTAGAGCAAATAGAAGCTGTGGACGGAGAGGGGGTTTTTAGGCATCTTGAAGCTTGTTAGCTGTCCTCTCCGTCAGAAATAGAAGCGATGTTTATAATATATGACCAGCATAGAAAAAAGTGTTTTGTCCTTGGACGATCCGAATGTTATCAAAAGAGAAGCGTTGTGTGGTGTGTGAGCTAGCGAAAAAGGCAGACGAGGGTGAATGTGTGTGTGTGTGTATATGTCGGTTTGCTTTTCTGCTTCAGGACCGGCCTGACACGAGTTTGGCCTCACGTTTTTCGCAGGTTTGTATTGTGGCAGCGGAGTCGCCTGCGCCCGCTGAAATGGTGACGGTGATGAGGTCTGAAAACCTGGTGAAGGAGCCGTGGATCCCACTGATACGCGGGATGGTGTCTGCAGAGCCTGATGGCATGCTTGACGGCATGCTGGGATGTGAATTTTCTTCGTCCGCAGGTGAGGTGGCTGTGATGGAGTCCCAATCGGTGTCGCTGCTGTAGGGCGAGCTGTCCAGCTCGCCCGTGCTGCGGGACGGAAGTGTAGGCTTTGTAGAGGCTTCTGCGGTTTTTATGGCGGTTTCCTCTGTTTCCAGGGCCCGTTGGTCGGGCCCGAAAACGGGGGGTGACCGTTTTCCGCGATTCAGAACCACTCTCCAGGTGTAAAGAGCCACGTCGTACACGTACAGCACTGCCAGCGGTCCCAACAACACCGCTACCATCGAGTACAGTCCCAGTCTCAAAATCTGGGCCAAAGTAGCGACCACGAGCCATCCGTAGTTTAAACTTTGCCAGAAAACTTCCATGATATGGGAAATTAGAAGTGAGATATGGGAAATAAGAAGCGAGATAATGTGATAAAACCTTTAAAATGCAGCTTTGCGATGCTAAGCACTTTTTCAGTTTTTCAGTTTTTTGTCTTTTGTCTTTTGTTTTCGTCTTTTGTTTTTGTCTTTTGTTTTTGACTTTTGTCTTCTATCTTTTGATATTCTCAAACAATCAATCAATAACCAAGACCTTTCTTTCTTTCTTTCTTTCTTTCTCTCTCTCAGTCTTTCTCTCTCTCTGTCTAGTGTCTCTACCTCATCTCGAAATTTCGATGTGAAAAACGTCTATCTGCCATGCTACAACTATATCACCTCTATATATATACGGGTATGTATATCTATCAATATATCCAGTTTACATCAATCAAATTAACAAATCACTCTTTCTTCTGTGAATAAATCACTCTTTCTCACGCAACGCTCAATTTCACTACCTACGACCCTCGCTATCTATGTGTATCATGTCTTTACCTATGTCTACGCCCATGCCCATGTCCATGTATGTACCTCTTGCTTCCTTTAGCTTTGTTACTACCATACACTCATACACCACGCATCAAACGCCAACCGCATCGTGGTGTGTTTAACAACGCTCTAGGTGATCCAGTGTAGAAAAGCTCGAAAACCTCATTATTGTCGTGGTTGTTGCCTTGGTTTTGTTTGCGCAAGCACGCATGTGAAGACCGGACTTGGTAATAAGGTCTAGACTCTTTTTAGGCTTGTACGATGTCGAAGTCAGGCGTGGCGTGTTGTATATGGACTCATCGCAAAGAAAAGAGAAAGAGAGGATAGGATCTAAGAGTGGGTTCAAGAGTGGGTAGCGAGACAGGCACTCAAGGACGAAACACAAGAGGGGATCAAGAAAAGGTTTAGGTATTACACATGGGTTGTGGCCAAGAGAAGAATGTGTCTTGATGGTGGTGGTGGTGGTGGTGGTGGACTGTGAATGCAACTGTAAATGCAATTGCGTGTGTGTAAAAATTTGAATTGCAGCTTGAACAGATATTTGTGCTGTATACGAGATATGTAGATCATCTTCACATCATGGCTGTATGACAAACAGAACGTGGAAAAAGGGAAAAAGGATTGCATTGACAGGTTCTCGTGTTGTACGGGAAATGAGATTGTCCGTACAAAGGGATCTAGGGGTTTTTGTGTCAAGATAACACAAAAAAACCTTGGGCGCCAAATTGACATATAAAAGCGGGCTCATTTAAGGAAACTACAACAAAGATACAAAACAAACATGGCCAAACATGTTATATAGTGCAATGACCATACGGTTTATAGATTCAGGTAGCTAGTGATGTATACTCGTGTTATACGTAGATGGCGTTGTATCCGCAAAAGACATTTGGGGATCAATAGCGTGTAGATGTATATCTACGCGGCTACCGGGAGCTCTCACCAGTGTATACACATTCATGGCTACGCGGACACTTACAGAGCGTCTTGGATGAATATCCGGAATTCTCGCAATTAGCTCCTCCGGTTCCGCGGCTCACCCAGAACCAGTCCGATACAGAAAGGTGTTTTGCCAACGCTATGGAAAACGCAACTACAATAGGGGAGCGCCAAAAAGACCTCATCAAATGACACTCAAAAGTTCGAGTGCCAGCGCACAAATCGTGCTGAGATCCCCGTTTTTGGCCGCTAGCGCTCTCAATTGCTTGGGTCCCTGCAATCGGGATACAATACCGCATTTCTGGCGCCAACAGATGGGCATGTCTCTAGTACCTTTTGCGAGGCATAATGTCAGAGCTGTTCAGAAAGATCCGTTTCGTTTGCATTTGTTTTGATACATTTTGACACCAAACGGGGTAGCACTGGAGACCTTTCGAAAAATTTTTGGACAGAACGAAATACTAATAGCCAAGTTCCATTCCCCGATAAAATCATCACACCTATCGCAAATGTCATCAACACTGAATTTCCCATGCCCTCTGTTTTTCATGATAGATTCGTCCCGCGGTGCTACTCGGTATCCACAAGTTATTTTGTAAAAGCTGGGAACCATTGGAGCCCTGAGGCGTCTCAAGTGCCTCCTGCGCTTCTATTGCGAAGTCAAAGAAGATGAACTGGGCATCAGCTTTTTTAAATTTTCCGAATCTTCCAAAGCTTCACAGATTCTCTTAGCTGATCGCCCGTGACGCACGTGTGGTGTTGGGGGCCTATTTTATGCACTTGGCCTTCGCTCATCTACGTACAAACTCTTTGCGCAGAAGAAGAGAAAATGTTCTAGGTTTGCACTGCTGCTTGAGGTAACGCAGAACATACAAAATTCTCTTCCTAGTGGTGGAAGGATCTCAATTGCACAAGGTATTTCCCCGGTTTCGCCCCTGCCGCCCAAAGTTTTAAGCGTTGTATCAAGCTAAATGACGCGCTCAGTTCCCTTCCCGAGCTGCAAAACAAATCCCAGACTGAAAAAATCAGATACTAACTCGAGATCTTCAGATTTACTCAAAACGATTACCAACAAAAAGAGAAGCCGCCCTGCCGGATTCTTCTTATACGACTGAATTTAATCAAAGGTTGCCTAAACTGCCCCAGCATCAATTCTTACAAACGTGGAATTTATGTCGATTAGTGTGAAATTCATTCATAACCCCAAGCTAGAAGAATATCCAACAGCCCTACCAGACTTCGTGCTTCTCCGGGGCCACCAGTGCCCATATTATTAGGAAGAAACACAAATCACAACCCACGGCAGTCGGCCACGTCAGTCGTTCCTCTCTTGGCAGGCTCTACCTCCACTTTGTCTATAAATGGACCAATTTCTGGCTTTTTTTACTTATTCCACACCCACAACGCTCAGCTCCAGCGTCCAAACTCTTCTTATGTGCAACTTTACAGGAACCTCAATATCAACAATAGGTCCCTCGGGCAACAACAACAACACACCAGTAGCTTTGTCGTACTTGCCGTAAAGTTTCAAATCCAGTCGCACTTCCTCCTCACCCCACCAGCACTTCCGCGCAGGCTTTTTCCAAAACAACAAAAGCTTCGAATTGATATCGGGCTTGGGAACAAGTTCGTACAACGTTGGAGCCGCGTCTTGGTGACGATGTCTAGAGCTCGAACGTTGTCTTGAAGTAGAACGAGAACGGACGTTATCCGCTAGTGACGAAAGTCTAGACTTTCGCTTGTAGTCGGCAGTTTGAGACGTTTGAGACACCAGTGGGGTCAATGATGGAGATTCCGATTGAGCACGAGACGCGTCAACTTTGTCGTCATGCTTGCGCTTAGCCTCTTCATACTTGTCACGAAATTCTTGCGTGGTTTCGTTCATCAAACGGCATAAAGATAATGAGCTTATAACCGTTTTGCCCGGCTCCTGTGCCCTGTTCCCCCATTTGGAAGAATCCTGAAACCCGGAAGAACACAGCATGTCCATCAAATGCTGTTCAGCCGGACCCAGCTTACCAGGAACGCCGTTAGATGCACCTTTTGTAGACTTCTGCAGTCTATTAGAGCTACGAAGCCCCTGGAAAACACTGGTTTGGGATGACAAGTAGCTGCCAGCAGCTATCTTGATCTGAGCAATGAAGTTTTCGCTCAATTCCATTTTCAAGTCTTCAGAAGCGTCCTCAGGGTACGCCAATGATTGCACTGGCACGCAATAGTAGTCCATGTCCTCTCGAAGCACTATAAGACTAGGTTTCTCGTGTAGAATGTCGGCTTCTGAGTCGGATGACGATGAGGGATTGCTTGAAGGCGATGTGAAGCCGAAAAACCTCGAAGGCTCATGAGAAGAGTGGCCGAGGTCAAATATCTCATCTACTGGGAAATTGATAAGATCCTCTTGTGCCCGCACGTAATTTTCCATAATGTATTCGAAACAATCTGGTGGGAAGTTTCCCACGTACACCTCGTCCTGTGATGTTAGGTTCGTGATAACCTGTCCTGTTCTGTCCATGAAGACTCCAGACGGGAAAAGGCACAGCAAAAGGGATTCCGGCAGCGACATTAACTGGTCCCGAGTAATATAGTAATGGTTTTCCTGGATGTTCAAATGAATCAAAGAGTCGTCATCCAAGAAATCTTGGCCTTGGTCTTGCATCAAAGGTGGTGGTCCCTGGTCTGCAGAGACCTGCGTTATCACACTCTGAGGTTCCGCCATTTCTCAAGACCTTTATCCTAAAACAACACTTAGTGGACGGTTTTTGAAGCGGGAAAAAACTGGTCAACAGTCCCGACACGCAGCAATGTTTTGAAATAGTGACTATGTGGCCTCTCTAGTTCACAATTCCTGAACGATTGGCTGGTTAAAGGTGTAGTTTCCGGACTGAGTGCTAGCTTACTTCTGTCAACGATGAGCAAACTAATTTTCAGACCAGATACCATGAGGCAGGGTAAGCAGATAATTTGCAAATTGGCTATAATGGATGTCAGAATGGTACAGAATGATAAGAGATTCGAGGCGGAGATATTGGCAATGTTAGTTTCTTTCCAGCTAAGTTAGAGGCGGGTCATAGGTGAACGAGCTGTTGGATACTGAGTTGAGGGTATCGTAGTGATTTTCGTGTTTCCCTTCGCTGTCTTTCTCAGTTTTTTTTTTCATTTTTTTCATTTTTTGTTTCACGAGCTTTTTAGATCGATCAGAGATTACTGGTGAGATAAGAAACGTGTCCAGTTGGATTTTGGGTGTCTTAATTCTGCTGCCATGGAAGGAAGATCGATGTAGAACTGTTTGGATGAAAACAGTGTGTTGTAAAGATATTCAAGCGACAATAGTCACGTGGACTTGAACTCGAAAGTATAAAGTGATAAAGAGGTTACGAACTAGAGCTCGGTAGTCAACGGTGCGAAAGGCTTGGGCCTGGTCGAGACAGAAACTCTCAGAACTCATGATAATTAACACTCTCTATTGAAGGAAAGATATCCCTGAAAAGAAACTCCCTTTTTGCTTAAAATTGGCCAGCGTCACATCCGTAGATAGTGACATCAAAACATTCGCATTGAAACTTCTCTACTTGGTGATTCGAGTTGGTACTTCACAAGTCAGCTCAGGTAGTTTAGTTAGTTCTGTACGCCTTCGAAAGATATGATCTAATTTCTATATTGACTCTTACCATTCCAAACCAAACTTGTCCGTTTTCCACCGTTTTTGAAAACACAAGATGCGGTGAGCAGTACCAATTTTGCACAAATATCTGCTTCATCAGCACGCAATAGCGCTTATTCACATAGATCACCTCAGCTACCTTTCTCTTCCACAAATCGTCCGTTTATCTAGCTCATTGTAGCCCGTATTATAAAAACACCACAAGTTACCCGAACATACGAAGAACACCGCCTATAAAATAAGAAATCTTCAACGTCCAACTCAAACTCTCAGTTCTTGAAGCTACTCAGTCAAGCACAAATCTAAAGCCAAACAGTAACTCTTGCCGACGTAAGGCTACGTCGATTTACATGATGTGATACATGTAAAAAGCTCCTTATGATGAACAATTTTCAAAATCTTATCTACATTATCTGAAAAATACATTGGAAGAGAATTCGAAATTCTGAAGGGAGTTCGTAGCATGGTCCAAGTGATTTTATAGCTCGTTATAGCTCGTCATCGCTGTTGATGAGAAACTCATTCTCTTCGTGCTTGTAAGTGCTGCCCCTCCTGCTTCTGCTGGAAGTAGTACTTCCCTTACTGGGTGTTAGTACGATAGGTTCCGGTGGAAGAGGCTGCCATTTCTTGCGAGTAGCTGTTTCTGGGGTATCAATGTAAGTGGTTTCAGGTTCCACGGTAGACTGTCTGCGTCTGGCGGGTAATTGAGGTGCGACGTCGTCATCGTCGTCGTCGACGCCGTTTCTCTTGTCGGAATCCAATTTGTTGTATATTGATATCCCATGACTGGCCAGCCTTTGTGAGGTATCTGCACTTTCATCGCCTTCTTTGGCCCCAAACGAGTTGAATCGTACATTTCTTTGTTCAGGCCTAGCGTACCTATCGGAGTCCGAGCCAGAAGACCTGATGGACGAATTTCTTCTGCGAGAGTGTCGAGCAGGATCGTTACGCTGCGAAAATTCAGGGTACTGTTCGTTCTGCGAATCACGAGGTTGTTGTTCCTGAGTCCAGGTTCTGCGAATACCTGTAAACCATTCGTTGACCTTCTTGCCAGTTTCTTGAACTTGACGACCCACCTTTTCGCGAATTTCAGGAAGATCTTTTTCCACAAATTGACTCAAAAAGTCGTCTTCATTCGCTTCGCGCCCCAATTCGTCATAATATCTTTGCTCTTCAGGATTCATAGGCCTCTGACCCTGAGTTGCACGCCTTTCATATTCTCTTTGACGACGACGAATCCGGCGTTCGCGTGCTGCCCTCTCGTCACCCTCTACCGGCTCATGGCGAGCAGCGCGACGAGACCGAGATTCGTTGAACTGAGCGTCCAATTGCCTTGCCAATAGCTCATCTTGTTCAAGCTGTGTTCTACCAGCTCTTGATGAGCAAACTGTGTCCTCTATCTCGGTTTGAGGCGGAGCAGTGGGAATGGCAGCTTCTGCTTCAAAGGTTGGGTCTGAAAGGTAGAGCAAAGCGCTAAAGGCTGGGTCCAGGACCCCACGAGAAGCTATGAGTACGGCTTTCACATACTTGGATTCAATATTGGGGAATGCGTCTGTAAGTTCTGCCAAGATAGGATTTTTCGGGCCCTGTGTTGTGGAGCTGTTACGTTTGGGTAAAGGCGGAAGCTCTTCGTCCGCTGGCGTGGCGTCTTCTTTGGGTGTTATCCCTTCCGAAGATTTTGACTGCTCTTTGGAATTGGCTGATTCAGTGGTGTCCAGGACTGGTTCCACTGGTTTTTCAACCGAATTCTCAGCTGAATTCTCAACGGGTTTCTCAACTGGTTTCTCAACTGGATTCTCAACTGGATTCTCAACTGGATTCTCAACTGAATCCCCAGCTGGATTCTCAACTGGTTTTTCACCAATTCCAGCCGCGTTTTCAGTAGCTTTTTCGCCTTCAACCGGCTTTTTCTCTTTCCCCGACTGTACTTCAGTACTCGAACTGTTTCTAACGTCCCCAGTCCCATCGAAAGAAGCCGTTTCTTCGACTAGTGGGACATCTTCCACTGTTTCCTTTATATCTCTTGATTCAGCCATTGGAGCACGAATTTGACAGAAAAAGAAGCCTTAAACTTCTCCAGATCTAGAACAAACTAGTGGAAACAAATAAGAGTTTTACAAACTTCCTTTTGGCCTCAGCTTTGTGTTCCAATGGTCTCACGAATCAGGGTTTTTAGGATACCCCTTTGACAATTACAATTGATATATTTAATATGTGTAAGGCTACACGTTGATGTCAGTATTGGCCAACATGACAATAGATCGACCTAGCGCATCAAGCGTTTTAAACACAGGCATATCAAGGATTTATGATAGAAAATGGGCCTGCTAGGATTAAATACCTGTTTCTACATTTTTCTTACATTTCTCTCATGTTTCCATTCACGAATAAACCGTATTCATGTCGTTTCCCAAATTACATTTTGTTTTTTAAAGCTCTCAAACGATCAGTGACCTGGGCTCTAGTGAGGGAGCCCTTGGAATCTCCCACCGCGTCTCTCACGGTTGGATCATCTAGACGCATAAAGGGATTAAACTCAAGCTCGTCTTGCAACGTGAAAACACCCGTGGTAACCTCATTTTCGTCGCAGTATTTTTCCAGCTTGTCAAGAGCTGCGTTCTCGCCCGTTCTCTTGTAAACCGCGTGACGCACGAATTTGACGTTGCTTTGAGTGTATTCGTGACCAGGGTATACGTTGGTACAACTCCAGTTGGACTCCCCAACACCGTCCAGAATTCTCCGGTTCAATGCAACGTCCATTTCTTCGCCTGAACCTTCGAAAAAGCGACCACAGCCTGCGGTAAATAGAGTGTCACCTGTGAAAATGGCCTTTTGACGAGAACTCGAATCACTCACATAATAGCACACCGAGTCTTGCGTGTGGCATGGCGTGCGGATACACCTTATTTTCAGGTCTCCCAATGTGTATTCCTGCAGATGCTTTGGAATCTGCGTAGTGCCAGGTGAGTTGTGGCTTCCACTGATAACCTGTACATCGGCGTTCTCCAATTCGGTCAGTCTGCTAACAACTGCTCCATTTCCCCCAGAATGGTCGTAATGGTGGTGCGTGTTAACCACAGCTTTCACGCTCATTAGCTCCTCTGTTTTCAATGCGGAGAACACCTCTGCTGGCTCCGCAGGATCAATGAGCCATGATTTAGTCCTGTCGTCAGTTGATAGCAAATAGCTGTAGTTCACACCTCCGGTCAACCATCTCATCTTAATCGGTTTGATATGCATTTTTCTGGTTTGTCGAGTAGTTGATAGTGCAGTTTTGAAATAGCTAAGCTGCCTTACGGTCTTATCCAGTCTTAACATATAAGAACACCGTGCAAACCTGCTCAGTCGTGTCTTCCCTTTAATAGTCGGTTGCCTCTGCATTAGATTTGACTTATGGGACACATTTTTGAATTCAAAATGAGTATCTTTGCTGGGCCGTCTAAAATGATCCAGTGTTAGGTTTGGGCATGTGATGAACGGTTCGGCATTGAGTTTTGGGCGACTAAGTTGGCATTGACGCACACACTCACACCTGTGCAATTACGTGGCATTATTTTGATCATCCTCCTGTTAATTTAATGAATTGGTGTGTTGTCTTGTGGGTAAACACATCTCTTTTCGGAATGTGAATTTTTCGCACTCTGTGCTGGTTGCAATCAAGCCATAAGTCCTGTTTGAAGCTCGAGGTCCTCAGTCAGAGGTTCATGCTTCCGCGTTTTGAACTTGTTAAGCAATGCAGAGAAGACATTTCTCTTCTTTCTTTTGCCTTCTGCTGCGTTCAGTGTGGGCGGCGTCCATCTATTCAACAAGAGTGAGCTTCCGACAACACTGACGGAGCTGGCAGCCATGCATGCAACAGCGACGATGGGGTCCAAAGTAATGCCCCAAGGAACTAAAACTCCCATCGCGATAGGCACCATGAAGATGTTGTAACAAATGGCCCAGAAAAAATTCATGCGAATGCGGTTCAAAGTAGCCTTGGCTATGTTTAAAGCATAGACAACTTCACACAGAGAGGCCCGGCTTGCCTCCGGACGACTCAAGATAACGACGTCTGCCGCTTCCATGGCAATATCTGTTCCTGTGGAAATGGATATTCCCAAATCACTGGTCACCAGCGCGGGAGAATCGTTTATCCCATCCCCGACAAATGCAACCCGGCTTCGACCGTTTTCCTTCAGCTCCTCGACCAAATCATTCTTCTGTGTTGGCGTAAGCTCGCTGTAAACATTATTCGCTTCAATTCCTAACTCCAAGGCTGCTTTCATGGCGGAATTGTGATTATCTCCGGTTACCATACAGATGCGATGGCCCTGAGCTGACAAGTACGCAATAACCTGTTTAGCGTCTCTTTTGATGGTGTCACTAACCTCGAATCTGCCTACCAACTGCTTATCAATTTCGACGTAAGAGACCGTCCGTTGAGGCTCCGGAAGATGTTCTGATGTATCCAAGATGGTTTTATTACCGATAACAACGTGGTACTTGGTGCCCAAAACCTCACATTCTCCTATTAGACCGCCTCCAATTACTGCTTCACTGCTGATGACGCTAACTGCAGTTTCTGATCCTGTCAGATACTGCGAGGTGAACTGGGTCAAAGATTTGGATACCGGGTGATCGCTGAGCGACGTTAGTGCATTAATGCAACCAGCTTGCTCCACCGTAAGAGCGGTGCAGTCCCCCATGGGAACATATTGGTCAACAAGCATGTTTCCAGTTGTCAAGGTACCGGTTTTATCAAAAAGAATGGTATCCAGAGAGATGCAGTTCTCCAAGATGTCACCACCCTTGATGAGAACACCATGACGTGCTCCCAGGCCGGTACCAACCATAATTGCAGTTGGAGCCGCTAGACCAAGCGCACAGGGGCACGCTACCACGATGACAGATATTGTCAATTGCAAGCAAATGAAGAATTTACCATTCTGGTCGTCGAAAATCGCCGGTGGGTTTTCGAGGTAGTGTGATAAGATCAGCCATGTAACAAACGTTATCAGGGCAAGTGTCAGGATGCAGGGTACAAACCTAGCCGCGAGATAATCCGCATATTGCTGAATAGGGGCCTTTGAAAATTGCGCTTGCTTCATTGTTCTGATGATATGAGCCAGTTTGGTGTCTTCTCCAACATTAGTGGCCCTGAAAAAAAAGAGTTTGGGACCATTTATAGAACCACCGACCACCGGCGCGCCCACAAATCGCGGCACCAGAAGCGACTCTCCAGTCATCAACGATTCATCTATCTCACTCTCACCCTCTATTATTACACCGTCTGTTGGGATTTTGGCGCCTGGCTTCACCTCTACGATGTCCCCAACCTGTAAAAACTCGACGGGGATAGTCATTGTGACGCCGTTTTCTATTATTGTGCACTTGGACGGAGCCAGGGATATTAGCTTCATTAAAGAGTCATTAGTCCTGGACTTTGCCTTGTTTTCCAGTAGTTTTCCCACGGAAATAAATCCTATTAGCATGGTCGCAGCGTCGAACACCACATTGGGCAAACGGTCTGTCTTTTTCCATATGTTGTTTAGCATCGAAAAAACCGAAAAAGTGTAGGCACACATGGTCGAGACTACCACAAAAGTATCCATGGACCCAGAGCCCTTGCGGAAAGACAACCATCCGGCTTTGTAAAAGTGACGGCCCACCCAAAATTGAATGTAGCTTGCCAAAATCAGTCCCACGATGTCCCTGTAAAAAAGACCCGGCAGCGGTGTCTGTTGGTACATTGCCGAATTTCGAAGTCCGGGAATCCACCTCGGTATTAGCTTGTAGAGCAGCAGCATGGTCACCATGCCGCAACACGCCTGGATGCACGAATTTTTCCAAAACCGGATTTCTCGTACTTTGGCCAAGGACTGGATCTGGGCCGTGTTGTCGAACCCATTGGCGGCCACAACCTGGTATCCTAGCGCTTCGATGCGTTGAGCAATTGCACGAACACCGATACTCGCCGGGTCGTATTGCACGGCGGCCTGCTGTCTTCCCAGGTCTATAGAGACGTTAACTATACCAGGAAGCTGATTCAGATCACTTTTCACGGCACTGACGCCTTGCTCATCGACAACTCCGTAAATTTTGAGTTGTGCGGTCTTGTGAGCAGGAGATCCTGCGATAGTAGCCCTTTCAATGCCCCCCAGCTCGCATTCGAAACCGCAGTCCTCGATAGCTTCTGCTACTGTCTTGATACTTGCTTCTAAGCCCGCGCTTCCGCTTGCATCGATTATCACACGACACTCCTCTGTGGCCAGTGATACGGCTACGTCACGAACGCCCGGCACTTCCTGCACGCTCTTCGTCACACTTATAACGCAGTTGGAACATGTCATTCCGTGCACTTGATATTTTATTATGTCCGATGTGATTTTTTTTTGTAACGCTTCCTGCACGTTCAACGTGCTTGCACCAAGCCCACAGTCCTCGATGGCTTCTTGCAACGCTGCAACTTCCACGTCCTGAGCCTTGAAAGTCACCTGGCACTCATTGGTTGCCAGTGAAACGGAAACTTCGCGAACACCGGTCACTTTTAGTAATTGTTCTTTCACAGCCGCTACGCAAGCGCCGCAGGTCATTCCTTCGACCCCCAGCGTGGCCACACTGTAACCATTCATTTCTGCCTTTAAGCGATGAAAACGTCGTGAGCCAAATACGCAGTGATGTTGCTAGCCGCCAAGGTCTCTGTAAGCACAGTTACACTTCGTTATGGTTGTGGAAAGAACCTTCAAACGTTGAGTGAATTCGTGATATGCCTTAGTTGCACTATATATATGTAATTAGAGGATTACCAAGAGAAATTATAGCGAAACCTGGGTGCTCTAACCGGCGAGTACTAATTTCCCGTGAGAAAAACACACACCGAGTACTCGCGCCTGCCAAAATACAACGAGTCACGCCTAAATCACGAGACAAACAGAGCACGTGAGTAACATGTGACGGTTGCGATGTTTTCCAATCAAAAAATACAGCAAGTCACGCCGAAGTCAAGGGACACATATAGCACGTGAAAGGCATGTGACGGTTGTGTATGTGTGTGAGTAATTGTTGTTGTTGTTGGTGTTTTGCTCGGTCACGTAAATCTATTTGTAGCCACCGTCCACTCCCTTAGTCTTAAGCCGCTTCTCAAGCTTCAGACGTTGCAACTCCTGCCATCTCGCTACCTGCGCCTGTTTGTGCAGGTCAAAACCAAAAATCTTAGGCACGTACCGTTGTACGGGGTGCTTGGGCACCATTTCAGGAAACGCCTGTAAAAACATGCCTGCGAAGCTTGTGCCGAAATACGCTCCGTCAATGGCACTGTGTCGTGTGGATTTCGGCACGTACAGGTCCTCGCAGCACGGACAGTACAGCTTCACGCAGTCGACGCCCGGAGCGTCGTGCAGCCCAACCGGCAGCAGCGGCTGGAAATTGCAGTAAACGCGAGGACACCGGCCAAAATCGGCCTCTTTGTATTTCTGCAGCATTTTCTGTAGACCCTTGATCGTGATCACGTACCGTGCGTGGATCAGCCCGTATAGCTTGCTAGCGTCGTGCTCCAGTTGCTGCATCCGTCCGTTTGACAACTGCTCCAGAAGCGTGTCGTCCAGTTCGTCCACAATGTACTGGATCACCTGCGTGAACTTGTTCACCGTCTTCTGCAAGTTTATCAGGTTGAATCGGTCCACTATGTAGTCCGTGTCTACATCGCAGAAGTATTCATGACCCTTGCGTCCCAGGAACAGATCAATCCAAAACTCCACATATTCTGAGGAATCGCTTCCGTCCGCCGTGTTTGATCGTGCTTCTACCATTTCGATATCTGCCATTCCTATGAAAAACGTCCTTGTACACTGATTCTAGCCCGCTTTTATACCTTTTTACCTGGGTTTTCGAACTGTTTTGTTGAATGGTGGGCATCTATTCAGAATTGAAGATTCTATAAATTAGGATATATAATTAAATATCAAAAGTTGGAAAGGCATCGATAACTAAAAAACAACATCGGAAGCGAGAACTTATGAAATTGCTCAGGTATCCGAAGGTTCTGAACGGTGGAAAGATATGCAGCAGCTGGCTGGTGGGTGACAGCTTGCTTGTAGCTGGTTTGAGGTCAATCGGATGTTTTTCCAGCGAGCAATTGGTGAAATGCGCTTTGGGAATGCGGTCTGTGAAAGAAACGGAGCCTGAGTTCGAAATTACAGGTTTGGTGGTTGAAGAGGACCAAATATGCAATGTATCGGCTACAGAGACTCACATGTATGCGGTAGCGTCCAGAAACGTGCTATGGGGCGAACACTGGCGCGAGAACAGAGCTCAGACGGTGTTCACGAAGTTCTGGTCCATTGAGGCTCCAGCATGCATAACAGACGTTCAATTCGACCACAACAGCAAAGTGGTCTTTATCTTGGTTAACAAGTCGTCTACGGAAAATGCAGTTGTTCTGTGCGATGCAAAAAGTGCAAAACAGTTGGGAGAAATACCTTTGGGCATCTCTAAACCTTTGACTGGCGTGGTGGACCCCAAATCGCAGATTTTCACCGTGATTTGCGCTGATAGAAATGTGACTGTCTACCAGTACAACACACTGGGCTGTCACAAGCTTCTCCACAAACTCAACCACTACGTACAAGTGGACCCTCTGCGCTACAAAATCAACATGTCACCACAGGCCGACGTTTTGCCGCTTCTCAACTCGACCAGTAGCTCATCTACGCCCGCAATATTGCTGCTGGATCGCAAACACGACTTCAAGATCGAATCCTCACTGGTGGGCCATTTCGACAAATGCCAGGTTCTCCAATACTCGCCGCAGATGTACGGCAAAACCCTCAAATCCGGGACCAAAATCAACTACAACTTGGTGGCTACAGCAGGGTTTGATACGGGCTCTGTGGTAATCTGGAATACGAAAAGGCTCAAGCCATTGCTCAACACCAAATGCACACCGGACTCCTACATTACAGACCTCCAATGGACTGGCGATGGTCTTTCGCTATTTGCATTCACTAATCATGGCCAGATGTTGGTCTTTGCATTTCGATCAGGCGAGCTGGGCGAAGTTCTGCCCGAAAGCGAAATCGAAGCTGCCAAAGCATCCATCTCCACCCTAGACCCTCTAACACCACTGGAAGCTTCAGAGTCCAATAGCACCTCAAAGCCAGAAGTGGTTCCGGCTGGGTCCAGTGCCAGCATCACAAAAGCCGCCGGCAAGAAGAAAATTAAGCCAACCACGATACACAGCACATCTATGGAACTCAATACGCCTTCTTACAGCGTTCCCAGAGACCTCAAACGAAGGCCAAAAGATCCCACAGCTACGGTAATCAACAAAAAACAAAAGCATGATTTAGAACCGATGGATTTTCTCGATACAACGCTCCTCATGCCTGGTATCAGTTTTTCTAAGATGAGATTAGCCACTCCGAAGGTTCGACTGTCTTTCACATACACTAATGCTGATACCGCGAGCTTTGCGATGTACGTGAAAAACGGGTCAGGCAACGAACAGACTCCAAGCGTCATTTCTTTGAAACAGAAGGAACTAGGACAGGAAAAAACGCTGTTCGAGGAATTCCTTCCGAAACTTATAACGATTTGTACGGCGGGAGCAAACTTTTGGAGTTGCTGTGCTGAGGATGGAACAATCTATGTCTACTCAGACACTGGAAAGAAAGCATTACCGCCGCTCATAATGGGCGTACCCTGTAGTTTTTTGGAAGCTTTTGGACACTTTTTGTTATGCGTGACCTCAACAGGGCAAATGTATTGCTGGAACATAACTACTGCCAAACTTCACTTTCCACCTAGCTCGATTTACTCTTTGCTCAGTCCAACTCTTCGATATTCAGATGACGTTTTGACGAGAGCCGAGAATATCACCATGTGCACGCTAACAAACAGTGGTATTCCAATTATAACCTTGAGCAATGGTGATAGTTATATGTTTGATAAGGACATGGAGGTCTGGATGCTGATCAACGATTCGTGGTGGGCTTATGGATCACAATACTGGGACACAACGGAAACAACGACTCACGGAACTTTTCTCAGTGACAATGATGAAAAACTGTCAAAGAAAAGTCAATCTTGGAACTCAGAAGCTCAAGAGCTAACGGAAAGTTTGAAAGCGGACAGTACCAGCATTCTCAACTATTTGGAAAAAAGGACCAACGACGAGCTCAACCGGAAAGGGCGGGCGCGCAATCTACAAAAATTCGCTAAAACAATTTTGATGAAGGAAGGTTTTGAAAATTTGGAGGAGGTGGTAACTCTTTCACACTTGGAGAACAAGCTCTTAGTGTCGCTTCGCCTAGGCGAAAACGCGGAATTCTTGAAATTGATTATTCTCTATTGTATCCGCTTGGGTGAGATGGGTTACAGAGGACGTTTGGAAGAGGTACTTCAATGGCTGTATAATGACGGAAATTACAAGCAGATGACAGTTGCCGATCTCAATGGCGAGGAGCTCATTAAAAGAATTTTGATTGCTTGCGCGGACATAAGACACGTACAGCGAGTGACAACCAGTTATGCCACCGCGATAGGATTGATAGACGATGCACTCTGAAAACGGAAAAGTTCTATACTATATATTTACGAATTACGAAGTCAAAACCCCATTATTTCCTTGACTTTTTTGATGTTTTTCTCTGCCAGTTGCGATGCGGCATCCGAACCTTGTCTTGCAACTTTTTCCAAATGTTCAGGATCCTTGATGAGCAGGTTGAAATTCTCTCGTGGAACACGGAGTGCTTCGATCAAGACCTCGGTAACGTAGTTTTTGAACTCGCTATGACTGGTAAAATGCTTGATCTCTTTTTCGACGTCGGCTACAGACATTCTCCTAATGCCACTAACTATATTGATCAAGTTGGAGACACCGGGCCGGTTTATAGGATCGTAACAAAACTCATGCGATATTGAATCTGTGACGGCCTTTTTAATCTTTTTGGCTATTACATCGGGCTCATCATTCAAATAAATTGTGGCATTGTGATTAGGATCACTTTTGGACATTTTGCTTGCTGGGTCCAGCAGACTCAGGATACGTTTAGTTGGTGCCAGAATGGTTGTTGGCACAGTTAGAACTTGTGATTTGAACATCATATTGAAGCTCTGGGCTAATGTTCGGGTCAGTTCAAGATGCTGAGCCTGGTCGTCACCTACCGGGACATGAGTGGCCTGATATAAAAGGATATCGGCCGCCTGCAATACCGGGTACGAAAAAAGGCCAAGTTTAACGTTACCCATACTTTCTTCATCATTACTTTTATTGATATTCGATTTAGACTTCCACTGCGTCATGCGATTTAGAAGACCCATGGGAGCAATCGTCGATAGTAGCCAATGAAGCTCTGCATGCTGGTGAACATGCGATTGATTGAAAATAATGGCTTTTGAAGGATCGATCCCCAATGATAATATGCTTGCAATGGCCTCTTTTCTACTTTGCCGCAGCTTCTGCCCGTCAGGAATCGGAACAGTAATGGCATGTAGATCTGCAATTCCGAATATGAGGGTGGTATCATCTCTATTCAAATCACATAGTTCTTTCCACGTTCTCACAGATCCCAGATAGTTGCCCAGATGAAATTTGCCCGTAGGCTGGACTAAACTAAATATCGTTGAATTCTCAGGTATATCACTGGAATGTATCTTATATTTGGTAGTTTTTACACTTTTAGATAGCCCTCGAGCAGCTTGAAAGCGGCTGCAAGACTTCAGCATTTGGAATCGGTTCACGGGAGGCTAGGCGGTGTATACTCACCGATTATTTGTGTGCAAATTTCACTTAGTTTATTAAAGCTGAGATGCTTGTAGATTAATATCAAGACGACTCTGATTTAAATGCCTGCAGATACATGAGATAACCACCCGAGGAACAAAAAGAAGTAGCTGGGTTGACGTTAAAATAGTTGAGAGTAAATTACATAGGCTGGTACCTTTTCCAACTTGTTTTTTGAGCCGAGTAAACAGGATTTTTCAAAACTTTCCTTCTTTGAATATAAAGCTTGACGTATGTCAGTCTAAGATAACTTGAATACGTTAGAATTGTCCCAATTTCTTTGTGCAAGCATGCCTCGTATTGGACCCTGTAATAGGCCGTGTTTTGGACCGGAAACTGTGTTGATGTAGGAGTCGGGCCCGCAAACAAGGGCCAAATTGGGCTTTATTGAAGCAGTGCTTCCTTCAGTTGACGCCAGTTCGATTGAGCACGGCGTTGGTATAAGTTTCAGTACTTCATACGGGATTTTCCGTATATCACGGCCGTGTTTGGACTCGAAATAGTGCAATTGGATACGATTGCTGTTTTGAGATTCTTCTAAAAAGGGCTGTAAGGGCCCCAAATCTTGTCTTGTGAGACAAGAGTGGAACATGAGAATTTTGCCGGGATGCGGTGTGGTCGTGAGCAGCATTTGCGCAATTGGAGCTATTCCAGTACCTGCCGTGAACGTCACAATATCGCATGAGTTCCCCTTAGCAGTTTCTTTGTCACCTCCAACCGGATGCGAAGGCATCTCAAAATCGATAAAAGGACCTCTTAACTCTACAATGTGACCTTCCGGCAGTTTGCTCAACCAGCGTGCCACTTCACCATGCTTGTATTTCTTCAAATAAAAAAACAGCTTTCCGTCCCGAAATGTGCCTTCTGGAAACCGCTGTATCTGACCGTTGCCAACATGCTCTAGTGGCAAAGGTGTGTAGTTTCTCACAACCATGATTTCGGACTGTTTGACTTCAATAGACCATAATTTGTCTGAGCTCATCGCTTTCCACCAGTCAATCTTCTGAGGCCTTGAAGGGGTCAATTCTAGCATGAAATGTTCAGAATCTATCTTGTCATTGTAGCTTATCTTATATGGAATGAAATGGTCGGGCGACAACTCTTTTTGGTGCCATCGTTCGTTCAAGTAGTATGCTAGAATTGAAGTTGTGATTGCAGAACCGCTAGCAATCCATTTAAATCTCCGAGTTTTGGTGGCAATGTACAGGGGACGTGTAGCAGTAGATATGCTACGCGAAAGCTCGCGAATCCTCATATGAAGCTGTGTGTCCTACTTTCCTTGTAAGTTTGTCTTCTATTTCGTCGAGCTCATCGAATTTATACTGATTAAGATTAAAACTGGTATCTTATACCAATAGCTTGGACAACACCATTTCAGCCACATAACTACCCTTCGCCAAGCTCCTTATGCCCATAACACTATTGAAATCACTCAAGCTACATAAGGACAAGCTCTGGTCCATTGATTGTGCGAAAGGATTGGCAGCAACGGCTTCTTCAGACCGTAAGATTAAGCTTTTTAACCTTGGGAACTCAGATTTCAAAGAAGTGGAAGAGCTTGATGACAATACACATAAAAAATCGGTAAGGTCAGTTGCATTCAGACCGCATTCGTCTATTCTTGCTGCTGGCTCTTTTGACTCTACGATTTCCATTTGGGGCAGGGAAGAGAGCGACGACATTCAAGATGCTCATCAAGAAACTGAACTTTTGGCCATCATTGAAGGACACGAAAACGAGGTGAAATCGGTAGCTTGGTCTCATTCTGGAGAGTTTCTGGCCAGCTGCTCAAGAGACAAGAGTGTATGGATCTGGGAAGCAGACGATTTGGGCGAAGAATTCGAATGCTTAAGTGTATTACAAGAGCACAGCCAAGATGTCAAACATGTAACGTGGCATCCTCGAGTCAACTTGCTGGCTTCTAGCTCTTATGACGATACTGTGAGGCTTTGGAAAGAGGAAGAAGATGATTGGGAGTGTGCTGCAGTGCTGACTGGCCATGAAGGTACCGTTTGGTGCTCAGATTTCGAGAATTCTGATTCTTCTCTTAGAATAGTAAGCTGCAGCGACGATTCCACGGTACGTGTGTGGAAACATGTGGAAGAGAGCGAAGACGGCGAAGACCTTTGGTCTCAAGAATCTATATTGCCAAGAGTGCACTCCAGAGCGGTTTACAGTGTGAGCTGGAGCCCGGAGGGATACATTGCCAGTACAGGATCCGATGGAGTTTTAGCCATTTATAAAGAAACAGAACAAGGCAAATGGGATGTGATAGCTCAACAACCCGAGGCACATCGCGTTTTCGAAGTGAACGTTGTGAAATGGACAAAAATCAACGGCAAACCTATATTACTAACGGGTGCAGATGATGGGACCGTCAACATCTGGAGCTTCTCAGCATAAAACAAATTGCTTCAGTGTGTATACTCGCCGTTATACTTGTACAAAACTAAAAACATCAACCCGAACTAGCTACCGCTTAGCTAAGAACAACCAAGATAAACATTACCAGAAGAAAGGAAAAGACTGCCAAAATCATCAAACATCTTTTGCTAGAGCCTCGCTGATAGTTCATCGCCTTCGTTAATTCGCGAGCCCCTGCCTGAGCACTGTTTGCCACAGAATAGATATTGCTTTCAATGTTATCCACAAGATGGCCCTGCTGCTGTACAATGCTCCCAAGATCATGGAATATCTGATTCAGTTCGCTAACACCACTTTCAATGCGCGAGATTTCCTGATCTCGTTGCTGTATCAGCTGCTGCTGGTAAGCAAATTCCTCGTTGTTGACATCTTCCCGTTCTATCACTACGGTGTGCTGTTGTGCTTTCTGGTTGTCATTTTGTTCTTCCTGCAAAAGACCGCTGGTTTTCCGTGCTTCTTCTTCTTGGCCAAGGGCCGCTTTGGCTTCGTCATTCATGGCTTTGGAAACGCTTGTGAACTCTTCTCGTGCGCCCTGAAATTCCTGGACCGAATACCGAATGTCACGTATTAGTTTTTCCCTCGATATAACCTGAGATTTATCCAATGCTGTTTCTTCCATCGAACTGATTCTTTGAGCCAACGAATTGACCACTTTCACGAGTTTGGTGATTTCGTCTATATGAAACATTGACTTCTTGTCCAGATTTGCGATCATTTTGGATTTGACATTTCCCTGTTTCTGGTTCCTTTCCAACGTTTTGATAAACTGTTGTAATGTGCTCAAATGTCCGTTCATCTCGAAAAGATTACTTAGAAGTGGTTCGACAATGCTTTCAAATTCAGGGTTATCAGAATACCGCGGCGTATCTTCTAGATCCTCATCAATTCCGAGCATAGTTGGCAGTATCGGAGGGGACAAGTGGCTTATCTTGTGTGCTTTCGGTTGTGGATAAGTGGTTATTCTAGAATATCATCATACTCAGCCTTGAGGATTCAATCTCAATAATTAACAGTAACTAGAGGTCCTCCGTGATACGTGATCAAAGTGTCAGTGATCACTAGCAGCTAGCGGAACGGTGCCAGCTAGCGCTATGCTGACCTGTTGAAACTAATCCGCCCCATACCAGTTCTGTTTCTTGAAATTCATGGGTCTATTCAGGCAGGTTAAGATTTGTGAACTCTTAAACTTGGCCGAAGGTGACAACAGCGGACTCATTTCGAAAACTTGACGTTGAAAAAAGTTATCTTGATAGTTTTTGCCATACAAAATTGTGCTGCTAGGCTCGGTAGCATTATTTTGAAGAAGCGAGGGGATCCTGCCAAGCTTTTCTAAAATCATCATGCCAAAGAAATCGAAATAAAATCGGAATAGAAGAAAAAAAAAACAAAATATGGTTTTGGGGGCTTGCAACATGCCTATTGATTCTTTTTCTGCTCCACGACCTTCTTTTTTGGTTGCGAGGGTCTTTTAGTTCGGTTCCACAGCGCCAGTTGGAAAATCGTGTATGTCAGCGAAGAGAAAATAATCAATTTTATGGTGGTGCCGTGCTGGCTCAAAAAGTCGGCATCGACAATACTGAGGCGGATATCCGCCATTCCAGTGAACTTTGGTTGAGGTGTGTTCAGTTCGTGCGTCTTCATCACGCTATGTTTGTTCTTTTCGAAATCGGTTTTTTTAGTAGAGTCCTCAAAAATGTGGGGGAAAATACGGACTGATGCCTCATTTTCTCCACCACTGCCTGTCCGTGAAGTCAAAATGATCTTGGTGTCGGACGAGGGAATTTGTCCCAGTAGATGTCTGATGGTGCGGTCACAGTAGCCAAAATATTCTGCCCTGCTTTCGGACGATACTTGGTCAAATTCGACGCGAATAACCCGGGGTCTCCAATCTATGTAGCGCTCAAATGTCTCCGTATGGTTTTTCCACAGCTCTATACTGTCTGTGATGTCCCACTCTTCCTCTGTGTACGATACCAAATTGTCGAATATCTCTTCCCAATCTGGTCCCATTTCCACGTTCTCAAATCTCAAAGCTGTAGAGCTTGTTTCCAGATATTTTACGAACGACCCTAGCTGTTCCTGGTGCTCGATCAAATCTGTAGCTCGTAATCCCGGTATGTTTATGAATAAGTAAGCATCAGAGCGAGTTTTTGAGATGAAACGTTGGGCTATGTCAAAAAACAGATCTTGCGGCAGCACATTGGCGTTGTCATAGTCTTGTTGGTACTTCAAAAGCCCAGGTGTTCTTAGTTCAGATCCTGTTTGTTAGCAAATACTCTCTCATATCACATTTACATGAAGAATAAGATGGTGAACATACAATTGATGGCTACTAAGCACAGCAGGAACCGTTTCTTGAGTTGACAACGGTATCAATGCGCCCAGCAGCGAAAGGGCTCTCAATCCAGGCAGTCTCATTGCTCGCTTGTTGAGCTCGAGAAGTAAGACTTTTAGAAGTCAACTCTGATATAATCTTATTTTGACAGTATCGAAGATGATATTAAACTAGTAGGACACTTATTCTAGGACATGACATCAAATTTACATGAAATAGATAAATACCTTGGTCAACAATGGATGCTTTCAATTTGAGTAGTCCAAATTTGAGGCATTGTGTTATTCGAGCAGATGGTTTGAATAGAATTGAGAATCAAACTATTTGTAACAAGCACGAGCACTAATCAATGGTCCAGCACTTTATCACAGCAATGCTGCTGGCAAATAGAACGAAAATCGCCTGCGATTCCCGAAAAAACGATTATAAGAGAGAGAGACAATAGACTGCTTCATACGTATTTTTCATCTCTTCAACGACAATAGGTCGTGCCATGACAATGAAACCATCGAAATAACATCTGTGCATCGATCTCATTACATTTTACTGCCAGCGGACGTTTTGTCTGTTTAAATCTGGCCCTGGAAGACTGACTATCATGGCCATTCTTGAACGATAAAAAAATGCATCGGTCTTGCTAAACGCGGTTTTCACGATCCTTCTCCTTTATTTCTCAATAGAACCACGCAACATTGCACCCGCATCGAGACTTCTGCGTAGACTAACCTGAGGCTTTACCTTTCATTTTTAGAGAACTCAAAGAAGCCAAAAGCTCTTCTGCAAAACCTGCTGTCCCGTCAATTTCTTCCATCATTAAATCATCGGTGACCAGGTCATCAAACCCTCCGACTGCACCAGATGTATTCTCATTGATTTCTTCCAAAAACGAGGTATCAGTGTTTCCCGGAAGTTCCCAGCCGTGCTCAACTGCTCGCATGATTAGAAGCTTGTGCGAAATGAGAAACCCTGCGGACGTCAGCTTTGTATACCACGAATGTGCATCTTCAATTTGTCCGGATCGAAGATGGTAAAAGACCATTGAGCATATGATTTTGAAGTCCAGCTTCAGATGGTTCAAATCCATCAACAGAAAAAGCGATGAAAGCTCTGTTTTGGTGATGGTCTGATTATGATACATCGTCATACCAAAAGGCGAGCTTTTGGCACAAGAGATTTGCGGCCGAGACCGAAAGAAGTCCTCAAGTATCTGGTATGCCATTCGATCTTCTTTCAGACAAAATCGGAGGTGGTAAACTAAGATATTCAAAATACCACAGTCAGGGTATATGAAATAATGCTGACTGGTTTCAAAGACCTTCTTGTACAGTTGGTATAGATCGACAATGAGTTGTTTAAACTCCATAGAATTCAAAGTGCTCTGCATGTAGTGCAAAATAACACGATAGAGTTCTGTCATGACAACTGCATTGGGAATCATGTTTGAAGTGAGAAATTGAGAGACTTCCGACTTGTGTGTGCTCAAACTCTTCGACTCTGTTTCCAGCTGAGAGGGCTGAAGTCGGTAAACTGAGCCGTGATGTAGAAGCCCCCAAAGCCCTAGGTCGTTTAAAAAATGTATGGTATTGGGATTACGGTAAACCATAGCAATATAACTTAATGTCATCTTTGGATCATTGAAAGATCGGAGTGTCGAAACCAGCTCGCCGATCAAACTTTGCCGAAACTTAAAACTCGAATGCAGACCTAGTTCATGTGCTTCTGATATAAGTTTAAGCACATGCGAGTGTTCGTTGAGTTTGCGTAACCATGAAATTGCCAAGAGAAATGGCTTATGCAATAAGCGAATGTCAAGGTTTTGACTTTGAATAAGTCCCAAAATAAGTTTGAATGTGCTTTGAAACATTTCAAAATTGCCAGATTCTTTGAGATATTTCAGTAACGTATTCGTGAACTTCACAAAATAACTCACGCGTTTTTTCTGTGCAAGTCCGAAACGATTCAATTCCCATGACTCCAGTCGATCCAGAAGCGCGGTAAAATACACTTTTATGTGTCTCAAGTCTTTTTGGGAAAGCATGGTGTTAGTTATCATGTTGATTTGAGCAAAACTGTATAGTCTTGTAAGCCGTTTTTGATAATCGCTTTGATTGCTCGGGCTGTTGAAGAAAATCTGAAATGAAGCCAACTGCTGTTCAATTTGTGATCCTTTGAGTAGCCTAACCAAGAAACGATGAGCTGGACGAGATCCAAGAAGAACATTGTTCTCAATGAGGAAATGAAAATGTTCAAAAGTTTCTGATCTATCAAGATGAGTCCAAAACCATTCATGGAAAAAGTCGGGTGCTAGTATTCCATTAGCGCGGGCCGTTTGTGGATACAACGAACCTTGTAGCTCGACCAGAGTATAAAGCTGTCGCTTTTTGTGTTCCACAGATAAGTCACTATCGATGATCCCACGAACACTGGTTACAAAAGCCTTGTACTGTCGTGGCCCAGCACTTTGGAAAAATATCATTTGAACTATGTCAGGTTGCAGAATATCTGTGAGTCTCATTTCTGCGACAAATTTCCTATAGTCCTTTTGAAGACTCCTTTCGAGCTTATTTTTGAGCGTTTTAAGCCCACTTACCTCCCTACTCGCTAACCGGGAGTTCACATAAGTGACCACATCTCTGGGTTGATGTTGAGTTCGATCAAAGTGAAAGTCTCGAGACCCTACGCATTTCCACGAATTCGTGGGACAAAAGCGCACCAAAACATTGCCATGTCGAGAAAGCATAGAATTTGATCACCGAACAAATTTCTTTGAATGTAAGAGATGACTGGGCCGGCGTCTGAAAGTATATCTCATCTCATCGCATCCTGTTAAACCTTTCTAGATCATTTAATGAGAGAGATATCTTGCATGGAGGTCACTAACAACGAGCAACTTTTTACAACATTCGATCTTTCATGGAATCTTACCACGATCCAAGTGCACCAAGGTATGATGGACGAGCATTCCTTACAGCATTCAAAAACAGTTTCAATAACTCTCTCAAGCTAACTCCTCATATTTTAAAGAAGGCATCTTAAATTAACTAAGTGAATGATAAAAGATGATGGGTTGACAAAAGGTAAGTCCTTTGCAATCGGGTCCAAGGAAATAGATCTTTTAATAAACCGCGTCATCGGCTGTAGAATCCCATCTCGAAAACGGTCAATTCTAGTCTTCGTTTCCATGCTTGGCACTTTTTCCACTATCGGCTCGAGTACTTTTGTCCTCGCCGCCATTTACCTAGTAATTGGTAGTACTCTTGAAATTAACCTACAAATTCACAACTTTTAAAAACGATTGTTGTAGCACCAGCGGCGGATCAGAGAGACCACCAGCCACTCGAAGCTGCCTGCTAATCCAGTTATATACTCTCCTATTCGGCTATGAATGGCACCAAAAGCTTGAACGGCCAAAATAGGCCGTCTGTCACTCAGCTTTTCAAGCGAACGGAGGTCATAGGACGAGGCAAATTTGGAATAGTTTATAAGGGCTACCATATCAAGACTCGTCAGGTTTGTGCCATGAAAATTCTCAATTTGGATTCTGCAGACGATGAAGTTGAGGACGTGCAAAAGGAAATACAATTTCTGTCCTCGTTGAAAAATGTACCAAACATCACACATTACTATGGCTCTTATTTGAATGATACCAAGTTGTGGGTTATCATGGAATTTTGCGCTGGTGGGTCTTTGAGAACACTACTGCGACCAGGGAAAATAGGTGAGCAATATATAGGGGTTATCATGCGCGAAATCTTGACAGCCTTAATGCATATCCATCGCGATGGCGTCATACATCGAGACATCAAGGCCGCCAACGTGCTGATCACCAATGATGGCCATGTTAAACTCTGCGACTTCGGCGTTGCAGCCCAGCTCTCACAGACCAAAATCAGACGGCAAACCATGGCAGGTACACCATACTGGATGGCACCTGAGGTTATCATGGAAGGCGTATATTACGACACGAAAGTGGATATTTGGTCGCTGGGGATCACAATTTTCGAAATAGCGACCGGAAATCCGCCGTATTGCGATGTGGAGGCCCTACGAGCCATGCAACTTATCACCAAGTCCAAGCCTCCACGGCTGGAGGGACGCCAGTACTCTACTGCTCTGAAAGAGATAATTGCATTATGCTTAGATGAGGATCCAAAGGAAAGATCCTCTGCAGAAGATCTTCTAAAAACGAAGTTTATAAAACTTCACAAAAACATGCCCGTCTCCATTTTAAAAGAGCTGATAAGTCGTTATTTGCTACACAGAGAACAACAGCCTCAACGCGAATCCGCCTCCATGACTCTCGATGGTGAAAACTCCATCAAAGTGGATGCTTCACCTTCCGAACAAGATCTGAATATGAAATGGGATTTCGATTCGTTGAGCTCTAACGAGTATATTATGGAAAACGATATCAACATTGACGCAATTCCCGAAGAATCTTCACCTAACGAACAATTCAACTATGCATATCCTGAAGACGACCTCTTTTATCAATCTAATAAGAGGCACCTTCAAAACACCACGATCGGCAAAGCGACGCCAAACGTTGCAACGAGCAATTTTACTCTCCAGGCAACCAATAACAACAACAACAACAACAACAACACAACTTATCAGAACAATACAAGCACAAGGAATCAAACTAAACAAAGCTGGGCTAATACTGGTAAAAAATCAGAGACTAAGGCGTCGAAAGCCTTACTGCAACTTTTCGAGGATGATGAAGATAACACAGCAGACGCTGAATACCAAAGACCAGGAGCCGCAATGCCAGCAAATTCGCAGGAAGACGCGCTTCGAATCAACACTCAATCGACAGAACGTTCGCCGCATCCGGACCCTTTCAAGTCTCCTATCTATCAAAGTCAGAGTACACCTGCGCTTCCTATGTTACAAACTTCATTTAGCCAGCCTGTTGTCATGGGGCATCAAAGTTCAACGGCTTTACCGACCCCCATTGAGATCGAAATTCCCGAAGAGCTGCCGTCAAGCCAAGAGGCCAGTGGTACTGCTACGAAGCCCAGATCATCCACGGTATCTGCACCTGTGCATAAACAGGCCTCTGTTCTTCAAAGAAGGCCTACCGTCACAGGGAGTGGTCTTGGACGCGATCCATCTGCTACGTCCTTGAAACCTGTTCACGATGATAAACAACGCCAAGCGATCCCTGCTTCCAATGCTGTAGCGAACAAGTCCATCATTAGAAGTGCATCTCCTTCGAAACCAATGACTGGATCTCCTGCTAAACCCACAACGGCTAATACGTCAGTGAGTACCACGCCTTTGTCCATGAAGCCTGCTGCCACTGATAAATCAGATATGCTGTTGAAGCCGTTGAACGGCGATGAAGCTGAAGGCGGACGTACAAGAATCAATCGTGATTTCAAACGTCGCAATCCAAATCTAAAACTACAAATGCCTTCTCCTACTTCTGCGCTTCCAAACGCGTTGTTAGATTCTTCATCATCTTCGCATCTGAACATGGATGATGCTAATATCAATCAGTTTGGGTTCAATACCAGCTCTGCGCTGCCCGTGGCAATGACACCTGTGGTCGAAAGAGGGAACGACTTGTTGAATAAGCGGAAAATGAGTACAGCAGCAAGTGCCGGGTCCAGCAGCAGAAACAACAGCATAACACAAGAGCATTCGGCTAACAGTTCGGCCCCAGGCTATTCCGCTACGGCTGCTTCAAGTTTAAGTAGCGGCACGATTCCCGCTGCAATGCCCACTACAACGTCCCACACTGGCAGCAATGCGCCCTCGACCGCTTCAAGTGCAACTGTCACGTCTACAAATGTGTGTCCGCTGATGGAGAAGCCACCAAAGTTTCTCCAGATGGACATGTTTGTCGATTGTCCTCCAGAAGAACTTTCCGGAGACGTTTCCAACGATCAAGAGCACGACCGCAAGTTTTTGGTCCTTCGAGAGCTGGACTCTCTGCTAAAAACTTTCGAGGATGGATTTCCCGCAATGGAGTATGCTCTCAAAGAGGTCTCGAGCAGGACAGATGGCTACAACTGATTGTTGTAAAATTACCGTGCGCCGTGTCATCACTGAATACAACTATATTTTGAACAATTTCTGAACCGTTACTCGATAAAATAATCCCCAAAGGCCGTAACGACTTTGATCATAAGAATCAAAACTCTAGGTCAACTTTTGCCGATATTCAAGATCAAAAGAAGGCTGACAGCTAATGCTGTTCGTCCCGTCTTTAGGCTCATCATTATATACGGAGGATTATAGCTCTAATAATTACATTCTCCATTAGTATTCAGTATCGTTAAGAAACGCAAACCTTATTCTCGGCGAGACTTCACAAGGACACAAGCGCTTTAACAAGTCCTTGAAAGTCAAAGTTGGACGGAGTTTTTATAGGAACGGAAAATATTGCTTAGTTGCGTATATCTTTTGGCTCCCGAGCTCCGAAACAAGGTATTAAAACTTGTGAGAACTTCGACAAATCAACAAACATTACACTCGCTTTAAGTCTTTATCATATTGAATTTGAACGTTTCTTTCTTCATGAGTTTTAGCGGACAAAATAGCGGCTCGCTAGAGACACTTGAAGAGGAGGCTTCGGCTTTGGGTAAGATGGGATCACCTAGGGCCATTGGCTCGATCCAACAACAACAACAACAACAACAACAACAACAACAGGGACTCAAGACGCGCAACAAAAAACCAATGTATCCAGAGTCGTCGTTCGCAATGGGCAGTAGTAACGGTGCTGTGAATAGCAAAACTATTGGGCTAGGAATATCTCGCAGGCCTAGTGATAATGTATTAATGAACTTGGCTCAAGAGCAGCAGGAACAACAACAACAACAACAACAACAACAACAACAACAGCAACAACTACAACAACATGCAATGTCTCCACCACCATCGCGCAAAAAACTGATATCTAATCACGAGCGCCCGCTTTCGAATGATTCTATTGTGACTCAAAACTCAAATTTGTTTTCTTCCAACGCCAGCTCCACAGCCTGGTCGTCGAACGACAGCTCTAGGGGATCTTCCATTATTGGCGAGCTCTCTGTAGATAACGTCAAACGTATTGGTGAAGAGGTGTCCTTTGCAGAAACTGACGGGGAGTCCACAATCGACCTGACGTCAACTGCAGGCTCGGAGTATTCTGCATCGACCCAGCAAGATCTACAAGCACAAGCACGCCAGTCACAAGTACAAAATCAAGCGCTACCGAAGAACAGATACGTTTTTGCTAACGGCTCTATGGCTCGTACCCAGGCCTCCTTCTCGTCCAGTCATCCGTCCCCTTTGAAAAATGACTTTAGCCGAAACTCCGTACCCAACAAGCTTTACTCAAAATCTACATCCGCTTTGGCGCAACAACAGCAGAAAACCGCTTACAGCAGCCAGCAAGCAACATTGACACCCTCTCAGAGGTATCGTCTGCGCAAAGAGCAGAGCAAGACAGCTTTGCAAAACTCCATCAAACAAAAGGAAAAATATTACGATGAGCAAGAAACTCTACCTTCGAGTCCTTATGCTAATGATGACGCGGATGTTGGTGCTGATTTTATCTGGAATATTCCTGTTGCATCCAATAGCACAAACTCCTTTTTGATGTCGTTGCCACAGCCACCTATGAAAAAGGGTCGGTCAAAACGTTCGCTGGGGTTCTCCCGGTCGTCGTCCCAAAATTCTGGGCTTTCTGAATCATCTTCACAGTATCTTGATTACAATGAAATGCCGCCTTTACCAATCCAAGGGCTTGACGGAAGGACGGATTTTCAAGGGTTTCAACAAACGTCAGAGGCGCTTTCCTCTATTTACCAACACTCTTCCAATAGATTAATGCAGAGCAGACTATGGGAGCGTACTAGCTCTATGGAAACTCTTCCAATGCAGTTCAAAGTGGCAAGTGACGAAGGGATGGAGGATCTCCAGCTGGTTTCTGAAGACAAAGTACAACTCTGTAGTCCATCAAGGCCTACGTGGTTGCCTCCGAAAGGTGAAGTTGAGCGTAAGAGCCACGAAGAAAAAATCAATAAGACTATGAGTATGGCTTCACTTGACCAATTGGATCGAAGTCGTGGACGCGAAGAAGCGCTCATACGCGATGAAACTAATCGGCAGAAATTTGTTCTTCTCATAGCCCGAGGGCTCACGAGACAATCGTCGCTGCACGATGTGAAGAAGATAATATGGGACACGCCGTTTTCATCCGACATTCGCTCAGGGGTTTATGATCTGTTACTTCAGAGTGAAGAACGAATGATTAGCGAGCTGTACATTGAGCCCTACGATAAGGTTTTAGACATCGTGCAACACATGCATTTCCCCAGGGGTAAGCAGCTTGAGATTGAAAAACTTCTTGATAAAATACCGTCTTCTGAACCCTTACCACATTTCGACGAAGTAGTTCTTCTTCTGAAGATGAAGTCAATCTCAAGTCGCGGCTTACTGCCGGGCGACCAGTTATTGTTTTATCACCTATTGCATGAAAACGCGGGACTCGAGCTCAAAAAAGTGTGGGAATTAGTCAACCTCATTCAAATGACCTGTTTCAACGACGTCACCACTCTCAAGCTAGACTTGCGTGCCGTGAGTTCGCGTGGTGTCATTGCCAGCTACATTTCCAACAGTACAGATTTCAAAAATGAATTCAATACCGAATGTCTCAACATCGCAACCTGGTGGAACATTCTGATGCGCATGGAACACGACCTATTTATGTGGTGCTTGGACATCATTGTTGTTCACAACAGTCAGTGTTATAAAAATCGACCTATCGTACGAGAAAAAGTTGCGGATAAAACTTGGGATCTTTACAAATCTCAATACGTTGTTGTCAACTACAAGATTTTAGCCTCGCTGATGTTGAACGTTCTTTTGAACTACCATTTTGGGTTCAATGACCTGCGGTCACTAGGCGAGATGACAGACAAGGAATATCGTATCCCATCAATTGCGCAAGACTTTCTTGATAGTGGACAAGATTATGAGATTTTTGTCAAAAAGTGGAGGCATTACAACAAGAAATTCTAGGTCAACAATCGGCGGTGACTTGCTATTTTCAAACAACTGGCATGATGTTTTTCGATTCTAATCGCATTTTTACAAATTTTACTAGGGTCAATTGCCTTGATAAAAATGCTGTTCGAAGCTTTGTATAATAATTGTTTTTTGATAACTTCCTCCATATCTCAATTGAGTTATCCGTTCATTCTACGGAAAATTGGTGTTTTGTCTTTCAAGCGAGGCCGAAGCTGTTATAGAAATTCATAAAATTACATTTCAATTAGTTTTACTCGTCATTTATTCAGTACGTTATGGACAAAACACGATAGAAGAGACGGTTATAACTCTCAAATGTCGTGTCCTCAAAGTGCATTGGCTCGGATCTCAGTTGTATCAGGATATTTCTCCTTTCTGACGTCTTTCATAGCCCAAATTCCTCAAGTTCTCGAAACGTATGTGGATAAAACAGTCGAGGGACTCTCACCACTTTTCTTGCTAGCATGGCTGGTTGGAGACATCACGTCACTAGGCGGAGCGATTCTGACAAACCAGCTGCCCTTTCAGATCATTCTGGCAATCTACTTTCTAATCAACGACCTCTTCATTTGCGGTCAGTACTATTACTACGGAGTTTTGCACGGAAATAGACTTGCAACACCAGGTCATGAACATATGGAAACGGATGAAAGAATAACATTTGTGAGAAGCAGAAGCTCAGATGTACGTATAGAACCCAATTTGAATCAAAGATCGTGGCTAGCAGGTTTGTTGTGGTTCAGTACGGGCGCAAGAGGAACAGCTCTGGAAGACAAATTTCATTTTGCCAGTACCAATTCTACAGCTGCAACCCAAGCTGGTGTGGTGCTAGCATGGGCTGGAGCGCTTTGCTACGTGGGGGCCAGAATCCCTCAGCTGTATAAAAACTACCAACGGAAATCTACCGATGGACTTTCACCCTTCCTGTTCATCAACACGCTGCTTGCCAACACTACTTACAATGTGAGTATCTTCACAAGCTGCAAGTTTTTGGCAGACACGAACAAATGGGAGTTTGTGATGAACGAGCTGCCCTTTATTGTCGGAAGCGCCGGCACTGTGCTATTTGATTTGGCCTATTTCTATCAGCACTATGTGTTGTATGCGGATGATATGCATTTGAGAAGGCTAGAAACGCATTTGAGCAACGATGAAACGACGGCTTTGCTATAGGAAAGTGCTACCGCAGCTTGCGCGCAGTTGAGATTAATCATAAGAAGAATCCATCGTACTAAGAAAACAGACTACTACTTGTGCTCAGTTGACAATAATAAGAAAACGAAGATAAAGAACAAACAACAAACACCATTGCTTGGCTGGAAAGTGTCGCAAGAGGGATGGGGAAAAAGCGAGGCGAAGCAAGTTAATATTATCCCTCTATAGAGGAACATGCGACGGTAATAACATGGCCTGAGCACATGCACAAATAGCTAGAGAAAGTCTCAAATGAATCGAAATCACTGAAAGCCAAACGGCTTGGATTACTGACAACCTTTCTTCCAGACTCTAGTCACTCCTGACGAGCTGGGTCATTAAATACGAGACTAGACTCTTTTACACTAACGAACGGTTTAGTCTCGTAAAAGCCGGCAATAGTCACGTGACCACTGTTCACGCAAGTTCAGTAACTCTTTACGAGGATAGTCATACTATACGAGAATGGTTTTTTTCTAAAAGTGAGCGGTTTAGTCACGTGACTCTTCTTCTTGGAATAGCCGAATTAACGTCTGCTATAGTATTCACGAAAAAGCGTCACAAACTATACCGAAAGTGCTGAATTACTTACTGAAAGTCTCTAGTATTATATGCCCCTTCATATTCACCCTGTTTTCCATATATCGTTTCCTTGTATTTTCTCCACTCTCTCGGCTCTTCCCTTTTATAGTCAACAATGGTACACTGTGACTTTAGTTCATTTATTTACCATTAAGGGTTTTCTGGACCTTACTATATAAAGGGACCATCTATAGCAGATCTTGGGAAACATCATCAACTTTCTCAGTTTCCATAGACCACAACTTCAACAACAGAATAAAGTATATAAAGCACCATGGTGTACGTTTCAGAGACTGTAAAGCTCAACAATGGGTTGGAAATGCCATTGGTAGGTTTGGGACTATGGAAGATCCCCAACGAAGTGTGTGCAACACAGGTGTACGAAGCCATCAAGCTGGGCTACCGTCTTTTCGATGGTGCACAGGATTACGGCAATGAGAAAGAGGTGGGTCAAGGAATTCGGAGAGCGATAGATGAAGGCATTGTAGAAAGAAAGGACCTGTTTGTGGTTTCGAAACTGTGGAATTCGTACCACGATCCCAAAAACGTGAAACCGGCACTGCAAAGAACACTGCAAGACTTGGGACTTGACTACTTGGACTTGTTTTACATTCATTTCCCATTAGCATTCAAATACGTGCCATTTGAGGAAAAATACCCACCAGGCTTCTACACGAGTGCGGAGGACGACAAAAATGGCATCATCAGCTTGGAAAAAGTCCCTATTCTTGACACTTACCGGGCTTTGGAGTCCCTAGTCGAAGAAGGCCTCATAAAGTTGATCGGAATCTCGAACTTCCGCGGAATCTTGATCCACGATCTGCTTGCAGGCGCCAAGATTCCTCCTGTAGCCTTGCAGATCGAACACCACCCATATTTGACGCAGGAGCAGCTCTTAGAGTATGCCAAACAAGTTGAAATCCAGGTGGTGGCCTACTCATCTTTCGGACCGCAATCATTTATCGAACTTGATTCCGAGCTTGCCAAGACCACCCCTACGCTTTTCGAGCACGACACAGTCAAAAAGATTGCAGACCGCCACAACGCTACCGCCTCTGAAGTCTTGTTGAGATGGGCCACGCAAAGAGGCGTTGCAATCATTCCTAAATCCTCTAACAAGGAAAGACTTTCCACCAACCTTGAGATCAACGAGAGATTGACCTTGACAGACTCCGATCTAGCCGAAATCTCGTCCCTCAACAAGAACATCCGCTTCAACGATCCATTCACATGGCTTGATAGCAAGTTCCCTGTTTTTTCGTGAAGACCGGTAAAAACAAAGACTCTGCAAAATGGTGGGAAAATCGCCAACCAACGCTTGCGCTGCTGCTACTTCGATAATATCGTTTGATCTATGAAGTGTCCACCAGGTCTTCTCGATGAGGCTTTCAGATATACATATAACTATGTACGAAAATGTTGCCAAGCGAAATTAAATTCGAAATTTATAGGTTCATCTTCATCTCATCATTGATATCTCTAAGGAAGCACACAGGGTCCAACAATCGTTCAAACTACAAACTGAGAGCAGACAAGAGTCTGATCGATGATAGGTGAAGTCTAGGCTCGAGTTTCAGCTGCTGGAATCTGTTCTGTGCTTGTGGAATGCCGCACGACTTCAAGTTTCTGGCTCCGGAACCTATAAACCTGGCGAATAACGAGTCTACATCTGACGACCGCCTGGTACCGACGCTGCACTTTGAAAATGTGACGGTGGGCGGGTGCACCATAGTCAACAGCCAAAACAACAAGTTTACAGTGTGGCAGGTGGATCTGACGCTGGCGTCAAGCGGGCCTTTGGAACGCGGGAATCCAAAAATACATGTTAACAAGCGTTACCGCGACTTCGTGGTGTTTCGAGAAAAGCTAATGCAGGAGCTTCCGCCTGTATTGCGGACCAATGTGCCGGAGCTGCCACCCAAAATTTCGTGGTATGACGCTCTGCGCTACGAAGATGCCAATTTCAAAAGCAGCTGGCTAGCACGGCGACGTGCAGGGCTGGAACTGTTTCTGAACCAACTGCTATTGAACGACAAAATGTTGGAAGCAGCGCTAGAGTTGGTGAAACGGTTTTTAGAAAAGTAGTGAAGGAACGGTTATATGTGTGTATATAGACATTTGCAAAGTAATGAATGGAGACGGGTGTAAAGACAGAAGGGACAGTAGGTACCTTCTTCGGCTGGTCTGGTTGGGTTGTCAACGTCGTTATCGTCGTTATCGTTTTGGAAAAAGCAGATGACAAGCGTGCGGTTGAAGTTTTTAGACACAGCGGTAGCTAATGGGAAACAAATGGGAAGAACGTTCCAAATCACATGACTAGGATTTCTCATTTGTTTCCAGTTTGTTTCCAGCTTCTGTTGTTTCCAGTTTTCTATTGAATTCTTTTGCCACCAAGCGGGAGACAGGGTTTTGAGGGTGTGTGGGTGTGAGACGGGTCCACACATGGGGGTGTCGCATGACACACAATGGCGAGGGGAAAATCAGGGAAGATAGTGGCAAGGGCATGGAAAGGGTGAAGAAGCTATGGTTAATGGTTTTAGAGGTCTCCTAATCACTGAAAATACGCTCATGAGCGACCGATTGGGCGCGCAATTTTATTGATATGTAAAACAATTGGTCATTTTGTACCAGGCTGTCATCCGTCACCTCATCACGTGATCGGCGAACGACTCGAAAAAAGATTCTGAACGTGGTCTCTATTTTTTCTGGTTTGAATCACAGTTGCATTGCTACATTTTCCAGCATTTGAGAATCTCTTGCTCAATTTTGCTCCTTCTTTCTTTCTTTCCACTACCACGTCCGTCAAACACGAATTATGATTTTCACACTGCCCTTCAGCGTAATAGGTTCAATATTTAGATAGCTTATTTATTCCGGCATAATCTGGACTCTTGAGACACACGCCCGCCCGCCCATCTCTCATTTCAAATCATAGCTGTAAACCATGGTATTTGGTCTCGCCAAATACCATACTAATCACTTATATAGTGGTTCTCTATATGTCATTAGTAGTCTGGCCAGACACGAAATTGTAAACAATAAACATTTTCTACGAAACACGTCACGTGTGCAAGACCCCATTTGCACGCTACGATCTATCCAGAAGATTCAGACCTATTCAATGAGTCCCCCGAGACTATTCGTTCAGCCATTATAGAGACTCATCCATCAGCTTTTCCCGTTCATCACTGTCTTTTTGCAGGACCGCCATCTTCAGTCACACTCGTACTTAATGATCTGAAACATGTCATCATTTTCAACCTATTTCCCGCCTCTTCTCCTCCCTTCCACATTATCCTTAAAACCATCCATACTGTGCTTCAAATTCTCGACTCCTTGGTTTTCAAACCTACGAGTTTATTTGCCCAAGACCAACGACACACCCGTACAATATGACCAAAACCCGCTTATTATCGATCCAGGCCTTAAAGGCCTAGCTAGCTCGTCGATTTGTCAAAGTCCCAGATATCTTAGAAATCTCGAAAACGTCAATAGCCATAACAGATGAGTATAAATACGAAAGTAAAATTAAGCTCGAGAACTTGACCATAAAGTTTGAAGTCTTGTATAATTCTGTTATATGATCAATAGCAGAAGCTTTCCATACTTCAAAAGCCTCAAAAGCTTTAAAAGCCTTAAAAGCCTTAAACTCACCAACTTTTCATCACACCCTTTTAGAATGGTTCATCACAGAGTTACTATCATTGGTTCTGGTCCTGCAGCTCACACTGCAGCGATCTACCTTGCCAGAGCAGAAATCAAACCTACCTTGTATGAAGGTATGTTTGCCAACGGTGTGGCAGCTGGTGGACAGCTTACCACCACCACCGACATTGAAAACTTTCCAGGATTCCCAGAAGGTATGTCGGGCACTGACCTCATGGAACGTATGAAACAACAATCTGAAAGATTTGGCACCGAAATCATCACGGAAACAGTGGCCAAAGTGGACACTAGCTCCAGACCGTTCAAGCTGTGGACCGAATTCAACGAGGACGCTGAGCCTCACACCACTGACGCTCTAATCCTGGCCACAGGCGCGTCTGCCAAGCGTATGCATTTGCCAGGCGAAGATACTTACTGGCAACAGGGTATCTCGGCTTGTGCGGTTTGTGACGGTGCCGTGCCACTGTTCAGAAACAAGCCGCTAGCCGTTATCGGTGGTGGTGACTCTGCTTGCGAAGAAGCCGCCTTTTTGACCAAATATGGTTCCAAAGTGTACATGCTCGTGCGTAAGGACCATTTGCGTGCCTCGACCATTATGCAGAGACGTGCCGAGAAAAACGAGAAGATCGAGATCCTGTACAACACCGAGGCCCGTGAGGCCAAGGGTGACGGCAAATTCTTGAATGCTCTCAGAATCTTCAACAACAAGACAAACCAGGAATCGGATCTACCTGTCAACGGGTTGTTTTACGCCATTGGCCACACCCCAGCCACTTCGATTTTGGCTGGTCAAATTGACCTCCACGAAAATGGCTACGTCAAGACTGTGCCAGGTACTGCCCTAACATCAGTGCCCGGTGTGTTTGCAGCCGGTGACGTCCAGGACTCCAGATACAGACAGGCCGTCACCTCTGCCGGATCCGGTTGTATGGCCGCTCTAGATGCCGAAAAGTTCTTGTCTGAACAGGATTAAATTCCTCTGTTCCACTACTCCTCCCATTGTATAGATGTAATTACGAAACCCAAGACCTTTTTTTGATAGACTTTCGTGCTGTTTTTTTGAGTAACGCTTTTTCTTCACCGATAGCGGCAGTTCGACCTTTTTATTCTACAAATTTCAGATTTCTCCAGCAGTGTTATAGGCTTCTTTACCGTGCTATACAGTTCTATTTTCGTAAATTTTCACTAAATCCCCCATGGCGGCGTTTTGTCCTCTTCAATGCCGTTTCAATTGCAAAGCTCTCACTTGTTCTTCCAATTTCTTGACCTTCGTCTGCACATCTTCTAGATCACCGTTCAATCTGATTCTCTCATTCACGATGTTTTGTTCCCATTGTCTAAACCTCTGCTCCTCTGCCTTAACTTGGTCAGTGAAATACTTCTTCAAAGCATTTTCTTCCTCCTTGAACTGTGGGTTGTGTGACAGTTTCCTGGCAGGTGCACGTACTGGCACAGATTGATCATCAGACGCACCAGATCCTTCGAGACGGAGCTTCCTGTAGGCCTCGTAATGCAATTCTTCAGTTGAAAGTATTAAGTCCAACAAGTTTGTTCTCAACAACAGACTTCTCAGCTTGCGGAAGTCACAATGGTTGTCGTTTTCCACTTCCACGACCCCCCATGGGTATTTTCTTGCAGGAACCATAGTTCCCTGACCATTGTCGAACTTGGTTTCTGATCCGATCACCGCAAATGGCATAGATTCAATAAGCTGGCGGGCGTGTTCCATGACTGCAGGGTCCGGAGAATCCGATTCGTCCAATGGAGGTGTGAAAATGCGGATATCTTGAGCCTCCACCACCTGTCTGATCCGAAGCTTAAATTCTTGCAATTCTTTGGCTGTCAAAGTGTCCGATTTAGCAATCACGGGAATCAAATTGGCACGCGTTGAAATCCGTTTCATAGTTTCAATATCGAGTGGTTTGAGCCCATGTCCTGTGGGTCTGATAAAATACAACACCGCGTGAACTCTAAGATCAAATTTCACGTCACGGTGCGGTTGTTGCTCTTGACGCATGTACGAATCATGTTGTTCATCGATAAAGTCCACAATGGTTTGCCAAGACTTGTTGTTGTTGACATTGTCGCCAAAACCAGGCGTGTCGATAACGTTGACTCTTAGCGAGAAATTCTTTTCCTCCAAGATGGCACGCATCACGTCAATTTCCACCGTTCTCTTGATGGGCTGGTTGCGACGTTGGTGAGGATCCGCATGTTTCAAAGCCGTTTGGAATAAGGTGTTGATAAACGTAGTCTTCCCCAAACCCGATTCACCACACACCATCATTGTGAAAGTTCCACCTTGTTCAGACACTATTTTGAAGCGCTGGTTGGGCAAATTGGACACCCCAACTATAATATTTTCAGAGGTCATAGCTTAAAGAATGAGATACACTCGATTGGCGAGATCCTAAGGCTTGATTGGAATGGATGGATCTATATCAAATATTGATGGTTTATGAGATCTTTGTTATTATATGTATGTCTTTTTCAATCAATTCTTTCGAGCCTTAGTTTTAGATCGGGCTGCTTCGAAAATTTAGTCACGTGGCCGTTGAGTAGCAAGAGCGTGTATTTAGGAGACAGAGAGTTGAGAGGTATCGAATGGTGATGAGAGTATTAAAGGGGAATAAGGTAATGGCTGTATGAGATATTTCTTTATCCCTTCTGTGTGAATTAAGCCCTTACTTTTTGGTTGTTGAACTTTTTTCGTGTATAGTGATCTGCCGAGTTTCTTTCGAAGGAATTGAGACTTAAGAGTGATGTTTGAGGAAGTGGAGTGAGGCGTAAGATGTGTGTTTGCTCTTTTAACATTGTCTCCTTAAAACTTAAAATTATTGCGAGGTCGAAATAGTTTGAATAAAGAACCACCATCACGTGACTTGTGATAATCCTTTTTGAGTAGGCAGTTGAATGGACAAGAAGAGTTCTTTCTCTTGATGGTCTCGTCTTTCACTCCCCATTCGGTTCTGGAATAAACCTAGGGACTCTTCTGACTCTTTGACAAGTTCAATGAGTTTTATTTTTGGTCGATTTTTTTTATGAGAAATACGTCGTCGTGCTTTCCCCGTAGATCAACAACTACATTACAATCGAGAATGATTATGGAAATTTTTTGGGCACTCCCCCATTCAGCAAACAACCATTTAGCATCACTCTAGCTTATCGTTCTTGTCGAACATCGAGTCATCTGCTTTCTGTCACTTTGGCCATTTCTGGCATAACAGCATTAGACCCAGTCAATTCAAAACAAATACCGCGCTTATAGGTCTTGAATAGCAGTTTCTGATTGTTGTGATCGCTAAAACCTTTTAGCTGCACGTTAATCAGCTCAATCCATTGAAAGTGACGGCTTAAAAGCTTGAGTTCTTTGGATTCGGTAGCGATCTCTCAATGATAGAGTAGCCAGGTCTCGAATCTTGTAAATTATATTAACATCTGAAAAGTGTTAAAATCAAGAACATCATAGCACGACAACTGCTACAGTCGAAGCGTTTTGGCATCACCTTTACTGCTGTCATCCAACTATGCCAGAACTTCCGTACTACACCAAGCTTCTTTTAACGTCTCCTCCCCAGTTGACTCCACAAGATCTTCATGCTGCGATCATTCTAATCATCGAAGCCTTAGCGTCCGATTCCAACAACAGTCTTGAAGTATATGTGCCAATCGCTAGCTTTTTGACAAGTCTGAGAACCACAGGCCTCGATTTGAAAGCTGAATACATCGCCAAAGCTGCAGAAGCCGTTTTGCAGTACTCTAATGTGGTCAAATTAGCTTCTCCATCCACTGCATCAAACGTCACTACTATCGACATTGTAGGGACAGGAGGCGACGGCCAGAATACCTTCAATGTTTCCACTTCTTCTGCGATTGTTGCTTCCGGGATTCCAGGCATAAAAGTGTGCAAACACGGTGGGAAAGCTTCGACGTCGAATAGTGGTGCAGGAGATCTGATCGGAATGCTAGGATGTGATTCTTCCAAAATAAACAGTCGCACCGTGCCGCGCTTATGGGACGACAACTCTTTCTTGTTTCTGCTGGCACCGTTTTTCCACAACGGCATGAAACACGTGGCGCTGCTGCGCAAACTTCTCCAGATACCCACTATTTTCAACGTCTTGGGACCCATGCTGCATCCTGTTGGCTGCGTTCAAAAAAGAGTTTTGGGTGTTTACTCCAAAACGCTTGGTCTGGAGTATGCCCGTGCCGCGGCCATGGTATATCCGGAGAGCGAGGTTTTCGTTGTTTGGGGCCATGTGGGTCTTGACGAAGTCTCCCCCATTGGCAAGACCACTGTGTGGCATACCAAAGCAGGAAACAAGGCGCAAATTGAGTCTTTTGAAATTGAGCCCTCGATGTTCGGTCTCCAAGAACACCCACTCACTGAATGTGCGTCTTTGGGCCCTCAAGAAAACGCCAAAACACTTACGACAATTCTCGATGGCAAGTACCGCAGCGGCGAAAATGCTATCTACGATTACATCTTGCTCAATACGGCAGTGCTATACTGTTTGTGCAATGGGCATAAGGACTGGGCTTTAGGTGTAGAAAAGGCTGAGGATGCCATTCACTCTGGGAGAGCCAAAGATTCGCTGCTGAAGTTTATCTCAGACACCAAGGCCCTGTGAATTTGCTCAGTAAGCTAACCTTACTGAGACCTATAGAGAGTATGTGTAATTAACTTCGACCATAATAGTCAAGCTTCAAATGTGAACGTTAAAAGCCCTAAGTGAGGTCAATTAAAAAACAAAAGAGGCCTTTAAACAGATGTCACAAACCAAAGAACTGGAAGGTATACCAGAGTTCTTATTAGCGTTCCTCTTGGTGCCTGAAAGGTAAGATAGAAGTATACTTACATAGCTGTCATGTGACCTGTTTGTCATTTAATCGCGTCGTCATCTTCTTTATTGACAGTTTTACGCGTCGCACAAGAAGTACACAGCAACTAAGCTGCTTTACTCAAGTTGTCCAGAGAGGAGCAAATGGTGCATTCTCCTAGTACACCTACTGCTGGTGATGGAAAAGCACAGTACGAATTTACACCCATAGGACAAGCTAAAAGCGTATCAAAGCCAGGAAGTCCCTCTGATGACCCGAAAAAGCGGGCATCTCAAATAGAAGAATCGTTACTGAGTCCAGAAAGAGAAGAGGATGGACCACGTAAAAGGGCCAGAACATCCGATGATACCTTGAACTCAACACGGATATTCAACGAGTCTTCATTCGATGATACGCTGCCTTCTCATGCCGGAATACCCAGTCTACGAAGGAATCGAGCTAATGAGATCATCGGTCAAGCAAACGGCGATAATGAAAACGTTGGAGCGTCTAATCCATTAAAGGAGCAGCAGGACACGATGTATAAGCTGAATGTGGAAAATTACAACCTCAGAGTGAAGTGCAACAGTCTGCTGAAATTTTTGAATAATGTAACAGATGAAGGAGAACTCAAGGAAAACCTAGCCATTATGGATGAGCTTCAGGACTGGAAATCCAAATATCAAAAGCTTGCAGCGTCATACAGGGAGCTACAGCTGAAATTTGATGAAAGTGGGGACTTGGAAAGCCGCAGGCGAGAAACCACCCTACAAAATGAACAGCTTGCAGATTTGGAGGAGAAACTGAGAGAATACCAGGAAAGCGTCAGCAAGTCGAAAGAACACATCACTAAACTTGAAAATAAACTAAAGATCTCTACTAATGGATCGAACGCAAGAGGAGGCGAATTAGAGGTTAAGGTTCGAGAGCTACGCGAACAAATCCATCATTTAGAAGCTCAAATCGCTGAAAAAACTAAACAAGTCAAAGATAGGGAAGGAGAGATCGACAAACTCAACAGCACCTTGAAACGGCAAGATGCTGCTTATCAGACTCTACAAAAAAAGACTGAGCAGCAACTGCAAAAAATCGAAGATCTAGAACTAAAGGTCCAAAATACCGAGCAACAGGTTCAAAAGTTGAAACGAGCGTTGGAGACCGCCAGAAGCGAGTTACAAACTACAACACTCGGAACGGAAACGCGCGATGCTAGTACACAGCTGCGAATTGATAGCCTTCAGGATACTAACTCCAGACTACAAAGAGAACTGGACCAAGCTCTGTCCGAGTTCCACCAAAGCCAAGCGCAGATAGAAAAGCTCAATTCAAGGGCTAAAGATATGGCCGTCAACATAAAGATGAAAGATGATCAGATACACACTTTACAGCACGAAATAAAGCAAACACGCCACCGGGCGTCTCATCGCAAGGATGATGTACAAGAGAACAGCTTACTGAATGAAAAAGTGAAAGCCTTGACCGCTGAACTTCAGCGCATAATAAAGGAAAAGGAGAGCCTAGAAAAGGACAACGACAGCCTGCGGGAAAGAATCGTCACACAGGCAACCAGATCACCGGCGTTGAAGGAGAATCGAAGGACGCAGGAGAGGGCGCTTGACATTTCCAAACTTCAACTCAGAGTGGAGGAGCTGCAAAACGAACTGAACCTTTCACAAAAGTCAGCTGTTGCTGCCAGACAAAACCACAGCATGGAAGTAGAACGGCTACAAGCTCAGATTGAGAATTCCGATATGCAGCCGTTCATGGCAAAGAGAAAATTAGAGAAGGAAGTCAGCATTCTGAAAATGGAGCTTGAGTCTCTTCGCGAGACAAAAGATCGCGAAATCTCGCTATTGGAAAACAGATGCGAGATGCTGAAAAAGGAAAACGCACATTTGTTGCAGCAAGCTGCTTCGCAAGCAGACCTATCTCAAAGGCAGATTGCGGAGAAACAAAAAGAGATTGATGAGTTGATTCAAAGATGTAGTGGTCTGTCCACTGAAAGGTTAAAACTAAAGAAAGATTTGAGCCAAGCACAAGAATCTGAAGCACAGAAGATCGGGGAAATGTCAAAACAAGCATCTCGTCTGGAATATGTGACGAATGAATTTGTAAAATATAAAGAATTGACAGGATCCAGCTCTGACCCGAATGCAGCGACGCTCAATGAGAGGTGGTCTGAAAAATATCGAAACATGAAGCGCAAGATCCTTCAAGAGCTGAAGGCTTTGCAAAGCGAAAACCTCGATCTCGAAAGGAGACTTTTGGAGGGCAGAAAGCCAGTTCCACGCTCTGCAAGCCCTGATTTGAACAAACTATCCCTAAAGGACCAACTTGACTATTACAAATTACGGTATCGTCACGAAACTGTGCACAACAGCGATTTGCGGGTCATGAACGAATACTTGAATAGAGTGCTGAGAGCCAGCTCTCGGCATCTTCGTCTTGACATAATGAAGCTTGAAGACGAGGCTTTATCGGACCTTTCGCCAGATTACACCAGTCACCATCGTCGTCGTCTGAAGTTTAAAACCGTGGCCTTGATGGTCTTGGCCGCCGTTCGCTTCGAACACGCCGCGCAGAGAGTACGTTGGGACGCCCAGCGCCTTCATTACCTCCGACAAAAAATTGTGCTGGACCAAGACCGCGTTACTTGGTAATACGGCATGCACTCCAGCATCATCGCTTGCTGAGATCTCTGTGGTCTGCAATGACTTTTTGCAGTCGTGGCTCGAACGACTCCACGATGCCATCGAGCTGGTCAAGCATGTCGAAGTGTGCTTCCAGGTCGTCACATTTGGCAAGCACTTTTTTAAGCTCATTGACGTTTTTGTCAATCACTTGTTCGATTATGCCCTGCTCTATCAAGCGGTTCTGCTGTTCGCATATCTCAATTGTTCTCAATTGGATAGACGATACGTAGTCATGAATCTTGTACAGCAGGTAATCATAGTCCACGCAAAGCCGGTCGATACCAAATGGATCCCTCTGTTCTTGTGTGGGTTCTGTATCTTCACTAGCCATGGTTATGGCGATGTTCAAGAAAGCTGTGGGATGTTCTGTACTGGTCTTCCAAATGGTCTTCCCAACCTGTCCCGTAAAGTGAACTAATTGAACTCTTCTTCACGACAGTATGTGCAATAATGATCCGATGCACAGTTGCTTACTGTTCGAGGAAACACAGAGCATGAAGAGGCAGCGTGCTTCTTGAGCCGAAACCAGATTGAGCACTCACAGGTTTTGAGATCAAAATTTTGAAGTATAGTTATGGCCACAGTGCTGCATTTTCCACATATTATGATGTGAAGCCAACTTACCAGCAAAACGCCTCGAGAGATCGCGGAAAAGACACCAATTGAATTTTCCAGACTCCAAAAAATACCGATCATTGAGATTATCGATCCCGGCTGATTTAAGCTTGTTCTCTTCTCTCTGTTGAAACTATTATTTTATTTCCCGTCGTCGTCATATCTGAACTGTTTTCCCACGTCAATAGAATTTCAAAATTTGACCCTATCAATGCTAACTTTATGAACTTGACCAAATACTCAAATTTTAGCAGAAGCAAGCATTGATAAACCCAAGCTAGAGGCTTTCTTGTTCTGACCATTCGAACTCGGAAGCTACGCAACAGACGAGAGATTTCATACTTTTCTGGCCTCTTCTCATTGTTGTCGTTATACAAGGTTCTATCTAGGGGAATAATAAACGCTTCAAAATAAGAAGTTTATCGCAGAAATCGTGGTAAAGCCGTCTTTTTGATCCAATCGAACCTGAAAATCAATTATGTCGCAAAGAATCTATTTGACAGACCAACCTGTGAGAAGACCACAACCCACCGGGAACTCACTGGTGAGAAAAATCCAAAGAGCTTGTCGATTGACACTTGATGAACCCGATCTTGGACTGAATTTGGACGTAGCGGACTTCATCAACGCCAAACAGGGTGCAGCCCCCAGGGATGCAGCAATTGCCATTGTCAAGCTCATCAACAGTCGCGATACACATACAGCTGTGTTTGCATTGGCTCTTTTGGACGTTTTAGTGAAAAACTGCGGGTACCCTTTCCATTTGCAAATATCGCGGAAAGAGTTTCTCAATGAATTGGTCAAACGGTTCCCCGAAAGACCACCTTTGCGTTTCACCAAAGTCCAGCGTTTGGTGCTAACAGCAATCGAAGAGTGGTACCAAACAATCTGCAAGCATGCAGCCTACAAGGAAGATCTAGCGTACATCAGGGATATGCATCGTCTCCTCAAGTACAAGGGCTACATTTTCCCAAAAATCAAAGAAGAGGACTTATCGGTTCTTAGACCAGGAGACCATCTCAAAACTCCAAGCGAGATTCAAAAAGAACAGGAAATTGCTCAGGCAGCAAAACTCGAGGAACTTATTAGACGTGGTCGTCCAGAAGACTTGAAAGAGGCTAACAAACTTATGAAAGTTATGGCTGGATTCAAAGAAGACAATGCCATCAAATCGAAACAGCTAATTAATGACGAGCTTTTCAAATTAAAGCGTAAAGCCGATTTGTTCAAAGACATGCTCAGTACTTCGGAAACTCCAAGTATGGAAAATGAGACTTTAGTGGAGCTCTACAGTGCTTTGAAAGTTTCTCAACCCAAATTTCAAAAAATCATCGAAGAAGAGCACGACGATGACGCGTTGGTGCAAGACATTTTGCAATTCAACGATACTGTTAACCAACTGGTTCAGAAATACAACTTACTCAAAACTGGTAATCCCGGAGAGGCAGCAAACATTCAGGTGCAATCCCTATCAGCCCCAGCTCCTGCAGGTCGGTCAGGAGGTGCTCTTGCGAACGAATTAGACTTGATTGATTTTGGTGATGCCGACGAACCATCTCCTTCCCCTTCACCCGCTGAAGCCTCTAGTAATCCCGTCGACGATCTTTTGGGGGATTTGAACAATTTGAACTTTTCTCAACCTCCTCAAAGTTTTGGCTTGGGCGGAAGCATAGCGCTTGGAGCAGCTCAACCAACCACTCAGACCCAAACAACCCCCGCAGCTGGGCTGGACTTGTTGTCCGGGTTCAATGACTCGGTGTCGCTATCCCCACCACCTCCTCCTCCTCGCCAAGATTTGTTTGGCGCAGACAGTTCGGTATTCAGTGATTTTACGGAAGGGACGGGCGCGTCTGGTGCAAGCAGGGTTGAAGTCTTCGATTCGGAGCACCTGAAGATTGAGTTTGAGGTGTCAAGACAGTCAGAGAAAACTATCATGATCTCATCGTTCTTCTCCAACTCAGGAACCGCCCCAATTTCGGATTTGACTTTCATGGTTGCTGTTCCAAAGTCAATGACATTGAAATTAGATCCTCAATCAGGTAACTTCATTTCTGCAGGCCTGAAAGACGGTGTCAAGCAATTTGGATCAATCGAAAACGCCTTCCAAAATGCCAATAAGCCACTGAAAGTCAAGTGGAAAGCCACGTACACTGTGAATGCCACACCAGTCGTGAAAACCGCGGTATTCACCTTGCCCCAGATTTAGACAAATTCGGTCTTACATCAACTGTGTTACCGCTACTGCTTTGTATGAACAGAAATAGGTACATATTCAACCTCTTCAAGAGTGTCCTTGAAGTCACTCATATATACTCTATTTACCGCGTTGAAGTTGTTGAAGTATTTCCTGAGGAGTTGGGGAATGAATCTTTTCACCTTTCGGCTCAGTACTGTATTTATTTTCAGCACTATTTTGTACTTTTTGTTCGCGTTGCTGTTCGATGGGAATTCCTTTGAACTGGCTGTTAGAGGACCTTGGATACTGCTTTACTTGCATCTTGTTTGGTGTTTGTGTGGTAACCTTCACGCCGCTTTCTGCTGAGACTCCTCGAGTTATTCCCGTCCCATTATTGACGGCTCTGCGTTGACCAGATGGAGGAGAGCTATGTGGTAGAGCTCTGGTGTGCCCTCCAGTGGGAAGACCTTGAGTCAAAGCCGCCGCTTGCAGCTTCTGCTTCGCAATTCTTCTGATCTGGATATCTCTTCGAAGGGCATCATCGCGCTGCGCCTTCAGTTGTGACATTTCAGCCGGCGTTGGCACAGTAGTATTTTTACAGTCAAGAGGCTTCCGCGGCTGAGTAGGGTTCGGTCTTGGAGCATTTTCACGTTTTTTGATGCATTTCCTCATGGCCTCGAACATGCTTGCCCAACGCAGCCGTTTGTGTCCTCTTTGTATGGATTCTTCGCCAATTCCGAGCGGAGATATACGTCTTTTCTGCTGCTGCTGTAATTTGTGCGCCTCTATCAGCCATACCTGGGCATTATGTGCGCGAGGTCCCTTCATATCGATGAATTGAAACTTCTCATTGAGCTGAATGAAACGTTCAAAGCATTGCCAAGGTGTGCGTCTCTCAATATTCGAGCAATAGGATGTAGTTGGCCTTGACGACATGTGCGCGCTTATCAAGTCCCAGTTGTAAGCGTATGTATTAATGTTTCTGACCAATTCTTGATCGTCCTGGGGCAGCCAAATCGTTGGAGTCCTGTATTTCAAATATCTCAAAGACGGTGCAATAGGGGGACGTAAGTAGTGGCTGCGTCTGTTTCCGTAGAACATTCCTCTTCTTTTGCTGAATGGTACCAACGATGGCTCTTCGTCTATGATTTGCCTTTCAACTAGCTTCGAAAAATGATTGTCGTCCAGCAAAACCGTTGCCTTTGAAATGGGTTCAAACGGTACGACGGGAGCCGCCGTGCTCTCCCCGTCAAGGTCAAATACACCCGAAAAAAGGCGCAAATTATCGATGACCTTCTTCTCAATATAGTTGAATTCGTCAGTCGAAACGTGAAGCTTAAAGGGCGATTTCGTTTTCTTTTCCCTGACATACGATTCTTCATCGGTTTGTGGAAGCTTTAGAGCCTTGATCTCATCAAGAGGATCTGGTCTTTTAAGAAGCAAAGCGATATCGATCGTATCTACTGTATTGGCGACCTCGGTATTCTCATCATTAGGAATGGTTTTGTCATTCTGCGTCGAATTTGATTCCAATTCGGAACTCTCATGTGCTTGCTCAGGTTCAGCGACGGGTGAAATCTCTGGCTCACTCTCTGTTTCGTTTTTGATGGGTTCGAGGTGCTTTGTTGGAGCCGTCTTCACACAACACACCCTACCGTAATTCCAAAAATCCATTACGCCCTGCGCGATGGTTAGGCAGACTGCCCTCTTATATTTGGTATGCTCATAAAAATCGTAATGCATCCACTTGGCCTCTCTTAATAGATGGCCGTGGTGAGACTCCGTATCCTTAGCTTTTTCCCAAGGATCCAAAGGCTTCTTGGGCTGTCTCAAAGACCACAATCCTTGTCTACGCAGCTCTTCAATTCTAGAGCTTACCACGGCTATCCTGCATTCGTTTAGAGCAGTAGTCATGATCTCTGACGTTAGCACTTTATGAGCCGTGGGAATGAGTTTCACGAGAGGCAGCGTTTGGGAATTGAATTTGAGTTCTGACAAAGAAACAGCCTGAGGTATCAGTGATGGGATAGTGTCATTCATTATTAAGTAGACACTTTCCTTAGAATTGATATTTTGTTCGTGAAAAAGCGCCTTTTTCTCTGGTTGGTTATGCATGATTTCACGAATAAGAGGGTTGATTCGTTTGACTTCAGAAACCCTGTGTTCTGTACTCCTTCCTCTTGCGGAACTGCTTGTTTTCTGACGCTTCGCATCACCATGGCCCTCGTGTACTGTCACGGCCTGGCTTGACTCTTGGACGTTATTAGCGGGTCGCTGTGGTTCACTAGCTTCCGTTGTGTCATCTTCCCTCGCTCGTTTTCCTCCTGCTGTCACAATGGACGCTTCCTCGATGCCTTCAGCTGTCTCGTCACTTGCTCTTAACGGCAAATGATTGTTTATGCTTGGCTCCTCATGCCCGGCAATCTCTTTGATTTCCCGGCTAGCTTTCTTTTGGTCCTCAAAAGCTTTTTTGTGATCTTCCTTTTCATGCTTCACTTGCTCTTTATCTCGCTTGGAACTTTCCACTGGAGTGCTACTTCGACTCTTTAAAAGCTTCCTCTCTAATGGTGGATCGACTTGTGAGAATTTAGGTAGCGTATTCCGATCAAACCTGTAACCTTTGCGGATATCGTGAATGTCAAGAAACTCATTGATCTGTGTGGTGAGTTCTTTCTCATTAGTTATTTGTAGAAAATCTTGTATTCTAGACAGACAGTATAGTTCTGTTATCAGTCTACTTCTTTCTGCAATGAGCTGATCCAATCCGACGCCATCGTCTGTCGTAGATTTCCTATCGAATTTTGTCATTATACGGTAAGGCTGCTTAAAAGCGATGATCAACAAAAGTCGACAAACACAAGAAACTCACGAGCGAAGCTCGTCGTTTTTTGAGCCGTGCAGTTCAGGACCTTATGCCTGCCAGTAGCGTGCTATCCGTCAGCTCGAAATCGGCTCCTAGCGTCTTGATATGTGCGCTTTCTATACATTTTATGTTCTTGTTCTGTTGATGTTCAAAAGTTGATCAACTTTGACAAACTAGTCCCTTCGTTCACAATGCTATCAACACTTCTGATGCTTGACTTCAGAAGGTGAGCCCTGCCGATAGTTGTGATGTACTGATTGATATCTGCCACTCGCCCCAGCGCTTAGTGTTCTTACCAGCTGGCCACCAATGATGTTACTTCTTCGATCGACTTCAGTAAAGAAGGATGGTCGATAACGACGTAGGTGGAAATGAGGCCCTTACGACTCTCGGAATCGATATGTATCTTTGCATTGCTTTCGAGAAACCGGTCTTCTTCATGGAAGTAATCGATCTCTGAAGTCTTGACTCGCTTGCGGCCTTGGCCAGGATTTTCATCATCGTCCACTTCTACGTTGACTTCGAATTTTCGACTCATAATCACGTAGTAGTCGTAAGTCTTTCCTCCGCCAAGACTGCTGGAAGCGTCTTCCAGAGTTATGTTGAACAGGGGAGCGATGATCTCGGGAGGCATGTTTATGAGTCTTTCGCCTAGTACCAAGGCGCAGGTTTTATTAGAATTGTCAATGGACTTGAAAAAATCGGCCATTTTGGGATCGGTTTTTTTCAAGTAGCTCGCATAATCGGAGTTTTCATGCGATTTGTAGTCGATGAATGACAAAAAACAGTAAGGGTCCGATTCTTGACCATCGGTTTTGATAGTGGTAGTAGGCGATTCCAAGATCAAATCAGCCAGGGCACTTAGCGAAACTTTGTTAGACTCCTGGGGGCCCATCAGTTGACGCATAAGGTTCTTGAAAGCATGGAAATCCACATCTTTGTTGGCGTTGAAAAAGTCAAAGTCTATGTTCACAATCTCTTGCTCTTCACCGCTTCCATCTTCATTTTCTGAGTCTGTGCTGCTGATATCGATGTCGGACTCGGCATCTTGCAAATCCCGTTTACGTTTGATCGCATCGCTGAGCTTAACGGAAGCAACCATCTTGTGATTTGAATTGGTTATCGAGCTTTTCAACTTACAAGTTATCCATCGAGGTCATCTCATCGCATCATTGTTCATTATTTGATGCATAGAAATTTGAGCTTGATGGTGATTTCGTTGAAAATGATACATTGCTGAAGACACTTTGGTACTTTGGCATTTATCCTAACTCATGGGCTAGCTTTAAATTTATTTCGAGAGAACTATAGCTATTTTATGACCTTGTGCAGCATTTTCTTTATTCTTTCTCACCCACGTTTGACAGGATATCTCATCTGGACTTAATGTAAATTTCATATAAATTATTTTTGGGGCTAGAGCTTTGGATATGATAAAAAAGTGTGCAGAAAATAGACATACGCTCCTCTGTGGAAGATTTATGCCTCTCCTTCGCAATCACCAAGTTTTTTCATGGCACTTTTAACTTGATTGTCGCTGACTTCAGTCACGTGACTTCTATCATATAAATTCCAAGTTATTACCTGCACGGGACGTGAGATCAAAGAGCCGATGCCCTTCCTATCACCTCATGCATTGAAGCCCACCGAGCTCTTTAGATGAGTTTCAAACCACTTGGGCCTTCAGATGTGGCGACAGAAACGCTGCAAAAATTCAAACAACTCTATAATGTCAAAACCTCGGACGCCTTTCTTTTAGGTTCTTCAACCATCACCGACGAGATGAAGTGCATTGGTACCTTTGTAGACTTAGATCTATTAAGAAATAAGAATACCAGTGATGGCCCAATTGAGCTATTGAGAATACCTCATGTTTCGACCTTCTCTATTCACACTATTCTGAATATAATAAATGACAAGTCTCAGTACCCCACGCAACAGCAGTTTGAGGACACAATAAGCATTGTAAAACAATTTCTGGCCTCAAGCCTGTCCAATGATGCGATTGCTGCGAATCTCTCCGAAACGCTCGTCCTAGTGGTTTACTTTGTTGTTTTCGAACGATTGCAACAAATGGGATATGCTCTACCGGCAATCATTTGCGATTTTTTGAGTAACGTATTACTGACTACTCAAGTCGGGTCCTTTTACACTGCTCTACCTGATTTCAAAACGGATGTCAATCTTGAGCTCATGGGGCAGTATGGGCTGTCGGACCTGTCCTGTGTTTTCGAATCGTTAGTAGACATTTGCAGTCAGAGCTTTGACGCCGCTGCGGATCCAAAAGTTGTCGCCAGCATTATGGCAAGCGTCATTTCACGTTGTCTAGAGATTCCACAAGAACTTGAAGCAAACAGTGACGATTTCCAGGTCCACACCACTTTGGTACCTATATTGGACTATGCCAATCACGACAATCAACGTGTGAACGCTCATTTCGACATTGATCGTCAAACAAACGACCTTTTGTTATATTTGGACATCGAAAAGTGTCTTGATAAAGGTGGTATATGTGAGGTCTTCATAAGTTACGATCCGATTCACGAGTTTGTGCACTTTCAAAAAGTCTACGGATTTAGTCCTCCTTTAGAACCTGACACGCCCTCATACATGAATTGCTGTCTTGACAAGAAGTTTTTGGCCAGTAACATGAATCTCGATCTCTTTTACAAATGGTTTGATATCAAACCCTGCGTACAATTTTGTTTTTTCGATGGCCGCGTTTACATCAATGACTGCATTGAAAGCTTCAAATGGCTTACCATACCTTTTTTCACCCAAGAATTTCCGACCCAACCGTCTGCAAAGTTTTTCTACGACGAGCAGGTTCCCAAAATCTTTGCTCGGTACTTTGCTCGCGCTCGAGGAGGTGATGCGGGGGACTTCATTGATATCTGCCAGGAACAAGTGGAATATAGCCAGCAAAGCGGGTCTGAGAGTATCGACATGCCTCAACTAGCCTGGGTCTTACAATACGCGCAAGATAATGTGACTGTCCGTCGTCGCCTTGATAAAAAACAGATAACGGAATTGTCTGAGTACAATTTCAAGTTAGCCAGAGATTCTTTTGTCGCATACCTACTGAAGTACTTGCAATGGCGCCAAAAACAATTACAAGACAAACTGACTTCTCTTTCAATTTCTTTGAAAAGCGTTGCGACGCTTGAGCTCGACATGATCACTCAAGTCATACGTCAAAGAGAAAGTAACGGGTGTCTGTTTTTGAGTGACACAAATTTGGATCGGAACAGGTTTCAAGACCAACCAATCCCGCCTTTGCTCGCAACGTCTAGTCACCGCTATTCTAGTCCTGCGACGCAAGAAAGGGTGAACTTTGAAGATCAGTTTTCATCAACTGACCCGCAAGCGGAATACCTATATTATGAATACTTTTTCTCGCCCTGACGCTACACAAAAAACAAAGAGTTTGTCTCCAATGCTCTATAAAACTCTGATTGTACCGCTTGTGATTGCTTATGCAGCTGCGCTTCATATTCGTCTCGAAAACGGCGACGTGAAGTGCTTCTACGAACATCTGGACCCTCAAAAGATTCTTTGGGCCAGATTTGAGACCACGCTTGTAAATAGTCGGCTCGCCTCCAATCCAGATGCATCTTTCAATTTGATAGTTACCGTTGATGAAACTTTCGACAATGACCATAGGGCTTTGAGCCAGCAATTGAAGTCTTCAGATGAGATTGTGTTCACTGCGCTTGAAAGCGGAGAACACCGCATCTGTTTACGTCCTTCCGCAGCAAACTCTAGTTCCATGCTCTCAGTACAGTTGAGTTTCAATATATCGACTTTGCGGTTGCCGGAGGTCGAATATGCACAGAAAGCGCACGATGCTAGAGATAGAGTTGGACGATTGATAGCCCGTTTGGAAACACTTCGTAATAATCAAAGGGCAATCAAAGCGAAGGAAAAAATGGCAAGGGACTACAGCAGCTACGTCCACACCAGAGTATTGATTTGTTCACTTTTTCAAATGGCCGTTTTGATCATTTCATGCGTGATGCAGTTCAAGGTACTAAAGAGGGTTTTTGAGCACAGACGCCAACCATAAAGAAAAGCCTTTGGAAAAAAAAGATGGCATAATATCACCGCGAGTTCATTCACATCGTTGCGCTTCCTGAACAATCAGATTTCGCTCATAATACAACTCACTACTCTTTCGTGGTGATTAATGGAATTCTAACGAAATTTTACATCCAAAAAAGACGAACTTAAAATGGATATGACCTTATCAACAGTATTGAGACGTTGTCAGACTTCCGAAAAATGATGAAAGTCCAATGCAATGGGCTTAGTCTCGATTTCTCGCTAAATTGAACTTTTCCACATTTATGACCGGCGAGAAGACTTTAATTACTACGGAAAATGTTCGAAAGAGATGACAGAAGGCGTCAATGGTATTGTTGTTATTAATTGAATCCAGTGCTTTGGTTCGGGGCCGTATCTTGAAGGCTCCAGCTCGACAAGTTTGAATAGACACTCGCAACGTCGCCGGTCACCACGTGACTGGTGATACTTTCATGCAGTGTAAATTGATGATCATTGCATCTCATCGCATCGCATCTCATCGCATCTCATCGCTTCAACATCAGCCCTACATTCATTTTGCGGCTGCTTAGTCGATATCCTCAACGTGATTCATCATGGCGAATGCTCAGGAATCTGAAATAGCGGCGTTGAAAGCCGAAAACGCGAGCTTGAAGCAGCAACTTAAAGAGCAAAGTCAGCTTCCGATGTCCTTGGAGGAGTTCAAAAGATATGGCAGACAGATGATTGTCCAAGAAACCGGTGGTGTCGAGGGTCAAGTAAAGCTGAAAAACAGCAGGGTTCTTGTTGTCGGAGCGGGCGGACTCGGATGTCCCTGTTTGCCGTATCTGGCCGGTGCAGGCGTAGGTCAAATTGGTATTGTCGATAATGACGTTGTGGAGACCTCAAATTTGCATAGACAGGTGTTGCATGATTCTAACAAGGTTGGAGTACTGAAGTGTGAGTCTGCCAAGGATGTTCTGCTAAAATTGAATCCGCACATCAAAGTCGACACTTTTCCTGTCAGACTTGATTACAGCAACGCTTTTCAGATATTCCAAAATTATGATATCGTCCTGGACTGTACAGACACGCCCTTAACAAGATATCTGGTGTCGGACGTGGCGGTGAATTTAGGTATGACCGTAGTTTCTGCTTCTGGTCTCGGTTTTGAGGGCCAATTATCCATTTTGAACTTCAAGAGCGTCGGACCCTGTTATAGATGTTTTTACCCAGTTCCTCCGCCACCGAACTCTGTATCGTCCTGTCAAGAGGGTGGTGTCATTGGCCCCTGTATTGGACTCGTCGGAGTGATGATGGCGGTGGAAACTCTAAAGATCGTCCTTGACGTTTACACTATGGACAATTTCAAGCCTTTTCTTATGCAGTATTCTGGCTTTCCCACGCAGTCTCTACGCACATTCAAGATGAGAGGCAGACAGGCGTCCTGTCTGGCATGTGGGAAAAATCCTTCCATCACAAAAGCATCCATTCAAAGGGGTGATATTGATTATGAACTTTTCTGTGGCAAACGAAATTACAACGTTTGTCTGCCCCACGAACGTATGACAGTTGACGAATTTCACACCTCATTTTCGCAAGCGTCTGAACTGAATCACATTCTTTTGGATGTAAGACCCCGTCATCATTACAACATCTCGCATTTGCCAAATACGTTCAATTTGACCGTCAAAGAGTTGAGAGATATGGAAGGCGACATATCCCAACTGAAGCGAGAGATACCGGCCATAGATACTAAAAGTGAGGTGTTAGTTCTCTGCCGATACGGAAATGATTCTCAGCTGGCCACCCGAATTCTCAAAGACCAGTTTCATTTGAGTAACGTCCGCGACGTCAAAGGTGGATTTTTCAAATATATCGATGAGATAAACCCGAATATTCCAAAATACTGATTTGCCTCTCAGCTTCCCAACTCTTCAATAACGAGTAAGCCCGCACTGTTTGCGAAGGCGTAAAACTTTCCACCTTTGCATGTTTCGTTCCATTTTACGCTTGCGATGTTCACCCCGGGGGGACCAACTCTAGCTTTCGAGACTTCGTTCACGCTGAAATTGAAAACTTCATAGTTTGGATCTAATTGGTATTTTTTGTCCTTGGCACTGTAGTTCCACTCCCACAGCTTTAAGTACTTGTGTACAGTTGAATTATTTTTGATGCCTGTCAAAAATCTTCTAGCTAGATTGTTGATCATTAGACTCCCATCAGCAGAGCCCGAAAGCAGGAACGGGTGGAGTTTTGAGGTCGCTAGCGTGCTCACAGTGTTTTCATGTTGACAAATTTGATGCGAGGCAAAAGCGGCCTTGGGTGAGTACGCCTTGACTGAGTTTGCTCCGTCTGTGTGAACAACGCCATACACTGTAGGGCAATAAGTGGCAATTATGGTGTTTCCTCCGCGAACGCGCCCTAAAGAGCTTTTCGTTGTGTGAATGCTTTTGGGATTGAAAATGTAGATGAAACCGTCTATCGATGTTGTGGTCACCACGTTGTCTTCGAATTCGGAGTAGGCCACGACGATTGATATGACGTACGAATCGTGAATTTGGTAGTAGTACGATGGCACATTCGAACCCAACTCAAACTCTGCAACGTGGCCGTTCTGAAATCCACACACTATGGTTATCGAAGAAGTGAAATCGAAGCAAGAGATGGGCGTTTGGGGTAATCTTACACTCAAGTCCGCGCTCTCGTAGACCTTTATCTCATGATCTGTCGTTTTATCGATCTTTATGAATTTGACAGAGCCATCTTGGCAGCAGGCTCCTAGTAAGCCCAAAGCGCTGTCGTCTTGAAATCCGGAATGCCATTTAAGGTCCCAAGTTTCACCAAAATTGTGAATGATGGTTTGACGTTTCTCAAACACCAAAGAGGTTGCATCCAATGCAAAGATCATGATGCAGGAGGTATGGCTCTCCTCACCCCAGCATCTCAGATCTTCGTGTACTGGATCCCCTAATCGGTTGGACACGGAGACGGCTAAATAAAGCCGGTCGAGGTCATCGCGTGGAAGCCACGCCATGTCTGTGATAAGCCCGCCCATGCAATAAACAAAACCCTTACGTTTTCCGCAGGGAAAGATTGGAAACTCGATACTTTGACCACTTGTGATGTGTGTATCAAGATCGGAAATTTGCAGAAGAATCTCTTCGTCACTGAGGGGGAAAAGTTGGTGCAGTTCGGATTCATTTACAACACGATAATCACTCTTTTCTAGCGGTACACTTAGTGCGTTACCTGTTGTGACGGTGCTTGGCGAAGGAAAATCGACAAAATATTTAGAATGACGCTGTATTGTTTCGAGGTCAAAATCAAACGGGCCGGTTTCGAAGCCCTCTTTGACCTTGGCGAGCCCTAACAATTTCTGATTATTCAACCCATAGATTCGTTCTATTTTGTCCCTAGCAGACGTGAGGTCTTTCAAAGCTCGAATCACACGTCTTTTATTATCCAGCTTCGATGCAGGAGTCGGAGACTTCAGTTTGTCATTATTCTGCGGCGTGGATAGTTTTGGTTTTCGACCTCTTTTTTTCAAACCTGGTTTCTTGGAAGAGTCTGCTTTATTTTTTCGTGAAGAAGCCTGTTTTGATGTCTTCTTTTCTTGCAAATCACCAAGGTCTGTGTCTTGCAGCTCTTGCTCAAGATGCTTCCCTTGCTCCTCTACTTCTTTTTCCTCTTCTTCTTCTTGTTCTTGTTCTTCTCCTTCCCCGCTATCAATGTCTTCGAGGTCAACCTCTTTCTCTGGCACAAACTCGTCTCCTTCATCGTCTGATCCCACTGTTGGGTCAATTGATTCGCCTATGGATATTGAAGCCTTCTTGGATGCATCCCGCCTTGGTCTTGATCTTTTGACGTGCTCCTCTGAGTTGAGCACGGCCAATGCTGCAGCATTTTCATTAGAAGAGCCAGATTTGACCGTTTGAAAGGAATCAAGGGTTCTTATTCTCTTAGCAGGTCTTTTCCCGGTGTCTCCCTGTTTGGGTCGTGCCATAGCAGCTTGCAATGGCTTGACACTGCTCACTTTTACCTGATTGTTTAAATACTGCTTCTTGAGAATTTCGAATGGAAGTTCTTGAATTTGATATGAATTAGCATTTAAAGAATTATAGATATAAAAGGTATGACAGCGACAGAATAGTGAGAAGAGACAAATAGTTTGAGAGTTTGGCAAGAGTATGGTTGAACTGTTAGCTTGGGGGGAGTAATATGGAAAGCAACGTGTCCTGTTTGTTTGGACTTGGATGGAATTTTAGGAGTGATATTTCATGACCAAAAGTACATTATTTTGAATGGTGTTTTTTGGGCAGCTTTGCGATTGGAAAAGCGAACTGGGGTGTTTTGCAATTGGAGCTTAATTATACAGCATTGATTTTAAAAGAGTCGGTATCTTTGAAAACCAGGGCATGTAGCAGACGAGTCTGAAAACAAGAGTGACAGTTTAGTGTAAAGTGATATGTATTTTGGCGTCACAATTCTTGTTGTTTGATATAACAGCCACGCACTTATACCTATCATTGTTGAAAATACCTATATTTTATTTCATCCTTGCGGCTAAAATCCATTGCCAAGAATATTTGCGATTTAGCTCGTTTTTTTTATGTTTTACGAACAATTACGGGCTTTTCGTCTGATAATTGACAGAACGCTACGAATTAAGTATTTAACCAAAAAAGAGCCAGCGATAAAGTTATCTGACACATTTGCACATTCTGTTTCGACCCATCAACCACTTCCAAGCTTCTTTCCGTGATATCGACTTTCTAGGCTTTTTTACTGACACTTCACCTTATTTATTATATATATAGTGTATCTCTACCTTATCTATTTAATAAATTCAAATTTATACCACTACTTATCCAACAGATCTACACTCAGCTCTCAAAGGCGTGTGTATGCTTCGATTACATCTACGGAAACAGCCCTTGATGAATAGTTCCAATCACGAATACGCCCAAGAGTTTATCAACTTTCTCAATGCCTCTCCTACGCCCTTCCATGCTGTGCAGAATATCGAGAAACATCTTTCGAAATACGGGTTTGAGCAACTAAAGGAGGGAGATCCATGGGAAAAGACTCTTAAACCAGGCAAAGGATACTTTGTCACTAGAAATGACTCTGCAATCATTGCCTTTTATGTGGGCAGCCAATACGTAGGTGGTAACCCATTCGCTATTATTGGTGCCCACACCGATAGTCCGGTTTTGAAAATCAAGCCTATCTCAAAGAAGACAAACGAAAAGTACGACTTAGTTGGCGTGGAGTGCTATGGTGGTGGAATCTGGCACTCATGGTTCGATGCAGACCTTTCCATCGCTGGAAGAGTCGTTTACCGTGAGGATACTTCAGATGGGTACCAGCTAGTTGCAAAACTGGTAGATTTGAAAAAACCTCTGCTCAAAATCCCGACTCTGGCCATCCATCTGGACCGCGACGTAAATACCAAATTTGAGTTTGATCGGGAAAATCAATTGCTGCCACTGGCTGGTCTGCAAGCAAATCAAGCCAACAAGGACGACGAAACCTGTGGGTCCAAGGCGCAAGATGACACTTTTTTCTCCATCAAATCTGTGGTGGAGAGACACCACCGTGACCTGGTCGACTTGGTGGCCAAAGGGTTGAACATTACAAGTGACCAAATCGAGGACTTTGAATTGACTCTCTACGACCACAAACCTTCTTGTCTTGGCGGTTTACACGACGAGTTTGTTTTCTCCGGCAGGCTCGACAACTTGACCTCATGCTTCACTGGTATGCATGCGCTCACGGAGGCTGGAAACGATGATTCACAGGACAATTCCTCTATCAGAATGCTAGCATGCTTTGACCATGAGGAAATCGGCTCATCTTCTGCGCAGGGTGCCGACTCTAACTTCCTACCTAGCGTTATGGAGAGGCTTGCCACCCCAACGCTACGTGGCGGGGCTAATGATGCTTATTCAGGCGAACGCGATCTTTTGAAAATCGCGACAAGAAAGTCTTTTTTCATGTCTTCTGATGTTGCCCACGCTGTGCACCCCAACTATGCGAGCAAATACGAATCGAACCACAAGCCCATGATTGGTGGCGGACCTGTGATCAAGATTAATGCTAATCAGCGCTACATGACCAATACTCCCGGATTGGTGCTCGTCAAGGCTCTTGCAGACCGTGTCAAGGTACCTTTGCAACTTTTCGTTGTATCCAACACTTCTCCTTGTGGATCCACCATTGGTCCCATAATTGCCTCTAAAACAGGAATTAAGACACTTGATCTGGGTAATCCCATCTTGAGTATGCATTCCATTCGCGAAACTGGAGGCTCCGATGATTTGAAGTATCAAATATTGTTGTTCCGCGAATTTTATCAAAACGGCACCCAAATCCTGGAAACTGGTCGTGTCAAAACAAAATGAAGAACAACGGGTTCCAGAATCATCAGCAATAGCTTGAAAAGCGTTGAACGCAGACTAAAAAGCCCGATGACACTGAATACTTCAGACCCGTACACTGTTATATCTAAAACATCTAATTTACTGTCGTCAACATAATCTTATAGAAACCTACCAACTAGCCAAACCAAGCTGGATATAAAACCAAGCAAAGCCTTGGGGGTGTATTGCCGTCTCTAGTAGCTATCTAGCATCAAAATGGCAGAAGATGAGCAACGTCCTCATACTGGTCTCAAAGGTGCTAAGATCACTGAAGACATCCAAGAATTGATGTCATTTTCGGATGCCAATAAGACCATTGGAGGATACATTCAAGATGACCAAACTACCGTGGCTATTCATTCCGAAAGGGCGAAACTTCCAAGGTTTTCTTCTACAATAAAGCCAATTGATGACGGAGAAAGCACAGATAGTGCAGAGGACGTGGAAGCAGTGGAAACTGACGTTGATGAGCAAGAAAAGGCTCAAAATGTGGACGACACTGAAGCTAATGAAGCAAATGAAGCAAACGGATCTCGGCAATCGGTTGACCACCATCAATTGAATCAGAAAGAAGACATAAATGTCAGTCAAAAGAAAAGTGCAACTGAAGAAGAAGGACGTAATGATGATGAGGATGATGATGATGATGACGATGACGACGACGATTTTTTCTGTGGAGATTACGCACCTTCTAGTAGAAGTGTGGATTCAAGCATATCCCATCGTCCCGTCATTATTCAGAAAATACAAGATAATAGCTCGGCGATGAGTAGTCCTACGGTGGCCTTAAAACCACAAAATACCTCCTATACTAGCGAAAGAGATGAGATTGTGATCGACTCTTCTGAGGGCGATCAGTCCGAGAGGGAAGAGGAAAATGCTTCGAATCCTACAAAACGCATCTCAAGCTCAGCTAAAGACGACCGTGTCAGTGTAAAACGGCCAAGAAACACTCGCACCAAAAACAACTATCAGAAACAAACCGCTACCAGCAGTGCAGCTAACCAAGACGAAGACGAGGACGAGCAATTTTTTAAAGAGTTGGCTAGAGAAGCAGGAAGGTCTGCCAGCACAGCTGAAAAAAGCCCTTCTCTACCATTGAACCGTGTCTTCAACATCAAGTTCACCTCCCTCTTGCAAGGAACTGTCGACAAGAAAGTGAATGCAAAAGTCAAAGGTTCTCACACTTTTACGCAAATTCTGCCATTGGCACTGAAATTACTATTGAAAGAACACAACGTCAGCAATGAGCTGCGACATCACTACCAAAGTGATAATGTGTCCGTTTACCGTGGCGGCGTAAAGATTTTGGATTTCATGACGTGCAACTCTTTACAGGTTTCAACAGATCCTGATTTAGACATCATCGAAGTTTCGTTGACACTAATTTCTAAGGCTTCTGAAGACGAATACAGAGCGAACTTGGAAAAAAAAAACCATAGTGACGCAGCATTGATGGCAAGTGACGAGGCGATAGATGACAACGACATCAGTTATATCAGTGGAGACGATGATCCCTTCAACTCACAATTTTCTGAGTCGAGTCACATACACATCCTAGATGACGATTCTCCCACCGAGAACAGCACCAGCACAATCCGAATCGTACTGATGGGTAAGAATAATGAGAAGACATATGTCAATGTGCATCAAAACACCTCTATGGAAGTACTGAACAACCACTTTAGGAGTGTACATCATGTGCCAGAAAAGTGTAGCGTGAAGCTATACTTTGACAACGAGGAACTGGCTTCCTCACAATCGGTTGGAGAACTAGAGTTAGAGGATGAAGATATAATTGAGGTGAGGCTGATATAGAATTCTAGTTAAAGAAAGCTTTGCTTACGTCTTGTACTATCCAAGCTACCATCAACAGTCGAAAAGGATCACAGGGTTAAACAGTGTCTGTTACTGTTTACCATTCTTTTAAAGATTCCAATAAGAGCCTTGTTGGCGCAATCGGTAGCGCGTATGACTCTTAATCATAAGGTTAGGGGTTCGAGCCCCCTACAGGGCTTACTTTTTAACATTCAAAATAACGATCAACCTTCAACGGCTAGCTTACAATTCAGGCATTGGCCTAGTGAATCCTTGGTGTTTATTCGTTATACTTTTTTCATTATATGCTCTATGCGTATGTATTATGCGATGCTAGTTGACTTTCAGAGTTGAGACATTCTTGCACAAATCTTCAAAAAGTACTGGCTTAGGTTTTAGGTCTTCGGTAGACAAAGACGTACCCTTTACGACCTTAAAGGCACCTGTACCAATGGACATCGTCTGGCCTAAAATAATGCATTCCGAGACACCTTCGACGGCGTCCTTCTTCATGTAGAAGGCGGCATCGAACAAATGATCAGTGGTCTTCTCGAACGACGCAAGTTGCAGCACCGAGTCTCTCATTTTACTCAGACCGAAACGTGTGATACCCAGCACCTCACCCTTATAGGTCATAACGTCACCCAATAGCTGTACGTGACGAGGATCAACACTCATACCGTGATTACTCATAGTATAGTCAATTTCACCGATGATACTGGCCCTTGCTGCTTCAATTCCCAGTACGCTAACAACTTCCAAAACATGGTTTGTCTTTGTTTTTGAGCCGATCACACCATCCGTGGTCATAACATCGCGTAAACCGTAGCCTTCGACCAGAAGTTCCCTCTTCTCATTGTCTTTAACATTGATGACCGCTCTTGCAATGTCAGGAAGACCCTTAACAACTATTGCGGGCAGTGCACGACGTAAATGTTGGATTCTGTAAAACAGCTCATTTTCAGGAGGTTCCTTAGCTGAAGTAGAGACTGATTTGAGTTTAGCACCTTCGGGATAGACGTTGATGTTGATTTTGTCCTTCCCGACAATACTGACATCAGAAGCTGCAATTTTGAGTTTAGATGCTCTTGTTATTGCAACTGCGATATCTTCAACCGTCAGCTCCAATTGCAATTTCTCAATGGTGCTCAAGTCCACTTTAACCTGTAGAAACGACATGTTGTCCCGGTAGACGTCCTGAATATAGAAGGCCACGTCGGACATCAATGTCTTTTCGATTCTACCCTTAACCACTCTAGCGGCTCTTTCATCATTGTCATTGACGAGAACGGCGTTGATAATAGGTGTGGAAATGACTTTTGAGGCGTTGATAATTTCCTTGATACGAGGTACACCAAGCGTTACATTCATAGAAGCGACACCAGCAAAATGGAAAGTCTTCAATGTCATCTGTGTACCAGGCTCACCAATCGAATGCGCACCCACGGCACCGACTGCCGTTCCAGGTTCGACCTTGGCCTTATGGTATTTGAAGATTGCTATTTCCAAAAATTTCCCAACCAGTGAGGACGAGATTTTGCACAATTGAGAAACTGATGCTATGGATGCTTCCGAAGCTTTGTCATCCAAATCCATTTCTTGCAATTCGGCGGCTGGTTCTTCCAAATACTCCATTAATCCCTTGTGCTTTCTCGTTTTTGCCAAGTGGTTAGCCTTATCTTCTAGGTATGATCTTAACGATTGGTAGAAGTTTCTTTCCGCATCGTGCTGATCTATGAAATCTTCGCATTGCGCCTCAAGTCCACTTAGCAGATTACCCAAATTGTCATATCTCAAGAGTTTCTTTTCAAGCGGTTCTAGAATCTTATTCGTCTGTTGCATTATTTGGTAAGGAAGCAATCCTTTGTCGATGTGATTGAATGTGATGTTGTTCGCGTGTTCCCATGATCTCGCGAAATTGACAGGTTGTGCGTTACCTTCCATGTCGATGGGGTCTAATCCATCACCACCATAGGTGAACTGAACAATACCATTCGAAGATGTCCTGATAGTATTATCGTATTGACAAGACAGATCTTCCAAAGATTTCATCAGTCTACGAGACATGTAACCAGTCTCAGCGGTCTTGACGGCAGTATCTACCAGACCTTCACGTCCAGAAATAGCGTGGAATAAAAACTCTGGTGGTGTTAAGCCAGTGAAAAAGGAGTTTCTGACGAAACCCTTCGACTGTGGTGTTTTGGAATTTTTCAAAAAATGAGGTAAAGAACGATCCTGGAAGCCATCCGGAACACGATTACCAGAGATAATTTGCTGACCGACAACTGCAACCATCTGGGAGACATTTAAGTTCGAACCCTTGGAACCACAGTTTGCCATGATCAAACACGCATTCAAATTATCCAGCTCTTTGATGCAGACTTCACCGACTTCTTCTCTAACTTTAGAAAGCAAACCACCGATCTTAGCTTCCAGTGTCTGCTCCTCATTACAACCGGGCTGAGTTTCCAGTTTTCCTTTGTCGAATTGATCGATGAGCTCATCACACTTCGCGTATGCATCTTCAACCATGCTTTCCTTCTGCCGTTTAAGCTCAAAACCAGGTGTGACGTCGCTGATCCCAATTGAGAAACCTCTGTTGCCCAGAAAACGGGCGCACAGTTTCGCCATTCTGTTCATAGCGAAAGCAGCTTCCTGCGGCCCAAAATCTCTAAGAATAGTGTAAAATACCGAGTGTTTCTTACCATCACCCAATACAGACTTGTCCATGACACCGCTCAGGATTTGAGAACCTCGAATGACGACAAAACCATCGTTTTGGGACATCTCATTAGGAAACTCTTTTCTCTTGGGAGGAATGTAAACCTTGTTCTTAGCATCCAAATTGATGACGACAGATGATTTTTTATTCGGTCTGATGAGAAGAGAGAACACCTGCTTTCCTGTCCACATGTAATAAGGCTTCATTATGGCCGGAGGAGGTATGTCAAACTGCAAATTACCATCCGACATCATCGACAAAAGCTGAACGAATTCAGCTCTGCTGTAAAACGAATCCTTATGCGATATCAAATATGACCCGGTGATAAAATCTTGGGTAGCAGCGATAATGGGCTCTCCAGATTTAGGCGTTAGCAGGTTGTTTTTGACACCCATAAGGTTGATAGCCTCAGCACGGGCCTCCTCCGTTTGAGGAACATGAAGATTCATTTCGTCACCATCAAAATCAGCATTGTAAGGGGTACACACACATTCGTTCAATCTGAAGGTTCTCCAAGGTCTGATTTTCGCATAATGTGACAGAATAGAAAGTCTGTGTAAGGAAGGCTGTCTGTTAAATAGAACAACATCACCATCTTCCAGATGTCTCTCGACCACGTCACCAAACTGGAGATTTCTCGCGAGCTTCAAACGATCACCGTAACGTAGATTGCGTCTTGCCTCTTCATCCTTTTTCAAGATGTAGTTAGCCCCCGGGTGCTCATTGGGTCCATTTATGACCAACTGCTGCAGTTTTTGTTTGTTATAGCGAGTGACCATCTCTGGGTACGTGAGCACCTTAGCGACACGGTCAGGTACCGCAACTTGGTCAATCGACAGGTTGGGATCCGGGGATACGACAGTTCTGCCCGAGAAATCCACACGTTTACCTGAAAGGTTACCTCTGAAACGACCTTGCTTACCTTTCAACCTCTGACAAAAGCCTCTTATCGGCTTGGTCTTCCCGCCAGCATTTCCTCCGGGCATCATCGCCGGGTTGACCGAATCCGAATTGATGTACATGGCAACTGCCAATTGCAAATAGTCCCATTGCTCCATCATATTATTGATTGAAATACCCTTTTCCAAACCTGCTTTAATCAAGGACGAGGTCCAAACAATTTCTGTAAGCTTTACGGTTAAATCATCTTCGTTTGACGCAGGAGAGTCTTGCATCATCACAGATGGACGAATACACACCGGTGGCGCAGGCAAGTATCTCCAAATATAAGTTTCAGGTCTGCCTGACTTGACGGAACTATCGATCCCGAGTAGTTCACAATCACTTGGTGCAATTTGCTTAAACAGATTTAATACCTTCAAAGGGTTCAAGTCATCTGTGCATCGCTTGACGTAACGTTCGAGCTCTGGACTATGTGCAAGTACCGTTTTCCAGTCTCCAAACCATTTATCTTTTTCTGGTGCAGATTTTTTACCTACCCATCTGAAGGTGTCATGTAAGATTTTGAGTGAGGCAGAACCAGAACCAGCGGCAGCTTTCTTGACAACACCGTTCAAAGCTCCACAGGCAAAGCATCTTCTCTGTTTTTTACATTGATCCACAACTTTTTTCAAAATTCCCATTCTTCTCAGATTGTCTATACCTGGACGACGAAGTTCGCCCAGAAATTGTCTTTTGTCCTCTTCAGAGAGTAAAAGGGCAGCACAGCCCTTACACACTGACTGCAAAACCTGGATAGTGGCCTTGAAATAGCCAACATGGAAAACAGGCAAGGACAACTTAATGTGCCCAAAGTGGCCATGACAAGATGCAAGATTTCCATGGCAGGTTGAACACTCAGCCTGCGAAGACGAAACTCCCATTCTTGTATCTAGAGCACCTCCATCCTTGGGTTTTCTCCCACTTTCCAGGTCAAAGAGGTCTCTCGTGGTAATTTCAACTTTCGATTGAGCAACGATGTCACTAGCCGAAAGTGCACTGAACTCAAGGCCTTTAATCCTCTTGGGCGCTATGTCCACCACAACTTCCTTCATTGTTCAGGTGCTCTCAACAGGAAAGGGGGTCAGCTTCTAGAGAAAGATGGGTAAGAGAGAAACGTCCCTAGAATAGGAAGAGCACAAGTATCCAACAATGGGTCCTGAAAAACCAAAATCGATGCTTTGGAAACCGCTTGATCTTTTGGATCATCGATGAGATGAGATGAGAGATGAGATCAAATTTTGATTAATTTTTTTTACATCACATGGTGTTGAGAATTATATCGTGAAAAGGCATAAAATGAAAGTGACAAAGTTGAGGGAAATGTCATTTTACGTTCTTCGATGCTGATGAAGGCTAAGATTTCAATCGATTTAATAGCAGGTAAATAGGACTGCTGGGAACTGGTTGATGTGATTCAAGAAATTCACTATACTGCTTTTGATGTGTACTGTCACGTGACCAGCGTCAGCGACAGCTTGGTAAAATCATGATAAGACTGGGTTCAGGTCTTTCTGGTCTTAAACAAGTTATTGGGTATTTCAATATTGATAGATTGAGTTTCAGAGAGTCTATAGGAACTGTTTGCCATGCCACGATGCTAAGTATGGTATGCTAACCTTTTTTTTTAGACTCAAACTGTCAGCAAAAAATGGTACGCGTAATGTTGAAACCCTCAAACCGCGGCCATACTACTAAAATAGATTTGGCAATATATGTAATAAAAAAAAACTCACACAAAAGCACTGTATAAGTAGAGACGTTAGTGGCTAGCAAAACTGAATTGATCTTCATTCGATCTTGTAAGCTATCTGCGACGGTGACGTATATAGTGATGTACATTTTCAAGCCAACTCACGGTGAAATGATCGATAATCACTAGCCAGCTTAACTAAACTAACAAGGCCTACTGCTTGACGAAGTCGCTCCATTCAAAACTCGTCTATGTCACGATTATCTAAAGAAGATAGAAATACAATTCGTATATAGTGATTTGTAACAACATCAATGTGGCAAATACCAGTAATACTCAAATCTATGATCTTCAACCATGTTAACAGCTGTAAAGTAAACCCCAGAACTCTGACCATTGTGAGCCCCAGACCAGAATCTCCACCTTACAAACTAAAAATCAACTCTACTTATAATGAGCTCAGAAAAGGAACATCAAAATACGCTGGAAGAAAACGACGAATTCGAGGACTTTCCCGTCGATACATGGCCCGACTCCGAAACAATCAAAGAGGACTCCAACGTACAAACAAATCTTTGGAAAGAAGACTGGGATGACGTGGAGGTGGACGACGACTTCACCAAGGAGCTTAAGGCAGAGTTGGAAAAGCACAAACAGTGAATATCCCGGCTCCAAAAGAAAAATGTTGACAAACCATTCGTCAAGACCATAGAAGTATGGGTAGGAAGATCAGCATAAGCTGAAGTGTAGCATCCAAGATGGGTGGGATGCTTCTGAAAACCTGGTATAGAAACGTTCTATCGAGTCGAACAACCTGTCGTACGAAGTGATACGGTGCAACTATAAAGTTTATTCACCTCAATCTGGCTAGGAAGTGAAGCCGCAGCGTTTTATTTGAATGGGCTTACACTTTTGGTGAAGAGACTGGAGGTTCGCATGCCTTCTGAATCGCCTCTTTACCTAGGCGTTTTTTACATCTATTTCAAACTAACGAAAAATACGTACATAATGACTACCTTAAACTACGCGCCTAAATTCAAAAGTTATCTCGGTGGCAAACCTATCTTTGAACACAACGGCTCTACAAGAAGTCAACACCAAGCGGTTCAGCATCAACCAAGCTACCGAATCCAACACCCTCAACTGCTCATTCAAGATGGCGACTTTGGAGGAACTCGAATCGCAACAAAACCCGGGCGAAATCGAAATCGATCAAGAAATCTTGAACTTACCCACAGGAGAGCTTCAAACAAGAACCAAGCTCTTAGACAATGAGATTCGGATATTCAGATCAGAGCTGCAGAGGTTATCGCATGAAAACAGTGTGATGCTCGAAAAGATCAAGGACAATAAGGAGAAAATCAAAAACAATCGCCAACTACCCTATTTGGTGTCTAATGTGGTTGAGATTATGGATATGGACGAATTGGAAGACGAACAGCAACGGGAATCGGCTACTCAAGGTGGGAATGTGAATCTGGACAACGCTGCAACCGGAAAAGCGGCCGTTGTGAAAACCTCCTCGAGACAAACGGTTTTTCTGCCTATGGTAGGGCTGGTAGACCCCAATACTTTGAAACCCAATGATTTGGTGGGTGTAAACAAAGATTCTTATTTGGTGCTCGACACTTTACCCTCTGAGTTTGACTCGCGTGTCAAAGCTATGGAGGTTGACGAGAAACCCACAGAAACGTATTCGGATGTTGGTGGTCTTGATAAGCAGATCGAAGAATTGGTGGAAGCGATTGTGCTTCCCTTAAAACAAGCAGAAAAATTCACTAATATGGGAATTAGAGCCCCCAAGGGTGCTCTGATGTATGGTCCACCAGGTACTGGTAAGACTTTGCTAGCAAGAGCGTGTGCTGCTCAAACAAATGCTACTTTCCTAAAATTGGCTGCACCACAGCTGGTACAGATGTTCATCGGTGAGGGTTCCAAATTGGTGCGTGATGCCTTTGCACTTGCCAAAGAAAAAGCGCCCACGATTATATTCATCGATGAACTAGATGCCATTGGTACGAAACGTTTCGACTCTGAGAAATCCGGTGACAGAGAAGTGCAAAGGACAATGTTGGAACTTCTCAACCAGTTAGATGGTTTTGGATCTGATGATAGAGTCAAAGTACTTGCGGCTACTAACAGAGTTGACGTTCTAGATCCAGCTTTACTGAGATCCGGGAGACTAGATAGAAAGATCGAGTTCCCACTACCTTCCGAGGATTCTAGAGCTCAAATTCTACAAATTCATTCCAGAAAAATGACGACAGACGATTCCATAAATTGGCAGGAACTCGCAAGATCAACGGACGAGTTCAATGGTGCTCAGCTGAAAGCGGTCTCAGTTGAAGCAGGAATGATAGCGTTAAGAAACGGCCAAAGTGAAGTTAAGCATGAAGACTTTGTGGAAGCAATCGGCGAAGTCCAAGCGAGAAAGTCCAAATCTGTGTCGTTCTACGCATGATCAACGTATAAATAGGTAAAATTCTTCATTAATTGTCAAGCATCAGTCATATAAGTAAATGTAACCGCCATTGCCTCCACAAACCAGTTTACTTGTTTCTTGAGGCGACCAAGCTATCGCAGTAACTGGCTTTTTATCGGGAACTTCAAGCTGCTTCAACAGATGTGTTGTTTTCCAATCCCATATAAACACTTGACCTCGCGTATCCCCCGAACAAATATAGCGACCATCCGGAGAGAATGTCAATTCAATTCCATATCCCGCGCACCTGTGCCCTTCGAACTTCTTTTTTGGATGTCTTTTATATTTAGGCTTCATGGAAAACGTATAGATAACGTTGTCCATACTCTGGGCCGCAAAGTAGTTATTCTCTGGATGGATTGCGACATATGGCATCGAGTATTGTGCCGTATCACTTATCTGTTTGATTGGAATGTTCACTTGGTTTTCCCATATGCGCATGGTTTTGTCTTCAGAAGAACTGATGAGCTTAGATCCATCAGGAAAGTACTTTAGCGCGATAATTGACGATAGATGATGGTCATAAATTTGAACTAGGCCATTCTTATGAGACACTCGTAAATCGTAATGTCTAATTTCGCTACTTGATAGTCCGACTACCAGCTCATTCGGATTGCTTGGGCGGTACTCAGCGCAGTTTGGTGTACTAGAAAAGTTGTAACGATGTTTTACAACACCTGTTTCTGTATCCCAAATTTTCATGTGCTGATCAAAGGAAACGCTTACAAACTCGGACCCATCGTCGTTAAAATTGGCGTCTCGAACCACCTTGGAGTGACCTTTATAATCACGCAGCAATTGGCGTTCGTGGTACATGTCCCAAATCTTGAGCTCATTGTCGTTGCCTCCAGAGAGAAAAAGATGCCCAGTTTTTGGTAGCATTCGTATCACATTTGTGCCACTACCATGGCCCGGATACTTATGAATTAGCCTCTTGGGTAAAAAAGTCTGGAAAGAAAGAGGTTCCTTCGTGAAGTCTATATCTTCTTCCATAGGAGGATTTAGAAAGGACCGGCCTTGATAATCCACCAATGAATGCCCATGAAACTCACTTTTCTCTTGCAGTCTTGACATTTCTCTTTCGTCCTTCAAGTCGAGCTCATCATCTTGATACACACCTTGGTGATCGCTGATTATTGATTTTGAACCCTCATTATGCGAAGACCCATTATCCTCGTCGTCTTCGGAGGAAGACCATGAAGCCCACGGGCTTTTTCGCCTTTTCTTAACACGGTTGATCTTTCCAGCCTTGGCTTGTTTCTTGACTCTTTTTGGTTTAGCAGCGTCACTTTCCTGAGATGACTTGCGACCGTCACCGGCTATGGAAGTGTGTGTATCGTTGGCCAGTCTTGGTGTAGACGAAGCCTCGTCAGAGTCCGATGCTGAACTATAGCCGGCGACTACTGACATGACGATTTATGGTTACTTGAGAGTAAGATGGGTGAAGTTGTGAACCGATGCTAGCTTTAACCGCTTTGACTTTTGAATTGATATATAAAATGGCATGCTCATGTTAAAACCATATGTCCCTAAATTATCTTTCGCAATCTCAACAATTTAAGAGCCTTGTTGGCGCAATCGGTAGCGCGTATGACTCTTAATCATAAGGTTAGGGGTTCGAGCCCCCTACAGGGCTTAATTTTTAATTTTTGTCGATTCATTTATAGTAGAGAAGTTGCCAGACATTAACAAAACATCGCTGATCTGAAGTCAGTCAATCAGTTTTCCTAACAACAATAGATCGCAACAAGCTCACCACAAGCTCTTCTCTTAATATGTACAAATGATTACCTACTTTCCTTGTAGTAGTCGATAGCTTGACTAATTTTTGGATTTTTTGTGCTTTTTGGCCGACCGTTTCATCTTGTTAACGAGGCCTGCAACGTCTGTGTGATTGTCTGCACTAGCATCAAGTTCTGCACCGCTTCTTTTCTTCGTCTTGCTCTTGTGTGAGCGCTTGTTTCTCTCTTGCAAAATTTGCTTCATGGCAGGAGTTTGCTTGAACTCGGGTTGAGATGGATCAATTGCAAAGTCGTGGTCCTCAAACATCTCGCTAAACCGTGGATCGTTGAGATCAGGCTTGAACTGGTCATCAGTGATTTTGCGTTTATCCTGAAACTTGGACTTTTTGGCCTTTTCCTTTTCGGACCTCATGATATCGTTCATGTTGAAATGCGCCTTTTTGTTGATGCTAGAACCACCCTCTTGCTCCTCATCGTCCATCATCAGTAGCTCCAATTCAGCAGCCGACTTTGAATTAGTGTCTTCGGGCGACTTGGACTTCTTTGCTGACCTTGACTCCTTCGACTTCTGTTTTTCTTCAGACGTTTGTTTCTTTAGTTCCTTTATGCGCTCCTTGCGCATCTTGCGGCGCTCCTTTTCCTTACGCCTTACCTTTTCTATAGTAGTTTCGTCTGTGTTTCCATCTGCTCCTTCTTTGGAATCGTCCGCTTCCGCCAACCCTGGAGCAAACGTTATTTGCATGTCAACATCGCTCTGTTCCTCATCTGATTTCTTGTCAAAAACAGAACGGTCACCAACTTGTGCTGATTGGTTTGCCAGGGCCTTCAGTTTATCCTTGAGGTTGACATTGTATTCTGGTTCCGAGTCCTCACTATCAGATGCCAAATAGGCCTTGAAGTCCATCTCATCAAGTTCCTTTTGACTGAAAGCTCTTTTGGCCATTGATACCCGGTCTGCGGGCGTTTCATCCCACGTAAGCTTCACTTTCGAATGCTGAAGCGCATCGGTACTGAATTGCGCAGGTCTATAGTTCTTAGGCAGCTCAGAGCAGTCATCTCTGGGTTCATCGTCAAATTTCATTCCGTCGGGAACATATCTAAGATCGAACATGTTTGCAGTGGATTCGAACTCTGTGCCATCACAGTTTTTGTATATAGACTCAGCTGTTTCCACATTTGAGCAGTAGACAACCGCATAGTAGTATCTGAGTCTTTCAAGCTGATAACGACGCAACGACTTGACGTCGTAATCCTCAGCGTCACCTTCTTCGTACAAGTCTTTAACATCAACCTCAGAGTCGCTATCGTCGTCTTTGCTTCTCTTGCTTTTCTTCTTGCTCGCAAAAATCTCTCTAGGAGGTCCCTCGACTTGTTCACGAGTCAAACGCTCTTTTCCAAACTCGCTTGGGTAAATTGCAATCTTCGCGATTTTACCACCCTTTGGGACGAAACTGGAGAATGTGATCATCAGATCATCCGATTTGACATGGTCCCAGTCCAAGTTTACCACGGCCAAAGTTTTGCTGCTCTCTCCCGATTCTGGTTTGGCACCTTCAATTTCCACTTCGGACTCATCACTTTCAAGATCGCTATCACCAGAGTCCGCTTCTGATTCCGAGGACGACGAATCCTCATCAGACGAAGAAGCGTAATCACTAGGCACCTCACCACGGGCTCTATCTAGACTGGTTTTCTTGCTGGAAGCTTTCAATTTTTTTTCGTCTTCTTCGCTGTCGCTACTATCTTCATCGCTATTTTCCTCTAGCTTCTTGGAAGCGTCTTCTTTTTCGTAGTATTTCTCGAAATCTTTCTTTTCCCTATTGTCCTGGCCTTTCAGACGCCGACCGTACTTGTCAACCTTAGCCTTCCTCTTGTACTCCAGATCCTGCTCGCTAAATCTGTCATCTAGCTTGATCTTGAACTTTTTGGCTTTAGTCTCTCTAAATTTGGGGTCGTTGTGAACACCCGCGAACCTGGTATCTTCTGGAACTTTGGTACCCGAACCAGATTTGTTTGCCATATTTGAATGCCTCCAAAACCTGCTTTGATTGCTGAGATGTTGCTGTTTTTCGGTGCGCGATGAGAAGCGATGAGCTAGTAAAATTTGTATGCAGTATTTTTTTTTCCAATGATTATCGCTGTACTGAGGTAAAGCACGAACTTGGACGACAGCGTCAGTAAAACATTGTCGAATAAGGTCATTGAAGCAAGGCATGGATATTCGAATAAATTCAACAGCTTAATTGAGATTATTTACTTTGATCATATTAGTGAGAACGTGTTTTCTCCAAAACAGCGGGGAGAATTGTAGAATCTTAATCTCTTAGTTCATTTGAGATGGTACAATTTTCCAGGAAGAATACACGAGAGACCATCTTCATTATCATAATTATAGCAGAATGCTGAATTCTAAAATATTGCTGCCCATGATATCAACTTTCAGACTAAATTTCAACTCTTGATGAACAAAAGAAAGCGGATGTCAGCGTTTTCTTTGTTGTAAACTAAATTCACATCCAAAAATTTCAAGAAAACCAGCAGGTTTTCAAAACATCAGTCCCGATAGGTCTCAAAAGGCTTCAAAACTAGAACCCAAACAGCTTTAAAAGACTTGTGGGCAATGTTATACACTTCTTTCTAGTTCTTTTGAAATCTGGAGCTAGTCCAAGTGATACATCATGTGGTTTTCGAAATAAGCTTTATATACTTCTCTTAATCATAGAAACTTACCCATCTTAACGAAAACATATCAAAAGAATTCTCCCAATCATCGTAAAAGCTCCTCCAAGATGGGCCAGACTGCCTCCGTTGATACTTCCTCAAGCCCTACATATATAAGTGAAAAAGATGTGATGATAAGTTACGATAAAAGAGCTGTGAAGTCTGTCACAATTCCAGAGCTAACATCGTACAGAGCCAATATCAAGGGCAAAGCCCTTGATAATTCTGTCACAAAAGAAGAGCTGGTTGATTTGCTCCGATTGCATGGTATAAACGATGCAGTTAGTACCCTTTTATTTAACTTCTTCCAAACTCTGTCAAACTTCCCAATGATCAAAGACTGTTACGAGAACGTCACTTACATCGGAGTTTTGAAAAGCTGTCTGTTGGTGAGCAAACAGAGGTGCTTGAAATTCGTCCAAGACAAATCCTACAACCACACCAAACTCGTGTTTATAGCGCTGGCGCTGAGTAAAAACGTGAAAGAGGTTACAGGCACTCCTAGTTCTGATTTATCGATTGATGCGCCAGAAATCATTTCCAACTTCAACAATGCTCTAACTGATGAGCTTACTGTACCTGCAGACTCGATGCTGGAGTTTGTAACTTTATTGCTACGAATATCTATGCTTACTTTGACCAAAAACTCAACGCTCAACGCAACCCTTTCGAATGATTGGGACGCTTTCAAAGTCTTCGCGCTTAACATCGTAAGAACTATGAACACTTGCATCAAAACTTCACAAGAAACTTTGAAGAATGTCGTCACCTACACTAATTTCCAAGAGGTGTTATCTTCAACATGCCCAAATTTGTTGTTGCCCTTAGAGATGTTGGTTGAGCACGTTTTGTTCCTGGAAAAAGATCTGGTAGACCCGCTAGCATCAGGCATACCAAGGGCAGAATCGAAACTCGTCACAGCTCCTCTATTATCTCAGCTTTCCACAGTTTGGCCTCGCGAGCTGGTATTCTCAAGGCTACAGAAACTCTATGTAGGACGAGACAGTGGATTCTCAATGCGCTCTTTTCAAGCAAAAGTCTTCAAGTGGATGGCCCCATCGTTGTTGCTAGTCAATGGAATACGAATACCTGATGACGAGGAGTATGTGAGGTCAAAAAATCACAGATATCAAACCTTTCTAAATGACTACCCTCGTCTCAAAGATGAAGACCAGGATATACTTCCACCTTTTGAGGGTAGAAAAAAACTCACCTTTGTTGTATATGTTGACGAACCCTGGAAAGTTACCAATTCAGAACTGTTTGGCGGTACAAAAACCACCATAATACAGTTGTCACCGGTTCAAGAGATTTTCAAGGCCCAAAAATCGGAGAGCGTATGTTTCAATACCTTGGGAGGTGGAATCGGAGTGGGCAGCTCGCTTCCTGTTTTGAAAAGTAATCACAGACGTTATGTCCCGGGGAACGTTTCGTTAACTATTGACCCCAACTTAGAGTTTGGGGCTTTCAGAAACGTTGGGCGCGGTGGCAGCATCAACCCTGGATCACTCACAACTACTAGCAGTGAACACAGATTCTTGATACAGGATATTGAGGTATGGGGATGTGGTGGAGAAAAAGAGTTAGAGGAGCAAATGAAAAATTGGGAGTGGGAGGAAGCAGAAGCTCAAAGAAGACAGCGCATCAACCTAAAAAGTATTAACGATGATAGGGCATTATTAGAATTAGCGGGTCTGGTCGGCCAAAACCAGAGCGGAGGTTCAGTATGAGTAGAATGCTGTTGTTAAAAAGTAATACCTCAGATTTAGTAAACTCTAATTTATGAATGTTAATCACGGTCATTTTCTAGACTTGGTTTTGTTGACCAGTCTTTTCTTTACGTGCTTTTTCACCTTGGTTTTCCTTTTCTCACGCTTTGCGTCCTTTGCCTCGTCCTTTCGTTGCTTCTTCGCGTCTTTATCTTCATGTTTTTTATGCTTAGTTTCTTTAGATTTTTCAACGTAGTCGCTATCCGACTCGTCATCGACATCTTGTTCGGAGTCGTTCTCGCTTTCGGTGCCGTCTTCATCGGTTGCGGCGTCCCCTAAGTCATCGTCATCCTCCTCTTCGTCCTCATCTTCACTAGAAGATGAGAGATCAAACTGTTCGGACGCTGTGAAATTCTTGGCGTTTTTCTTGTTGTCGTTGGCAATAAGACTCTTCAGAAGATCGAACTTACCCATAGTAAAGCGATCGAAATCTCTTTCTTCCAAACCACCCAAATTTCTCACCAAATGCAAAGATCTGAATACCTCGTCCTCGGCCTCATCCTCTGGTGTGCTTTTGATCGGCAGATTATTTGCCATGTATTCCACGAGATCTTCAGAGGAATCATAGTCACCCGCAAACTTCTCGAGCGTTTCCGATATCACGAATTGAAAAATGATTCTTTCTGGGAAAATGTCGATGGAAAACCGTTCGAAAAAGCCGTTCACGTTTTTGATATCCATTCTTAAGAAATCCAAACTCATTGGATGTTCTGGTTGCACACTCTGTGACACATCTATGATGTAAAGTTTCTTTTCATGGACGAGCGCGTTGTATTCCGATAAATCGGCATGTACTAACTGACATTTTTGGTACAGCAGTCGCATGTATGCGATCATTGTGAAATAATAGTAAGCAACATCTGCAGCATCCTTGAAAGGATAATCCTTAAGTCTTGGCGATGCAAATCCATCGCCTCTATTCAGAAATTCCATCACCAGCACGTTTGACCTCACCTCCACCGGTTTGGGCGTAGGTACCACATTGCTTTGGTAAATTCGCTTGAGATTGCGGAATTCCTTTTCGGCCCATACTTTGATCATTTTGCGTGGGTTGTGCTGGGACCGCGAGTTTCTAAAGCGGAATTCACCGTCTACGTAGCGTTCCCGATCCTTGAACACCAGGATCGAAGTCTTGAAAATCTTTATCGCTAGTTCGCATCGTTCTTTGTCGCCGTTTGGACCCGCTCCGGAATACGCATGGTACACATTTGCTTCTTTACCAGTGCTGAGACACCCGTTGAACTCGGATATCACTCCCCGTGTGGTCAAAGCTTGCAAGAACCGCATTGTTCTAGGATCAAGAACATTTTCCACCGTTGCCCTATTAGCTTTGTCTTTTGTTGTCTTTTTCGTCTTACCTCCCGATAGCTCATCGGTCTTGATGTTTTGCGCATGTTTGTCGAGGACTTGCGTGTTGATATGGTCGACATGGGTATCATTTTGATCCCCGAGATCCAGGCTTCTCATTTGGCTACTTAGACCAACCATACTTGTGGCTATTGGCTTGCTACTGTCTTGCGATGAGCTAACTTTTCCAATTCGATGAGTTAGGTTTTTAAACTTTTTCAGAATATTTTCGTATATTAGTCTATATATGCTTTAAAAACTAAACCTAAACGTCTGTCTACCGCTCAAGTCTCAAAACTTGATCCAGATTCGCGTCTAGAAAAGTATATAAACTCAGTTTTTGAACTGGATAGCCGATAACTGTACATCTTTGTTCTTCACTACTGTGTTTAACAACCAAAATCATGGTACACCTTCCTAAAGTATGTGTTTTATTGGTATAGTATTTCGATGAAAGTTGTGTAATGAAATCTCGAGAACTCACCAAAAGAACTTTGTCCGTCTAGTTCATGTATTAACCAGTCTTTACCACGCTCTGTATAGTCTTTCATAGGCATTTTTCCGCTGTATATGGGCGTTGAGCTGGCGCTTGGCATCACGATCTTCAACAAATGCAGTGGTGTGTACGGCATTTTGGGTCTCATCACAGGTCACAGATTGCACTTCATGCAGTGGTTGTTGTATTTAACTTCTATTCTACAGTTGGTGGTTTACTCAGCAGCGTTGAAACAGATATATGCGCCCCAAGTGCTGAATTTCGCGATGACTCTGGTCGTGTATACAACCGACACAGTGCTAACATGTTTGTTCACACTGTGGTTTAGCGGACAATGGTTTTCGGCCAAAAACAGCGAGTTTGACGACCCAAACTCGCAAACTCATCAATCCGCTATTCCGGGCTCGCAATTGAAGATACGTGGCGATTCATTGAGCTCCCAAAGCGCATCCCAGAGTACCGAGTTTTTTTTCACCATTCTACTAACACTGCTGGCACTAGCGTCCAGATTCTACTTCAACTCGATCTTGTTTGCTTTCGTGCAAGGACTAATCCGTCATCCCAAATATACGTTGGATATTGACGACATCGAACAAAACTTGAAGAACAAGAACTGGCTTGTGAGAAACTGGAAAAAAGCTCAGTATACCAGCTACAAATGGTGTCGTCACTATCTCGCATGAACCGAGCTTTAAGTCACGACTATGGGTGGTCTCTGCATGTTCTTTGGGTTGTTTTTGTCTGTTGGAAAGGGTTGCTGACTACCACGCACAGCATTTTGCTAATGAAGAGAAGATATAAAAAGGGCACATAAGAAGTCAAAATCACGATTTTACCTTTTGGTCGGGATTTGTGAGTGTTTTATCAATGCTAAAACAGGGCAAACTAGCAAGATGTCCACTGTTCTGAAAACTTGTACTAAAACTGCTACGTTGAATACAGGATCCAAAATTCCACTTTTGGGTCTTGGAACCTGGCGTTCAACCAAGGACAAAGGCTACGCTGCAGTTCGAAAAGCTCTTGACGTTGGATACCGCCATGTGGACTCTGCAGCGGTTTGTATGAACGAGCAAGTTATAGGCAAAGCAATAAGAGACTCCGGGATCCCAAGAAATGAAATTTTTGTCAGTGCCAAGTTGTGGAATACTCAGCATCGCCAACCTGGTATAGCACTTGAGCAATCGCTAGATAGACTGGGACTTGACTATGTTGATTTGTACATCATGCATTGGCCTCTAACGTTCAAGACTGACCGTCTTGGCTCTAAAAACTATATGGTAATTCCGACCAATGCAGAAAATAAGCCCGATGTGGACAATGACTGGAATCATGTCAAAACCTGGGAATTAATGCAGTACCTCCCCAAACAGGGCTGCGCCAAAGCAATAGGGGTTTCCAACTGCTCCATAGGGCACCTGAAGGATATTATAAAGTCCCCAACAAATGAGATCATTCCAGCCACCAATCAAATCGAATCTCATCCTTTTCTCCCCCAGGATGACATGCTTGCCTTCTGTCGTGAAAACGGAATAATAATGGAGGCGTACTCACCGTTGGGTTCCAACGGTGCTCCTTTCTTAAGAGAGCCAGTCGTGCGAGAAATTGCTAAACGCTACCATGTTGACACCGCACAATTACTCATCAGCTGGGGCCTGCAAAGAGGAACTGTGGTGCTGCCCAAATCAACCAGCCCGGAGAGAATTGCTTCCAACTCACAAACCTTCGAGCTGGCAGAGGAAGACTTCATTAGACTGCACGAGCTTGCCCAAGAAGGGGGCTCAAAAAGAGTACATAGCCCACCGTGGTTTTCCTTTCAATAAACGAAAAAAATTGTGTATGATATTGTATTATGCTATTGAATGGTTGCCTGGAATTTTCACACCCAGTGGTGGATTCTGGTTTACTTTACCTTTTCCGAGACCGAAACTGAAATTTTGGTTCATCGTCGCTATCGTCACTCTCTTCATCGTTATTGACATTACCGCCGCGTTGACCACGATTATTTTTGGAAAGGTAACTGGTTTTGTCAGAAGCATTTCGAATACTTCCAATATCTTCCTCTGCCGTATCTTTGTGAAATAGCTGCTTGTCGTTAAACCGCTGCTGAGAGTCGTCCTCATCAATAATAAAAAGCTCCTGTTGGTTTTCTGAATATGGAGTTTCGGAGCTAGTATGCGCCGCGTGTGTGCCAGTGCGCTGACTGGTGAATTGAAAAACTGGTTCATCGTCTTCCACCTGTACTCCAAAATCGATACCATTTTCAGATGCAATTGGATCCACGATTTCGTTGTGCCTGGCGTCAGAAGTCATATTTTCCTCTGGTAGCGAGCTCTTTCGTGGATCAAATTGCTGCATAGGAACATAATCCCTTGTGATCATGTATGCTTTGTTTCGAATAGCATCATTAGCAGAATCAGGACTTGAATTTGAAGAGCGCGAGGGCCATATCTTCACAAACTTTTTGAAATTCTTTCTCCCATTCCAGGGCTCATTGGAATTGGTGGGAGGTGCGGGTTGCCCATTGTTTCTTTTCCTCAAAAGATCTGTAGTTTCCACAATAGCAAGGTTATCAAGCTGCATGATTGCCTCCTCTGTAAGTTCTTCTCCTTGAACATCGGCCATTCTTTCCTTCAGCCTGTCAACCTCAATAGTCTTCGTTTCTTGAATAGCGCGAACAAATGAACCAGAACGAGTGCCATTCCTTAGATTGATTGAGTGCATTCCGGGAGTGCTTCCCTCTCTCGAGCTTGCAGGGGGAGAGTTGGCAGCGGCATCTTGTCCTATTCGTGACTTCTTCACCAAAATGTTCTCTCCGTGCTTAAGTTCCGAAGAACTGGCTACAGATGGACTTGGGTCACCTGCAGGACTATCAATTTTATCCCGCTTCGAAACTACGGATGGTTGTTCATCATCGTCTTCAATATTGTCGTGTGGCCTTTTCAAAAAGCGTGGATCTTCATTTCCAAGTGGAGTGTGGATCAGTTTTCTGGTTTCGTGATCGGAGCCTAGTCGAGGTTTCTTGAAAGCTGGTTGTACTGCTGCCTCTTCAACCACCGGATCGTTTTCAAAGTTGACATCTTCGCTAATGGGAGGTTGCTCACTCTTTGCTTTTATCTCTTGTGATGCAATAGAGCCACCGCCACCAAAGAATGTTAAACTATTGAGAGGCTGGACTCTTTGTCGATTGGGCCTCCTCTTTCTCAATGAACTATTTGCCGTATCTTGAGAAACCATGTCTCCTTGTTCCAAAGCTGAGTTAATTGTCTGTACAGAACTTGCGGCAGTCGGGGTAGTTCGCTGAACAGGTGTGCGCTTCAGCAGTGACGAGAGGTCGTGGTTGAGTACAGCATTGACGAGATCATTGACGTCAAATACCGCCAAACCGATTTTTTTAGCCTCAGCCCTCAAAAGTCTTGCCTCTTGGATCTCGTCCACGCCATTTGAATCATCTTTTTGCAGCAAAGATGAGTTAGTGTTGTTGAGATGCATCAGTATGACGATCTTGTCAGATTGAACCTGATTTCTGACAAAAGACTCCAGATTTGTGACACCATCACACAACCAAAGCGTACCATTTCCGGCATCCACGATGTGTTTGAAAATAGCAAATACCTTCCTGCTGGTGACCACAAAGTTGAATGTTCGAAAAATCGACGGTGTTGGAACATAGTTTGGAAACTGAGAATTGCGTTTCACGAGCTCCGTCCATCGTTCATCGAAGTTGGTATGGATGTGATCCACTTGCTGAAAAAAGTCCGAAATTATAGTTTCCCGTAGCACTGGGATTCCAGAAACTAAAGCAAACAGACAGTTACCGTAATGTCCCTCTCGTTGCTTGACGATTTGAATTGTAGTGTTCGAAGAAAGCGTAGTAACAGCATCAATCCCATATAGTGATAGTTGCTGCTTATCGGATTCAGCCATTGAAGTATCGTGTGGTAATTTCCACAAGGCATTTTCATAAGTCACAATAGCCACGATGGGTTCAGCACCCATTTCAATGATGGTCTCAGATGTTGGCGAAAACTTAGCCGTGTGACCAACTTTAACAGCTTTTCCATTGATTTTTGTCAGTTTTCCAAGGTTGGAGACGCTCAGAAGGTTTTGAGCGTCCGTTTCGAGCTTAATATGGCTTCGTGATATGCTTTTATCATTCTTGATGTTCAAAGGGCTCTTTGTAGACCTTCCGATGTCGTATTGGATCGCTTGTTTCAAACAACACGAGACTTTGATCTGAGTTCCATCCGCACCTTTACATTCAAACCTCAGAACCCACATAAAGGCCTCATATGTGCCTTTCAAGTTTGTTGATGTTCTTACAAGAACTTGACCATTTACTCTAAGTTTGAGCATCAACACTATTATATACAGGATATAGACAGAAAATTGAGAAAGTGACATGAAACGAACAAAAAGGTTGAATGAATGTTAGCGCTTGCTCCAGCTGAGTATCTACATATGGGAACGGAATTCGAAAAAGGTCTTTTCGGTTCTTTGATTGTTCTTGAGGTCGTGAAGCTGTTTTTCTCGATTGTTAGCCTTTTCAAAACAGCGAAAGCGATACGCCAAAGGAAAAGCCCGGCTTAGCCACGTCTTGTGGTCTGTTTGTGATGGGCAGAGCGTAGGTCAGGTCCATGTTTGCTACAGAGCTTTTGTAAAGTAGCGAAAGACCGGAACTGGCTGCGTAGGAAAAAGTAGAAGGTTTTGCTGAGAAAACATCACCACCGTTGAGAAAACATTGAAGTCTCAACGGAGAGTCAATAGGAGTGTTGGGGAGCTTGAACGAAGAAGCCACTTGCAATTTGTAAAAAAAATCACCACCATTTGACCCGACTTCGTTTCTGCAAAAACCCTTTAGGCTGGAAAGCCCTCCCAAGTAAAACTTATCAATGTGGTGAACCTTGCTTGCAGTTTCGCCAAGAGGCACGATTCCTCCGCATGCAAAGTCTAGCGAGTTAATCACCATGTTTTTGAAAAAAGAACGTTGAGCTTGTAGTGTCAACGCGATCTTGTTGAAACTACCTCCATGGCCCGTGGTTGAGACTGACTCATTCTCCTGCTTTTGCGAAAGCACGTATTCGTTGTTGAGAGCAAACTTCACACCAGACGATGGAAACAGTCCAAAAAACTGCCTATTGTCAAATGAAAAATGTGACACCAAACTATTCTTCACATATGGTGTATCAGCAGCAGCAGTTGAGGCCGAGAACGGATCTTTGAAGTTTCTGGCCACAATTGAAAGGCCATTGTAAAAAGTAGGGATGCACTCGAACTTTCCCGAGAGCCACGCTTTTTGCACTCCTATGTTAACAGAAGCCTGATTTTGTAGTGTGCGGTCGTGAGACTCGACGAAATGTACGTCTCGGAGATCGATCTTGGCATAGTTGGCGTCAACCACAGCCTTGACGGATGGATTTTTTTGGAGGGGCACCACAAGTTTGGCCTCCAATGAGTTTTCATCCACAGAACCCTTGAACGGCACGAATCTTAGTTGGTTTTGCAACGTCAGAATTTCGGCCCTTCCAAGAGCATTGATCACAGAGTAACGGCTTCCGAACGCAGAGATCGAGTCGCTGGTTGTGGAAGTGGCAGTGGCCTTGTTGAGCTCTATAGGTGAAAGAACAATTTTGGCAGCAGTTGGAATGGGACTTTCAAGACTATAGTCTTTAATGGCATCTTCAGGGATTTTGTCAAGTCCGGATGCTTCAGTTTCCTTGTCTAAAACCACTCTCACGTCTTTGAACAGTCCGGTGAACACCAATTTACGCTTAATATCGGAAAAATTGGTCACCGACTGCTCCAAGGTCTGTAAAGGCTGTGAAAGTACCGGTTCAAGCACTGACTTGAAAACGGCGTCCGACAAAGGACTAGACTTATTGTCACCATCTACCGTTATAGAAGTGATAAAGAGCGGTTTCAAGGCAGAATTGTGTAGAGGGGCTGTCTTGAAGTCTTGGTCTTGTCCCAAGAACAAATCCGATCTGGTCATGGTAGCCTCACTTGTCTTTGTAGTCAAGAAGGGACCGTGAAGTCAAGCATCTCATGGATATCTTGCTAAACTTGGTTTTAATTTCTTAATTATGAGCGGGGGAATGAAATAAATACCCGAAATTACCCGATTCACGTGAAGCCGTAGTTACGGGTACTAAGACGGGTTGTCAAATGCGAACCGATTTCAGATCCACAGTTGTATCCGTTTGGTATCCGTTTAGTACTCGTTTGGTACCGAAATCTCTGTAACGACTCGGATTGCTCAATTATATGTTGTTAGGACACGAAGACCCAAGGCCAGTGTCAGGAAAATGATAAAACACAGTTTAGAGAGAAGTTCACATTGGTGACAAAAACAACACCGCAGAGCACATTTAGAAGACCGTGTTGGGCGGCATCTTATTGAGTTTCTGCAGTTTCAGCACTAGACTTTTGGTGAGTGTCAGTTTGAACGACGTGTGCAACCTGGCATCTGGGGTATCGGGCGGCAAATGCGCTTCAACAAGCCTTTGAATAGCTTTGAAAATGTGTCGAAACCACTGTACTGAAATATTCGCGTTATAGTTATATTTTTGGGGCGAAAACTTCAAGTTTGAGTTGTTGAACTTGCGGTAAAGCTGAGTTCTGGTATAGCGTTCGAAAGATGCTAGCTGGTTGTAGTAGGGGTCTCGCAGACCGAAAAGAAGAGTCGTACTTGGTATCAGAGAGGTCTGCACCCACATACGCAGCATTTTTCGGCGGTTATAAGAAGAATTTGTTTTGAGTCCCGTGGAGCACTTGATCTCCGTGTACGTACTGGAGGATGGCTCAACGGCATCCATTTCGGCTTTGAACAGGCATTCGAGACCATCGTCTATTTGCCCACAAACAATTGAGTAGAAAGCGGATGACACACTAGGATCTTTGGCCTTGGTGACAAGATGTTCGAGCTCGAACCCCGTATAGCATATCTTGCGTATCCTGGAGTCATCAGAGTGAATTCCCCCTAACTCATCGCCTGACTGTTTATCGGGGAAAAGATAAAGATAGCTGTCATGGTTTATGGCATTCAAATGAACGTCCTGATCTGAAAATGGCGCCATGATCAGATCTATCATATTGTGTCTGGAGCACACAATCGTAAATTTCGATCTGTTTTTCTTTACGCTGTACCGGTGGTCAATGAATTGCTTTACACCACGCATATCTTCCAGCTGATCTGGAGACACCGGAGAGTAAGTCTCGTAGTTTTCAAGCATGTCGTGGCCCAGGTAGTTGGAAATACAGGATCGGTCGCCATCTTTCACAAACCGCGAAACGTCGTCTTTCAAATGAGCGAGACCTTCGCAACTGTCTAGCACAAACTTCTCTTCATCAAGTTTTTGAGTAAGCCCACCAAGCTCTTTCACGTCGGTGAAAAAGGGAAGCGGTTGAGGTGAAAACTGCGATGGGTGCACATGCTGGAACCGCTTGCAATTTATTTCCCACTCTGTGCCGTGATCCTGGAGACTGAGGCCTTTCAATGAGCTTGCTAGACTTTCTGCCATGTACGATACAGAGCTGGGCAGCTGGTGTTCTTACTGTTAACTATTGACTTCGAAGGGCATCGCTTTAGAATTGATGTATGCCTGTGCATGCATATACACTGAAGAAGTATAAGATGGTAAGAATAAAAGAAATCACGTGCCAAAATTCAATTTAAAGTGCATTAACGATTTGATGCCAAGGTTTTCTTCGGAAGATAGCTGCTGATATTGATTTAAAGACTGTCCAGGTTTTCAAGTTCTATTCGCTCCTTTCTTCTTTTGTTAGTTTAATATCTGGCCAGATCACCATTCGATTTAATTTCTTGTTCACAAATCTCGAAGTTGCCAGTTAAGCTTTCCGTTAGTACGATGACACACTGGAAAAAACGCAAAGCAGCGTGATCAGTTCGTGAAACCGATTCCAAAAACAGTAACCACCCTAATGTCTACTAAACTTACTGTTTCTAATATCACTTTTTCTCAAAGTGGCACACAAATGCCAAGACGCTATTACATAATCATGCATATAAATTTTCTCTCGAGAGCTAGCATGTGATCTTGAAAGCGCACCCCTTTTTTTCTTTTTTTCCTTTGATAATGCGTGTGCTAACAAAACGGAATCATGTGACTGAAAAATATTATCGCTGTATGCATCATCAAAAAAATTGCTGGGGTCCGTCCCACACCTACAAAAGTCGACGAAGATGCACCTTGGAAGTGCTCATCGCTTACCTGGTATATCAACTTGAAGCCCCAGCGCAAATAATCATCAGACGTAAAACTCTGTAGACCTGTAAATATTGATACTTTTGAGCTTACTGGCTGGGGTAGCGAGAGCTTTTCATTCAATTTTAAAGAATGACGGGAATAGTTAGATATATTCCCAAGAGCTCTTTATGGCTCTGTCCGATGTTTCTGATCGGTTCGGACCTTATTACGAATTTATATGGTGGCGATAAAGGACGGGCCAGTGTGACACGCCAGGTGCAGCGTAAGGGCAAAAAACTACTTGCTTCGCGTCGACCACGACGTCAAGATGAACGGTCAAATGCAGGTCGTGGTGGTTGAAAAAGTGGGTTTTTACATTTCTTTGGCGCGGACGCTGAGGTAACTGCCGGGGTTTTTTTTCTCGAAAGTTTTCAGATTACTTCTGAAAGCGTTTTGTGAATCATAGGACCGACAGTTTTGTTCTTTTTGAGCTGGATGTGTACAAGGACAAAAATGTTTGATTTCAGGGCAGAAACGCAAAATGGAAATTGAGCAGGAGTTTTTCACAGCCCGCTTTGCAATCCAAACCGTTAAATGATATAACTTTTGAATTCGGTCTTTCAGCGCCAGGTCTTCAGGCAAGTTAGTCCTGTCATGGTGTTCATTCACTCACCTTTTCAACAGCTGCGCAATCCTAGGTGCTAGTTGAGACTTGGAAAATTTCACGGTTCTGGTTAACTTAGCACACGTCATTATTGATAAGACACGAATGGTATTCAAAAAGTCAGCCCTCGAGTGCATAAGCAAGTTTTGGCTTTTTTAACCTTCTAAAGATACGGAACCATATTTGTGAGCCGGTTTTGTAGAGTGAAAAGGCAAGATCATAAAAACAATAGGAAGACTTCCCTCTGAAAAGACTGAAATAATCGGAGCTAAACTGTCACTCACTAGTAACATGCTCGAAAGACAGAAGTGCGATATATTAGCTACTTTTGGAGGCTGGTACTTTCCGCTCTGTGTGTTGGAAAATTCGTGGACAGATTCAAGGTCAATAGACCCGGAGTCCACGATTTGCAATGGAAAGAAAGCATCATCAGCGTGTATCGTAGGCAAAGAGGGAAATACATCACGATTCTGAAGAAATTATGTACAATAATGAAAGTCAGGTAGGCCTTACCTATAAGGCCTCTTACATCTGGGAACTTCATTGGCCTGGTTAGATAGCTTAAATACATGCGCATTCTGACAAACTCCCGCTGGTGTAGTCTTTGATGGCATCGGACGGATCCTAAAACTGTAAAAGCACTGATCACTTTAGTCATCCCTGTCGCGGGTACAGTCACGTGACACAAATGCAGGAAATAGAAACTGTTCTGTCAAGCTTGTCAAAAGTGAGTCGTTGTGGCCTTCAAGCTCTGATGTCACCATCTGTCTTGGATATAACTGTTGAGTTTAAAAGTGTTTTTGTCAGCCGTTTCAAAACTTCCAACAAAGCCATTGGCTCGTAATCACTTTGTACTAAAATGTCGTCTTTTTTAACATGGTCTCTGAATAGCTCTTGTCTCTTTCTGAAAAGAATAAAATGTACATCCGAAAGCACCGAAAAACCATTCATTGGGTCCCTTACACTTCATAATTTCACAATCAAGAAACCTTTTCGTCAACAATACCCGTCAATTAGTTGTAGACATGCTGTGTATTGAAACTTTTGCGGCAAGCTCATAGTACTTGATATGTAGAAATGGAAGACCAATCAACATACGCCTAACGGCTGCTTCCAAATACCAATGCGTCACAAGCTGTTGAGCTAACTTTTGTATCATTCATTCTACACGTGACCCATATCTTCTCATAAGAGCTCTCATGATGTACGAATGAATATAGAACTTGTTCACTAAATTCATCAACTACATCAACCGGAACCCTATCAACAACTGATTCAACGAATTCGCTCATTGTCGCTTTTCTACTGTTCGACTACCGAGTCTTCAACGTTCGATATACTCAAGCTCCTGAACAAATAAAAAAAGACTTTCAAAATGGTGGAATGGGCCGTAATTATTTTCGATAAAAAGGGCAGCGACAGATCCCAATTCAGACCTGAACATCTAGAGGGTGTCTCTGCCAATTACGCAAAGGGTGTGCTGAAATGCGCTGGTGCAATTTACCATAAAGCTGGTGAGGACGGCAAACTAAGCGAGTTCGCAGGGTCCCATTTGCAGATTGAAGCACCTACCAAAGAAGACGCTTTGCAAGTGATTTACAACGACCCTTTTGCGAAAAAAGACATTTGGGACCTGGAAAATATAATCATTTACCCATTCGGCTGTGCTGTGCGTGCTGCCAAGTAATTGGCTGTGTCACTCTGACTTCGTGTTTACTGTCAGACAAAACTTTGCCTGTTATTTTTTATACGATATATAACTGCCCGAGAACTCTGGTGTATCGCAGGACGTACATAGCTGTTTTGTGAGAAAATGCTGCAATATCAACCGTCGTCAATTCATCTGATACATTTGACTAATAGGAGACGCCGATCAAGTAATCCGCCAATTGCTCGACAATCTTGGTGGCCTCACCAGCTTGCACACCGGCTGGATAATGGGTCACCAAGATGGTCTGCTTCGTACGCACGCAGATCACACCCTCGGCCTCGTGTCTACCGTAAATGCTTCTGTCGTCAGCTCTGATCAACATGAATTTTTGGCCTTGAACATGCAAACCTGTACTCTGCAACCCTGAAGGGTTCTCAAAACCCTGTGCAATTTCGGAAATTTCATTAGCAGGCAGGTTTAGTCCACCGGAAGCAGCCCACAGCGAGTCTCCGGCTCTCGAGTAGATCGCAGCTTTGTCAATTTTGCCAGTACCAATTAGGTTGTCAGTGTAAGCTGTTTTGATTTATTGTAAGTTAGTACCCAAATAACTTCAAACTTAACGAAAAATTACCGTTTTTTCTCCGTTTAAAAGAGCTTAGTCGACTGATACGTACCTTGCCAAGACATGAGGTATAGATTGTGTGTGAAATATTTGTCTATAAGGTTTACAGAAGTTGTATTTGAAGAATGTTTCCCGAACGGTTTGACATTGCTAAGTTGGCCTTAATTATAATTATTGGAAACCCTCTAATTACTTTAATATCGCTATTGACGTGAGTTGAGAAAGAGAAGGCCGGGTAATAAAGTTTAATACAAGATTCTGAAGAAAACATTAGTCACGTGGGATCTATGGGCCCTATTGTGAGGTGTACGGGTGCTAAAATCATTACTCGTCGTCTTCATCCTCCTCATCCAACACCGCTATCTTACGCCTCTTGAGCGTTGTAGCTTCGTCTTCATCGTTGTCTTCACGATATTGAGCAGCCCCGTTTTGCTTTAGCTTTCTCAAACGTTCTGCTTTGGCTTCATCGTCCTCACTTACGTTTTCATCGTCCAATTCCTCCTCCTCTTCTTCTTCGTCTTCGTCCTCGTCTTGTTCTTGATCATCGTTTTCATCTTCGTCGTCCACCATGAAACCATCGTCTTCGTATTCGTCGTACTGACTGCGACGATCACGATCACGGCTTGCGGACACTGCACGGGAAGATTTAGCCATCATGCCCGTAGGCTCTGGTGAATCCAAACCTTCGCGTTCTTGCTGTTCACGCAGCTGTCTTTTCCTTCTCTCACGCATGATCTGGTTCTGTTTCCGCTCCAATTCTTTTTGTTCCAGCTCAGGGTCCACGCGTTGAATGTATGTGTTGGGGCCCTGGTGTTCCCGCTTTTCTTTGCGTGCCACGGCCTTTGTGAGACGTTGATGGTTCTTCGAACTGGTCGATGTGGGGATGAAGATCATGGTCTTGGTGATGTCACCTCCTCTTACGGACTGAATGAGTTCCTGCTGATCGTGGGAAACCGCCAGATACGTATTAGCGGTATCGTTTATCAGCACGTCAGTGTATTCGTCGCCCAACCGTAGCGAATACGATCCGTCGGACCATTGTACGATTTGCGAGTTCGATTCCTTGAACACATTCTGTTCGTTGTCCCTTGAGTATCGCCACCTTACCGTATTCTCGTCTATAAGCCTGTCGTCCATCTGATCTTCGCGAGATGATAATTGGGCCGTTCGCTGTTCCACTCTGTCCTGGAAAGCAGGTGGGTCAAACGGTATAGGGTCTATGGTCAAAAGTTCGGGAATTTTAGCGTAGAACACCCCTTTTTCCCCGTTTGCAGAGGCCGTAGGGTACGGAACAATGTGTTTGACGACGTCCACGTCTGCTTCCCGAAACTCACGCGGCGTTTCCTCGTCAGACTCGCCGGTGGCATCCCCGTAAAATTTTCGATTGTACATTTCCTGCTCATTATCCTCGCCCTCAACCATACGACTATCGTCATCATCTTGTGCGCCAGTATCCTCTTTGTCCAATTCCTTGTCGCTTTCATCACCAAATAAATCCTCCATTTCCTCCGCTTCCACTGCAGCTTTTGGGCTGGCTGTTGGTTCCCCAGATACTGCTTCAATCCTAGAATCATGAGATTCTTCTTCACCGCTTGACATGGCTCGATTGGTGGTAGTTTGACTTAAAAGTTCTGTTAAAACTATCTTAGTTTTCAGTTTGTATATATATATATATCAACATCTTTAATCATTTTTCATTAATTTGACTGGAGCGACAACAGTTTCACCAAAAACGATGCGAAAGAGCCCAGGAGAAAGGCGAAACCTGGGCATCACCTTTAGAAAGTATATAAACCAGCCATCAAACAATTATTCAAGATGATTTAAGCTTGAGCTATAATTGAGTCTGGTTTTCTTCAAATTATCTCAAGTTCTTTGATTCTTTTCAAAGAAATACCTTTTTCGACATGTTTCTGAACGGACGACTGACACCAAAATTAGCTGTGCTTCTGTGCTTGATAGGACTGATATTAGAGTCGATATTTATCAAGCACATAACTGGTTTGGCAGATAGAAGGATTCTTTCCAATATTTACAATTCCAGAATTCGAAGCCAGAGCATGTTGAGTATTCAAAAAGATAAAAATCATGAGGTCGATTGCCGTGATGACGGTTATGTTGCTGGAGTTTACTACTCAAACTGGTCACCGTATCCACCCAGAAATCATTTCCCGCACGATATTGACTTTCGGCAGATTTCGCATGTTTTTTATTCGTTTTTCGTAGTGGACCCGCACTCAGGACAGTGCACCACAAGTGACGAGTATTCTGACACTCAATTGGACGTTTTCAAACAAATGGAACATACCTTCCACAAATTGAATCTTGGAAATTCCAGCAAAGGCCATTTGAACGATAGTACAAGCAGGAATTCGTTGCCCATGGGTTGCTTGGGAGAACTATTCTATTTGAAATACACCGATTTTTTGATAGCCAAAGGCGGTCCTTCAGGTGTCAACAATTTCAAAACTATAATGTCTGTTGGCGGGTGGTCTAATAGAGAAGCTTTCAAAGCTCTTGTTGCAGATTCTGCGAAGCTGCAAACTTTTGTGGATACTTGCGTTGAAAACATGTTCAAGTTCGGTTTTGACGGTATCGATATCGACTGGGAATTCCCAGAAAACGACTCGCGAGAGCCGGCTGTTTTTTTGGATTTATTGAAAGCATTGCGAACCAAGCTAATTGACCTCGAGAATGCTATCTTTGGGTCTGATGATTCGCATCAACATTTTCTGTTGACTGCTGCTATTTCAGCCGATCCGTCAATCTTAGAATATCTACCTCTCTCTCAGGCCAATTCGTATTTGGATTACTTCAACTTGATGGCCTACGATTTTAGCGGAAGCTGGTCCGAGCAAACTGCATATCAAAGCAACCTCTACAATTCTCAAGGGTCTCTTCATCCCAGAGATGGACTAACTACGAGCACTGGTCTTAGTGCGGACAAGACTATCCAAATGTTGACTCTCCAATGCAAAGTACCCGCGAGTAAAATTGTACTGGGAATGCCAGCTTACGGTAGAGGATTCAAGAAAGTCTCTTACCGAGACAGAAGCAGTACACTTGCTGTCAATAGAACATTCCACGGTGTTCAGGGCACATCTAAGGGAGAAGAAGGAATCTCACTCTACAAGTCTCTACCTGGTAAAGGAAATCAAGAACTCTTCGATGACAATGCGGTATCTGCATTCTGCATAAACTCCAAGCCTTTCAAAAAGTCTACCGATCTAACGGTTTATGATAACCCTGCGTCAATGCAGAAGAAAGCACAGTACGTCAAACAAAACAAACTGGCCGGGGGGTTTTGGTGGGAGTCTTGTGGCGAAAATTACGCAGACCCAGAACGCTCACTAACATTGCGCTTTATCCAAGAGCTGAAGAGTATCAAAAAGACAGAACCCACAATTTACAAAGCGCCTCAAGTGGCCCACTACTATAATCTCCATTTCAAAGAAGAATTCCTGTCTTCAATCCTACAGAAATGACCTCTTTAAATCAAGGCAATCCAGGAGACACTCATTATGCTTTCATTCGTCCTTATGAGATATATACCTGCAGTATTTCTACAATAAAGTGTCCATTCTCGAGAAAACTTCAAAAACACCGGCAACCACCTCGAGCTGTAGTTGTGCGTCCGGATACTCGGCAACCTCTTCTTGTGCGTCATTGTTAAGGTTGACGGAAATACCCGTTTCCGTTTGCTTGTCGAGAGCAAATGGAAATTGCGAGAATTGAGCCAGAATTTCGTCTGCACGAGTGAACGCACGATCTCTTTTTTCGTAGTCCAAGCTCGATAAAACGTTTTCCAAAACGTTGGCACCGTAGCCTCCACAAATCAACGACAGAGTTCTTATAAGTTTAAATGATACCGATTCGGTGAAATAATCGTTGAAGTTGAGTTGCACGCTTCTTGACACTAACACCGAAAGTATTCTGCGCTTGATCGATTCTTTGCAGCTATTATCTACTACCGGATGTGTGGGCATGTCAAAGAGAAAGAAATTCTTCATTTCCGTTCTCAGAACGCCTTTATCAACGAGGCCTTTGGCCAAACGCTCACGCACCTGTTTGAGCTGGTAGCTGATTTTCATGAAATTCCACGTCTCACCGCTCAGCAAATCGATCCAATTCGCTATTGTCAATGGTTCATCTTTTTTCATCAAGTTCAGCGCCTCATCAAGCAGCACTTCGCCAGTCTTAGCCCCATTAATCACTTCCACAAGCCTTTCTGAAACGTCAAATCTTTTCCTGGCCGGGTCGTCCACAATTTGAATTTTCCCTCTGAGTGCTAATTCAATCAAGATACATCCACGAAGGGCGTAAGAAATGTTATCGTTCCAAAACGAAAGATAGCCCTCTTTGTCCTTTAGTCCCATCAACAACACTTCTTCCATCAATGTCAGTTTTGGAATCGTAACGTTATTTTTAAGCATCACTTCTTCGGGATCATAAGCTACCTTCCGGGTTTGACCTTCTTCCTCCTCTTCTAACGAGCCAGACCGGCTTTCTTGGTTATCGTTGCTGACATCTGGCGAGTAGTTCGAATCGGATCTGTTAACGCGTCGACGCTGAAGTCCTGACATCCTTGTGTTTCCTGCTCAAGACACCTTGCAGACTGGTTGAATATGAATCGCGGAAAGTGTTCAAAAATAAAGCAATTTTGAAGCTTCGAATTCACAGTTCTGACTATCTAAGGTTCTCAAATCGAATGCCTGCCGAATCGTGGTCGTGTGGACTATCGCTAGACGTTATTCGACCAGTTCTTCGTATGATCCAAATACCCTATTTGCTTGGCTTGAATGTATTTTGGTGTACTTTTTCACAGATATTTGAATTAAAGGTCTCGTTAATGATGATGATATTTGACGAGGTAGTCACGTGTAGGAATACAATGACTTCAGCTGGCCTCAGTAGCCGGATGGATCAAACTGATGGAAACGTTAGTATCTATTCCTCAACAACTCTTTTGAGCGGTTCGATTACATTCTCTTGCCCTTTCTTCACATATACCAGAAAGTATGGCGTTGCCGTGTTACCCACGGAAAAATTCAATACTTCACTTTCAGGTGCTTCAGTGACGGTTTCGTCATTGTATTTGCGCCAGATTCCGTTGCGAGACCAGTCTCTAATGTAAATCCAGTAGTGTCCATAACTAGCCTCCCCACGGTGAATGAAAACTGCAAACAAGGAATACTCATGTTCACGAAATTGATCCAAATCGTCGTTCATCTTTTGTTCGAGCACATTGATGCGTTGGTAGATTTCGGCAAGCTCGTTATCTATTTTCAGAATGAGAGAGTCAATGGTTTGTAACGAAGATTCTTTGTTTTCGACGTTGATATCGTGTTGCTGAAGAACATCGGATTGCATAAACTTTTTCATCTCTAGCAGCGACGTTTTGAAGCTAAGACCGCTGCCATTTTTCCCAAGCAGTTCACGCTGCCTTTCTTTCAAAGACTTTAGCTCCTCTTTCAAAACAAGTGCCTCCTCTTTTTTTTTTATAAGGAGAGGGTTCTGTGTGTCCATGTATCGGTCCATATATATCGTTTTTTTGAATGGGAGGGGCTCAATTGACTTGAAGGGCATAAACTTCTCGCGATCGTAGTAAACTCTTTGAATCTGGAGCTGTAATACGGTTGGAAGGCGTTCAATGGCAACGCTTCTTTTAACGTGGCCATCTTCTAGCTGTAGCACATCGTCTTTAAAATATTGGTCCAGAGCGTCATAAACGTCCTTTGGATGGTCGACAACGCTTATCAGTAGAGAGACGAACCTTTCAATTTTCGTCCTCACTTTGTCTGTATTATTCAAAGGAACAAGATCTTGCTTCAATTTTCCGTAAAATAAGTTTTTGATGAGATCTTGCTGTTCTCCGTCATCATCCAAACTGCTGGGTTCAGATGCACTTTCCAATTGAAACAATACATTACCGATGCATTCCGTCACATCCTGCTGCCTTCCCATTTCTAATGCATTTTCCAGCTGATCGGGGCTTATGTTAGCTACTCTGGTAGATGAAGCCATGGGTTCCGTAGTCTCGAGATCTTCAAGTAAAATGTCGCTGTTCGCAGTTTCCGCTCCCACCTCGCTTTCAGAAGGAACTAACTTGATCATATCAACATCTTCACCACTGTCGTTGGTCAAATCAATGACTGCAACATCCGAATCCTTTGAAAGCGTTTTGGCGGGTGGTGTCTCCTCAAATTCGACTTCAATATTACTAGGTGCGAATGCAAGGTAAGCTAGTTCTCTTGTTGGAGTAACAAACTTACTTCGGGAGTGAACCATGCTTGTGAACAGGTCACGAAGCTGATATACAAACTGGACAGACCTTTCCACTTCAGGATCACTGACTTCTCTTCCACCGATTCTTCTTTTCCCACCCAAGTGACCGAGTGACTGTTGAAACTCATCAAGGGCTCTCTGATAACCAATGACAGCATCTCGTAATGGTGAAATGCTGAAATAGTACTGTAAAAGGGAATTCAAATAGCAAGTGTTTCCGATATTGTTCAGCCCAGTGGGCCAATTTCCAGCTGGAAGACAGCTGACATCAATCATTCCAGTCTCCAGATATCTCGCAATGAACAAAGAGTTGCGTATTTGCCCAACTTTGATCAGAGCCGCTAATGATTTCAAGAAAAGGTCTGGCGCCAAGTTAGTGTCCTGAGCCCACATTCTTTGGAACACCTCCAAAATAAGCTCGTCCGAAGCATTTTCGTTGAGCTGTAATATACATAATGCATCCTGGTAGGTCATTTTATCAGCCGAGTATATCTCGCCAAATTGTGGGCATTGCTCGAACAGAAATTTGAATAGAGTCAAGTTTCTTTTACTAACAGCCAATGTGTAGAGTGCTCTATCGCAATCGACCTTCAATCCAGGAGAGTCAGCCGCTTTTATGGTGTAAGCTGTCTGAATAACATCTGCATCTACCGATTCGTCTACTTCAAGCATTCGGTAGGCCTGATGTGCGTTTTCGTAGGGCTCGTAGGTAGAGTGAAATTTCAATGAATCACTGTTTTTGGCTTTGGCTAGCAGCTTCAGTGCGTTTTTAAAATGTGAATGCTTTTGAACAGTGGCTTGCGAGATCTCTTTCCGATACACTCCCAAAAGCAATTCGTCGTCGATAGAGGTCAGTTCAACATTTGCGGGGTCAATGCCAAATAGCTTAAGAGCAGAATCCAAACTTTCTTTACCTATAATATCCTGCTTTCGAGCGAATGTGCTTAATTGATGGCTGCTTTTCACATTGGCAATGTATGTTAGGGCATCGTAATACAATCCGGTATTAACCGAGTCTAACAGGGTTTGACATTCATAGTTTCTAATAACATCTTTATCAGTGTAATAGTGAGCAGCGGAGAGAATCATGAAATTAAAGCTGGCATCGAGTTCCTGGTTCCAGTGATCGGTTATGTTCCTGCTTTCACCCAAAACGTGGAAAAAGAATGACGAAGAATAATTGATTTGGTACAGCTGAAAAGAACGGACCTTTGAGTCCTGGGGCCCACCGTTCTTGGCTGAGATATTGCAGGATAATTTCCCCAGAAATACCAGTTCTAAGCATTTGCGAACGTATGCCTCGCGAAGTTTTCTGATCTCAGTGTCTTCGACATAGTTCGTTAAATCGGGTGGCTGAAACTCCATAGAATGTGACATGTTTTCTTCGCCTTCATTAATTGGGGCTTTTGATAAGTGGAAATGGAACCGATCGGTCAACCAACTTGGATCGATTTGAGAGTTAAGGAATTTATTATCAGCAGAAATTGTCTTTAGAACATCCTGGGAACTCTGCCTGTTTAGCGGGCCCTTGAAAATCTTCAAAAGTGTACCAAAACACTCTGCTTGAGATGGTATGCTCTCAGAATCCAGGTCAGGAAACTTTTCACAAGCAGCCATGTATCTCTGTTTGATACTCTCCGGACTAAATGCTTCAAGATCACAATCACTGAGTTCCGGTTTCAAGATCTGTATGCATACTAGCTTTTTGGTATCACTGGAAACATAGTAGACGGTATCAATGAGTTGTGAGTTCGAAGGATCAGCTGTTGGTATGTCCACTGCATCAGCAGGATGCAAAGCTGAAAGCAGATGGTACCTTTGAACACCAACCTGCCTACGCAAGCGCTCTAGATGAGTTCGTGTTTTGACTGTGATCTTGAGGTGGTAAATGGGTACTTTAGCAATGTCTTCGAGGCGCGATGGAATAAAAGAAGGGTCTGTGAGAATTGACATGAAAACAGTAATTTTATTGAATTGAGGACAGCTTTTGGACTCGTATTCGTAACGGGTCTTTAGAGCCACCTGGTCAAGAAGATATCCGACACTGTACGGATCATGAATCTTGCTGCGAGCATACTTTAAAATAGGCAATTTCAAAATTCCGGTATGAAGGTCACTGATGACAATTTCAGGGTCTTGAGACTCTCTAAACTTCATTTCGAGTTTGATGTCTTCCAATAGCCTCTCTGCGGTCTTGAAAGGAAACACATTGCTTGCATTGGGATAAAGAAGCGTCTTGCCATCGTCTTGGTATTTGCTGTCATTAGTTGCCTCGGGAGGACTTTCGCAGCCGATTCTTGGGATATGCAGTGTAGAAGAGTCCTCATGTCGAAATGTAGGCGATGGCGAATGCTCAACGTCTCTAAACATGGTGTCCTGAGGGGTATGAAGCCAAGTCTCGAGTATTTGCGACAAAGGAAGTGATCTTGAATTTAGATCTGGTAGGAGTGGCCTTAATTTAAAGGTATCGTAAAAAGGTACTGGGAACGAAAGCTTCCTAACGAGTAAGAACGTCCCCCGAACACGGCAATAGTTAGGTGACGCGTTGTATTGCTTAACAGAGTATGGTTTTCTATAGTACTGGGGCAAGAAATCGGCCTTAAACGTGTGTTATCATTCTGTTAATATCATCGCCTGTAGCTCTTCCACTGTTGAGATGATCGTAGTCGCAAGTTTCGTGCTTGTTGGAGAATGAACGGATATTGATTGAGTTTGAAAGCAGAAAGCTAGAATCTGATGAAAGCTACAAGGACCATTGTGCCACGTTTCGTGGGACGCTTGCAAGATCAAGTTGTGCATGACACGAGAGTTGAGATCACGTTTAACGAGTGTGTCGTTAGGGTTTCGATCTTAAATTGACATTACGTGTACGTGATAATTATCAGAACCGGAATGTCGAACAATCTACTTTGGATAGTTCTGAGTATCAAATGAAAAATGCAAATTTTGAAATTTACCAGTTGACAATAGAAATTACATCAATCGACACTAATTTTGGTTTCTCTCTTGGAATTTAGCTTCAAATGGTTGGTCTCCTCACATTGTTACGTAAGTGAGTAACACTGGAGTCACGTGATGTCTATTCTACAAATGAAAGAAATTGATAGTCACGTGTAAATGCTAGTCTCCATAGTGCTTATACAAACGAAGTATACATGGCTTATTCATTTGTTGATTTTACATCTATCTCACTTCTCAAGGAAGGTCGCCTTCTCGTTTCCAGTCATATTGCTCCCCATTTTCACCTGAGAAGAAATTTATAATACGAATATCACAGCTTGACGGTTTCCGAAACCAAAAGAAATTCATGTATAGCGGAACCATAAAAATTCACCAATGGCTCATAAATCCACCATTTGCTGTCATACCACAGCCTGAAATCAAAGCCTACATAATCTCTACACCTGTGTCAGAAAATAGCCAATCTTTCAAATGTCGTCTCACGTGATCTTTAATCTACATTATATATTCACAGGGCTTAGACCACCAGACTACTTAATCAAGTCGATATGCCCATACCTAGGAGCTAACAACTGATAAAAGAAGGCCAAAGTCACTACTTCAAGCCAAGTGTTTAAGGAAATAAGCACTTTTTGTCAATGCCCACAATTCAAAACATTTGAGTTTCCGATTATCTTTTCTATTCACGGCTCCCAAGCTTTACAAACACTTTAGAAATGGGTGCTAAAACTTCCAAATTATCCAAAGATGATCTCGCAAGTCTAAAACAATCGACATATTTCGACCGACGTGAAATACAGCAATGGCACAAGGGTTTTCTCCGGGATTGCCCCTCGGGAACGTTAACAAAAGACGAATTCACCAAGATATACAAGCAGTTTTTCCCCTTTGGTGCCCCAGAAGAATTTGCCAACCATGTTTTTAAAGTCTTTGACAGGGACGCAAACGGCACAATCGACTTTAAAGAATTCATATCGGCGCTCAGCACTACTTCCAGGGGCACACTGGAGGAAAAACTGGTATGGGCTTTCCAGCTCTACGATCTGGACCATAACGGGTCTATCTCGTACGACGAGATGCTCACTATTGTTTCCAGCATATATAAGATGATAGGCTCTATGGTGAAGCTAGAAGACAACGAGGCTACACCAGAGTTGCGGGTCAAAAAGATCTTCAAACTGATGGATAAGAACGAAGATGGTGAGATCTCCCTGGAGGAGTTCCGCGAGGCTTCCAAGGTCGATCCCTCGATCGTCAGCGCCCTCAACCTTTATGACGGGTTGGTGTAATGAGAGCAGTGATAACTGAGTAAGAAAGATTGAAGGCTATATTCTCCTCTCGTTTTGACGGTGTTGGTAATACGTTAGTGATGTAAACATAATTAGCACACAAGTAATTTTGGTATTTTGCAAAGGTATCCATCCCACCACAATTTGATGGTGATGATGCTCTTCAAATGCGCTCTGCTGTCCAAACGGCCGTTCTGCAAACCAGCTTGATGCTTTCGGTAAGTACTTTGTATGGCACTGCCTTGTGTGAGTCGTGCTCGACAGCAGTGTCCAGATGCTCAAGCTCTTCGTCTCTGAACTGCTTGATCGTCGATGTTAAGCTTTGAATTTCTTGACTTTGGCCCTTTGAGCCTTCTGTGGATTCCATTTCATACTGATTGTTGAGACATCTCAGCTGGTCATTGTAGTGTGCGCCTATAACGGTTTCCACAGCTTCGGTACAAGCCATTGCAGCCTCTGGGGATATAAAGGCTGTACCACTACCCATGGCAAAGGCACCAAGTTTCCATAGTGGAGTGAAAAGACTGGGCCGTACCCGGCGTTTCAGTTGCAGCTCGTTAAAGGTGTTGTGGTGGTGAATTTCCTGATCCCACATGTGCTGCAGAACAGGCTTTAAATGTGGATATTTGTTAGCCAAAACGAAGTATTGGCCGGCATATATGTAGTTGGCACCAAGCTCACCGGCCTGGTCAACTCTGATAGCACGATCAAGGTAAGCGAGTTGCGCACGCGAAAATGGCTTGTATTTTTTTGGGATGATTTTGACGTTCTCAGAACTCGCAGTTTCGACAGCTTTTCCAATACTTCGTACAACAGAAAATGACCGCGAAATGGATGCGGGAGAGGGTCTGAAGAACATTGAGACTGACGATATGATGCTATTGAAATAGAAGAGGCCTTGAGTTAAGAGTAAATTGTCGAGCTCTTTAACTTTAGGGTTTCTTTACTTCTGCTAGGACAATCTAATTCTTTCGATCAAGAGTATGTCGTTTTAGTGGAAAATGACGGACCTTAGCGTGAATTGATGTGATCCTCATAGATTTGTAGCAAAGACCGCGCTATGTTCAATGGAATCTCTTGCGTGTCTCTGGACTGAATAACTGACTTCATCTCATTGAGCGGATTCGAAAAATGCTTCACCTTGTTGTTGGGAATCTCTTGCGTAAGTATCCATCTCACCGAGAATATGTGCTTGAAGCGCTTTGAATCTGTCCAAAAGTCATGGCTAGGATTCCGTAGATCGCTCACCATTTCAGCCAATCCACAAAAACAGCCAGATCCGTTCACAGAATATAACAGGAATATTTGAGCACTTGCGTCAAGGCTTCGAAAAGCTTGCGAAAGCCGCTTATTTCCAAGTTCTGTAGATGACCACACGCCGTTCAAGATGGAAGTCTGGATATGATCCGCACTGTTTGATTTGATCACGAAAAATCGGGATTTGTCTGGTACTTTTAGTTGCAGAAACTGTCGTGACAAAAATGGTGTATGATGATCGCGACTATTCGTAGTAGCCGATGAACTGTTTAATGTAGAGCTGACTCCTGAAGATGCCGCAGTCGAAATTTGACTGTTCGATAATCCGTAACTCAGTGGTACGCCACAGGCGTAATCTAGATCCAACGACACTAAATCTTTTGAGATTTGTAAAGAGCGTGTATCGGTCCCAAAAAATCGCTCTAACTCTTTTAAAGAGTCCTCAATGGTTTTCTCATGGTATCTACCATCAGAGGTAGTGCTTTTAACTTGAGGATCTGAGGTAGTAGACCCCCGACTGTTAAACATCGTCTTTACGCGCAATGGGGGAATTGAAAACAAAAAGATCTAGGATTGTGCTTCACCCCTCGATGTCGCGAATTTTGTGACACTCGTGGTGGATATATGGGAACAGTGTGCTTCAAACTTTTACTATTTACATTATATTTACAAGTGTGTCTTTTGTATAAGATGTTTCAAGATCACTATTCTATTGTATAATATGCAATGCAATGAAGAAAGGCCAAATAGCAGAGTAAGAGCTTAAAAGGCTCTGCTCTTAAGCGAGATCTCCATTTCTCATGCGGTTTCGAATAGTAAGCTTGTCTTCCGTGAGAAATCTGGCAAAAATTTCTGTCGGCTTTTAATCGCAGCGGCAGATGTAGTAATTGTAACTAAGACCAGAATATCTTTGTAATGCCTTTGATTCAGTTTAAAACTTTCCATTGAAGCATTTTAAAATACGTGGTTGGGGGACTTTAGAGTCTCGACCATCTTGAGAGATGACTCGGGATCGTCTTTGTTGAAAACGAACAGACCTTGCAATTGAGCGGTACTTATTGATACGTTCAACGCAGTGGCCTTCTTAACGAACTCTTCACAGTATTTGTCCTCGCCGGGGTAGAATTTCATGAACATCTGGCCGATTTGGTATGGAGTAGCGTTGCCGATGAATACTTTGTAATCGATTCTACCAGGTCTCATAATGGCAGGATCGAGTTTCTCTGGATGATTGGTTGTCATGAAAGTAATGGTCTCCTCTGACGAGGCAACACCATCAAGTGCATTCAATAAACCGCTGAAAGTGACGCCAGACTGATAGCCTTGCTCACCACTCTGGGTTCTCTTGTTGAAAGCGGCATCTATATCTTCCAAAAGTAAGATACTGCGCTCTGGGATGTTGTTCATGAGATGGTTCAAGCGATCGTCAGTCAAGTTTGCCTCCGACAGATTCATGATGCAGATATTATAGTCAAGCTCGCCGGCAAGTGCCTGAATGAAACTGGTCTTACCGCTTCCTGGCGGACCATACAGAAGATACCCTCTTCTGTATGGAATACCGCGGTCCAAGTACCATTTTCCGTTTTGTAAAAACTCGTGAACGTCATGTATGATACCATCTTTAATGCCCTTGTCTAAAATGACCGAAGGTAATAGTCGTTTCGCCTTTGGCTGTCCAAACGGTCTCCATTCTGGCCCCCATGATGTGAAAACGACAGTTTTGCCGTCTTTGGCTTTGACTGCAAGGTTTTTGGCGTCACTCAGCAGATCACGAAACAGCATTCGATCTCTGTATAGTGTCGTGAGCGTGACGGTCTCAAAAGGCGCCCCACTGGTCATGTCTAGCATTTTTCCCGATCTTTCACGCTTGATGAGCATAAATGCACCTTTGTATCTGATGAGATGATTTCCGGGTCCTGGCACCAGCGAAAATTTTGTAGACACCGATCCGTTATCGTGCTGAATGAAGTTTGTTTCAACCGAAAGATGACGTGACGAACGCTGTGGATGCTTTGCCATCCATTCCAGAAACCACAGGTACGATTTATCCTTAGATGGAATCTCCATGTCTACCAAAAGCTGGCGGTAAAGAAGACCGCTGAGTCTGATTATCCCTGATCTTGCGAGTGCGAGACCTGATCCCAGTACCATTAGTCCTCCACCAGCAGCAAAATATGGATTTCCTTTAACAACTTGCTGGAAGAGACTGGTAGCCATACCCGACATTGAGCCATCTGACTCTTTTCTCAATTTCTCGAGATCCAGAGAAGGAACAGAGTTCCCGTTTTCACCAGTAGGATTGTCCATATCTAAGCTTATGCCTAAAAGCTTAACCACAAAGAGAATCGGCCAATGCGAACGTCAAAGTTGCGTTGTATTTTATGCTTTCATTCACTATGGAGTGCTGAAAAGCGATGCGATCCAAACATATATATTATTTCTAATCGGTATGTACGAATAAGCGGATCATTTATTACCAACTTTAAGATATACGCCAGAAAGGCTAAAGAACCGAAACAAATCGAATATCTTGACCTATTATTTGCTTTCGCTTGAGCAAAAACATGAGCAAGTGGATCAAACGGCGGCCGTTCGTGGGTTGTCAAACTGGTCTTATTTTTGCAAAGCATTTCGGTTCGAGATTTATATCACTATCCACGATTCTTGAAGTTTATAGTACAGTGCTATTAGGATGAGCTCTGAAGTACTCCCACTCTGAAAGAAGCTCTTCTTAAAATGTGTGCCGTGATATCAATTGAGATCTCCTTGCCATGGGTTGGATAGTGTATAAGAATTGCGGTTTGCGAAGCGGCGCTCGGTATTTCTCGAACGTAAGAAAAGCGGTCTCTGTGGTGGGATCTGGACCCTCAGGCTTTTACACAGTGTGTAGACTACTTGCAAAGTCAGAGATACCATTGAATGTTACACTGTGGGAAAAACTACCGGTTCCATTTGGCCTGAGTCGCTACGGAGTTGCTCCTGACCACCCGGAGGTTAAAAACTGTGAGGACACTTTTAGTCGATGCGCTCGAGAATTCGCTACTGGCCTTGATGCTCGCCACACATTCACGTTCATGGGAAATGTTAGCATTGGTAAGGATGTTAAGCTTAGAGATCTTTTGGATACGCAAGATGCGGTGGTACTCAGTTACGGCTGTAGTGGAGATCATTTGTTGGGTATTCCTGGTGAAGCTTCTACGTCAGGCGTGTTCACCAGTCGCGAGTTTGTAAGCTGGTATAACGGACATCCTGATTTTGCTGGTAGCAACGATAAGCTCAAGTCTTTTCCCTGGTCTAAAGTGCGAAACGTGGGTATTATTGGTAACGGAAACGTTGCTCTTGATGTTGCTCGAGTGCTTTTGAGTAACAGGATCCCAGAATTGTGGTCAAACACAGACATCAACCCTGAGGCCCTTCAGGCGCTCCAAAAAGCACCAATAGAAAATGTAAAAGTCATTGCTCGTCGAGACTTTACTCATAGTAAGTTCACCAATAAGGAGTTTCGAGAACTGTGGGAACTAGAAAGATATGGCATTCAAGGGACTATAAAGCCGGAATACTTAAAACTTGAACCATCCGATCTTGAAAATGCAGATCGTGTGTTCAAGAGGCGGGTTGAAATGGTTGCTGAATACTCTTTACCCTTTGATCAGCGCACAAAGAAAAACTACAAAAAACATCGCCCTCCAGAGCCTTCCAGGTTCTGGGAAATGGATTATTTGAAAACCCCGCTTGCCATCAATAGTAACTCTGAGGGCCAGGTTGAATCACTAACTGTATGTCGCAACAGTCTTACCCCAAGCAACAAAGTTGAGCATCATCTCACTGACACTCTTGATTACAATGTGGACGTTCTTATAACATCATTAGGTTACGGCAGTAGTCCGCTCCAAGAGTTTGGTCCACTTCAAATAGGTTTTGCTACAAACCGGGTTGCAAACGCCAACGGACACGTTTTGGATACCAGTGGTCGAATCGTTTCTGGACTTTACGCTTCGGGCTGGATTCGTAAAGGAAGTAGTGGTGTGATTGCATCCACTATGTCAGACGCTTTTCAAGTGGCCGACGCTGTCATAGCGGACCTTGAGTCAGGAGCTCCACCAAAGTCCAGGGTTTTGAAAACGACGGGACTGGAAAACACTACTTGGGAAGACTGGGAAAAGATAGATCAGGAAGAGAGAAGAAGAGGTCAATTACATGGTAAACCGAGAGAAAAGTTTCTATCGGCCTCTGAAATGATAAATTTCATCAAAGGCAGTCGCTGAGAGGCAAATCAAAAGCCGCGGATGCTTCCTTTCAGAAAAATGCAGGAAATGGGTCTTTTCTCTTGTCATGCGATGATCCAAGCTGGCGCGTTTCGTTACTGTCGAATTGACGTAGTCCGATTAATTCGCAAGGTCCTTTTTATGTCTACTGAAATCAAGAGAAGCTTTCCCTGCTACTGAAAAAGCGGTACTGAATACATTAGTGTTTTGCGCACAGCGTATGCAAAGTAGGTAGTTGCAATGATGAGAGTGGTGTCGAGCAGAAAAAATCGAGGCCAATCGATAGATAACGAGGACTGTCAGCGGATTTTGTTCATTTTCCCAAAGACTGATGGCTGAATCCTGGAACAGCGGCCGGACCTTACAGCTTGATGACGCTAATTTCTGGAGGCTGTCTACTGTAAATGCCCACATTTTCTGCTGCAACCTTGGCTCAATTACGGCGCTATCGCTGCTGCGAAATCACTATACTTTACTCTTCAACGGTTTATCGCATTGCTGATAATGGCGAACGTGAATGGTGCTTTCTTATTGAAATGGCACCATTTTTGGACCTTCAAAGACGAGTTTTGATGTTGTGTCATCCGTGATGGCCCAGGTAGGCAGGCATCGTTGTCAACATCTCTTCTTTTATTTTGTCGAAGGACTTCGAAAAATGTGTTGCCTGACAGCCCTCTATTTAATTCTATGAGGGCTTCAGTCAAAACAATGACGCAGACTATAAGCTTGGCAGACTGGGAACGGATACCGTAAAAGGAATTTACATCGGCCTTTTCAGTTTCATAAGTTTCTAGACGTGCCAGGTGCAGGTCATACAATAAGTCCGATTTAATGTCATCAGCTGGCATAGGAACTTGAATGAACGCTTGAAAAAGGCTGAAGATAGGATTATTACATGTAAATGGGAATCTCTGCGAATCAAAAATGCAGTAAGCTAGGATGATTGATGCTTTTTTGAAATGGGGCGCTTAAGTGTTTCCTCATATGGGAAAGTGTCAGTAAATTCGAGCAGCAGTGTTATTAAGGCACGAAATTTTGCAACCGGCTATTGACTATTTTTTGGCACCTTTCGAATACCCATTCCGGGCTTTGCATTTCCACTCGAATGATAAATGACTCCTTTGAGCAACACCGTACAATGGCTTGAGAGACTGCTCAAGCCATGTCCTTAACTTGTTGAAGCCTAGGACGAAAGAGTCACGTGACCCTCGGTTTCCGTGCAACGTAGCCATTTTCTCATGTTCCAGGGCCATTGTACCCTACAAGTGGATCAAGCTTGGGAAAATTGAAGAATCCTGGCCGTATCAGCCTTCAAGAACCACATCAAAGAAGCAAAGATAGAAAATCCAAGAATAAAAACCAAAAAAAAAAAAACCTACACCACACACAATACCCAGATCCAAAACCAAAATCAAAAACACTGAGACTCGCAATCACGCTGCAATAAAAATGCTGTCATCATCACAGATTCACGTCTTTCTAAAGGAAAGAAATTGTTTACTAGACTTAGGTAGCAGCGTCACATCCGTCAAAAGTGATATGTAATTTGACGCATATTTCACCTATGAAATGTGCAATAATCAAAGGACTAGTTCATATCCATTTCAAGTACACCATACTAACCCACCATATCATCCCACCCATAAGCTCAGCACCACCCGGCCCCGGAGTATTTCTTTCCCAATTATCCCTTTTTCTATTCGTGTCTCCTCGTCTTTCACCGCGCTCACGCTGCACGAGCTGGAGTTTTCCGTCGCCCCGATCTTTTTTTTTGTTGGCGCCATACTTAAAATTTTCATGGTCAAAAAAACCACGTCTATATAAATACTGCTTTCTAAAATCCTTGCCACCCCTACCGCAAGACAAACTCACCAAATAAGCACTTGAACAAAAGTGTTGATACAATAGCGTTGAATTGGCGAGGTTAAAGAACGAGCTCTTAGCGCAGTGTGACGGCCTCGACGCAATTGGAAAGTTTCTGAAAAAAAATTGGAAATCGGCCAACTGGAAAGGAAGATAGGTGAAAGAAAAGGTAGAAAAGTTTAAAACCTGAAATTGAACTAAAGATGGGTCAGATTCTGTCGAACCCGATTATCGACAAGGAGATAGAGAGTGGGACTGATGTATTGACCGCGTTTGGGCTTTGTGCCATGCAAGGATGGCGTATGTCGATGGAAGACGCACATGTGTGTGCAACAGATGTGGGGTCTGAAAATAGCAAACACAGCCATGTGGCGTACTATGCGGTTTTTGACGGTCACGGCGGGTCTTCAGTGGCACAATTCTGCGGTGTGAAGGCTGCCAAGGTGCTGCAATCGCAGGCTTCGTTCCAGCAGGGCAATTATGCACAGTCCTTAATAGACGCGTTTATCGCGTCAGACCGGGAGATTTTGCGTGACCCGCTGCTCAGAAACGATCACAGTGGATGTACGGCCACAACAATGCTGGTCTCTAAGGAACAACAACGGCTGTTTTGCGGTAATGCCGGTGACAGCCGAACGGTGTTGTCACGTAATGCAATTGCCAAAGCACTTTCGTACGATCACAAACCCACACTAGTGAGTGAAAAATCAAGAATCGTGGCCGCAGACGGGTTTGTGGAAATGGACCGTGTAAACGGGAACTTGGCCCTCAGCCGTGCCATTGGTGATTTCGAATTCAAGTCGAACCCAAGTTTACCACCACATGCCCAGATTGTCACGTGTGTCCCCGATGTGGTTGAGCATTCCATAGACTACGATCAAGACGAGTTTGTCATTCTGGCGTGTGACGGTATTTGGGATTGTTTGTCGTCGCAAGAATGTGTGGACTTGATCCATTACGGAATTAACCGTGGCGATATGAACTTGGAACAAATTTCGTCGCGTATCGTTGATGTGTGTTGCTCGCCGACGACAGAGGGTACTGGTATTGGTTGCGATAATATGAGTATTGTTATCGTAGCCTTGTTGAAAGATGGAGAAACTGTCGAGCAATGGTTCTCCAGGATCAGAAACAAAAAGCACGTAGCCAACGTTTCTTTCGAGGAAAGAAGACGCGTCGTATTCTCCTTTTACGATTTCCCAAAGAATGATGCTGAAGTTTTCGCAGTCTCTACAAAGAAAACAGACGAACATGGCAACAGCTATACTACCAATGATGACGAAGACACTGAGATGGATCGTAACGAGCCACCATCGGGCCGTTCTCAAATGGATATGTTCTCGTTGGAAACATTATTGGGTGCTAACGGCATTCAGGTATCACAAGGCGGTAACAACGTCTCTTATATCCATGGATCTGCACTTTCTGAGGTTCTAGCATCGCTTGGAGGCGGTGGTGGAGTCAGTCAAGCCATTGATGAAGAAAATGATTCTGACGGTAAAAGGGAAAAACTTGAAGAGGTCAAGGACTAAGTGCAAGACAGTCTTTCGACCAAGGGTTCCCAGGTTTAGGGAAAGGCACTCTTTGGAATTTGAAGGTCAAATCTCAAGTTATCGTCCTAAAGAGAAATTTGCATTGATATCGTGTTTGTTTTTTTTTTATTCTTTCCCCTGTTTCTTGGGCGTGCTTTCTGTTTTGATACAAAACGCCCGTTGCCTTGGACCATGTACGTTAGGTCGCCGCTTTTCACGGTTTGCGTCAAGAGAGATGGCATCTTTACTCCAATGGCAATCTGTTCTGCGGAACATATGGCATTGTGACGACTACAACTTTTTTAATACCACACCCATTATTATTACACATTCAAAATCCTCTATCAAAGATCTAATCGATCTTAGGCGGTGACGTGCTCTTTCTTTCACGGAGCTCTTAATATTTTCCAAATATGTTCACTGCTTTCTATGTTCGCCAAACTCAAGTACTGTCGAGGCTTGCTGTACACTAGATTCCCGCTTCACGCCAAATACGTTTAATTGATATTTCGAAATGTTTAATGAGTCAAACTAACATACAATAGAAATAATAATAGCTATTCATTGCCCGTAAACTTCGCACGTCACATTCCAAACTCTATACGCTACAATTTCAATCGGAAGATTTTTGACGCTTGCAACGACAGTTGCAACATGACCCATAAAACAAGGTTCGTTTCTGGACTTGACAGTAGTTATTTCACGTTCTTGGACCGATTTTTTATCTAGTTTATCACGTTTAACAGATTTGTACCAATCCTGGATATCGGGATATGCTTGAGAGAGTCCAAAATTCCAAGGATCATCCTTTTCTGAGCTAACTGTGTCATTGGTGAATAGGTATTTGTAGGATTCGTGCGTTCTCCGAATATCGCACCAAGGTGCGTCTGTTTCCAGCAGAAGACGATCGAGAGGCACCTCCCTCAAGCATTCAATGTTTTCTGGAGTTTTGAAGGAGCAACCATTCATACCAATGTAAGAGTTTTTGGACAGGGCTAAAACATCCTGCATATCTTGAACGCTTCCGGTAAAAGAGTGTGTCACGAACTTGCGATTAGGAGAGAACTTGTAATGCATACCGTCATCTTTTGCGGATGGCAAGTAAGACTGGTTTTGATTTGCACTGTTTGCGATTGTTCTGAGATCAAACCGGTCAGATGTATCCACAAAGCCGTGAATGAACTTTTTAAGCACAGCAACAAAATCGGCAGAGCAGTTTCTCATATGCAAAAATAAAGGTAGATGAGGAAAGAAACAGCTTATCTTGAGCTGTTCTTCAAAGAACAGCAACTGCATCTTTTTAGATGAATAATAAAATCGATCGTAGTCAAGACCGATTTCGCCGATGGCGCGGAATTGAGTATCCAGGCTATTCTCAGCAATAAGTTCGTAAAGTTCTCGGAGCTTGGACTTGCTAAAGTTGATATCAGTGACGTCCAATTTTTCATTAAACTCGATATCATCCGTTGGGTTGTCGATGGTAGATTGAGAATCTTTCAAGATGAACTCGTTTACACAGCAAGGATGAACCCCAAGTGTGTAAAGTAGTTTTGTGTCTTCATTGCGATATTGACGTGCCAGCTGGACAGCGCTTCGAGATTCTTGAATTGATGATCCAGTCAGCAGTAGGTTCTGAACTCTTGATAATTTTGCTCTATGGAGGACATTTTTGATATCAGATTCATGATATTTTTTGCCATTGTAGATACCCTGGTACATGGGATCAGTTAGATTCACGCCGATGTCATAAAACTTGAGCGCCGGGGACATTTTTCTTAGCATTAGATATTTGCAACTCTATAAGTCCAGCTGGAAGTTGGGCACTAAATCAAAAAGCTCTTCTTCCGGTCCGTCGCACCAAATCAACTGTAGGACAGGGATTGGAGTGTTTGTCGATGGTCTCCGGGGAGTAGGATCGATGTTCTAGGATTGTTCGACTAGAGACAGCTTTCGGCTGTTAAATCTTGATATAATAGTAGTGCGCGAGAGTGACAGTACTGTATATAGTGATAAATCGATTTTTTTTGGTTCCGAGCTTTTTCGACGTCCAAACCTCAGATCTGGTCTTGGTTTGGCTGTAGCGAAAGTTACATCTAGCACAAAATCTGCTTAGCTTGCTCTCTTCAGAGCCAGATCACTCGAACTAGGGTGTCGAAGGTTTTTTTTTCGGAAGCGAAATGGGATGGCCCGGAAATTCAATACTTTAGAAGGCGCTCCAGGCTAGTTTATTGACATCACACGTCCAAGAGACGATAGCTTAGCTTTCGAGTACCTTTGTATTCTATGTTTCGTTCGGACGACAGATGCCATTGAAGTATAAAATGATACATTTTATTGGATATGCGATTCGTATAACATGACTTTTAATTTTTTCTTTTTATTCTTGTCTTTCGAAACGCCAAGGACCATCGGTATTTTGAAAAGTCTTGTTTGAACAAGAAGACTGTAGTATATGAGCTGGAATATAAGTGAGACTTAAAAATTTATTTTACTTTTCTCTTCGCTTATTTTCACCAATGACATATCCGTTCACAATGATAAGCGTACTGTCTCGTTCATAATGATGTTTATTGAACCCATCAACAAAGAGGAACCAAACACCTTGAACACCCCCATAATCTATACATCTCAATCAACTCAAACATTGGGCTTTTGCCTGAGATAACTGTCCAGCGTTTCCTCCCCTTTGTAAAAAATTCCCGATGTCACATGATGTTCGGGTAACGCAGTTTCGTAGAGAGTTTTCGAATCTCATAGAACTTATTAACTAATTATCTGCAAAAAAGGATCCCTGTACTATATAAAGAGAGAAAACGAACTGAACTAACCCTAGACGTTAGATCACCTTTACGGAAACCAAGATTAGTTACGCTATTCAACACAGGATTTACAGTGCTTTATCGCTCATTCATCAGAAGTGAGAATACCACCTAAATCTTTGACTTTTACGAATTTTAAAATCTCCGAAATCACATTTGGAGCTTATTTTACTCATTCCAGCACATCCTTTTTTTAAATAATGTCAGACTGGGATTCTACCACTGTTATTGGCCAGAGAGTAAGAACCGGTGGCGGTGGCCCTAGACAACAGGTAGCGCGCACCCAGGGTGCTATCAACGCTGCCAGAAGATCTGGTAACGTGCTATCCGTCGATAAGAAATACAGTTCCAGCAACGCCAAGGGTAACAACGAGGGCCAAAGACTGACAAAAGTAGACCGTGAAACGGACATTGTCGTGCCTAAAAAGCTAGACGCTTCTGTTGGGAAAGCCATCTCCAAGGCTCGTGGTGAGAAGTCTATGACTCAGAAGGATTTGGCCACCAAGATCAACGAAAAGCCTACCGTCATTAATGACTACGAGGCCGGTCGTGCTATTCCAAATCAGCAGATTCTAGCCAAGCTAGAGCGTGCCTTGGGAGTCAAGCTACGGGGTAAAGGCGTTGGAGAGCCTTTGGGTCCAAAGAAGAAGGCTTGAAGTTAGAAACAATAAGCTTTGAGGTTATAAACTTTTTTTTTTTTCAGTCCATCTGGGTGAGATTAAAGCATCGCATTCCGGTCGAATTTACCTCCAGGCATTTAAGAACGAAAGAAAGAAAAAGAACATATAATACTCACCTCCTCACGCATGCATTCCAGTCTAATGATAACGACCAGTTAGCCGATATTTTTTATTTGGCAAAATTCAAAATCCAAGAGAATAAACACAACATTTTTTTTTAAGTCTGTACTAACCGACCTACTCTTTTTTTTTTCACTATGAGACTATGCACCGTTCCAACGTTCAACTTTCGAATCCATAGTGCGTAAACTGTTCAGTTTCAGCTCGCTGACACTCGCTTCTTAAACTTGTTTCTCTGTTAGTTCAAGCTTTCGTCTTCGTGTGAAGCGATAGCTCTTTTTTCATAACACAGTTATAATAATTAAAGTTGTCATCGATGTAGCCCACGGTAAAAGATCAAAAGTTAATAGCATTGAACAACTCCATTTAGAAACCCCAGGTTCTTATTCTAGCAATCAAATGACATCTCTGGATTTTAGTGCATTTCACGAGAAAACTACGATTTTTTCCGTGGCGAATCAAGCCTTGAAGCTTACCTCTGCCGAAGACATCGAGCCAATATTGAAAGACTTGACAAAAGTTACGAAAGTTACCAAACTTGACTTTTCTGGTAACACAATTGGCGTGGAAGCCTCAAAAGCACTGGCGAAAACTATCGCTGAGAATGCAGCAATTAAATCCAATCTGATCGAAATCAATTTCGCGGATTTGTACACTTCCCGCTTAGTCGATGAGGTTGTGGAGTCGTTGAACATTTTTGTTCCTGTATGGCTTTCATGCCCTCAATTGAGCATTGTTAATTTGTCTGATAATGCTTTTGGTCTCAGAACCATTGATTCTTTGGAATCGTACATTTCCCAAGCAGCCCAATTGCAGCATTTGATTCTATCTAATAATGGTATGGGTCCATTTGCCGGGGAAAGAATCGGCAAAGCTCTGTTCAAGCTAGCCCAACTAAAGCAGTCAAAGGGGAAACCATTTTTGGAAACTTTCATTTGCGGCAGAAATAGACTCGAAAACGGTTCCGCCACTTATTTGGCGTTGGGTCTCAAGGCTCATGGTTCTGGCTTGAAAACCGTCAGACTCTACCAGAACGGAATTAGGCCACAAGGTGTTGCAGTTCTGATCAAGCACGGTCTTAGCAACAACAAGCATCTCCAAGTGCTAGATCTGCAAGATAACACATTCACTACCAGCGCATCTTTGATCTTAGCCGACACTTTACCGGTATGGAAAAACTCTCTAGTCGAGCTTAACGTCAACGACTGCTTACTGAAGGGACCAGGTGCTGATGCTGTAATTCAGGTTCTAAGGGAGCACAAGTTTGTCAGTCTCCATTCCTTAAAATTGCAATACAATGAACTTACCCAGGACACATTGATTTCTAACTTACTTCCAGCCGTACAATCTACAAATCTACCGGCCCTGAAATTGCTGGAGCTCAACGGTAATAGATTAGAAGAGGACTCTGACGCCTTGACCGAATTGGAAGAGTCTTTTGATGGCAAGCTCGACGAACTCGATGATCTGGAAGAGGTGGACAGCGAAGATGAAGATGAAGACGAAAGTGAAGAAGAAAGCGAAGAAGCCATGACTGTTGCTGATTTCGAAGCCATCGAAAAAGCATTCACGGAGTTGCAAATTGACGAAGTAACCGCCGAATTGGCCAAAGCATCCATCTAGACTAAGACAAGATAGTTAGAAACTAGATACATATTTCGGAACTAGTTGAATCTAGCTTAATCTTACGGAATCTTGCATGCGTTTCATCAGTTCATCTTTGGCCAACCATGTCTTTTCTAACCATGATTCGAGCTTTCTGTCATTCATCTTGAGGAGGTCTGAAATAGCAACCTTTTCGATGTGCACTCTAACAAAAATGGGTTGGTTGCCCAATGGACAAGTTAGAAATTGGAATAGCGAAGGGGTTATTTGCTGGAGCTCATAATGATGTTTTTGATCTGTAGGAGCGTTGTTTTGCTGGCCATGAAGATGTTCATTCCGGCAAGAATTGGTTGCAATATAGTAAACAATTGCAATATCCCAAAGAAATGGGCTGACAATTATTGGTACTTTGTAAGTGTTTCGCTTCGGCTTTGCGGTAACTGTGGTATTGTTGAAATGCTCGTCGCCTAAAAATAGGTTAACTTGAGCCATTTGTTTGGTGCTAGGATGGCCTCTGGAAACACGCACTTTTGAAACCATGGAAGTTGTTTTGTGAGCCGCTTTTTTCAGGTAGCGAGCTTTACGAGATCTATCAACATGTTGAAGACGGGCGAGACAGCTGATAGCTGAATTGAAATTCTTGAACCTGGGGTATAAAACATTATCGAGTAGCGGCAGGTAGCTTTCTTTTGCAAGCTTCCTTTGTACCAGACGTAACTCCGAAGTAATGACATTAACCTCGGGGAATAGCGCTAAACATTCGTTGCCCTCTCTCATGAGTACTCGTTCAATGTCATTGCTGCTCACCTTAGCATTTTCGTCTTTGAAAAGGATGCTTGCAAAAAACTTGACAGACGGTATACTAGTCAAACGACCCCAGCCCACGAATCTTAGCTTTGGTGCCACCGAATTACCTTTTTGGCTAAAAAATGCGTTGCTAAGGTACTGTTGCAAACTTGGGGCATGTTCTCCTTGGATAAGGAAATCTATTAGAACGTAATCCATAACGGAGCGGTGATTGGCAATAATTATCGAAGTCGAAGACTCAGTGACATCTAAAGAATCGCCTGTGAAAATAAATTTCACATTTCGATGTCGAAGAGTTGTGTTTATGAGGCATGCTCTAAAAAGCTGCTCCAAATTATGCTTCATTTTGAGCATAAATGGTAACACTCTTGACCTGACAAAAACAAGCCAGCGTGTCATCGTGTGTGCTAGCGATCCCCCTACGAATGGAATTGCCCCTAACACCCGAATCACAAATTTGGCAGCATGGTTCAAAATTTTGCACTCTACGCAATGCTCGACGGCGCCGGTCTTGGCGCTCCAAATGTGGTAAAAACCCCAGCATTGAGCAAGTGACAGAACTTCCAGGACTATCCACAATATACCCAAAACATCCAAATTTTCACTTCGAAATCGTGATCCAACCACATGTGTCTTAAAAGTACTACGAATAGCCATATTCGTAGCTTAACGCTCTGCAAGAGATAAACAAAACCGTTAAGACAACCGCTGACGACAAAAATCACCCAAATTCAAAACAGAAAAAAGGGATTAATACGGCTGAAAGTATAGAGTTTCGAGCCTGTACGCAGAGCTTTGGATACTTTGCTGGGCTAGTTGAAGAAGCGGATTGGACCAAATGCTCTTACTTATGCTAAAAATGTCAGTGCCAGTAAGATAGATTTCTAGTTTAGCTATTGTTTTTAATGTCATTTGAATTGTGTCATCACTACCTACGAAATATTGACAATTTAATTAAATTGTGTTGAAAAATTATGATCATGTGATAGATGAGCCAGCTGATGAAATAAATCAAAAATATGCTAACACTGCTAGCGAAGTATATTCCTAAGAACTGAGAGAGAGTAAGTTAGCAAGTTAGAACTGCTATTGACATATAATCAGCTAGCTACCTGTAAGTACTATCGACACTGTATTATGTTGAAAAATAGCTTCAATTTGATGGTACGAAAGGGCGTGTCTGCCTCGTTTGTGGGCTCTAAAACTGTTCAAATAAGTGCGATGAGATGCCTTTCACTAAAACCCAACCTTGATAAATTTAAGCTCACACCACCACCACCCGGAGGAGTTGAGGGCAACGTGAACGATCCTGTGAAAAAGCCCGAAATTGATTATTTCCATGGGTCCTACCATTGGGATTATGAAAGAATCACAGCCGTGGCATTGTTACCACTCACAATGGTCCCCATGTACTGGGCTATGACTGGTAGTAGCGTACATCCTATGATAGACACCGCACTGTGCTGTACACTACTGATTCATGTTCAGCTGGGATTGACCAGTTGTATTGTGGATTACATTCCCAAACGGAAATTTGGGATCTGGCACCAGGCTGCCCTGCTTTCCCTTTATGCGGGCACAGCAGTAGGTCTTTATGGGGTTTATGAACTGGAAACCAAAAACAATGGATTTGTGGACCTTGTTCATAAGTTATGGAAAGACGAGGAAGAGGAATTGACCATCTACTCTAGGTTTTAAGCCAGACCTCGAAAATTAGCATTCATTACCTTTGCAAGGTTAACCTCACCACTAGGTACCCGCTTTCCCAGCCTTTGTTGACCAATTATTTATTATGTGCTTGGATTTGGTAGTAGCACTGTATACGCCACTGTTCTGCTCATTCTCTGCTTGTCTTCTCTTACAGGAGGAAGAGTTTTTGTGCAAATGCTATAGTAGGGAAATGAAACTTTAGGCACGACTGGCACCATTTCTAGCCAGCTCGTCTGCAATCTCGTTACCGGCCTCGCCAGCATGGCCTTTGACCCATTCAATCTTGAACGGCACGTCACCAAATGTGTCCCGGTTGACTTGATAATACGATTTAACTTTTGCATATTTCTTAATCAGTGGTTCAATCAAGTCGCTGTTGGGTAAGGTTTTGATCTTTTCGGTGCCGTAGCCCATATAACGATCGTTCAACAATTTCGACACGTATTCGGAGTCTGTCTTTATCTGGTACTTGACAGCAGATTCCCGTTTAGACAAATCAGTCCAGATCTCATCGAGCGCAGATGAAACGGCCTGAATTTCAGCTCTGTTATTAGTAGAAGCACCTAGGTTTAGCGGTTCAGAGATGTTTTTTTCAGGACTACCTTCAAAATAGACACCGTACCCAGCACGAGAACCATTTTTTCCGTTACCTAGAGCGGATCCATCGCAATAAACATTACGATGTTGGAGGGTTCCAGTATCAGTAGTAATGCTTCTTTTGAACTGCTCGGAGAACTTGCTTTCTTCTATTCCAATGAGATTGTAGTCGTTTGAGCTCACACCTCTTATGAAGTTCTCGGCGTCAACCTCGGTAGTGAACTTTTTATAGGACAATCCACCGTTTCCTGAAACGTATCGCTTACACTCATCCCAGCTTGGAAAAATGGCGTCTTTGACTTGTGGATTTGAACTTTTCACAGCGTAGTAATTTTTGGAGCTTGAACGAGACCCGTTGCCTCTACTTGACGAATTGCTGACCGAATAGCTTGGTGCAGCCCTTTGACTGCTATTTTCCTGATCCATCTTGGAGAATCTATCATAGTAGTACGAACCCTGATTGTCGCGACCACGGGGGGACGGCTTACTTACAGACTTTTTTGTTATCCCCAGAGCAGCATTTGGAGTTTTCCAATGTGGTGCTGGCTCACGATGGTTTTTGTGAAAAGTGCTTTCTGACCCGTAGCCTGAATTACTTGATCCACCGCCAGAGAAAGCTTGTGCCTCAGCAAATGTGTTAAACTTCTTGTAAATAGCACCAGGATAACCGCTAACCTGAGACTTGCACTCATTCCAGTTGTTGAAAACCCCATTGGAACGGCCATTTTGCACAGCGTAAAATCCACCTTTGGCCATGTTTTCTAGTCTTCCCCAAATAGCAGACCTAGCCAGCTTCAAAAACGAGCTGGTAATCTTGACCAAACTTTTCTAGATCAAAAGTAAAAGGGAATTTGGCCCTCTTTCACCTTCTGTTGTTGAACGTTTCTCTTGCATTCAAGACAGGCCATCTCAGCTGATGAATTCCTTACATTTATGTCACTGAAGCATGAACTTGGCGCTGAAACAAACGACAAGTCATGAAAAGATCGAGTGAGAACGGAAATGAAGCAGTCAAGAACAGCAGGAAATGAAACAAACTGAGAAGCCCTTATTGACGATAAAACACGGTCTATTTGAATTGTAGAGACACACTTATGAAACACTCTTCATCGAGTTTCATAAATGAGCTTATGATGATATTAGAATAACATATAAAAGAGTAACTACGTAGCTGCCAAAGAAGTGCAACATGGATAGAAAAGAATACAAACAGTGTATAAGGATAGTCAAAAAGAGGGAAATTGATGGTTAGGAGGTGGGAAGTGGGGAGGGGAAGGTATTTTTTAAATCAAAAGATAAAAAAGAAAAAAAATCCAGGACAAAACTCCGAGATTGTAAGGACATGAGTACGAAAAAAGATTGCATTTAAAAATTTACTTACCAAAAGAGAGTTAATAAGTCATATTATTAAAATTAAAGGATGATTGCATCAACTTTTAGAGTAGCTAATGCTCGGTCATTTATTTTTATGTATCCAGATCTTTCATTTTCCATGCATAATTGTATTAATTTATCATAATCTGATATAGCCACAGTCGAAGTTTCGTTCATATAAATATACATTGCTAAAGTAATTTTACAAAGGATTAGATATTTTAATAGCATCATACTTCGTTATTAGCTTTTATAATACAGTGTTTGGTTTGAGTATGGAAAGAGATCAAAGTATGGAATGGATGAGAGAGCTCTTTTTATATATTTCAGAGTTCTAATTTGTACAGTCAGTCGCACCTTGTACGAAATCGGGTTCAGTAACCTGTAATTTTTCCTCGTCAGTTATTGATTCGACATCTCTTTCGACGATTCTGAAATTTTAATACTACTTAGTACACGACTCATTTAAAAACGACAATGGAGAAGAATATCCATATTACGGTGATATTTGTCACGATGGAGATGCTTAAAAAGAACTGGCTAAATTAAAATGGTAACCGCTTGGAAGGGTCACTCTTGCAGACTTAAAATAATCGTAAATATTGAGCCAATCTAAGGTACCTTTGTACGGAAATATGATGTAAGTTACTGACATTTTGTACCTTGGACTACTTAAATAACTACAGACGTCCCAAAAGATCAGTACCCATTGGCCTTTTTCAATGGGTCGCTTACTTACTGAGTCACCAGAATTTTCTACTTAAGTAACCTGCTGTACAAAGTATGTTCAAAATTATACCAGTAGCTTTGTACGGGTGTGTCGCTGTACATTAATCCATTCTGACGGCCCTTTTAAGTATCTTTATACGAAAGCTGGCATTTCCAAAGAGATGACGGTTTAAAGCCATATCTGTATGAACACTTCGAGTTGATCGTAGATAGAGAAAGCCCTGGTGGCTTCCTTTAGGGAAATCTTGATTCCTTAACATGAATGCATGGTTCTTGTAATCAAGCTTTTTTTGTCTCTTGTGCTAGCTATTTTGTATACTCGTGGTTTCTGAAGTGAACAGTGGGAGCGTCAGAATTTCGAGCCTTTTGTAAGTCTGTCTCTACATGTTTTGTGCCGTTCGCTAACGCCCTCGGTAATTGGGTTGGGCTTATAGCCTCAATTTTCTTTTTTTCGTAATTGAAAGTGCCAGCGATCGGTCTTCTGTTGAGCTTGTCGCGATACCTTTCAATCACAATTGATCGCTGCCGCTCTCAATTGCTCGATTGCATTCACCCTTTACGACTCGAACGAGCAGCTTGAACAATATTCTGTGTAAGCAGCGCTTTATCGAGACTTTCACGAGCCTCTAGGTTTCTTGCAACAAACGCGCATTCGCCCTTCGAAATTAGAATGCGCAAGAGAATATCCTGGGTCGCTGTAACTTTGTCCAAATGACTGTTCTCGGCAACTTCAATCTCCTTATCAAGCTGCACTCGTCTTTTGCGAGACGCATTTGCCAGAATGGTTTTCCTTCTTGCTAAACTCTTGGCCCGTTGGCCCGCAAATTTAGGTGCAGCACTATTCCCGATATCAGTGGTGTCCACAATATTGAATAACAATTTGTGGTATTCTTGAAGTAGGTTTTCCGCTTCTGCCTTCAGCTGGGTATTCGGTTGGTCGTAATACACCGGGATAAACAACAGCGCCTGGTAATGCTTGTTCTTCAAATCTTTTATTGCTGGACCTTCACCGTTATTGTGGAAAAAGTCAAAGCAGAGTGCGTGTAGCCATTCAAATACCGTATGCACCTCTATTTGGGTCAAAGGTCTTTCTGATGCCGTGGTAGCATTGATTCCATGTTTGGCTGCATCCATTGCATTCTCCCATATCGTCTTCGCTTTATTTTTGGAGTTTGAGTTCCGCTCTTCGAATGCCTCATATAAGTGCGGAAGTAAAAGTTCATCGGCCCTGGTCACAACAACTTCCCAAGCTTCCAACATGATTTTTAGGAGGAGCTCGCGAGGTAGATGAGATGCCAGGATATCGAGGTTTGCATTGAGGTAATCAAACAGAGGTTCTATTGAGTCATAAACGATTGAGCCATCAGGCTGGTTCAATCCATTGGGGCCGCAAACAGTTTTCAGCGTCATTCGGGAAAACGCAAAGTGCACAAAGACTTGAAATTTTCCTACCATGAGCTCAATAGATCGATCCAAAGCGCGGCTTATCGATCTGAAAGCCCTACCCATTGAAAACAGGGCATCCAACTTTTCCGTCTCTACGGCTATTTCCACAACAACCCTGCCACGAGTATCAAGATTCAGTAACAGCTGCCTGGGTAAACCATCTTCTTTAAATTTGTTGGGTTCCAAACTGAGATGGGCTCTACCATAAACACTAGGAGAAGACGACCCAAACTTCGGCTTTTGACACCATATAATAACATTCAAAAAGCGAGACTCTGTCAATGGCGCATCAATTTCAAATTCTTCGTTCCACACGGCTCGTCCGGATGTCAGAACGTCCCTAGTCTTCGCAATTTCACGTCTTAGCCTTGAGTCCACAATACTAACGGCGGCCAATGTGTTGCTACCTTGAGCTGACCCACTCAAGTTTTCCGCGCGTAAAACCTTGATGGTGTATAAACGGCGAAGGTTTCTGTTCTGTTTTTCGCTCATTTTTTTTAGTCCCGAATCGGCCTGCTCTTGTTTGCGAACAAGTCTAGATATGCTTTCTGGATCAATTCGATCTTCCAAATCATTTATCAAAAGTAGTATCTGATTCAGGTTGCTCAAACAAGTGCAGGTCCTTAATTGAAACTCGAAAGGTCGTGGAGTTACCACATCGGCAGATTTGAGTGCATTCCTCATTTCCGTATAGACCCATGAGCTTTTGACCTTTTTTTTGGTAGAATAAGCAAATGGACTGAGCCCCTTATGAGAGTCATCGTCCTTCACTTCCTCAAATTTCTCGTCTTGACCTGCTGTGATGTCTTTTTCGATTTCTTTCGTCACACAACTAGCATAAACACTCAAACCGTCGGCTACTGCTTTCAGAAGGTAGGTGTATATTTTTGAGATTTGATACTCATCTGGCCATTCGAGCTTGACGAATAAGTCCATCGATTCGTTAATCATTTTGAACACATCAATGACGGATGTACTATAACCCACTGAAGCGTTGACAGACATCCAATTTTCCTTAGTTAGCGCCGTTCGCACTACATCCACTGTATTGATGCAAGCGTCATCACAAAGCCGAGACACGTACTTCAGGAAATGTTTTTCCAATGCAAATGGGAACTCATTCGCGTCTTGAACTTGATGAAAGACGTCTCGTATTTCCCTGAGTGATCTGTATGTTTCAACAGCATCGTAAAATGGAAGTTTCCCGTCTCCATCAGCCTCAAAATTCTTTTGAACCTGAGTCAAGATAGCCGCGCAATCCAGGCCAAAGGCTTGTAAAAGAACTCTTGCACTTTCAAGAACCAAGTTGATCTCGTTCAATAGCGGTTTTGAGTACATTTTCTGCATGCTTTGAATTTCAGACAAAATCTTATCGGCAATGTTTTTGACGTCAAAGAACTCGAGATGCCTATCCCTCGGCAGGTCTTTGACGAGACTGACATAAAAGTCTTCTGTTGCTTTGAAAAAAGTACGACGAAGGCGTTTCAAATGCTTTTTGTAAACGCTCAAACTCGTTACATCCTCCTCCAAAAGCTCATACATCGAAATAATCTGATAGTAAACATTCAAAGTCTGAGAGAACTTGGGTCTTGGCCTGTGATGTATTTCAGAAATCAAAAAAGTCAATGAATTGAAAGTCTGTTCCAAACTGTAGATCAAGTTTTCTGACCAGCAGTCTCGATCCGAATGATTCCACAGACGTCGTTCTTTGGCGAGATCCATTCCCTCAAATACTTTTGTGGATATCAATTCGAAAATTCCCTCCAGCGTGCGAGGGTTGAGGTCTTCGGCATCCAAGAGTCCGACATTAGCTGCATGGAGTACAGCTGTAGCCTTTGTAGTTGGCCAAGCCAAATTCCAGTAGGAAGCGCATTTGTTAATCAAAAAAAAGGCATCCTTGTTGAGATTGAACGAAGCCATATTTTTGCATTTCTTAAAAATTTGGCATACTAAGTGAACATAGATGACGTTTGGATTTGAAGGGAAAAGCGTTAATTTCTTATTCGCGTTTTCAGAACATGCTTCTGAATTAAGTTCGTATGCTCCGTATGCTCTCTGAATTACTGCTTCAATATCCTTCACTTCTTTGTCAAACCATCGTTTCATGTTTTGCTCTTCAGATTCCAATGATGTGGGTCCCGGGGTATGTTGTCGCACGACTGTAGCTTTTACAGCATGCAAGTATTTTTTGACTTCATTGCTGTCTATTTCATTCACGAATTTAACCATCTTTTGCTGAAACTCCACCTCCGGCAGGTCGAAGACTTCCATCAGATACTTGGCGCATTTAACGTCAGAAATTTTGAATGACGGTTTGGCACTATTCTCAAGAACGATGGGACCTGGGCTGGTTCTTGATGTAACAGGTGACAAACTTGACGTACCACCGCCTGAGATACCTAAAGACTCTTTGTGCTCCTTTAATCGCAATCCCAATGGTGTTCGTATCGATTCTTCTTTCCAGGCCAGATCGGTGATAATGTCAGTGAAGCGGAAGATCTGGTTGTAAAGTTCTTCTTTCCCATCCGTTTTGGACGGCACCTTCTTAAGCTCACCTTGGAGTGCTTTTGTGAACAAAATAATGAGCTCGTGGGCCCGCTTGAGGCTCCGAAGTTCAATCCTGGCTTTTGGATCCAGAAAACTGTCGTTGTAAAATTTAAGAAGACTTCTCCGTAAAAGTTCCGGCTCCACACGTATTTTTTTCATTGCTACCATTTGCAGATAGTTTTCCAATGCGGGCATGAATTTCTGCAGCTGTTTGGCTTCGATTTCATCTTCTTTTTTGCCATCATCGTCTGAAAACAACCAAGATCTGCGTTTTGCTCGCTTTACGTGTCCTGAGCGTGTATTCCGAGATTCTGGCACCTTAAATTGACCGGTTGATTTGACTACTTCTCTCTTTCTAAACCTCGGTTCACTGATATATTCCAGTATTATGATTATCGTGGCATACCTTAGAACTTCATCTGGATTGATTGGTGGTAGCTTTTGAGCTGGACTTTTGGAAAGGACTATAGGTCCGTTGCTTCTTGAACTGAAAGAACTTGACGTCGACACATCTCTAGTACTCATTGATATTCGTTAGAGCTCAGGTTTATCATCTTTTTCAGGAAGCAATGGTAAACCTTTTTGTTTGACTAACAAGAATTTAAGATGAATTACAGACATCTCTTATAATTATATATAATCTCTGGTAAAAGACAGTATAAAGATACAGCGAACGTTAGCTTAGATTACTACAGTATTATCCTTTAAGTATTTGCTAGCTAACTGTATCTGGTGTAACAACCGTTACTTTCTTGAGAATGCTTGCAACACGCTACCGTCAGGTCCGACCGTTTATACGGGAAGAGCACGTAGATCAGATACTTCGTAAAAACCTCCGTGTGTTAGAGAGCTGAGTATTTGACGATACTCCGAAATTTATAGGAGAATTCTCGCCAATCGTAGAATCGGCACTTGCTTTTACCAGAAAAGTTGACGAAAACGACTCGCTATTGTCATCAAGTCATTTTTCAGGCTACAGCACATGGATAATTGAGCTACAATAAGACTCATGAAATGTCGTTAGATGCCGCGGGTGACTCAGAGACCTCAGACTTTTCTTTCCCCTCAATAACCTCGCCACGATTATAAATATGCTTGGATAAGCTCTTGTTCAGTGCAAACATGGTGGTTTTTTCGCCGAAAATGGGCTTCATTCGGTCGTCACAGATTATTTCCCGGCGATCAGCTGGGTTTTGCAGGTCGTTCTCTCGTATGTACTCCCAAACCTTCTTTACAACCTGCGTCCTAGCGAGTTCTGGTTCTTTCACAAGCTCTTGTAGTTCAGGACTGAGTAGCATCTTGTTTTGACTCAGAGAATTGCCATTTTCGCTGGATTTGCGCTTCTTTTTGGGTTTTGAAGCCTCAGACCCGGATTTGGATCTTTTTCCAGTACCATTGAGCTTTTTAGAGATGCTTTTCGCTATAGCAGCATCCTTTTCGACCAAATCCTGAGACGAGATGTTGGACCTTGTTTCCTGACTTTGGTTGAAACGCTCCACTATAAGAGCATTTACCACTTTCCGCTGACCTTCCAAATTGACTGCAAAGAGTTCCTGGATGGCCTTTCGTATCCTTTTAGCGCTGACTTTGTCTGGATCGGAAACGCTCAAGATAGCCTGAAAAATCGCATGTTAGTTAGAGAACTTTCTGTCCATCCTCGTGAAGCAGACAACTTCAAGACAAGCTTTTTACACACATACATCGATCATGGGGACATAGCCATCTAAATCTGACATCGAGTGCCAGTTTTTCAAGTTCGAGTTCTCTGTGACTCTGAGTGGTGAATTTCAATGAATAAATAGTTCTACATACATCATTAAAAACAAAAGACAATTGTCTGTAAGACTATTTAGTTGTTTTGTTGTGCGTGTGAGAATGCAGTTGAATGTGCTATTGTACAGATGGCTGGTAGCTATATAATTACCCCAGAGGCTTAAACCTACTTAGTTTGCGCCCTTTAGATTTCTCTTGTGCTGAAGCTCGTTTTTCTTCACCAGCTTTTTACGTTCCGCCCGACTTAGACTCCTTGGGTCAATCAGCTCATCACCGCTCTTCTTTGGGGTATCATCAACTTCCACCAACCACTGAGAGTCCAGCTTTTTATTGGCACCTTTGTAGCCCCATTTTGGCACCCATTCGCCAGAGGCCTCGTCGTAAACCATTTTGCCCGCTTTCTCCTTGGACTTGATACCCTTTTTAGCAGCAAACTGCTCCCATTTAGTAGGAGCCTTGGGCTTGGGCAAAGGCTTTTCTCTGGGAAGCTCAGTGGTGGGGTCTGGTAGCTGTACTAATGTTACGCTGGCGCTTTGGCCGGTCGAGCCACTCGAGCCATTAACGGATTCAGTACTGGTTTTCATGGGTAGAGACAGAATTTGATTGATCATTAGCTGCACGTTGTCGCGGGTCAAATCTTTGAGATGCCCCTCACGCTTAGCATTTGACGAATCCAGGTCATTTCTGTCTAATGTGTTGGGATCAAACACTGCTAGATTGCCCAAATCATAAGTGACCGGAATAGCTTTTTCAACAGTGACCGGTAGCGATTTTCTTTCCTCTGCGCTGGTCGACATTTTAACAGAGCTCTTGGACCTTCAGACTATGGGTTTGGAGCTGTAAGCTTAAGTCTTATTGTAGCTCATCGTTAGCTCATCGCATTTTCTATAGCAGACCCAGCTTGTAAATTTTTCAAAATCGTCCAGAGGTGAATCGCCTTGTACGTCTGGATCTTCGTCAGCGACACGAAATTAGCAGTAAGTCTCACAGCTCGAACAACTTTCTGACCACTCGGCTCTCCATGGCCCTACCATGGCAGTTCCAGTTTTCACGAATCAATTGCTTGACATAAAACCTAGAAGTTGAAAACATCTGAAGTATATCAAAATTATCGCCAGATTCCCGTTCTCCACTCTCTAGCAACATTAGTTCCCGATTCAATAATCGTTTCCCACCACACAGGGTCTCCATGTAATGCAACATGCACTTGTTGTATCCCAGAAGTAGCATATCTAGCATCTTGAACAAAATCTGAAGAAATGACGGAAGTTCGTTCAAAAGCTGCGCTTGAAGCTGTTCGAAATGCCGGACCAGCACTTGACTTTTGATATCGCGTTTGTTCTTTGCCATCAACGAGGCCAGATAGTCTTTTTTCAGGACCTTAAAATTGCCAACTTGGATGCTGACACGCTCACACATCTCTCGCATTTGCTGCAACGGTTCCAAAACATGTTTTTGAAGTTCCGTAAGCTTGAGCAACATCACTTCCTGGCGTTGCTGATGAATCTTATTAACGTAGGCTGTGTATATGGATTCCACATTTTCGTCGACCGATAGCAGGGAACTGACAGGTTCGAACTCGAAAATGCTACGCCAATTCTCTGCTTGACGCAGATTTTTGTCAACTATGGCGGTCAGATCCAAATGGACCAGCTCCTTGTCCAGTTTGCCCAATAGCCCCTCTACTCGCTTGAATCTTTCAATGCATTCTGCAAGAGTTGGGTTATCCGAGTGGGTATTTGACAAGTTGTCTTCTTCTTCAGCTGAAGGAAGCTCATGGAAAGCATCCATATTAGTATGCTCCGAATACCGACTCGATGACATAGAAAAATGTGTGTCACTCGATCTGCAGGAGTTTTCACTGACTGGTACTGTTAGGTGTGACTCGCTTTGTATTTCAGGCGGCAACGAAGGTGCGCGCTGTGAGCTCGCTAGCTCGGGGGTGAGGAGCGCTAAAGAGTCGGCCACGAACTTTGAGTAGCGCACAATGAGACTATTGAGCCCTTGCACTGTTTCCGGGGCGAGAAAGTTTTCGGCATAGGTAGTCATCCGTCGCAGATCCTCAAGAAATCTTGTGACGTGATGAATAGGGGCATCCAAGATGTCCTCGATGCAAAGGTAGTCGCTCTTTTTGAGGCAAATTTCATACCATTTATAAAAAAGAGATCGCTGCTTTGTTTTCAGCTCGATCAATAATTGAGTCTGCCTATGATGACTGGAGAAATAGGCACAATAAGTAGACTTGATCTTGTTTAAATGCGAGTCGAAGAACTCAATTGGATCAAAATTCTCACGAAACTCCAGCGGAACGCTGAGATGGGTGCCATGTCTTTCCCAATCCTGCATCCCTGAACCTGCCTTGCAACTTGCAAAAACGTAATTTTTGACCGATTTGACGAGAATTTTGCTCAATTGTGTAATGGTGTCAATATTACCAAATAGTAGAATTTCGTCCTGAGAGTCTTGAGCAAGCAGTTTGTTTTTGAACTTTTTATTGTTGTGAAGCTCCCATCGATATATCATGTTGAGTGCATCCGTAACATGAGCATACTGCTCTTCATTTGCGAGTAGGTCGAACAGAGAATCCAGAAATAGTTTTGCGTCATTCATGGGCAGTCGCGAGTCATTATTTGTCTTCAAGTTCAGAGGCTCTGTTGGTGATACTGCACATCCTTCCTTCTTCAACAAGTCAACGCTGCTGCTTTTACTGGTGTGCTGAACTTTAGATTTCAGTTTTGCTACCTGTTCCGCATTAGCTCTGAAATCATGTTCAGTGGACCAGATAGATCGCGAATAGGGATTGACACATGTGTGCGAAATACCATCTTTACCTAAAGAGTTTTTCGAACTTTCATCTGAGCTATCGAAGAAGCCTTGCCCGCTCTGTCTAATGGGTGTTATTGTCGATTTTGCAGGACAATCGAGTTGGAACACTGAAGCTGCCGATTTCATCATTTTTCATCAGTTTTTGCGTGAATCGAATTGCAAGGATTGCGCTGTGAATTGGGACCACATTAAATACTTTGGAAATCGGCACGAGCTTCAGTTTGACGATGGTTTTATTCGGGTGTGTCAGATCAGTATCATCTTGAAGAGAACCTGACACTTTGAATGCTCATTCACGACGAGTCGGCACCACCTCTACCAATGAAGTCTGTAACCACTTTGAAACGGTCTTTGATGTTTGACTCATCATCCAGTGTCATGCGGAGCAATTCAGAGTTGAGCCTTGTATCTGCCTGTGCTTGTTTCATCCCAGCAGCTGTCTCAAAATCGACCATACACAGCGGACACTGGAAATGCCTGCCATCGAGCGTAGGAGAGTCTTCCTCATTCAAACAGCTTTGATGGTACACATGACTGCACTTGAAGAATACAATGGGAGGCATGAGTTTCAGATGGCAAGTATTACATGTCTGATCTTTGAGCTGAATTTGAAGTGGATTCTTTTCATCCATTAACGATTCAAGTTTGCTCTTCTCCTCGGCAAGCTCGTTCTCATAAGACTCAATTAGTTTCTTGTTGTTGTTTATCTCTTGGTTCTCAGATTTAATGTGCCCGATCAGTAAATCTTGAATTAAACCGAATGTCACAACATTAGTTGAGCCCAAAACCTGTAAAACGTCAAGCAAGGGCATCAAATCCAGATCCAAAACTCTCCGTAAAATCTTTTCCTTGAAAACGGATTCTCCTCCAATCTCGTCCATTGTGGTTCTTGCACCAATAAAGTGCGATAACCCCATAGAATAAAGCTCAGGCTCTTGATCCCCGTAACGCTCGATAAATTGTAAGGCTGTTTTCGCATCACTTGTAGAACATAGCGCTTCAAATTTGTAGACCAGGTCGGCCTTATCAAACTTGAGCTTGGAATCGTCGAAACTGTATTCATCTTCTTCTTGAGACAAATCAATGTCGTTGATTTGTGAAATAAGCATCATCAAAGAATTGTCCACGGGTTTGGTAGTTTTGTCTGATGAGGACGTACCACCCATCGATTGGCTTCCCCTCACCAGCTGTACGCTTTGATGGTATACAGCACGAGCTTTCTCTTTCCATTCGGTCTGACGGCTTTTTATATCCTCCTTCGCCAATGACAGATAAACATCATAGAGCGTAGTCAAAATAAGCTGCTTATCATGATCAAAGCCACTGAATTCATTATAGCTTCCTAGGCATGCTTCAAGAAATACGACAAACTCAAAAGGTTGATGGACGAATGAAGTGAATATTAACGCAGGTCTAGGTGGATGATAGGTAGGAACATCTGCATTCGACTCGGTGGTTCGATAGTTTCCCGTGCCCCTCATGAAATCCAGAAAAGAGCTGTAGCTGTAAAAAACATCATGATCCGCCTTTTCATTGTGCATGGTGCCCTTTTGGCCATTCGTATCTTCCAGTTTTGTAGACTGGAACTTCCCAGTGAAAAGCTCAATGAGCAGTGCATTCGTGTCATTGGGCAAAAGCTCTAGAAGCTGTTTAGAAAATGCAATCAAAACGCGAAGCGTGTCGTCCACCGGTAAGCTTTTCGTATATCTAAGAGCCAAATGTGGGTCGTTGAGGTCTTCAATGAGAATACTGACGACGACCTCAGGGCTCTTGGAAAATTTTCTGGCTATTTTGTATGCCTGTAATGCAAGGCCAGATTCTAATAGTAGCCGTAATACCAACTCCAAATCAAAGAGGCTTGTGTCAGAGTAGTAATATGATTCATCATCCTCCAGCCAATTATGCGTGGGTTCCTCCTGCTGCAAATAGCGCCCGCTTCTAGTGAAATGCCTTACAAAGTTTTCCAGCCCTTGCTCATCCCTCAACTTTATCAATGAAATAATGTAGAGCGTTACATGATCGGAAGTTCCCATCTCTCTCTGGATCATTGTAAAAACGTAGAATGACAAGTTTGATATGTCTTCCGAGCTCAATGCGCTTTCGACACCGAACTTTGCAATGACTTCACTAGTCTCAGTGACGTTCAAACACTGTAAATATTGCTCAATGGCAGCGGCTTTAGAACCTGCTTTATAAAGGAAATCGGCATACCTTTTTCTAATTTCCTCAATCTGAAGGTTCTCCAGTCCATTTTGCTCCGCAAGATCAATAGCGACCTGAAAAAGATCCTTTTGTTCAACTATCTGCAACCTTTCCGTAATGGCCTTTTCAGTAATTTTATGCAGCGTGCCATCAGATGTTAATAGCATCACTGAATGGTCACCTGTAAATAGCATCGGGAAGACATCTAGTACGTTCCCGTTAACCAAGCTATTCATGACAATTAGCTTATTTCGAATGTCAAGAACGATGACTCTGTTGTTTGGAGCAGCTGATTTTAGAGCATGCAAAGCGGTTGTGTTTGAAGCCTGCACGCCGGTCAAAACCAATAGATGATCTTGATCAATGGCAAAAACTCTTTTGATCATGGTCAGGTCAGTTGCTAGCGACCGCTTTTCTCCAGTAGACTTGAAAAAGTCTATAGAGTTCGTAAAACAGCAAATGAATTCACGACCATCGCTGCTTGAGCAACTGCAATTAAGATCAACACCAGACTCCGAGCTGAGGACCAAGTCAGCTTGACCGTTATTTCTTCCAGAAGTGTCGAAAAGAAGCAATGCGGACGTTGTGGATGCAAAACAGTTTCGACTATCACGGTCAAGAATCAAAGACGTCACGGGCTCTTTATTAGCGTCTTCGTATATGACTCTCTGTTTTGAGCCCCGATCATGCAGAATGTCACCTCGAATTAATACAATCCTACCGTTGACGAAGCCCACGGCTATGCAGTCTATACCCTTTGATATAGCTATGGCTGACAATGGAAAAGTGTTCTTCCCATTTTTTACCTCTACGTTGCTGTGAAAATCAAACTCATTTCCCGGTCGCTTGTCCAGTTTCCACACTTTTAGAGAGCAAGGTTTGCCCACTTGTTCGGCTGCGCTAAAAACATAATCATCTTGAACTGCGCTAAGGTAAGTTATTTGGTAGCCTTCGGGATATGCTTCGAATTCTAATTCCGTCTCCAGTGTCTGTAAATTCACCAAACGTAAAACTCTCGACTGTACTGCAATAAGAAGCCTTTCGTTCGGTACTGGACACACAGCTGTTAATGTAGGATCTGAGAAAAAGGGTTTATCACTTCCCATCTTGGGGTCCCTAATGGGGATATTCTCGAAGAATTGGAATTGACGCCATGAGCGAAATGACATATGTGACCAAGTAGTGAAAGCCAACGCTGGTAAATTGTACCGGCAATGTCAGTAAAAGAGAGAGCTGTTGTTGACGCTTAAGTTGGAATCTTTACGATCAGTAGTAGCCACTGGTAATAACTAATATATATCCTGAAAGCACTCTACACGTGACTGGCGATGCTCGATGACATTAGATTCAAATGCCAGCAAGAGTCCAGCGGGTCGATTCTACGTTCGTGTGACATTCGGGAGCATTCCCAGTGTTGTTGTCGGCTGGCTATGGGTGTTGGAGACATTCTATTCTTCGATTGCTGTTGTATGTCTTCCGCGTTGACGATATGGACTCTTGCTTCATTTACATCAGAGAAGTGTCCTGCCAAGAATGTTGCAAAAGCTCGATACTGGTGGGCCGCTTGCGGTAGTCCAGTTCGAAAGTCTCGCGCAGAAAGCTCTTGGCTTCATCACTAGCCCAGGACGGCGAATCTGGGTAGGTATTGGTGCCGATCTTGAAAATGGCCTGCATCTGGGAAAAGTCTGGGAACGGGTGTTTGCCTGTGAACATCTCGATGACGACGCACCCGACGGACCAGATATCGGCCTTCTCAGTCGTGACCACTTGTTTAACTACTTCAGGAGCCATCCAGTACACCGAGCCCTGTAATGACGCTCTTTTGTTTTGCTGCTGATTCAAGGGAGAAAGTTTCTTGGAAATACCGAAATCTGTTATCTTAACACAGCCTTTGATGTCTATTAGAATGTTTGCACCCTTAATGTCTCTGTGAATGATGTCCTTGCGGTGCAGGTAGGCCAAGCCGATCAAGATCTGGCGTGTGAAGTTTTTGATCAAAGGCTCTTCAAACGGACCGTAGTTGTTGAGCATCGAAGAAACAGACCCACCAGGTACGTATTCCAGGAAAATGTTAAGGTTTCCACCTTCTTGAGACGAGCCGTAGTAGGTCACGATATTGTCATGATGTAATTCTTTAAGCAACCCCATTTCGTGCTGTAGCGCGTCAATCATTTTCCTGTGTACCTGAGAGCTATTCTTCGCGGCTGCCGTACTTGCATTTTGATTATACTGTTTTTTGACACCGTCAGACACGGACATGACACCTGCCGTAACCGCAGCCGGCTGAAGTTCCACCTGTTTTACGGCCATCAATTCACCAGTCTGAGCGTTCATTCCTAGGTATACGCTACCAAAGCTACCAGCTCCAATCCTGGCACCCTTGAGCCAGTTTTTGGGAGTGGCGACTTTGGTGGGCAAAGAAATCGTGTCTCCGTCGTCTTCTTCGTAGTCTGATTGCACTTGCAAAAGCTCTATGCGATCTGTATTTTTCTGTCTGAGTGGTGCTTTATCGCCGTACGCGTTGTGAGAAATTAGGCCGGGGCGTTTAGCAGGAGCCGATTTGGACTCTGCAGAGCTTCCGCTAGGCTTTCGAGAGCTCAAATCCTCACGAGACGCCTCTGTGGGACTGAAATTGAGTGTGTCGTCATCAACGCTGCCGCGACGGGTGGATGCAGCAGCGTCAGTCTTGTCAGCCGCGGATGTGGTCGGATCTATGCTCTGTAGAAGAGCTTTGCCAACAGCGTTGGAGTTGTTAACCCATATGTTGCCCACATTGTTACCATTCACAAGTGCGCTTGAACCGTTGATAGAGCTTAGCCTTATTGATTGGCGAACTGAATTTTTAAGTGTTTTCCGTAGACTTTTGGAATCAGCATGGGGAAAGTATTCGCCAAGATTAGTGGAGATTAACTCGCTTGGAGGTCTCTGATTGAAGATTTGTCTGATATTATCCTTTGAATTTTCGATTCTCAGATTAGCTTGCGGAACCGGGGAGGCGCCGTATGACGCCAAGGTGCTTGCAGCGTGGAAACGAGCTCGCGAGTTCGGAGTTGCATTTGTGAAGCCGGAGATAGAACCGAGTTGGTTAATAACGCTCAGGGTCTTCAGATGAAGTTTTTTGGACGTCAGCGTGGCTCTTTCGTTGGGTGTCTGGTCTTTCGAAACAAAAATGAGCCTATTTTTCTCCACGCGATCTGTCGAATGACAGATGGTGACCAATTCCACGTCATAAAGCAAATGCAGGACGTTTTTGGTATAATCTACTACGAAAACATCGTAGTCTTGCGAATTGCGTGTTTCTTCGCCCTGTGGAGTGCAAGCGATAAACTCGCTTGGAAGTTTCTTTATCAGCTTTTTCTTGATGGAATCTGCGTTGAAACAGCCATTGACGTTGACTTTCTTGGCCGATCCATCGTTGAGGATGAAAATCGCCGAATGCTTGTCTGTTACCAATTCTTCTGAAGTAGTTAGTTGCGTGAGGCTGAGAGCTTGGAATTTCTGCAATAGTTCACGGGCTTCCACAGGAGACCGGGACTTGTTTCCACGCAGCGTTTGGGACCTTTTGAGGATCCTTATACGATCGCCGATTTTCTTTACACCCACTTCGATCAGAATCTCTTTGTCTAGATGTGCCATCACATTTTCAGATATGAGGTTCCAAGACTTGAACTTGTCGATGTACTGGCCACAATTGAGGTCATTCAAGAACTGCACAACAAATGGCTCATTCTCGGCCATTGTAGATTCAAGACAATGAGAAGAGTTCACTAGTGGTCCAAAAGATACCTGATAGGGTTCACTGATCGGACTTTAACTCTAGGCTTGAGAAGTTCCAATATTGTTATGATGGTAGGGCATCTGCTTTAGAAATTATATCATTTTGTACGTGTGAATTGAATGTCAGTGTCAGTTTAACCTTTTGATCTTTTTCGAGTCTGGAAGGAAGCTGTTGAGCAAGCAGTGAGACCAACTCGATTAAATGTAATTGATATAGTTTTTCATTGGGTTGTGAAGTGGGCTTTTGTTTCTGTTATTTGTTCTCGCGATCTACGGTTTAACCTTGTTAACTGTGGAATACATTATAAGCGAAGCAGGAAAAACCTCACAGATCCTGTAAGTAGTCCAACAATACAAAGAGAGGGAGTTCTGGTCTTCTTATCCTTAATAGATCTTCTTGTATGGATCTTTTTTTTGGATTTACAACTTTTGAATTTAACTGTCCGAGGCCCTGGAAGAGATTTGAAAAATGGTAATAACGGGTGGAAAAGAACGAAGAAACCAGAGAGAAGAGGGATCGACGATGAAAAAGTCTAAAGAAACAAGACGAGAAGCAGGATTTTGCAGTCCTTCAAGTGTGAACGCTCTTGACGCTTTATTTTTCAAAGCTATAGAATTTCGATATGGTATGTGTCTGGGGTGACACAGTCGTATCCAGTGATGTGCTGTTGTTCTTTTACCGTCATTTCCTCTGAATTTTTGGAAGTTGTACAGGCAGCATGAGAGCGGGTTCAAGATGTGCTCATTAGTTCACAACCCATGCCAAAGTGGTGAGATAGCTCTTTTTTCGGAGTTTGAGCTGTCACTATGTACGAGCCAACCCTGACATTGTCCTCTACGAAACAGATTAAACAATAACAATTCTCTATCTCTAACCCTCCAACTAATATCATCAAATTGCCCTTTTTTAACGAATTGATAGAGCTCCAAATCCAAGTCCAGATCACCATAGCTCACGTCCAAGTTTTGGTCACATGACCATTTGGATATATATATAGGGCCCTAGCAGAATTAAATAAATCAATCTGACACTAGCACTCGCAATCTCACTCACACTCACACTCACTCAACTCGTAACTTACAATGAGCGACGAGGACAAGCAAGAACCCAAAAAGTTCTATCTCGAACGTGCTGGCAAACGCGCCGAAGTGAACATCGAACATCTTCGCAAACCTCATACGTTTGAGCCTAAAAAACGCCCCGTTGGCGAAAAATCGTGCCCTTTAACCTTGGGAGGCGATCACAGACCAACAGCAGATCCGAAGACGAAAGACCTTTCAAAGGAAGAGAAGTAAGTTCAAAAATTACAAACAGCACGACTTATCATTGCAGCACTAGTTGGCCCAAGTGACCGCTTAAGTTTTCTTCATTCTTCGGCAGTAACAACAGGTCCAAAAGGCTTCCTTTCTTTGCAGTAAAAGTTCGTACTATTTCTAGCATTGATCAATCCTGTGGATTGAAAATCGAACTTTTGGAACACCCAAACGGCATGGTCGTACCGAAACGCTATGTGAGAGTTTCAGTCGTGCTCTTGCTGCTTCTGGGAGTGATTTGGCTGCTAGACTTTTTTCTGGGAAAACAACATGCTTTACTTATTTCCAACTCTTCTGAAAAGTTCATGATGTCTATCACTTTGGAAGATCCCGCAGATTACGATCCGGTCAAGGTAAGGCAAGCATTGAGGTCACTCCCGCCAGATCGCAATCTAGTGGTCTCCGTTGGTGTTATAACGTGCTTTTATGTTGGGACCTTTTGGGAATACTGTCCGGGATTTTACAAGTACAAGGAAGGGGAGCCCAATAAAGCATTAGCTGATAAAACCGATCTCAAAATCATCAAAAAGGATCTTAAGCGTACAAGAAGCCTTCGGCTCGTGGGCGCTTCTCACTATTTCATGTACGAAACAGTTTCTGTTTCCAAAGCAATTGAACATTTCCCTGACTCATCAGAGACTTTATTTGCTCTTTGTGACTTTAACAACTTGGATATGAAAGTTGCGGACGGAACTGTGCTTCCTTCAAACATGTTCTATTTTTCCATGGTAGCCGAGCAAAGCATACAAGATTGGAAATTTGTCTGTGATGTGGACATATTTTTTGGTCCTGGTGCGGTAGATCCTAGATCAGGTTGGAGTCTATCAGCTGATGTTGCTTTGAAGATAGGTCCCACCACCAAACATATCTCGCTCAAGAGGCCAATCGCCATTGGGGAGCCCAGTGACAGCCCTCGTCTTCACGTTGGTCCTCGAAATACTTTCAAGATAGTCCAGCTAGCCGATCTTCATTTCAGTGTGGGGAATGGGCATTGTCGCGATGAATTTCCCCAGCATGAAGAGTGTCAAGCTGATCCGAAAACTTTGACATTTATAGAGCAGGTGTTGGACTCTGAGAAGCCGCAACTGGTGGTGTTCACTGGAGATCAAATAATGGGGCAGGAATGTTATTTGGATTCCGCTTCGGCTTTGCTTAAGGTCGTAAAGCCAGTCATAGATCGGAAAATACCGTACGCTATGGTTTGGGGCAATCACGATGACGAAGGAAGCCTAAATAGATGGCAGCTTTCAGAACTAGCACGATCATTGCCTCACTCCATTTTTCAGATTGGCGACAAGGATACGAACGATAACACGTTCGGAGTGGGCAATTACGCCCATCATATTTACGACCAAAACGAGAATCCCGTGTCCGCCCTGTATTTCCTAGATGCGCATAAATACTCTCCCAATGCGAAAGCATATCCTGGATATGATTGGATCAAAGAAAAGCAGTGGGATTACTTCAATCGTTACGAAGACAATTTTCCTGAGCAAACAAAGTCGCTATCTATGGCATTCTTTCACATTCCATTACCAGAGTATTTAAACTTCCAGTCAAAACATGCTCCAGACTCCCAAAACCCTATGGTTGGCAACGCCAAGGAAGGTATAACGGCTCCGAAATACAACTCTCAAGGTTTGAAAACCTTGTCACGGTTGGGCGTTAAAGTCGTCACTACAGGGCACGATCACTGTAACGATTTCTGTTTGCTTGATGATTCGTTATCGCCTGCTAATGAGGACAAGATTTGGTTGTGTTTTGGCGGTGCTGCAGGAGAAGGAGGCTATGCTGGATACGGGGGTACGGAACGCAGAATCAGAATCTTCGAACTAGATTATACGGCTAATACAATCATGACTTGGAAAGTATTGAACAGTTCACCCACTGTTCCCTTTGACCGGCAAACACTTGTCAGCGATGGCATTCCAAAAACTGATTCACTTGCATGATGTTGAGATTGAAGCGCTCGATTGCAAGCTCAAAATCAATTAAATGCTGCTGAGTTGATGATGCCGCTAAATATAAGGGCAGCGCGTTGTCTATCACCGAAGTGCTACCGTAAAAAGAAAGTCGGTGCGGAAGCGGCATGTGGAACACTCTGTCTGCGAGAATATTGACAAACAACAAATAGTAACCAAGTGTCGAGTTTTTGAGTATTCGGTCTCGATCATCCAACGCTGTAAATAGATCGACTCTTTTTAGCCGCATTTCATAAATGGACTGGTCTTCGGAGTTTGGTATCACGTATCCATTTTGACCACATAAACCTGTTCCCTTCATGGCGATGAGAAGTTGCCCTATTTTGCGCTCTTCCAGCGATTGCAGACGATGGAAAACACTTGTATAATTGGAAAGAGTTGCAGCGTAATCATCATTTATTGGAAGCTCAGTCGTGGAGCTCAAATGGCAAGAGGAGCCATATTTATTGCTGCTTTCTAGGCTTTGGACCTTACTTTGTCGCCGTTCGATGGACAATGTAAGTGACTCGCATGCATGAAGAATTGCGTCTTTGGACACTGGTTTCGGACTGTTATCGACGAGCTCATCGATTTTCTCCGAGAGTTCTTGTATTTCTAGTTGCATTTGGGTCCAATATTCCAAAATTTTATTGAGCTTGAGCACCCCGTTATAGGTGAAGCTTTTTTTCTGCGATACAGGCTCAAGGAAATTCTTGGGTGAAGCCTCAAAGTTCCCTGGTGCGCTAAAGAGTCCATCCGAGAAATGCAGGAGGGGTACGTTGACATTTTCTGTTTTTGGAAAAAGGTTTCCTTCGTCATCGCTCAGGACAGGAGACAACCGACTCAGGTCAATTGCGTAGATTGCAAGAGTGGTCCACACTGGAAATTCCTCGGTTTTCTCCAGCAGCATGGTTCGTGGGATTTGGCCGATAATTTTGATTTTAATCCGAGTCATCGTGTAGAGCAAAGAAGGTATTTCGTCAAATTGCAAGCAGCCGCATTGAGATCCTTTCTGGGCTTCGCTTACATACAGGCATCGTCCTTTGATATCCTCAACTACCAGGAAAAGGCAAGGAGTATGCTCATGTTCGAGACTTAAATTTGCATTTTTCGTCAAAGAGACGTTGTAAATCGAAATGGCATTAAGGTGTCGCAGCCTTCGCTATTGAACGCAATTGAGGTTAGTCTTTATTGAAAAGTTCGTATTTTTCGATACATTATAACTTGAACATACTCTTAAAAGATACATTTGAAACCCCAATGGGCTAAATCCGGGGATCTTTTGGATTTCATATCTTTAAAATTAAGTGATGAGCTTGAATCAAGAGTTGGATTCTTCTTGGAATCTTGAACTGTGGTTTAATTAATTGAGCCTGAGGTTTAATAAGAGTAATCACGTGCTACTTTGAAAACTAAAGACTGAAAAGCCTGACATCTAGTCTTGGAAACTATTTTTCAAGGCTAATGATAGGCTTGGGTGGCATCTGCAGGGTTATTTTGGATATATTTTGAATCAAAAGGCTTATTCTTCTAGATTTTCGTGGTAGTAGCAAATGCTGTCTTCGATTTCGTTTAATAGTAAGGTGTGTCTTATGTACCGGCTTGAAATAAGCTTTAAAAATCGAGCGCTAAAGTGCATCAAATGTCATAAAGACGATTGCTTTATAGAATTTTATGCAAGAATTCTAGTATATCACTTTTTACTAACATGTCACCATTTGTGAGGAATCTACAAAAATCATTGCCACTTTCACGAGCATACAATGAAACACCGAGCTCAAACCAACTTGGAGAGTATTTCGATAATATATATAATTTGGTGGGCCGAATTATGACTCGTTGAATTTTTTTCAAAATTAACCCGATATTCTTTAAATGACGTCTCAGGCTCTCTAAATAATAAAAGCATATGTATAAAAAACCAGGTTAAAAACCCCAAGCTTACTTTTGAAGTATTTCTTCCACTAAATTACACGTTGATAAAACTCCTCGATTTCCTTCCCTGTTGACGATTACTTGGCCGGTAAAGTGAGTAAAATTGACTAACATTTTTATAAATGATTACGTAAGCCGGCCTTATATTCATTCAATCTTAAAAAATTGGGTCGATGAGCTAGTAACAGGGTTCTTGACACACATTCCAATCGAATGAGGAAGACCAAACCTCATCGATAACCGCTTTTCGTCCTGTATTATAACAACAAAGCTCTTCAATGGTTTCCGGCGTACTATTATGTCTGATAGCGGGCGTCGCAGCTCACCCTGGCCACTCTCACAGCTCAGATACGGTTCTTCATTCAAAATTGAATGGGTTTTTGGAAAATTATATCTTCCCCTGTAGTGCTCGCTACAATGCACTACTGGCCACTCTATACATTTCTGCTGCACCATGTATTATTGTCACTCTGATTCCAGCATTTAGGAAAGCTCAGAAAAACCTTCTTCTGTCACTTATGATGACATTTGCGTTCGGGACCCTGATTGGCGACCTTATTTTACACTTGTTTCCAAGTATCTTCACGACTGACGCATCTGTTTCTCCCTACTTGGATTTGCAACACCTAAGTTTCCTGGCAAATCGAGCAGAGATCGACTGGCCGCAATTGGCAACCAAATTCGAAGGCGAGAGCCCTCTCATTGCAGTCAAAGAAGCTCTCTCACTGGCGATCGCCAGCATCGAGCTTCCCGAAGGCCAAAAACATCTTACAGACCCGATGACGACAAGAACCATTATTGTTGGGTTCCTTGTCTTTTGCGGGTTTCTTCTTTTTATGGGGATCGATAAATGCTTCAGAATAGCTGGGTTTGGCAAGAAAAACGGCCCTGGTGCGGACCACGGTTTTGGACACTCTCATTCTCATATTATGCCCATTCAAGATACCTTGGAAGAAGCGGATTCGGCTGTCTCTTCTTACCAGCGCACAGATGAACAAAACTTGGCTCACAGACATGTCGGCAGCGCATCTCCCAAAAGTGAGAAGAATACCGTCTCAGCCGCAGTCGAAAAGCCTGCTCACAGCGCTACCTCTACGTCTTTGCAAACATCCGCCTACCTCACCGTGGCGTCTGCGTTCGCTCACAACATAACGGACGGGTTTGCGCTTGCTTCATCTTTTTACAAGTCCCGCTCTACAGGAGTGGTAACCACTGTCGCTGTTCTCACGCACGAAATACCACATGAGCTTGGAGATTTTGCCATTTTACTGGGTTCAGGAATCCCTTTCGCCAAAGCTCTTACGCTACACGCTGTAGGCGTTTTTGGAGCTTTGCTCGGCACTCTTTTTGGATGCTTGGCCAATGAAATGGCCGTTGCTGCGAATCCCAAGACTTCTGCCGTCGAACGTGCTGCGTGGGACATTTCTGTATCGGACGTGATGCTTCCGCTTACCGCGGGAGGTCTACTTTTCATCTCTACTGTTGGGCTTGTTCCCGAGCTTCTCAAGAACAGTGCTGCTACGAAAAAGGAGGAGGTAAAGACCAGTCTATTGCAACTGGCAAGTATTCTTGCCGGTTTCGCGCTCATGGCGTGGATGAAACTAATAGAGTAAATTTCAGTCAAATTGAGCAAACTACGAGGACATTGTGGAGGACCATTTCCAATATAAAATGAACAATTCTACAGATGGGCTGGCTAATCGAATGGAATTTTATGAATCATGATCATGAATATCAATGATTTATACTGTGTCATCAGCTGCTCTTCATTACTTCTCGTTGAAAGATCAAGCAAGACACCCCAACTGAATTCAAACATATAAATCGATTTCAGAACTCCCCATTGCACGGTTTCATCGCTGGCTTAAACCACTTGGTTTTGGACAACTCTGCTTCTGTTACTGATGCCCGCTATTACGCTTGTCACGTTTTCATTTTCTGTCCTGGGGCTAATCGCTGTTTGAAGGGGCATCTCTAAAATCAAAACCCTACAAGAGGATGCGCGAATCATCAAAAGAAGATCCAAACACACACGTTGAACATCAAACAAGAAAGCTCACTTCAACGCTTTCGTTCGATTGTATCAACTCCTACAACTTTCTTTCAGATGTCGATACATGCTTTGAGAATTCCAGACTACGCCTTAGGCGAATACTCGCACAACGACAAAGTTGTGATTACGGGCAGTTTTGATAACTGGGAACACACAAGACACGTTTTGAAGTTTGACAACATCGAGAAAGCTTACAATGTGACGATTCCAAGCGGGGAGTCGGACCGCATAATATTCAAGGTATGACCTGCTGCATTGTTCTTCTTCTTCTCTTGACCGGTTTTTGGATCTTTAGGCTAAAAGCGTAAGGAAAACCGTCGTTTTTCTTGGCTACGATCGAACAAAAGCTGGGAAGGAAGACACACTCTCTGGGATGAAGCATAGTTTTTTCCCCACTTCTAGACTCCTTCAAATTCCTGGGTATTTTTTTTCCGGCTCGATCTTTTACTGACGTTCAAAGTACAGTTTGTGATAAATGATAAAGAATGGGTTACTCTGCCCTATTTCGAAACCCAGACTGATAGTAGAGGCCTTGTCAATAATGTGCTTTGCTGGAGCGACCACACGGAAAACTGTCTCGATAACGTTACGATTTCCAGTGCTGCGGCTGGAACAGCGCCAGCGCAAGAAGAGATGGTTTTGGGAATCGCTGACACTAGCCATGTCGAACTGGCGTCGCCCACGGCCGTTACTGAACCCAGATCAACCATGCAGAACTCGCCCGTCGAACACGACTACATCCATGTATCTTCTCAAGACGAACTGAGCAGTACAGAAAACCTCGATCTGAACTCCCGTGATAGCTACGACTGCAATGACGGATCACTTGTTTCACATCCGTCTAGCGAATCACCCACTTCCCGCCAGGGCTCGCCTCCCGCGTCTCAGAAACGACTTCAATCGCTTGTGTCAGTAGTCAAGCGTGTTAAAATGTATTGGAGTGGCTGACAAGAGTGACTCATGGAAAAGTGCACAACAATTCAGTGCTCCGGTCAGCTCTTTTTAATATTTCGCTGTCGCAGATCCGGAGTTTTTTCGCTAAACAGATAATATTTTCCATTAATACTGTAACAATTGATTCCAGCGCTTACTGCTCAAACTAACAGGTGCAATCTGCCAATTTTTATGAATCGTAGGGCTAAAATTGCCAAATGGCTCTGTCCCAATGCGTGCAACTTCTAGACTGTGTCACATTCAAGATCAGGAATACTTGATCATCACGTGACTTACTGAATAGATTCAAATCTCGTATGTAGTGCGTATCGCTCTTCACGATAAACGCGTGAAACCAATTTCAATTTTATTGAGTTTAGACGCGTTAGCTCTCGATCTTCCCTGACTTGAACAACCGCGAACAACCGCGAACAAGAAGCAGGATAAACAAGCGAGACCAGATATGTCCGACGTTCGTAGGTCGACAAGAATACGCGACAAGTCCTCCAGAACGGACGACGCTGAAGATCATGAGGACTCCATGGGTTTAGTTCATATGGATGAAGATGTCGATTTGGGTAGTGGCTCTGCAGACAGCTCCGAAAGCGACGAAGAGGTACAAGAAACAGACGAGGAATACGAGGAGCCTGCTCATAAGAAGCGTAAGCGTGGATCGGGCGAGAAAACCAACCGCTCTGGCGCTGCACAAGGGACAAAAAGAACTAAGGCGCCAAAAATGGGTCGAGACAAAAACTCAAAAAAAAGCAGACTAGCGTTCCTTGAAAGACAGCAGGGCTTTGAAGCGACAGAGCTATTTCAGATAATGGCACATTCCGAGGATTTTTCGGTCGAAGAGCTCGCAAACGGATGGCTTGAGCTGTACTCAGAGAATAGAGACAAAGCGCTTCAACAATTTATCAACTTCTTGCTCAACTGTTGCGGCTCCTTGGTACAAGTTCAAGAACACGATGTTGTGTCTAACGAGACTGCCAACGATACAGTGGCCGAGATTCAGTTGCAATTCCAACAACAAGAACTGCACGAATCACACTTACTCATGAGCAAAAATAATCAGAGGCGCGCCAAATGTAAATCGCTGTACGAAAACTTTCTCGAATTCACCCACAAGCTGCTGGAGCTGGCTCATGAACGCGGCCTGTTATATGAAAATTCGAGCGATTCAGGAGAATCACAGCCAACAAGCCAGTCACTCATTTTAGACCTCCTCACCTGGCTATCGTCATTATCTGTGAGTAAAGTCAGATGTCTACGGCACGTTGCAACATTGTGCATGTACAGTTTTCAAGACTATTTGACAGCGTTAAGTGTGTCCTTGGAAAATGACTATTTAGTGAAACTGAGAAGGCAACTAGGCATGGAACAAAAAAAGAAGAGAGCTAATCCGAAGACAGCGGAAAAATTAGAATCCACAATAGAGGAAATTCAGGAAACAAAATCAGTGGTGGAAAATTGCATCGACAATATTATCAAGCTGTCTTTTATCCACCGCTTCAAAGATGTGGATGAGGCTATACGAACAGACTCCGTAATCCATCTTGCTACGTGGCTTGAGACTTATCCAGAATACTTCTTGAAAGTTACTTTTCTAAAATATTTTGGCTGGTTGTTATCCGACATTTCGTCAACAGTACGATTACAAGTAGCTAAAGTGATTTTGGACATTGTCAAGTTTGACAACAAACGGAAAAAGCACAAGGTTGGGAGCACCGCCTTGCGGCAGTTCTTCGACAGATTCAAGCAAAGGATTGTTGAGATTGCTTTGAAAGACGTTGATAAGCCAGTTCGCATTGCCTCTATACAGGTCTTGACTCAAATCAGCTCCTTGGGATATCTCGAAGATAGCGAGGTTGCCAAGATCTCAAGTTTGATCTTCAATGACCGCAAAATTGAGGCTTCTTCCGTAGCGAAGAACGCTAAATTACTAGCTTCCGTGGCAAAGTTCTTCGCGACTGTGCAAAACGATAAGTTAGAGCTCTTGCTGGAGTCCCATTCATTTCCTCAAAAGTCAAAATTGTTACGGCCTCGGGAGATTATTGAAGCGGGATTTTTTATGAAATCGCTGCTCAGTTCCTTCTCAAGCTATTTGAACGAAATCGATACTAGTGAGCTTGCACAAAGTCCCTCTGATCTTCTATTCCAGGCAGCGGAGTTTTTGGAGCCCTACTTCGGGGGTCTAACATCATCTCTGTGCGAGCTCCTCGTCACCGATGCGAGTTTCGAAGGTTTTGCCAATGTCGAAGACGCAGAGACTGGTGAAAAGGTACTCATTCTGCCTAGCAATGAAAACAGCATTACCCATTATGTGGTGGTATTGAGTGGTTTGTGCCATGGTGGCAGCAAAAAGAACTCGAAAAAATCAGAAACCGCTATGGCGGCTATGGGCTTCCTTTCGAAGCTGTTCGATACATTGCCACTCCATTCTAGTATCGTGATGCAGGAGCTTTTCAAGATTTATACACTTCCCACATTCGAAGAATGGGTCTCTGCGCACTTGGAGTCTGACTTCCAGGAAATTACAGACGTAATTGTCAAGACATTTGATCGCATGCAAATTTCCAATGATAGTCATGATATAGTTCGCTCCTCTTTCGCAGATGTGTTGAAATTTCACAAGAGTTTGGGATTACCACAAGTTATTGATGGTTGGAAAAACCAACTAGAACAGGTGCGTGTGTCATTTCAGGTATTTTTGGAGACAAAAGCCGATGGCTATAGTGGTGAAGACATAAACACACTTTTGATCGCGGCTCATGAGACTTATCTTAACAAGTTGGTATTGCTCGGCAAAGTACTGCAGCTTGATATAAGCCCAGAGTTAATCCAGGAATATTTCAGAAAAATTGTCAACAAAATTCCTCAAACCCTGGAGCTGCTGAGACATGATACTATAAAGACCATAGATTTTAGGTTTGTGACCCTGGCCGTAACTTGGAATTTACAACGCTGGTTAGAAATCTTGCAAAATGCCACGGACGCAACGCCGTTTTCTTCGAGTCCACTAGAAACGGCCTTTGGCGTCATAAGACAGCTGAACACAGATCTAGCGGCTCTGTCACGTTGCGATGGGGAGAGTATCCGCGATTGTTTGAATATCAAGTTTAAGCTCTGCGATGTTTTGCTGGATAGTCTCACGGCGATAAAAATGTTCGAGCTGAACATTCCTAGCAAGGATTACGAATGGCAGCGAGCTATCGCAGATAACTACCAGGTGGTAATACGCGCTGAAATGCCTCAAATCTTTCTCGATGCTTTTCTATATTTGGAAGGTTTGCGAGCTAAAGAGCTCGGGGTTCAGCTCGATCGATCTGACGACGAGAATGTTAACCTCAACGACATCACTGACGATAACGTGGAGGATGTTGAAGAAGAGCTCAATTTATTTGCTGTAAAGCTCAAAAGCCTGTTAACTTTGGGCCTACTAGACGATACTCGAATTGAAAGTCGCATAGCTTTGAACAAAAACGTCTTGGGTAGTGAATTTGAATCTATCGCTGACGATTCTGCTTTCGGCGCAAACCAATTGCCCAAACGACAGCTGGCCTCTGCTAACCACGAACACCAAATCTTCGATAACCAAGGTGGAAAATCGGATCTTAAAGGTAGTCACACATCTGAGTACTGGAATCGTCATAATCCGTCAATAACCTCACCCAACGTTCCAAGCAGGCTAGAAACACGAGAGAGCAGTTCAGAATTTCTATGATATCTTCGAACGTCCCTGTGTGATCCGGAGCTTTTCAACATCTCATCGTCAGCCCATGTATCCTGGTACGAAAGCGACCGAATAAATATCATAGGATATTATTTCAATACACCACCTTTGCTCGGTAAACTGATCCAACTCTACCATAAAGGTCCAGGGAATTCTGTATCCGAGGGACTCAACACCGGTCAATCATAAGAACTGATGTCTTTCACCTCAAAAATCGTGTTTCTGGTGTCCCTGTTGCAAATTTTGCATTCTGGATTTTCCAGTCATGAGTTTGTCATAATGAAGCAGCGCTTGGCTGCAAACAGTGATCTCAACGTTGATGCTTTATTTCTTCCGAAAGACGTGCAGATCGAAGCTCTTTGTGGGGTGCTTTTGCTCGCGTTGTCGATTTTTTTGTCATTTGGAAAACAAGAGTTTCTGCCTTTGTCAGGAAAGCTTACAGTGTTGAGACAAGAAGGCGTATTGCAAGAGATCAGAATGAACAAGGCTACAATTGCAAAAAATCTAGCGGGATGCAATCCATACGGTGAAATCACAAATCTTCCCAGTTTCGTTGATGTGCACGCAAAACGGACAGAGGTAAGACGGTGGAGAGAAGAACAAATGAAATCAGAAGCGCAATGAGTGTCAGAAAAGGAACAGGAAGGGGACAGGAAATGAGTAGGAAATGGATGAAAATGAGAGAACTACAAATCAATAATTAAAACCATGCCTTCCTTTTTTGGGCATTTGCTTGCATTAACGAACTAAATACCTTCTCTTCTACCTTTCCGTATAAAATGGGTTTCCGCCTGGTGCTGTCTGAGAGGCTGAGCCCTCCAATCTGCCATTACGGGTCTCTGAGGGTGGTCGTTGCTCATTGATGCCCGATACTCGTGGTGCCATTTTTCGAAGCGGGCTGTTGTGGCCGTCCTCCTGGGCCAACGCCATCGAGACCTCATTGTTGCTGCGATGCGGAATAGTACCAGAAGCCCGGTGAAGATTACGTTGCTGGGCCTTGAGCTCGCGCTGCAGCCGGGATTCTTCTAACTCTGCTTCGAGGTCCGCTACGTCCTCCGCTGTCAGGCTAAGTGTGGTAGGTTGCCGTCTTATCATTTAAACTATATACAGATACTCAACTACGCCTTGATCGATTTTTGAACAAGTAGCCTTTCATTCACAAGGTTGACTTACACTCTTACACGGGCATTGAATGATCGTTTTTCTAAATTCAAGCGGGTTTACAAACAAATTTCAAATATATTCAGTCACATGACTTTTGAAAGCTGGTATATTGTTTAAAGTGATCCCAGACTTTCATAAAATAAGAGCCTTGTTGGCGCAATCGGTAGCGCGTATGACTCTTAATCATAAGGTTAGGGGTTCGAGCCCCCTACAGGGCTTATTTTTTGCCAATTGTATCCTTTTTGACAGCACAAGGAGAATTTTAGCGCAGAATAGATCAGTAATCATTCTTGTTTCACAAGAGACGTTTCTTCACTCATGAAGCCGATCACGAGTGAAGCTACTGCTTTTTTTCTTTATAACATTCCACAGAGATGAGCTAAAAACGAGTTTGAAAAACCAGCAGGTAGCTTGGAGCTCTCCGGACTCATCATAATATCTTTGAGCTCTTCTTGGTGTTCTGATCTTTCAATATTCAAGCACAAAGCGTCGTGTCACCTTTATAATCGTAGACAGTATATACTAGATATATAAATATATATAAAATAGAGCTGTTGAACTAAAAAATTTATGGAAACTTGACAAAACCAGCATAACACAACAACTGTCGGCTAATCTGCTACTGTTTGTGCTGGAACTGCATCTACATGTCTACAAACTACAATATGGACCCATCAACAGCCACTAATTCCATACCGGAAGGTGCCTCTTGTCGGATTTGTAGAGGAGAGCACAGTACAGATCAACCACTCTTTCACCCGTGCAAATGCCGGGGATCGATCAAATACATTCATGAAAACTGTTTGATGGAGTGGGTGGCCTCTAAAAATGTTGATCTGTCACGACCCGGATCGGAAATGAAGTGTGATATATGCCATTTTCCGATTCAACTAACGACCGTGTACGACGAAAATACCCCAGACAGAGTACCTCTGACACTCATAATCCGAACAACCGTGGGCGTACTTTTGCGACAGACGCAATATGTATTGTGCATTGCTTTGGCTGCATCGTTATTGGTCGTGGGAATACCGCTAACGTGGAATGCTCTGGGCAAACTGATAGCCACGATGCTGCATGGCGGCAAGCTGCCGATCCCCGGCTCATTTTGGAGAAGCATACTTTTTGGTTTCGACTCGGTTGAGGCTGAAAATGTCACGACAACGGATATCGTCCTCCAATTCCTCAAGAATTATAGGTTTTCGGTTACACAAATCGTGTTCGTGGCCATAATACACATCGCATTATACTTCCAATACGACATGGTAGTGAGGGAAGCTATTTTCAACAAGATGGTCTACCATAAGATCGGACCCCGTTTCAGCAAGGAAGAGCTCATGACTGAAAAACTAAAACAGCAGTTTCCCGGAATGGACGAAAATACCATTCACCATATAGTGCAGCTGATGAAAACCAGAGAAAGAGCAGTTGCAACCCAACCAGAAGTAATTCCCACCGGGCCTGTCGAACGTGACGATAATGAGGTTGAACATGGCGTTGTTGGTGACCATGTTGCTGATGACCATAGTAATGGTGAGCATGTCAACAGCAGGCAAAGACTGAGAAATAGAAATCCCTTAAATTTGGGAAGCAACGAGGATGACGATGCAGAAGATGACGAAGATGATGCGGATTACAACCCCAGTGACACTTTGTCGTCCCAAAGCTCAGAGATCTCAGACGCTTCAAGAAATCAGGACCCAGATGATGATGACGAACGCCAGGAACTTCTAGAGCCGGTCGATCCTTTGAATCTGCTCAGACAGCGTCGAGCAGCAAATGAATTTGACAATTTGTTGCAAGCTCAACAAGAACAGGCCCCCGAGGGACAACCCAACGACTTTATCTTTATGGATTTACCGAATGAAGGTGCTGCGGGTGGAGCTCCCGATGGCGTTGATCTTGACGAACCTTTGAATCAGCAGGATGGGCCAGCGGTGCTTGGTCTTCATCTAAAGTTTGGGAATCTACCTTTCTATTATCTCGCTGCAAGCGTCTTTCTGGCACTGTACCTTTTCTTGGCCTACGCAATTCCAACGATTGTGGGAAACCTTCTTTTGACTGTCTACATCTCCTTGGTTTCATACAGTGTTAAGGGTTTCACACAAACAATCAGGGCGGCCAAAATGCCACTAATTGTAGCCAAAGTGCATAGGGAGTTTCCTGATCAAGTGGAATCGGTAACATCTTTTTTGTCGCATGCTCGTTCCTTCTTCGTCACTGTTCACAAGAGTTACATCGACTATGACAACAAAAACTCGACTGTCGCACAGTCCGTCCCCGCCCTTATCACATATTGTACATTCCTAAGTTTGATTTCATTGAGCTGCAACTTTCTCAGCAGGGGATATGGGGTTAACAATGGTATGAAAAATCCTACTCGGCGATTTATTTTTCAACTATTTTTTGCCATTAGATGTTCTCTGAAGGTTTTCCTGTTATTTGCAATTGAGCTTGTCGGCTTCCCTGTGTTAGCAGGATCTATGATTGACTTCTCTCTCATAAGTCCCTGTTTGAGACAGCATCATTTTCTATTTTACGTCGGTAGCCTCAACCTATGGGCACCGACGATCTGGGTGATTTATTGGAGCATAGGAACTCTCTACATGTTCTGGTTTGCTAAATACGTGGGTATGATTCGAAACTATATCATCAGGCCTGGAGTTCTATTTTTTATCAGATCCTCGGACGATCCAAACATCAGAATTCTTCACGACAGCCTAATACACCCCATGAGAATTCAGTTTTCCCGATTGGTATTGTCCATGGGAATTTATGCAATGTTCATTATTTTTGGGTTCGGGTTCCACACCAGAATACTATTTCCTCACCTCTTGCACTCAAAAATCTTACCGTTCGCAGATGAGGACAACATTTATGTTTGTCTAAATGTCCTTATGGTTTTGAATTCAAGCTTTTTGATAGATTTTGGCAAGACTTTCAAATTGTACGTCAGACAATACTGGACTAAAGTTTTTGACATATGTTGCGGGAAGCTCCGTCTGTCTTCTTTCATTTTGGACAAAGACGTTTCGACAGAGAGGGGTTATGTGGTATACCGGAATGCCTTTTACCAATACATCTTGCCTAAAAAAGCGAGATGGTCAAACGCAAATCTGTATGTCGACCCCAAGACGCCGTCTGTGACCCGAGAGCTATTCAAAACTCAAAAAGACGTACATGCATATTTCATACCCAACGGAGTGTTGATGCGCGTTCCAGCAAACGACATAATATCACGCAATTACGTGCAAACATTGTTTGTACCTGTCACGAAAGACAACAAACTTTTGAAGCCGCTAGATATCGAGTCAATCAGAGAAAGAAATAAAGAAATGATCGGGGAATTTGGACATTTGGATGACCAGAGCACAGAGTTCGACGCTTATACGCTTGTCTATACTCCCCCCAATTTCCGCATCAGATACTCAGCTTTGATCGCTCTTATTTGGCTTTTTGCTTCATTGCTCAGCATTTCCTTGGCTCTTATTTTCAATTTTGTCGGAAGAATTTCCTTGCTAGTTGCTGTTGCACCTTTAATGCAATTGAGTCCAATCCGAAACTTCTTCGCTAGATACAGAGACTTGACAGCCGTCGGTCTCTTTCCAATGATTGTGGGATCACTAGTTTGCATAATCGGTCTCGAATTCTATCAAGAATTCAGAGTTTCGAAATTTGTACAACAAGAACACTTGGTTCAACCTGAAGAAGCGGCAGCAGGTGATGACCCCGAGATGGAAATTCATCATCATCATCATCATCATAATGGGCCGCACAACGTTGCTGATGCTAACCCCAATCTAGTCCCACAGCAACCATTTTTTGAGAGGGAGCATTGGCAAAGAATAATGTTATCTTGCTTAATCGGCCTGCTCGGTGTAGCAAAGCATTTACTAGTACTTGATTACAACTACTCGACTGTTTTGATGGCCTTCAAGGTGCTTCATTCTGATGGTCGTCCTAATGTAATTAGACCACGGTTTTTGTTGGCGGATCCTATTCCAAATCTGAGTCAATTCAAATCACCAGAGATGATAGTCTATGTCATTATCTTTTTGACCAGCTTTCTGAAAGACCAAATAGCGTTTTTCTCCTACCTAGTACGTGACAGACAAGACGATACAAACCGCCAATTGAAAACAATGTTGTACAATCTGGTAGCTGAGTGCTTGCTGACCACGGGTTTGGCCTTTCCATTGCAGCTGCTCATGTGTTCGCTTGATTACCTGCTCTCTAACTCCCAATTTGAATCTCCCATGAAGGTATTTTATTTTCTGGTTTGGAACAGGAGTCATTTTACGCATGCGCAGATTCCATGGAGCGTCTTTCAAGTATTATTCTTTGCTATTTCCCCGTTGATATGCGGAGGCTATTACTTGGCTGGTATCGTAAAAACGTTCTATGCTTTTTTGCAAAGATCGGCTGCGATCACGAAAGAAGAGGTTTACGGTCGAGGGAGAACTCTAACAAATCTACTAGACGCAACAGACGTTTGACTTAATTTGAAGGACAGTGGCAAGCATGGCGTTGAAATTGAGGCTTACTCAATTCCTGTTTTAGTCAAAGTGTGCCGGAGCGATGATGTAAAGATATATTATTCCAAGAGGACCTTGGCTTTTGTATGCTATAAATGCTAAGTTGTAGTAATGCAGGTTTTTGTTCTGTGCCCCTAAGGGCTGCTGGTAATTAGGGTCCTGACCCATCCTCTCACTGGACTCGACTCAATGGCGTGCCACATCTAGGTGTTGGAAGCTCCCCCACCTTGGCTCAAGTAATGGTGGCGCAATCTGCGCACTCTAGGCGGGCTTGCCATAGTAATCAGTTGACATTGTCGATCATGTAACTTCAAATTAATCGTTCGCCAGTAACTCGAAAACTTTCCAATTCATCGTCACTAATGTTTACTTGATTTGGAATTGCATACCCGTCTTCGTGGGTTCGTGCTGCTGTGAGTTTGGATTTCGAATAGCTGTTCAAAGATTTTGACCCGTTACTACTATCGCGGGAAGGGGACGATATGAACTTGTAGCTGAGAGTTCTAGGAGAGTTCCGGGTTGAGCTCTTCGATGTTTTCTCAACATCAAGGATACCTTTCGTCGAAGTCGTCGTTTCCGCAACAGTCGAAATGGGCTGTGATATCTCGATCGGATCGTCAGAGCCATAGTTTTCGGGAGGCAATAAGCTCTCTTTGGAGTTCATAGTTTTGAAGCTTTGGTGCATCGAAACTGATTCATTCAATGCTGTCGAACTCTCACCTTTCACCTTTTTTGCGAAGAAAGGCGATTCTACCGGTCGCAATTGAGTAGGAGCCGATTCCTCATTATTTTCCAGGGTATTCTTCTGATGCGAAACCCCGAGATTTGTGAAGTCTTCAGTCCTGGATGAAAGTGTAACTTGTGATTTCTTATCGACTGCGGAGCTTGCCTCTGACTCGGTGTTGCATTCTGAAATTATATCAGAAGTGAACTCCGGGGAATTGTTCAATCCCCTTTTGTAGTGACTGGGTTCAGAGGAAACTATATTTTCATTTGGTGAAGCTGTCTCTGACCTGTTGGACCTTGTCGACAATTCACTAGTAATAGAATCAGATCGGTCGTCAGTCCTCTCTGTGGGTTCCTTTCCTACGTCAGCACTGGCATCTTTTAACACACCAGAGTGACAATTTTCTGCGTTTCGCGCAACGGAAAATGTCAAATTCTCAGACGCATTTTCATCCTCGTTCTCGACTTTGGCAAGCGGTTCAGTATAATTTTCTAGAATCTCAAGGTCACTGTGACTATCATCTTCCGTCGCACTGCGATCTTGTTCAAGAAGATTAGAATTGCCATTGTGTTTGTTGCGTTCTACTTGTTCTTTTTGCAAATCCAGTAAAACGGACCGAAGTTCTTGCCGAGCATTTGTTCTGCCCTTTTTATCGAAATATTCATTGACAGTCCTCGCGGCGCTTTTGCTCCTTATTTTACTCTCGCGCCACAGATCGGTCGTTCTTTTCGGATTGTCGAAGAAGGTTTTGGTGTTGAGAATGACATGAACACCGCAGTCACTCATATTCGGTTGTTGTGGTACCATACAAGTTTTCATCTTGATCTGATGCTTGAAAACCTCGAGATTGTATTTATCTGCAGCGTAGGCGATCAGAAACTCTTTAATCGGCTCGACCTCTCTGGAGTGGGTCTGCCTTAGCGAGTCATACACCATTATTGTGACTATCGGTGAAGTGACAGAAAGCTCATCATTACTTTCCGCATTTGAGTCGTTTTTATGCTTGAGATTGAAATCACGCTCCATCATTAGAAAGGAAAATAGAGCTGGAAGGTTACAGATGATGCATCCAAACCAATGGAAACTCTCGTTTATTGGCATAACCACAAAATTTTTGCTGAACAGATCTGTATCCCTGACCCATTTTTTGACATTGTCATAGTACTTCTCGGGTTTGCTGATGAGTTTTGTATAGAAGAATGACGAGAGAACCTGAGTCTGACTGCGAGATACTATTCCAGCTTTTATTGATCTTTCCATCCAGTATTTGACGAAAAAATCGAGAATCGAGTCGTTTATCCAATCATGGTTGTACAGACATTTGAAATCTTGATTGGAGACCGACAAGGTAGTACTGTCGTCAAACTTGTAGAATAAGGTTGGCTTGAAAAGTTGTGGAGTTTCGTAAGGAGTGTCCAGCTCCTCGGTAGTCGCGGTGACAGGAGGCGTTTCCGAGCACGATCTGGTTATGCGTTTAGTATTAGATAGTGAATGATCCAGCAGTGATCCTTGTGGAGCTCGACTCCCATAAAATTGGTTCGTAGAAGTGGTGTGACTTTCATGAAAATCTGCTGAATTAGGAACGCCTATGATTGTGCCCTTTCCACTTGCACTTGATTTGCCGTTGGATTTATGCAGCGATCGAAGATTTTTGTTTTCAAAATGCCGTTGCTCACGAGTTTCCAAATGGGCTTTTGAAGCCAAACTCGCCATTGATTTCGTCTCTAGGGTGTTGTTTTGCATTGTAATGATTTCCTGCATTTCGCGTATAACATCCCCATCCGTGACATTTTCTTGTTCAACGTCCACAACTTTAACTAAAGCCTTCACAAGTTTATCTCTTAAATTTCCGAAGTTACTGAGGTACCTGTCAGTCCATAAAAACATTTGAGTTTGGTCCTTGGGACGCAAGCTTATATTTCGTCCACATTTCAAAACCACGCCTAAATGCCCTCCATGAGAGCTGAAAAAAATTGCACGACCTTCCGTCATAAAGTTGACTTCTGAACCTTCTATCTTTTTGCCACACCAGTTGATTTTCATGGTCAGCTCCTCGTCTTCTTCAACTTTCAAAACTGCATGCTCTTTTTTGGTTTGTGCGCCCGAATGATGAATTGCGCGAAATGTTCCTTGGGTTGTAAAGCCTCGACGACCTTCGCCCAAGCTCTCAAAAATCGCCTTTGAGTTTCTTGGCATTTCTTCGATGTCGTTGCCAGAAATTCGACGTTTTTTTCCTGGAATAGTGGCACTCCCATGGCTCAGGAGTGACCGTTCCGGCAAATAACTATTCGTGTTGGATCCCAAAATTTCCAAGTTTTCCCTCATATCCTTCTTCTGCACATGCGGGATCCCATGTTTATGATGGTATCGTGAGGGGGAGTTGGTCCTGTTTTTCGGTTTTCTTGAATCTGTCAGCGTATTGACGGGGGAGAAGCCGCCAGATCGCGCGGATCCCTTCCCCATGTGGATGGAAGACACTCGCCGCTTAAGCTGTGCGTCCTAACGTCCTGCGCCTAAGCTTCTTGACGCCTTATGTGTCACAGCTTTGATGAAGTGTTAAGTTCTTCGAGATGAGCTTGATGATCCTAATCATCTCATTAGTTTAGTACAAGGTGATCTTTAAATTCAAAAACGTACTGACAGATGTGAAAAAGCCTGTCATCTAAGTGAAGAAGCCAGATATTCCCCAAGCTGTCAAGCTCTTAGTATGCAGAGTCATTTTTAGTAATTTTAGAGAGAAAACCTGGTGCTTTTGCTGTGTTCTGAGCTCCGATAAAATTAGAAAACTGAAATTCAGAATTTTCATTTATAAACGTCCTTTCCAAACGTTGAAAGCTTTGAAAGGAAGGCCAGTCATCTTACCTCAGTTTTGCGACAGCATGCGGTTTTCAAAAATATCTGAAAGCTTCTTTATGGTGAGTGTGGAGGCAATATTTCATGATGTAATCATCAGATGCTTCGTTTGGCTCAATTTGGCACCAAAATCGAGCTGGAAAAAAAGCCACCGCACAACTTTTGCATTCGGAAATTTTGTGAGCATTCTCCAGTCCTTTATTCCTTGCCCTTTACTGCCATTTTTTCGTGTGTCTGTCTAGTTACTCCAGTAAAGGTGCTTAATTAGTGAAAAATTTTGAAATTTATCGAAAAGTGTTGTCATCCATCAGCATCTTCGAACTAAAGCTCAACAGCATATTCTCGGCCCAGTATGTTGAGAGCAGGACAGCCACTCCCAAGCGTGGTTCTTCGTCGTAATCTTTCGCAGACTTTGAGAGCGAGCCAAGGAAACCCACGGTCTCCATTGCAAATCTTCCGGGAAACTTTCAAACAGGAATGGAAGAAATCGCAAGAGCTTCAGGACAACATCAAAGCACTGCAGGATGCTTCCGGTAAGTTGGGGGAGTCTGAGGCTTACAAGAAGGCTAGAGAGGCATATTTGGGAGCTCAGAAGGGCTCGACAGTTGTGGGGAAAGCTTTAAAGAAAACTGGTGATGCCGTTGAAAAAGTGGCCAGTAATGCTTGGGACTCGGAGATCGGTAAAAGTACAAGAACAGCAGTCAACAAGACCGCTGCGAGGCTGGACGAATCGTTTGAGCCCGTGAGGAAAACGCAGGTGTACAAAGATATGTCGGAGGTGATGGATAGCGAGAATAGCTCACGCTACGGTGGGTTTGCATCGAAAGAGCAGAGAAGATTGAAGCTTGAACAGGATATAGCATCTGGGAAAAGGCCAAAGGCCGTGAGAAGTAACGAGGAGGCCGGTACTGCATTGGTGGCTACCAACATCGAGGCCAAAGAATCTCTTGGTAAAAAAGTGGATGACTTCAAAGAAAAAACCGTTGTGGGCAGAAAATTGCAGGAAGCCAAGAACAAGCTTTGGGACGAAAGTGAAAACCCTCTGATAGTACTTTTGCGTACCATCAGCGGCAAAATCGGCGGACTTTTCGCCGAAACGGAGTCGGCCCGTGTGATGGGCCAGTTCAAAATGATGGATGCCAATTTTAACAGCGAAGCATTTATGAATCATTTGAGAGAATACGTGATACCTGAAGTTCTCGAAGCCTACGTCAAGGGAGACGAGAAGGTTCTCAAATTGTGGCTCAGTGAGGCACCTTTCAACGTGTATGCTGCCCAGCAGAAAGTTTTCCGGGAACAGGGTCTTTTCGCTGATGGACGTATCTTGGATGTGAGAGGCGTGGATATCGTGAGTGCCAAATTGTTGGCCCCTCAGGACCTGCCCGTTTTGGTCGTGGGTTGCAGAGCGCAGGAAATCCACTTGTACCGGAACGTTAAGACAGGTGAGGTGGCCGCTGGTACTCAATCCAATATCTTGATGAGCTCTTACGCCATGGTATTCACTAGAGACCCTGAAAACATAGAAGACAAAGAAACAGAAGGTTGGAAAATCTTGGAGTTCGTCAGGGGTGGCTCCAGACAGTTCACATGAGACGCGGGCGGAAAGTCAAGTAACCATATAGAACTACCTACCGATCTTGTATATAAAAAATAACATTACGAATCTAATTTACATGAAGTCCCCACAGAGTCAGAGTTCTTGCACCCTTACTCTCTCATTTTTTTGGTATCAAGTTCTTTCCCAAAACCATGTTGTAGATAGCACGTCCACATGCTTGGCCTTTGAGATTGACGTATCGAAGCCAGGGCTTCAATGCAATCAAAACAGTGGTCCAAAGAATGCCCTGAACAAATGGCAGAATTAGAACGTCTCGAAGCACTACTTTACAGACGACTGCAGCATTGATTACTCCTTCACCATTGGCTTCCTGTGTGCCCACCTTCTTGTTCTTTTCGGCTTCTCTCTTGAGTGAGTTTTGAAAGGTCTGCTGGAACCTGAGGTCTGGTATTGGTAGCTTCTGGACCTCAGTAGCGAGCCCTAGTTTTGACATTGTAGTTCACAAAGGAGTGAGCCAAGTGCTTGTAGAACTGAGCGATCAACAAACGGCTTTTCTACAACATCGAAGTTCAAGATGGATAGTGAATGGCTATTAAGCTCATCTAGAGAACGCGAGTACTCTCACGAGTACACTACAGTTGGAAAAATTGCGTGTTTACGCCAGTGACAGCGAGCAGTTCGGGTATGATATTGCCAGTCGAGTGTGATTGGGGCTCTCTATTTTAATGCCGGACTCGAAGTTTTGTATCTGTTGCTTTCATACTGATCCGAAAAGTGTAGATGACAGTGCTGTCCGAATTTTTTGTTTTATCCATGAGAGTCATGAGGGCAAAAAGCCGGGCCATTATATGTGAACAGCTGCTTTTTTTTTTCCATTCACGTTCAGCAATCTCCCAAGCTCATTTCAATTGGTGTTTGGGAAACCGCTCTTCGCGGTCTGCAATTTTGAATACTGGCAGAAACCTGGCTAAAAAGCCCAGATAAAAAAATAAATAGGAAACGAAACTGGGCCATGAGAAAATAAACTTAGAAAACTAAAGAGACTCTGAACTCATTCCGCAAGAAATCATTCTCTTTTCAAGAAGTGTATCGGGAACTTTACTGACGTTGAAATCAATGTACTTTAACTGACGATTGTCACGTGACCATACATCCATTATCTAACAAGAGTATTTTACGAACTTTACTCCTTCTGGAGACCACAAGTATCACGTAGTAAATATCTGGAATGTTTACCAGCTAAATAACACATTATTTGTATCATAGTTCCTCCAGCTCTTTGGTTAACAAAACCTTGTACTCGAGTACCAGCTCATAATTTCAATAATATTATTACCTATAATAAACTGAAAAATTTGTCAACTTGATCAGTCTCCAGCCAAAAAGCTCGATTGTTGACCAACCAAGCGAGTCCCTAGCGTATCCATTGGCATCGCTATTCACTTGCTACTGTCTACCAGAGCTCCACTTTTCACAGAAGGTCTTTTAGTATGGCGGAAGAGGGCCCACAGGTTAAAATAAGAGAAGCTACCAAGGACAATGTGGATTTTATACTGTCAAATGTGGATATGACATTGGCAAACTCGCTGCGGAGAGTGATGATTGCCGAAATCCCAACATTGGCGATAGATTCGGTGGAAATTGAGACAAACACCACAGTTTTGGCGGATGAGTTCATATCGCATCGTTTGGGCCTCATTCCATTGCAAAGTGCAGATATCAATGAACTGATTTATTGTAGAGATTGCTACTGTGAAGATCATTGTGATCGGTGCTCTGTGGTTCTCACGCTACAGGCCGTGGGAGAAAGCGAGTCGACGACAAATGTGTACGCTAAAGATTTGGTGATTGTAAGCAATCTTATGGGACGAAATATTGGACATCCCATCATACAGGACAAAGAAGCCAACGGGGTGCTGATTTGTAAACTGCGGAAGGGTCAGGAGCTCAAATTGAAGTGCATTGCGAAAAAAGGTATTGCCAAAGAACATGCCAAGTGGTCGCCTGCGTCGGCCATCGAGTTTGAGTACGACCCTTGGAACAAGCTCAGACACACAGATTACTGGCATGAAGTAGACGCGGCTGCAGAATGGCCTAATTCGAAAAACTGCGAGTACGAGGATCCACCCAACGAAGACGACGTGTTTGACTATAAGGCCAAGCCATCAACATTTTACATGAACGTCGAAGCGGTAGGATCGCTGACGGCCGACCAAGTGGTCGTGAGAGGCATGAAAACGCTACAAGATAAGGTAGCAGACATTCTTTTCTCTCTGAAAAAAATGGATCAAGACAAGGTCAATTTTGGTGGCACCGCGGGTCTTGTAGAGCAAGACGGCGGTGCTGGGCCCATGGAGCAAGATTCAAATTTTGGTTACGCAGATGGTGCCGCTCCTTACAATTACGCAGGACAAAGTTCGGGCTTTGATGATGCATGGTAGACATACCAAAGAGGGGGAAAAGACAGAAGAGAATTGAAAAGAAAAATGCGGGCTCATATGTAATTATCGATCTTGCTGTGTATCATTACGACAAATAATTGAAAAAACGAGGACGAAAGTTTAAGGTATTGATGGACTGCTATTCGAAGCCATCGTGTGCAGTTTTTTAATAGCTTTCCTCAACTTTCTTCGAGCACTATCTTTATCTGGCGTTTTGCTCGTTCCATCTGCAACATTCTTCAAAAGTTACCAAGCTGCCTCCGAAAATGTCCAGCGCGCTGCCGTACGTCAAGTCGACTTTCCCGTGGCTCAATTTGTCTACAAGCTGCAAATCGTGGATGCTCTTAGCGCCTCCAGCGTACACGATTGTCAAATGCGGCAGATCTTCGGTCCACTCGTAGAGTTTTTGGATTAGATTCTCGTCCACACCACGACAAAGACCCTCTACGTCCGCTGCATGGATCAAAAACTCGTCTGCATACTCGCTCATCCATGTGAAAGTTTCTTTGCTCAGCACCACATTAGTGAGTTTCTGCCATTTGTTCATTGCCACAACCCACTGACTTACACCCGATGTCTCAACTTTCCTGCAGCTCAAGTCTATCACCAATCTGTCCTTTCCGCAACGGCTCGATATTTTTTGCAGATTGGGCACCACAATTTGGCCCTCCGAATCAAAGAGCCAGCTTGTAACAATAACTTTGCTTGCAGTTTCCAGCCATTGCAAGCAGTTATCATAATTGATGCCACCACCAACCTGCAAGAATTTGGGGACCGTTTTCAACGCTTCCAAAGCTGCCTCGTCATTATTGGGACCCAGCTTGATGACATGACAACCCGAAATCCCATTTTTCTTGTACAAATCCGCAAAAAACGACGATTTATGCTCGCATACAAAGTTGGTTTTGAGCTCTTCGTCTTTTTCCTCATTCAAAGTACCACCAACTATCTGTTTAACTTGACCATTATGCAAATCGATACAACCCACAAATCGTGTCATAATTTTATCAATGAAAAGCCTTTGAAACCCGCTTGTTCTTCAACAATCACTCGTTCTGAGAAAACTCAAATCTTTGGATGAAAGCCAGGTCAAAGTTTAGTCAAGTTCTTTGATCTTTTGACTGTATATGGTGTTTATATATAATTTTTCACTTTTTAAAGTCAAGATGCGATGAGATGAGATGAGATGAGATGAGATGAGATGAGCTCAACTTAAACAAGTTTGAACACTTCAGTATCGAATCCAGCAGTCTTGTTCTTTCAACACAGTGATGGCAGATGATGAGGAGTATCAACGACAACTAGAGCTTCAAAGAGAGGCCTTTGAAGCCCAGTTTGGATCACTAGAATCGATGGGTTTTGAAGACAAAACGAAAAAGCAGGTTTCGGATGAAACCTCCGGTAGCGAAGAGCAGGAACATGATTCGCAAGACGATTCGCAAGACGGTTCGCAAGACGAGTCTGGGAGTGATGGAGATGCTAGTTTCCAAGGGTTTTCTGACGATGATACGGAGGCAAAAGAGCCAAGAAGCGAACCGCAGACTAAACGTCAACCAAAAGTCATCAAGTTCGATGGTGCTAGTGATGTGTATTCTGCGCCAAACAGAAAGGAGCAGAAGTTGGTGAGGTCCGGAAAGGCCCCCAAGCAAAGCTTGGCAGAGGCTAGAGAGCAGGAGGAGATGATGCAGGCGGGCCAGGATGAAGAGGACGACACGGCAGACGGCGAAAAAGAGAACCTACAAAGCGATCTGGAACTGCAGAGATTTTTGAAAGAATCGCATCTGTTGAGTGCTTTCAGCCAAAACGAGCCCAGTGGTGCTGATCTTACGCTTCAGACTATGAACAACGTGGAATACAGGGATGACCAGGTTTTCGGCAAAGCCCGCTCTCGTACACTGGAAATGCGTCTCAAAAACCTGTCCTCCGTCAACGGCAAGGAACAGAAACTGGAAAAAGTGCCAATAAACATCAGGAAAGGTATGGTCGATAAGCATGTCAAGAGAATCAAGAAACACGAACAGGAAGCCCGGGAGGGAGGTATCATTTTGTCGAAAGTCAAGAAGGGAGAATTTAGGAAAATTGATTCAACCTACCGGAAAGATATCGAAAGGCGGATTGGGAGTCGAAACAGCTCTGCGGACAAGCAGCGTAGAGCCAAGCGGCAAAAGGGACTCAAAGTCAGTTCGGTTGGTCGCTCTACTAGGAACGGGCTGATCATCTCGCCAGAAGAAATTAGACGCATTAACGGAGACGGCAAAGGTAAGCCCAAGGGAAGAAGAAGATAAGAGAAAGTAATTGGAATTGTATATTGCGTTTATAAAAAGTATAGAAGTGATTGAGGTAGATATGTTGTGTTGGAAGCACTGAGGCACGAATTGGCCGTGGCCATGTCAATGTCAGCTACAAAGGAAAAACATTAAAAACATTTAAAACATTAGAGGAACTCTTCATTAGGAAAACGAAAAAAGTTGCGACGCAGAGTTTACTGAAAGACATATTTGGCTACAACTGAAGGAAATAAGAACTGTATTGTGTGAACTTCAATCGCCAGCTGCACTGAATATGCTGTCGCTGTTTCCTGTCACGTGATACAACGACAGACGACGATACCAGAGAAAAATCGACTGTTAAGATCTGAGGTTATCACGGGCTGCCAGAACTTTGAAAGCTTATACTCTCACCGGCGTGCTGGCGTTGGCTTCTCTCTATCATACCGCATCTGAAAGTCTGGATCGCGGATGGTATAAAGAAAAAAAATAAGTATTTGTCAAGGAGATGAGCGAGAATTTGGTGATTGCTGTGCCAAAGAAAAGCAGCTCACAGGCTCAAATAGAAAGCATTTTATGATTCAGATGAGGTATTCAAAGTGCCAGATCGAAGTTGTAACAGAGTCATTACCAGAAAACACTGGTCACGTGACCATGTGACAGCGACGGAATGGACAATAATAGTCAAGTCAAAGGATAAAATGACTACAACGAACTGTCCATCAGGATGTCGATAGATCATCGGATCTGAGTTTTAGGATATAATCTGGGTTTTGCCGTCGTCTTTGCTGTTGTGCTTCGTAATCGGTCCTCTTTTTCAGTAGATGCGTTCTAGTTTTATAAATTTGCAGAACCATTGCCCTTGCTGTACAGAAGGCATTGACCAGCTCATAGAAATATGTAAATCGACGAGTAGAGATAAAGTTAAGTTTGCAAAATTCGTGCCTTTACAAACTTAAATGAATCAATGGTGACAGATTTATCGTCCTGCCATGCCATTTCAGAGACACCTGTCTCTCGACCGAAGCTAGCAATAACTATAAATTGACGAACAAGACATGGCCTCTGACAACAAGGAAGCGATTCCTCCAGGTCTCAGACATCATTAATAAACTGTCGTTGCAATTTTGGTTTCAAATCGACAAAAATGAAAGGTTGTAGGATTCAAAGAAAACGAACTCCCGAATGGAACACACAAAATACAAAATATCCCACGTCATTCGTTCTACAAAAGAGGTTCCCTTCCTTAGCCCTGAGAGTTTCTTGTTCAAATCGCTTTGATGGGTTGTGCTGTATGAGTTGCACCGTCACATTAGTATAAAACGATCTGAGCAGGAGAATTCCAAAAAAAAACCTCCAGCCAAAACGAAATTAAACTGGCCTGCGATCTGGAAAGTGTAAGGTAGCTCTTGTGGTATGTACTAGTCTAATATGCAGTAGTATATTAACGAACTGCACACTACTTAGACGTAACTATTGCCTTTGTTGTAGGTCACGTGACTTTCTTTCTCGACCGTGTACACACCTTATTTTTAGAGAACCTACTCACAGAGCTAATCCAACAGCGAGGTCATCATTATAGCCCTCTTTACTTTGAAGACGCCAGAAAAGACGCATCCCCCTATGCCTTGAGGCATGGTTTTTTCTCGCCCTTTTTTTCCGTACCCATGTTTTCGAAAAATTGAACAAATTCGAAACCTAGCACACGGGAATTAGAGGGTGAAGAATCTCAGGCTCTTTCTCGATCATTACCACAGCTCTATTATAAAATTGGGCTGTCATCAACGTTGGTTGTCACACCCGTCAGAAGCGACAAGTAAACAAGAAGTCACGTGAACTAATAAGTCAAATCACATGATCAGCTCTTTCCTATATCACTCTTAACGACATGCTACCCACGTGATCTAGAAAGTCCAAAAATATCACATGTGTATATCATCCTCAACGAATCATTTCTTCCCACAGCCAAGACTTCTTCTCACAATTAAAATAAGCTCTAAGAAACTGATAAATTAAAGTGACTGAATACAATAAATGGAAATACCATCTAGTTAAAATATCTAAAAACTACTATTTAAGAACTACAACAAGGAACAAAAACGAACAGAAAACAGTCTTAGCCTGGCGATTTCATCGCATAAGCTCTGCAGTGCGATAACAAACCCGTGTGCAAGCTATCTGTAGCAAAAAACGCGGCCAAAAACGAGCCAAAAACCGTTATTTTCAGCCAAATAATGATTGAATACGACGGGACTCCACAGCGTCAAGAACCGTTGACAGAGAACCAGAGCGTTCTGGACCAAGTGGACCAGTACATAACGGACCACAATGGAGGCCGTACAGCCATAGCGGCAACAACAAGCACTACTGCACCGGAAAGAACAATCCAAGACTTGGATTTCGAAGTGGGGCTGGAGTCACGTGACAGCGACCCGGACACGTCTGGCACCGGTCCCGAGTATGGGTCTTCAAATCCGCATCAAATGCCATTCCATTTCGATCTGGACATGGCCTCCACGAACCCCGGGCTACCGGAGTCGCGGCTGGTCCGCCCCGATGTCGTGTTTTCACCCGTCATCTCTCCGGTTGTCGCGCCGATCCAGGGCTCTGCCCACCACCATCACCACCACCACAACCTCCATAATCACAGCCAGTTTCAGCAACCGTCTCTGCCGCAGTCCCAACCGTACTCGCAGCAGCATTCCAGCAGCTACAGCGGCCGCCACCATTCAGTCGGCACCGCTTCTACTGCCAACACACCACTATTGAGATCTCAGGCCCCAGGGTCTGTCCACACGTCAAAACCGCAATTTTCGCCACTTTCTTCTCCTGCTATTGATGCCCTGGACAATTTGGCGGCTTTGAAACGAGTCTCGTCTAGCTCTTCGTCCCGTGGCAGGAAGACGCCATTGTCAACGCCTGCTCTTACCGCAACTACCGTTTCCACTTCATCAATAAATGGCCTACCGTCTTCTTCTACAGGTACTGTCACTACGGGCTCGAAAGTGGTGAAAAGTAGTCCACAACTTGCTCGAAAACGACCCGTGGTCCCAACTTATGGAAGGCGCAAAAGTGGACTTCCTTCGAACTGGGACGAGATGTTCGCGCTTCCAGATAGCTCGATTCCGCCCCCACCGCTGCCGCCGGCGGCAGCCGCTACTTTTGCGCAATCCCAACCGTCCCAACAGCAACTTGAGGATATTCCACACCCACGCCCGACTTCGAGCATTTCCTCGACAAGAACGCAGAATTCGAGCAATTCCACAGTACCGCTAAGCAGTTTAGATCTCGAATTTGATCATTTCGATCATCCACAGCCGGAGTCCCATGATTCGGGCTCTTTAGCACAGACACACTATCCCAAGGTGATTCTGCCGTCTACGTCTTTTCAAAGTGGGCAATCTCCAGGCCGTGGACAACCCTCGGTGATGGGTAGCCATTCGAATACCAATGGCAATCACAACGTTATAGTAGCATCTGAGTCTCCTGTCATAAAAGCCAAGAATCCCTCGCCGTCGTATCCCGCTCCCGTCATAACTCGTAAGACCAGCGCTGGAAGCATCACAATACGAGCGACTCCGGAATTGAATCCTTTGCGCAAGAGTAGCAAGAGCTCACTTGATGATAAAGAAGATGAAGATATATCGATGCGGGACTTGGACGAAATGCTAAGAAACGGCGGTGGAGGAGAGCAGCATAGGAAAGAAGTGCATAAAGCAGCCGAACAGGGCCGTCGTAATCGACTGAATAATGCTTTGACAGAACTGCACGCTTTAATTCCTGCTGAGCTGAAAGGTTCGACGTTAGTTCCTTCTAAAGCCACGACTGTCGAGCTTGCTTGTGTTTATATCCGCGAGCTGGTCGCTCGGGGAGCCAACTCATCTGATAAAATGTAATTGCTGCATATAATTTTGATCCCAGCATGCAGTGTAGTGCATGCAATAAATGTTGTTATAATAATGAGAGTTGAGGAACAATGAAACCGCGAGTTTTCGTGGTGGTTTGTGTGAAGTTTGCGTTGAGCAAGACGGGAATTGTGGAGTCATTGGATAGGATAAGTTTTCAGCTTTTATTGACGATTTTCTTCTTGATTCTAATAAGACACAATTGCCAGATTTTAGGAACAAGAAAGTAAGAATAGTGGAAGTTAGAGAAAGCCAATTACTGTTAAATCAAATGATGTCTTCCGAAGGCTTTGGTTTCGCGAGAATGTCGAAATAAATAGAGATTTTGTCCCGAAGAAAGACAAAATTGTTTCGAAGACTAGCATTTTCTACAAACTTTAGAGAAACGGGTTTTTAGAAGATTTTTGTTTACAAAAAACGAATTATCAAGCGCCAAACATTCAACCTCAGAACGAACTTGATTTCCTTCAAATAGACGTTAATTTTCGACTCCAGAAACGTTTCCTGTCGTCATATTCAGATGCGATGACAGAAAGAAACACCATTTCAACTGAAAAGATGTGTCACTTCATACCCTTTACCGTCACATCGGTCACGTGATAGCTCTTTTTCCATCACTTCATACATTTTTGTCATTGAGTTTCGTGTCACAACTGAGGTCAGAAAAATACCCCATTTTCAGACAGAATTCAGACTCCCGAGACTTTCCTATAAACATCTATCATTCTTGTCCACTCATGTACAATCCCAGATTCATGTTAAACATCTAAAAATCAAAATCTGTCCTTTTTTTTTCTTTTCCAACAAAGCCAGAGTTTCGAATTTGATCCCTGGCAGTTTTTGACACACCTAAAACCAGAAATACAAACATCTAATCAAACACAGCATCAATACACTCAGAATACCCCCACAATCCGCTTCCTTGCCACAACTATATCACTTTTCTATATCCTGTCGTCCGCTATCGACGAACCAATGAAATCTCATAAAAACTAGACCTGAAAAAATTAGTGAAGTATATCGGGTTCGTCAATCCATCTATCCAAACCAGCTGTTAGGTATAGAAACTCAAACTGGTTTTAAGAAGCTCGAATCAAGTGATTCGATACCAATTGAACCATCAATTGTTTTGATACTTGTTAGAAACCTGTTTGACAACGTTGCGAACTGAGAGGATCGGTTTTGGAATACGTGGATAACCAGTTATAAAATAAAGAATACGACGATGGGCAGTTTTACAGAGTTCCTCGGAGAATTGAAAGAAGCGTTCGTGCCAACAGTCGCAGAAGCGGCCGATGCTTCTCCTGAACAACCTAGCAAGAACCACGACAATGTAGCAGAGCCAGAAGTGAACAACAGCGATGACGGAGACGAGGAATCCAAGGAAGAGGAAAGTGGTGAAGCTGAAGAGGAAAAGGAAGGTGGAGACGAAGATGAAGAAGAAGAAGACGAGGACGAAGACGAGGATGACGAGGACGAAGAAGAAGAAGAGGAAGTCGGAGACCAGATGGACCAGTTGAGAGAGGAGTGTAAGAACAAAGAAGACGCCAAGCCTTTGGTGCACCACTATATGGAATGTGTGGAAAGAGTGCACAAGGCTCAAGAAGACCCTGGATACGCGGATTCGGAACACAAAGAGGACTGTGTTGAAGAGTTTTTCCATTTGCAGCACCATTTGGATGGCTGTGTCGCTCCAAGACTGTTTGACAGACTGAAATAAGAAACCCACAGAAATTGACAGAGAGAGAGAGAGGAAGAGAAGGAGAGAAGGGTGACGCAAAAACTTTGATGATATGAACGCAGGGAGGAAGGTTTTGGAAATAAATTCTACTAGCTCTAAAAATGAGTAGTTCCCTCCTTAGTCACTCTTTCCTAAAATCCTGGCTTCTCGCTCTTATGCGGGTTTTTGCAATCCGCTTCCCAGATTTTTTTTCGATATTCCTATTTTCTTAACTACTATCCCCCACACCCCATGAAAACTAAAATTCACGATCCCAAGAAGTTTGTTGTTCCGCTCAGACATGGCTTCCGATAGACCTGCCCCTCACATAACCAAGACTCTAAGAGGCGATGCCATGCGGTACAGACATTCTTTTGAAAAGCATGTCCGTGGTATTGAGCTAGGTAAGACGAAAACAGTGTTGTTCTGCCTAGCACTCGATTCTCACGTATTTATTATATCTTACTTAATTTCAATACAAAAACTATGTAAGCATGGACTTGCAGAAGTACGCCATGACAGTTAAAGTGTTGACGACTACATGTTGGTCAGTGTCGAATTTTTAATTAGTGTCTGATATTGCGACATTAAGTTTAAATACATTTTGTCAAACAAAGAAAGAGAGAGAGAGGGCGAAACCAGCTCTTTGACATCTACGTCATTAAATTTAGGTATTTGCATTCAATGTATATCAGTTTTAATACAGTTCTTGGTTCACTGAATGTTTTTCATATCGATAATGGCCCATTTTCGGAAAGAATTTTAGGCAGGCTAGTCACTCAATTTGCTAGGACAAATTTCGGTCCCAATTCGGGTAAAGAAACTAACTTCCTTACTCGTGTGCTTCCGCTGATATCACATCAACTTCGTTTTGGTTTACTGTCACCGCGACACACACGACCATAGCTTCTCATTTGCATCAATTACTGTCACCTTCGCAATCCAGAAACCTTAGGTTGTGACTGCTTTCAAACACCCACACATTTCTCAAGATTAAACTGACACCGAAAAAAACTAATAAATAAACATCGGAAAATTTGTGCGTGGGTAAATAAAAGCGTCCATTTGGAAAGCTCTGCCTAGCCTGTAGTGGCTCCTTCCGGCTCCCGCCTATGGAATCTGGCTAAACCGAAGGAGCTCCCGGCAAGGCCCAACGGCGTGGATCCTGCTATGGCCCTAAGCCCGGCCCTGAGCCCCTGCCTAGCGTTCCCAGTCTAACGCTGGGTCCTAGGCAGACGGCACCATCGCTCTGGGAAATTTCAAACGTAGTGTCATTACAGTTGATATATCCAAACTTGAACATCTATTGGCCATTGGGAAGTTAGAACTAGCAGACTCGAGTATCGAACAGTACGTACAATATGGACACCAATTAGTAGTGGATTTACAGGAAAGACAGCGGAAAACGTTACGAATGGGATATTACGAAATGGAATAGGAAAACATACCCAAAGGGACTGCATATCGCTGTAGAAGAAATGGCTATGAAACAGATTCTATGAGTCTCTCCATGCCAGTTGTGTTTGGTCAAAGATAGCGACCTTCTAGAAAACTCAAGCTGTGAATTGAAAAGCGAACGAAAGATATGGAACAACAACTGCCCGTCTTCGTCTCCAGAATCGCTCACGTATACCATCTTTTGCAAGCTTACAAAATAACTTTTTTGCGTCTTCACTGTTTCTCCCCGCGACACGCACCATATACTAACCTGACCCGCAGAAATGTCCAAGTCTAAGAACCATACCAATCACAACCAGAACAGAAAGGCCCACAGAAATGGTATCAAGAAGCCTAAGACCTACAAGTACCCATCTTTGAAGGGTGTCGACGCCAAGTTCAGAAGAAACCACAAGCACGCCTTGCACGGTACTCAAAAGGCCTTGGCTGCCAAGCGTGCTGAGGAAGCGAAATAAATCCGCAGCTTGGGAGATAATAGGCATTTTTAACAAAACTCTCTTTCACAGTCTGTAAGGAACTATATATCGTTTTTTTGATTTGTTTCTAATTTACGTTGACCTAAGGATAACTGCAAACGCAAAACTAAGAAACGTCGCGGAGATCATGGTGGTTCTAAGTTCGTAATTGTGCGATCTTCCTCCGATGTATATACATTGTTGTCGATCAAATGTTGCACTGGGGCTTCTAGCACGCCAGTGACACATTTACGGTCGTACACAGTGATACTTTATACGTCAAGATCTTGAGTTTTGTGACGCCCACCCATAAATTCAAAGTATATAAAGGGTGCTGGAATTATGAACCATACCCTCTCCCTTCAAAACAAGATCTTTAAGTATCAAGAGCTTTTTTCTGTGAAAATTATACGAAACTCAAGCCGCTTCAAGTATTCATAACGCCTTTCATGACGACGGAAGTGATGGCCCGACGGGCATCTACAGAGCTCAACGTTCCAGCGGGAGTAACGGCTTCTGGTGAAGTAAAACGGATCTACATCTCGAATTTGGACTTCGAAACGAGCGAAGATGAATTGAAACAGTTTCTAGCAGAGTTCAATGTGCTCACGGTTCTGATACCCAGCCAAACTATCCGTGGGTTTAGAAACAGCAGCGTAAAACCGCTAGGGATTGGATATGCTGATTTTGCCACAGTTGATGACGCCAAAAAAGCGGTGGAAACGCTGGATGGCCAAAAACTGCACGACCGCGCTTTGAAAATCAAGATGTACGTCCCGTTTGTGGCAAAAAGCAAAGAACGCCGACCTTCAAAGAAACAGAATAGTCTCAAAAAAGAACAGCCCAGCCAACCGGCTCAACAAACAGATGCGGAAGCAACAGAAGCCAATATCACCGTCCCGCTGCCAGGAAACCCTTCGAAACCGATTTCTGAACCCGTCGCTTCTGACACCGTATACTGTGCGTATCTACCCTCCAACGTCACAGACGTGGAACTGCGCGAGTTTTTCGCCGATTACGACCCCCAGGACATCTACGTGTATCGCAGCAGCGTGTCCAGACATCGCATACACTTGTACCGTCGTTTCACTGCTGCGTTAGTCAGTTTGGGAGCTCCTGACTCTTTAGAAAACGCTATAAGCCAGCTGTCAAAACAAAAACTGCTGGGTAAGAAAATAACCTTGAAGCCCGCCAGATTGTCTAAAATCCAAGAGGTCAAGAAAGCGGCCGCAAAGAAACAAGAGCTGGAACAGGTCCAAAACCGGAAAAAGACCATAGCGGAGGCTTCAGATTCCATTGTTGAGAACCAAGAGCTAGAAACAATGGAAGCCGAAGCTACAAGCTAGGAGCATTAATGCATAGAGGGTGGGTATCAAATGGTGTTTCCTCTCACCGCCAGCAATTAAGTATGTTGCTTACAGTACTGAATATTCCGCTATATACATGTTGAATAAACATGACCAGATATGTTAGCGTATCACAACGTAGCGTACGTTGTTGGACTATAGTATAAGCTTACAAGCTGTTTTCCAAACCAACATATCCATAGCTTAAGGTGTTTGATGTGTATCTCACATAAGAGCCGACAACATATATACCATAAGACAAGATCCATCGATCACGTGACATAACCTGCGATGCAATTAGTTAACCGAATCGATGTCGTTCCGGTTGTTTTCTACATACACACGGCTTTCCCCACCACTGCGCGTTTTGGATAACCACAACTCAATCAATATCTAGCTTTCCTAAATTACCTTGCCTCTCTTTTTCTCTTTTACGAGTCCATGGACAGATTCACCAATAATTTCCTTTAGCTTTAAAACACTAAGAATATCAGATCTAAATAACGTATCATTGCTGCGAACGTCCCTGCACGTACTCACAAGCTCTTCCATCACCTGCCATCCTGTCGAATGCACCCTGCTTGCATACATTGTCCAGCAGAGTTAGTATGTGTCACTTTGGATGTGACTGCTAACATCCGTACATTTTTGAATCTGAAGAATAATTCAACAAAAATTGAAAATTTTATTCTATCAAGTGCGTCGCTTTCCAGCCAGCTCTTTTGCGCCGTAACTCTGTGCAGCGTCCTCAACCGTTCCCACACGGCTGGGCGGGCAGCTGTCTGCCTAGCCTAGGCGAGCCAGACTTGGAGTCTCTCGAGGCCTCCCCCGAGGGCTCTGCCTAGCGAGACAGTGGCCAGTCTAATGTCTAGGCAGGGCTCCCACTGGAGCCGATGGGCGGGTCACACCGCCAGTAGACTGACGAGGTAGCATCGCCAACTCCAGGTGATGGAATTAATGAAAATTCAAGTAATTTCACATCACATTTAGCGATTCTGTTTAGAGAAACCAGACATCAACACAAGCAATGGGTATGTGAGGCGTGCAATAGCGATAGTTGTTACTACTGTAGCACGAGCTAATCCTTGAAAGTGCGGGCTAAAACGACTTTGCGAGACCTTTGACCTTTGAACGGCGATTTTGCGAATCATGGAGTAAATACCGGTGTCTAGCAAATCGAGAAGAAAGAGAAACGTTGAAACATCAAATGGAGAATACAAGATGATGAAAGAGCGGCGAACTAGCTATCGGAGGTTTTCTTGGGTCATCGGATTCGACATTTCACTTTAATGCTCCCCACTTACACTTTGCAACACTTTTTTACTAACACAGCGCTCCAGGTAGAGTTATTCGTAACCAAAGAAAGGGTGCTGGTTCTATCTTCACCTCGCACACCAGATTGAGACAAGGTGCTGCCAAGTTGAGAACTTTGGACTTTGCTGAACGTCATGGTTACATCCGTGGTGTTGTGAAGCAGATTGTTCACGACGCCGGTAGAGGTGCTCCATTGGCCAAGGTTGTGTTCCGCGACCCATACAAGTACAAGTTGCGTGAAGAAACCTTCATTGCCAACGAAGGTGTCCACACCGGTCAGTTCATCTACGCTGGTGCCAAGGCCACTTTGAACGTCGGTAACGTTTTGCCATTGGGCTCTATGCCAGAAGGTACCATCGTCTCCAACGTCGAAGAGAAGCCAGGTGACAGAGGTGCTTTGGCCAGAGCCTCTGGTAACTACGTCATCATCATCGGTCACAACCCAGACGACAACAAGACCAGAGTCAGACTACCCTCCGGTGCCAAGAAGATCATCAACTCCAGCGCCAGAGGTGTCATCGGTGTTATTGCCGGTGGTGGTAGAACCGACAAGCCATTGTTGAAGGCTGGTCGTGCTTTCCACAAGTACAGAGTCAAGAGAAACTCTTGGCCAAAGACTCGTGGTGTTGCCATGAACCCTGTTGATCACCCTCACGGTGGTGGTAACCATCAACATATTGGTAAGGCTTCTACCATCTCCAGAGGTGCTGTCCCTGGTCAAAAGATTGGTTTGATTGCCGCCAGAAGAACTGGTTTGTTGCGTGGTTCTCAAAAGACTCAAGATTAGAGTATTTAGTAGAATCAATTCAAAATGAAAATAATCTAACAAATGGTCATCTCGTATTAGATCTCACAGTGTATGTTACCAGGCTTGTATTCTAAGTCTTTATGTATATCTCCTCAATTTTTTTCCATAATTGACGGCAGAAGGAGTGATGTGTTGTTCAGTTGCTGAAACGCATCGCTTGCCAATCGCTATTCACCAGATGCCAGAAAGACACCAAAAATGATCTAATGCGTTAAAGCAAGCTGTCAAACTTTCTGCTTTCCATTCACAAATGCAAAATGTATATACAACTAACCATAAATACCTGTGTCTTGAAAGCTAAGTTCACGGGCCGTTGTTCTTCACACACTACACGCCTATTCTTGCCATTCGAAAATAATATTCATAATTCATATCAAAAAGCCAGCCATAACTTCCGGAAGCATGTAATGCGATCAGCTAATCCATGAACCAATAATCCTGGTCAAAGTTTCGTTTTCTTCTTGAATTTTGGTGTCATCTTGGTTCTAAATCACTTTGCCTCTAAGTTGTTGTCAATTTCATTAATTTCAAGTGTATTTGAGATGGTAAACAAACCTTGTTGAACCACATCGAACAACGATATCTCACCAAGGTGAGCATTCAATGACCTAAGAAACGTTCAGAAAAGGCCTCACCACGATACTGGGTCTAATATGAAGGTAGAAGAGCTTATTATCGACGGTTTCAAGTCGTATGCGACCAGAACAGTTATATCAGATTGGGATCCACAATTTAACGCTATAACGGGGCTTAACGGATCTGGTAAATCCAATATTCTCGATGCGATATGTTTCGTGCTGGGAATATCATCTATGGCAACTGTTCGGGCATCAAACCTGCAAGATCTGATCTACAAGAGGGGCCAAGCAGGTGTCACGAAAGCTAGTGTTACAATAGTTTTCGACAATACCGACAAGAAAAACTCTCCCATTGGATTTGAGACGTACCCTCAGATTTCCGTCACCCGGCAGATTGTACTGGGAGGCACCAGCAAGTATTTAATCAATGGCCATCGTGCCCAGCAGCAAACCGTTCTTCATTTGTTTCAGTCAGTACAGCTGAATATCAACAACCCGAATTTTTTGATCATGCAGGGCAAGATCACCAAAGTTCTGAACATGAAGCCCACGGAAATCCTTTCGCTCATTGAAGAAGCTGCTGGCACGAAAATGTTCGAAGATCGCAGAGAGAAGGCAGAGAGAACCATGACAAAGAAAGAGACAAAACTGCAGGAAATACGAACGCTACTTGTTGAAGAGATTGAGCCAAAACTTGAAAAACTTAGAAGTGAAAAGCGTACTTTCCTGGAGTTTCAAAATATTCAATCAGATCTCGAAAACACTTCTAAAATCGTCAACGCCTTTGCATATCGCTCTTTGCTTCACAGTCGTAAAAACACGGAGGAGTTACAGAGATCAGGCCAGACAAGAATTGATCAGCTTCGCGCGTCCATCGAGAAAACGCAAACCGAAATGAAGAGTATTGAAGAAGACCTGAACGTAATTAAGGCTCAAAAGAGGGATGAAGTTAAAAAGGACGGCACTTTGAGGCAGCTCGAATCTCGAGAAAGTCAGCTCAATAACGATCTATCTCGCCTCAAGACCTCTTTGACCATTACTGCTGATAACCTGGACGAGGAATTGGCGAAGTCTCAAGCACTCAATAATGACATATCCAAATACGAGGACCTGCTCAAGACAAAGAACGCGTCTTTCGAAAGCATTCAGGCCGAATACAGTTCTTTGAGTGAAGTAGTTGAAAATTCCAAGAGGTCTTTACAATCAAAAGAAGAACTTTTGTCGACGCTAACTACTGGTATTTCGTCGACCGGCGCAACCAGTAGTGGGTACCAAGCTCAGTTGAATGACGTCGAGACACAGCTCAATGATGCAAGAATAAATGTCCAGAGATATGACATGAAGATTGAGCTCCTTAAAAAGGAATTGGGCGAAAACGAGCCTAAACTGATCAAAGCGAAGCAATCAGGCGAGCAGGCTAAAAAGGATTTAGAGTTATGCCATTCCAAGTGCTCGGAACTAAACTCCCAATTACAGAATCTAGGTTTCGATCCAAATCGATTCAAGCAGCTAAAGGAGCAGGAGGTCAAGATAAAAAATCAGCTCTATAGCATCTCGAATGAGATGGAAGTCCTGAAAAGAAAGGTAGCGAACATTGAGTTTGCATATAACAAACCTTCTCCGGATTTCAAAACAGACTCCGTGAAGGGTGTCGCTGCCCAGTTATTTTCTTTAGATGAAAGCAATTTCGCCAGTGCGACGGCTTTGCAAGTTTGTGCTGGCGGGAGACTTTTTAATGTCGTTGTTGACAACGAAAGAACAGCATCTCAATTACTAGAAAAGGGTAGACTGCGAAAGAGAGTTACAATCATTCCTTTGAATAAAATTTCGGCAAGAACTCTTCATCAAAAGGCCGTCAGTATTGCTAAGGAGCTGGCGCCTGGGAATGTGGACTTAGCTCTCAACTTGATAGGATATCAAGACGAGGTAGCGAGTGCAATGAAATTTATTTTCGGGACAAGCTTGATTTGCAAAGACGCCGAAAGCGCACAAAAGGTCACATTTCATCCCCAAGTCAGAGCCAGAAGCATTACATTGCAAGGAGACATATATGATCCTGAGGGAACTTTGTCAGGCGGGAGTCGTAATACGAACAGCTCGGTTCTCATAGATATCCAGAAGTACAATAAATTCTCCAAAGTGGCAATGGACCTGGAGAACGATCTTGCAGATCTCGGAAAACAGATTAAGCATTACCATGATATTTCTAGCACTACAAAAAATGTTCAGCATGATCTGAACCTTGCCTCTCACAAACTTCAATTGGCTCAACGCAACTTCGACAACAACCCTGCCATTCAATTAAATTCGAGGAATGAGCAGATCAATACGGAAATATCAGAATGTCAACAGAAGAGAGATGATGCCTTATCCCAAATTAGTCTAGCGGAGAGAGAACACTCGAGAATCCAGAAAGATATGGAGGAATTTAGTAAGGACAAAGGATCTAAGCTAGAAGAACTGAGGAGGGAAGTAGAAACTTTGAAGACTGAAATTGAAGGCCATCAAGAACGTTTGGAGAAAAGCGAAGATATAAACCAAATGCTTCAAGTCGAAATTGATCAATTGAAATCTGACATTTCTACGGCTAGGTCTGGAGTATTGGAGTCAGACGGAAATTCTAAACAGCTGCACGTTGAACAAGGTACTTTCCAACATGAGCTGGAAGCAGTCTCAGCAGAGCTCAAGCAAACGCAAGAAAGGGTAGTCGATGAGAAGAAACGACTTTATGAGATAGATGAGGAACTGCGCGTACTTTCGGACCTTCTCAGAACAAAAGACGGGCAATCCAAAAGCGAGGCCATTGAACTCAAAAAACTTCAAAACGAGATCAGTAAGTTAGAAAGCAGCACAACTTCAGTTGAAGAAAGTATAAAGAATCTGGTAGAAGAAGAACAATGGCTTAATGATGAGGGTTTAGTCTCCAGCATAGTGAGCCAAAATGACGGAATAAACGTACAGGCTTACCGACAGCGGGCAGCACAGCTTGCTGAAAAATTTGATGGTATGAAGCGTAAAGTAAATCCGAACATCATGAGCATGATAGAAAACGTGGAAAAGAAGGAGTCTGCTCTGAAGACAATGATCACCACAATCGAAAAGGATAAAACTAAAATTCAAGAAACGATTACAAAGCTTAACGAGTACAAGAGAGAAACCCTCATAAAAACATGGGAAAAGGTCACGGTGGATTTTGGACATGTTTTTGGGGAGTTACTACCGAACTCGTTTGCCAAACTCGTCCCGCTGGAGGGAAAGGACGTAACTGAGGGCCTTGAGGTGAAAATCAGGTTAGGGACCATCTGGAAAGAAAGTCTAGTTGAACTATCGGGAGGACAAAGATCCCTCATTGCCTTGTCTCTCATACTTGCGTTACTGCAATTCAAACCTGCCCCCATGTACATCTTAGATGAGGTTGACGCCGCCCTCGATTTAAGTCACACTCAAAACATTGGCCATCTCATCAGAACGAGATTCAAAGGGTCGCAGTTTATTGTGGTGTCTCTGAAGGAGGGAATGTTCAACAACGCCAATAGAGTCTTCCGAACTCGATTTCAAGACGGTACCTCTGTTGTCAGTGCTATGTAGTTAGATATCCTATGCTTTCAATCAGCTGCTGGAAGGCCAGAAGATCGAACCAACGAGAGAGCGAGTTTGAATGATCTATTAGTAGTCACTATGTAGCAGCTCATTGCTGAGAAGTTCATCAAATCAGTACACTTCCAGGATGTAGCGGGATGTATCTTTCAATTCTTCAATAGCTTCATCGAGATTAACTTTTTCACCTCTTTCTTCAGCATCAGCTTTGATGATAGCTTGAAGGGCTTGTGTGATATCCGGAACAGGCCATGTAGGGCCACACAAGTAGAAGGACCCCTTTTCATCAGCCATAGCGACCTTCAATTCTGCTAGGCTTTCACGAATTCTGTCCTGAATGTAAATCTTGTGTGGTTGATCTCTCGAGAAGGCAGCACCGATATGGGTGATAATGCCAGCATCCTTGTATGCTTCCCACAACTCACCATACAGATACTCTTCTCTTCTATGTCTCGATCCCAAAAAGAGGAACACTTTACCAATTTTCTGGCCTTGTTGCTGCTGCCAATACTTCTCCTCCACGATTGCCTTGAAAGGAGCAAGACCAGTTCCTAAACCGCTCATGATTACGGGCTGCTCTGGCGATGGTGGCAACTTCATGACCGATGGTTTGACACTGACCACAAGTTCGGTTCCAACAGCGAGCTCAGAAATGTATTTGGAAGCTTGTCCGAACCGCTTACGGCCCTTGTTATCAACCCAATCAACTACGACAATCAACAAATGGACTTCATTTGGGTGAACTTTTTGTGAGGACGCGATGGAGTATTCTCTTCTCTTAAGAGGAGCAATGATGCGGACCAGGTCTTCCAAACTAGGTCTGACAGAAGGAAACAAGTCAAGGATGTCAACATAAGTGTAGTACTCCACGTCCTGGAACTTTTTCAAATCGACAGCACCTGCGGGCGAAACCAAATCTTCTAGTCTTTTCTTTTCATCTTCGTTAGTTGCATGGTCGATCAAAGACTGATAGAAAGCTTTTGGTGGTTTTCCGAAAATATCCAAGTTCTCGGTGAATGCCTGAAGCACAGTTCTGCTCTCTAATAATTGAGCATCATCTCTATTTGGAAGCTGAATAACGTCTTCTTCATTTAAGCCATAGCTGGTCAAAAATTCACGAACGAGATCAACATTGTTACGAGCGTGGATTCCCAAGGCCTCACCGATACCATAAGTCAATCCCGTGCCGGAGATATCAAACTCAATGTGGAAAATGTACCTGTCGTAATTGGCTGGGGTTACACGCCTATTCTCTTTGACTTTGACCACATAGTTTTTGACAGGTAGGTCAGGTCTCAATGAGGATTGAGTGGCGAAAGCCTCTTTGAAACTCAACTGCTTTGACAGACTGGAAATACTGACAGTACCGGCTTGAGCTAAATCGGCACCCTTTCTTGGATTAGGTCTAAAGCAAGTTTCGACCGGTAGCGAAGGCAAATGCTCTTCTTCCGATACCTCTGTAGTCAAAGCAGTGACAGATTTTTCCAGCTCTTCGAAGGAAACTTCACGAAGACCAACTTCAAATGCTGAAGTGATAGTTTCGGACAAAACAGCTGCCAAAAGCTCAATATCTGAGCCAGCCGAACTCCAAATGCGACGAACACTCTCTGCGATAGGCAAGTCATAAGAATACTTCCAGAAGGCTGCTTGTGATACGAAAGATGACGTTCTACCCTTAGTCTCCTCCTTGTCACCAATAGTTTCGAGATCCAAGAAAACAAGTTTGATGTTTTTGCCCAAGACTTTCCTCAAGAAAGAAGCAGGCAATTTGAGCTCTTCAGTAAGAACCTTAGCATCAGAAACATCCTTTCCTTGTATGGATTTTTCGCTCAAGATCAAAACCGTACCGTTGTCGCGACATGTGCTGGTAACATCAAAAGCGTTCAATATAGATATGTTTTCGACAACAGATACATCTGCGTGGTCTACGCTTGGTACCAGCAGAGGTTTAACCTCCGGACCTGAGGCAATTTGAGCTTGAAATACACCACCGTTTGCGTTGTTATCGAATTTTGTTCTCAAAGAGACCTGCTGGTTGTCGACCATTGACATGGCATGCGCGACTCTTGAAGCGATGTCAAGGTTGGCACTTGAGTCAGAAGCCCAGTAGACAAATTCTTTTTGGCCAGCTTCAACCTTAGCTTCAGGAAATTCAGGAACAAAAGAGGACACTACCTGTTTCGCGGCTTCATACGACCAAACAAATGTTGGCATGTACAGGTATTCCGATACCTTGACCGATCTTACCTTGTGAAGGAAAAGAGCGGCAGACACTTGGGATTTCAAATAAGTTGGAGATCTACCGTCGACGGATTGTCCAACTACCACAACGTTTTTGGCGGATTTCGGAATCATAGCCACAAATTTATCAGTGTCAAATGGAAGAGGAATTCTGATGGCAATAAGACCCACATCGCTTTGCGTACCAGACAAGCAAGCTCCAAAAAGCTCGGATTCAATGTTGCCGAAAGTAACGAACACAGTCTTGGCATCTTCATTGCCATAGTACTGAAAGTTGTGAAGTTTAGTTCTCGCTAATTCGTTGAACTTGTCCAAAATGCGATCAAAGGAAGACCCCAATGGCAGCGACTTGGACATCTCGGCGATGATATTCTGGTCGTGTTGTTCTTGGATGTGCAAGACCGATTTGGCATAGTTTGGACCGTCAAAAAGGTTCACGGCGGCCAATGGAGCCCCGAACTTAGCCAAAGCCAATGCCAACAGAGTGACTTGCTTGACTTCGTTGACTGCGATGGCGGAAACAACAGGAAATCCAAGAGCAGAGGCAGTTTTCAGCGGTGTGACGAAATCATTCACCACTTGTCCCGAACTTTCATCATAGTCGATAGCACCCACATTAATAAGAAACCGGCTATCGTAATCCTTTTCACGCTGGAAACTGTTGGCCAAGTAATTGAGACCGTAGCCAGGTATAATGATCCCGAACACTGATTTTTCGCCCTTGGCAAAACCCAACGGAGCAAGACCAGCGCCAGATCTCAACTGCAATTCGTCCAACTGCAAATTCACTTCGCTGCTTTTCTGTGCCCATTTTTTAAGTGCTTCGTCAAATAAGTCTGCTTCCGAAAATGTCTTGTAGCTGAAAATCCGATCCAAGCTTTTGACCAAAACTGACGAAATTGCACTTACTGGATTGGTATACACTGATGGTGCGTTGAAGTCAGAAGGGATCCCGAACGGGTTCACCGAAAAGTCAGAGCCCATTTTTCAAAATTCGTTTTCTGCCAGAGTTGTTAAACTTATGATTGTTCTCGAATCCAAGTTCACAAAACTTAGAGCCCGGCTTGTTGAGATAAATCTTTCAAAGAGGTCACCAAGCAGAACTGGCTTCGTGGTCTCGATATTTATAGCATGGTGGTGAACGAGTCGATGTCTTGACGTCTAAGGTCTTTCGTCGTAAACTTGACTAAAGCCACAAGCCTTATGTGAAAGTCACATGCGATGAGTTGGTCGTGCTAGTACTCATGAGACCGTTGTGATAGGCCAAGAACGCGAGTACAGGCCGATGAGGACGTCTTGACCTGGATGACAAGTCGCATCAGATGCCTCTGCGCAACAAGTCCATGTGGAATAGTAAGAGCTTTGCTTGATCACGAACCGCCATGTCACCAGCAATCGTGCTGGTTTTAACAACATCGTAAAGCCCCATTTGAACAAGTTTAGCACATCTCTGAGCAGCGAAAATTCGCAGTTTGGCGGGCAAACCGAAGTTTTTGGGCCTGGTAAGCTCAAAAGCGGTGCGAACCGTTGGATCAAGTGCACGCTGAGAAGAGGAATCATCTTCGTCATCTTCGTCCTCTGAAATGCGGTCTTCGTCTTCTTCCTCCTCGTGGTCGTCGTCTTCATCATCATCATCATCGTCGTCGTCATCGTCATTGCCGTCATCCATAATTTCATTCTGGCTGCGTCGTACTTGTACTTGTCCTTGCTCCGCTCCTTGCTCGTGTTCGTGCTCTTGTAGGCTTTCTTCACCGTCTTGAGAAAAACCATTGCTAAGCTCATCGTGAACATTGTCTCTCATCGGCTCGTCCTGATCGTCGTTGTCGTTCCTATCGCGACGGGGTTCACGAGAAAGATCCTTGTCATCCGTCTGAGCATTGTGCCGCAATAAGGAGGAGGACCCTGATGCATGGGAAGCGGTCTGCTCTGAGACCGGATGAGGCTGAGTAGCACTTATGAGGAAGTTAGAAGTCGTCGATGCCCATATCAAGTTGGTAAGTATCCACAGACAGGCAACCTCAATATCTGCCCTATGATAGCCACCACCCACAGAACTCAAAACTTGTTTGATGAACAGCAAAATGTCGTCTTGGTCAATCACCATCTGGCGCTTGTTTTCGTTGATCGCAGTGATGTTCACTATGATGTAAAGGACGCCTTCAAGTGTCTTCGCCTGGCTCGCATCCTCGGGGTCCAACATTTTAAGCTTGTGTGCAAGAAATTCGAAGAGGTAGGTGGATCGCGCTCCGCCCGAATGAGCTTGCAAGCCTCCAGAGTTTTCGGAGTCGTCAAAGTTCTCAAGTAGTATGTTAACCATTTTGCGAGAGTTGCACGTCAAGTTTCTTAATAATTGGAAGCACTGCTCTTGGACCAGCCAGTTGCTGTTATTGACAAATTGCAGAATGGTCTCCATGGGAATTATCGATATCAACTCCAGCTTCTCTTCGTTGTGTGAGTTATACATCAAATGTCGCAGTACCCAAAGTGCATTTTTCTGCACATCTTGAATTCTGCTTGGGCATGAATCTCTTCCAGCAGCTCCGATTTCAGCGTTTGCATTTTCGTTGAACAAAGAACTTTTCAAGATCTTGCCAACTACCTCGATTATGCCGTTTTCTACAATGTGAGATTGCAAGTTGGAAAACTCAACCACAAAGTTAGAGAGCGTGCCGAGAGCAGCGCTCATTATCTTAATTTCTCCATTCAATAAAGCGCTTCCGCGAAATTGGGGGTCTTCGCTCAGAACACAAGTCCGCTTTACCAAATTCAAAAGCAGTTCAGCAAGCCTATTACGCTTCAAAAACGTTCGTAAAGCAGTGACGCTTCGAGAGAAAGACTTGAGAAGTAACACCCACGAAAAAGTGCATTCCGTATCGTAAAGCGGCTGGAGGTCTTTTTTCTGCAAGTCAAACGATACAGTGCTCTTCTGGGCAATGAAACAATCGAGTAATTGCAAATGTAGGTCCAGCCCTGTTTCTGCATGCTGTAACAGGGCCTTGTTGGTGAAAAGCCGCCTTCTTGTGGTTTCGCTAAAGCTTGTCAATGCCGCACATAGCTTAATTAGTTTTCCCATAGTTCCTAAAGTGTCGTGGTCGCGTCTGTACAAAGCAAGGCATTGGGCTAGCATATGCACAATTGAGTTCATGAGATTCGTTTCCAGCAGGAAATTCGAAATGGGGTTATTCAGAGGATGGTGCTCGTTGCACCAATTTACGAGGTCGGTTAAAGTATCTATCGCATCAAACCACCACGGGAGACTTTCATAGTTGAGACACTCGCATAGGTGTGGCAACCATAGAAACAGGCCTTCGGTTTCTACACTATTCGTGTCGCTTGAGCCATGCAAGTAGCCGTCTGCCATGAATTTGAGTGCAGAGCATCGCAGTGCCATATTATGGCTCTTCAGAAAACTCATCAGCAAGAGCTGGAAACTTTTACTTTCTTTCAAATTAGCACCATTCGCCACTGAAAGATCCATAGCGCCGCGGAGGTCGAGGTAAATGTTGAGCGAAAGGCAGAATAGCGATACATCTGTGGCACTACGAGGTTCAACGGGGTCCGGACAGCCATACGGTGACTTCGTGAATGAACGCTGAGATTGAGCGAAATCGTATAGGCTGTACTGTTGTGAATCTTGATCCAGTCTCCTTTCAGCCACCATATACCGAAAATGGAGCTGATGCTGGTATTTTTCGGACATTTTCTGCAATAGCGCGTAAGTCGCCAAAAAAACGTCTGTGTCGGCCTCCAGGGCCTCCTGTCTTGAGATGCAACAGAGCAGCTCCGCAATAATAGTGTCATAGAACGGCGAGCCGCGATTGTGGACTCTTTCGTGCACATAGCGAACAAAAGTCGCTCGTACAGCGGCGTGCAGATCCAATAAACCGGGGAGACTGGTGTGAACGTTCTCCAGACATAAATTCATAAGCTGCGCTTTCCGCAATGCTGTAAGATAAGAGTCGACTTTCGAAAACCGTATTTTGGATAGAATAAGCTGAACCATAGCGTTGTAGGTGTCACCCAACCCTTGCTTTTCGTTTCCCCCCAAATTCACCAGCATCAGTATCAAATCGAACGCTTCAGACCTTAAATTTTCAGATTCGTTTGAAGAGGCGCCCTTGTTTTGCGGGCCCAAAGCCGTATCTATGATTCTAGCCACCATCGCCTCTCCAGGGTCCTTCAAAAATCTCCATTTCGCGAGATCATCGCCTATAAGACTGCTTTTCAAGTGGCGCAAGTCTCTGATTGTGTCGGTAGCCATAACGAAACACGGTGATCACGGCCGCAAGAGTGATTTAAAGCGTGGTTAGAATAGTTTCAAAGCTTCTTGTAGGTGTAGAATGATGGCTTGAAAGTTACAAACCTTTGACCGTTAGGCCTTTATAGAATTGATATATATATATATATACCGGGGTTCCCATATAAATTAGCCAGACAATTTGAGATTCGTGTTGAGTGATTTAAATTGGTGACACACTTAGTTTAAATAATTCTAGTATAAATAGGACGACAATCCAAGGCTTTTTGCCAGATTCTTTCTGTCGGCTCGATCACTGTTCATTGCAATTTGATTATGTTCTGGTAATTCACTTTTGTCTTTCGTCGTATGAGTTTGTTAATGATTTCGTCGGCATTCTCAACTTTGAGAATCGATGTCCAGGATGCCACAACGATTGAGGAAAAGACACAGTTTACTCAAGGCTAGGAACGCAGCTGCGTATCAGGCTGTGTCCTATTAGAATATATATCAGAGGAGTTTCTACCTGTTGGCAAGTGTGAAATTCTACTTGAGACTCATTACATTGGACGTTCGATTTACTAAAACCCTGACATCTAGGTCAAAAAATGAAGCAAATCTTTCCTTTAAAGTGTCAAACCCATACTACTAATGCGCTGCACACCTTGGTGATGCTTTCTAGGCCATAGTGGCTCTATATCGCTCCATTTTGTATCTCACGCCCGGGGTCATGTGGACAGTCTTCTTCAGTTATGGCTTCAATTAGTTCAATTTACCACCACTTCTTTTGATGTTCATGAAGATACTGTCCGGAGAGACAAAACCGAAGCAAATATCCACCTGTATAACTTGGCACTCACGAATACCAGTCATGGACTTTGTTGGGAAATGGTGGGACTCCTACCGTCTTGAAAATGTCGAGTTTCGGGTCAGAAATCTTGTACAATCCGCATCAAATTACATTCAGAACAACGATAATATGACAGGCGTATATGCTGCAACGACGGCTTTGGGCGCCCTGGTGTTTCTGCTGGTGCTAAGACCCCTGAACAGAAGATTTAAAGACGATAAAAACAACAGGAGCAACTCAAAGAAGAACAAAAATCAGAAAAAGAAAAAGACCCCAGGTCGCATTTCCAAACGGACCGAAAAACCTGCTAGTTTGGAAGATCAGATAGAAAATGTGCATCAAAGGTTCTTGTCCGAATACAAACAAGGTGTGGACGCTTTGATCCAAGATTTCGATCCTTCGTCTGAAAAATTGCAATATCAGCGCAACTACTACAACGAAATGCTTTTGAAGCTGGTCATCGAACTCGACGGCGTCGATTTGGTTGATCTAGAAGGCGACCGAAAAACTGTTCTTAAGGACAGACGCAAACAGGTTATAAAAGAGATACAAACAGACCTCAAAAGGCTAGACTCTCTCAAAAAACAGGGTCGCTGAGAGGGTATGATCATCTTCCTACAATCCCCAAGATCGTCGCCACACACATACAAATGTTTATAAACGCTAATATATACTTATTTAACGAGTCCCAATGCGATCTTGGACGCAGGTACTTCTGCTAAGCCCAAGACTTCGTGTTCAGAGAATCACCACAATTAGCTCGAAAGTCGACCATTTTGAAGCCGTTTTTGAGCCCAAAAAAAGGCAGCGGGTCTAACAGCACACTACACATCACAACAGCCGGCAGCTACTTAACCATTTCACTTCCTGCTGCCTTAGATCTACCTTTCTTCTCTTCGATGCTGTACTGATCATATATAATAGATATATAATCAAGGCCAAAACCTGTCAGTCATTCCAGCAAACATATCTTGAAAGCGGAGAACTCAGCCAGACGAAGTCAATCATGTTCACAGGGATCGTGGAACTCATAGGAAACGTTTCAGAATACAAGGAATACGATACTTCCCACAGCGGAGGAGGTGGTGTTTCCATAACTATAACAGATGCAGCACCCATCTTAGTCGATTGTCATATTGGCGATTCCATCGCTATCAATGGAATCTGTTTGACAGTAACAGAGTATTCAACAGATAGCTTCAAAGTGGGTATTTCTCCAGAGACGATCAAACGAACCAACGTCTCATCATGGCAGGCAGGTTCTAAAGTCAACCTCGAAAGGGCTGTTGGCCAAGATGTGAGATTTGGAGGCCATTACGTCCAGGGCCACGTCGATGGTGTTGCAGAAATAGTGAGCCGGATGCCAGAAGGAAACTCGATTGTATTCGGGTTCAAACTACGCAACAAGGAGTACGAAAAATACATTGTAGAGAAGGGCTTCATATGCATCGATGGAACTTCATTGACAATTACTAAGATCGACCCTAACGGCACATTTTACATTGCTATGATCAAGCACACCCAGGAAAAAGTCGTTTTGCCCTTGAAGAGCGTTGGTGAAGAGGTGAACATCGAGGTGGACCTTACTGGTAAAGTCATTGAAAAACAAGTTGTTCTTCAGTTGCAGGACCAAATTGACAACGAACAATCGCCATTAGCCAAGCTGCTCGAAAAGCTTATCGACCGCAAGCTAGGCAGCCCACGCTAAAGCAAACGAGATAAGATTTTGTAAGATATAGCGCAATAAAAAGTTTATTCCTGTCTCTCTGACTATACATCAGCCTTTTCGGCATTTATAAAATATGATCTGCTGCGACTATGCAAGGGTCCCCCAAAAATTATGGCAATTGAAATATCAATGATACACCTTCATCGCCAGCGGTTATCAGCTTTTTCCCGTTCTCAATCAATGCAAAATCCAAGACGCCCATGTTGTGGCCGACGCACTTATGAATCTCGGACCCGGTTCTAGCATCGAATATGTAAACTTTCCCGTCTATGCTTGCCACTATCAAAGTGTAGCCAGTAGGCCCATCAAATTGAAGCTTTGTTATGGAATCTGGCAGCACGAATTTATGCCTTACTCTCCAAGTCAGCGTATCGTAGAGCAGAACCTCTCCGCAAACCAGACCTATAGCCATTAGTGAAAGCTTTGGAGACCAAGCGATGGATTCTATCGATGCATCCATCTCCTCTTGATCTTCCTTGAGTTCAATAACTGTGCTCAATTGTAAAACGGCACCATTGTTGCAATTGATGATCGCCAAGATTCCGTTGTTGGCCCCGCACGCGATGACAGGGGTGTTTTTGGTCATGGAAATGGGAGCGATCGACAGCGAAACCCAAGGAGCCTCAATACCCTTGACATCACTTTTCGAAACTTTGAACAGCATCTGGCTGGTGTAGCATGACCATCCGATTATAGTACCGTCGATGGAGCACGTTACCAGGGACAGATTCGAGTCGCCTTGCTCGATATTTATGAACTCCCCCATCGTGCAGTCCGATTGGTGGACAAACTGACTCATTATTTGTTCGAGCTGGCCCGTCTGGGAATCTATCTGGTAGCACCAAACGGAGCCGTCTGTGGAACCGAAGGCAAAAACGCCAGGAACTGTGGGATGGACTTTAATCCACACAACTTCCTCTACTTCCTGGAGTCTTGCGCTTTCTTTCCATTTGGCACCGCCGTTAGCGGACTTTTGTACCAAAACTTGACCGTTCATGTCACCAGTGACCAGAAACTGGCCATCTGATGTGAATCCACCGCCAATTACAGACTCAGAATGAGCTATGGAGCCTGCAAACTTCGGAGGCTGGGAGTGCGATGTCCATAAAAACGCAGTGTTATCACCGCCACCACTACACACCAGCGGAAGAGTTGGATGCGTGAATACCGTGAACACAGAATCGGTGTGTTTGTCGAAGTAGGCCATTGAGTTGTTGGACATATCGATTTCCAGCGTTTCCTCTCCTTCTCCACCGTCTGCTCCGTTTGCTCCGTTGTCAAGTTCACCGTCTACCTGATCATTGTCGTACTCATCGTCGTCATCCTCTACTGGAATGTCGCCATCGTTGTCGCCGTCGTCGATCAACAACTCTTCATCCACTTCTTGGTTTGAGATGAACTCTTCTTCCAAATGTTCGTTTTCCATTGACTCCTGCTGATCTTCTGGATAGTTGGACATATTGCAGCTACCTGGACGCGTTTGACTTGGTGTAGCTTTAGGAGTTGGTTAGTTTGTAAGCTCATCTCATCTCATCGCATCTTGGAATATTTTTTTCACTAGGTCAGCTTAGAAGAAGAAATATAAGAAGTCAGTGTGGGTAAAAAGTGATCTGTAAATCTGGTCTTTCGAAAACTGAAAGACGCCCAGCATTTCATGACAAGAAGATGTACAAGGAACTTGATATATATGCTCCAAAAAACGAGCAGTACCGATTGAACCAAAGATCAGGATAATTTAGAGGTTTTTTTTTTTTTTTCAGCTCTTCACATTTTCTTATTCAATCATCACTGCAGCCTTAATCCGTGTCTTACAAACACGCTTAAACTCACTGAAATATGCTTCAAATAGTGATGATACTCCTGCAAATAAACTAAAACAACACATAGTTTTCAAATATTCAAACGCTGTCGCTGTCGTTGAAAAACTCTATCACTCCGAACGACAAGGCAAGAGGCCTCTCTTAATAGTGGAAAATTTGATATATTCTGTAACACACATAATCTTTTACACAGTTCCTTTGAAGAAAGACCACCTCTAAACAAGCACAAAATGAGCCAATCTATGGGGTTTAGCTGGGGATTCAAGCCCACGAGCGAAATCTGCGGGCCAAATACTACCTCAGCATGTAAAATCACGAAACCCCGGGTGAAACGGCGGTTCGCAGGCGACGAAACCGTTCAACCTAGCTCGACAACTGTTTCGGTGGCTCATCGTCCAGTCAAAGCAATAGCGAAACGGAAGACTGCAGTTTCTGGGATCCAGGGCCAGCCCCTGCCACTGGCGCGTGCCGTGGAGCTTATGGACCGCAATTTGCTGCAATCCACCCTTATGGAACTGGTCAAATTGCATCCGGAAATTCAAAGCACTTTAATGGCTCTGCAACCACCTTCGCGGTCCGTGGACCAATACACAACCATTCTACGAGCCAAACTCGAACAGGTGTTCCGCAACCTGCCCTATTCAAGACTGCGAGACTCATCGTTAAACGAGGAAAACGAAGGACTCAGCGATTACGCCTTTGTCAGGGTCAAGCCCCACATACTGGAGTTTCTCAATTGTCTTGTGGACTGTGTACTGGAAAGCATACCACCACAAAGCCAATCTGCACTGCATTCCCTTAGAGTTCTGGACGCCGCCACAGAATTGCTTGCCCAGGTGCCTCGGTTCGCCACTGCCAGCAATAACTACTATAAAAACGTGTGCTACGAACAAATGGCCGAAATCTGGCATACCGTGATACGCCAAGTGACTGAGGATTTGTCTTTTATTGCATCTGCATCGGGAACTGAGGAATGGCTACAAATTTTGCAAAAGCATAATGAGAACTCGCATGGTCGACTCCAGAAGCCACTTCAGCTTCTCCAGGCTCTCCAGAATCCATTAGATCCGTCTCAAACCCACTCTTCATTTTCTCAAGACCAGCAGCCATCTAATCTTTGGAATAATTTGGTCTGATTTTTTAGCAGTAGTCTGGGGCTCTTAGTATATGTATGTAGGGTATATAAAATAACGAATTAATTTACAGGTGAAGGAGAAGTGCCTCTGGTGCGGGAGTAGAAGGTAAAAGATGGTCTTGGGTACTTGGACTAATGATGATATTACATCAGAACCTGTCACCTACCACGTGATACAAAAACAAACTCAAGGCAGAAACAGACAGTGAGGTCTAGGGACAGGATATTTCGGCTAAACATCGTATTCTTATCCTCTAAAAACATTTACCTTTTATCTAGAGAGAGTCCAGAAGTGGTAAACCATTCCAGGGTCTCTGAAGCCAAAATAGTCGACCAGGGAAATTTTTACGAATCATGTCTAGACTGACGTAGACGCGAATAATCATATAAATTTACGTCAAAAACCTCAGATACACTACCAATAGTGATGAAAACTCAACTGGGCAGTTAAAACAAATTTCCCCGGCAGCTGAAGGTTGAAGTTTTAGAAAAGCCCATTAATCTTTCTTTTAGTTGTCCTCGTTTCCTAGTGTTCCAACTAGACATTCAAATCCTGCCAACCAGATACTCAGAGTTGGGCCATACTTGATTTAAAAAGTTTCCTCGAGTTAGCGGAGAATACATACTGCTTGGGTTTACGCCTTAGCCGGAGCTGTGACGTTGACGAAAACGACATGTTAGTACAAAGTGATATCAAAATTCAAAGGGCCCTTTTTTGGAAGGTTTGGACGCACGAGTTTCACTGTTTGAAGGTTACCAATGGATCGAGTACATCAATTGGCTGCCAGCTCACATATTAACAGTATGCAAACTAAATTTGATACTATCTCAAAACGCTAAAAAACCCAATTTTCTGCATACCCATATTGATATTTTATGACTACCAAACGTAACAAAAAATCACCTTCAAAGCAACTAAAAATGAAGTATATTTTGTAAATACTACCAGGGTCATTTAAATACCGTGATTGGTCTCCGATCGCATTGTAAACACGAAGTTTAACCATAGCCCTATAACGCAACTGTAATCACTATATACGTAATATATTCTCAGAAGACGGACTCATCAACTAACACCCGATAAAAGTTAAACCTAACCAAACGATACTACGACGCCAAGGACGTCACAAATCGTTTAGGATCGCCACTCAGTACCGGTAGTCTGTGTGTTTAGCCGCTTAAATATACTAGTACAAATCCGTCAGCGTGATGGGCGGTGTCCAGCCCATTCATTACGACTCAGAAACTGTTAAGGAGCTTACCCATGAAGTAAGTTGAAAATGCAAAACTCACTGACTATGATAGCACTGGTTTCTTTTGCTGTCTTTTGTGATTTAGGTATACTAACTGTTTCTCGTCTTTATGTAGCTTTTGGTAGCCTCTGGAATTGGTGCCTTGAGAGGTGCCGCTATCGGTATCACTTCCGCACTATTGTTGCGAAGGTTTTCCACAGTTTACAGAACTGTCAGAACCCAAGTCCGAGTCTTCTACCACATTTCATGGATTTCTATGGGAGCAGTATTTTACGCTGACAGACAGCTCATCAAATTTCAAAACCGATACCACGAGAAAGAAGCCAAAAGACGGTCACGAATTCTAGATGAAGCTGCTGATCGAGGGATATTCTTAGAGGAAGACGCCGCAGTGACCAGCACCACGTCGTGAATGTAAAAATCCGCTTCTAAATGATCCAACATTCATCACTTACGGTGACGTAACGTAACGTGTTAGAAGGGATCTTTTTTAAGGTAATGTTCACCACGCTACCGAACTAGCAATCCTGTATAATGTCAATATCACGAACTTCACACTTTTTAGCACCGTAAAACAGAACCAGATAATCCAAAATAGTAAAACGATCAAGACTTCCAAAGCCCTATACAGGAAAATTCTGAGCGGTTCCTTGTTCATTCGCCTTAGCGTGCCAAACCTGTCGATTTTTTCTTGCAACTGTTTGAGCCTCAGCGTCAAGGTGGTGTTGATGTCACTTAAAACCCGATCGCTGGAAGAGAGAAGACTCTCCACACGAATCGAGTAATCGTTGAGTAACCTTGATTTCCAGATATCGCAAGTTTTCAACGCCCCCAAAAGCTCGTTTCGATAATCATGTAGCGCCTTTTCGGCTGGTTCGCAAAACGCATTAGGGTCATCAAAAGTAATCAGTTGGTCTTTCTTAGCGCGACGGGTTTGCAGAGTACAGAGCGTCTTTTGTCGATTATGCATTACGCTCCATACACAGCTCAGGTATTTCAGATCGTTGCACTGAGTTTCGAAAATGGTATTTTCCAGTGGAGCGGGCTCAAACGGGCTTTTTAGCTCTAAAAACTCACAGGAGGCCTGATTGGAATTTGAGTCTGTGTTACTTGGTGTTTCAAGGTTATTAGGCCGTCTGAGATTTCGTATTTGGATGTCAGAAGCATTGCGATGATGATAGGAAGGTCGCGTCGGCGTGGTATGAGAAAGTTGCTCATGACTAGCATACCCTCGTCCTTGTAGACCGCGGTCTTCAAAGAGGTAGTGCGCACCAATTCCCTTGCCATGAAATTCTGGACGTGGCAGTAGTTTATTTTTGATAAGGGCTTTATCCCAAGAGCGCGCTGGTTGTTCCGGTTCTGTTTGGTCGACGCTTTCCACCGAAATAGTGGGCAACTTGAGACCCGAAGCCGACACCGGAGCCAAGGCCGGAAGTTCTTGCGGGTCCTTGGAGGAGCTCAAGCCATTATTATCCTTGTACAATTGGCCTGGGGAAGAACGAGAAGTAACCGTTGTAGAATGCGACCCTCGGTTGTGATGCTTGGCGAACCAGCGCTTGCCGTCTGGCCTGCGTAAATGCTCCCAATTGGTCATTCTCCATGAGAGATCACCAGATCTTTCAGTAACGTCGACAAACCACGGAAAGTCTCGTTCCGGTTGGCTGGAGAAATCCCGAATAGCCAGAATTGGCGGTTTTAAAAAGGCAATTTCATTACGCAGATGGTGGTGTTGCTTTTTCTTGACCTTTCGGTTTCTTATCACTTGTAGCGGGTTGTACACACCTTCAACACCCTGGTATACGGTTCCTCTGCTATTCCCACTTTCCACTTCCTCCTCCATCAAATGGTAGAAATAATGTATGTAAGATCGCACCCTGTCTGCACGCACTCTTCCTCCCTTGGAAACATTTTGCACAGGTTGATGGTTCTGGTCATCAGAGCCGTGTCCTGCTTTTGACAAATCTTCGTTTTCCACGTTCAAATCTTCCAACAAACTGGATTTAGCGTCCACGAGAAACTTAGCAGTCTCTACAAGCCTACCGGGACTGAAATGACTGGAATCATTGTTGATGTGAATGCCTTCAGAGACTGCCATACGCTATAATGAGGCATATGGCGAACGAACTGGAGGTCTGCGAGTGATACTTTTGAGTTCAGAGTGAGGCTTTCCGTTCTTAATAAAGCAGTTAAGAGCCAAGAACCCGAGTACAGGTACAAGTACAAGTACGAGTACGTCAGAATTCAAGATCAGAATCTGCGAAGCGGCGAGCGGTTTCGAGCGAGATCTCGTGTAAAAGTCAATGAATGCAACTGCTCTAGAAGGAACTGGAAATGAGGATGGATTTGATTGTAAAAAAATAACAATATTTCAAGACCTGTTGCTGCTTTTGAGTTCCCGGCATGAGGACTTATAGAAAACCACGCGGCCTCTCTGATAGATCGTGCCAAAGCTCTATCTTCCAAATTCATGCTCACGCCAAAGACGTCAATATCTTGTTTGCTGTAAATTCTGCTTCGCTAGCTTGAAAACAAAAGACTGCTCAATAGCTCTCCGCACACATTTTTTGAGAGCTCATGAAGCTCTTTCCCACACCAGCTCCTTATCGAGCTCAAGCAGTGCTCTGAATTCGAAAGTTTGTGCTCAAAACTCCAAATAGAGGTACGCGCCCATACCTTGTGCTATTGTTGAGCTAGAAATACCGTTGAAACTGGAAAATTCGCCGTTTGAAGAGCTTCAACAACCCTATCAAACCTAGAATCAAGTAAACGCAGATAATTAGGACATCAAGAGCAGGACAAAAACCTTTAAGACTCCTGGTAGAGGTGTCAGCGGTAGAAGGAGTATATGTGTATTTGGCTAGAATAATATATATTAATTTGAAGATCGAGAATACGTCATAACTCCATACGAAATCGTAATTCTAGTTTAAGATCTCGACCAAGTTAGTTAAAGCTCATCTCACCGAGGAAGTTCAACATCACAGCGATTGTGCTTTCTTCATAGAATCAATTGCTTTCCAAATGCCTTGCTATTTTGCCATAATCAGTATTAAAGACAATCCCATCTACGAAGCAGAATTCACCAATCCTCAATTCAACCAATTTCCTCCAGAACTCAAAGAACTAAATCCGTTTATCCTTCATGCGTCATTGGACATCTTAGAAGACCTACAATGGCAAACACATCCCCAGTCCGGTGCAAATTCGGGAACAAATAGTGGCTTTCTGCGATCCAGACACTCCTCCAGCAATAGTAACTGCTATCTGGGCAAAATAGACCATTTTTACGGCCTGGCCATTACAGGTTATCTCTCATACGGAAACATGAAATTTGTGATGGTCCACAGCGGGAACGTCAACAATGGGGCACCTGTATTGATCGACGACGTGTCAGTGAAAAGCTTTTATCAAGAAGTGCACGAATTGTACGTGAAAACCCTAATGAATCCTTTCTACACCCTGAATGATCCCATCACAAGTCCTGTCTTTGACAGAAAAGTGCGGGCACTAGCCAAAAAGTATTTGACAAAATGAAAGAGAAACGGAAGGAATCCAAGTAGAAAGACTTGGGCACTGTAAAAACGTGCTTTCCATCCTGAAAAAGTACATTATTATTATTGAAAAAGTGTTACACGGTCCAGTTTAGGAGCCTTAGAAATTTTGGTCTTGTTGTTGTGTCTTTGATGTCGTGAAGCGACCGGTTCACAAAGAATAAAAAAATGCGATCCGTTAGGTCTTTGACGGTGCTAGTAGCCTGCTGAGACCCAGAAGCAGGCTCTTGGTGTCATTAGTTGGTTGCTGGGCTATCATCGGTGTGGTGAAGACGGATTCATTGATATGCTGGGTCAATTCCCTCAGCTTCCGCTGCGAGGTTTCCGACAGGAGCTTTGAGTTTGATTGCAAAAGGTGAGATATCGAATACAAACGCTCCATTCTGATACGCAGGTCACGCTCTAACTCTGGGATTGGATCCTTCGAGGCATCATCGAAGGGCTGCTCTTGGAGCTCCTCTCGAAGTTTTCCGAGACTCTCCTTGAAGTTCTCGCATTCTGTGCTTTTGTCCGGCTCGTCCAGTTCCTGGATCCATTGTTTGACCTCGTCGTCTAGTGCATCGATCTGCTTTTGCAGAACCTCTAGATTTTTCGCGTTTTGTATATTCTTCTCGTTAGGCAGCTTCAAAATTTGTTGTGGGGCCCTTCTTTTAACCTTCTTTCTTACCCTCTGTTCGCTGCTGTCTTCATCATCGTCGTCATCGTCAAAAAGCTCTCGCAATTCCGTATCTTCCTCATGATATCGCGAGTTGTCCTCAGTGGCGCCTTCTGTCGAATCATCGGCGTCCCAGTTGATGTCCATTTTACCCTTTCGCAGATCATCTACAATCTCCTTTATAATGACCAATGCAATTCTTTTCGGGTCTACATACGATTCACCCTGTGTATGCGATTTTTGCGGACTCCCTTGGTGCTCCCGCGATTCCCATTTCCGTAGACAGCGGATAAAACACCAGCTGAATAGCTGTCGTATCTGCAAGTCTTGACCAAACGACGTGTTGGCGATATGTCTGTAAAAATCGTGTTCTGGTACATCTTTGTGAGGGGAAACGATGTGACTATTATCCTGTATCGACAACATCGATAACCTACGGCCCCTTTGAGCCATGAGCGACCTGCGTTTCTCCCTTCGTTGCTGACTTCGCTGCGCTGCATTGCGCTGCATGTCGTTGTAGTAGTTATAGCCCGAGTAATTAGGATAAAGAGGTGGAGGAGGCATGAGCTGGCTATTTTGTGGCGGCAGAGGCGGGAGAAATGGCTGGGTAGAGGTGTTCGGGTAGCCCTGCGATGAGCTAACATACTGTTGCATATTTTCCTGCTCAGACGCACGTACTGGAGATGCAGGCACGGGATGCACCATTGGAGGCGCATAGGGATAATAGTACATGTACGGCATATAAGGTTGTGCTTGTAATGGTAATACACTCTGTTGTTGTTGTTGTTGTTGTTGCTGTCTTTGCGAGTCTTGTGACGAAAACTCGCGCTGCGAGCTGCGTCCATGACGCTCAAAGTTGGCTGACGAGTTAAAATTATCCATCCAACGCGCATTTTGCAGTTCCTGGATATTATCCAATCTTTCGCCCAGACTTGCAGTTCCTGCGTTGTGTCGATGTTTATGACGCTTGAATTTGAATTCGTCGTCTCTTTCAAAACTGGAATGTTGAGCCCCCGGGTGAAACTCACCTAGCTCTTTAGAAACCTCATCCTCTTCATCCTGCGACATGACCACCCCACTGCGTGGCTTGAAATCATCTGGAAATGGGAGTGTTTGCATCTTTAAGCCACGTCTTCGTTGTTGCGAGCTCCGCTGGCTCTGCGGCGTCAGCGATTGTCGCCTTTCCGGGTCCATCGAGAAACGCCAAAGCCAAGTTTCTGTTTAGGTCGTGGATCACTTTACAGCCTTGGATAGGGTCTCACTGAGAAGTTGAGTGGGCACGGTGTGTGAGTGAGTGTGAGTGAGTGTGTGGTTCGAAAGTAAACAAATGTGTGTGTGAGAGCTTAATAGAGTTGTCTTTATTTTTCGTGCAATTTGTGATTTCCACATGTCACGCGACTATCACATGTTACTCACATGATTCCAGCCAAAAGCTTACATCACGCGTCTATCACATGATAGTCTGACTGGGTCAAACTCTGTTCCAACCTGATGAAACAGAGCTTACCATCATTGTCTTTTCTGGTCTCTTGCTACCACAGCTCTTCTGGAGTGCACACTACAAGATCGAATTCGCCGGGCCGGTCTAATTCGTTGTTTGAGAATGTTCTTTGTTCAGCGCCACACACACACACACACACACAGAGAGACAACGTCTCGTTCTTTCTTACACCTCAAGGCTTCCCCAAAACGGTCTTGGACCATTCCTCCAAAAGATCTGCACATTTGGCTAGTTCCAACTCCTGTTGTGAATCTATTTTTTCATCTGGAATCTGTGTCAAGAGCCATTTCTCACGTATGTTCCGCGTCATCACCATGAGGTCTTGGACCCCGCGTATCAATTGCGCGGTTTGTCCACTTACCATCATCAAGCCGCCAGTGGACGTTTTTGATGTGGATTCGGGCAATTCCTGTGCTCCATGTTCGTCGTCATCTTTCTCTCTGGAGATCGACGCATATCTAATCAAATTCGTCAGCGAGTGCGAAAGCGATTCCGTGGTACGATTCAGCTGCTCGAGAAGACCTTTGTCACTCATCAATGCAATCCTTTTCTGATGCAATTAGTGGTTGTTGGTGGTTGAAGTAGTTGTAGTCTGTCTCTTTATTCTTATGGATTCATTCAATATCATGAAAACGAAAATTCGTATACGGTGACGCCTAGTTTTTTACCACTGCTCCTATGGCTATTTAATGTACATTTGGGCTTCACTTGGAGATTAGTTACCGGTGCTACCGAAGCCACCGGCGCCTCTGGTGCTTTCCTCGAGAGATTCGACAACAACCACCTCGGCGTCGTCCACAATGCGCTCCAAAATCAATTGCGCAACACGATCGCCCTTTTGGACGGAAAAGTCCTTGTCCGAATGGTTGAAAAGCACAACTTTCACTTCACCGGTGTAGTCACGATCAACTACACCGGCTCCTGTGTTGATCCCATGTTTAACGGCCAATCCAGATCTGGGAGCAATTCTACCGTACGTGCCCTCAGGAACTGTGAAAGACACGTCTGTAGAGACCATACCTTGGCCTCTGCTAGGGATGGTGGTTTCCTTGGAGGCGTATATATCGTAACCCGCTGCGAAAATGGATCCTTTGGTTGGTGCAGTTGCGTCCTTAGAACGAAGCTGAACTCTCAAGGAAGTATTCAGTTTCTGTTGTTTTGTACTTGGCTCTTCGGTTACGCTCATATTTTCCAAAAATGGCTTTACAATCTCACAAGACTGGAGTCTATTTGAATGGTGTAGTGAGACGTGTTCAGCTATGTCTTCAGCTCGAGATGTTATTTATCATAATTTAAGTTATTTGTTTGAAAAGCTGCGACGCGTAAAGGAGAATTCCAAAAAAAAAGGAAAAAAACTAAAAGTTCTTTACGCGTCTCGTTGCTAGAATGACCTGCTTACTGACAGACTTTGTGATCTTGCAGTTGAACGTGGAAGCGGAAAGCCCTTGAATCCAAGCTATCTTTCAAACATGCGCTTTCCCCAGTATCACGCACTCCTGTTCTGTTTTAATACCAGCCAGTTTGGATCCAACGTGCTCTTTGGACAGAGCCTACCCAACTAGCAACGGTCCTTATATCAATACGAGCGCAAGTGGTTTAGTGGTAAAATCCAACGTTGCCATCGTTGGGCCCCCGGTTCGATTCCGGGCTTGCGCATTTTTGCCCCCAATTCTCTCTTTTTTTGGCAAGAGCTGTACTTCGTGTGTGTGCGAACAAAACTAGAACCAGCAGAATTTGGCATTGTGTTCCCAAACTATGTCTTCAGGTTTCACGTTAGCGATCCGAATGGCACTTAGTGAAGGATTTTCCTGATACAGATTAGATGGTTTCTCCTTTTTCTGCAAAGACGCCATAAAAGGTTTACTCCAGTCCTGTTGTCCAAGCTCAGAGTTCCAGAACTGCAAACGCTCCACGCCGTTCTTCTTAGCTTCTTGGATAGTACGGGCCATCAAGTCTTTCAGGTTTGCGTCCCTTTCTGCAATAGTCTCGCCACTAGTGTATACTTTCAAAATGTACAATGCTTTTTCATCTGGCCAGTAGTTCAAATGCCATATAACGTGGCTGCCATTATTCAAGGCATAGCCATACTCAACCTGGCTCTCTGGGTCCAGAAACTTTTTCTGAAACAAAAATCTTTCGTGGAACCATTTGTAGATGTCTTTGGAAGGCTCTACTGAAAACACAAATGCGTCTGGATGCTTGGAGTGCGCTTTTTGCAAGTCCTGCACGAACTCTTGTTTTTCTAAGTCTATCAAATGGTCGCCGCAGTCGAAACCAATATTGTAGCCGTCTTTACGAGCGACGCTGTCACCCCCGCAATACGAGTCCAGGATCTCGTCCAGAGCTTCGACCGTGTGCAGAGGAACGGGACGCGAAACGTAACCGAATTTGCTGTAAAATTCACCCACTTCACTGTAAAGAACGGTGACGATGTCTTGCACAAATTCTGGAGCGTCCGGTGGGCTAGAAATGCCGTCGAGATATTTGTTGAGTCGCTTTATCATTTCTCCACCATATTTGCGGCCTCTGTGCTCCGGGATCGTGAAAACGCCTCCAATACAGGCCGTGAGCACAGGTCTTACAGCGCCTTGCGATTTAGGCGTTACTGCCAACCCCACACGGTTCAGCGTTTCACAACTCGAAACGATTTGAGATGTCTTTGACGTATGGGGTAGATCCAGGTCTTTCAGCACGTAGTACTTGATGCCAAGGTATTGACTGCTATCTGGGAATCTAGTTTGCATTTCTTGAGAAGCATCAGCTTTTGATACTTCACATGATCCTAGCATACGTTCTCTCTGCGTGTAATCCATCATAGTCATGAAATCGGGTCTCCAGGACGCCGCATTTTGCATATGCGTAAATTTGATCACCTCAGGGTCCAAAACGAGTTCGAATACCAGGTTTCTCTTTTCTGACAGCATTGCTCGAGGCTGAATTCGATAACTAGGTTGATAGGGACAAACAAAGAAAGGATAAGAAAGCAGTCCCGTTACAGAGACAACAAACACAATTAGGTTTCAAAAAGGGTCTTTGAGATAATGAAAACAGTGATGTGAACCTCGCAAAGCTTTTATAATCGAGGTTTGGAGATAAAAATGTAAAAGCAGTTCAACTTGATAGTTTCGCCTCCAGCATTGAGTCAATTTCGTATCTTGAATATTGATACTCGAGATAACCTTAAAATTAGATTGATAGCGTGATAGTCACGTAGCGTCCGGCGGATCAGAAGATAAGAAACACGGCATCTTGTCATATGACTTAGCAGTCTATCTGGTATGCGTCACAGTTGATCTGCGAAATGTATTCAAATCGGTGATTTGAACTGGCGGGATAGCAGTTGAGACTTTTCTATTCATTTCATGCAGGGAACTTGACTCACTTGCGCCAGTGTTGGGTTTCACGGAGGACAGCAAGGTCTTGAACACTTCTTTGAGAGCAAGACTGCAAACTTTCAATGTCTCACCGTTGGATATAAAGTGTTTTAGAAGATCCTTGAGTAAGCGTTGCTGATTTCCATGCGATGCTTGAACGATCTTTTCGAGCTCCGGTTTTGAAATTCGTAGTCCTTTGACCTTCAGGTATGTCTCGATTTGCAGAAACAAGCGTTTTTGCGAGATTTTTTCGACGCTCATTGGACTCTCAACCATGATCGAGAGTTTGCTCCTTCTATGTGAATAAATGGATATCTTTTCGCGAAAAAAGCTCATATACTGCTTCAAAGTGAGAGTTTTCAGCATGTTCGCATCTATGGGCTCTGAATCCACGTCGAAATTGTATCGGCGAGCTGAGATTTGCTGTCTGATGCGTTTGTGCATTCGCATGCAATAACCTTGCTCCGAAACATTTCCGCTCCGAACATTGGCCTCGATTTGGCCCATCACGTCGGCTGGTCCTGCCGTGGTTTGCAATTCATTGCCCGTGTTCCGTTTGCACATCATCTCAAATTTGTTCACATACAACTTACGAAAATCGTCTTCTGTCATCGTCCCCAGCAACTGAAGCTCCATATAGGAAAGATACTCGTTAATCTGGACCTCCAGGTATTTTGACGGAGAAACGGACATACATGTAATATGGATGCCAACGGTCGTGGAAAGAAGTCTGAGCCCTCCAAAAATTGCATACCCGATTTGTTTCTTAATCCGCAAGTCTGGAACCAGGGTGACCGAGAAAATATACTCGGTGAGACTTGTGAGAGTGAAGATGCGTGTGTCCTCACGATCTCCTGTCTGGATAAAATAAACGATGCTATTGTTTGGGTCTTGTGACGATCCCTCATGTCGAATGAAATAGTTTGTTCCCGGGACGAGCGGCCGTGCCACAGGCTCCTTAACAAAACATTCAGACCCATTTTGAGATTGAGTTGTTAGTTCAGATGCCAAAAAATCGTATATTGAGTCAGCCGAGACGAGATCGCCTTGGATGAATAAATTCAAGTAAATTGGTTGAGATAGAAACCTGTTGCAAAATGCACGAAAGGAATCGATGTCAATTTCCTCAAGCGCTTCAACACGGTCTTCAACCGACCACATGCATTCTTCTAACATTATTAGCAGCCCAAGCGTGGCTAAGGCTGCACAGTTTTCAGAACTAGCATCTTCGTATCGCGTCCGGACCGCAACCCTTGCCTGACGAAACATTGTTCGTGATACAGCTTCTAACTTTGTCATAGTTGTAAGTCGGCCAATAATCATTATTATCAGCGTCAAAACACCTTCGGGAAACCCTGTGACAGTAAAACCCAGTCTCACATCGCCTTTGGTCGAAGAAAAAACTTCGTAAGTGTAGCCTATCTTCTCGGCTGGATAAAGCTCGGCGGAGAGAGAAGCTGCCATTAGTTGGCCCAGAATCTCAAGATGCATTGTGTTAGAAGGGGAGCCCGGAATTGCTTTGCTGATAATTTCGAAACTTGTCATAGTCTTGGACCTGAATGATAAGTCAAGATCCTCCTCTTTCACCCACATTTCACAAGTTGAACTCTTTCTTACTAGCCGTGGAGCGGTCTGGATTAGCCCCCGTTGAGCCACAAGTGACAAAGAGGCATCTTGGGCGCGAGTGGATGACGCTTCTAGCGCGGTTTTTATCAAATTCAAACTCCTTCCTGCGGACGGCAAGAATTTGCCATATCGAGGCATGTCATAATCATACGTCCTCAGAGGCGCGTCAAAATTGGGGACATCAAACATGTCAATTGAAGCTTTGTAATACTCAAACTCAAAGTAGGGGTCGGTTTGGCCAAATGATGACATCAAATTCACAAAACTTGAGGTTGAATAATCCCCCAGCAGTGCAAGTCTCAAATTTTGGCGATTAACAAATTCACTGATAAAGTTTTGGAACATGATTGCTTGGCCGATCCACCACGTTTTACTTTCTGCAGATCCTGCAAACTCCTCTATTGGTGATTCTGGCCGGTTGCAATCAAGAATGGGCGAACCCATGAGAAGGCATTCTGGCTTGAGGGCCTCCATATTCAAGAGCATGCGAGTACTGTATTCAGCACACAGCTCCATGGGAGATATTTCTGTGTCTTGATATAAGAACTTCAAAAGGTCAATGGCATTAATGTCGCTAAGATACTTGGCTAGACTTTCTGTTCGATCGTGGATAAATAGAGGAATGTATTCATCGAATAAAATCTTCAGTACCGCTGCCACGTTTCTCCAGCCCAACTGTGTGAGCCCAAGTTCAAGAATTAGACCATCCTCGCCAGTTGCGAACTCGGACACAGATGAGGTCATTGATGTTATGAAATTCTGAGTCCTGAGACGATCTGCCAAAGATCCCACACTTTCCTCGCCAAATATATTGCACCAGGCACGGCTTAAGTTCATCATTGCTGCTGCAGAAAGCCTGGTGGACTTGTGACAGAGGGGAAAAACAAGCCTCATGATTGATGACCTTGTCGAGTTTATAACAATAACATTTGTGTGCGAGGTAAAGGCGTTCAAGTCTGCGTATTTCGGGCCCCACTCCTTTTTGGCAAGCTTGAAGTTGGACACTGGACACTTGTTCTCGGAGATTTTGGATCTAGAAGAGGTAGAAGGTCGTAATGAAGGTCGCGATAGTGCGGACCCAGGACCTTCTCCCACCACATCACTGCCGAAATGTGTTACTAACAGCTTGGTTAGGGCATTTAGAGAATGAGAGCTTCTGATGCAGATGGTCATATTCGAGGGTCGATAAAACGCTTTGAAATACGCGGCCAGCGAGTTTTTCACCGACTTTTTGTGCAAAAGCGGCAAACTTGTGAGTGTTTCAAAGTTCCCGGTACAAAATCTGCTGAATGGATGCCTGGTATTGGCTAAAAGACGAATTGCGTGATACATTTGTTTGTTGACGGAGGCCTTATTCACATTATGCTCGCTTTCAATGGCATAGATTTCACGATTGATGACTGTGTCGGTGAAAATCGGGCAGTTGAAGGATGAGGCAAAGGCGTCAAGAGTTTTTTCGAAAACCAATTCATCGCGATCATTGATTGCTGGCAACTCGAAATAGAAAGTCGTATTTTCGCCAGTGGTGAAGGCGTTGTGGGAGCCCCCGTTGTGTGCAATTAACTCATGGTAGTGGTTACCACTGGGATACTTCTTGGAGCCTGAGGCGACCAAAACGTGTTCGCACAGATGCGCCAGACCTGGTATTTCTGATGGGTCATTGTGCGACCCTGTAGCAACGGTTAGACTGCAGGAAGCCAAGGTATCAGTAGGATCAGACACCAATAACGCCAGAACTCCATTTTCCAGCTGGCAAATTTTGGTACTGCGATCAGAGCAGGAGATAGGTGTGTAGAAAGGTACCTCAAAGTTTCTCACCATATTGCAACTTGTAACGAAGACCAGTAGGACCAGTAGGACCAGTAGTAGGCTTTCAGATCATTCTGCGGATAGCGTGAAGAAATGTCACAAAACCATTTAGCATTTTAATAGGGAAGTACCTTTTTTGAGGTTCTGATGAACTAGTCAATCCTTGCGGAACAGTAGTGAGCAGGTTGGCCTGGGATAGATCTTAGAAAGCTCCATTTTGAGATACTAAAGAGGTAATAGTAGATCAAAAAAGAGTTATGCCAAAAAATTATCTCCCGGGGGCGATTCGAACGCCCGATATCCAGATTACAGTGGTTAACATTACAGTCTGGCGCCTTAAACCAACTTGGCCACCGAGAGGCGATTTGATGATGGAACACGACATAGTGCTTTATATGGTGACTGTGTGGTGTTATGACAGTGAGACGACTGGAACAACAAGGTGAACGGTGGTCGATGGTAAGATCAGAGAGGGGCTTGGGTTGGGCTCAACTGGGTCTTCTTGAAGCTGCACGAGAGGATGTGACGTTCATGAGATTTGGTGGGAAAACGGATTTGAGAAAAACGACTTTTTTGAATGCATGTTGGATAAAGACTCGGAGTGGACATTTTCACATTGATTTCGGAGACGGTTTGTGTGCCACAAGAGCCTGTGATCATGGCAGTAGCGCCATCGGTCTGAAAAGCTATGTGAAAAAGTGCGCTAGCCGTGTCGGGATGAAAAACCTGGGATCGTTTGATATGTCGTCTTCTGGTGATACGTGATTTTTGAGCGCCTTCGTCTGTTCCACACATTTAGGCCCAGTTAAGGGCTCTCTTAATCCCACACACGCTCTTTCTGTCTCTTTCTCTCATCGAGACGACCACTTTCTCACACAACACGTATTGATGAAAGTCCTTTTCGTCACAGCTCTATTCCCAGCTTGCCTTGCACTACGTTTCATCAAACAGACGCGTTAACTCGCTGCTCTATTCTCGAGGCTAACGCGTTACCAACGCCAAGTTAACGCGTCCCTAACGCGTCCTTAACGCGTCCTTAACGCGTCTTTATTCACAGGGCTAGCTATTTCTTTACTGAAAAATAATAATAACGCCAAAACGCGTCAAATCTACAAACAGCAAGGGCATCGCCTGAAGTCGATGCCATAGGAAACCAGACAAAAACAGACGAGAAAACCACGAAACTGTCGCTAACCAGGGTCGAACTAACCTGTTCAAGCTATAAACGCGGAGAAAGCACAGCAAACGCGTTGCGAAAACAAGTTGAGAAGCGTGTGACTTTCAGTTAGGGCAAAAAACCAGACCCGTAACGCGCGTGTGAGTGTGAGAGTTGGCGAGAAAAAGACTGCGAAAGAGCACACAGCGAAAAGCTGGGACCGAGAAGAGCTTGGTGGGTTGGGTATATTTAAAGTGAGCTGGATTAAAGATCGAAGTAGGACAGGTCAAAGCCCGGTTAGCAGCCCTGAGTTGAGAACTAGTGGGCAGTAGAAAACATGAGCGATTTGGTGAGAAGCCGGACCTATAGTAATGCTGTGACTGACGAAAACGCACAAGAGACAGACTCGGGTAACAGCAGCAAGCCGGCCAGAAGATCCAAAACAATTTTGGGAGCAGCATGTGTGGAAGGACCGCGTAGAGAGCTTGCAGAAGTGCAAAATTGGCAGACACAGGCGTCGCAGGACGACGCCAAGCTGCCAGCGGTGTCCACACAGCACTTGTCATTATCACAATCACAGTCCCAGGAGGAACCACAACGAAAGAAACAAAAAATCTACAGGAGCGACGATGAGCAGGAACAAGAAACCACGGAAAGAAGCGTTGTCAAAAGTACACAAACTAGCACGAAAATACTAGAAGATCTAGATTCCAGGGAGCAAAAAGACGTTTGCATGGTAGTGGAATACGCAGAAGACATATTTGAGCATCTCTACCAACGTGAAAAGCAGACCACGGCAACCTACAACTATCTCAAGGCCAAACAATCACCACAGCATCTCAGGCCGTCGTTGCGGGCCATTCTCATCGACTGGCTCATAGAAGTGCATATGAAGTTCCAACTGCTTCCAGAAACGCTGTATTTGGCGATCAACGTCATGGACAGATTCATGGCGCTGCGGAAGGTCTCAATGGCAAAGCTGCAGCTCCTGGCCGTGAGCAGCTTGCTCATTGCCGCCAAATTCGAAGAAATCAATCTACCCAAACTCTCACAATACGCATATATCACAGACGGCGCGTGTACATGTCAAGATATCAAAGAAGCAGAAATGTACGTTCTTACTACGCTGAAATTCAATATAGGCTGGCCAAACCCGCTTAACTTTCTACGCAGAATTTCCAAGGCAGACGACTACGACAACAGTATCAGAGCGCATGCCAAGTTTTTCATGGAATACGCAATGAGTTGCCCTGAGTTCGTGGATGTCGTGCCGTCCCGTATCAGTGCAATGGCTACGTACTGCGCCAGGGCCTGTTTGGACGTCAGCATAAAATGGAGCGAGACTTCAAAGCTCTATAGCGGTGGCATCGATCCCTCAAACGATTTGGTTTTCCAAACTCAATGTCACACACTGCTCAATGAGATACATAAACCAAGCACCCAACTAAAAGCGCTAGAGCTCAAATACACGAGCAGGGCGGCGGGTAGCGTATTCAACTCGGCGAAAGTGTGGTGCGACCTAATCGTGGCCAGCAAATTTGAGAATTTGTTCTAAGTAACACACCCAAAGCATTTTGCATAACAATAATTAATAGAAAGCATTTATTCCAACACGGACCACTTGAGGTCGGCGGATCAGTCACTGTTCATTATTATCTACTGCCTATGTAGGTTGATTCGAAATCCCTGCTTTCTTGAATTAAACTCGATACATTATTCGCGGTTATGCTAAATTACAATTAAGACTGTGTGTAAGGTTTGATCAAGATCTTGTTTCTTGACTATCACCTAGAACTGAAATTAGTGGGAGGAGAAACCAATTTTGGAAAAGCGTAATCAGCTCGAGTTTCTTCCTCCTCCCATATATGTGTGTGTGTTGTGTCGTTTTTTTTACCGCTTTGGAATTACAGGTAAAGGGTATTCAACCAGAAACTTGAAGAGTGTCGATTGATGGATGATGTTGATTTTGTTTTTGATTCGATCACTCTGAGGTTTCATGCAAAGTCATGATATCGTAACCGTGAGCAACAACCTTTTTGGCCCACTGTCTCGAGATCACTGATGCTTTCATGAACTTTCTAGATGCGTATTTCTTGAAAAATTCGTCGTGGATCACAGGCTGAACCAGATAGTCCATAACCATGTTGCACACTGGTGCAAGCTCTTCTCTTGTGTAACCGCCGCTGTAGTGGATCAGATTTCCATCCCATTTTCCCTTCCCTAACATCTTTCTTGAAAGAAACATTGCCGTTGCAGCACACAGGGACGGTAAAACCCCAATAAACCTGAAATCAACCACTGATATTTCCAAAAGGTATTTCGCCAGCGTTCGGGATTGTATATCGTAATCATCAGCCTTCGAAATCCTTCTCAGAAAATTCATTGGGTTGGGATAGTTGAGGTTGAACTCAAGTGTTTTCAAAATGAACTTTTCACCTTCTCTTATCTCATCTTCATCGCAGGCGCCATCGGTTTCGTATGCGAAATGCTTGACGCTGGGCGAGTAAACTTCCTCGTATTTGGATGCGATGAAAAGACACGCAGTGCCTACTAGTTGTAATTTTTCTAATTGTACTAGCTCTTTGCAGAGAAACCTGTCCATGATATTCAAAGAAAGGTAGAGTGTTTCCGGAAGAAGACCGAATTTATTGTGGATTTTGACCATCCAGTTCACCAGGATATCTCTGTTTTGACGAATGTTACTATGTTTGTAAAGATCATGGCGGTTGGGCAATGTCATAATTTCCAGTTTGTGTAGATACTCGAAAATATCCGTGACGTATTCGCTGACCATAAACGGGTCACTGGCGTCTTCGGCATCGAGATCTTCCCATTCGTATTCGGTTCCCTTGGCACAAACTTTGAACTTTTTAGGGTCGTCGTGTTCCACAACGGTTGATATTGGTCTTTTCTTGCTCACATCACTAAGCGCTTCTGCTAGCTCATCCGGGTTTTGTTCATTGACGTGCTCCTGATCTATACTGTTTGGAATTTCTGTTTGCATCACACTACTGTGGTCTGAGTCCTTGAGCATTGTTTGGTTCGTACTGTAATTGAGCATGTCATTGGAATTCGATATCGATTGCGGTTGGGACAGCTGTTGTTCTTCGTCAATGCTGGGTAGTTTCGTGACGTATGGATCCATGTTTTCCTTGTCAATCTCTGATGAATTAGCACTGATGACATTTGTGGAGCTTATGGAGCTCATGCTGGACCGATTTGCATTCTTGGAAGTTGCTGACGAGCCCTCTTGCTCCGTGTCTTCACGTCTAGCTTGTGGGATCAAAGAACCGGCCGATTTGGCATTTTGCAGTCGGTACCTGGCGGTGCGTAGCGCTTTTCCCAACGAACGAGCACCTGTATTCGAGGTTTTCGCTTCCTGTGCAACGGTGGTGTTGGTTACATTATTCAGAGCAGCGCGGGTAGACTTCAAAGTTCGAGGTCTGGCATCGTGGGAGTTTTCGTTTGGCACAAAAGACATGACGGGGCAAGTATGCTACTCTTGTTTTTTTCCAAATTTCCGGCTGGTGCTGGAATTCAGAAAGAAGAAGTAAAGGGAAAGGTTAGCCTGTCGTCTTTGTTCTGAAGGTCGGATTGGCTGCTTGAAGAAAAGTCCAGATTCTCGCTAGCTTTGAAAGTTTACCGGAAACTGAGCGGAAGGTGTAAGGGAAAGCACAAGATCAATTATCTCCTCGACACACACACTCGAAACCTTGACCAGTGAGAACAATCAAAACCAAAGTCCTAGTTCGAGGCCTCGAATAATGCGTGGATCTCAAAAAATGCTTATAAGTATATCTCAGTTTGCAGGGAAAAAAAAATCCTACAATCTTGAAGAAGCAAGGCGTTCTGCGGTTTTGTTTCTGTGTCTGTGACGATGTTTCCGTTTTGCCTGAATCGGATTCCGCCCACAAACTTTCGGCGATCTTTGTATACCACAAGATACCCAAATTGAGAGGTTTGAATGTGGCAGAGATGATTCTAAGATTTAGCACAGCAGGGGGATCCAGAGTGGTGGTAAAAAACTCTTTAGGGTTGCTAGCGTTCTGTTCAGCGTTTTTCCGAATCTGGCTTTTGCTAAGTGGAGAGAGCTCTCGTTTGTGTTTGGATCTTTCCGGCTTGGGCTCGACCACGACTATTTAGGGCTAACGGCCCTCGAGCATTTGTTGATGTTTACCACTTGCCGCATTGGGAACTCGCGATGAGCTATTGCAGTAGAGAATCTTGGATATTTATTAACAGAACGGCGGTCAGGTGACCGGAGGTATGCACAGGAGAAACCCCCCCCATCAGATCGGAGTATGAGGAGTAAATTGCTGTGAGCTTGTTGTCCCTGTTGTTGTTTTTGTTGCTGTTGTTAGTGTTGTTGTAAATCCAAAGATGGATTTGGCACTTCATGATGATTGCTGACTTTTTCCACGCTTTACTCAGTTGAGACTTTGTAAGATCACGGAATGGCTTGGGGTATGACAAACTACTGGCTTTCGCATTGAGGTGGGGAAATCTGCTGGTCAGAAAGGGCGCGTCACTTACTACAGCAACTTCGAAGTTACATCGTAGGAAACTGCAATTTCCATGCGCTTCGTCTGACTCAATAATACCATTTTTTGAATTTGACGTTTTTAGAGAACTCGTCCTTGTTAGCTCAGTTGGTAGAGCGTTCGGCTTTTAAGCACCGCTTGCAAGGAACCGAAATGTCAGGGGTTCGAGCCCCCTATGAGGAGTTCTTCTTTGTTTTTTTCAAATCAGTTTTTTGGACCTGTCACGTGCTTTTCCGTATTGGTGTGTTAGAGACGAGGTTGGTAGAGTACTTCTAGGGGCGCTGAAACCCGACCGTTATTCATTTTGGTTACATCTGAACTCTTAGCAATTCACGTTCGATCTTATGCGCGCATTAACACCGCGTTCTGGCTGATTACTGGAAGTCACTGTAGACGACTTTGGAGCCGTGTCTGTTAAAACAAAAATGACACGATCGAAAACAGCTGCATGGAATCTTTCATAATAGAAGCCAGGAACTTCGATAGCATTTGCCTGTAGGTTAAGCTCTTAGATCTTGGCAAAGATCAGTTTGTTGCTCAGCGTCCTTTTCGATCTAGGGTTTATTATTGCGTTTCGCGCATTGACGTTTGGCGGATGGTCTTTCCTACATGCGGTCCTCATTCCTTTCTAGAACGCCCGTTGGGTGTCTGTGCTGCCAATGGATGAGAGTAGCTTGTCCAGTACCAGCAAGTCGCGGAAAAGTACGAAAAGTTGGTACTGGGGAATACGGACAGAATTCGCAAGCATGTTGCCCCATTTGCTGAAAAAATTTGCCAGAAGCCCCGGCTTCTGTTAAAGCTTTTCCCCCAAAATTCATACGGGGATTCAATCTCGCAAACCCCAAGAGTGAACTTCGCTTTATGACATATGTTGGGACAGTTGCCCCTGTCAAGGAGCGATGTAAATTGTACGGTTGTCTGACGAAGGTGTAATCTCGGCGCCATGTGATTTCAATCCAGCTTCTCGATGCTTCTTTCAAGATTCTGATCTATGCCGAGTCTGTAAACTTCAAGGCTCATCTGACTTGCATTGTGCTCAATGCTTGCCCCATACAGGACTTTGACTAAAAAATCACGTATCATTTCAAACTCGCATGCAAGCGCAACTAGGCGTTCACCACAGGGGGGTGGAAGAAGACCCCGTAAAGAAACCACCGAGTGACTGCTAGTGTCGAAGACTCCGAGCTCCATCTCATTGATGTAAAAAGCCTTCACTGGGTCTAAACTGCCTCCATGAACCGTCTTAAATGGAGTTTACTTGTGAGTATGTTGAAGAACATAGATGAAGAGGCAACCCAAGCTTGTTTTGCGATGAGAGACCTATTGGCCCACACTTTAAGTCATAGGTTCAAATTTGCCCGAACGATAGTTTTCATCTCCGCTGTGATTGACGTTTTGGGTGTTCACCATTGAAGAGGCTTGCAACTGACTCCTCATTAGGAGCTGTCGTCTATCATTGGAAATACGTTCATTGGTTTGATCGCTAGGTAATATATGTTTTTGGCCATCGCCGTCTTCGAAACCAAATATCGGTTTTTCGAGTATGTTGTCGTATCTGGGTCTCTGAGTGGTCTAAGAAGCTGGTTCTACGAAGCTTTGGCATACCTAGTCTCAATAGAGTCCCGCAAAATGATTAACGAGAGACCTGGAGCGTTTCTTTGAGCTAATCACACTATTTGGGATGGGAGGGCAATTGATGACAGAAATGTGGAATGGGAAACGCGTGAAGCGCCAGGGACTTATTCAATAGACAAGGTTTGCGAAGCGCGAGTATGGGGCGATTGAAGATGTAGCGGAAGGTATTCTTTCAAGGAGTAAAAACGATTTTGGAAGCCTTATTTTTGGTTCTCTCGCTTCATACTACGCAAAGTTGTTTCTGGATGACATCATTGCACGATCCCTTGGGTTGTCAAATCTTGTTTCACTCTTCGAGTCGATTCGATAGAGTCCAGATCATCAACAAAGAGATCGGTCTAACTACCGAAAGATAAAAGAGAACTTGGAAAAGAGATGCCAAATTTTATGGACAACTACAGAAAAAAACAAAATCAAGTCGAAGAAAGGCTGCTTGACAGCAATTGCTTAAAGTTGACTGTTTATCTTGTTCAATGGGATACAAAGTACGAGCGAAATTGATGCTTAATGGATTAATGCACCGTAATTACTCGATGACACAACGTACACAGTGATTGAAACATAAACGTCTTGGATCAAGCTTTTGATATAGATGCGATGCTATATGATAGTGTCTGTCTGAGTCTGTAAAGATTGACTGGTATTATCCAATTGGTGTACTACGTTCTGGTGTGCTCACTTTCTGAAAAAGCGTGCATCGTTTTTTTCTTGTTTTAACCTTTATATTGCACATTCGAATGGCGCCTCTAAAGCCAATTATGCTGTAAATTAATCTTATCCAAAAACTTGTTGAAGCCGGGGCCTGAGTCCCGTTTAATGTATCCACCCTTCTTAATTCTATCAACGCATTAGCTATAAACACTCTATTCAAATCGGAACAGCCTCTCTACTGTTCAAAAAGGTCGGTAAGATCGAAATTGCCATTCGCATCTTTCGTGTAAACTCCAACTTCAGTAACGATTCCGTCTATCAGCTCGTGAGGCGTTACGTCAAATGCTGGGTTCCACACGGCGACATCCACGGGCGCAACACCAACTTTACCAGCCACCGGTTTGCCGTCACTTGCCAGCCGCGGCTCGCCGGTAACATTATCAATAACGGTTCCTGCAACGTGCTTGAATTCGTCTGCCTTCCGTTCCTCGACAACGATACCTGCACCAGTCTCGGTAACGCTGTCGATTGTGGTTTTTGGGGCAGTCACGAAAAACTTGATACCAAATTGCTTGCAAATGAGAGCCAGCTGATAAGTGCCTATTTTATTGGCAGTGTCACCATTGCGCACGATCCTATCCGCACCCACAAACGCCGCCTTGATTGGAGTTTCGCTCGTGGCTATGCGGTAGGTGACTGAGCTGTCTGGGATCAAAGTGGCCGGAATTTGGTCGTGCACTAGTTCATACGCAGTCAACCGGGAACCTTGATTGTAAGGACGGGTCTCGAGAGGAAAAACATGAGTCATCTTGGCACCGCGGCCATCAAGCTTACGTTTCTTATCGGTCTCTTGCTTTTCAGAAAGCTTGGCATTGGAATGTTTCCACAGTGAACGGATCACACCGAGAGCGGTACCATAACCAGATGTGGCCAGCGATCCCGTGTTGCAGATAGTTAGCACAGCAAAATCCTGATCGAAACCTTCTTTTTCCAGTTGTTCGAGCAAGTACCTAGCACCGTTGTCTCCCATTTTCACGTTGTTTGAGAGATCGTCGTCGATCATTTGGCACACGAACTCATACAGGTGACTGTGGAAGGATTTCAAAGTGTGAGAATTCTTCAAAATCTTACAAATTTCAGCTAAGGCATTCGATAGGTTCACAGCGGTAGGTCTGCTGCCCAGCAGAAATTCTAGTCTCGTCTCTAACGTGGAGCGGACTCTGTCGAAATCACTTAAATCGTAGAAAGTCTGATTTTTCGCAAAATCCTTGTTTTCCAGCAGTTGAGTTTCTGTAAGCACTGAAAGAGCCCCGACGATGGCAATAGCAGGTGCACCTCGTACTTGCATTGATTTTATCACACGATAACCGTCGTCAATGGTATTGATCTGGATATAAGCGGTGGTGTACGGCAGCAATAACTGATCCAAGACTTTTACCGAAACATTTTGCGGGTCCGATTTGTCAAAGGAGATAGCCTCTAAGGACATATTTGGTGAGTATGTGGGGAGTTGAATAATCGTTTTTGACTTCGAAATGAACCAACTTGACCGAACTTTCTTTAGAGACCTGTGACTAGTGGGTAGTGGCTATTAGATTTGCCCATTAATTTTCCACATCATGTGACCAGCATCAGGCTATTGTTAACTAGAGGATCTCTCCATTTAGCGCTAGGATTTTAGCATCATTCCACGATGTGTAAGGAATCAACGGTATTCTCCTGATGCTAGTGGTATTTTGGTTGTGTAAATCGAAGCTTGAAGCACCTTTTTTCCAATTTGATTTTTCATACCTGGACCTGTGTAATAATAACTCAGTCAACTACTCTTAGTAGCGTGAACGCTATTTGAAAGCGAAGTAAAGAAACAAAACTTTTGAAAGACAATCGCGGCAACTTCTGTATCACCAAACGGAACACTTACCGTTATGTGCATTTTTAGATGTGTGTGTCAAAAACAGAAGCCCAAAACAGCAAAAAATAATGATACCCGCGAGATTCGAACTCACGCCTCCGAAGAGACCAGGACCTCGACCTGGCGCCTTAAACCACTCGGCCAGAGTACCTATTTTGATGTTGAGATAGAATAATGCAACAATACATAGAAGTAAGGTAGTTCAGAGCACTGAAACTCGCGAATTACTTGAAATAACATGAAAGGAAGTTAAATGAGTATACGCAAGAGCAGCTTCCCCTAATCATTCTTCAATTACAAGCCCCAGAATAAGCACATAAAGTAAATGCAACGGTCTACAGAAAATCAAAACCTCAATGCAGGACATTCCATTGTATTCCGGGACTCCAAATCAAATCCAACTCTTTATAAATCAAACAAAACTCAATAATCACCTTTACCTATCCCTCAATCATGGTTATTTCCATTTCCGTTTGCCTTTCCTGACACGCCGCTCGTCATAAACAGTCGTGCTTCCTGTCACGTGCTTCAATAAATTTGATATTTTTCTCTACTCTTCTCGTCATCTACTCGATTCTCCACTTGACTCTTCACTCACCGCAAGAAATTCTTCACTCGAACTGAAAATTTTATACGGTGGGAAGAGCTCTCTATATTAATTATTTGAAGGGATACGATCTTATATGACTGAACAATTCCGAATTTTAACGTTAACTATCAAACGTTCAAAAACCCATAGGTGAACACACCCTTCAGGTCAACGAGAGAAGCTCTACATGATTCTCCAGTGTTTATTAGCCGCCTTGGCGTTCTTTCTACAGGTTTCAGCCGCTGGAACGAGCTTTCTAGCGGTCAATTCGCAACGTTACCAAAATGCTTTGTCCACTGACAAAGTCAACTCGTGGGAAGAACTTTCGGCTCTCAGTGACACGCAGGAGCCTCTGGTCTGTTTCAGATTCACAAATTTTGATCTTTTGACCGAAATGGCCCGGTTTCCTACCGAAGTGGGATTCTTGTCAACGTTTTTCGAAGACTTGGCGACGCAAGCGTGGAATGAAGACTCTTTCACAGACGTGGCAGATGCCTCAAGTATCGAGGTTCAAGAGATTCCAGAACCAGCTTTGCCCTCTCTTTACAGCCAAGTCGACCGGGAAAGTGACATTATCGTCTTCGAGTTTTCGGGCGTCTCATACGATTTGAAGCGTCTCGACGAATTTTTGGAAACCGTCTACGTTTTTCTGGAAGAAGAGCTAATGAACATCGATAACATCGTCATTCAAGTGCCTTCTGTCGGTAAAGGCTACGTCAAAAACACCGCCAAAACATCCGACATCGACGTTTCGGACCCCGATAGAAAACCAGTTTCAAGCTCTCCAGCCGGAAACGGCGACGAATTGAGCTCCCTATGGACGGAGGGATTGATCAGCTGTTTGATTGTCACCGCAATCTTGTTGGCAATCTTGTTTGTGGCTATCTCCTGGATCACCAGTCTGGAGATCAGTTATGGAGCTTTTGAGAAGCCCGTGAATCCGCTCAAGAAGACCAACTGATGAGACCTTCATCCAGTATCATGATCACCCCCCCCAAAAAAAAATAGAAAACTCCGTGGCAGTAACATCACGCTCATATAAATTCATCTAGGAACCAAAACTACATAATAATTCGGACATAGATACATTCGAAGATAGATTGCTCGATAATGTTCCGGAGCGCGACATTTTTCTAAACGCTCAGCCGGCCCATGAAAGCTTCTACTAGTCTCCTTTGTTTAAATGGTTTTCTTTTCCTCTGGCTTCAAAGTTTCGGATTCGTCGGAACCTGTATCTTCGCTAAAAGCCATAACCACGTATGCGATTAACACCAGGTTAGCAGCCAAAGCTGCAAGTCCTCCACTTACCAATGTATTACTGGTGACCTGTTGCACCAAGAAGAAAGACAGCACTGGAAAAATCACCATTGCTGCCGTGAAGAACATCAGTTTTTGAACAACCTCGCTGTTGATATAAAGGTATACTTGTTAGTTTTGATTCAGCTAGGTATGCTACATATTTGGCATGAAAATCTTCCTACTAATCATATCACACATACCGTGGTACATCAACTGCCATGCTGCTGGGTTGGTTGAATGAATAACTTGAGTTAAGTTCTGGTTTTAAAACTTTAAGAGAAGACGGTAGGTTGAATTTAGAAATATTGAAATAGCCATCAAGTTTAGAATTATAAAATTGACAAAGCTACAACTACCTAAGTGAAGCACAATGGTTCTTCAACTTTGCCTCACTTCAGCAATTGATGATGACTCGTACGAATTGTGTACATCGACTCTTTACAACTTATCAGGTAATCCTCCTGTGCTATTCAACAACTTTACAGCTATGTTCAGACCTAATCCAAGCTTTGACATTGAACAAACAAATTCTAAAAACCAACTTATCGAGCAGAATCGGCTGAAACTATGCAAGGGGATACCGCTGGATGACTTAGAGCCGGACAGTAAACAAAGAGACTACAGGATGCTCAAAAAATATAGCGACGATGAGCTGAAGGGATTCGATTTGCGAGTTTTGCAAAAAATGCTACACGGAAGTATAAACGTCGATGATATGGACGTTGATGAACGAAATGTACCTGAAAGCGCCTGGACTTTAAGTATCTGTGATATTCCAGCCGCGGGGGCGAACCGTAAAGTGTCATCGCAAGCAATTACGGAAAGTACTATAACCACAACTGGCGGGAGCTCGCCTTCCGTAACATCTTTTCTATCAGAATTGGGCTACATTTTGGACTACCAACTGCTGGTCATCGGTGTCAAATTTAACATGAAGCACAATGTTTATCTCGAGCTGTCGAAAATATGGCTAATAGACAACGCTGGCTTGACAAGACAACTGACAAAAGGCGGGTTCATGGTAAAAGCATTCGTGAACGTTGCAAAAAGCACTGATATCAAAAGTATCAATCAAGGCACGAACGCTCTTCTCAATCTTCAAAAAGAACTAAGCGGGTACATAAACCTTACAATCCCAGATCGAAAATCAATGGATTCACGACTGGAAAATCTTAACGACATTTGAAAGAGCTCACCAACTCTTTGAGACCGTGACTTCCTATTCGAGTTATTTGGTTTATAGACGATTATAAATGTACAGTGATTTGAGTGCGAAAATGCCGTTGAATGAGTGTGACGTCCTTACTTTTCAAGATTATTCAACTTCGACTTGGCCTTAGCAATTGCTTTCTTTTTCTGCTTTAGCTTTTCAACACGATCGTCCTTCTTTTCATTTGAGTATTTCATCTTTTTGTAAAGCTTCCGTTGTTTGTTGCTCATCATGATAGTTTTCAAATCCTTTTCTTCTTCTTCTTCAGTGACCTTACGTTTCGCGGACTTCTTAGGTTTCTTTTCTTCCTTCTGCTGGTCCTTGGCGTCGGAGTAAGGAATACCCTTCGCTTCAAGTTCAAGTTCCTTTTGCACCGCCAACTCCTCGTCGCTTTCCTCATCGACATCTTCTTCAGCATCTGGAGCATCTTCCACGCTACTGTTCTCTTCTTCATCTTCTTCAACCTCTTCTTCTTCTTCTTCTTCGCTTTCGCCTTCAACAGGTTCGGCTTCTGGATCGTATCCACCAGCGTCACCCCATGGAGACAAATGTGGCGGTAGAGCTTCACCGGGTAGGTATTTGTTCACAGATAACAGCTCACCCTTGTTGATGGAATCGAAAACCCATTGAGGTTGCAGATATGTTCTTGCAGCAACCTTGTTTTTCAAAACTGGCCTATCTACAATTTGATGGGTGACCTTCGACAAATCGATATCTTTGATGGAGTCTAGCTGGTCCAAAGCAGCTTCACAAATTACCGAACCGCCACAAGACAGAATCAAGAACTCAAGTATATCCACTGGGACCTCTCTAGAGATGTAGAAAACAAAGTCAGAGAATAGAATGGCGGCAGGCGAGTCGTACTCGCTAGGCTGCACCAAAGTATCACCCTTGTTCTTGTTTTTGTCCTCAAAAGTATCAAGCGCGTTTTCCTCCTCTGCAACTTCTTCGTCGTCTTCATCTTGGTTCTGATCTTCCTCGCTGCCGTCACGGACATTGTCCGCCTTTAGAGCCGAAGACAAAGCAGAAGAGTCTAGAGCCTTTACTTCCGATGAGTTCTGAGAAAGTTGTGGAGCAGTTAGCGTTGATGATTCCTCGTTACTTTCCAGGAGATAGGCGCTCAATCCACCGATAATTTTGTTCTTAGCCAGATCCAATTTTGGTGGGTAAGAGAGACCCGAGTCAGTGTAAAGCTTGAAAAGCACAAAGTGCATGAGCGTAGAATAGAATTCAAGGAACGTAAGCATGATTCTGAAATCAACATCGCTAGGAACATTCTCAGGAAACTTGTAAGGTACAAGCCATCTCACGTCTTCTCCCTTGACAGAGGCTTGGTAGTAGACACCTTTGATGGAAACAAACACTTTACGGACAGCTCTCTCACGGGACACATAAGCCAACCATTGGTTACAAATGGTTTGTGCGTCTTGAGTAACACGAGCAGATACTTGGTCGGAGGCTGGCAAATTGGCAAACAAAAACAACATGTTCAAAGCGTCGTCAATGTCTCCAAGTGCATCCGAAAAGCTTGGGTATCTTTCCTTGATGATATGATCGAGCTTATAGCCCGCATGGTTGGTTTCGAGCCTCTTGGCAGCAGAGACTTCACCTCTGCCCAGGGCTTTCGTCAGTTTTTTGGCAAAAGTCTTATGTTCACGGAAACGTTCCAAGACAGGCTCATGCATCAAATATTGGATATCCTTGAAGTAGTAAAACGTTGTAGGAGCTGTTGAGCCTTTGTTGGCCTTTTTCTTGTTACGTGGTTCACGAGGGTAGATTCCTTTGAAGATACATAGTCTTCTGAAGTCTGCGAGCGAGATCTGCAGCTTGCGGACCGCTTGCGAACGGGTCACAAAGTTCCGGGCGTTACCACTAACGTTCTTCTTCTTAATTCTCATACTTCAGGTTTAAAATGTCAATAGAAACACGACCAGGAAACGTTTAAACAAGCCGGAAAGACCACTTAGGAGCTACTGATATGAAGAATAGCTCAGTTAACTTTTCAAAAGGTTTCGGGTTCCCAAATGTTTCGAAAAACTGGTTGTTTAAGGAATTCTTGATAAATTCAAAGTTAAGCTCATCTCATCGCATCTTCAAAGGCGGCATCAAATTTTTTATTACAGGCAGAAAAAAGCACTGTGGAAGAAAGAAAGAAAAAATAACAAAAAAACGTAGACAGTGTTTTTCAACCACCCACGTGATCCAAAAAAACTTCAATGGGATATCTGGTTTTACTGGAGGTTGAGATGATACTTCAGGGTAGGGTCAAGTTAGTGTGTTGGATAATCACTATGTTTGGTTTGTACCGAGTCATTTTTTCAGGGTCCAGTACTTATGGTCTTGACACCTAAATAAATAATTTCTAATATCCCGGGATCGTAAAATCCTGGCGTCGGATATTTTGCGTGGTACATGGGACTTCTGAGACCTCCGAAATGCTAACAAAGAAGATTTAGAATCTGTATGTGATTTTGAAGTAGGCAAAAAACCGGTTGGTCTTGCTGAATATTTTACCCTTTTTTTCAATTCCTCACGGGAACATAAGAATTTTTTGAAGGACGTGGATGCCAGATCAATATTCCTATTCAATCCACATAGTGCATTAGTATTACGCTCAATTTAGGTACACACAAGTCCAAAAGAAATCGAACTTTGGCTTGCTTTCTTCCGCTGTCGCCATGTTGGCTCAAGCGCCTCATAGTATGTGTCAGAGTAGTACGAAGTGATCACATCTGATTTCATCGCTGTCATTAGCTTGTTATAGGTCTGATAATGCAATCGAATGCTCTGTTGGCGTGAGGTAGAGCGCTCTTGATGATATTCAGTGTCATCCGGCTATCTCACATCCACAATTGTGATACGTGGAGCGATATTGGTCATTCTGTCAATCAGTATGATGCCGTTTGAAAATCGAAAAGCTTGAACTCTTACGGACAATCAGAATAATTATCGAACAAATAAACTGTCTAAATACTCACTGATGCAACTGTTGATTAATCGAATGTTGTAGCGTCGTTGGCAAAAGGTCGTTGTTTTCCAAAAGGTAACACGTGACCAATATATCATCAATAATTCCAGATCTACAGCGGAATCAACTTACAAAGCTGCTCAGCTCTAGCCTTGAACTCTGGTTTACGCACCGCTGTACTGTCATCCTACAAGCCAACGCTTTAGTATTTCATCTCCTCAATACCTGAGAACAAGAACGGCGGGTTTTCCTCACAGCTATGCGAACAAAGTTTGGTACATTGTTCTACAGGACCTACAGAAGAAGTTCAGTTGGGCCCAAATTCAAGAGTTTGGCAGAAATCAAGCAATACGTTGCAACGCCGCAATGGTCGATAGGTGAATTCATGGAACAGGATAAAAATGTGCAAGAACTGCCTTCTTTAGAGATGGTGGAACGGCTTTTGAAGCTTTCTGGTTTGCCTTTGCAAGACGCGGAATCGCTGCGCTCGAAGCTTGGACATCAATTAATGTTTTTGAACAAACTGCTAACGCTGGACGTTAAGGAAGATACCGATCCCAAGAACGCTAGAATACTGCCGCGATATTCGAGATCATTGGAGTTTGAAGACTTGGACAATGCGGTCAAAACTCAGGTTCAGGATCAAACTCTAGGGGAGAAAAGTGGATCTTGGGAAAGCGTCAAGCTGGCTCACGAAAACCGCGATGGATTTTATGTCTTGCGCGAAACATTGATGAAAAGAAAATAAATTGCATTCATGAGGATGGGAATGAACATTTAAGGCTACTATAATAGATATGCTTATATTTGGCACTTCTTTTGCCAGAAATTACTTCGAAATTTTACACCAGCTGCTCAAAGTGTTTTTACAATGCATGACATCAAATCGTTCCAAACTTTATTCCCTCTACTAACCGAGGAAACTGCGCAGCGCTGGCATCTATTTATACAAACTCAGAAAATACGGCATGTGAGCTGAATGCATTTCAAACTATTTACAACTGATTCCTCGTCAACTGCTAAAACATCGACAACCTTCTCATCCGGCGCTGATTCTCTTTCTTCATTCTTTCAGATATCAAGTATCCATATATGATACCTGCTACGGAACCTCCCAGGTGAGCAGCGTAATCAAATGAACCCCATCTAAAAGCACACCCCGCAGCGTTCCACACCATGGAGCCTAAAAATGCTATCCACGCTCCGCCCGGTATTGGGAACACGAAGAGCATTATTTTGGCCTGAGGAATGAGATACGAGAAGCATCCAAAAACACCGAAAAGTGCTCCGCTGGCTCCCAAACTGGGGGCCATCATAGAAATTCTGGCAATACGAGGGTACCAAAGTGAAAAGAGAGAGCCAAATATGGCACTGTTAATGTAGAGCGAAGTGAAGTTAGCCGGTCCGATCATTGTTGCAAGGCTTGTACCAAACGACCACAATGCAAGCATGTTCATACCCAAATGCCAAAATTCCTGATGCGAAAATGCACTGCCAATTAGCGACCATTTGCTGTATATACGATCTTTTTCGAGAAGCATATATCTCTGCAAAAAGCGCCAATATCTGGGAACATGCCAGAGCGCAAATACACCACAATTAATGCCTAAAAGACCGTATACCAAGTGTGAAGGATGCGCTTTGAAATATGCAAATGGAGGGACGTACTGGAATAGATACGGTGCCCCGACGAAAAAAGCGCTCATGAACAAAATTCCTGCCACTGTTACATTTCGCAGACTATTATCGCCAAATGAATTGCCGTTGTATCTGTTGCCACCATTTTGAAATTGTTGAAATCTGTTTAGTCTTGCATACCGACTATTTCCCGCACCGTTGAAAAGATCCCTCCAGCTGGACTCGATCTTGGAAGTTTGAGAGAAGAATTTGGATGGTCCTCCAAAAGGTTTCGTTTTCGACCTTAGGGTTAGGGTGCTGAGATGACCCAATATAGAAGCTTGAATCGGTCTTGGTTTTAGTTGCAAATGAATGGCATTGCTTAAAAAAAACAGTTTGCCCTGCTTGGAAAGAAAGTTACTCATTGCTTAGCTTCCAGGGCTATTATTCGGTCGATTGCAGTGTCCTCCTCTCGTTGGTCAAAATTGTCAAGTTTAAGGCTTTATGGGAATAGCCATTTTAGACATCCAGAAATATTCAAGAGCCGTCACCACTGACGATTCAGCTCGATGCCTCCATCGGACAAGCTTGAGCTAGTCTGGCAACCTTTTTAGCGGCTTTGAGACAGAGCCTATCCCCTGATTGTGCTCCACAGGTAAGTCATCGAGAATATGCTATTTCCCCGAAGGCCAGAACCAAAGTCTTAAGCTTCAAATTCGACAAAACTGTCGTCTCTAGAGCGTAAATCTTCGTTGAAAGAGAAGCTCTCAAGCTTCTTGCGCTGCGTTTCCGATTGATCTTGGTCATTACTCTCGTCGTCCATTGATATCAAGTCATTCTTGAGTAAATCTTCCTGCTCGTAAGTGTGATCAGTGCGGAAATCATCGATTTCGTCCTGGTTTTCTGATGATTCTTGAGCCGAGCCTGACGACGCACTGGTTCTTGTTGCGACGGAGTCAACCCTACGACGGACTTGGGAGGCTACACGTTTACCGTCCGCCAAGAGTCCGTCAAACATGTTTCTGAGACCGTTGTCGCGGCCATCTAGGTTTGCAACTTTCTCGTCGACGTGAGTCGAATTTCTCAGCGTATGGGCAAAAAAGGTCTCATAGGTTTCGTCAGCTAGTATTATCATGCGAAAAGTGGCCACGTTCATAACAGACCGTTTTTTAGGATTCAAAGCCGCGTTGGCTTTTAGAGAATCCCATTTCTTCTTTTTATGCTCGCTGGTACCGTCTTCGTCATCGGAAAGGTCAAGCAAGTCAACTTCCTCTTCTGGTTCCGATGCCCGCGCATATTCGAATGACCGTTGTAGGAAACTGCTTGCGGCTCGTAGATACCTTTCGGTCTGCTCTTGCTTATATTTTTCTTCATCGATAGTAACACCGCTGGGGAGCTCGAGATCACTTATTGCCTTGCCCTGACTCGAGTTCTCTTCAATTATCGTGTCTGCAATGTCATCTATAATAGCCTGTTTCGTGAGCTGATCAACGATGCGCCCGCTTTTCCAAGCGTCGGTTAAAAACAATAAAGCTTCAGAGATTTGTAAGATACCTTCGCCACTTGTCTCGTCGACACCAGGCTCGGTGAAAAATGCAAAAAAGTTGTTCATTGTTGACATGATGTCAGGAGATAGCAAGCCATCCAACCCAACGACGACATCGCTGAGAGTAAGCTCTCCAGCGGAGGTACGATCCCACCGTGTGAACATTCTTTTGAGGAAATCTCTTTTCTGCTTGCGGAATCTCGGTATGTGGTCACTAGCGCCAGCTTTGCACCAGTCACAAAATGAGCTTAGAAATTGAATGAATGCTTCAAAGTCCAAACAGGAAGACCCTGTCCCCATGCTGATTTTATGACTGTCGATACAGTGGTAAAACAAGTCATAGATGTTCGATAATTGATCTTGCGTCAGGTTGCGGACTTGGGGTAAATTACGCAGCTGTGTTCTTTTAGCGAAGGATTCGATGTTGTGCTGAATGTCTTTGCTAAAACGAGCTCTTTGTTGTTCAACCATGGAAACCGAGATGGAACTGAACTCTTTAAAAGACACAACCAATAGCTCTTGAAATTTGGTAATCTGCTTATACCTCGCATCTGTGGAATCTGGATGTGCGCTCTGGTCCAACGTTTGAAAGTAGTTCTTCAAAATTGCGATGAACATTCCATCGTCGTCAACTTCAAGAAGATCTTCCCCATTAACTTTAAGCACTCCGAGTGCGACTTGGAACAACGCATTAGGGCCATTCAACAAGAAGAGGTCCATTATTCGGAATGCAAAGGGCAAAGGCATAGCGGTGAAAAACAAAGATAGGAACCAGGGAAGAGATACTACCGATAATTGGATGTCATGCTCTACAATGTGGTCCCACATAACAGGCATCTTCTGCTCGACAAAGGACTCGAAGACTTTTTGATCTAATAGGGTACCATACATGGTTCTGGAATAATAGCCTGGGACGTAGTTATCGCAAATGCTGACCAGGCACCAAAACGCCTGTTCTTCGGTCATGAAGATCAATAATCCTGCCACCAAAATGTTCATGGCCTGGCAGTAACCAACATCAGGATTTTTCCAGGAGTAGGCAGTTAAAACGTTACGAAGCCGATGAATCCCGGTTTCTTCTTGATATGCTGCATACTCAGGTAGCGATCTGTTAAGATCTTTTTCAATCTCTTCGGTAGCACGAGTCTCTTTCCCGGCATTAGACTCCAGCAAAAGGCGGTATTCTTGAGGATTTGCAAATCTGGAGTACATCGAGCCGGAACATACTTCCCAGATCTCTCCCCTGAGACGATTAGGAATACCGACCCTTATGAGCTTATAAAATAGATTTTTCTTCACCAACGTGAGGTTCCGTCCTTGATCTTGGAAATAATCAAACCATAGTTTGAGTTTTGGCTTTTCCTTGGAGAGTTCCCCTGGATACTTGTACTTTTGACCTAGGCCGGAAGGTGGCGGACGAGCGTCGGACTTGTTCAGAACGTTTTTGGAGATGAGGTATTCGGAATAGCACGATTCGAGAAATGGCAATAATCTTTTGGTGTTCGGCACATTCTCTAGCAAAGACTTTTTAAGCTGTTGGCAAAACTGTTCAGTACGATTTCTCAGGCCAATGAACTGAATTGCAATCCTCGTTTGACAATGAAGTGTAAGAGATAGCGATGTTGCGTAGGACGACGAGGCAGCCCGTTCTACTTTCCGTACAGTACTCAAGCTGATAGTGAATGAGCACGACGTACTATCGAAGGAATCTTTGAAAACCAGATAATGCGGCGTCAAATATAGACGCCCGGAAAAAACGTACGACGCATTGTTAGCATTAGAGCCTTCCTTAGAGCCTGATGTGTTTCTAATACGCCTGCTGGGCTGTATGATGGAAATGTCGGCATTTGTATCGTCTAAAATGTGTTCTTCTTCTGGAAGTCTGTAAAGAAGCCGAAACTTTTGGTCTCTACTCACAGGCTCGAATGGATCTGCTAGCTTCTCTAGAAACTTGACAGATGCAGCTTTTTGCCGCAGCGTGTCGAAAAACGACATTTTTAAAACTTTCTCCAGAGTACGGCTCTCTCCAGACCTGTAATCACCTTTCGACTTGGCAATCTGTGTAATAAGTCAAGTGCGATACTCAAACTGGAAATAGTAGCAGCTCCAAGTAGAGCTTTGCCAGTTTTACAACTACTATTTATCCTGTTATACTTTCCCTTAACTTGAAGCGAAGATTTGAAGTTAAGATTAATTACATCTCATAAATGATGATTATGCATGATAATTGAAAAGTAGTGAAAACGACGTCTGACGGCAAGAAGAAAGGGAATAAACAGAGCCGATAAATGCGATTTCATTTCTTATATTTTTGATGTTTTTACGGTTATCGTCGATAAGCTGCTGGCATCAGAACCGGTGTCAAAATTCCCTACAAACCGATATATTTTAGAGAACTGTAAAGGTGAATGGAGGAATTAAGCTGTTATGACTTTTAAGTTTACACCATGACTTTCATCTGAGCGTCAAGGGAATCAAAATAGTATCAACTTGTTCGAGTCTCGAGCGATGGCTTGGATTACTTGTCATGATGTTTAAATCTGGCAAATTATGTCCATAAAAACATAGATCACAATATACGAGTGTGTCATCGCCTGTATTGGATGTTTCTTCTCTCAGGGTTGTCAGGTTCTACACGAAAGATGTGAAGCCTGGAATGCTACAGCGGCGTAAGCATTTAAAGATCTCCAAAACAAAGGATATTAGCAGCGGCTATCAAGTCACACAAGAAAAACAATAGTTTCGTTATAAAGTTCTTCTTTCTCATTAGCCGCCTAGCCCATGCACGTGATCATGGGTCACGTGCTTTGTTCGTTTACGTAATCTTCTCAGCAAGTGTCGCGTCAGGTGCTGTAGTCACCGGAAAGAAGGCCTCAACGCTGACTGTACTGGTCGGTGTCTTTAGCTCAGCAAGCGTATCATCGGCGCGTTCACTACCATGACCACTAGCGCGATCGCTAGTCTGGGTCTTGTGAAGATGCGTTGAGTTAGGATGCGCTTGAGCCGCTTTGACATGTCCGGGAAACCGCACAGACTGGGGACTGCCTGATGTTGCAGAACCAAGTTTGCCTAGCGATTCGATATTGTCCAACTCTTTGGCCTTCTTATGAAACGTCAATTTATTGCCAATAATGTTACCCGTGTGTTGTAGCACTATCTTTATAATGTCTTTCTTGAGGGTTGCAATAAATTCTTCGCGGGACCACAGCCGACGGGAATACCGCAGTGTTGGGACCTTCACCGTTAGATTGTCGACATTTGTGATGAGACTTCGTGAACCTCGGTAGCTGATAGACATTGTGACTTTCTCGATCACCACAAGACCCACATTGAAATACCGAGATGATCTGTCGACCATTTCATTCATGTCTTGCGCGTTTCGCCGAGTGAGAATTGATGGGGGAGCAGGCGAAGAAAGCCGGGAATTGCTCACCAATGGTGATGAAGAGAAAGTTGACGACATGTTCCTCAGTCTCAGGTTCAGGTTCAAACCTGAAGAACTTGGCCGAGAGCGGGACGACGACGTGTCTTGTGTCAAGGTATGCACTTGTGATGCAGTGTCAATGCTTGGTGAGGGAAACAAATACTGGAGCAGAAGATCCGATGTCCGATGATCCATTTTGAAAGTAAATGGTTTCAGTAAAACGACAAGGTTGACCAGATCCGAAATACCTCCCACGGACGGGCCAATGAGCCACGATATTTCGATCAAGGGTTTTGAGTTTTCAACAGTATCTTCATAAGGACCAAGTAGCTTTCTGTAGACTGCATTCTTTTGCAAGTTAAAGCACGACAGCGATGAGATGGTAATTTTGTTGCTGTTTGTGCCGTCCAAAGCTTGTGACCGGTAAAAGCTTGCCGTTCCCAACTCGAATAAGACAAAATCATTTTCTTGATCATCAAGTAATCGCCAGGTCACCTCGTCTGCGCCAATCTGCCAATACAACTTGTCTTGATGATTTTCAGAGCCGCCGGATAAACGCAATTTGTCGTGATTTTTCTTGATGGCACTCATCAAAAGGTTCAACTCCAGAATTGCAGCGTCCAGTTCAGTTGCAATAAGATGTGCGACTTTCTTGTATCCTTGAGGATCGTGCATCTTCAAATACGCGCGAGTTCTATCCAGATTTTTTATGGATTTTTGGAGGTTTACTATTATTGATACATCCAGTTTATCCAAATTGTTTCGCACTTCCTCAGCAAGCATGACCCTCGAAAGCTTGTCAGCTTTTTTATCGAAGCTAGAGGCAAAATGCAACATTTCTACCGCAATAGCGTAGATTGAAGAATATTGGTCAGAGTTTGACGCCAGTGTAAGCTTGGGAAAGCCAATTCGCACTTTTGCCTCGCTTCTATTCATTTTATTGGTCTTGTCTTGGAAAAAAAGCGAGTTTGGCTGTGTAAACAGCATTATCATATCATTTCTCTCCAAAAACAGGGAGTCCTCAAGGGCTTCACAGTTATAGCACATCTCCATGGGGAGCCAGGGCGGCCAAAAAGCTGATTTACTGTCTGCACCATATCCATTCATTTCGAATCCAAGGCCATTATCAGATGATAGATCGCCTCGATCGAAAATGAAGAAGTGTGCTTCATTCAACTTTGTAGCAAACCTTGTCTCAACTAAACTGTTGACATCGACCGGTGCATTATGAAGTGATGAAAATGGCATTTGATTGATCTCCACAATTGATGTTTCGACATCTCTTGCAGTAATCAAAATGCACTTTTGAGAAACTTCTTCAGACGTGACCTGAATCTGCGGGAGCACGAACTTAATCTGAAGGGTGTCACGGGCTTCAAGGCCTTCTTCAGCAATCTTCCTGATAATGTCCTCACAGCGTTCAAACAAATTCGCATTTGATAAGGTGTCTTCCAAAAGAGCATCGTATTCTTTTCTTAAACGACCCGAGGGCAGGTTCCAGAGCTTTACCTTTAACAACTCTTCCAAAAGAGCCACAGATTTGTAGGTCTGGAAGAAACTTGACTTTTTTCTGTTCAGCACATTAAACACATAATCCAGCAACATGTCCCTTGTCTTGTTATTGACCTTCAGTAAAATGTTATGCAAAATAAATCTGTTATCGAAGGAAGATTTGACAAAAGCACTGGTAGCTTTTCTCATAGAGCGGAAGGATGATAGAGTGTTCACCCTCAATAACGCCTTATGAGATTCGGACTTGGATAAGTCACTTCCACTGGAAGCGCTACTCTCTAAATCATCGGATACCAAAGAGTTCGAAGGTAGTTTTGACAGCATCAAGTCTTCCAAGACAACATGAATAATGTGAAGTCTGTGCCGAAAATCGTGGTAGCGAGCACGTAAAGTCTCGAGATGTTCGTCCACTTTTGTGTGCTGTTGAGAACTTTTTGAAGTGGGAGTGAGCTCTGAGATGACCTTCTCGATAGAGGACAATTGTGACTCCAACTCTTGAGCTCTCGCTCTCGCCAGGAGCTCCTGGGTAACCATAGGGTCGTTGTGGCCCAGAGCACATTCATGATCACTTTCTGACCCGAAAGGAAACTTTAAAGATTCTCCTTCAGAGAGTTCTCTTAGATAAGATATTCTGGGGGAGTACAGAAGGGGCGCTTCGTCGAAAACACGAATCTTAAAGCGCTTCCCCATTCCTTGATTAATGTCATTGTAATCTTCCAAGTTGAACCAGCTACGATTAGAATTCCCATTTTGTGAAGACGCGAATGTCGAATTTTGATCTGGTTCTTCAGATGAGGAACGCTGCCAACCACCTTGACTTTGATCCTCTCTCGAGGAGGCTAACTGTGAGTATATCATTCTAATGTCTGCTGTACGACAATCAATCTCACCGGCATTCATTTTGAATTTCCAGACAGTCCTGGAAGTCCCCAAGTTGGTCTCTGCGTGATCCATCTTCACTCTTTTTTGATGAAGATCCAAGGTCAGACTCTCAAAAGAACCTTTCAGACTCGTAAAAGCAGTCTCATCACTGTCGCTGTTACTGAGTTGCGAGTCAGCATGGATGTACGTATGGCAAAGCATAAGAGGTGAGACCTGAAGGGAATATTTGACGGTGAAGAGAGCTTTTGAGAATTTCTTAGGGTTTTGAAGAAGGTCCGGAAACAGTGGTCCCTGTCGAATTGGTCCTGACGTGTAGGTACTAAACAAATTCCACCAGCTGAAAAAATGTGTCATGCAATAGGGCGCCAAGTGGACATTGTTCGAGCTTTTGACGCTAGTTCCATTTTTTACCTGAAAAAATAGGTGGATAAAGTCACTTCTAAAGCCCTCGTATGAATCATGGACAACGCTAGGGTCCAAAAATCGAGGATTGCAAAGATTGATTTTATAATGAGGTTGAAAGGTGCTTGATCTTTTCACGCTTCCCGGATCTTTAGGATTACCGGCTTCAAAAGATATACCCATAGTCCATGTCACATAACCGCTAAGTTCCATCAGTGTTTTTTCAAGTCTCCGTTGGTGCGTGAAATCTCTTATTGCCAGTAAGAACTGATTAGATGTTATTTTGAGAAATTCTGTGGGATCGGACGATTCGTGTAACGAAAGCCGAGCATCACCTCTCCAGCAGAAGGAAAGACCCGCTCCCTTATCTGTCACGAGGTATGGGTCGTGTGAACCTTTCAGATTCAGGTGAAACTCGCTATTTCCACGCCACTCTAGAATTAGCTGCCCATGAATTAAAAGACGGAACTTGTCCCAGAACCCCAATTTTTCGGAGGGATCCACAGGCGGTTTTGACAAGTAATCAAACCATATCATCACAGCTTGGAAACCAGGCTGAAGCGACTTACCCCATGTTACGGTGGTAGGCTTATCAGATTCAACCTCGCACTTCAGGTTCATGTATGCTTTCAATGGGTTCAGAGTACGGACGATATTTGATCCGTAAATGGAATTGGTGGATGTGTAAAGTTCACCCGTTGCGCCCGGAACAAATGGCACATGAACGTACCTCTTTGATAGTGGACAAGGCATTCGCTCAGCAAAAACGAGGTCGCCTTTAATACTCATATCAGGGAAGAAGGCTATGGGTAGCGGGTAGTCTCTCAGTATAAATTCACAACGGGTCCCAGAAAGCTCAACTCCAAGCGGGATCAAGGTTGTGAATTTTGTATTTCGCGGCATCTTTTTTCCATATTTGTAGAAAAACTCATCGCAGTTCTGCAAAGGGAACGAGGGTCGATGCAACCTCAAATGCACATCTTCAAGCTCAACTTTGAGAATTGTGCTGTTCAATCCTTCGAAAACTTTAAACGATGAAGTTCCAATATCAAGTCGATTGATCTTAGTAAAGGGTCTTCCAAAAAACCTTAGGCGTGCCTTTTTCATTCTATTTATCCAGGAAATAGAAAATTGCTCAAAAAGCCTTTGTAGCTTATCTTCTCGGCCTAGATGAGCAACACTATCATGATTTAGTGTTGGTGACAGCTCTTGTTCCATAAGTCTGAGCTTTTCTATGCGTTCCAATTGTTCGGTAACCCCCACCTTATAAATGAGACCCAACTCTTGCTCGAAGGGGTCTTCTTCAACATCAAGTGTCAGAATGCCGGTTTCGAAGTGTATGGGAGGTACGCATTTAGCGTCCTCTACTTGAGGTTCGCGGGCCATAATGTTGAAATAGTCTCCGAAGTATCCGCTCAAAGCCTTGATGCATTTGATCATCGTACTGATATTATCCAGAATTTTGTAAAGCCTCAAATGGTATTCGAACTTAACCCAGGTAGTTTCTGTTTTGATCTCAAAGGGCATTTCTTCGTGCGAGGCTTTATTCATCTTCATAAATGCTTTGTGCATTCTAAGAATAGGAACGAAGGTATCGTTCGACTGGTACACGGTTGTTGTAAAAATCTGTAGGGAACCCATGTTCAAAGTCATAGAATTGCCAGCCAACGATCCGCTTTCTATTGCAAGTTTAAGTTTAATTGAATGAGGTAGTTCGATGTTAATGAGAAGTGACACAACATCGGCGTCAATGAGCCTGAAAAATTTAGGCAATTCGAAGTGAGAAGATTGAGACTCGATTGGTGATTTGGGCGTTTTACTCTCGAACAGGCCATGCGCAATGTCTCTCAAATAGAAAAAAAGCCAAACGGTATTGATATCAAAGCTGACGCTACAGGATGGGATAATGAAACGAAACTTTTCTTGACGGCGTTCCAATACAAAATCTTTGACTGACATGATAGGACTTTTTGAATAAGGAGCCCCATTGTCTTCCATCATTTTCTCGATTGTTCCTTTTATGACGTGTAGTTTCTGGCCGTTGGAACAGAAATCCATGAACGCCTCTTGTAGAATTATGCTAGAGCCTCGAGTGTAATGTGCGAGGTTTCTGCAGCTTCCCGACTTGTCCAGTATTGTGGGCAAGTAATCTGAGACCATGAGAGACGCAACAGCGTTCTTCAGACGTAGTTTTAAAGAAAAGCCAAGTTCTCTCCCCTTCGCACGGCGCATTTTTTGCGATTTGATCCTTGTTGTCCACTCTCCAACATACTGGCCGACGCCCTTAATGACTTCGACATCCTCGACAGAGATTTTGAGATTTCTCAGCGTGCTCGTAATAATAATTTCATTAGAAATAATGCTCTCACCGAAGAATTCCCATTTGCTGAAGACAACTACGGGAAGTTCATATGCATGGGTACTGTCATCTCCACCGAAGGAATAAAATGTCAGACTAAACTTGTCAATTTTCAGAAAGTTGTCTGTGTGGTCTCTCGTATCCCGCAGGTCATCTGCACTTGATTTTATTCCTTCACTACCAGTTTCAAAAGCACGTCGATTTTGTCCAAGAGAGTGAACATTTGTGGTGCGGAACACGAAATGTTTTGTCGAAGAAAGCTTCAGCGTGAAGGACAGGTTAGAAACAATGATCTTTGTAACGAATTCAGGATAAACATCGAGGCCAAAGACTTCGGTCCATTTACGGCTTTTTGCACTTCCATGTGGGCGGACATAAGCGTCATCAGCGCCAGGGATGGTGTATTCCCAAAGCTTCACAAGCTGCTCCTGCGTCAGTAAAATAGAGGGATCAACCGCTGCTAGAGTGCATGCGACAGTTGGATAAGTTTTTTCGGGATTCATGACAGCGGAGATGAGATTGAAAACGGAATTGACCGTTACCGAAGGTAGCTTGAGAAAAGCCTCGTCGTCCAGAGAGAGTGTAGTTGAGTTTATAGTAAAAAGTACTTCGTGAATGGGTTCATTGCGCAGGTTAGAGAAAAGTTCGAGAGCGGTGTGCTCCGTATAATCTGTGACTTTTTGAGACAAGTACATGGAAGGAATACTGATGTGGAACGACGGCCCTACTGCGATGGAGAGATTCTCAAATCTAGCATCAATACTTCCCAAACTAGAAAGCACGCGTAGAATATTTTCTTTTTTGGCAGTCCAGTCAGCTTCATCTTTCGGAGAGTCTTCAGCAGATGGGGCATGTGAGTGATTGGCCATAGGTGGTCTTTCGTTAACATGTAGCCGAGCACCGATTAGCACCAAACTATGATCGTGCCTCGCGAGACGCATTCGACGTCCGGTATTACTGCCTTGTTCGGAATCCTGCAAGGTGATGTTGATATCGTAATGAATTGCTCGTATTTTGACAATATGTTTGTTATCCTGGATACCTGAGGCATTGAAGCTAAGGTAGGGTTTTGTGAGCCCGTTAGCAAAGCTGATACGGACGTCACCAGTAGCCAATTGCAGCCTCAAGCCCGAATGCGGCCAGACCAGGGTTGCATTTTTCACGATAATTTTCTTTGGGCCCAGATATCGGAGAACAACCAACAAAGTATGACTTAATGACAATTTCAGTTGCAGCACTTGGGGCGTTTGCTTGGGTTGAGATACAAATGAGTTGCACTTCACTGTAATGTCCCTTAATTCTATGCTATAACCTCGAAAAGCACGAAGTATCACTGCCCCCAATGATACCCTATAATTTTCATACTCGAAATGTGAGAAATAAAGCCCATTCAGAAAGGGGAGCCCTACCAATACTCTTCGTACTTTCCTTGAGGAGCCCTTTTTTATAGTCCAACCACAAACTATTGTGTTCGTCACCACTACAAAACCCACCACAAGTAGAAGTAGATAGCGCAATGAGGACGCTATTAATGACCAATAATCAAGCATAATCGCTTACTTGGAAACGTGTGTTTTGCCCACTACACGTTACGTGTATCCGAGTCAGTTGTCGCTAGTGCTAAAATGTCCTTCAAAAGCCAGGTTCATGGCTTATCCTTCGTTGAGTTCCCAATGCTGTTCATTGGCGGTTCGAGCGGTATTTTTATATTCCGGAAAAGTGCCAAAGGGCACTATGTACGGCAGGATTCATAACGGACTTCGCTCGTGCTAGAAGGGCGATTACGTTCGGTACTCATCTGTACCCATGCACTGGTAGGTTGACGAGTTGTTCTTTGCATCAGGTTGTTGACACAGGAAACCAGTCTTTACAGCTTTAACGAGTCTTTAGAACTTGAAGTTTAACCCTTACTTCTGATCTTGTAGAAGTAAATCTGATTGCTTTGCCTTCCCGACATTTAAAGAGCATGGCCTCGCATTCGAGTAATCATAGGTGACATTCACCACTCTTGGTTCGTGAAGGTCTTGAAGAATGTTTTAACGTCATGCTTACAGAGCTAATGCGCCGGATTTGTCGCCTTTTGATTGTGACATGTTTATCATTGGCTTTCTGGCCTTCATATCACGTAGCTATACAGATTCCAGTTTCTTGGCGAGCTCTGATAGTTTGGATAAGTCCATTTCGTCAAATGGAAAGCCATCTTTGTGTGCGCTTTCCAAAACAGAACCCATAAGTGTAAACATCGAATGGATTTCATGGTGTGGATGAGCTGCAGACAAGATAATTTGCATAGTGGACAGGTAGTGTTTTTTGAACATCACATCGTAGGCTCCCATGTCAATCCCGTTGAGCCAGCCGTGGGCTAAAGGATAGAAAAATTTAGGTGCGACTCGTTGAAATCGATTTTCAAGCCTAGTGTTATTATCACTCGCTTTGTCGAGTTTCTTCGATCTCCATACCGTCTGATTATTTGAAAGTACCTTCTGTTGCGTGCCCCCACCGGTTATGGACTCCCGTTTAGACTGGTCCCAAGACAGTCTCTCGGTTGGGAAATCAGTTTGCGGCTTTAGAATAAAATTGTCATCTATACCTCGCAGCTCTCTGGCCGAAAGACTCATCACAGAGAGAATTGTAATTCTCTGTTGTAGAGATAGTTCCTGTTCGAACAATATCTTAACCAACTGAACAACCTTTTCGGGAGTGGTGACCAAAATACTCACCAACGCATTGACCTTCCATTCTTGAAATTGCGGTTCGTCCAAGCTATTGTTTAGAAGGCAAATTATCGTCAAGAGCTGACTGCTATAAGTATTGACCTCAAGAGCGAAGTCCTTTTTCTGCCGCACCAGTCTCACTGTAGTCTGTAACAGGTGGATGCGATTGCTACCATTTTTCTCTTCTCGCTCGAATTCGCGTACCAGGTCTTTTAGGAAGACGATATTGTAGCCGTCCGCATCCTCATGACTTTCAGACAGCGTCAAATCAGCAATCTTCATCTCATTGGCCGATTCCAGGGGGAGTGATGTAGTAGCTTGATTGCTGCGACTCCTTTCAAGGAGACCGTAGTCAATAACATCAGTCTCTGGAACTTCAAATTCTGGAATCGTTATTTTGAAGTCGCTCTCGAATTCAAGCCCTCCGTCTGTGACCTGTTTGGCTAACCACATGGTCCTTTCTCTAATTACACTATCCTGAGAACTCAACCGGGTCGTGACGGCATCCAGAAAGGAGGAGTCGGAGCTGACCCTCAACCTTTCATGGCTTGGGAGATAGTCAAAAATAATGGCTAGTAGAATGCACGTTGACGCGTCGTCTGGAAAATCACGTTTCCCAAAAAAGCCCATCAAGTATCGGTACAGACTTAGCTGCTCGCTTTCTTCCATGATTCTGATCATAATAGACTTCAAGAGCGGACTTTTCAGATCCATGAGGTAATTATAAGGTATGTCAATTTTTCCCATTGCTTTCAGTAATGTGTAGATAGACGGCGCGCTCTTGCTTGTCGTTATAGTGTCCAAATATTTCGCCAGGCTTCGGAAAAGTCGGGTGCGGCAGAGAACGGACCCACCGTGGAACATTTGTAGCCATTTTTGAAAGCGTTTTGGGCCGGCGAGCACTACACCTCCAAATAATAGATCAAGGCAGAAGCTTTCATGAAGGCTAAGAAATGAAGTCAAAAAGTCCGCATAAAGTTTGGGACTCAGATTTTCAACGTTGTCAAATATGTACTCAATTTGACTTCGCAACATTTGTACGAACGATAGAATGTCCACATCTTTGCCCAAACAGTTCAAAATCTTGCTCCCAAAAAACGCTGACTTTATAATTTGAATCTCTAATGCGTTTCGTGATTGGCCAATGTAGTTGTTTAGAGCACTTGGCTTTTCTTCCAAAGCTTCAAGTAGAAATTCCTTGTAGATCTTGGCTTCTGGTTTGCTCCGCAACATGTCAATCAAGTTTATCGTGTGTGTGACAAGGTTGAACTCGCTTTCAAAAAGTTCAAGTAGGTCCTTCCGTACAATCCTCGGCAAAGATGGAAATATGGGTATCACATATTTTACTACCGCTGCAGCGCTTTCGAGGTTCAATGGCCTGTCCTCGCCAAACATGTGAAGGCATTTTTGAATCACATCTGCTGAAGGTTGATGTTTCAGTAAGTCAATTGCATGGGCTACATTGGTTTCAGACATTGTCTACCAAAGATATCAGATTGATCCAACTCTGCCCTTCTGACTTCATCTTTAAGTATGTTGGCGATGATCAATCAACAATTAAAAAATGTGTAGACATCATGATGTAAACACAAAGTATTGGCGAAACAAGGACGTCTTTAACTCCACAGCATCACGGATGGTCGAAGAGAATGCCATATTGCGTGATTTTGATCTGAACAAGCCCGATGTATCCTTGGAATTGAAGATCGGGAGTGCTGGCGCCACGAACCACTGTATTGATAAAGACGCGAATTTCTGGGGACCTACAGGATCGAATTACTCCCTGAAAGCATCCCAATACCTACAAAATGTTGAAGAATATGCAAGCAATCCCTCTTCTGGCCAATTCGGAATATTTTGTCGGAGCCTTTCTCGTCTGTACAGGGCATACCTGTGGAAACACCAGGTGCAGAAAATTAAGGACCTGGCTAAACTGAATATGCGCGCTGTTATCAAGCTTTTGGAGATACAAGATTACGAATCTGCTAAGCGTGCAATTTTGTTACTGTTCAACGAGACAAGTCCGAGCTCTCATTCAACGCTGGACCACGTACTCAAAGCAGACTTCACCACTTATAACGACCATTATTTGGGAGCACTGAAAATCTTGGTTTTGCAAACCTTGATTCGAAGCAAAGGATACCAACAACACGAACACACAATTATTCAGATTTTTGAGAGAGATGCTCGCTATCTATTGAGAATGAGCAAATCAAAAGTGCCATCTCTGCTGAAGCTGGTTCTTAGCTTTTATTCGATCTTCGTGGACTTCAAAGTCCTCTTCGGTATCAAAGTTCTACAGTATGTCAGGCAATTTGATTTAAACTTTGTTAGTTATGTTAAAAACATGACACTACAGCAATTCCAAAGTCAAGTTCAGGCATCGGCCCAGAGATCTCTCCTCAAAAGTGCAAGCCATCTAGCCATCTTTTACGCCGATTACTCAAGAATTTTCACTTCATCAGACAAATTGATGCTTCCCGATCTCATTGGAAATACAGAAGCAAGCCACACGTCCAAAGTCTCCAGCATCATGAATGAGCTACTCGTGGCTTCATGGAGCCGCTCAAAAAAAATATTCTCACAACCGCTGTCATTAAAGGAACAAAGCTCACTAATAGACTCAGTCGAAACTAATATAAGCGAGAAAGTCTCTGAGGTACCCAAGACAGCAGCCCTGCTGCTCAACTTCATGGAATTCGCCAACACTAATTTTAGTTCAGGTCTCCGACAAGTATGGAGACTTATTGACAAAATAACGCTTTTTCTGAATACCCACCTATCTCGTATTACCTTACATGTTTTGAAAGAGCTGATTTTCAGTACCTCCGAGTTTTGTGTGAACAATGGGGAAATAAAAAGATTGTTAAACATCGCCAATGTCGCTTTCAATGGTTTTGTTGTTCATAACGTCGGTGCTTTTCTTATGGAAGCTACACGCCTAGACCTTCTAGGCCAGATGTTTTCAGAGCATGAAGAGATGAATCTTGCAAAGCTAGAAAGATTTCTCACCAGTGCATCAGCAGAGCATCAAATCCTACTTTTGGAGAAATACTTCAGTATTTTTACCTTTTTCAAGTTCGATAAACTAAGCCAGATTACTCGTGCCGTGGGAAAGTTTTCTAGGTGCTTCAAATGCTTGAAAAATAAACCGTTGCAGGAATTAAAAGGTGCATCTGAGCTCATGTTGTGTCTATTGAATCCAAATCTTTTTCCAGATCTCGGCTCTATTGAACATTGGAGTCCTCTTACGCAAATGATCTTTGAAACACAGCGTGGCTGTATGAATCGGGACAATATCCTAAACCGAATGGCAGAATCTCTGGATCCTCTCAGACCTTACACCACTTTGATAAAAACAACATTTGCCCTGGAATTAGAGACAAGAGCGGATACGTCTCTCAAACTGGCTAGAATAACCGATGTGTACATTGAAAGGTGGGTCAAAAGAGCGGAAGGTATTGATGAAGCACTAACCGCTCTTGAGCTTTCGCTTATTCATGCGCTTTTTGGAGTTTTACGCTTCAACAGGTTCTACAGTAAGATGATGACTCTAGCCAACGCACTACTTTCCCAGAATGGTAATTTCTATGAAAAGTGCCAAACATATTCCCAACGGCAATGGATTATTGGCCGCGCTGGTCTTCGATTAGACGACCATAATGACAGCACAATCCCCTGTTTGCAAACCGTGATAGATGTCTCCACCGCGGGTGCCACCGAGTTGACTGAATTTCTTGATATTGAGCTTCAATCAATAGAGAAAGATCTCAAAGTTGCAGAATTCAATCAATTATTCGCTCATGACCTTCCAAGATTAAGATCCGAAGTATTTGATACCGCTAATGCAAGAAAGATGCCAACAAGAACATATGTCAAGTTCCTGTTGCTTTCTATAAAAACCTTATGCACCAGCTCCGTTTTGCAGCGATATTGTGGCAATTTACAGGATGCGCTTGTTGATTCTAAAAGAGCTTTAAAGCTATGCCAAACCCTTTTGAGAAAATTGGCACATATTGATCAAGAAGCACAATGGGAAATATTCACATCTTTGTGCAAGACTTACAAACAGATTGTTGATATCTATGCCCAAGCGAGTATTTCTAGAGATTGTGAATTTTATGTTGAAGAGTTTCTCAAAGTTTGCTGCTCTACTAGTTCACCAATAGTGATCTTTGATTGTCTTAACATCTGCTTAGAATACTACCGACTTACTGGACAGGAGAAATTAGCAGATGCTCTCTTGAGAAAGGCTAATGATACCTATAAGCGTATCGATAATAAAGAATGCTCAGAGGCCAAGCTTTGGTTTCTTTTCGACAATGATGAGAAAGAATGTCTGACAGCTCAACTTAATATCATGCAAACAACAAACAGGTCACTCTATAACGCATGGTCGCTGAAGCTTGGAAACACTTTATCAAATGCGCAAATCAGTGCTTCGCACAGTAAAGTGAACGATATGAACAAAAGCAAAATTCTTTATGAGAGTATTGTTCACCAGTTGGACGCGGATCCATTTTTTAGGAGTTTAAAAGATGTTGTTTCCACAGTTCCATCTTCTGTGACAGCGGCTTTACAAGCTCAGAGCGCTCTTCCAAGATGCAACAATAACTCGACTCCTGTAAAAAGTAAACTGCCTCTTTGCGCTTTCAGCTCTCCCAGACCATCTTCATTAACTCCTCGAAGTAAGCCTTTGAAACAAAGCTTTGACTCTGCAAGAACAATCCGTGATTTTAAAAAGCTCAAACTGCTTGTCGAAACACTTGACTTGGAAGGATTAAAAATCTTTGAAACCAGAGAGATTTCTGATCTCTATTCTCTATCTCTTTCGCTTTTGAGCAGCACAGATGCCACGAAACTGAGCGGGCCAGAATTGAATCACAACATTGCGCTACATGACATTCCTAGATATCTGCCATTAAAATTTGACCGAATGTTTTCAGCACAAGGCAATGAAATTTATGGATCTTTCAAACCCAAAGCCATCCTCCAGGCGAATCATCTGTTCAGAGACCATATGGATAGTCTTCAGAATATACTAAGCGAAAAGTCACAGATTCTAGACACTAAATTCGACGTGATAGGCATAGATGTTTGTGGGGCGACTGGTGACCTACTGCTGTCCAAGATGGACTTTGAAACAGAATCGATATGTGTTAGATTACCACTGGGGCGACAAAGCTCTCGAGACGTGGATGAGTCGGTTTTAAGTTTCAATGACGCTATTGCCGAAATGAACGACGTAATAAGCGCTAACAATAAATCCACAGCAATTGAGGTTACTTCTAAAATAAACACGAAGGAGGAACGCAAAGAATGGTGGCAGCACCGGTACGGGCTCGATAGTAGACTGAGTACAATGCTAAAAAAAATCGAAAGTTCCTGGTTCGGTGGTTTTAAAGCTTTTTTCAAACAAAGCATCGTCGAGCAGCAGCATCTCGACAACTTCAGACTTAGATTTGAAGAGGTACTGCAGCGCACACTGCCTACCAGAAAGCAGTTCAAAAGCCCAAACTCTTTTTTCAGAATTGGCGACGCTGTTCTCGCTCTCTTTCTTAAGTTGGATCCGTTGGATGCAGACTTTGCCGATTCCATGGAAGATCTTATCTTTTTCGTTTTTGATCTTTTGCTGTTCCATGGCGAGCAAAACGCGTATGACGAAATCGATACTGCTTTCTTGCACATCCAGCTAGAAGAACTCATACATGAATATCGTAAAAACGGGAATCAGGCTGCCAAATTATCTCACACTTTTTTAATTGTATCTGGTGCGGGCCATTTGATACCATGGGAAAGTTTGAGCTTTTTGAGCGGCAATTCTGTAAGTCGGCTTCCCTCAATCCAAACCCTGGTTGATGTGATTAAAACCGGTCGAAACACTCTTTCGCCCAGAGTGCAGTTGGATAAAAACTTGTCGGTGGTTTTAGATCCTCAGGGAGATTTACTGCGTACGCGAAACACATTCAAGGATGTCTTTGCCGACTGGAATGCTAATATTCCACAATCCAAAGTTGTAGTCGGTGAAAAACCCCAGGAAAGTCAGCTTCTTGATATGCTAAGCGATTCAAAGCTATTCATTTACATGGGACACGGAGGCGGTGAGCAGTACGTGCGTTTGAAAAAAATCAAGCAGCTCGACAGTGCGGCTCCGAGCTTTCTTTTGGGGTGCTCTTCCGCTTACATGGAAACAAAAGGCAGATTAGAGTCTTCCGGAGTGGTATACTCATACTTATTAGGAGGTTCACCCATGGTTTTAGGAAACTTGTGGGACGTGACGGACAAAGACATTGATAAATTCAGCAGCGTTATGTTTCATGAGCTGGGGATCATGGGACAGTCCTCGTCAGACAAGTCTGTTTCCGAAGCAGTGTCAATTGCTCGCAGCTCGTGTCATTTAAGGTATCTAAATGGAGCGGCACCTGTGGTTTATGGACTCCCGCTGAAGTTTGGGTGGTGAGAGTTGTTGTTTAGTCGGTATGAATTAACAGGTTATATAAGGCATTGCAGAGATTTTTATTTGAGGCGTAATTGACTATGAATCCCTCTGGTCTTTCCAGAAACATATCTTGCAGGGTTTTGTCGTCGATTCCAGCCAGGTTCATGACAGTGGACTGGTCTGCTTGAATTTGTAATTTAGCAGGAATCAATGGATCGCTTATGATCCTAATATCGCAAGATGTAGGGCTGTTGTTACCGCCGTTTCCACCGCAGTTTGCATCATGCTGCAACTGCTGTGACAAGCCTTCATAAACCTGTTTGAGTAATTCGAACCTTACTATTTGCGCTATGGGGGCAGCTTTGGGCTGACCAATGTCTCTAAAGTCTATATGCCGTATTGTTTTGTTTAAAGACGACGTGGGAACCCATTTCAACGGACTGGCCTGATTTTTCACTAGCAAGGCGTTCCTGTTGCTGATATACGATGCTGGTCCGATTCTTCTTGCTGATGCAGCTATATCTAGTCTGAATGGTTTTTCCACGTCAGAGTCCGTTTCCTGCACTAGTTTGACTTGTGTGAGTAGCTCTTTCGGGCAATGCAATCGTGTGACTCTATCTAGTCGCATTGGCGAGGCCAATATTGCTGCATACATATTATTCTGCAAGCATTCGCCAATGCGTGGTACTTTGCTTGCATCGCGGAAATACAGTTTACGAGGCTTTCCAGCCCATTTTTCGAAATTGGTGATGACTGGGGACACTGCACAATCGGGTTTACGTGGTATGCGTCCACGTTTCTCACCAACAAGCCTCTCCATAACGTGAACCAGTACATCGGGTTTGGACTTTCTCATCATAAAGAGCTATTCTAAACTAAAATGTCTATACACATAGAACAGCTACAAACGACAAAGACGTAAATATACGCAAAAATATCCACAGATTCTTGAAAGTTCGTGGTCCTTAATGGCGAAAACTGAGTTTAGCTAACAAAGACCACTTCTGACGTTAAGTTCATGAAGTTGATGGTGTTGATCGATGTCATCAGGTTAATTTTGACATATTATTGATATAAATTAGAATATCATGAATATCATGAAGTTGAGTCCATTGTTGAAAAATTTCGAGAGCTCAACCTTTATTCTCAAATCAGCTTGGAATATACACATGTATACGGAATTGTGGGGAGCTGTCTTGTGTGTTAAAAGTCACTATTTAGCTAGCTTGAAAGTACGTAGTGAGCTTACTTTGTGTTGCCTTAGCCTGCATTAGTTTATACTTTAGTTTGAGTCCCCCTTCGAGATGATGAAAAGTTCAGGATCTCGATTCTTCTCGACACTAGAGAAAAGCGCTGCTGGCGCTGTAATTCAGCAGAAATTTAGAGACTCAATGGCCACTATGGGCAGTCAGGCCATGATCTTGACATCGGCAGGTCCGACAAGCATGCCGCACTCATCTTTCCGGGGTGTGACGCTGAGTTCTGTAAGCTCGTTATCACTGAAACCGCAGCCAATGCTGCAATTCAACTTGCAACTGCCGTCGTTTACGTCAGAAGCGCTGCATGCTCACAACTACTTCGCTATACACCTTTTAAAGCCAGATTCCAGATCCAAGGCGTTGGCCAGGACTTTCAGCAAAGGAGCCATGACGCACCAGGACAGCGGAAAGGTAATGCCTACACAACCTTTCAAAGACCTGACTGAATCTGTGCACTACAACACTTACAGCCTGAAGGAGAACGACCTGGTAATTCCGATGTTGGCAAACGCAGAGCGTGTGTTTGTTTGTCAAAAAAAAGATGTGTTCAAGGTCGGGGACCATGAAGTTTGGATAGGGAATGTTGAAGATATCATTGAGAACAACACACTAGGTACTGGAAAGATAAGCGGAGGCTTGATCTACTGCAATAGGAAGTTTCACAAGCTTGGTGGGCACATTGAATAGCTCAGTTGGAAAAAAACCTATAGTTTAAACAAAAAGTACTGTTTACGGAGACCAAAGTTAGCGTGCGTGCGTGTATATACATGAACTGTTGGTTCAATTGGATGCTAAATGTAAATGCAAGAAGAAGTGCTGATGATGGTATGGCTGTTGCTGGAAAAAAGTGAGATGGCAGCATGGGAATCCTCTATGGAAAGCTGAGGTGCATAATCAAGGGCTGCGAGTTCGATTCCGATAGATTGATTGGTTCACATTGATCGCGTCAGGATCATTGCCCTCCTCAATTCGGTTCCCTGACATGAAATAGTCCGTCATATTGTTATTACTGACGTCCCCGCCCTTTTTGGAGAATAAAAGACTATTCAAAGAGCCAAAGGAAACGTTCTTCTTATGCTTTCTGAAATTGTGAACCCCTCCATGGGTCAAACTGTGTGAGCTGTTACCAGATTTGACGCTAGTATACACGTTGTGCGGAGTCTCGTCGTTCGCAGCAGACAGATTTCCACCGCTGGCATTTTTACGCAAATGAACTTGAGAACCCCTGGTGATGGGACCCGTTTCGGCTACTCTGGACGCCGGTGGTGATCTTTCGCCCGACCTTTCGCTGTTGGCTTGATGCTGCAGCGGTGGCGATTGCTGCCTCTCCGTTTTATCGCCTGAGAATTCACGATCGTTCAGTTTGACCTGTGGGACAGCTGAGGCCTTGTTTCGATCCACACCAGCCGTGTGTTCTGCAACAGGATCCAATCCTGGTGTTGAGCTTTGAGATGTTGGTCTCACGGGAATTGCGAAATATCCACCCCCGCTGCTGGCATGACTGCCAGGAGAGTTGACTGGCAGTTTTCCAGAACCGTCCGAGCTCGCACCACTAGGGGTCACACCGCCTGACAATCCACTGGGCGTCCTTGCTTTCTGTGGCGTGTGCCTGCCAGTGGAATCGATGGCTGTTATCCCGTTGCTGGTAATTGCGATTCCTTGCTTCATTGGCGAGAGGGCCGAATCTTCTGGAGTGTCACGTCCACTTCCACCTGCGCTAGGAGACCTCGAATCCGCGTTAGATGGTCCTAAAGGTGAAGAGACCCTAGAATTGCTTTTAGTAGAAGGAGGACGGCCCTCGCCTGCTAAGATCAGATTGCCGTTGTCATCAATTGCAGGCGTGTTAACCTTCGCCCTTGCCGATGACAAATCGGGGTAATCCTGGGAGCCAAGATGAATATATTGAGGCTTGTTTTGAGAGCGTGAGGCTTTTCCTGGAGAGGGTTTGTCCTGCCCTTTGGCGTCGTTCGTGTTCTTAAGGAGGTTCACAGAACTAGCACGGGAATGAGCGCGGAGGATCTTTTCTTCAATGAATTTCGCTCTTTCGATTGAATTATCGAAATGACTCAAATTCTTGACTTCTGATAGCCATTTTTTCAAGTCTTTAGCATCTTCAGGATTTGCGCTAGAACTAACAGGCTTAAAAACCCAGACTGCAACGTCATCAGAGCCCTCATGCTTCTCTGCCGCGTCCCAGGCTGCAGATCCCGAAGCAGAACTGTGATGGCCTTCTTTTTTATGCATTTGACCTTTTGCACTGTTTTTCAAGAACTTTTGAATAGAAGACGTGGACTTTGAAATTATTTTACCAGTCTCAGTTGACTTTTTGTCGAAATTACTGGCCCAAATGGTTCCGCGAACACTGAACTTATTGTCTGTTGCTTCGATGACCTTTGCGCTGTTCAAATACAGACTTACAACAGGCACCATACCCCTCTTCTTGCCACCAGCCTGGACTTCCCCATGGTCTTTTTTCTCGGAACCTTCTTGAGAAAGTTTAAAAAAGTTGCTAGATTTGAACTCATGAAGATAATTGCTCGTTAAAACGTAGTAGCCTTTGTTATAGTTCTTCAAAACCTGTGACTTCTTGAGCAAATAACCTGCTTTGATGCATTTAGCCATTGAGGACTTCATTTTTGGGTATCGAATGTCCGAAAGTTTTCTGGGCTGTGGTATGGGTTCTGTTGATCTCCAGTTTATCAAACATTTGGGATGATGACCCACCATGTGGTCCCATTCCACTGCTGGAGGTTTGCTCAGTAGCCCTTGATGCAGTTCATTGCAAAGGTTACTGATGGAAATGCGTGCCTCGGTGCTGACCAATGCGGAGTAACGTTGCAAAGTGTGCTGAATCTCCCCATAAATAATTTTTTCAAGTTCCAAACCCGATGATTGCAAGTTAATGTAAGCTTCTTGGAGGTAGTTTTCTTCCAACAGCTGACGCTTCAGTTGGAGATCTAGCTGCAACTTCAACAAATACGGGTCATGTTTTGGTTTCAATTTTTGGCCCTTGATTTTCAGAACAGTTGGACTCTCATCGTTGGTGGACATAAACTTGACAGCAGCTGTATATTTTTGTAGCAATTGACCGGTCAGAGCGATGTGTTCTCCTATGTTGGTTTTGAAATCGTTATGCAGTTCTTTAATCTCCTTTATCTTAGCTTGTAGATCTTTGCGTAAATCGTCAAGCTTGGGGACTACAACTGCGCTCAACTCTTTCGACATTTTGATTTGCTGGTTTCCCATCGATGTGTGGTATTTTTTAAGCACGACTTGGACGTCTTCGATGGATCCGGATCCAAACTTCATGAAGCCGGACGGCGCGGACGAATCATCACCGGATGCCACAGGAGCACTGGCTTTAAAATCAAGTGTAGATGCGTTAGAGTTTTGGTACCCGGAGTCGTCTTCTGAGCCTCTCCGACCGCCTGGGCCACTTGAGCCACTGGCGCTCGATTGGGCTTGACCGGGCCTTCTTGCACGCTGCTGGAAGGGATCCACGACCCTATTTGTGGATTCTTCCAGATCGGTGAGAAACGAAAACTTGACGTTTGTGCGCAGACCGTAGTTAATACGTGCAAACCGCTCTTGTGCGTAAGCCACTTCCCGCAGATAGTTGGCCAATCCTTTAAGGATTTTGCGCCACTTTGTAAATCTGTCGAGCAAAATGTCTGTGGGATATTCGCGAACGTAACCTGTTGCCAGATCCTGGCCTGCCTCCGACAAATCTGATGCCATTGCGGAGTAGCTTGGAGTCGGCACATTCACGTAGTAAGGCGAGTGGAAGTCTGTTTTGGGCAAAATTGTTTCGCTTTCATCGGACGGATCTGTAAGGTCCATCAAATACCCGGAATCAGTCGAAAATACACTACTGGCGTCGTCCTGATCCGTTTCCGGACTCAGGTATGATTTCGACCCATTTTCAGAGCTATCCGCGTAGTCCAAACTCATTGAGATCCTCTTTTTTTGACCACTTTTTCGCTAGCTTGTCTGTCACCTTTTCACAGTGGATAATGAGCGAAAAAGGACAGCTTGTGCAACTTCGCTCGAGCGCTGTTTTATGGTTTGTACAAGGTAGTGATTGAACTATCTTGTTGGTCGAGATAAAGTGTCTGAAGCCCTTTTGGTCTTGTATTTATGGTGTTTGATCCAAGAGCAAGTTTGTTTGTTAAAGACCCCTTTTATATATTCTGGATCAAATAATTTTTGGGTGGCTTGATCTTTAAAGATCCGGGTGTACGAAAGCCCTATATAAAATTGTATCTAATAAGCATTTATGGCGTGTCTAAAAATGATGCTGATGATTTGGAGCCTGGCGCGGGGATGAAAGACAGCCTTAGATGACTCACAATATTATTACAGGATTTCGGTTGCGGATCGGCTTGCCGGTGGGAAAGTTTCCGCTAAGATTCCGAGCTTTTTTGGTCGAGAAAAGCGGACTAAAAATATACATGCCACTTTCAGGGTTCTTGAGCTGCGGTGATTTCTGAGGCGCCAGCGGGTCATCAGTAGATGAGACTGGAAAGAAAATTCTCTACGTAGAAGATTGTTAACTAAACGACACAGATGTCGGTGGTGGGTGGTGGGCAGCTTGGAAAAGTAGCAGCTACAGGGTGTTGTGCGTGCTAATAATCTGTGAGAAAGCGTTTCGTTCCGAAATTGAGATCGCGGCCCAATAATTTGGGAAAGAGCAGAAAAAAAAGCGTTTTAACAGAAACAGAAGTCTATCATTTTCTGTGTACGTGCGCGTGGGTGGTGAATAGACCGAGAGAAGATTGTAAGAAGCCGATGCGTGTAGTTCAATTGTCCTTGTCTTGTCTTATGCACAATCGTGCTTCTAATGAGCTTCCGTGGCAGGCTTATCTTGAACTCTGCCACGCTTGCTGATAATGCGTTTGGCCACGCTCAACATCTTGCAAAACCACACCAGATTCAACACGTCCAAAATTAGATTCCCCGACACAATGGTCAACGTCTCGAGTGTCAAAAACCTAGGGTCGTGACGTACCTGCCAAAAATCGCAACATAGCTGGAAAATTTGGTACCATCCCCACACAATTCGGGAGCCACAGAACATCACGATCAAGACAACGTTGTTGGCCAGTTGCAGGAAGTTCAGCACACGCGCCGTCATCGATCGATTGCTCTCCGACAGCTGGGGCGAGAATTTGATGCCAAACCACCGGAAATTCAAAAACGGATTGGAAAGCTCGAACATCAGAAACGCTGGCGCATAGAACTGGATGTAAGGTTTCAACCCGATCGAGAACATTAGCGCAGACACAGCTCCGTGCAACACAAAGGGCAGCGACGAGTAGAAAATCGAGATCACGGTATCCCAAACGAAGTATCCGATCGCGAATACACAGATAACGTCTGTTTCCACTTCGTGTGAGAAAACACGCAGCTGGGACGTTGTGTGGGTCGTGTCACGTCCATGGGTCTTGCAATACTTGACACTCACGTACAGAATCACCACGCTCTGTACCAAACTCACAAAGTGCAGTGCAGCCTGGTTCACCAAGCCACGACGACCGCGATGCGAGTGGTCCTTGCTGTGTGCAAGACGCCACTGCACCAGCGGGGGGAACAGTATCCATTTGCTCACCAGGAACACGATATGGTAGCCCAGAGCCACGTACAGCACGGAGTGCAAGTTTGAGAGAATTTTGGGCGATTCCACCAAACCTTTGTTGGCCAAAGTCCCCACAACTTGGTTCCAAAACGGCCCTGGGGGACTCAAATCCATCAGCCGCGCTATGCTCGCGTCCATGGCGAACTTTATGGGATGTATTGGCGCTTGTCAAGCCGTGTTTTCGCTCACTTTTGGGCTTCTGGGTGCTCGAGAAGTTTAATCTCAAGAATTCATCATTTTCAGATCTTATATACGTAGCATATGAAAATAACAAATAATAATGAAGAACGATAGCCAGGTTAGAAGAAAGGCGGTATTTAAGCCAATTTGAAGGATAAAAGAGCCATTTTGAGTAGTTTTATGGAACTCTACGGGTTCAGTTATTAGTAAAGGCTCTTTTTAAGGTCAGATTAGCCACCGGGAGAGGAGAAAAACGTAAAAAGATGAGGAAGCCATTTGAGGAACTCCAAAAAATTGGAAAAGATAGCTTCAGATCTAAGGCTCTTAGGATCTTGCACCTCATTGCGGCAAAAACAGAGTTTTTCATACGTAAACCAAAGGTTTTTGGAAGTTGTTGATTTTAGCTTGATAAGCTTTTTTTATGATCACGTGATTTGATAATTACTATTTCTCCGAACAATGGTGGAACTGATACGCTAACGACTCAGACGTCAGTACGGCATTTCGAAGAGGAGGACAAACATTTAGACGTCACGAAGTAGCGGCTCATGTATCCGTTCCCAGCAGCGATAAGCACCCTTTTTCGAAGAGAATAGAGCGAAATTACTCGGTCTTTTTATCCCTTTTTTGAATTTCGTCACCCCGTACGCATCACGTCACTCCGTTCACTGATTCATTCAATTCATAATCTACTTGGCAAAATGACTATACATAGTCCTAGATAAATCGGTTCTTTAAGCACCGCAAATCACCAAACTTATCTGGAAGTGTCGACCACGTATCTGCCGACAATTTCACCCTTTTGCATCTTCTCGAAAATGTCTGGCAATTCGGACAACCCGGCGATCTTGATGGGTGATTTAACCAAACCACGCGCGAAAAAGTCCAACGCTTCGCGTGTGTCGGCACGGTTGCCCACGTAGGAGCCCACGATGGAGGTGGATCTGACCACCTGCGAGAAAACCTCAGACTTGCAGTAGGCGCCTCCTGGCAATCCTACCAGCACCACGGTTCCGTTAGCCCTGACGTACTTGGTAGACGCCTCGATAGCAGCTTCCGAAACGGAAACGTTGATGACACCGTGGGCTCCTCCGTCTGTGGCGGTCAAAATGTCCTGGACGGTGTCTTTGGACTTGCGGAAATCGATAAAAACTTCACCGCCAAGCTTTTGGAAAAGCGCTTCTTTCTCTTCACCACCGTCAATTCCCAGCACACGGTAGCCCATGGCACGAGCAAATTGCACAGCCAGAGACCCTAGACCACCACAAGCGCCCGATACAGCCACCCATTGGCCGGCCTTCAGGTTGGCAGACTTCAAGGCCTTGTACACGGTGATACCGGCACACAGAATGGGTGCCACTTCTGCCAGGTCTGTGCCAGCTGGGATTTTGGCAGCCTGCACGGCGTCAGCCGTGCAGTATTGCTGGAAGGAGCCGTCGTGGGTGTAGCCAGACAAGTCAGCTTCTGGACAGTTGGACTCGTTTCCCAGTTCGCAGGACTCGCAACTCATGCACGAGCCGTTGAGCCATTTGACGCCTGCTAGGTCGCCAGTTTTCCAGCCCTTGACGTTTTCGCCCATGGCAACCACTATTCCGGCGCCTTCGTGGCCTCCGACCAGTGGCAACTTGACTGGGAGTGGCCAATCGCCCTTCCATGCATGCAAGTCCGTGTGGCAAACACCGGAGTACTTGATGTTGATGAGCAACTCGTTAGGCTTTGGTTTGGGCACCTCGATGTCCTTGAACTCCAGATCTCCGCCGTTTGTGTAGAAAACGACGGCTTTTTGAGTGCTTGGAATTTTGTGCGCAGACATTGTTAAAAAAGAGGTTTGATTAGTTACAAACGGTGGGGCTTGATAGGGCTTGGAAGGGAAAACAGGATATTATTACAGCTATTGTTTCACAAGTGCTGATAATTATATGATGAGTAGTGTCCTAAGAGAAAGGACTAGTAAAAAAAAAGTTAGGACCAACAACTCTGTTCAAGACCAGGGTGGAAAAACCGGTCCATTTTATATGTTATCAGATGAGGGTTGTAACTTGAAACTGTGAACAACAAAAACAGGCCTGGAAACACGCCTGGAAACACGCCTTTTTCGTCTGAAAGGTGGTATTCCGGATTTTACTCTTGGTTCTTGTTGGATGGGATGACACCCGCCCGTGGCGATGACTTGTATGAGCTTGTTGTTATTGTTATTGTTATTGGTATTGGTATTCTTGTCGTTGTTGATGGTGATAATGAAGATGATTTCGTTGTTAGCCACGGAGCGGAACTGAACGGTCATGCAATTGGGAACAAATCGGCCGGTTGTGCGCGTGTCCGCTTTAGAAGTGTGTCATTTGTAGCATCATGTCTTATTCGCTACAAAGGGTTGTTGAAGGGTTGTGGGTCAACACAACCGTGTTAGACGGGTGTTCAACACAGCTTCCTCTATAATACCGGAAGGGATCAAGTGCGCACTACAGGTCCGCAATACAAAGTTCGCAACCTTTGTGAAAAACCGGGGGGGGGGGGGACAACCGGAAAAAGAGACCGAGAATTAGTGGAAGTCCGGAATCACAACCCCGCAATATTCGTGGTACGTTTATACGGCGGGCGGGCGGGCGAAAAGCGAAAAGCGAGTGATTTCGTACGAAACTGGCTGACCGGGGTTTCGTGAATGGGTATATGTGTGGGGCTAACAATGGCTCAATAAAGGTGTAGGTGAGAAAGAACAGGAGGAAGAACAGGAGGAAGAGCAAGTCAAGGAAGAATAGGTAGAAGAAAGAGCAAGTGAAGAAAGAACAGTGAAGAAAGAACAAGTGAAGAAAGAATAGGTAGAAGAAAGATGTTTTATGTTTAAGAGGTCTCTCAGAATCTATGAACCAAATCTATCTTATACAACTTCAGATCAGAAAAATAAGGATGGCATTGTAGAAAAGAGTACTGGAAGGGTAAACACTGGAAGGGTAAGCACTGAAGGTTAAGCACTGAAGGGAAAGCACCTCCAGGGTTTAAAAGCACCTCCAGGGTTGGTGGGTAAGGTGTAGAGAGTAGAAATTAGAGAGTAGAGAGAGCTGATTACGCCTAGAAATGGTTACCTCAAGTCTTCCAGGCTATTCTACCATTGCCAAACTCCTCTAGGCAGGACTGTTCATGAGTCCATGACTCCACCTAGAGTCCACTTCCGTCTGTAGTGATTTTTGAGTTGAGTCCTACGTATAAAGTGACTTTTATATGATTCCGGTTGTGAGTCCGCCGGCAATTTATTGAATTACATTTAATATTCGTTGACATTGACGAATGTAGCTTTCTGAAATCATGGAAGAGGCTTAGATATTAGAGACTGCAAGGTAGTCCGCACCTGTTTTGTAGACCTGGGTGATTCTCAGAAACAAACGCGCTACGGCCAACACTTACGAGTCAAGTGATATTATCGTATACAGTTACCGGAGTCGCGAAGTTAACGACTCCTTTGTCGTATAAAGGTACTGGAATCGCGACTCCCCGGACTCGCAGGAGTCGTGAACAGTGCTGTCTCTAGGCTATTCTCAGATTGTGAAAACACCCGCATCTCTATTTCTCTGTGTGTAGGATAAATACAGGACTGGGGACAAATCAAGAATCCACTCGTTCAAAATGCTTGATGATTCGATTCGAATCATTTAGTATAAGATGACAAGACGCCTAAAGAATCCATCACGAATCCAATTGATTTTATTTGCGCGTAGATTTTGAATGTTAGCGTTTTCCACTGAAAATATAAAAAGGCTGGGCGGTTAAGAACTTTCAATCCTCTCTCCATGTCTCTTCACATTCAACAAGGTTTGCCTTGACATCATCTTCATAAGTACAAGCATGTACAACCTTAGGACCAGGACGGAAAAGGATTATAAAGAATTGAATGGTGGTCCCAGAAAGAAGCAGTGATTGAGCCAGACACAATCGATACACGATTTCAGCTGTGCTGAATCGCTGGTCAACGTCGGTCTCGAATCGCATGTTGACTCCGAGGAAGAAGACAACATTGAACAATCTTTGGCAACGTATGATCAACCTAGTGATGCAGAAAGTAGCGATGATGAGTCGATCCAAAGCGGCGTCTGCGCTGGGTTAGACTAAGCATCCGCAAATGAAACCGCCATCTCTTCTGCCAATGGACACTCACAAATACAGCAAAGCAGAAAGAATGAGAGATTCAAATCGATAAAGGTCCAAGGGAGTCAGAGGACATGACATCTCTCTTGAACCTAGCCATTTTCATCATTATAGCAGTTCTGGAGAATCGGATGGTGAACGCGGGCGGCCCAATACTAGAAAAAGAATGCCCAATAACGAAAATATGAGCTCTCAGCAGGCTTTTGAGGAAAAGTTCGGTTTTGTTTTTGATTCTGCCGGGTTTTCAATGAACCCTTTCCATAAGTCAAGCCAGACAGTGGGTCCAAATGAAGTATTTATGGGAAAGCAAATGATTAACAAATTCGATTTTTGGCTCTCTTCTTCTCCATACGGAATCTGGTTTACCAAAGTCAAAGACGAGAACCCTTACGCTGTTTGTAAACATGATGAATGTGGGCATAAATTCTCGCTTCAAGGCAATCCGATATCATCAAATTTTGTCAGACATCTCAAACGTAATTATGGCGATGACTTTGCATTATTTTGCAAGAGTTTGAACGGAAAGCAGAGGACTCTGGAATCATTTTCCACAGTTCTTTCGACTTCTTCAAGACCCATTCCTCTGACAAAGAGATTCGTGAAGTTCTCGGCTCTTAATGCAAGCTGATTCAACTCCATGCTTTTATTGAAAACTTTGTTCCGTTCCATTTGGTTGAGGCACCTGCGATGAGATCGTTTTTACAATTTCTCAATACGTTTAACCGACCTCTCATTTTATCGCCTAAAGGGTTGGTTGATTAGACTTCTGAACGACTATGAACACGAGTTCAGCAAAGTATTGAAGTCTACTTTGCGACACTCTTTCAACTTCAACCTGCTGCTAGACATGTGGACGTCCTCGAGCCAAAAGAGCTATTTAGTTGTCATGGTATCATTTTGCCCACACTTGAAAAAGAAGTCGCACTTGAAGAAGGATGATTTGGTGATTCCAGGAAATCAGAACACACACGTCCTAGATTTCATAGACATGAGTGATAACAGGCACACAGGAGAAAATCTTAAGACTGCCTTATTGGAATGTCTCGCGAAATATTTGATCAGTCACAAAATTGGCAGCATCACCCTAGACAATGGGTCCAACAATATCTCAATGCTTGAGAACCTCGATGAGGCTCTTGAATTAGGATTCGAGGTTACTGAATCTAGAAGCATTACAAAGATCCGGTGTATGAACCATGTTTTGAATCGCGTTTTTATTGATTTATTCAAAGCCTTTGAATTACATCACTCAAGCTTGCTCTCAAAATCGACAAAATCTCATACTATACCAACAGCAATGTTTTTGTCAAGGAAAAACTTAGAGCCTACCTTCCTTCCCTGCTCTATTCCAAAGCATACACTCACAAGATTCCTTTCACGCCATCGCCAGCTCAAGACCTTCCTCAAAGTATCCAAACAAGTTAAGAGGTTCTACTTTAATCATCGGCTTCAGCCTTAATTCCAATTGAAGCCAGAAGATGGCCCTGTTTTCTGTTACAAAGAAGAAATAGAATCTGTGACGTTTTGCATTCGCATAACGCGCGTGTTCGAGGAGCTCACCAAGCTTCTCCAGAATGACTCGACCAACTCCGTTGTGAATGGGATCGACTACTACAAAGCTATAAATCGGTACTACGACGTCATTGACGTTATGCAAAAGGGCTCAATAGATTTGGAGACAATACAGGGAGTTGGGCCTACACTCACCGACTTACCTCCCGACGATACAATGAAAATAATACTTGACGCGGTGGCTAGCTCACGTCCCAAATTCGAGAAATACCTGACTATCGCCTATAAGGAAACTGGATATTGAGTTGCTCATATGCTGCAGCCACATTGCAAGCTAGACCTACTAGACGCAATTTTGGATGAAACCTCACGAAACGAAGTTATGAGAGCAACTGAACGTTACGTAACGAGTTACTGCAGACAATTTGCCGAGGGTTTAGAAGATGCTTCGAGGACTGAAGATCAAGGGACCCCCAATGGATCCATTTCTGAACATCGTGGACGAAACGTCACATCCATCCTTATCGACCAAGGCAATCAACAAAAAAGAGTAGTGGGGACCTCTTCAGCATTGGGAGAATGGGTAATTTGCTTGAGAGAGCCATCTGAGAAAAATCCAACATATTTGGACTACTGGATAAAGAATCAGAGTCGCTTTCCCGCAATTTGCTCGCTAGCCCTTTCTTTCTACAACACAAGATTATCGATTGCTGATGTTGAAAGATGTTTCTGCATCAGTTAGAGAGTCTTGGACAATAGGTTCTTGCTGTCGAGCTCGAACTTGAGCAACAGGATGGTGCTGAGAAACCGAATGAAGTGCATTGATATATGTTCGGAAATGCCAGTCGTTGAAAGCATTCCCATAGAGTGGACAAGTGAAGATACTGATTTGACCTCATCTTGCACTGTAGAATCGTCTGCAATCAACGATGATGACGTACGGATCTTGGAAGATAAGTCCAGTGAAGAAAGTGGTAGTGAAAACGAGCTCTAGCCCAAGGAAAGAGAGTATAGCACTTTCCTCGAGTAATATACATACTAAATACGTGAATGAGATTTCAAATGATACACTTGTCGGACATCGGCGGTTCTTGTTGCAACTCCAAGCGATGACTACGTTTACAGTGATTGATTCGCGTTCATTAGCGAATCCTTCTTCGTACTTGACGACAGGATTCGCGAATCCCCGGATTCGTGGTCGAAAAAGCCGGATTTGCCGGATTCGTCCCCGGTCCTGGATAAATATATAATATGATACGATATAATCACTGACATTAACATTAATTAAGCTCGAGCAGAATAATAGAGCACTACAATCGAAATGGCCAACAACACGGCGAGAACAAAGTGGTAAGCACCAGGAAGAAAGCGGAAACAGTTGCGTTTTGTTTAGACCCGCGACGTGGCGTTCTCGATGTATTTGGTCTCTGGCTTCTTGGAGCCATCGTTGTCGATCTCGTCGCCAGACCGCAGAGAGCCCTGTTCCTCCAGCACCGCCGTCTGAGACGCCTTTTCCATGACCCGTTGGTGCGCACGGTACGCAGGAACACCCTTGGTGAACAAGTGGTCCATATCTTCGAGCGCAATTCCCTTGGTTTCCGGCACCAGAAAGAACACAAACGGGATCGCCACCGTTGCCACGCCAGCGAAGAAAAAGAAGATCCCGTACTGCATCTTGTCTATCATTGTGGACGTGAGCCGGGTCATAATGAAGATAGGCACCCACGACATCGCGGCGTTAATGGCCTGCACGAACGTGCGGATGTTCTGCTCGAAGACCTCGGAGCTCCACACGAAGGGCCCGCCCGACCATGCCAGAATGAACGACGCGGTCCATAAAAACATGAATGCAATGGCAGCCGTGCCTCCAGGCCCGGCCACGTTTCCGGGTTTTGTAGGATCGTTGATCTTCAAGTACGCTCCCAGATACCAGAAACACAGCGAGCACGAAAACGCAGAGATCATGAACGCCTTACGTCTTCCGAAATTGTCCACGATGAACAGAATGTAGATAAACGTGCAGATGAACTTGACCACGCCAAACATCCCGGACGAGAACAGCGTGGCGTTGGTGCCCTGGACGCCGATGTTGGCGAAGATCTTGGGCGAGTAATAGTTGATGGACTGGATGCCCATGAAGTTCGGGATCACCAGCATGCATGCGCTGATCGCCAGTCTGCGGGCGTATTTGCGGTTACGCACAAACACTTCCCTGGCCGGGTCCAGCAGACCGGGCCCGATCTGGGCGTTTTGCATCTCGACCGAGTCCCGGATCGAGTTGATTTCCCATACCATGTAGCCATTGTCCACAGGCAGATTACGTAAGAAGCACAGGTTACGAATCGCCTCTTCGTCGCGGTTGACCTGGAACAGCCAACGTGGAGACTCGAGCATCACGAACGAACCGGCGAAAAAAAGGCCGGCGGGGATCAGTTGCACGCCGACGGGGATAATCCACTGTTTGTTACCCGGCGCTACGTGCTGGCTAATACCGTAATTAATCCAGAAGCCTACCAGATCGCCTACACGCCAGCCAATTTCGAAAGCGGCGATGATCTGGCCACGGATGGGAGCAGGTGACACTTCGCTGAGATAAACCACGGTCAAATTAGTGGCAGCGCCCACGGTGAGCCCCGTGAACACTCGGCCGATGTAGATGGGCGCCAGATGGCCCGTGACACCGCCCAGCATAACGGCTGCGCCAATAGTAGCGATTCCAGCAGCTACTATGAGCGCTACTTTACGGCCATAGTAGTGAGCCAGTGGATATGATAGAAGAGCGCCAAAAAACGCTGCTGCATGGAAACACGAGATCAGGTTCGACACAGTGTCGTCTGTGTGCGACGTATTGGGCGTAAGGCCGAAATTGGCGAGAAAGTGCTTGTTCGTGAAAGATGCGCCGACGAACCCGGTGTCGTATCCAATGAGCACACTGGCCGTGGATGCTACTAGTGCTGTACCATAGATACGCCAATTGTAAACCTCTGGCGGAGTTGGCCGATCTTCGGTTTTAGCGAAGATATTCTTGAGCTTGAGCATTGTATGGTGACAGACACAATACTGTACGATATGGGAAGTACAGGACTGGGTTGATGGAGACCGAGTAAGATCGAGAGATACCAAATGCGGTGCTGAAAACGAAGTCAGGTTTAGTCGACTCTTTTTTATAATACTTGGACCGAACAAATGTGTAGCAGTAGTTGACTGCGCTTTCTTGGCTCCGCTTTCCGGAGCAACGGTTGTTAGTGTGTGCGTGTGTGTGTGTGTGTGAGGGTCAAGAAACCCCTTCATCTCAAGGGTACCCCCTTATGGATCGGCGGATCAGCATGCAATAACGCTTTTAGGAAAATTCCGGGGAGATCCGGGTCGTGTGTATGGTGTGGTGTAAGGATGTTGTGGATGACTGGGTGGCAATGCATGGCAGAGTATTAATGGCGATTATGTGACTTGTGCTTCCTGTGTGTGTGTGTGTGGGGGTTGTTATTGTTGCTGTGGGTGTTGTTGTTGTTGCTGTGGTGAGGAGAAGTGAGAGCGTAGCTTGGCTATAGAAAATATAAACGGTCGGGCGGGTGAATACCGAGAACAATGAGAGCGATACCGTTGTACGGTATGACGGTTTTTGAGTATTCTAAATTACACAATTAGTCAGTCAGTCAGTCGATCAATAAACCTTGTATTTGCACCACCCGCAATTGCAATACCAACTCCACGCGTTTTTCCTGGCAAGTCTTTGAGAAACCCTTGAACAATGGTGGGAAATCAGATTTTAAAACGTTTTGTGTCGTGAATAGTGATAAGACACGACTGACAAAGTTTGCAGGACTGAGGACGAATCTGACGAATCCAGGAAGTTCGCGAATCACGTCGTCAAATACGAATATGGATTTGCCAATTATCTGAGTATCAATCACTGTAAACGTAGTCATCGCTTGGAGTTGACGGGCTTAGTTGCAACAGAAAGCGCCTATGGCCGAGAATTAAATCATTTGAAATCTTATTCGCATATTTAGTAGGCTTTTTACCCAAAGAGAATGCAATGCTCTACAGAAATGCGCTTTCAACAATTGACATTTCCAAATATATATCAAAGCACTTTATACGAATTCGTGCCGGATGCTTTGAAAGTCTTATCATCTTGTACTAAACGATTTGAACCAGCAAGCATTTTGAACGAGTGGATTCGTGCACTGAATTCGTGATTCGTTCCCAGTCCTGTGACAAAGACAAATATAACTTGAAGGACCGGTCAAAAATCAGAAACATTATGGATACATTTTATGATGCCGCAAATACTAGATCTAATTTTTCCCATATCCTGATGAGTCTCTGGTGCTTGTTTACGATTGAATATAGGGTTCGTTTCGTATAAAACTACAGCCAGCGCTTCTCACCAAGAAAATGCTCGAAGAGGAGTCAAATCAGTGTGTAGCTGGTGCTTCTGGTTTAAAGCGTCCCGGAGCATTACTTAGTTACCTGTCTGTCTATTCGTTGTAATTAGGAAGATAATCACAGCTCTATCTCGGGTGCTATCTATCAAGAACCCAAAATCATTGGATACGAATACGAGCAAAGAAATGTAAATGCGTGGCAATCATACCTGATTTAACTTCCTCTTTAGAAAAACGATCCTCGAGATGCGCAAACCATGGTCTTCTCCTGTGTTTCAGTGGTGTGTGCCGATAGTAGAGAAACATACAAACTGTATCACGTGCTCTTGACGGTGACAACAAATTTAGACTCTTATTTCTCTCATATGGTCCATGATGTTAATAAAACTCCCCCGTTTCGAGTCCACAGGCTCAGTTCAGAGATAAATGTTATCGTAAACAGCTAGATCTTTGACCGCGTTACTTCATTTTTCTAACGAGATCATTGGCAGCACAACACACAATGAGCCATCACTCGAGACCACCTGGAAAGAAATTTAAAGTTGTGCTTGTTTTAGTCACGTGATATATAACGAGCCTTATAATACATTTATGGGCACCTGACTCTTCCAAAGTCAAGACCCCGTAAACTAAGATATCTCAAGAAGAAGGCCAACAGGTCAACTACCATCGATGTGCGGCTCAAACTTCAACACGGCTCATTTTTGTGCATTCTCTTTTCCGTTGCTCTCTCAAAAAAAAACTGTCGACAGTGAAAACCGTTGCCGTACAAAGAAACACTCAAGAGACTCATCTCGAGCCTCGTAACGAGTTGAGAGCATAGAATCCAAAGAAGCCTTCAACCATCCCAGTCACCAAACTCACCCAATCAAAAATCAACATGGCGGAGTGGAAGCGCTATGAAAAAACCAAAATCGAAATGGTTCCTCACAGCAGCGGAAAAAAAAAACTTGACGTGAGCTGGTTTTGGGCCCCGACTCCAGTCCGTTTTTCTGCGTTACTGACGCCCACATTGTGATCAAAGAGTCCCTAATGTTCGGGTTTCTTGAAGAAAAATTCGAGGCCAAGAATTACCTTTACCATAGTATTCGGCCCGATGTTCCCAGGGACTTTGGTTCCAAATTTCGGGATGTTCTGGTTGCCTTCAACATCATGGACAATATTCTGTTATCTATTTGCCCTTACGGTCGCTCCTGCATTGAATTGGATCGTGTAACTTGAAAAACCCCATATTCATATGGCTTTGCAAAGGTCCCTGCTAAGCCTGCCAAGTCTGCGAGCTAAATTTGTGCTTCTAACTCCCGTAGGACCGAAAAACGGGCACCCTGAGTGCAACCTAGGAAGAATGCAAACTGAGTTCTTCTAGAAAGAAATTTTACGACTTTTGTTTCCGCTGTCTCTGTTGAACATGATGGGCTATACCCCCAGTGTATCCTTAAGGTGAAGATGCAGCTACCTAGCTGCTTGTCGTACGCGCACTGTCTCGAAGCCTCGAAAGTATTCTTTTCATGAATGTGGATCTGTAGAATTACTTCTTGAAGGTATTCGTTTGCACTGAGTCAATCAATATTTTGAACCCAAAAAGAGTGAAGGTTTGATTGAACGTCAAGTCTTCGAATGCGGAACGCCTTGGAAGTATGGTGCTGAAAATTTAGAAATTTCAGACACTCACCAGCTTGTTGATGGGATCAAAAGCTTTGGAAACCTGTTGTTGGTGATTACAAGATGCTCTGTTTTGATGACAGCGACGATCTGAAAAAAAGTGACGAGTCGAATCTGTCATCTGTCATCTGTCATCTGTTTGCTAAAGAAATTCCCTCCAGGTCCTGACGCCTATTCATGGCATAGCGAAGACTGGTTCAGCCAATTCAAATTCTTTCCTTAAGGTGTTTGTCTTTCATATAACACAGCGTTATCAGGTCATATCGCCAATCGTGTGACCCAAGTACACTAACCTGGAAGTTTCTTGTACGGTAACAGAATCGTAACAGTTGGGAAATACTCTACCCATTGAAAACCAATCTCCCAAAGTATCTTAAGCAAATCATATTAGTTAATATAACTTGGCTCCAAATCTTCTCTTAAATTTGCTGGTCCAGTTATTCCTGCTGCTTCGCGCGCATTCGCTCTTCTTTTGAGATTTGAAGTTCGATGAGGATCTGGGTTTGCAATTGCAGCTAAACTAACCAAAACCCATGAAACAACTCTGCTTGTAGTAGCCAAAGAGTCGCTATCTTGATTTGCTGCCAACAGCCTCTATTATCTCATTATTTTATTGAGACCAGCTCCTTAGGCTCGTCTCGACGTGTATAGAGTATAAAGGAGAGCAACGCATAGTCCTAAGCCGCTCAGCCCAATGCCCATATACCACGCACCACGATAGCCTTTAAGAATTTCGTCTCCACTGGCGTTCACCCGCGACTCGATTGTACCAGCAAACCCCAGACCCAAAGAAATAGAGTAATTGACGAAAGTGTTGACAAGTGAAGCTGCTAGACCTTGATGTTCTTTGGGCATAAAGTTACTCAGCAATATTGTCGCTGCCGGAAAAGACATGTCCATTCCCCAGGGCATTACAATAACGGAGACGAAGGTCTGTGCCCAATATGTTTGGTCAACTGGCGCAGTGCCAATCAAAATCCCACCAGCGGTAAATGCTGTCATGGCGAACAACATCACGAAGCTGGGTTTCACACGTCCTAAAACAAACCCGGTTGCCAAAGCGGCGCACAATCCGCTAAAGGCAGCAGGCACAACTTGGGCGCTCGAGAGCAGTGGACTCAGGCCACGTAAGACTTCAAGCATTCTCACCAAATAATACAGCCAGATCCCAAAACTTGACCACCCGGCTGCAATGCAAGCTAGAACAAAGGCAACGTCCTTAGTCAAGAACGAGAAAGGGACCAGAGGAAATTTTGCTCGTCTTTCTACAAAGACAAACGTTGCGACAAACACAAAGCCCACGATTAGAAGAATGTAGTTGTACGGCTTGGGCCATCCGACTACGGGGCCCTGGTTCCATGCAAAGTTTATCAATACCAGTCCCGTTACACCAGTGATCGACCCCCATATGTCTATATGTTCGATGACAGATTCTTCGAGCACTGGCGAAGGCGTATGAGGAATAACCAAGCTACCTGCTATAGCTAGCATGAGACATGAAATCGCCATGACCCAAAAGGCCCAAGGCCACCATACCAGCTGGGTAAAGAGTGAAGAGAAGACTGCACCCAGCACAAATCCGGAGGGTGCTGTGGCACCGAAGAAGCTGAAAACCAGATTTTTGCGTCGGCCAGGCTCGTAAGTTCTGCCCAGGATTCCGAGTGCATTGGGCAGGAGAAAAGCTGGTCCCAGGCCCTGGAAAGCCCTACAACAATCGAAAAAAATGCGATTTGAGTAAACGCTGAATCCTGCTAACAACGACCACAAAGCATACCACAGAAAAGCCATTACGAACATCTTTTTATGACCAAAAAGATCGCCCAAACGGCCTGCGATCAGGATGAAGGTCCCGACCGTGAGTGAGTAAGCAGCTGAAAACCAACTGAGTTCTCCGGGCGCTGTAGTGCCGAAACTGGATCCGATAATTTCAGCGGACACTATTGACAACGCCAGGCCCGATTGTGTCATCAGCTGCGCACAACACAGCACCGCTACAAACACTATTTCTTGGAAAAGCGACTGTGGTTTCTCGACATGGCTCTGCGTCGGCTGCACCGCGTTTTCTGGTTGTTGGTCCTTTTCCAAGTCTGTCTTTGCCAGATTGGTTGTACTCACGCTGCTGTATCTTTTCTCTTTCGATTGTTCTACACTTGTCATGTACAAGTTGACGCTTTTATTTGAAGAACCTATTTCAACAACAAGTTCCTGTCCTTTAGGTCTTGTAATCAGAACTACTTTGACTAACTTCTTAAACTTATCAGATGTCACAACCTATCTAGCGTCTGAAAGCTCAGATATGTTAACTTCTGATATGATGAAGAACACTTTAGTGAAAGAATCAACATCGATGTGCTAGAATGAACAACTCTGTATTCAAGATGCTCTTATTTATGTCTACTTCAGGCTCTAGTCCACTAGGTTTGTTTGGCATGTCTTTCTGATTCTGACAGTTCTTCTTTACACCGAAGATGGACATTTCGGAGAAAACATTGATCAGTTAGTGAAAGTCTTTCTCGAAAGGAGCCGTATTTGAACGTTGTGTTCATCATTACCTCTGCTGGAGAGGCTATTATCTCTGCTGGATAGGCTATTACCTCAATGACAAACATGAAAGCTATTCAGCTTCAAGGACAAGCTCCTCCAAATGTGTTTCTGATCGAAACTGACATTCCCAAGCCGGGTCTTGGAACTGTGCTAGTCAAAATTCGAGCTTCTGCCATACAACCTAGCGACTTGCTCAACGCGAAGGGTGGATTCCCATACACTACGTTTCCAAGAATCTGTGGCCGTGATTATGCTGGCACTATAGTATCGGGACCAAGAAGTGGCGAAAACGTTTACGGGACTAGTGGATTTACGTATGCTTTCACACAGGACGGTTTCCATGCAGAGTACGCTTTGGTAGCGGAAAATGCATTGGCTAGGAAACCTACAAATTTGTCATTTGTGCAAGCCGCATGCATCGGCGTTCCGTTCACCACTGCCAAGCTGATTGCGCGTAAGACTGAGGTGAAAAGCTCAGACATAGTGCTGGTAATTGGGGCAAACGGGTCTGTGGGCTCAGCCGTTGTGCAACTGACCACAGCTCTTGGGTGTCGGGTCTTGACCGCAGGACGCAACGACAACATGGATGTCAATACTGACAAGGACCCAGAATTGGCTACAGTTTCTGCTCTCACGGACCAGCACGGTGTTGACGTCGTGATTGATACTGTAGGAATTCCAGCCACCACCACAGCTGCGATCAAGAACATGGCACATGGAGGAAAAATCGCCATAATCGCAGCACCGGGAGATGTCAACCTCACTTTCGATATGAAAGACCTTTATCGACATGAAAAGTCTGTCATTGGCTGCAATTCGCTCTCATACGACGCACAAACCTTGGCTCTAGACATGGCTCAATTGACGCTCGATTTCGAAAGTGGGAAGCTGCAACCTTCAAGAGACGAGGTGTGGACTACTGTGAGTCTCGAGAAAGCGGTGGACGTGTACAAATTCGGCCCCAAGGCAAGGGCCAAATTCGTGATTGTCATGGACCACTAAGATAGTGGGTGACTTATACACGGCTCCACGTTTGAATGCATGAAGTCGGGAAGAGAAGTGTGGTCAAATACAAAGCTGTTTTATGTTTTCCGCTGTTTTGCACTGAAAACGATTCAACTCATGCAAACTACCGAAGGAAAAAGCTTGCAACATCTTGCTCTTAATTTCCCTGTTCCCGCACATCAATTCGGCCAGTTTCTGCTTCTGCTATGACAACGATCATTACTTCACCTTTGAACTCGCATACGGCTGCTACTCTATTCGAGCATAGAGCGGTAACAACCTGTTCTGTTCGTGATCATTACTGCAGGTTGGATCTTAGGTCTGGCGTTCCAATCGATCTTTGGCAATGGCCTGTCCTCGGAGATAAAGCCGACTGGCATTTTTTACTCAATGGCATCGCTTCTTACCGCCTTTTCGCGACGCAGTTTCGTCAAGACAGCTCTTCTGTGGTATCAGCCTCAGTGACTGCAGCCGACGGTTACATGAGAGAATATTGTCATCTTTAGCCGATGACAGGGAGTGGTGGACATTGCTCACTTTGTGAAGGAAGATGACATTCTTGACGTCTGTGATATCTGGAATGCTGGGCTCGAGTCTGCCTCGAAGCTGGAGATCATTTGGGCATATGCTCTCAGCTGTGACATAGAAATATCGTGCGCGGGCAGCACAAATCTGCAGGCAATCGCCGCACTTCTTAGCACTTGTAGCGTTTGCATCAACGCTAGAAAATCGGCAATCGCGCCGCATTGCTGCGTATTAGGATCCAGAGCACGAAAAAGTCGTCGGTCGCCCTGAGGCTTTGCAAATTCCTGTCGTCACTTCTCTTAATTTCACTTCGTGAGAATATTTTGTCGTCTCTGTGACGTGGACGCTCATGCAACTAGTAATTTGCACTGCACTCCGCCTGATGGTTGCCCTTGTTTAGAGTGTTTTCAATGATCATACGGATACTTAGTTGCAGGCTGGCTGTCGACCAATATTTGGGTCTTTGATCGTGCTCGACTTGGCATTTGAGACTCTTGCAGCTGCATGTTTTAAGGCAGCTCTTCTAGCCTTTTTTCATTCGCGCTATCTACACGGAACGCAAGCATTGCAAATTCCTCGAAGCTTGGTGTAATCCGGAGTCGTTATGAGGTGTGACTGTGATCACACACCAAAAAGACGATCGCTGGAATATCAACCTCTCGCCAGTTGGACCTTTCTGATGCGTTAGCTAGTGGTAGAAAGGTGAACATGATGGTGTTTTATTCACCCTTAACAGTCAAGCTGATGCTAGATTTAAACAGATGGTTGGCGATGAGCTCATACTCATTATGGGTCTCGATGAATCATGACGATAAAACGCGCGAAAGTAGTACTTCTTATGCTCGAACTACTCCCGTTATGCAGCGATAAATCTGCTGTTCGAACTTCGCTCGAGCGCTGTGGGTTCTTTCTATAAAAAAAGGCGCGTTGCGTTTAGTGAGTAGTTCTTAATGATACCTCTATACAAAGAATAGTTCAATTCATATTGAAGAAAGATCGAAAGTCTGAATCTGGGTCTAGCGTTCTAGTTACGCTTGCCGTTGGCATTTTCTGCGTCTTTAGAGGCCAAAAGCAAGGCAGCACGGTTCATCTGGATGATGTTTGCCAACTGCTTGAACAGATAACCTGGTAGACACACCACAGCGATAACCCCAGCGATGTGGGTTTGCCCCACAAAGGGCAAATTGAAGTGCCATAGCTGAGGGAATGCATATAGATACAACGCGAGGTAGAACAGCTCGTTGAAAGCGCAAATTGTAAACAATGCAGAACGACGGCTGTAGTACAGGTGCAAAAGCCACTGTTCTTTTTCAATATTCTTGTGGGATGCACCGCCGGACGTGAGTGTCGCGTACATGTGCATGTAGTGGCTGGAAAGGTCCAGAGAAACCAAGAGTTGGAAAACTGGAGCGTATTTAGGGTAAGCAACGCATAGGTAGCAGATCAGCGAACTGGTCGTCGATCGGTCTGTGACCATATCCAAAACAGCTCCAAAACCGCTGGTTTGGTTATATTTCCGTGCCATAGTCCCGTCCAATGCGTCCAACAGACACGACACTCCGTATATCCATGTTGTCCATATTGGATGCTTTGACATCAAGAAAAACGACAATATAGCTGTGAAAACACGCATGTAACCTATTTGGTTAGGAATATACCATAGCACCTGTTTGGCGGTAACTTTACTCATATTCAAAGACTCAAATATGTGTGTGTTAGGGCTCTTAAATCAACAAGTTTTTGGTATCTTTTCCCGATGACATTTTTTTTCGAAGTTCCTATTTTTGATGGTCAGAAACTAGTATATAATGAGATTTTGACAGAGAACAGACGACATTAGAAGAGAACAAGATCAAGAGAATTTAGTTGATAAACTAGTTGATAGAGTTCAGCTTAGTTCACCGAGTTAGCGGTAGCGACTGTAATTTGTATGTAATTTTGCAAGTTTTGACAAGATTTTAGCTACTTTTCTGAGCATTTTTTCTTTGCAAAGTGGTTTTAAGCTTAATCCTGATGTAGACCTTTAGCCAAGGCCGGTTTTCTCTTGCAGAATGAACGGATTACTTTTACTGAAAAAAAATGCAGTCTGGCTTGGCAATAAAGCTGGAATTGGGTGCGACACCTGATAACTGAACCTTTTGCACGCTAAAAAGTGTATCTGTGAGCTTATCTGGTTATGACAAAATGGTAACATTAGGAGCTTGCTCATCCCAGATGATTTGGCTCACAAATTACATAATAGTTGTAGTGTACAGATATTTGGATTTCAAAAGTTTACATCAAGACGAGAGAAAACCGAATTTTTGTTCGGGTTTAAGTTGATCTAAGCTTCTGTAACGAGTGGATTTCATTCTTTCCATTGAGGCTTCAAGGTATATCGGTCACTTCAAAAGAAGCACGAACCGGTAAATAAAGTGACTGTCAACATGAAATCAAGGAAACAGCTCTTAGACAAAAACTGTTTCTTGACTCACTAAAGCCTCTTTCCGTGAACGTGTTGTTTAAGCTTCCTATAATGACCCCTCCGAATGACAAAAAAAAATGAAAATCACAGCTCGCTTCAACAAAGCTTGGATCGCAAAATGCGTGATGGAAATAGGCGAGTTTTCTTAAAAGTTATTTGAGGAAAAGTAGCGGGTGCGAGAAAATCAAGTTTCGGTTTTCAAGCAAAGCACTTAAGAGGACTCAGAGTTCTTGGCCAACTGGTCTCTCTTGACCTGGGCCTTGGCGCCGACTAGACCACCACCCCAGTGCTTCTTGACCTCGTCGTACTTCTCCAAGTAGTTGGCGTTGACAGTAGAGACCAACTTGGCTAGAGCAGCCTCGTCTTCCTCTCTGACTTCGGCCAAAGCGGCGACAGCAGACTTCTTCTGGTTAACCAAAGTTCCAAGTCTGGCCTTACCCTTCACAATGGCGTAAGGAACACCCATCTTCTTGCACAAAGCTGGCAAGAAAACGACAAGCTCGATTGGGTCGACGTCGTTGGCGATCAACACAAGCTTGGCCTTCTTGTTCTCGATAAGAGAAACAACGTGGTTCAAACCGAACTTGACAGCGTAAGGCTTTGGAGAAGCTTCCTGCTTGGACTTACCCTCGGCGTAGGCGGCAGCCTCCTTGGTTAGTCTCTCCTTCTTCTCGGCCTGAGATTCAGGTCTGTACTTGTTGAAAAGCTTGAAGGTCTCAGCAGCAGTGTTTCTGTCCAAAGTGTGCTGGAACTGAGCAATGGTTGGAGGAACCTTTAGTCTCATAGACAAAATCTTCTTTTGTCTTTGAAGTCTGACGTACTCTGGCCATTTCACGTATCTAGACAAGTTTCTCTTTGGCTGGATGTCTTGGCCAATACCAAAGCTCTTTGGAGTGGAGTTGGTCAATGGGTTCTTGGCCTTACCGGCCTTACCGGCCTTGGAAGCCAAAGGAGCTGGAGCAACTTTCTTAGATGGAGCCATTGTTCAGATCGATGTTGAGTTACGGAGCTTGCAAGAATAGACCAGAAGTGTTGATGAGGTGAAATCGTCCATTTTATACTTAGAGCGTCAACGAGCAGAGGCATCGGTGAAAAATATTGGCCGAAATGTTTGCGTCTGTTTGAATTTCATGATCATGGGATTCGTGAAGAAGGACATCTTTTTTTAAAACTGGAAAGTTTTGAAATTTCGAATGTATTTTCTTCTAAAATGGTGTATGGGTGTGAAAAAGCAGTCAAATCTTGAAACTTTTTAGGTCACGGGGTCCTGTGACAGCGACAAGGTCATCTGCCTGCTATGAAGATCGCAGTAGAAACTAGTTGCTGCTTCTTATGTATTTAGCGCATAAAGGGAATTAATATGACTTAGCTTGGTGTTTCGTCGGAATTGGATGATTCTAGTATGCCGTTGCGAAGCACTTCGCCTTTTAACGCTATACCATACGGTCGAAAACTTATGTTTTTATTGGGCGGACTTTCTTATATAGTCCGTAGTGTCGAAACGAAATGCCAGTAATTCATGCTGTCTTGTACATAAGCTATACACAGTTTGTATCCTCATCATGTAAAAGCATTTACACGTCGAGTAATTACCCAGGGCTTTCCCTCTCTTAAGTTCAGTTTCCTCACACCAAATGTGAAAAATTCAATTGCAAACATTAATTCAAAGGAATATATAATTAAAATTAAGTGGCTGCTGCTTCCTTATTACACGTTCTTGGCAGCAGCGGTGCCATTCTGCATCATGCCTATTCCATCGTTCATGATATCTGCCCAACCTCTACACCTCTCGATCGCGGCTTCCCACAATTTCCACTTCCGTCTTCTGTCCTGGTCCTCAGATTGAGATCTAAACGTTCTTGATTGTGACATCCCCGCAGATTCCTTTATTTTCCCGACAGAATCCTCTCCGCCATACATAATCCATCTCTTAACGTCTTTGAGGTCCTTCCACAACCTGCGATCCTCACGCTTTTCGTAGGCAAGCGCAGCAGCAATACCGGCCCCAAGTGCGGTACACTCCGAGCTCGCTGACGTTCTTACTTTAACACAGGGTCCCAAAATATCCGCCTGAATTTGCATAACTTCTTTGGATTTAGACATACCACCGTCTACAGCTAAGACCGATAATGGGGCCTTTTCGTAAGTGCCGTCCACCACATCTTCGAGAAAATCTCTGTCCTTGGCGCCTTCTCCGGCAGCATCTGAACTCATGGCTTTGAGAATAGCTCTGGCTTGGAAACACACACCCTCCACAGCTGCACGGGCGAGATGCGACGAAGTGGTATGTTGTGACATACCCATAATGGTAGCCCTTGCGCTAGCATCCCAGTAAGGCGCGAAAAGGCCCGAGAACGCAGGCACAAATACCACACCGCCGCTGTCAGTCACTCTAGAAGCTAGAGGGCCAATGTCCTCTGCTTTTGGAATCAAACGCAGGTTATCACGAAGCCATTGTACCACGGCACCGGCAACGGCCACTGACCCTTCAAGCGCAAAATGTGGTTGCGCATGCTCTTCATCTTCCAAGTGCGGGAACCAGTAGCCAAACGTAGTCAAAGCACCGTGCGACGAAATCAGTTTTTTCATACCTGTGTTGTAAAGTAAGAAACAACCAGTACCGTAAGTACACTTAGCAGCACCAGGTTTGAAAGCAAGTTGTCCGACTAAAGATGCACTTTGGTCACCAAGACAACCTTGAATTGGCACCGCCGGAGTTCTTCCCATAAAATCGCACAAAAGAGACCAGGCAACAGAGGTGAGGTTGGGTTTCACACATTCTGGCACTGAAAAATCACCGTAGTACTCAGATGATGACACGATTTTTGGCATATGGATCTTGTCGCGAGAGATGTCCCAGTATCTTAACAGCTCCTCGTCGTAATCCAAAGTGTCCAGGTTCATAAACCCAGTACGAGATGCGTTTGTTACGTCCGACACAAACGCATGGTTCGTAGTTAAATGGTATATTAGCCAAGAATCAACAGTTCCAAACATAAGATCTCCAGCCTCGTACGCCTCGCGAACCTTAGGTTCGTTATCAAGCAGCCAGCGCAGCTTGGAGCACGAGAAATAGGTCGAGTACAAAGGCAGCCCAGTCATAGCTCTTAGATGGTCTTGCAGCTCTTGTGGTGTGCTGTTACGTTTCTCAGTGACAATGCCGCTGTTCCGCGTGTCGTTCCAGACTATACCATAGTCAACAATAGGAGCCCCAGTTTTTTTGGACCACACTAATGTGGTTTCACGCATGTTTGCAATACCGATACACTGGATGCGATATGGGGGCAAGTTAGCAGAAACTCGGTCACCATTAACACTATTCATGGAAATGAGATTTGCGGCAAAACACTGAAGAACGTGTGCTAGGATTCCAAGTGGATCACATTCGACCCATCCTGGCTGTGGGAAGCTGAGTGTTGGTCTAGAGGGACGATTAAGGTCTTCAATCTCAAGGTATTCCGTGGCCTCAATAGCGATACCTTCTGCTGAAAAAATTGGCTGTGAGCTGGAAGAACCAGCTGCACTTTTGGGACTGCCAGTCGCGGTCGATACCCCAGCAGCTGTGGTGTCCACGGAAGAACGTCTGGCGCCTACGGGAGCAAAACGTTCCTTAGAGGCAGATGTCGAATATTCAATCTGGTGTTTGGACACTTCTTGGCCCTGAATGTTGAACAGAATAACTCTTGATGAGGTTGTCCCCACGTCGATGGACGCTACCAATGGAACATCTTCCGACTGTGTTGATTGCAAGATTGCAGGAGACATCATGAATACTTTACAGAAGAATGAGGGCTGGAAGTAGGGAGCCTAGTGTTAACAAAATCAGCCGAAATCAACTTAGGCTCAGTGAGGAACACTTTTTTGATGATTTTGGAAGAACCCTTCAGAATTTATTTGTTAGAAATCTTATCCTTAGGCAAAATAAAATATTTCGCCAATCAAAGAAATAAATCCGGGGTAATAGTAAAATCTTCAAGTCCGTTGCTGTTATATTAAACCAAAAACAGAACGAAGAGGAAGAAAGAGGGGGAAATGATGGTAGATAAACCTGAAAATTTTATAATTTTGACGAAATTCAAAGCTCGAAGATCAACAAGACAGCTCTTTCCAAGGCCGTAAAAGTTTGTAGACGTAGTATGGCTCAGTAATTTTCAAGTCATCTTTTTTAAGCCAACATATATCAAATGCTGATGTGTGCTCTCCGGTAATTGGAGTCGTGTTGCACTTGCTTATATAGACGATTTTGCAGTGCTGATAACAGTGAAATCCACTTGGTCAATATTGTCCACTTCGTCTACTTCGTTGGGTCATCCGTCAGCCCGAAATCTCAATACAAGCCTCGAATCTAGCCGGGTGTGGGGGTTTGCTCGAAAATTGAACACGGGGAGGGGGAGGGCAAAAAAAATTCGAGAAATCGCACGGAACGTCGGTGATGAGTCTTTTGACACATGCATAAACAACACAGCTCGGCTTTACCATCCATCGCGTTTTTGCGATAGAGGGTTCCCTAGTAAAGTGCTGCAGGGCGTGACTGCATCCAGCAGGAAAGTTCACATAGGCTCAGCAGCTGTGGTTTGCGTTTGATGACCAGGTTCTGTTCTTGGCAATCTCCGATGTCGGAGGCCACTAGAGCTCGCCATTTACGAAGAGGTAAGGGCCGCTTGACCATGCGGTTGGTTGAGGTCATCATTCAGGAGTTACCTCTCAAGTGCATCATGACCAAGTAAAATTGCAGTTTGTGTGGCGATTATAGCTTCTGGACTTCAACAGAGGGCTTATCGCGATAGCTCCAGATGTAGCTCCGAGCCATGTAGTGAAGGTAAAGAAGGGGACATTTTTCGGGTATCAAAATTTAGTAAAATGGGATGCAAATAGACTGGAAAACCGTTGTTTCGAAGCAGCCTTAAAGGGCCTTCTTTGACTTTCACAAGCATTCACAGAGATTCATCTCCAAGGTAACGAGACTGCCCACCAAATCTGTCTAGAATTTGGTTTCGTGTGAAGCCCCTTTACTCTTCTCTTCTTCTCTCCTCTTTGTTTGTGTTTAAAAATGTGGTGTTTAAGAGGAAAAGTGGGTCTTGATGTTTTCAAAATATTTTTTGTACCGTAGAGAATTAAATAGCCGCCCATCTTGACAATTGAATTCTGCGAAAAAGAGACGTAAAGAAAACAGCTCATCTTTGAAAGATGTAAATGTACCTTCGAAGAAGGTCGCCAGGGTCTAGAATACTGACACTTGTTTTGTACTGCCCTTCTTTTTTTGCATAAAAATATGGGGAAAACGTCTCAGTCGTATCGATATGGATTAGTGCTCGAGCATCTACTTGTTCCATGTGCCCTTTGCTGGCTTTCATACGAATACACTAAAGCCTAAAACAGCTTAAACTGACATTAAACATCAATGGCTCGATTTCATACGTCTTAGTAGTGTGGAATAACCTAAAAGCTGTGTTTTTCGTAAGAGTAGCCTGATCTAATGCAATTCCAGATCTTGTAAGTTCATACTACACGGATAGACGCTTTCAGTAGCAGTGGTGTTCAAGTTTTTTTTAAGTGTGTAATTAAAGCGATCCCATATAGTCCATTCACAGATCGTTTCTTGCAAGAATGTGAGATGAAGTGACCAGCTTTCAAACACCCGTCTCTACAGACCCATACTGTACACCCCATCAACGCCAAACCAGCATCTATCGGAAGATACTTATACATCAGTGACTGAAAGTGGATCACCGGTTGTAGTTTATTTCGCCCAACAACCCAAACCTTGCGGTTGCACATCTATCGTTACTCGGTGATCATCTCTTCAATCAACATTCAAGAACGCTGTATAATATATAATCAAATCTCTATCTTTCCGCTCACCATGGAAGCTCAGTGCCATCGTAGCTCATAAACTTACCTGCGTTTTTGGATTTCAGGTCATTCAAAATGTTTTCCTTTATAGCCTTGGCAGACTCCTGGGGAGTTAAATAGGGTAGCGCCTTTCTCAATTCAGCTGCAACATCATCGTTCAACTGATCCAACGAGTCGTTGCCCATGTCGCTGCCCACTAGACCAGGATGGATCGCAACAAAGCTGTAACCGGCTGGAGAAAGATCTTGGATTAATGCTTTCACCACGTAGTTGGCAGCAGCTTTGGAAACTCCATAACCTGAAAAAGGCGCGGGCAAGTCGATGTTGAGAGAGCCCACGACAGAAGTGACCACTGCGACCTCTTTCGTGTCCTTCTTGTCCAGAAGCGGTTTGAAAGCTCTGACCACTCTAATGGCACCCAAGGTATTGATGTTGAAATGCTCCATGTACAGTAGGGTGGTCCAGGATACTACCAATTTTCTGTAGAAATCCAGCATTCGAGATCAAAGTGTCGAGTCCGTCTGGCAAAATTTTAGAGGTTTCCTTGGCAGCGGCTTCAACGCTGCTGCTGGAGGTGACGTCCAATGGCACGATTTTTACGTTGGAATGTTTATCAGCCCATTCTTTCAAATCAGCGGCAGAACTTGGATCTCTAGCAGTGGCCACAACAATGTTTTTCGCATTGGAACTTAGTTCTTTGACCAACTCTAGACCGATACCTCTGTTGCCTCCGGCCACAAAGTATGACTTCGAAGACATTGGAAGCGGAGGGTCAAGTGTTTTATTTTTGAACCTGGAATTGCGTGCGTTTGGGAGAGTACCAAAAAGCTTGCTTGACTCTGGAAGAATGTTATGAGAGGAAACCTAGAACGGTCAACGTGTCGGATGAGAGACCTTTTTATATGCCTCAATTTCGTAGCGCCTGTACGAAAACCATGAGGAGAAAACGCTCGAAGTCCAGTGCGTATTTGTCATACGTTTTGCAGATAACTCAGGGAATGTTAAGAGTTCGCCACACGAGGAAGTCCTTGCACTTACTAAAGCCAACATTCAATTGCTACCAAATGTCTTCAATTATCAGTTGGAGCGCACACAACCGATTATCAAAGATCTGTAGCATTTTGAACACTCACAGTTGCTCCCAAAAAATACGCTCGCGCAAACCCTAAGGTCCTCCTCGTTGAGATTTTGAACAGTTTTCTCTGAAAGGCGACAAATGACATTAATCATCACAAATCTGCACTGCCGGCCTTGTACAGCCATCGATTTGTACAAGTTCTTGTATTTACTGCGCCCTAGCTGAGTAAGGAGAGTGGCTTTAGTTGCGTTGTGTGTCTTGGCACTTGACCGTTGCAAACAGTTTTACACATCGTGCCTCTTATTGTCTCTTGTTGTCTAAGACAAAGGATAGCCAATTGTCTTGGCATGCATGAAGATCGCTGTCTCGAGGATGACGGGAAAGTACATAATGATATCGAGAAGATTTAATAATATTAACTTTATATCGAGGTTCAACCATCAAAATTCTGTAGCAAAGACTAGGAGAAACAGGAATCCACCTTGAGCTGTATCAAACTTCTCACCAATCGCCAAGCTTGACGGCTTTGTACGTCAAAGGATCGGGTATTTGACCAAGTTTCGAGATAAGTTAGTCACGCTTCGCTTGACTCGTGATATCAGGTTTCCGAGTAGAAATCGGGTAATAACAAAAAACGATTAAATTTGATATTGCAGAGCAGAATTCAGATCTCAAAGGTGAAAACTTGAAGAGCTAAGACATTCTTCAAAGAAATCAGCGATACCCAAAATCTTCACGTATTACACTCACCGTAGCTTATCACCGCTTGGTTACATTGTTTGTGTACCGATCAGTGCTCTTCGTGCGCATACCTATCTAAATATTCAAGAAAGAAGGAGCGGAAACGGTACGACAATAAGGTTTCGATGAGTAAACGAAATTCTTCAGAGTCGCAGGACGAACGGCGAAAGAAACCACAGGAATATATGAACGACTATCTTTCTGACAATAATAACGATACCAGGTCCCAAAACTCAACCCGGGATAACGGATCGCAGGCCTCTAGAGATAACGCCTCATCGCTTCCCAACAGCAACAACAATAACAATAACAATACGAATAACGATGACCGCTACATTCCTTCCCGGGATTTTGCTCCACAACATCGAATCTCTGCTTCTGCGTCCTACGTCCCGCGTCCAAGAAGCGGTACCAACTCTGGCAGTAATAACAATAATGACGACGGCAACTACTCCAACACGCAGGTAGTGCCCAATACACAACAGCCGTCACGGTCCAATTCTGCAGCCCATTCTACGGGCCACAGGAGCAGAGCCCAGAGCTCACTGTCCAACTCCAACATGAACATTCGATCGCTTAGGTCAAACACAAATGAATCGGGTCAGAAGGATGAAATCGAACAGCCAACCGCTACTGACGACCCGCGTGATACGGATGTACCGCTCAATATCAAGCCCAAGACCCTATATCAAAACCCACAAACCCCCACGGTTCTTCCTTCCACTTACCATCCCATCAATACATGGACTACGCTCAAGCAAACGTACTTGAAAGAGTTCCTTGCAGAGTTCGTAGGCACTCTGGTGATGATCTTTTTTGGATGTTCCGTTATCTGCCAGGTAAGGACTGGTCAGCAGCAACAGAGGGTTGTATTTCTTAAGGAACTGGCGGGTTCGTCAGATATCCCAGCTGAGAATAAGATCTCACTGTTACAGTATCTGGTGCCAGTCGATGTTTCGGGTACATTTGACGATATCGCTTTGATCTGGGGAGGTGCTGTTGTCATGGGATATTTTGCAGCTGGTGGCCCTGCCCTTTCAGGTGGACATTTAAATCCCGCTATTACCTTGAGTAACTGCGTCTACAGAGGGTTTCCTTGGCGTAAAGTGCCCATTTACTGGGCTGGACAATTACTCGGTGCTTACGTCGGTGGTTTGGTGGTGTTCATGTACTATATGCCTGTGATCGAGTATGTTTATCCCGATTGGACTGGCAACGAGACTGTGTTGAGCATGTTCTGTACTTTCCCCCTCGAATACCTGTCACCTTCTCGTCAATTTGTCAGTGAGTTGGTGTCCGGCGCCATTTTACAAATCTCAATGTTTTCGCTGACAGATCCCTACACTTGTTTGAGATCCGATTTATTTCCACTTATGCTGTTTGTGCTTATTTTTTGCTTGATCGGTGCCAGTTCTCTGCAAACTGGTGCAGGGTTGAATCCTGCCAGAGATTTGGGTCCTCGTTTGGCTTTAGCAACTGTAGGTTATGATGGGAGAATTCTCTGGAAGGGTCACCATCATTACTTCTGGGTGCCTATTGTAGCGCCAATGGTAGGAGTCTTACTCGGAGGTGGAATTTACGATATTTGCATCTACCAAGGTCACGAATCGTTTTTGAACTGGCCATGGTCATTGGTTAAGAGTAAGATCAAACGATTATGGATATTCCGCCCTCGTTTTTATAGAAGAGAAAGGGACAACAACACAGATAATGAGAGTGATTGGGATTACGACAATGAGAGCGGTCAGCAAAGTCAACACGATTCTGAATATGATGAAAGTCCAAAGACAGGGTTTTTCCCCGAGTCTGACGCACAAATACAGAAACAGGTTCAATTCAAAAGCATGTCGAAGAATTTCAATGGCAAGAGAAACCCCGTTTCTGGAATTCCAACGATTTTCGAAGAGGGCGGTGACAATGAGGAAGATGACGAGAATGATGAAGTCGGAGATTTACCAGCAGACAACAAACATCGCAGGCCGTCTTTATCAAAGAATAAAAATAGGTCTAGCGAAAGAAAAGCTAAGCGGAATTAATCGTAATAATAATTTGACTTTACAGAGTAAAGAACATGGTGGGGCCGGACACTTAAGGGTTTCAGTGCCTCACCAGGTGAAAAATAGGAATAGTATACACAGCGTAATTAGGCCGGCTAAAATCACGGCATTCTTCTTCCTTCTCGTGTTGATCTTAGCTATCACTTGGTTGATACCCGGAACGCGCTGTAATGTGTTCATCATTTTGTCGCCAGCAGACTGCAACACGGCTCTTTGAGAGGAAAACTGGTCCCTTGTTTGCCAGGCTTGTGAGAGTAAACTGTCCACGACATTGTGCGATTCTTCTATGCGCCGGGTTTCGTCCTGAATGTAAGCGTCTGGGCTATCCTCAGATTGCTGTGCTATGTCTTTCTTGACACTAAAAAGTAGATTGAGACGATTCCGTTCTTGTTGAATGGACGATCTCAAATTCCGGAAATGCTGTTTATGCTCTTGCAGAACTTCTTGGTGCCGTTGCACTTGCAATGTTTTGGAGGTCGAGATTCCCGGAGTTTCATCACAAATTTTGCGCAATGAATCAATTATGTCTTGTCTTTTAAGAAGCACCTTTTCCAGCTTGCTGTCAAGGGTCCTTTCTTGACCCGTTGCGTCCGAACTAGTCGTCTGTGCAAATTGTGCGTATTTTGACAACAATGATTCTGTTTGAGACTCTAGTGAAATGGCTTGTCCTCTAACGGTCACGAAGGATGCCATATTCTATGTTTAATAGAGCTGCAGTTGGCCTCGCGATAATCTCAAGTCTATCGAGAGACGTTGGCGTTGAAGAATTCGACTAACGGACAATTCAAGAGATATAAAATGCTAATTGTAATTATTTATCAGAATAAAGAAAGAGATGTCTTTACAGAAACATCAGAGAAACCTCTGAGTCAAAGATAGTCAGAAATATAGACGCCCAACGCTTTAAATAGTCTTTGAGTTCAGATCCAACAATGTCTGCGGTGTCGCAACCGTGGACGCTGTACCAAACGTCTCGACTGGACGGATGTAGATAATCTAGACGAATAGTGAAATCTTGTATGTTTAACCATGTATGCAGATCGTCAGGAAAACAGATGCGCTGCGTCTCTATATCGTCTACAGTTTCATGGCTCCATATCCTGAAAATGAGCTGTGGTTCTTGGTAGACTGGTGAGTACAGGATTTGTAGTTCTATGGAATGATGAGGTTTTATTGGAAGATAAATCAAGACATTGATACTAGCGTTAGAGACATTGGAAAGTTGATAACAGCGTTTCCACCGCGTCAGTAAGGGAACGATCGATTTTTGAAGCTGATGCTGGAATGCATCAGCTGAAATCATCAGGTTCAATCTTTTAACATCGATTATTCTTGATGTAACGTCAGAGTTCATCAGAAAGTATAAGTAAGACTACATTTATGAATAAGAATAAGAAATAGAGTTAAAATCGATATTTCGGGATAAGAATAAATGATTTGATAATAAATAACTGTGGGTCTGGTCTGAAAGTCAATTTCCACCAAATCCCCAACGGTATAAATAAATATATGTGTTTGTGAGAGTGAGTGAGTGAGTGAGTGAGTGAGTGAGTGAGTGAGCGTAAGTGTGTGCGGGTTCCAACCCCACACTTTTTTTTGTTGCTTACAGGTAGACAGAGGATGCGTTCACTCGGCGATCATGGACTTCTTGATCTCCTGGATGGCAAAACCGGGGTTCAACCCCTTAGGACAAGTCTTGGTACAGTTCATGATGGTGTGGCATCTGTACAGAGACATCGAGTTTTGCAACATCTCCTTTCTCATCTTGGAGGCCTGGTCACGCGAGTCGATCAACCAACGGTAAGCTTGCATCAGCACGGCTGGTCCCAGATACTGCTCCTGGTTCCACCAGTACGAAGGACAAGAAGTAGAGCAACATGCGCACAGGATACACTCGTACAACCCGTCGAGCTTTTTACGATCTTCGATACTCTGCAAAATCTCCTTACCGTCTGCGGGAACACCGGTTCGTTGCAAATATGGCTGCACAGACTTGTATTGTTTGTAGAACTGGGTCAAGTCTGGAACCAGGTCTTTGATGACATACATGTGCGGCAAGGGGTAAATCTTGGACTCCTTCGACGTGTCTGGATCGATCTTGCACAAGCAAGCCAAAGTATTTCTGCCACCAATGTTCATAGCGCAAGATCCGCAGATACCTTCTCTGCACGATCTTCTCAACGTCAAAGTCCCGTCTTGTTCGTCCTTGATCTTCAAAAGCGCGTCCAAGACCATCGGTCCGCACTTGTTCAAATCCACCTGGTATTCTTGCAATCTGGGCTTCTCAGCGGGCTTGTCAGGACTCCAACGGTAGATCTTGAATGTCTTTAATCTGGGAGTCTCTTCGCCTGCTTCCGTGGCCAATCCACGTCTCAACGCGCTTCTAGTGAAACTTGTCCTCAACAATCTGTTCATCGACATCATCTTATCTCAAAAACCTTGCAGAACAGGTCAAAATACTCTCCTCCTCGCTAAACTCGATGTTCTGCTACTTTCTTTGAAAGTTGCAGTTGACAAGCTACAATTAATCTTTGGCTTTGGTTTTTTCTGATCGTATTATATACTCACAGCGATGTGACGGGAAAAATTGGAATATCGGAAAATATCGGAGCCGAATGACGGAGCTGCGGAGTGTCAGTTCTGATAAAAGTGATATAGTCACGTGGACATAAAAAAGCCGGTTTTTTTTGATAACGTGGGGTAGATCCTCCATGGACTTTGTTAAACGTGGTTATCAAGCAAACAGTATAAACTATTATTCCAACGCTAATAGTAAATTAATGACTGTTGATTCAAGTATTTGAATGCGAAAATGATGAGTTTTCGGTCTTTCGATTTTATGCCATATCGTTATTCAAAATTCCGAGTTGTGTGATCTTGTTTGAATCCTTGGTTTCCAGACGTATCGTATCGTAGCTGGTGTTGAGACTGTAACGAGTAGATTCAAGCCAAACATGGGTGAAGAGCGATTTTGGATAGCTGTGATCACTTTTGCCTCACCCGTCATCTCTGAAATTTGGTCACGTGACATAGTCCCTACATTGACATCGCTATCTCTGCGACGAAAATGTTGTCTTCAGCGTGGATCTCTCCACGGTGAACTTTCCGCCGTGGTAAAAGCCTGATTTTGTCGAGTTTTAGACAACTTGAATGTTTAGCCAAGGGTTTCAAAACTAGTTTTAAATCATACATTCCGGGAGGCAATTTGTAACATCGAACTATTTCGCCCAGAATATTTGACAAAGATCTTTCGAGACTAAACTCGGCTAGGAGTCTGAACAAGTGGAAATTAGCAGATTGCAAAGCATCTTCACCTACAATAAAATGCAGGTATTCGGTTGACTTCTTGGACATTTTCCAGCCAAATGACACCTTAGTATAAAGTGATTTATAATTTGTTAGCGCGCCAGATAGAATAATGAATCATGACAACATGCAAAATAGCCCACATTTCAATTGTTGTAAAACCTGCTACAGTTTGAAACGGTGTCGAACGTTTGGATAGATTTAGCTCAAATTCAGGATGACTAGTACTAAGCGAAGAACCAAAACGAAATGACGGCGAAAAGATGCTTATTTGTGTGCGACAAATAAGTTGCATGTTGATCATATGCTAAGCTGTAGTGACATATATATATATTTCGATTTAGTGCTGTGGTGAACAGCAACAATCACGGACAGCGCCACCCAGCACAGCGTTCGTGTTTGTGCGTTTTCCCGCTGAAAATTAAAGAGTTTTTCGAAGACCTGAGTAACTCAATACGTGCAACCTCACCATCGCGCTTAGCGCAATCCTGCGGTTCTCAAAGTTCGGCCTGACAGTACTTATTATACTCATTGACCGCGATCGAGATGTGCTTGTACAAGAACCTCTTTTCCTCGGGATCTGAGATAGGAACAAATAGCTCAGTGGACGCGTTTTTCAGGGTGATCACCAAACCAGCCCTTTCCAGGGTCATGGCCCTAACATCCTTATAACGGACTTTCCACATTATTTCCAAGTTCGACAACCGAACCTCAATCACATGAGAAAGCGAAACGATGACCGCGAGGTGTTTCCCTGGCAGAACGACGTGCGCAAGATATTTGTCCGTAATACATTCACCACCGTTGGCGCTCTTGAGCCAAAACTGTCCTTGCGACTCGCGTAAGTTAAATGGCTTTATGGTTTTGTCAAAACCCACATACCTTGGCAAGCGGACACGGTTGGTCAACGAGGCGTCCATGACAGTGGTGGTATTACGAATCCCCTCACTCACATTACTAGCCAAGTCCAGTACCCCAATTGCAGTCTTGGTTGGAAGACCAATGAATCCTTTTCCAAGACCCTTTAAAAAGCCCGGCATTCCTTCTTTCGAAGCACCTTTATATGGATCGAACGCAATTCCTCGTAGACCGCTGCTCACCCCGTTGACAAAAGAGGTAGCACCAGAACCGATTCCATTTAGACTTCTACTATTCTTGGCTTTTCTTTGCTCGAGTCTGCGACGCTCCTGAAATTCGCTATCCTGAGTGGCGACTGATAATCCTTTAGCCACCGAACCTGTAAACCGTGCGAAACTGTCAGATAATCCAAATACGGACTTCTTCACAAAGCTTAGACCACCCTTGGCGATACTGATGCCAAGTTCTTGAGGTCTATCGTTTAGCATGTAACCTTGATAGGGCTCATAAAATATATCCCATACGCCCGAGCTAATGTTGTTGAAAAGACCCACGGGATTTCCTAAGAAGTCCGCGGATCCCAAAACTTTGTGAATTTGATAAAAGAACTGCTGGCTGTAATGGGTTTGAATGGCACTGAATAGCATTGGCAAAGGAACTTTCACATTATCCATGAAGAGCGAGTTAAGCTTTATGGGCGCGTCGTTCACGTTTCCCAAGGCCATTGTCAACACATTCGCGAAAAACATTAGGGTATTTTGAGGCGGAACCTTTTCCGTGTCAGCATTGAGATGCTCAGTGCGAACGAATGATAAATGAAGCATAGTAGGTTGCAAATGAAAGACTTCAAAGTAGATGTCGTTGTTTCTTTGTAACTCACTAGGATATGGTAGCATGGAATAATCTGTATCCAACTCATCTTTGACATCAATGATCCAAGAGGCGCCTGGAAATTTTGCAAAATCAATAAGAGCGAAAAGGAAATCCTCGTCCAATTGAATAGTGAGCTCTTGTAACAAAAGGGTAGCGTGCTTCAAATAAAGAACACCGTGTGTATCATCTTTGACCTTCGAGACCGAGCCAGATAAAACTGGGTGGTTGTTAAGCTCCTTCTGATTTTTCTGAATTGCCGTGGGGTAAAGTATGTTAGGGAAAATTCCACCAAACAGCTGGTTGTCGATTTGCATCCATTTAAGTTTAACACTTAAGGTCTGATAGAGGTCTGACTCGTTGAACCTCAATTCTAAACCACTTAGCGTGATATAACACAGTTCCTGCAAGCGCGCATTGATCAATGATATGCCAAGACCATCCAACGATACAACGATTTTTGTAAACACGTTTTTATCTTCCTCTTTTGCTTCGAAGCGGTCACCTTTGTCAGAAGATAATGAGGTTGTGGTGTTTTGGCCCGATTTGAGCTTATACAGACTCTTCTCCGGATTATAATTGGTAATGACCAATGCCTGAGTGGGACCGTCAGCTACAACATTCAAATCTACGATGTCAGTAGACTCGGCAGAGCTTCGAGCAGATAACCTCATAGGTCGTAAGTTGCCTATTTCTGCAAGTTGTACTTCACGTTTGCGTTGTCGAGAGGTCAAAATGAGCTTTTTCTGTCGAGCAGCGGGGTAATCCCAAGCATAGGGCATTGCGCTACGCGGCGGAACCCTATAATATAGAGGTTCATACTGTAGGTCACCCAGATCATCGTACAGGTCATAGTCTTCCTCATTATCGAACGTATGTGGATCACGCTGATAGAATATAAACTCATGGTCGCTAAAGTTCCTAACTGAAAAAGGCCATTGGCCTTTAGCGTCAGCAATATCAATAAAGATGGTCGAGTCTTCTAGAACAATATCAAGCTTTAGCAAATGGTGACCCGATCCATTTTTTAGAACCTTAACGTAACTCGACCCGATATCTTTGATCATGAAGGGTGAGGACCATTGTGATTGAGATCCGAGAAACTTTATGCACATATGTTTGTCAACAATGTTTCTCATTTTGTACAGTGGAAGAGATACGTTAGATTGGGCTTTCATCACAAAATTCGATCCATATTCGCTGACTTCTAAGTCAAAATCAAGGCTGTTTCGGAGAATGTAGCGGGGAAGTAGTTTAACGATTTTACTGAGAGCAAATTTACCACTGCCCTCTGAAACGGTGACTCCAATGTTGCTCTCTTGATTTCGATTGGGAATTTCCATAGCCAAATCCACAGACCGACCAATGGCATCAAATGAAGTCTGAACACTCCAGTGAGAGTCCTTGAACTTGATTCTGGCTCGATTTTTATTCGAGCGGTCACTTTCAAAAGAGAACATGGTAGGCTTTGTGTAGCGAGTTGAATCCTCAGCTTTCAGTAACACTTTGGAAAAAGCAGTGTTACGTCCATCCCCTTCTATCTGAAGATCGCGATCTGTTCCATTGTAAATGATGTAAGGTGAATAAATGCTGATAACTTTAGCACGCGACCCTTCTATTCTTTGGTAATGAAGTTTTAAGTTCAAATTTTGTCCATTTTCGTATCGCAAACTAACCAGCTTCTCCGGCTCCAGTTCTGAATCGGGCTTGGTGTTAATCAAAGCTTGTTCGGACATACCTACGCCTTCGTTGTCAGGTCTCAACGACATCAGAATATAGTCGCTTAACGTCACGCTGTGTACCAAAACGCGATCGCCAATGCCAAGGTAGCACATTCCTGATTCATTCTTCGATCTAGGCTTATTCGCGCTCTCCGCTTTCCAAAACAGTTTATAGTGAATTGGATATGGTAGCAAATTCTCAAGAACTAGTGGTGATGAGACCACAATATTCAAATGTGGATAGATTCTGGCCAGTGGTTCATTGGAATCAAACTTTGCATCGACTTCGTAATAAAAGGGAACATTGGTTTGATTGGAGTCGCATGATATCGAACTTGGAGATGACAGGAGATCTTTCCAGTAGATGCTTCTGCTTGACCAGTTATATTCACCAGCAGGCTTGAGATAAACACGGGCATTGTAAGCGTCTTGAGCAGGCACTGAGCGAGACTGCCCGGGTGGCACTTTTTGAACATTGCTCTCAGTACCTGATAATCTGAAAAAAAGATCGCCATCTGTGGCATTTTGAACCACAAGAGTAGACTTGATAGTGACTTGCTTAATGTTGTCTTCACATAGTTTCAGTTCACATGCTAATCTCGCATGTACACCGTTCACAGCGGGATGCAGCGTGTAGACGTCCTCGCCCTCAGAAGTCGCATCTATTTTCAATGTCGTCTGGAATTCCTGGTCTACAATATCAACGCCCAAAATATTCATTGAATCGTCTGTGTCCAGATTTTCCCTAACCTTTCTCCAGTCCTCAAATTCCCAGGGTATGGAACTACCATTTTCAAGAACTGTCCTATTCTGTTGATCTGTGGATTCTTTTGTTGGAATCCAGATTGCTAGTTTCATACCGGTATCATTGAAGATTTTGTAAGGTTTTGTGGCTCCCCTTGCCTCTGTGTCGTCTTTCTCATATAGAGAATTTGGAATTTGCGACAAAAGCGCAATGGTGCGAGAAGATAGTGTTACTTCGGCCAGTTCTCGGGATACAATATCGAAATAAAGAGCCACATCGCCTTCGACACCTTTCGAAAGATGGAAAGACAAAGGTACTGACTCTATTAGAGGCTCCCAACTAGATCTCGAGTAGTTGAAGATGTTTGCGTAAGTTTCGATGGAAGAGATGAGTTCTATATCATTAGACCAATCTTTAGCTGTCACACTAAATGGCTTGATGTTCATATCAATGATTGGAAGCTCGTGAACGTCACCAATCAAAACAAGTCGTAACCCCTGGAAGTCAGCGTCAAGCTTCTCCTTTTTAACAATTGTAACATCTTTTTTATCTTCGATTTTCTGAATTGATGAATGACTGATTGATGATATCAAGCTCGGAGCGTATCTTGAGAGTGTCTTCCTAAACTCTTTAGAAAATGCGCCATTCACAGCTTCTTCCCCTTCATCTACTGAATCGCTTGTAAAACCATGCTCTTTAGCGAGTGCCATTGCTCTATTGAAGATTGACATGGCAAGTCTTACATCTCGTAAGGCAAGTCTCATTGTTAGCGGCTCCACGGATATTTGAATTGAAGTCAAAAACTTTTCAGAGGTCGAACCTCTACGATCAATCACAGCAGATGCAGAAAAGTCGTCCAAAAGACGTATGCGGTTCTGATCAAAGGACTGCATTTTGCAGAGGAACATTCCAACATTGTTGGCATTCGCAGATGTGACATTCTGTTCAGAGAGGAGCAATTGGCCGACATTGAAGACGATAGCCTCAGTGTTCAAGTCAGAAGGATCGGACAAAAGAATGATGGAACTATCAACAATGTTAACGGAATAACACAATGGACTCTTAAATGCAGCAGGCTGGTCTTCAGTGCTTGGTGGTTGATCATCGATTGTTGAAAAGACTTTAGCAGGTGCCTTAACATTGATAGAAGCATCGACAAAAGACTTCAGGGAAAATAAAAAGTCTAAGGCCAAAATTATTCTCGGGCTATCCACAGTAATACTAATATGGCCAACGTCCGATGACTCATGATTTTCTTTTTTGAATGATGCCATGAACTGATAATTTTCGTTCAAAACTTTTGGTATGATCTCATTGTACTGATTGTACTTCGTGCGTCTGATGTCATCTATGGTGAAAGATGAGATGTGTGTTTCAATCTTCATACCCGCTTCTTTGTTTGTCAGAAAATACAGCCCAATCTCATTGAAGCTTATCTTTGTCAAAGCTTGGTCCTTGATGTCATCACTGAGTTTAGTGTCATTGTAAAGGGTTAAAGACAATTCCGGAGCAGAAAATTCAAGGCAAATGTCGGTGTCCTGGACTGAACTGGACTTTTCGAATGAAGCACTGTCGAGAGCAAGCGACGAATTCTCCAGCCCACTGCCTGTAGGCACGACAGTATTAGCAAAAAATGCAATATCTTGAACCTCATCCATATTTTGCTCATGTTGGTCGATTATGAATGCATTTGGTAGGTTCTGAGAAAGCACATACAGGTACTGCAATTGTAGCTCCGTGATATTCGCAAGCAGAGGTTCGAAGAATCCCTTAACTATCAACCTTGATGTAGACCCTTCAGTGTATTGATGATGATCAATGTCGAAACGCAGATCAAGACCATCAATAATGTTCAGCTGCTGAATTTTGCCGCCCTCCAAATGAAACTGTGTGGTGAGACTTCCTGATCTTATGCCAGTATTGATTTGGTTCACAATTTCGCTCTCCTTCTTCACAAAGGAGTTGGATACAGACAGCTCACCTAAGTAAAAAGACAGGTTATCATACAAGCCTTTTTTAGGGTCGATAAGCTTTGGAAAAGCTACAACGGGGGCCTTTATCAAAATGTCGAGTTTTGTGTTATTGACGGTATCGATGCTGGGGGCTCGATCATATGCAGCCTCGCGGGCTCTGTCGAAGAGCACCTTCATTTTTTGAAATTTAGCCAAAAAGTTGATGATTCGATTGACTGCCTCGTCAACGAAGTTGATGTTCATCGAGCCCGTCTTAAAAGCGACAGCTGAAGAGTATTCGAAATCCTCATTGTGACCATCAAAAGTCTCGTACGATAATTCGGCAAGCTCATTCCCGCTCATACTTATCACTTTTCTTAGTGGGGACGTGGGGGCTAGCTCATCGTGAATGTCATTGGTCAGTTCCATGGCGCCCAATTTTGCATTTAGTCTCATCTTCTCGGGAAGTATAAAAAGTTCAACTTCTGCTGCACTTAATGTCATGGTTGCAATCTTTTCCGTCTCATCGTTGAGGAGAATGATGACATTGCCCATGTTCAAATTCATGTTAATTCTTTGTGGGGAATCCTCTACATCCGGAGAGTTGTGCTTCAAGGCATCCATTGGCATCTCAGGGGCATTGGGATCAGTAAAGGTCGTAAGCGTGTAATTAAGAAGTGTCAGGATCGATTTTGGCGACAAAACAACAGTTAGCTCAGTCATAGTCATGTCGATATCCTGATCAAAAACCTCAATCAAGGTATCATTATATGTGACAATTCTCTGCGTTCGTTTCAATTTGAGCTTGAACAGCGGCGATTCTTGAGAGGACTGCTCAGAGGATGATATCATATTTTTGAAGTCATCTGAAATACGGTCGTCAATGCAGTCTTCGATCTTGAAGGAGTGCAAATCGATTCCAACCACCATATCCTGCACTCTCTTGGAAAAATCTAGGTGTAAATTATTTCCGATTAGGTTGACCAGTAAATCAGACTTTAATGATTTCGCGTCGACGCACTTGAACATTGAAAGCCGAATAGCCTCCACATCAAATCTTAAATGCAGAAGACGCTGTTTGAGTTCCGCAGCTGACATTCCGCTTAAGCTTTGTAAAGTCTGTTTGAGAAGATTAGCCTCCTTAGTCGAGAACATTTGGTTGCTTTCCTCATCCCTGATCCCCTCTGACGATTCTCCTTCCCAACTACCCGCTACATCCTGAAAGTCTGGAATGCAGTTGTCGATCAATTGCATGATAATCTTGTATTGAAAATCATTGAGAGATATTTTGAGAAGAGGCAGCTTACCATATACCTTAACTTTCGGCAAGTTTAAAGCCTTCGGGAGAATTGAGACATCAATGTCCAGTCCGACTTCAAGGTTGTTTAAAATAGTAAGTGGACTCTCTCTTTCGCTCACCTTAAGGTCGGATATCGTCGTTCGTATATCAGGGCCAACCAGAAATTGAGTGTCTGTTAAGCGAAGCTTGAACCTGTCGAACATCAGTCTCTTTATATCTTTCGAGTCAAGCTTCTCATACTCACTAGCGCTCAAGTTCTTATATTTCCTCAGTGTCTCCCTTGGTACAAGATCACTTGTAATAGATATGTGACCAGCATCAATAACGGCACATGGCGTTTCCCATTTATGAGGATCTAATGGAATGATGACCAAAGGAGCTTGCAGATCTAGACTTAAGTTGACAGTTTTGTGATCTTCGAGAATAGATTCCAGCCCCATTCTGCTCTGAACTGACCAGCCTCCTACTGTAGCTTCCGCAGCGCTCATTATGGCTCCGATAGTGTCCAGATGTTGCTGAGGAGGGCGAAATTGTCTTATAATTTCGTTGATGAAATGAACATGGTAGAATACTGTCATACTGCGTAGTTTGATATCCACCTTATTGTCAGCAGAATCATCCAATGGATTATTTTCGACAACCACATGAAAAAAGGGTTCTTCCAACTGAGGAGATTGGCCATTTTCATCCAGTTGCAGGTTTTTCACGCTGACGATATGCTTGTATAAAGTATTGGGAGAGCCATCTTCGACCTTAAGCTCGTGCAACTTGAAGGAGGCTAGAAAAGACTCCGGGCGTTGAAAAAATTCAGTTTGTGAGTTTTCAAAAATGACCTCACCAATTTTCAGGCCTTTGGTTTTATCTATGATAGAAAGCGAGCCTCGATGCAATGCGCATGAAACTTTTGTTACAATTCTTTCGCGTGGCAATTCCAAAATATCTGGTGTTTTTTCATTTTCATCATATTCAATGGCGTCATAGAGTTCTTGTCTCTGCTCCGTGGACATTAAAAATTCGTCGGAGCCGGTATTGTTTGAAGACCCACCACTCCACCAGGACGAGAACCACCCGGAAGAGCTACTTGTGGTATCCTTACCCATATCTTCGCCATTATTCTCACTCTCCAACCTCTTTGTAGCGTATGACTTACGCGCCATGATCCTGAAAGATTTTATATCTTCGAAGCTCAAGCATTTGTGTAAATCCTTGAGCTTTTCCTCGTCGCTTGCAGATAGCTGCTGGGATTTAGCATCTGCCGTAAGTTTTGTTTGCCACAAATCAATGTATTCCATTTTTTTGCCCTTTCTCCATTTAATGTAATCCCAACTCCATTTGTAATTCTTTTCGTGAACCTCCTGGAGCACGGCCTCGGCAGCATACTTCATCCATGCTCTTGGATTTTCACTGACCGAGAAGCTCGGTCTCCTCCTTCTAAACTTCAATGTTTTCTCGTACCAATGCAGTTTGGATAAAGTGTTTAATATATCTTCGTATTGGCAGTTGTTGATGTCTATTCCAAACTCATCGAAAATCAAGCCGACATCAATATGAGGGCTTTCGTCCGTAGCACCCAACTTATTCAAAACGAGTCTTCCGGCACCAGTGACAGGTTTCAACAAAAATTGATGGTCAGGATGGGTATTTTTGTTGCTGATTAGGTTTCTCAAGCGTCTGAAAAGCTCGTCATGATCAGGATGGTAAACACTTTTCGTCTCCGCATTCCAATAAACAGCCAGGGAGTTCAAAGTCAGAAGTTTACGAGCAATGGAACTCGTGATGGATATAAAACTGGGCTCCCAGTTCTCATCTGTAGAAACAACCGACAATTCGCTCAACGTTACACCGACAGAATAAGGAACCTCTGCAAATATATTTTCCATATCTTCGTACCGCACATGGATGTTCTTGATTGATACTTGTAAATTGTCGACTATCTTAGTGACCAGCGATTGTGTGAATGACTCGTTTGAGTCTGTTGCATTATCGTCCTGGGGTTGTGCCTTGCTGATAGCCTCGAACTCCTCCAGTTTTTGTAATTTGAGGCGCAGTTCACGCTCTCCGTCCTCGGCAGCGCTCTCTGCAGATTGATTACGGGGTCCACAAAGCAGATACACGTCTTCAATAAGAACTTTCACAGGTTTGTTTTTTAAGCTTGACCACGGAACCTGTAGCGTTAGGTCGCCCAAAAAGCCAAATTGCACATCGATAGGAAGATCCAATGCATCAAGAGACTCCTTTTTCAGTTGCAGGTTCTTCAGTTTGACGTCTCCGCTCCAAATTCCAACATTGAGTTGCTTGCTATCGAAGTTTTCTACGTACGCTCCCAAAAACCGATTCAGTAACCCTGCCGCTAGTGATTCTAGCATCTCGAGTCAGTTAGACTAGCAGTTTCGAACGCTTTAGGTTTCGAGAGGTTTGAGCGTTTAGGCTTGAAGTTAGGGAGGGATCTATTTCTATTGCGTTTAAGATTCAGAATAATATATATAATTAGACAAATATTCCGTCATACGAAGCTCGTCTCAGATTCACTTTGGTAAATCTTGGTGACATCGCGACGCCACTGGCAGGATTACACTCCGAAGTAAGGATTTACAGAGCACTGACGGTGATTGGCATCGGAAACCTGCGTGTGGATAGTCAATTGTAATGGTATCGACAGAAAATGAAGAGGTTCAACTTCTAGAGAAAGCAGACTTGAGATTTGTCCTTGCAGCGTCAGAAGAGGCATTGGAACAGAGTCTAGATATATTCTTTCCAGCAGTGCTGCTCAAACTGTCATCTGAACATGCTTCAGTGCGTCAAGTGGTATTTCAAGTTGTGAAGAATGTGATGGGTCGCATTAGTTCATTGAAAAGTGTAAAATTGCCAACTGCCAAGCTCATCGCTCAAGCAAAAGAGAAGTCAGGCAATTCGCTTGCTGTTGGACAGTATAGCCTTCTCTTTGCCTCAAAAGGTGTAGAGCGTATGGAAATTGAGGAAAAGCGGGTACTGGTGCCTGACGTAATCTCAAGCTTTTCGTTTCTTCCTGAGTCTCTCAAACCACGCATGTTCAATATTCTCTGCAAGCTACTTTTGAGTTGGAAAGGACCACCAAAGAACGCGGCGGAGGAGAAAAGTACTCTCGAGTTACTAGACGTGGGTTCAGTGGAAGACAAACAATATTTGCTAGAAAAATTCACCTTATTCTTTTTCCTGAATCCGCTCCAGGCTGACCCACACGCTAATGTCATTCCTCGTGGTTATAGCTGTCCTGGACTCAATGTTTCGGAGGTTGAGTTTTTTACTTACAACGCGGGAGTGGCTTTCAACAAAGAGCATCTGCTGAACTACAAAGAGGCCATTTTTCGATTTGTTGTCAGTGGCTTTCTTCCTCAAGACCAGCTGGCCGAATTTTTAACTGTGGTTTCTACCGATACTTCTGACCTATCCAATCAGGCTATCGGTGTTTTGAAGCGAGTTCACATCCCTTACGAAGACGAGCGATTCATCGCCAGGCTGTTAAGTCTTTACATTGGCGATAAAGCTTCGGGCAGGCCCCCTGTTACGTCTATTCTGCAGGAGAAAATACTTTCTATTCTGACGTTGAGTACCTTGGCCACAAAGGACTTTAAATCAGTTAGTGTGGTATCATCAATTGGATTAAACTCATCACTTTTTAAGCTACGCTCTACCTCATTGAATTTTATTCAACATGTCGCCAAATATAATCATGCTGCGCTAGCGGCTCAAGATACTTCTTCCGATTTCTCAACAAACATTGCATCGCAGATTCGTAACAATCTGCACAATGAAGGGTGGCCCCTGTACCAGCTGAATTCATCAGTGCCCAACTTTGCTCAAAGTCTCGAACAAAGGCGGAAGCAATATGAAACATTGGGAGTTATACTGAAGCAAGATAAGACTTATATTCGAGATCTGTCTTTCGTGGAATTTCTCCTCGACTCATTAAGAGGTGATTTGAGCGTTTTCAGGGTTACTATTCAGGACGCCTTGGCATCTCTTAGTCCACTGATGAAATCGCTTTCCATTGAAATGAAGAGAACGCTCAAGAAAGCAGCCATGAAAATACTAAATGATAACTTTGACGTGTATCATGGCAACCCAGATGGTAAAGAAGCGCTTATGTGCTGCAGAAATGTTATGATCAAATTTATCAATTCCACATTTCCTTTTGAAGATTCCGAGGCAAGGCTCCTTAATGTGTTGGGTACGTGGAAGGATAATCGGCTCGATGTAAAAGAGGAATCCTATAAAGGTCTGCACCCTTACTGGTTCAGAGTTGCCCAATCCTACGATGCTCAGCATTCCAGGTCATCTCCTTCAAAGGCACATGGCAACGATGAAGAAGTTCTTTTCCCCAACGCGGAGGAATTGGTTCGTGCTTTTGTCTCCAAGCTGAAGAATTCCGATTCTCAAAGCGTTGATGCAGTCAATCAAACACTATGCGAAGCTGTCGGATTCATATTCAGGAGCGTAGTGAGTCGGGGAACATCGAAAGAACGGAGATTTGCATTAGCACAAGATGAGCATTGGCTGGTTCGAGTTGAAAACTCTTTGCAATTTGATGGAGATGTAAAGTCTTTGGTCAAGAATGAAATTGCAGCAACCAGCGAGGAAGTTCTCCTCAGTTTTTTGACAATTATGATAGAAGAATTGATTGATGAGAACAGCGCAACACATGAGCTTCAAACAAATAGCAATGCGCTTCACTATGGTGCACTGGTCATTTTCTTTGCGGACTATGCCACGAGAAGCATTATCGGGCAGCTACGTGAATTGGTTCCCAGTGTTCACAAAGCTTTAGAAAGACATGAATCATTCTCGGAAGAAGATACAGTTTATATTGCGAGATTATTTGGTATTCTCTTTTCTGTTTCCCCTAATGATGACGAGGTATCCAGTTTGTTGAAAAGTACTGACTTATCAGTAGAATCCAAGACAATTGTTTCTGCGCTATATTCTGCAAGCTACTCTGTTCCTCTAAGCGCCTTGCACGGAACCACTTTGGACCACAAACAGCTTTCTAGCTACATTGAGAAACTCAAAGAAGCCGCGAGAAAGTCCAATCTTCAGGCTGTCGCAATGATAGGTTTTAATCCTTTGTTGAAATATGGTCTTCTAAGATCATTGGAAGAATCAACAAGACACTCTACACTCGAAGAGCTTTCGACACTATTTCAAAAAAATCTTTTGAAGAGTCGGGATTCGTTGCTTCTCTGGGCGTTTTTGTCACTGTATGCAGCCGACGCACAAAAGCTGGATAGATACTTCGGCGCTCTACAGAACTCGCACGATGTCAAAGAGCTAAATTTCCAGTTTTACACGGGTGAGGCGATCTCGATCATAGCTGGGGGATGGAAGTCTAAAGTTCTATCGAATGAAAGCTGCTTGGAATTGAAATTGGTGGCAGATCTAACATCGGCATTTGACGACAGTTCTGCAGAAAAAATCCTTCTCAAAATAATTGAGTTTTGCAAGACAACCAGGCCTTCCCTGCGTAAAGCAGCCTGTGTTTGGCTGCTTTGTTTCGTGCAATACCTGGGAGATGCAGCTGCTGTGCTCACCAATGCAGAGGACATACACCTATGCTTTGTTCGTTTTCTGGCGGAAACTGATGATATCGTACAAGATTCTGCTTGCAGAGGCCTTGGGCTAATCTATGATTTGTGCTCAAAGGAAAAACAGGAGAATATGCTAAGAGGCCTATTAAAATCTTTTGTTGATCCCAAAGCCACGACAGGCATAGTTCCAGGTACAATTAATTCCGACACTCAACTGTTTGAGCCAGGAACTCTTAACACCAATGAGGGATCGTTGACAACATACAAGGATATTTTGAATTTGGCCAGCGAAGCTGGTGATCCTTCGATGGTCTATAAGTTTATGCCTCTAGCAAAAAGCTCGGCGCTGTGGTCATCCAGAAAAGGGATGGCTTTCGGCCTCACGTCAATGTTTTCGAAGATTTCCCTCGAAGACCTTCTTTTGTCGAACAGAACTTCCGCCGAAAAGTTTATTCCTCTTCTTTATAGGTATCGCTTTGACCCCTTTCGAAACGTTGCGGATGCAATGAACGGGATCTGGCAAACCTTGATTAGAAGCACCGCTGAGACCGTTAGTACCTTCTACGACCTTATAATGGACGAGGTCCTTAAGGGAATGGGTGCCAAGGATTGGAGAGTAAGGGAAGCTAGCTCATATGCTTTGGTGGACCTTCTAAACTTTGGCAGTGACAGTTCATATTGTGAGAATCTTGAGGCAATCTGGACCATGGCTTTTAGAGTGATGGACGATGTCAAGGAAAGTGTGCGGTCTGCTGCTATCAAGCTAACTAAAGTTCTCTCTTCATCTTTGTTACGTGTTGCCAAAAAACTTGCGAATCAAACTAATTCACAAGAAACACTGGGAAAGATCATATCGCTATTTTTGGGCTCAAAGGGCTTAAACAGTGATGCCGAAGAAGTGAAAAGCGTTGCATTAGAGACCTTAGTGAGGCTTATCAGGGAAGCCGGTGACACTCTCAGAAGTTTTGCGCCTTCGCTGACCTACGAATTTTTGATGATGCAATCGTCACTTGGACCACAAGAGATCAATTATTTGACTTTGAATGCGGATAAGTACAACATCAGCGCTACCTCAGTTGATCTACAGATAGCTTCTGCCGTTCGAAGCTCTCCGATAATGATGAGCGTCGAACAACTAATCAATTTATGCAGCGGCGAGCTTCTTCCTATTGTGGTGGAAAAGATCACGCTAGCTTCCAAAAAATGTATTGGACTTCCTTCCAAAATTGGTTCTACCAAGGCAATGGATCTACTTGTTGCTTCGTACCCCTTGGACCTGAAGCCATTCGGTGCCAAGCTTTTGAAGTCCTGCATGCTAGGACTTAGCGATAGAAACCAAGTCGTGCGCGAGGCTTACGCTACAACTTTGGGACGCGTCTGCAAGCTGTGCACGCCAGAAAGAATCAGCAAATACGTTGGCAAGCTTATCAAAAGGTTTATGGACGCTGAAAATGAATTTGACCGACTCGTGGTCGGTCTAGCTATCGAATCAATTCACAAGTACTCAGCATCAATGTTTGACAGCGTGGCATCGGCATTTTTGCCATTTATCTTTGTTGCAAAGCATAGTAGCGGTGAAGTGATGAAAGTTTTCACCAGAATTTGGGACGAGGTTACATCATCCGGTGCAGGAACTGTGCGATTACACCTGGCTGAAATCGTGACTTTGGCGAGCGAAAACCTCAAGTCACCTTATTTTGACGTGAGGTTGATGTGCGCAAAAAGTGTCTGTGATGTCTGTACATATGCGTTGCCCGGTACTTCTGAGAAGCTCATTGAGCAGCTATGCACCGTATTACTCAAAGCTTCGGAAGGTCGATCATGGCAAGGAAAAGAAGTTGTGGTAGAATCGCTAGTGTCGCTGGCGACTAAGTTTAACGCTACTTTACTCAACAAAGAGGAGCTAAGAACAGGCATTGAAAACCGACTCTTGACTGAGGTAGCGAGAGAAAATCAACAATACGTGCGCAAAGTTCTTTTGCTGATTCTGCCATTTGTAAAGAACCTGTCAAGCTCTGTACTGTTCGACAAATGTCTCAGTGTTGCTCAAAAGTTAATCACTGATATTGACGACAGTGGAGTCAACATAGAGGGTGAAGATGACGCTTTCGATGGCAATCATAAGAAACAAAGATTAACTTCAAGTATAACTCGAAAATCGCAGAAAGAAAACGTGCAGGGCGAGGAATTCAAAATCGAACTCCTAAAAAAATGCGCCGGTGCGTATGGATACTCTAAAACCAATGATCGGTCTGCTGAACTACTGGGGGTTGTCAAAAGCGCCACTATAGGTCTTTTTCACTCCCAGAGCATTGTGAACACATGGAGAAGCCAAATAGCCGTTTCTGAAATCGGCACCATTGTTGCTGAACTTGCAGGAGGTGATCCAGATGGTGATACCGTTCAATTTTTGAGAGAAATTTGGTTCAGGTCGTTTGAAGAAGCATCTCGAGATGATGCTCTAGAAAGTGTCAAGATACAGTGTACGAAGTTCGGGAAAACGCTAATGGAAATGAACGCTTCATTCAGATTTGTTGTGGAAAGCAATCTACTTGAAATGTTACGTTCAGACCCAACACCCCAGGTTACTGCCGCGCTACACAGTGCAGGAATTGCCTGAGAAAACAGAATAATAGCTATAAATACGTATTTTCCTACAAAGCTAACTGGTCCTGTGAATCTCGAGCGTTATTTGTATTCAAATTCCACCACGTAATCTCAACACCAAGTGCAGAGTCGATTCTTTTTGAATGTTGTAGTCAGAGAGCGTTCTGCCATCTTCCAACTGCTTTCCTGCGAAAATCAATCTCTGCTGGTCGGGTGGAATACCCTCTTTGTCCTGAATCTTACTCTTCACGTTGTCAATAGTGTCAGAAGACTCCACTTCCAAAGTGATAGTTTTACCGGTTAGGGTTTTAACAAAGATCTGCATACCACCACGTAATCTCAAAACCAAGTGCAGAGTCGATTCTTTTTGAATGTTGTAGTCAGAGAGCGTTCTGCCATCTTCCAACTGCTTTCCTGCGAAAATCAATCTCTGCTGGTCGGGTGGAATACCCTCTTTGTCCTGAATCTTACTCTTCACGTTGTCAATAGTGTCAGAAGACTCCACTTCCAAAGTGATCGTCTTACCAGTCAAAGTCTTCACAAAAATCTGCATTTTTCCTTCTCAAAGTCAATCTGTTGTGTTTTAACCGTCACTAAACAGTCTCTGTTTCCGTACCGTTTCTGACGTGTTATTTCCAGCCAGAATCGATGAAAAGTTAACAAGTGGCGAATATTCCAAATCTCGGAACCCCCTTGTATTTATACCTCCGACCAAATTCAATTTCAATCACTTCCTGTGGTCCGTTTGATTAAGCGAGTCTGGCCATTTCCCCATTGGTTCGGGTCTTTGCCACCCCTTGTTTTCTATTCGCTTCCTAATGCATATCCGAGTCCTGCTCGAGTACAAGACGAAGCTTGGAAATGTGACAAGCTTGCAGGAGCGTGACCTGAGACCGGGTAACGAGTTGCACGTGGTACCACTGCAAGTAGCGAACGAGAGAAACTTGAAGGGAGTGTGGTTTGTGCTTGAGCACGAGACACATTTTTCCCGTCTGTAGTGACTTTCCTTCGGACCGCGGGGAAAAAAAGAAAGAGCTTTTTTTTCCACCCATGCACCAATGGCGTATAATGTGATACAGCACGTGAGCTCCTTGGTATATCATGATATACGGAACATGGTTTTTCCCTTTTTTCTATGAAGGCGGCAATGGTCTGTCTTGAAACAAAAAAATGAGAGTAAAAACAAACCAATTCCGATAAACTTCAAAGCCTTGTTTTAGTTAAGTACAGGCCCGAGCTCTTCAATTGCTCATTATCTCCGTACATTTACTATGAATTTGGCGTCCCCAATTTCCCTTCTTGTAACAAGAACCAGTAATAGTGGTGGTGAAGTGAAGAAGATTCAAATAAAGTCGGAGAAGTGAGAGAAAAAAAATTACAATTTATTATAAATGAGTGGTTTTGAAAAAATAGTGTTGTCATTATGGACGAGGTGACCAGAGTCCTCGTCACTGTTGAATAAAAGCTCACATTTGCAAGTGACAGTGCAAGTGACAGTGCAAGTGACAGTGCAAGTGGCAGTGCAAGTGGCAGCTTCAGAGAGTCTTCTTTAGGTCTCTTTCCTGTATAAAAGTGGCCCTTCTTGCCAGCGGTTTTATGAAAGAGAGAGAGAGAGGCTCCCAGGGTTTTCCGTTTCAAAGTATAAAACGATTGGATAGCCGTCGCGTTATGCCCCGACGCTTGTACGCAGATGCCTTCGAAAGCTCTTCCTCTCTTCTGTCGTCTTCAAATCCGGTAGAAAGTGTAGTATCCCAGTCGAAATTTTCTTCTTCTCGTACGGGCCTCAAAACCACCGTCGGACCTTTGTTTGAGTCTATGGGCTGCCGACGGCCACTTTCGCCATGCCATCGGCTCAGATCCAAGCTTCTTGTGTGATTGCCATAAGTTCTAGCGTCAGTGTTCCCCGCAACCATTCTTAGATGGCTGTTATCCGTGGATTTTCTGCCTGGTGTCGAAATGCTCGACCGGAAAAGAGTCACATCGCTTCTGCGCTGTCGTAGAAGCTCATCGTCGCGCAAGAGCTCAGAAATTGAGAACGCAAGTCTTTGTATCTGTTGCGCGGCGGCTTCATTACCACGACTACCCATTGTAAATTCTCTGAGAGTATTCACAAGGTAAGCATACGATCGTATCCAGGACACAAATTCGTCAGAGCCATTGTTTATGAGATACGAAACCAGCGTCAAAGTCTTGAGAATATGAATTGCGTTGGCGTGTGAGCTTTTCCGGTAGTTCCCACTCAATCTTTTTCGTACCACCTGAGTTATCTCCCGTAAAGTTTTGGGACTGTACGTCAGAACCGAGAGCTCACTCATAAGAGACCCCGTGGCACCATTTAGTTCGTTGTCATCGGTCGCTTCTCTAACCTTTATTTCTGTCGAGGTCTGTCCCAAGGTCTTTACGCTCTTGAAAATCGACATTATTCCAACCTTGGAGGCCTGAGGACCAAATCTTACTTTTGGAGAGACGTTTCTTAGTCAAAATGAACTTTTCCGGGCTACTGTGAAGAGTATTGCAACGGCCCCCCTGCCAGTTGTATGGAGTTTTGTCAAATTCATGCGCTTTCAAATCATTAGAGATGAGACTCATCGAGGTAGCATATTACCGTAAACTCGTTTGAAGTGAGTGACACTATGCCAAATAGTGAAGTGAAGCGAACTAACACTGTAAAGGTACAACGACATCAGAGCTTGGGCGTCGCTTGTGTCATAGTATTTCAAAGGCGACATAATCAAGTTTGAAGCGTGAGTTCATCATCCCTTTATCGCCAATTCGTAACAGACGCTGCAGTGGGTCGATTCTCTTCATCAACAGTAGAATTAACTTGTATTTCCTGAATCGAGCGTAAAGTACGCAGAGTAAACACTCGAGGAACTGCAGGTGACTTTCGAATCTCTCTCTCCGGTGAACTTGTGCGCCCACATTCTTTTTTTTCTTCATGACAAGGTTCCATCAATTTCTGTCAAGATGAATAAGATATTTGGTACGCCCAGTGTAAGTTGAGCAACTCGAGAAGTTATAAAAGAATAACTCTCTCCTCATTCTTAATATAATTTTCTTTTCTAAGGCTCAAGCTTCAGTCATCAAGAGAATTTTCTCTCTGAGCCTTAATCCGTCTTTGATAAAGGCTGCGAGGTACTGTCACAGTCAATGGAGTAGCTGAATTCCTCGAAAATTTCTTGCCTTGGCTTTTTTCAAATGTTTCACCCACAAGTGTCCTGAAAAGTCTCACCTACCACAGCGTATCCACGCTTCGGTAGATTATCATGCATGATAACATAGAGCAGGCATAATACGCGACCTTCCATATGGTTAGCAACACACACATAAGCTGCCGTTCAACAGCATACAAGCACATTTTCGTCTATTCCAGCTTCAAACTGATCAGGTCTTCTCCTACCAAGCTTTTGAGATACGCGGATTCCGCATCCCACACATACGTGAAGTCCCGCACATCGGCAGCAGCATACGTGAAGTCCATGTTCTGGACCCATTTCTTCTCCGATTTTTCAAAATTATAGGATTGAACAATCGATTGACCCTGTCTTTCAATAGCCACGAATAATGACTTCATGCTAGGCTCGAGATCCCATGCTATCAGATTACCGTCCGCGAATGACAAGGTCTCACATGCAGCTGTATTGGGTTTTTTCCTCAGATCAAATATCTTAAGTAGCTTCTGCGTGGTGACCACAAGCCAATAGCCATTAGAAGCAAACATTGCAGAAGTGATAGGCCCCTCGGACTCGATGTCATGAATAAACTCGATGGGTGGCTTATTTAACTGTGAAATGTTTTGCACGATTAGGCCTTTTTCGTTACCTTGAAGTAGTAAAAGGCCATCTTTATGCAAGTGCGCATAGGACGTAGCGAATTCATTTGCGCAAAGGTCATATTCACAGTCCTTGACGGTATCCACCAACGCGATCGCACCGCTGGAATCAACAATCACGTACGCCTGACCACTGACCTCTTTGATCCATGATACCATGACAATTTCTTGATATTCATTGAATCGAAGTTGGTAGATTGCTTTCCTCTCTGAAATGTCGTAAACGCCATGGCTACCTAGATCAGTACCAAACAAAATTTGTTTACCGTTTAAGGGCGCCATGAAGCTAATACTTTCATTGGATTGAAGAACATTTTTTACAATTCCAGTCTCGAGATCTGATGCCGAAACCAGCATGAATGAACCTTCTTGGTCGTAAAAAGCAGCCAGCTTACCCTTGGCTATATTGCCATCTACAAAAGCCGAGTTCAAAGAAGATTTGGCTTGCAGCTCAGCCACTGTCCGAACCTCGCCGGATACTTTGGAGCATGGAGGCGAGCGCACTTTATTTTTTCTGCTGTTTTGGGCAAACTCTGCCGACTTTTGGGCAATCTTTGAGAGGATGTCCGCTGGAAATTCTGGGGATGATGCCTGGTGCTTATCATCGGCAGCTTTGGCTTCAGTTGGCATCGATGGGGTTAGATTTTGAGATAAGAGACTCAATTCATGCTTCAATTTTTCTGTCTCAATCGTCGCTCGTGTGGCAACATTCATTGCTGCATCACACTTATACAGTGCATTTGACAGCTCCACTTTACTGGCGTCTAACTGCTGTCTGAGCTGGAAGTTTTCCAGCATGATAGCGTCCCACTCATCCTGTAAAGACGACAGCAAGTTAGGTATGCTGTAATTGGCCTTTAGTGTGGCCGAATTCACCGAATTAGACATGGCATATTGCTCAGGGGTCTGTGCTATTTCAACAAGTTCTTCTAAGTTTAATGGCTCTCTGTTGATGGGATCTAGCGCATTTTGTTGAACAAAACTTTCTATCAGTGATTTCTCGAAAACACACCTCGACTTAGGAGAAAAAACAGGCGTTTTCAAGGGCTTCCCACTTACTGCAAAAAGTAGTTAGTAAAATGCAAGCAGGACCACGGTATAAGACATTACAAGGAACACATACTGGCGCAAAACATTGCTGCTGTTCTTTAGACGATAGCCACTTCCACTACTGCTCATGCGGGCCCTTCGCAGGTTAATTATATGATTGAAAAATAGCCCAAATGGTTACCCGGAAGGCGGCATCGAGCAAATGATGAATTCATGCTCGAACCATAAACTGGCACTGAGCTCCTAAAAGTCTCGATAGCTGAAACTATTGTCCGGTGCTTTTACATAAACAGCAAAACTCATTTTAATGGGTTATCTTCCTGCATTGTCTTCTAATTCTCTCCAGACCCATTTCCTCCAAGTGTCACCAGCAAGATTGTATAATTCATCAAATGTGTTAGCTGTTTTGTCGTCGTCGCCTACTTCGATTAACATGTGCGGTGTGGATGAGTTCGACTGAGGTCTTTTGGAAAAATCTTCAGATTCCGCTTCACTTGAACTCACAGAACGAGAATCTAAATCATTCCCATACAAATTTCTGTAGTTATGGTCATCGGCACGCGACAGGGAGGGCACGTTATTGAAAAACTCAGATATCTCGGATTCTTCAAACTCCAAAAGTTTGAATTCATGCTGCTGGAGGATTGCCATGTATATGAAAACGAGCTGTATATGTGGATCCAGCAATGAAAACGGTATGCTAACCCCCGCCTGGGATTCTGGGGAAGGCGCTTCGGAATTAGATTTGGTGGCAATCTCCAATTCGTCATCAGATGAACCATATTTGTTTCGCCGTACTAATTCGGACAACACTTGGAAATCGCACTTGAGCTCTGATGAGCCCAGGTGTAAGACCTCCAAGTCCGGGAACCAAAATGCATCGTGCCCGTATTTACAGATTTTGTTCAAAAACTCAGAATCCAGATTAGGCGACGTGGTTTGGGAGTACAGATGCCCGAAGATTTTGTTATTGTAGTTGAGGTAAAAATTCAACGATCTCGGATGCGGGCGCCAACCCAAAAACGTATCCCATATTCTGCCACGATCTTGCTTGTGTAGGGCACGAGCGCCCGAACATTTGAACCACCAATACATCCAATTTGTTTTTTTAGACGGCCTGAGACTCTCCTCGTCACTCACCGGCTGATATAGCTCTGGTAAGACTATTGAGAATACTTTGAAAAAAAGCTGACACTGAAATGCTAGATCGCCGCCGGAAATTACTGGGTAATACTGTGACGTAACGTCAGATTCGTTTTCTGCGAGCCTCTCGGCTTTCGGTACATCAGGTGAATGCAAAATGACCAACACTAATCTTTCGTAAAGGTCGTTGAAGGTGAACTCGACCCTATCTGGTATCTGGTTTCTTATGTGCTCTGGTAAGTAGTATTCGTCGTATAGGTTTACGGGTGGTCCGTGCCTTTTCCCGGGAAGTATACTGTTGCAAGCGTCAAACGGGTACCATTCCGCTAAAGCTAGTGCAATCCATGCAAGACCACTTTCATATTTGAAAAACTGAGACCATTTCTTTAGGAACTGGCAAATACAAGATTTGAGACACTCAATGCTTCGCAGTTCTTCATTGGACAAAGTAGTAGGCTCGTTGGCAAATTGGCTGGAACTGCCACTATTTGTGATGTGATTCTTGTTGCCCGCTGGTCCTCTTCTGTGAAAATACTTACTCAGATCATGCACGATAAGATGCTCTATCTCCTCAGAGTTTCTGGTTTCAGGATGATAGCGCCAATTTTGATTTTGAGAATCCCAAACCAGGGTGTTTGACATGATGTTGGGTGAGATTACCATCGGATGATATTTTAGTAGTACAGGCCATACATTCTTGCGTAGTTGTGGCGGTATCCCTGTAGTTCTAGCGATCAGAGCGAGTGAATCGTGATCCTCGGCTCGAAGCAATGCCACTACCTTGCTTACCAGCTCCCGTTGCCAGATCTTTCTTTTCTCATTGCGCCAGTGGATGTGCGAGTGCACAAGGGTTTTACCATCGGTCATCAAAAGGCTCCTGAGTGTGTAGAATCGATTGGTGCCAGTCTTTTCGTTATCACGAAGAATTGGAGCCTGATAGAGATGGACATTTACTTGCTGCTGGAGAGTCACCAAATATAACTTCAGGCTTCGGGACGATTTTCCATCCAGTCACGTGTATCTGGCGAAAAGCTAATAACCCAACCCAACACTTCAACCAGATAACAACGAGACTCTAACACTTTATAGATCTAAGAGAAATATCGAATAATTAGTCAAAGTTCAACAGTATTGCGGTTGGGATTTAAAATAGGCTGAGACTCTTCACAAATAAGAGTTTTAGCAATGTGTCTCTCCTAAAACCCCAATGTTCACGTGACCAGGTCGTTGTCAAGTCTTTTAACGACAATGGTCGCTCGTCACCACGAACCGAGGCTTTCGAGGTTTTTCGCTACTGACATACCACTTTTTATTGTGTACGTGTTCTTTAAATTCGAGGTTATAATGTGCCAAAAATGACTTATTATTCAAAGTATTCAGGCTGTTAATGATACTCTTTCTTAACTATGTCTTTTGCTAGACTTTTTATATATATATATATTTCCAATCCGATAATGACAATCTTTCCCTCTTCACGACATGTTCACCTAAAAATGAAGAAACAAAACATACACGAAACCAAACATTGTTGAGTCTGATGTCAATTGAGAGTACCATCCCTTTCACAGTCTAAAGATTGGACACCATTCCAAGCAATTTTCGCTTTTGTTTCACGCGTTGGCTCATATTTAGCAACAAGTTGTTCTTTGGCGCAATCAATCAACACAAGCACGAAGCTTAAGAAATCTCTGACCCATTTTCTACGGAAAGGCTTGCTTTCTCACCATCTTCCAAAACTTAAATTGTTCCATGGTATCCGATGCTACTCTTTCGCACATTTTGTGGGCTCTCACCCTTTTTGCCGCCGAAGTTACTCGAAACGCCCTATCACCCGTACATTATGACGATAAGCTACTCTGTGTATCACCATGTACGGGTACATGTTGCACCGTGGAAGAAAGCATCGAAAAGATTTTTCTGTGCAGCAAGGAGGTTCATTGCGTCTGTCTTGCTGCGAGTCGTTGTAGCTCAGAAACATGCGGGTTTTTCAGGCAAAGAAATGGAAGGAAGGAAGAAAGATAGAGTTCTCCCACGTCATGACCTTAAGTTGTGCACACAACAGATGCGTCGAAAATTTGGTAAACAAAGCGAGAAAGGAAGTAATCTACCGTCGTCTCACTAAAATTGGAAGGCAAGACACGGAAGACACCTGCGGGTATAAAAATACCTGGGAAAAAGAAGAATAGCCAGCTCCATTGGCCCCACTCTGGACACGGCGTCCGTTCGTTCGATACTTCAGATCCGACCACAACAGTATCATTAACAGCGAAGCTATTCTTGGATTCTGGAAAACGATCTTTCGGCGATCTTATTTCTTTTTCCTTTTTCAACGTAAGTCACGTGATATACACGCCTTGAAGGTTTCGTTTACTTTTTCCATTGAACAAGCGTCTCTTCCAGTTCCGAGTTCGTGAAATCTAACCCTGCGATTTAAAATTATAAAGGAATTTTTAGCCTGGAACTTAAATTAAAGATTCAAGGCTGTTCGATATCAACGGCAGAATCTGAAGTATCTCTGGTTTTAGTTAACACGGGAAAGATAGCTTTGACGAGCCTGGATGATCCGTAGCAACAGGAACCCCATCTTTAGGATCGTAGCGGTCCTTGTGTGGGTGCATTTCGCATCGCTGGCTGGAGCTAAGCAGACAGCATGCTCGTCGCAGAATACGGGGTCGACTCCTGCAAAATGGGACCAATACCAAAGCAATGGGTGGTGCTCTAACGCATGTAGTGGCTACTCGTACGCTGTTGTCCAGGATCATAATTGCTGGTGTTCGAATACCGGGCCCTCTTCACAAACGTCTGTCGGGAGCTGCAGTTCAGCGTGTCCGGGATACGGCTACGAGGAATGTGGAAACTTAGATGAGGGACTTTTCGGATACATATACTTGGGCCCTGCGAGCTCGAGCTCTAGCATGGGTGCAAGCTCTTCTACATCGAGTACAAGTTCGAGCACAAGTTCGAGTTTTAGCTCCGCTTCCAGCTCCAGTTCAAGTGCTAGTTCCAGTGCAAGTTCAAGTTCGAGCGCAAGCTCGAGTTCGAGTCCAAGTACTACTTTCAGCTCTAGCTCTAGCTCTAGCTCTGGCTCCAGTTCTGGCTCTAGCTCAAGTTCTAGTCCAAGTTCTAGCTCTAGTTCTAGCTCAAGTTCAAGCTCCACTTCCACTTCCACTTCAAGCTCGAGCTCCGCCTCAAGCAGTTTTGGCCCTAGTTCAAGCTCTAGCCCAAGCCTCAGTGCGACTTCCAGTACCACACCTTCGGCGAGCTCAAGCTCGAGCTCTATTTTTTCCAGTTCGAGCCCTCAAAGCTCCAGCTCTACTACCTCAACTTCAAGCACTGAATCTTCGTCATCTGCGTCCACTTCTTCATCGTCTTCAGACTCATCTTCTAGTACTTCTTCCACTAGCTCTTCCAGCTCTTCCACCAAAACTACAAGCTCTAAGACTACTGCAAGCTCGTTTACTTCCATAGAGTATTCGTACCTAACGGTAACTGCGTCTCCAACTGCAGACGGAAGTTCTGGCGGCAACATCTTCACCACCCAGGTTATCACTACGGTAATCTCAACGCCAACAGGGCAAGTATCTGCCGCTCCCAATTCTAACGGCGCTCAAACAAACAAAAACAGCTCCAGTGGTAAAGGATTTTGGGGATCGCCTGGTAAGATTGCCGGTACTTTCGTCGCTGTAGGCATAGTGGTGTTTCTCCTTGCCCTTCTGGCCTTTGTGCTATGGTATCGTCGCAGAAACCAACGCGACGAAGATTTCGAAAAGCGCTATAACGACGTCGTGGCCCCAGTTGGCAGCAACACGAGCATCGGACCGGCTTCTTCTGCCTCTCCCAACGGTTTCATATATGCTGACGAGAAGGGTATTCAAGGAGCGCCGCCGGCCTCTTCAGAAAATAACGAAAAAAGAGGGTCTCAGGAGACCAGTGTTGCGGAGATGGATCACGGTGCCGCTGCAGAAGAGGCTCCTGTCGTTGTTGATCAACGACTTGACCCGCGCCAAATGTTTATGATGCAATGGGAGAATGGCGGAAGTAAAGTGTCGCTGGCAGACGATGTAGACTATTCGAGGAAGGTCCTGCGAGTAATGAACGATTGATCTCAAGTTAAAAGATGGAAAAGGACCTAAGAATAATAATAATGTAATATAGTCAACAGCTTTTAATCGGATCATGTCGCTCAATATATGAATGAAAATCGCGGTGTAATTGCGCACTCTTCAAAACTTGTCGAGCATATGCCCGGAGGTTCCACACTTCTCTTCTCATCGCCTATTCATCTGTCTTCCTCAGCTTGACAGCACACGACCATAAAGTCCAAGCGTCTTCTCGTCTTCTCCCCACTCCTCTAGTCCTTTATACACTTGTTTATCTACTTGCCCAGATCTGTCGCCTTATACGTTCCACTAATTAAGGCGTGGCTTTGAAAAATTGGGACCCTGGCAACGCATATAGTATAATTTAACCATCTTCAACTACTTTCTCTCCAGATTTAAAACCCAAAGCAACGAAGATCAAGCCTATTTGTACCTGCTTACTCACTAGTTCTAAAGCTCAAGCATTAAGCAGTAACCCGATAGTCTAGTTGAAAGTTTACCATTTGTTTCAGATCGAAAATGGCGCCTTTAAAAGACTTGTTGAACCACGACGAAGATCTGGGCATTTTGTCTTCTCCTCCAAGCGAAGATGAACGCAAATACTGGGAAAGATCTAGCCGCAGCGGTAGTGAATCGTGTCCATCGGAAGTCTCGGGAAGTGAGAGTGACACTCAGAACTATTTGACCTGCCAGTGGGACAGCTGTGGTCAAAAATTTGCTCAACCAGAACTATTATACCACCATTTATGCAACGATCATGTCGGGAGGAAATCTCAGAAAAACTTGCAGTTGAACTGCCGTTGGGGCAGCTGCACGGCCAAAACTGTGAAAAGAGACCATATAACGTCTCATTTGCGCGTTCATGTCCCTCTGAAGCCATTTGCATGTTCAACTTGTGTCAAGAAGTTTAAACGCCCCCAGGATCTCAAAAAACATTTAAAAGTGCATTTCGACGACGATGCAGCAGCGGTTGGACGCAAGAGAGGTCCCAAACCTAGCGTGAAAAAAGTGGTAAAAAACGATTCAAAAACTGCTGAACTGGCTGCACCCAGGCTCGCATCCGCGACATTTGAGAAATTTTTGTCCGACGAAGTTAGACACTACCAGCCCTATTATACTCCACAGCTGGGCCAACGTATACAGGCCTTGCCCGTTCCACCAATCTCTCAAATTGCAAGAAATATTCATGACAACGGTTTAAATGCGGGTGCTACTACCACCCATACTTCGCCTCGTTTACAAGAGTCGAACAGTGTGTCTCCTTGCTCGTCTCCCGAAGAGCTGAGGCATGCAGCGGGCTTCTTTTCGTCTCTCTCTCACGACATGAACAGGAGGCTTCCTCGCCTGCCCCAGCTGAACGTGGTCCACCCTCCAACGGCACCGCTATCTCCTCTCATTCCTGCTGCCATACCCCAAAGACACCCACAAGTTCTTCAGCTGCCTCCCATCCACTCTGCTGTGCCCTACGGTGCAGGTCATAGCAGCCAACTTCCAAGTGCATACCAGATGAGTGTTCCGTTCGTTTCTTCTCGGGTGGATTCCCCCGCCAGGTTGCCTCAATTCCGCCCCGGGGACGTTTTTAGCATGCACCAAAAGAATGCGGGTGTCTCCTCAGAATCTGATACGCACGAAGATCAAGTCGAGGATTTGCTTGCTGGCTTGAGTTTGAAAGCTACTGACCAACAAGATTTCATGGAAACATTACAGAGAGTAAATGTCATGAAAGACTACCTGATCTGTACGATGCTTGAAGATGAATATTTGTCTGAGGAAGAGGACTCGCCTGAGGGATATCACGGCTCTTCAGACGACATTGCTGCCGATCTGCAGCCAACAAAACCTTTGTCAAGATACCCAGCCGTGGTCGTATAATCACCAGTGTTTGAATATGTAAGATAGTGAATTAACGGGAGTTTTTATGTTTGAATTAGTACCCACAGCTCAAATTGCAAGCTGAGACTCTGGGTAGCTATAGCTTTACTCATGGACTCGCTAGTCAGTGCTAGCAGCCCGAATCATAATTTTCGACGATAGTGAATTTCATGAAATACATGCGATGAGCTGAATAGTTCGTTCAAACTCCAGCAAGATTGGAAGGAAACAACCAATCCAGTTCACCTGTTGCTCGGTGTATACTATGTCTATGAGTATGTTATTTCCACCAGATTATTGCCACAAGGTTATTCTGGTTTAAAAGAGAGGTGATTGAAATATAAATTCTGACTCAAGTTAATGTACTAACTGACGCTACCTGGTAGGCGAAAAGTTGGCACTGGAACTTCAGTATCAAAATGACATAGAAGACGATGATTCTGTGACTTCAGACTCCTCTTCAAGTGTGGAACAAACTATAGACAGCCCCCATGAAGGTGTACTGCCGACGACAGGGCCCACAAGTGAATACGAAGATGACAATGAAGAAAGTGGGAACGATGAGAATTTCGGTACTGCTACCGAAGTTGAGAACGGATCCACCACGAGAAAATGGGAAAATTTCTGTTTAAGAAGTGGTATAAATCATTTTGTGTTGACCGACGATGGTAGCAGGGTCGTGCTAGCATTAAAACAAGGTCAAGAAGTCATGATTGCAGGAAGTTTCCAATTGCAAATTCTCAAGGGAGGGATTAAATACAACGACGTGCATTATAACGCATCTCAAAGATCGCTCAAAATTTGGCATCCTTCGTGCTCTTCGATGTCGCCAATATCAAGCTCTTTCTTTGCAGGTTGGAAAGAACAGATGTTCATTACGTCCGAAATTTCGAAGACGGGACTGGTGCATAAAGACTTTGAATGCATACTCCTCATTACGAACCGATGCTCCGAATTACTCGGAATTTCAAGACTGGACTACACTTTCAGCAATTTGTGGGTTTCTCGCGATTACTTCACATCAACGCACAATGCTTCGTCACAGAAATCGAGCTTTTCAATTCTTACCAGAAGCACCATGAGAGATGTATCATCTGTACTGAGTCTCAATATATCAAGCTCGTGGGCCAAAAAGCTGGATGAACTTTCACTTTTTCATAGAGGAAACTCGCATGATATGCGCGTAATGGTCCTAGGAGGCAAAAACTCCGGAAAGTCCACATTTTTACGATTACTGTTGCAAAGGTTTTTGCATGTTGATAATGAAGATGACGAGAGCATATTTTACCTGGATGTAGATCCAGGGCAAACCGAATACTCAGGGCCAGACTGCATTTCGCTCAGTTCAGTTCAAAAGGATTTGGAACTTGGCAATCCGTTAGGGCAATCACGAAATCTACCAATTGTTGAACGCTACGTGGGCACAAATAGTCCGAGCGCCTATCCGACAAAGTATCTGGCAGAGATCACGGAGTTGATAGAATCTTTCAGTAACGAGGTGCACATGGGAACCACGGTACTCAATGTTCCCGGTTGGGTCAAAGGTTTCGGGATTCAAATTGTCAACAATATTATAAGTCGCTTTAAGCCCACGCATATCTTACTTCTGGGCTCTGTTGCGAAAAATCGGTCATTACTCAACGAGCTACAAATGGATAAAAGGTTTTCTACGCCCCAGCGAGAGAACTACGAGACGAAGGTGGATTTCATCGATGGTTATCATGGCTCGTCAACAGATTTTTCGCTCAAGGCGAGAATTCAGCCTTATCACATGCGGCAATTCCGTCTTTTGTCGCACTTCCACAGAGTCCGCAGCCTGTCTCACAACATTGAGTATGACTTCACGCCTCTAATGAAACAAAGTCCCTTCAGAGTTTCCTTTGGGACTTCTGGACCTGTAAGGGCATTCAAATTACCAACATCAGGAGATAAATGGACAGACTCCAATATCAAAGACATGTTAGAGGGTACAATAGTTGGTATTTTCAAGCCTGTGTCCAGCTTCGATGTTCAGACACAAGGTAGCTTTCCCGTTACTGAACAAAATGTTAGCGGTGAATTTCTCTCCTTGGGCTTCATTCATTCCATAAACATTCAAGAAGCCTACATCAATATCTTCCTTCCTAGTTCGCGTAAAAACAACGTCGCGGATGCATCCACTTCCGACTTTCTTATAGAAAGACGCAAAACTGAAACACCAGTTTGTGAGCTTTTTCCACAGGATAAATCTTTTAACGACTGCTCTGAGCTGAAGATACCGTTCGTTTCTTCCCGGAAACCGAAGAAGTATGAGTATGTGTGGAAAGTACGAAGAAACATTCAAAGGAGAGGACACCTTACAAAATGAAGTTCTAAGTGTGTGATTAGAATGCAATGCTAAATCTGTATAAAATTAATTCGACTTCAACTATCTTCTACCCACCCCATCTTTTTGTTGAGCCTATCGTATTTTGTTCTTTCGTTGTCGCTAACCGATGGCTTGACCTTTCTCAGAGCGCGTAGAAAGTCATTCATGGTAACTCTAACATCCACCGATGAAGTTGAGAGCTCGCCAAATTCTTGTTCCAAATTGTTTTCAGTAACTGAATGGACTTCTTCGGTCTTGAAAAAACTTCTTTTCAAGGCTAATACGGAGCTTTCTCGTACGAGGGCTGCCAGGTCAGCTCCTGAAAAGTTTCTACAGCTCTCTTCACGAATTACGGTTTCGAGATCGACATCCTCAGCCATTGGAGTCCCATTTGTTCTCGTCAAGGTCTTGATGATGTCTAGTTTCTCCTCAAAGTTCGGAAGTTCAATAAACAATGTCTTGTCTAATCTTCCAGGTCGCAGCATGGCAGCATCTATCATATCTGGACGGTTGGTAGCACCGATCACAAAGATTCCTTGTCTATCGTTGAGTCCATCAAGCTCAGTCAAAAGAGTGTTGACAACTCTTGACGACGACTCAGATAAAGACGCGTCCCTTCTGGGCACCAAAGCGTCAAGTTCATCAAAAAATATGACACAGGGGACGGATGCACGAGCTCTTGTAAAAACTTGTCGAATGGCCCTCTCCGACTCACCAACGTATTTGTTGAGCAATTCGGGACCTTTGATTGAAATGAAATTGGCCCTCGATTCATTTGCGACAGCCTTAGCTAACAATGTTTTACCACAGCCAGGAGGGCCCCATAGCAGGACACCAGCTGGGGCACTTATACCGACCTTCTCATACAGCTCCGGGCGCTTGATAGGCTGTACTATGGCCATGTTCAGCTCAACCCTGATTTTGTTCAAGGCACCTATATTAGACCAGCTCACATCCGGAACGGTAGCAAACCCTTCTCTTTTCGCAGTAGGCTGTATCGTGGGCAGGGCTTTTAGAAAATCTTCATACTTTATGGAAAGCGAACTCAGCTGCTCCTGCGACAATGGTTCCGGAAAATTCTGAAGGAACTTTTGTACCGTCGATAAAGGAAGTGGATCGATCATGTTGGCTGTGTTTTTCAGGTCCATGGCAAGATCTCCAGATCCAAAGTCGCCATCAACTTCCATCAAACCGGGGGACGCTTGTGGTGATGAAGCATAATTTTGGAAGATTCGTTTGATCGCACAGGTACCGGCAGCAGTACTCAATGCTTTGAGGTCAGCACCCACAAAACCCGGCGTGAGCTTTGCAAGCTTCAAAAAATCAATATCGCCATCTATCTTTAAATTTTGTGACATTTTCTTCAAGATATGCAACCTTGATAGTTCGTTGGGAACATTGAGGCAAATTTCTCTGTCGAACCTCCCTGCACGTCTCAGAGCTGCATCTAGCGAATCTGGTCTATTAGTTGCACCAATAATAATTACAGGTTTGCCGTCGGTTTTTTCAAACGATAGTTCATCCATAGATGTCAACAACTGAGCAACGATTCTTCTCTCCATCTCCCTTTGGGCCCCGCCATCCCTTTTGGGTGTGATGGCATCGATTTCGTCGAAAAAAACCAGACAAGGTGCAAGTCCTTTTGCCTCGTCAAATAAGTCTCTGATTTTCTTTTCACTTTCGCCTGACATGCCACTAACAACAGAAGGTGCAGATATCGAAATGAACGGCACTTGAAGTTCACCGGCGAGCGCGTTGGCTATCGACGTCTTACCACAGCCCGGTGGTCCGTGCAACAAAACACCGCGAGGAGGATCCACACCAGTGGACGCAAAAATCTCTGGATGCAAAATAGGTAGCCCAATGAGCTCCATCAACTGTGCCACCACATCGTCCATACCTCCTAAAGAGGATAAATCACTGCTTGGGGGACTTCTGTCTTCCTGTGTTTTCTGTCTCTTAGGTTTCGAGGTTCCATCCTTAGACCGTTTCTTGGAGGAAGACTTCTTCTGTTCTTCTTCCTGCTCTCCGTCGGCAGTCTTCGCCAGTTTCCATTGGCTTGTAACACTTCTGTTCAAGTCATTTGAGTCTTGTACAACCATGAGATTCTGTTTACTCAGTTTTTCGTCCTCGTTATCCTGGACTTTTGCTGAAGACTCCTTGGTGAAATAAGCCGAAAATTGCTCCTCTTCCTCGGCTACCGCTTGTTTCAAAACTTTCTCAACGGTTTTTTCTAGTAGTACTTTCTTAACCCGCTGCATTGATAGGTCTTTGGATAGTATAAACGCCAGCACCTCACCAAAACTTAAATCCCTGGCCAATGAGACGTCTGCAAAATCATCCTCTTCAGAGAAGCTTTCATCCGCCATGTCGTCCTCTCCTCGACGTGCCCTCCGTGCTTCACTCAACCTTTGCTTCTCTAGCGACTTTTCATCGAGCAACCGATAGATTAGCGATGAGATTTTGTCGTCAAAAGTATTCGACAGAGACGGCTTTGATTTCTTGCCCTTAACCATCGTGTGACTTGTGAAGTTGTGTACTGATTCGAGATTGAAATTCCTCTGTCAAAAAGGCTTGGGAGCTTCACTCGAAATTTCGCTGCTGGGCATCGATGCTCATCGATTGATTCATGATAATAATGTCCTGCTAAACCTGCAATGTTTTTCACGATCACGTCCATAGTGATATCTAAATCAATGAACGTTCTCATTAGTAGGAATCTCGAACTAAAGGATCATGGTTTGACACGAGCAATGTCGAATCCAATGCTTGTCGCCTTGACGGTTGTTCATGTCTCTCCGAGGTTCAATAATCACCACAAAAAATGCAATTGTCACCTCTGAAAAAGCCCTTCTGTTAAATCATGGAAAATACCTGCCACCCGTGAATCTGGTAAATGAATATCCTGAAGAGGATGCCCTGAGAATTTGTTACCGTAGGTTTGTTCGCTTGACTCCCTTGGTGTCACAACGTCAAATGGTACGAACTACTTATGTTCATTACCTTCGCTATAAGTTCAAGTCGGAGAACTACGCGAGAAAAGTGAGCGTTAGTGCAGTATCGCTCCCATCGCGCCAGCGCAATATTCTGGATGAGGTAGAAAGAAGCCTCTTATTCTGCGTAAAGGCAGTCTCGGATGTGAAAAAGAAGGTTGAGAATGAAGAGACGACCGCAAAAGAGATTAGGATTGCGAGAAGTGTTCTCAAAAATATCATGACAATGGAATTTGAAAAAATGGAGTTGATTTCGAAAGATCCCAAACAGAACCATAAAAAGTTCCGCCAATCGTTTTCATACCTATTGCCCAGCTCCAGAAGTTCACCGCTTGACTTGAGATTCTCGTCTTTCAAGCACTTTGACGAATGCCTAATTTTGTTGAATGAAACGCTCGGAACGCGTTTGTAAAGTAAATGGATGGAACGAGGTTCAAGGTTGTGTAACTTAGGAACTTAGGAGAAGTGATTTTGCATCTATCATTCGATCTGCTTTTATCCGATTTTTTGTGCCAACGTATGTCTCAACAATTTCCATCGCCTTGGATATTTGCTTGTCATCAAGAGCTATGAAGTTTAACCTCAATAGTTTCCCGTCTAGCGTTGCTTCGATGTTAAGAGCTTTTCTGAGCGATGCCACAACTTTGTTGGAAAAGTCAATAGGGTCCAAAAACGGGTTATCAAATGTTATCAGCCTTTCTGTCGACAGATGTTTCAACAACTCTCGAGCCGCATCCACAGAGCTTTGATCATTTCCCCGAATTTCCAGAGTTCGATCACTGCTGGGAATTTGTGTCGGGAAAAGGATATACGTTCCTGTCTTCCTTTCGATGTCACTGATTACTTTATGCATGCTCGGAGTATCGTTGAAGCAGTACCTATAGTGACCCGCTGACATCCGTATACATGCATTAGGTTGCAACTCACTGTACTCGGCCACGATACGTTTTAACTCATTCTTGGCTAAGGGAATGGATTTTCTGTTTTTATAGGGGCAGCGGACAATCACATTGTGCAGTCTGATAAAGCCGAAATTGAATCGTCCGGCTTGGGAAGTATTTGAGAATTGAATGAAGACATTGTATTTTCTCATTATCGTTTGTATCACTGAGCCTCTTGTTCCGATCACAGGCCTGTGATATGCATCGGGAATGAAAAACGAATCTTCTGCTGGCAATTCATCGCTGAGGAGAGAAATTCCAAGTTTGAACTTCTGGAAAGAATCAGCAGTCAGTGTTATGAACATATTTTGATAACTGTCCTTCAAGATCAATTTAATGTCACATTTGGCATTTTCCATTATTCTGTTGATCTTGCCGCTCTTTTTGCCAGAGACAAAGTCTTTGTATTCTGAATCCAACTCGATAAAAATTTTGATTAGTACTCGACTCGAAATTCCTAGATCTTCTATGGCGACTAGGCATTTGGAAATGTTCTGGAAGTTACCTGTCAGCACAATGCTATTCGCCGACGTGTTCGGTTGCATTATGATCACATTATGGTCGGACACAAGTCTATGAATGTTGTTTACCAACTTACTTTGTTGCAATTCATCGGCATCGGGAAAGCCAACGTGTGCTTCGAACACTGGCATCAAGGCTTCCAATGTAAATTCTCTCATAGCAGAACGCAAAGCCGTGACAGAGGTGGAGGCAAATCTTACAGTTTCCGCTTCTAGCTGAATGAAGCATTGATGCTTTTCCATGATCGCGTTTGTTTCGCGCTGGCGGAACTTGGATAAGAATAGCAGTTTCAACGTGGACATGTTTTGCAGCGCAGAGTAGTAGATGCTTTCCTCAGCTTCTTGGACCAGTGCTTCGAGACGTTCTTTTGCAGCCAAAACGGAAGAGTGGATCTTTCCGGAGATGAAAATTATGTTGGAAGATGTATCCCAGATTTGTGGCATTATGACCTCCACGTTGTAAAGCTTTTGGAAAAACTCCAAATTGTTGAGACCAACACCAGCACAAACCGGAAAGAGCGCGGGACTACCCACATTCACGTATTCGACCACTTCATTACCAAAGAGGTCAAGTAATGCCTGAACTTTTGCCCTGGCTGCATTGACCTTCTGCTGCGATCCAAGCAAGCACAGGACCCGCTCTCCCTTGTTTGTAGCCCCCGGGGTGTAAATATCATAGGGGGCCACTACAACTTCAATCATAAGTGTTGCAGAAAGCTTTATCAATTGCTGGCTTTGATCTTTCGTCAAGTGTTGGTCTAAGGGTATTGCGCAATGAACAAACATTGAAAACTGTTCTGCAGAATCGGTTGAGCAGTGGCACACGGCGCAATATTCGAATATCTCGCAGCTCTCAATCCTCGTGTGAGAATCCGGTTGGCCAATGCATTTTCTGGCTTCCCCGGACGGCAGAACCTTTTTTGCAAACTCTTTGCTGGGCGGTTTCCAGAGATTATCGGAAACCAATTCGGCATTTTGTGGTCGGAAAAAAACAGTAGTGAGCAAAGGAAGAACAACTTTGGAAACTGTCATTGGTTTTGACGCAGACATTGAATGGAATAAGACGCCTCGATTGTTTCACGTCTCTGTTTGAATTTGTATTTGTGTGCGTATCTGTTTGTTGTATGTGTTTAACTACTAGGTGATGTGGAAACTTACATATATGTACGTATTCTCCATGCAATTTAAAAAAAGGTAAACAAGAGAGTGACGGAAAAAATGATGGGAAATTAGTAGTCACGTGAGAACAGTGGTGTCACATGGTAGTAAGTTGGTCACGTGGTTCCTTTTTCCGTCTAAGTTGATATGGGCTGACTACCAAGTGGTTAGTCTACTCAAAGTCGTTGTTTTTCCTGAATCAGCTCAATTTTGATCTGAGTACTGTTCATAGTTTAGGAAGGTTTGGACCGTAACTCTCATTTGATGTTTGGACAAAAAAAACTAGGCCATAAAGGAGGCCTCGAACTTTGAAAAAAGGGTGAAGCTAGCAGGAAATGATAGAGGCTGGGGTCTTGGGGGAAGCAGAAAGGGAATGAAAGGACCTGAAAACTCAAAAAAACAAAGCACATAGAACCACATTTTTGTAAGTATTCAAATCTGTGATCACGTGACCGAGGGCGAAATATTGTGTTGTCTCAAAAAACTAAGCTAATCGGGGTTTTGGGAATTGTGGAACGCAAGCGGGTCCAGCCGTGGCTCATAATATATAGTCAGCCACTTCTCACCTTTTAAGTCTCGCTATTCTTACCAAATATTCATCCCATCTCACGGCGATAAGTTCTACCCCACGTGACTTTTCCTTTCTTCTAGATTGATTCAATTTATAGGCATTCCAAGATTCAACACGAAGCTCATCCAAAACAGTTGCATTGTTTCCTGATCGTACGGTGCAGCAGATTTGGACGGGACCGCTTTGAAAGACGCTGTAATAGACAGCAGCAATTTCAAGGTCTTCAAAGAGTATAATAACATACGGTGTACCCCATGGCAGTCAAAAAGAAAAAGCCCAGCAGCATTAAAACGCTACGCAACGGTCAGAATACTTCACACACAGGCTCAAACGATGCGACAAGACTAAAACCGGAAAATGTTGGCGCACTGGTCCACGATGAAAGTGATATCATCTCGTATCGGGCATATCTGACTCAAAATCTCATCAAAGCAAGCGAAATGATGGACATATTAACTACTCAAAACATAGCACTGCCGAAAATACTTCCTCCACCCATATATCCGAATCTGGACCTGGAAAGTGCTCAAAAGTCCCTGGAATTTGAAAAACAAGAGATTGCTGCCCTTGAGACACAGCTTACCAGCGATTGCCTAAAACTCCCGTCGGATTACATAGCCTTAAAAGAGCTATCTCAAGCCGTCGTAACAAATGAAGGCTCCACTCCAAAAGAAATAGAACGGATCCAAAATACATTCATGTCCAAATTTCAAAAGCATGTGCAGAAAGATCGCATCGTCGTTCACCATCTGAAATTTCCTCAGCTTCGCGGCGATTTGTCCACGGCCCCAGCGGACTACTGGGCCAAACGAGCTGAGAACTTGGCAAAGCAGCAAGAAGAAACTCTCAAATTACAAGCTCTTCGCGAGCAAGAAGAACGTGAAGAGCTGAAACGTCGGTCTGAAGAACAGGAAAGGCTGCGGCAAAAACAAGAAGATCAGCAGCTTTTCGAGGACCCCTTTGCTCAGCAACAGCCGCAGCAAAATCAACCCGCTCCTGGGTTATTGGCATTCAACGGTAACGGCAATCAAAATCAACAGCAGCCAGTAGACCCCTCGCAGCAGGCAATGCTAGGTTCAATCTTTGGTGACGTAAATGGGGAAAATTACAACAACGGCTTTGAAGACGAATTTGGAGATCTAGATACGGCTTTTTTCTAACCGTTGATATATCAATGAAAAGGCTTTGTTAAATTTATCTAATGTCCAAAATAGTAGAATGTACAGGTTTGACGTTTCACGTTTTTTTTATTTTAAGGTTCACGCCCAGAATAAGTTGTTGATCTGTCTGATCAGTCTGCCGCTTGCGAATGCTATAGTAACGAGAGTAATTGTTACTTGGAATACTATCAAGCTTAAGCTCGCGAACATAAACCTTGGGCAAAAAATCTTCCACACCATCAGGTGTCGTCTAAAATGTGTCACCCACACAAACGAGCTTAAACACAGAACAGTGTTGTAGATCAAAAGCATACCACAGTTTGAAACTACTCGGGCAAGAAGAGTCTGGGGCTTCAAAACTGTTGGTGGCTGTTTCCAAAGCGTCAGAAGTGCAACTGACAGAGCAACAATGATGTGAGGTCCAAAAGTATTCATAACAATGCCCAGGTGCGTGAGCGGGAAGGTTATGCGCTCCGTAAGTACGAACCCAACGTCCCATTGCACAGCTGGTATTGTTGCCTGATGGCCCGTGGAGAAAAACTGCTGATATGCAAGTAGCCCAAGGGACACAGAGCCAATAAGGTTTTCCTTCAGTTTCAAAAGATCGACGATCTCGATAATTGACAACAGTTGATTGCACATCAGAAAGAGAGAAATCTGAGCGAGAGGCTTGTTAAACAACATGATGCACATGAAGAAATTGATGACCAATAAGAAGAACTGTGAGCCATAAACGTTAGCATATCCTAGAATTGTGGCTTGTTGAGATTTAACGTCGTTGTTGTGAATGTTCAGTTTCACACATAATGGCCCCATCATCCAGCCGACATTGGCAGCTATAAGAGAGAACCCCGCGACAATTCTGGATATTGTGAGCTTGAATATTTTGAAATCCCAGGCTAATTCTGGAATATTATTCTCCATTGCGCATATTGACCAGTAAACAAAATTGGTCAACAGCACCCAGCGTAGAAATTGACCGATCCAGATCGGAGCCGCCGCTTGGTACGACGAGCAAATATTGTAGTAACCTTTCAAGCATGAAGGCAGAAACGCGACAGCGGTCAAGCATAGCAGTAGACACCAATAGGAGTAGTTGTTTGCTGTTGTGAATGTTGGCTTGCAAAATTCACCCTGTTCCTCTCGACAAATAGTAATCATGGAAGACAGCCTCGTGCAAGTTATCAATACTATCGAGTGATAGCCTCCAACAAGACGAGCGAATCTGCCAAGCGGTGATGATTCAGAATCGAGCGGCTGTTTTTTTTGTGAAGAGGTCTTTTCTTCCCCCATCGCAGCTGCTAGAAGAGCAGTTGTCAAACGTCTTTTGGGCAGAAACACAAATTCATATAATGTCAACATGCCCAAGGTGGCAAGCAAAAAGCTCACGATTCTATCTTCCCAAATGGTAAACGAATTCGAAGTAAAAAGAATAGCATGTAATGTGATGAAAAGAGCTGCGATTCGAGACCAGTAATCGGAAAGATCCTCCAAAAACTTTCTTCCGATCCACGCTGTAGTGTAGCGATCAAATATGGTGAGAAAGCACCCCACGCTGATCCCCACGGCTGTCGCAAATAGAGTACACCAAATCCAATTTTGGAAAAACACAGGCTGATGTAGGACGTGGAAAATTCCGTTAAAACATACGTTTGACACCAACGTCATAATTGCGATTGTTGGGACGAACTCTGAGACCATCTGTCCAATGACAATTGAAGGTACAAGTTTGGTGATAATGATCAACAGTATTAAGGATGTGGCAAGAAATATAATGCCCACTGCAATGCTCCAATAATCGAATCTGGCCCATAGATCCTTACAAGACTCTAGAAAGTATCTTTGGTACTCGGAAGCGGTCGATGTATCAGTTATGAATTTCTCCCACAGGTCTTGTAAATGCTTCGCTTTGTCAAAATTTGTGATCACACCGCTCACGTCGCTATAGTTTTTTATTTGGTTCAGTGTAATCTCATGGTACAGCTTCAATTCTTCTGCTGTAGATGCAATTTCGTGAATGGGCCAGCCTAAGTTATTGAAAGAGATGGGAAGTCCTAGGAGTAAAGAAAGGGTTGAGACCAGGTCAATCTGGTTAACATGACGGTAATTTTCGCCCAAAGACGTGGTGTCATAATGGTCCGGTGATAGATGGCTCCACATATCTGGCTGCTTAGAGTAAAGCCAGAGTGCGGCTTCAAGCTCTGATTTGGAGTCGCCCCCATGATTTCCAGTATGATCCATTCCGTGATCTCCCATGACAACCAAGAGCGTTTTGTCGTCAATGCGATCGCAAATCCGCTTGATAAACCTGTTAGCCTGCAATTGCTTTTCCCTCATGGTGAAATGGTTGGGACCGTATTTGTGGCCGACGTGATCGATGCCCAGCATGTGTCCGATTAAAACATCCCAGTTTTCAGAGGCAGCGGTATCGTTCAATAAATGATTTTCAAAATAGTTTATAACGCCGTTGTCGACCGTGTCCAGATCCCACACGTTGAGAGACTCGAAGGGCTCGCTTTGAGGAGACAAAAAAGGTCTGAACAGAGCATCCCAGGTGTCGTCACCCGCGAAATTGACGGTCTTGTTGTTCAAAAACAGTTGTTTGATGAAATTGTCCTCGTCTATTACGGAGCCATCGAAATTTGAGCCAGCATCTATAAATGTCGGTAGCGATCCGGTGGTGAGGCCCTTTAGTCGCTGCAAAGTAGTGGTAGGAGGGTCTGCGATGAATTTCAACAACAGCGACGAATGGTCGGTTGTGTGGTTGTTGAACACGTCCAGATTGTTGTGGTGGTTGGCGTTGTAGCCGGGGTCATTCAAATCGACTGGGATCGTGAAATCGAATCTCAGGGCATCGATGACCAAAATGACGCATTTGTCGAACTTGGGTTCCACCGGGCTGTGGGAGGCCACGTTGTCGAGGACATTACGAGTGAGTAGGAAACCTCTGGCAAAAAATGCTATGGCGATGAATTGAAGAACGGCCAGCGAACTGATGAGATATATATACAGCCGATGTGTGGTCTTAAAACGGTGCAGTCGGGACCAATGCAGCCGTTTGTCTTCGATCGAGGAGTTGAAGATCCGTTTCTTGACCTTGCGTTCGTCACTCGCGTCGATTGAGGACATTTAGGGCCCGTAGGGGAATCCTTTGCACTGCCGTGGTGCAAGTTGTAGGCGTTGAACAGGCTTATTGGGCCTTAGGCGGTCAATTGTTTTTATCGTGTAGGTGTACACTCGTACCGTGTGAGTACTCGTTGCTGCTCGGGCGGAGGCTGCCCGAGTACATGTCCCGTGTATAGTTATCTATATATTATTGTTATGTGATACGAGAAATCGGTTGACCTGCGTACATGGTGATTGATGAGTCCGGGCAGCTTGTGTCAAAGGCTAGAAGATATCAGCAGCTAGTGTATTATGTTCACAGTACGTACGCCGAGGAGAATGTTTGATCACGTGATTCTTCTCGGTTATCATGAGGGCTTGGAAAAAAAGCTGTTTGGGTGTGCTTGTTTGTCGAAAAGATTGTGGGGCTTGTTTATGATGGTGGTACAAGGTCTAGAAATATCGCAACTGTGTCGTTGGGAGAGTTTATTATATCACTCGTATTATCTTCTTTCCCCGGACTTGTGTTCTCCGACAGAGCACGTGACCAAAAAATTATGCGCAAGACTCCGCGATCTGGAGAATCCAATCACGATGAGGTTTCAGCTGCAATACAAAAACTACGTTTGCATATCCCCTTCTCCCTCTCTCCCTCTCTCTCTCTCNCTCTCTCNCTCNCTCCTCCCTCCTCTCCCTCCTCTCTCTCCCTCCTCTCTCTCTCTCTCTCTTTTTCTCTTATCTTAGCGGTCTCGTCTACAATGACCTCTCATCCTTCAAGTTTTCTCCATTACTCTCTCTCCACTACATACACATAGACAATGTGTCTGGCGCTTGCAGGAATGTGAACCTCGGATTCCTAAAATCACAACAATACATCTTGTCACACTATATACCTATTGGCATTGTTCCTATACAAAACTTTGTTTTCGTCAAGACGCCGCCAAGAAACGTAACGGCTTGATTCCGGTGTTATGGCATGCCATAGTCATTACCATACACGCAACAACACAATGCAATCAGCAGCTGCGGAACGGCTATACACGGCACGGCACGGCAAGAGCTTTGTCTGGGTCACGTGCTCGCTCTCTCTCTCTCTCTCTCTCCATTGTTTCTTTTTTCCGGTTTTTTTCATTGGCAAATTCCCGACTGATGGGCGCTCCCCTATTATGTTTGTTTATGTTGTGCCAGAAGGGGAAGGACCCCCAGAAAACTGCGAAGAGACAAAAGAATCAAAATAGAGAAAAGAAAGACCGGTCATGTGCACACTACGCTCGCTACGACTTCTACTGTGATATTTGTCACCCATGCATCATAACAGCGCCCTACGTTTTGCTTTGGCCTGTGCCAAGGGCATGCGTTCCGCGACTCCGCGCGTTCCGCTGCGGGCCTATCTAGCTGCAACACCCTAACATGTCCGTGATCTGTTTAAAATCTGTTTCTTTCAGCTCTTTCCTTACAGCTCTTCTTTCCACTGGCTGCTTTGTCTAGCCTGGCGCGCTTCCGTCCTTCCTCGCTGGTCTTAACATCAGATGCGTGTAGATACATAAAAAGCAGACACTTGACAATTGTTGAACTTAGATGGATCACCGATCGCACTTGAGTCACCTTTGAGTGGTTCAGTAGACAAGAACAGGATTAGAGCTAGGAAGTAGAGCCAAGGACATTTTTGAAGAACAAGAAGAAGACAAAACAACCGGACAGAACAAGAAGAAGTAGATCTTACACGGAACGCTATCTTCAGAACACTATCTTCAGAACACCCAGTCACCGCACTACAAGAAGAAGTCAGGTTCGCTAAATACTATATCAACACCAACCTTCCATTCACCCTTCCATTCACCCTACACCCACACACCCCACACAAATGTCGTCTCGTGAGTCCAGCGACTACGCGGATCCCGTGCGCGAGCTCGAATTCGAGGGTAAACCCAACGACGTGGCCAGTAACGGCGCCGACCCGGACTTGGAGCTAGAACTCTCGCGTACGGGCACTAACGCCACTTCCGAAACCGAGGCCCGCATTAACCGCCGAGTCTCACGCATCCTGAGCGGCTCCCAGAACCAAGCCGAGAAGCTCGGCGTCGATTACTCTAATTGTCCCCCCATGGGCGGCGGCCGTCCCTTCCCGCCGATGCTTCCAGATCGGGAACAGTTCGAGGTCGCCTTCGACGGGCCCGACGATCCTCTCCACCCCTACAACTGGCCCATCCGTAAGCGTGTGCTTCTGTGCGGGCTGCTGGGACTCAACTGTTTAGGCGTTATCATGGGCTCTTCCATTTACGCGTCTTCTGTCTCGCAAATCTGTGAAGAATACCGCGTGGCGCCTGTGGTAGCCATTCTCGGTATCACCCTGTACGTGTTTGGGTTTGCCGCCTCGCCCGTTGTTTATGCTCCGCTCTCGGAGTTGTACGGCCGTCAAATCCCGCTGATTCTGTCGTCTTTTGGATTTGTATGTTTCACGTTTGCCACGGCCGTGTCCAAAGACTTGCAGTCTATTCTCATCACACGTTTCTTCAGCGGCTTCGTGGGCGCTGCTCCGTTGGCCATTGTGCCCGCTTGTATGTTCGACATGTTCAACACGGAAACCCGAGGAAAAGCAGTGACTGTCTTTGCGATGGGCGTTTTCATGGGTCCCATTCTGGCACCCGTTTACGGATCGTACATCACGCAGTACACTACCTGGAGATGGACCCAGTATGTAGTGGGCATCTACTCCGGAGTGATCACGCTGATCCTGGTGTTCATGTACGAAGAAACCCACCATCCAATGATCCTAGTCGCTAAGGCTCGTCGTCTAAGACAAGCCACCGGAAACTGGGGTATTCGTGCGGCGCACGAAGACGCGCAGCTATCGCTGCGCGACATCGTGCAGAAAACCATCAGTAGACCCATCTACATGCTGCTCACAGAGCCCATTTTGTTCTGCATCACGCTATATCACTCCTTCGTGTACGGAATCCTGTATCTGCTGCTGGAAGCGTACCCAATCGTTTTCGAGGGCAAGTACGGGTACCGTAAGAACGGAGAACTGCCGTACATTGCTTTGCTGGTGGGAATGGGCGTCAACGCCATGTACAACTGGTACGAAGAGAAGAATTACGTGGCCAAAGTACGTGCCAACGACGGGAAACCGCTGCCGGAAGCCCGGCTCCGCACAATGGTGATCGCCGGAATCGTGTTCCCAATCGGAATTCTGTGGTTCTGCTGGACCGGTAATTACCCGGACAAGGTCCACTTCATGGTGCCCACAGTAGCCGGGTCCTTCATCGGATTCGGGCTGATTGGTATCTTCCTGCCGTGCTTCAACTACATCATTGACTCGTATCTGTTCTTGGCGGCGTCGGCTATTGCAGGCAACACGTTTATGCGGTCTTCATTCGGTGCGTCGTTCCCGCTATTTGCCGGATTCATGTTTGAAAACATGGGCGTGAACTGGGCCGGGCTGCTGCTGGGCCTATTTGCGCTGTGCATGGTGCCCGTGCCGCTGCTACTGATGAAATACGGCAAACAGTTGAGGCAGAGGTCCAAGTTTGCGTTTGTGCTGTGAAGCTGCAGCGAAGCTGCCACCAAACGTCTACAGTAGTTCTGGATATCCAAGCTACTTTAATTCAATAAATACCCCCCCATAGATAGGTGTTCGCAGCACAATTTGACAATCGAGATTAAAATACGATCTTGTGGAGCTTGAGAGGGCGTGAGGGCGTGATGAAGAGCTATGCGATTCGACTATCCAGAAGCATCAAAAGCGCTGAAAAACTTGGGTTTGTCTTTTTCGTGACACTACGGTATAGAGACATCAGTGTAATACGATGTCAGTGGGCTATTGGTAACTGTACTCTTTGAAGTACTCGCATAAGCGGCGACATACAAATTCGTATCACTGTGTACGAGCGTGTGTAAGTATTCTCATCATTTTTGGTAGATAGCGTCAGCGAAGGTATAGAAAGCACTTTTTTCAAAGCTTTTTCCTTCTAAACGTTGTCGGTACCAGACTATTCAAAGACTGCTCAGTTTGAAGCTGAAAATTTCAAATGAGAGAGCCAGGCCATATACATTTTCTCCGCTCAGTTAAAATCCTTCAATCGCTGTCCTTCTCGAGCATGAAGTTCCGGGAATCTTAAGACGTACAGTACAGCCTCTATCGCCTCTTCGAATCTCCGTAAAAGCGAGAGGTTGACTAAAGGAACGGTTGACAATTAGATCATCGAAGACGAAGGATATTCGGACCCTGACCAATTGCACGACAGTTCTCAATGCTATAGTTTTGAAGCACCTAGTGAGAGAAAATATGATATCAGAAATCAAAGCTTTGAAAACGACCCGACCCAGTCACCCGCGAGATTCTGCTGCTCCGTTTGGCAATCCAGCCTCAAAAGGCGAGAAAAAGTACCTTCAAATGCTAAAACGTAAATATTATTGTCAATTCTCCCACTGCTAGTGCCAAACTCTTGGCATACTGTCACATGACAGGTGTCAGTCAAATTCCAAAAAACAAAATCACTCGTAGGAGAAGTCTAGAGCAGCTGTTGCTGCCAAAACCACTGTAAAACGTTTCACGAAATCAACGGTCAATTACTATGTTCTTTCGTGGCACCTAAGAGCAGTATTTCGACATTTATCTCAATTTAACGGCAAAAAAGGTCCAAATACATACTTTACTGCTACCAATTGCAAGCCGTGTTGATCAGTTTACCTTGTTGTCGGTTTTTTACCTCTAGTGGGATACATTTATTCGCTGAATAAGCTCATCGGACCGAGCAGTTGTCATATCATGAGAGTGAGTAAGCTGTTAGAGCAATTTCGTCGCTTTATACGATGAGCGGTTCTAATTCTCGTTCGACGTACAAGAACTGCACCCTGGAAAAAATAGGAATGCTCTAATTCTCTATCTCACCTACCTACTACTAAGCACATCAGCATACAAAACTAAATACAATCATTACAAGGGGGTTTCACCGTTGCTCTTTCATTAAAACAACAGCTCCAATAGCATTCGATATACATCTTCTGATCAACCGCAAAACAGCACTATCTTAGCCATCCGTGTGGCCTTTATTCTCAGTTAAAAACGGTCCAAAATGATGACTCAGAACTCTACTCTAAATTTAAAAAGCTCTTTGTCAACTATGAACGGTGTTCGCAATGGTGGGAGTCCAGCCATGCCACAGGGAAGACCTGGCAGACCATGCGCTGACTGTACGTGTTCGCCGGGTCTAATGTCGCGTCAAAACAGGAAGTCTTCGTTACTATTAAGACAGCTTGCAGGGTCCCGCAAAAGACCTTCTTTAAGATCCTCTACTACCACAGGCTCGAGCAGAGACTCGGTGTATTCGTCAGACACAATATGCCAGTCCAAAAATATCAACACTTCGGAACGTTTGCTGCATTTAAGAAGGAAGATGGTTGACAATGATTTGTGTTGCTACATCGTTCCAAGTGAGGACGAGCACCAAAGCGAATATGTGTCGCTTGCCGACCAGAGAAGGGCTTTTATTTCGGGATTCACTGGCTCCGCTGGGGTAGCTTGCATCTCTCGTGACCTCCTCAACTTCAACAACAATGACCCAGAGGGACAATCCATTCTCAGCACTGATGGCCGGTATTTCAATCAAGCCTCGCAAGAATTGGATTTTAACTGGTCTCTCCTCAGACAAGGCGAGGACACGCTGACGTGGTCGGAATGGTGTGTTCGGTCGGCAGTAGAGATGTCTGAAGCGCTGGGAGGAAAGGAGGCCAAGATCGGTATCGACCCAAAAGTGATCAGTTACGATGCAGTGGTGAAATTCAAAAAACTCATACGCGATAAAACACAGGACACCAATGCTGTAGTAAGCTTGGTACCAGTTCAGAAAAACCTTGTGGACGAGATTTGGGGATATTTTGAGCCCGTCCCTGTTAGGGACTCCAACGACCTATTGCTGTTGAACGCACATTACACAAACGAAACTTTCAAGAGCAAAAGACAGCGAGTATTGGACTACCTGCATGAAAAAACTCCAAACTGCAAGACGTTTTGCGTCGCCACGTTGGATGAGATCTGTTGGCTTTTAAATTTGAGAGGATCTGATATTCAGTACAACCCCGTTTTTTACTCGTACCTGCTGCTTCGGGGTGATGAAACCATCCTTTTCACGGACGACGAATACGACGATAAAATAAAGCAATATTTCGAGACTAACCACATCATGGTCCAACCTTATGCTGAGATATGGTCTCAATTGGCATCGGTCGCAGCCGCATACTCTAAGACTAAAGAAGCGATTGCCATAGCTTCGGGATCGTCTTGGGAAATTGTGCGCACCCTAGGTGACACTCATCACCGAGAGATTCAGTCTCCTTTGGAGCTTTTCAAGTCTGTCAAGAACGACGTGGAAATCTCCAACGCGCATGCTGCTCAAGTGAAAGATGCAGTGTGTCTGGTTCAATACTTTGCATGGTTGGAAGATCAATTGGTTGCTAAGGAGGCCTTGATCGACGAGTACAAGGCTGCCACCAAGCTTTTAGAGATCAGGAAGACTCAGAGAAATTTCATGGGCAATTCGTTCGAGACTATATCTTCGACAGGCGCCAATGCCGCCATAATACATTACGCCCCACCAGAAGAAAACTCGGCCATGATCAACCCAAGCCGCATCTACTTGTGTGACAGTGGGTCCCAATTTATGGAAGGTACCACTGACATTACCAGAACTGTTCACTTTACCAAACCCTCTGCAGAGGAAATAGAAAATTACACGCTGGTACTCAAGGGTAACCTAGCGCTAGAAAGACTTGTTTTCCCAGAAGGCACGTCTGGGTTTAACATCGATGTCATTGCAAGACAATATCTGTGGCAGCAGGGTCTAGATTACAGACATGGAACTGGACATGGTGTTGGATCTTTCCTGAATGTCCACGAAGGCCCTATTGGCATCGGTTTCAGACCACATCTGCAAAGCTTCCCACTTGAATCCGGCAACATCATTACCAATGAACCTGGCTTCTACAAAGATGGCGAGTATGGTATTCGCATAGAAAATGACATGTTGGTGGAAAAAGCAGAAGGCCTCAAATTCGGAGAGCGTCAATTTTTGAAATTCAAGAACATTACACTGGTGCCCTACTGCAGAAAGCTTATCAACGAAAAGATGCTGACACCGGAGGAAAAAGCGCAGATCAACGCATATCACAAACTAATCTGGCACAGTGTCGTTCCATTCATTCAGCCCCAGAGCATAACATACAAATGGCTGAAGCGCGAAACCGCACAGTTGTAATTTCCTGGCTAGGGAGCGTTAAGATATGGCAACATAGCGAGAAATATTTAGGTTTAATAAGTGGAGAGTATTTATATTATTATCTGGCTGTAGTACAGTGTGCTCGGACCACTGTATTCAGCTGCACGCTAGCTCATCGCTTGGTTCTTGTGAGAATGATTAATGAAATAGTAAACTAAGTTAATTAAGTTCGGGGGAGACTCTAGAAAACTACAATTTGCACTTTAATTGTAAATCGTCGATCAAGGATGTCAAGAGTAATTGTTTAGCCAGAAGGAGGACAATTAGGTGTTGTCTCTTGGGTGCACACCCTCTAGTAAGCGTTAGCATCTCTACACCGCCGTAGATCAGTACTCGTCTCTTGTAGTAAGATGACTAGAAGCATGACTCTCTTCGTATATCGTTACTACGGGGTCACATCTAAATTGAGATATGTAAAGTGAAGGAATTAACAAGAGCAGTAGGCAGTTTCTCATACCATACCATCCCACAAGGAAGCAACGTTCAGGACGGCACGATCTATTTATACTTGAGAAAGTCAAGTTTGCCACGCTAAGCGCTGCTGCACTGTCAAGCAATATGAGGAGTGGTTCGACTACGGCCGTTCTTGGCCGATTGCCAGCAGCAAGATATTTCGCCTATCGTAAAGTGCAACTCGACACATCTTTAGCTCAATCTTACAGTTTCAAGCTTCGGGGTTGTACCAATGAGAGAACCAGGCGCTTTATGCAGACCAACCATTCGCACAGGGTGTTAGATAACTCAGGACCAGAGAGATGGAGTTTCAAATTTAAGGCTAATCCTGCAAAAACCGACAATACTAAGCAAACTAGGGGCCAGAGAGATCAGAATGTCTCACAAGAGCTAAAAACTGGCTCTCCAAAGTGGTCCACATACTCTATGCCCTCCAAAGAGACACTTTTGAAGCAACCAGAGCAACCCGACCGGCAGATCAAAGACGTTGCTGCGAAAGTTTCTTCCCAAAACGAGCCACAACGTACAGAACAAAACAAAAAACCAAAGAGAAGATTGAGACCACGCAAAGCGCTCATATCTCTCACCCCCAACGCTCTACTGCATTTGAAACTGCTGCTGAACCAGCCGCAGCCGAAATTGATCAGGGTAGGCGTGAAAAACCGCGGTTGCTCGGGTCTGACCTACGACTTGGAGTTTATCACGGAGCCTGGGAAATTTGACGAGGTAGTGGAACAAGATGGCGTAAAGGTTGTGATAGATTCTAAAGCATTATTCAGCATAGTGGGGAGTGAGATGGACTGGATCGACGATAGATTGTCGTCCAGGTTTGTGTTTAAGAACCCTAATTCGAAGGGAACATGCGGATGTGGCGAAAGTTTTATGGTCTAGTGGTTCGTACTTGGAGAAGTACTGACGGGGCATTTCAAGCGCGCAGATTTGGAGCGCTGAATATGAGCGCGAGTATTAACTATTTATTTATTTATTTATTTATGATATTATCTATTCTTTATTCAGACACCGGGGAAGGTTTGTGAATTGTTGAGACCAGCTCAAATCGACAACCCATGCAACGAGCAGACCATTGAGAAGGGGGTGTTTGCTTTCTCTTGGCTTAAACCAAATGGTGGAAATTCTCTGTTTAAAGTTTGAGACATTTTCTATGACATTCAGTAATTTAATTTAATTTTATATTCAAGTTAACAACCTTGTAGGAAAACAAAAGAAAGCGTATTGAATTAGGCACTAATAAGATCGGCAATCAGCTGCCGTAGCCTCAAAACCCGCAGCTCAAATTGCTGTTACAACTTAGGCTAGATTCCAGTCAAGAAGTTGCAAAACGACTGGTCAGAATTCATCATCAAATATCGTAATTTTCACACAGTCACTTCCAGTTCTCATCGCAATCGAACTACTCAAAGTTTAAAAAATAGTGCCCTCGGCATAATCTAAGTTTAACTAAAGCTCAAACAAAGATGCTCACGCAAAAAACTCATCGCGAAAGTGGGGAACATATTTTCATAAACAGCAATTGCGCAAATCCCGTAACCATCAACATTTTCCATATCTATCCATTCACAAAGTCCGAGAATTCTCTCTATGCTGCACATTCATACAGTGAGAGTCTCAATTCAAACCACGTCGCCTTACCTGGCCCTGGTTTCCGACGACATACACGTACACAATGATGATCCAAATTAACCGAATTTCTAGCACATACGAGAAATTTCGAGAGATTTAAGGATCGTACTGGACTTATCCAGAGCAAGCCGGAATAAACTGCTCAAAGCTCCCAGGTTTCCCTGACCGGCAGGTATATAAAGGAGTGAGTTTTAAGAGTGTACCTTTCTTGTTCAGTCTTACTATCTTGAAGTAAGTTTATTCAGAAAGCTAACAAAAATCATCTATACACCAGATTATCTTTAAGATACCAAGATGGACGATCAAACCCAATTTACAGAGAAGGCATTGAGTATTTTGACCATTGCCCAAAAACTAGCACAAGATCACCAACATGCACAGCTACAACCCGTGCATCTGTTGGCAGCTTTTGTGGAAACACCAGAAGATGGATCGAAGCCATATCTGCAAAATCTGATCGAGAAGGCTCGCTACGACTACGACGTGTTCCGCAGATGCGTTAATAAGCATCTGGTGAGGATCCCACAGCAGACTCCAGCACCTTCTCAGATTTCCCCAAGTTACAGTTTGGGTCAGGTTCTGCAAGAGGCCGCCAAGATCCAGAAACAACAAAAAGATTCATTCATTGCTCAGGACCACATTCTGTTTGCACTATTCGAGAATTCCAGCATACAAGAAATCTTCAAAGAAGCAGCAGTGCAAATTGAATCAGTGAAACAGCAAGCCCTTGAGCTTCGTGGTAACCAAAAAATAGACTCCCGCGGCGCAGACACCAACGAGGCCCTAGAATACCTCTCAAAATACGCTATCGATATGACAGAACAGGCCCGTCAGGGTAAACTGGACCCTGTCATCGGTAGAGAAGAGGAGATTAGAGGAACCATCCGTGTCCTAGCCCGTAGAATCAAGTCCAACCCTTGTCTAATCGGTGAGCCCGGTATCGGTAAAACTGCGATCATCGAGGGTGTTGCACAAAGAATCATCGATGATGACGTACCCAGCATTTTATTCGGCTCTAAACTCTTCAGTTTGGATTTGGCCGCGTTGACTGCTGGTGCAAAATACAAAGGTGACTACGAAGAAAGGCTTAAGGGTGTGTTAAAAGAAATCGAACAGTCTAAGACCCTCATTGTTCTGTTTATCGACGAAATCCACATGCTGATGGGGAACGGAAAAGACGATGCAGCCAACATTTTGAAACCAGCCCTTTCGAGAGGCCAGTTGAAGGTCATCGGTGCTACTACCAACAACGAGTACCGTGCCATTGTTGAAAAAGACGGAGCTTTCGAGAGAAGATTCCAAAAAATTGATGTACAAGAACCCACCGTGAGGCAAACAGTTGCTATTTTGAGAGGGTTACAACAGAAGTATGAAATTCATCACGGTGTGAGAATTTTAGACAGTGCTCTTGTAACGGCAGCTCAGTTGGGTAAAAGATACCTTCCTTACAGAAGACTTCCCGACTCCGCTCTCGATCTGGTCGATATATCGTGCGCTGGTGTCGCAGTGGCCAGAGACTCTAAACCTGAGGAGCTAGACTCCAAAGAGCGTGAGTTGCAGCTAATCCAGGTGGAAATCAAAGCTTTGGAGAGAGATGAAGAAGCAGACCCAACTACCAAAGACCGCCTAACACAGGCTAGACAAAAGGAAGCTTCTTTACAGGAAAATTTGAAGCCATTGAGGCAACGTTACGAAGAGGAGAGAAAGGGTCACGAAGAATTGACAAGAGCCAAGAAGAAGTTGGAAGAACTTGAAAACAAAGCAGCGGATGCCGAGCGTCGTTACGATACAGCAACCGCTGCAGACTTGAGATACTTTGCAATTCCCGACTTGAAAAAGCAAATCGAGACTCTAGAAAATCAGGTTGCCGAAGAAGAAAGACGTGCAGGTTCCGGTACAATGGTTCAGAATGTTGTTGACAGTGACACCATTGCCGAGACCGCCGCCAGACTAACTGGTATTCCAGTCAACAAGCTGACCGAGTCTGAAAACGAGAAACTGATCCACATGGAAAGACATCTTGCTTCCGAAGTTGTGGGCCAGCTTGAGGCCATCAAAGCAGTTTCCAACGCAGTCCGACTATCGAGATCCGGTCTATCCAATCCTAGACAACCTGCATCGTTCTTGTTTTTGGGATTGTCTGGTTCAGGTAAAACCGAATTAGCCAAGAAAATTGCCGCTTTCTTGTTTAACGATGCGGATGCCATGATCAGAGTCGACTGTTCCGAATTGAGCGAAAAGTACTCGGTCTCAAAACTTTTGGGAACCACCGCGGGCTATGTTGGTTATGATGAAGGTGGCTTTTTAACAAACCAATTGCAAAGAAAACCATACTCTGTTTTGTTGTTCGATGAGGTCGAGAAGGCTCACCCCGATGTCCTCACAGTCATGCTGCAAATGCTGGACGACGGTAGATTGACCTCGGGACAAGGCAAGACCATTGACTGTTCCAACTCGATCATCATCATGACCTCGAACCTGGGTGCAACTTTCTTGAGTTCCCAGTCCGGTTCTCGTGTTGACGACTCCACCAAGTCATTGGTCATGGGCGCTGTGAGACAGCACTTCAGACCCGAATTCTTGAACAGGATTTCCAGCATTGTGGTGTTTAACAAGCTATCTCCTAAGGCTATTCACAAGATCGTGGACATACGGCTCAAGGAAATTGAGGATAGATTTGAGGAAAATGATAAGCATTACAAGCTTGACGTATCCAAGGAGGCGAAAGATTTCTTGGCCAAGAACGGTTATTCTGAAGACATGGGAGCCAGACCGCTTAACCGTTTGATTCAAAATGAGATTCTCAATAGAATGGCGATCAGAATCCTGAAGAAACAAATTAAAGACAAGGAGACCGTCAGGGTTGTCTTCAAAGCCGGTCACGGAGAAGAGCCCGACGAGCTTGATGTTCTGCCCAACCACGAAAGTAGCGATATCGACATGGACGTGGATGACGACTGGGACGAACTAGACGAAGGGTTCGCGGACGGCACACCACTGGACTAAGGATATTACAAACGGAGGCCATTCTACATAGAGAATAAGTAGGTAATTTCTAATGAACTGAAAATAACTATAATGATCACATCTGAACTAAAAGATCCGCGAGTATAGCCACACCAGTTTACATCTTGCAGTACCCGTCAGACTGTTTGCCCTAAGAGTTTAGACCATTTTTCGTATAAGAGTACCATACTCCGGATCTACCTGGAATGCTAATTTTTTTACCCTCACATTGTGGGACTATAAAAGGCGACGAGCTAGCAGCTCCATGACACTTCTCTATAACTTTTCTTGATAGAAAAACCAATCTCAAAATACCCTCCGACTTTTAGATAGAACTTCCTTTGCCCATAAAGCCATGGCGCTGGAAGTGCGGACAGCGGAGTGAAATTGACGTTCAATTTTCCTGGAATTTTTTTATACGATTTTCGACTGTTTCGACGATGTTGAAGTCGTTTTCTGGGGTCTTGCACAGCTTCGCCATTAAAGATAGACTCTTGGTAGTAGTTATCAGCATAGAGGAGGTCAGGCCAAGATATTTTCAAGTTGTTGGTTTTTCTTTATCGTCGTTTCTTGTCAAGCTTTAAGCGTAGTTCTTTATTTTTACCTATATCACATACGACGTTAAAAGTCAAAGTCACATGACCAAAACCTGAAAATACACATCACATGAGTATCACGTGTGCTTTAAAAATGAGGAAAAAACTCAATTTTACAGCAACGTCTTACGTAATCTGATGTTTTGTGTGCTTTAATAATTAGGTGTTGATTATAAACACCACACACATCGCAATGAGCAAGGGGAGAGTCAGAGATAGAGACAGAGACTAAGACTACTTGCTCACCACACTCACTTGCACGCCAAGATTTTTTTGTAAGTTTTTAGTAAGACATCAATAACCGCGCCCACCAAGGTCCATAATCGCATATATAAGGGCAGCACGCAACAACGGTGTAATTACGAACCTTCCCCATCGTCTTTTGCCTTCATCACTACAATATTCTATATAGTTTACTTTCATCACCATCACCATCACCATCAGCAATATGACCGACGCTACTAAATGGGCAAATGCCGAAGATGGCTCTTTTAAGAGACAAGTCTCCTCTTTCAGAGACACCATATCACCTTCTCACTCCGTTTTCAAGCCTGCCAAGGGTCGGTACTGGCTATATGTATCATTGGCGTGTCCCTGGGCCCACCGGACGCTCATCACCAGAGCGCTCAAGGGCCTTACTTCTGTGATAGGTGTTTCAATCGTTCATTGGCACATGGACACCAAGGGCTGGCGGTTCTTACCGTACGACGAGAGCACCAAGGGCGAATACAAAAGTCCCTACAGCTACAGTGGTGTTCCCAGCAAAGCGCAGTCAAACGCTACCGGTGGGATCGCCAACGATTCCGCAAGACCCGGAGTGGACGGTACCATCGACCATAATTACCACTACAAGAGAATCAGCGAATTGTACTACAAGGCGGACCCGGAATACAGCGCTAGATTTACCGTGCCAGTGCTATGGGACTTGGAAACGCAGACGATCGTCAACAACGAAAGCTCAGAGATCATCCGTATCCTTAACAGCGGTGTATTTGACGAGTTTGCAGATCCAAACGTGGAGCCCGTGGACCTTGTGCCATCGGAGCTGGAGTCCCAGATCGACGAGATCAACGGGTGGGTTTACGACAACGTCAACAACGGGGTCTACAAGAGCGGATTTGCAGAGTCCCAGCAGACGTACGAGAAAGAGGTTACCAGCGTTTTCCAGCACCTTCAAAAGCTCGAGGACATCTTGAAAGTGAACTACGAGAGTGCCGTGCGCAAGTATGGCGAAAAAGATGCGGTTTCCAAGCTATTTTTGCTGAAGGAGCAATTGACTGAGGCGGACGTGCGTTTGTATCCCACGATTGTGCGTTTTGACCCGGTCTATGTGCAGCACTTCAAGTGTAACCTTTCTACAGTGAGAACCGGGTTCAAACACCTGGACCTGTGGCTAAGAAACCTGTACTGGAACTTCGACGCGTTCCAGCAGACAACCAATTTCGACCACATCAAGCTGCACTACACGAGAAGCCATCCGCGGATCAACCCATTGGGTATCACTCCTTTGGGACCCGATCCGGTCATTTTGCCTCTCTAGGGGGCCGAGAGGGCGAAAACGTGGACAATTGAAGGAGCCTGTAATGCACTTCAAATACATGTGTAAACTATTTGTATGAGCTGAATGTGACGAATGTATGAAGTGAGAAGATAGAGAAGTTGTGCTGTTTCTGTTTGACCGCGTCGTGATGAGATGAGATGAGATGGGATGAGATCACACAAGACGAAAAAGGCGAACCCCCTCTAGGAGTCATAAAAAAGAAACCCAACGACTAAATAGTAACTGTGTACGGATCACCCACTGAATCACGTGAGCTTCTACCTCGGCGGCTAAAGCAACAATTACTGTGTTATAACACATGGTAGAAGTATTTCGTTAACTTCTCGTGGAGAAAAAAAACCTTCGAAAGTAGAAAGGGAAAACCGTTTCTCAGGCCGATGTAAAGGCATTGCAACATGAGCTTATTAGAGAGAAAGACTCCTACTGGATTTATCCAATGGCTTGGTGATTTCTGCTTACGTAATTGAATTCCGTGAGTAAGACATAAAAGTGGCATACGTACATAATGATACCAATTCTTTTTTTTATCTCGGGAAATACAAACTTGTCGTGCTCCACGTACTATCGTACAAAGAGATGACCGTGAATAACCCAAAAAACTACTCGAACCGTTTTCTTTCTTTTCATCACACTGGGTACTAGTGAAATCACATTGACTTTGTTCCACCCCGCTTCACTCTCTTTCGTCATTCAAGAAAAGAACTTATTGCCGAAACCGCGCCGTACATAGCGATACCAACGGCGTTTGACACTTATACCCACACGCGCACACCCTTACGTGTGCATGATCCAATTACAATCATATAAATGGCCTTGTACTTCTTCCCTCTGTCTCCGTCATGTACTAAATAGCCCAAGCAAGCATACCGAAAGAAAGCAGTGTATGAGAAAAACCGCGTGAACCACACAGTGGAAACAGAGACCCATAACATCACATCACACCACACCACACACTATTTCACAAACACACACCACTACAAACGCCCTCTGGTAACCACAATGTGTCTGTTCCCCGCATTAGTCGCTTGTTTCAACGGCCAAGACATGTCATACACCGCACACAGTCAATTTTCCGATACGTCTGGCTCGAACAAAGACAAGCCTTAGCATCGGCCTCTGCGTAACTATCGCCACTTCCTCGGAGATAAATGCCACCATTGTACAGCACCTACAGGGACCGGTGAATTATACATATACGCTACGAGGTCATCTGAGAAGCTCTCAAAACAAACATGCATAAGTGCGCATATAACCATGACAACATGCATGCGACATGGAGTAGATAATATACTCCGATAATCCTTGCACAGAGCTTTCCGCACACGAACTTGAAACAAAACAAGTATGTTGCAGATCCGTGCGGCCGTTTCTAAAAGATCAGACACACCGCTTTTTTGAGGGGCGGTGCAGACACGATGTCCTCAGAAACACACGTTGCGGACCGCGATCGAGGCGGCAATTGAGGTGGATCAAGCGATTAAGGGTAAAACAAACACGTAACAAAACAGGGAGCGGAAAAAAAAGACTATATATATGGGCACTCCAAAGCCTTTGTGGTCTTTGCAATTGTTCTTCCCTTCTCTAATACGATTTGGACTTCAGAATCGTGTGTTTTAGACGTGTTGTTTCAGACGTGTGCTACAGAAATTGTGGTGAAAAGACTTGTGTAAAGTAAGTTCTGTGAGTAAGACTGAGTAAAGACCGAACGAGAAATTTGTTTAGGGTGTATTCAATTTTTTTTGGTTTTGGGCTGAATTTCGCGCGCACACAGTTAAGTGTTGTTTTTGTTAGTGTAATTGTTCAGAGCTGCTTTATCGCTCATTATTTGGCCAGTTTTGACATATCAAGTCTGCATCGCACGGGGTTTATTTAGTAGCTGCGACTGAATTAGTTCGAAAGGTTCGGGTCTTATTGTGTTTTTGTGGCACAAACCCTATAGCTAAGGGGAAAAAAAAAAAAAAANAAAAAA